TGGAAGGGTATGATGGTGGAAGGGTATGATGGTGGAAGGGTATAATGGTGGAAGGGTATGATGGTGGAAGGGTATGATGGTGGAAGGGTATGATGGTGGAAGGGTATGATGGTGGAAGGGTATGATGGATGAAAGGGTATGATGGTGGAAGGGTATGATGATAAGAGGGTATGATGGATGAAAGGGTATGATGAGGATGGAAGGGTATGATGAGGATGGAAGGGTATGATGAGGATGGAAGGGTATGATAAGGGTGGAAGGGTATGAAGCATGTGTGTGTGTGGGGGGGGGGGGAATGGGAGGAAATGCGTTCTTCCAAATCATGTGACTCACTTGTTGGCTTTTGCAACTCCAACCTTGAGAGGCTGACGAGCTGGCATGCAAGGCATGATGGCGATGACACGAGACTTGCCCTTGGTGCCAGATGCAGCCTCGGGAGAGAAGGTAGTGGGGTTTGTAGAGGGAGTACCATGAGAGGAGGTCTCATTCTCGGAATGAGGGCTGGAGGCCATGCCAGTACAACGAATGGACGACATGGTGGCAACGACTGCTAGTTGCTGTCTGCAGAGACTCTGTTAGCTGGCTCAATGTTGTGGGGGAGAGATGGGAGATGGGAGATGGGAGATGGGTTATGGGTGTTGTTTTGGGGGATGTTGACACAGTGCCAATTCAGCCCGCTGATTTGCAACGGCTGCGACGACGTGTCAACGAGGACGACGAGACTGCGGCTTGCCAGCAAGGCGATGCCACAGTCTCTGAGGGCAGGATCATGCAGAATTGGGCAAGGGAAAGGATGGATTGGGGCTGATTGAGATGGTTGAGGCGTGGCACTCTCTTCTCATTTCGAGACGAATTTGAGTGCCACAACCCACAACCAACAATCTGGGTGGATTTGGAACTTACTGAGGGCAACGGAGTTGCAGTAATGCAGTGGAAGGAGTGTAGCAGTGTGCTGTGCAAAGAATGAGATGCTTTGGGGAGGAATAGAGAATGAAAAGGTGGGTTTGGTAGAGAGTGTTGATGGAGTGAGAGAGAGGAATGTTTTGAAAGTTGAGTTGAGTTGGAGGGCGAGCAGATATTTGTAGTAGGGCAAGAGGTGCCTGTGTGGGAGCGACCCAAGAAGGAATAGACCGCATCGGCGTCGACGACGACCAGAAGAGGCGTGTTGGTGCGTCGACAGGGCGACGACGAGCAGGGCAAGTGAGAGCTGGGGAACAGCAGGCGTGACGACGACATCATGGCCAGCCATGCAATGCTGCGAGGGGCGATGACACCACCGTGTAGCTCTCCATACAATTAGTATGGCAGGGAACATGCCTCCCACATCGCAGCAGGCCGACGACGATGCTATCAACCCGTCTCAAGCTCCCACCTGCCCGCAGCCAGACTCACTGCGGCTCTCACCTCTCGCCTCACCAGCCCACGACATCATAGACATCATAGGCGGGGCGACGACATCATGGAAAGCAACGGAAAGCGACGACCTCATCCGCACCGCACCAGAGCTTAGCAGCTTAGCAGCACAGCAGCACAGCAGCGATGCCAACAGGCCTTGAATGTACCATGACCATGACCATCCCATCACCATCACACTGTGAACAACAGTGATAGACAGGGCCAGGACCAGAGCCAGGGCCAGGGCCTTGCTTGATATGAAGAAGAGAAGCAGCCTCAACAACCATCATATCCATTTAGATATCCAGCTCCCATCCGCTGCCAATTCATTCATTCACCGAATTGGTTTGCGTGCAGTGCAGTGCAGTACAGTGCAGTACAGTGCATCTGTGGTCAGTGTTCTTTGGTTGATCTCCCCCTTCTCTCTCTGTCTCTCTCTCTGTCTCTCTCTGTGTGTGTGTGCCCACCTGTCCTAGCAGGTGGCCTGGTCACCAGCTTCCCCCAGCCCAGAGAACCAGAGAAATCTCTGTCCCCAGCTCGAGCTGGTGTCCCCACGGTCTCTCAGTTCTCACAGAATGGAGCGTTGATTAGTATCTCATAGTATGATATATTTACCTTGGTGGCCCTTGTCTCTTCCTTCTCCTGTCGGAGCTTTCCCCTTCATTGCTTTGAAACTGACTTGCCTCTTCACAGAGTTACCCTCTGCTACGAACTGACCGGGTGCAGCTCCGACCTCCTGCTGAGTCCACTGTCAACACATACTTGGTATCGACAGTGACTACCTGCTCTCACGGGCCCTCAACCCTCGACAAGTGGAGGAGCCCGGTGAAGGCGGACAGACAGGGTGAAGGAGAGAAAGAGAAGAGTAGCAAGGACAAGGACAAGGGCAAGAACAAGAACAAGGAAGGAGCGATGAAGTCGGGATGGTGGAGTCGCTGTTCGGCAGATCGACAGCTAGAATGCCTTGGCATGCCGCTATCTCTCAAGGCGTTAGCGCTGATACTGTATCAAAGAGCGGGATTTTGATGGCCTTGATCACGTGGACGGGATTCATCGGTCATGTTCCAGACCAGGCAAGCAGAGACAGAGACAGGAGTGCCACCTCTACTTTGTCTGGTTCATATCCTAGGCACAGACACAATATCACAATAGCAAGATTGTTACCCCTGAAGAGCCTCTCCTCTCAAATGAACAAACATGCTCATCGTCTGATATCCAATTGCTGACAGCGTCCGCTCGAAGACGCGTCGTCCAAACCCAGCTCACCTCCCACGCCCGAGATCAAAGAAGTGAGGCTTAAGGGGGTGACGCTGTCTCTCTCCACAGACGTCCCTCGTACCTCGGATGAAACATCATGCCTTCAATAGCCCGCTACAGAAATGACACAAGCAGCGTGCTCCAGCAGGTACACAGACCAACAGAATGGCGTTGATTCGGATCCCTGGCTAACAAACACGGTTCCAGATCGTCACCTCGTCGTCGGAAGCGGACACCCTGGACCAGCTGATTCCGTACATCAAAGACTACAGCTATGGCAACAAGACGTCGCATCTTCTGGGCCAGCTGGCCGACCTGGCCGCGGAGCGAGAGGCCGAGATCGAACGGCAATGCAATAGTAACCACCAAGAATTCGTCAAATCCGTCAACCAGTTGCTCCGCATCCGCGAGGGCACCGTGACACTGACCAACGAGATCCTCGAGCTGAACCAGTCCATCCAGGCCAGCACCGAGAACCTGGTGGCGCAGAAGAAAGCCCTGGTCGAGTCGCGCGGCGTGAGGCAGAACATCGACGACGCCAGCCACGCCCTGCAGGACTGTCTGGAGGTGCTCCGGCTGGCCAACCAAGTGCAAGAACTGCGCGACCAAAAGAAGCACTATGCTGCGCTGCGGGCCCTGGACGAGCTCCAGACCGTGCATCTGCAAAGTGTGACGCAGTATAAGTTGAGCGAGCTGATCCAGAAATCCGTCCCCGCCACCCAAAAGGCGATCGCCGAGGCCGTCATGGCCGACCTCAATACCTGGCTGTTCCGGGTGCGGGAGATGTCGCAATATCTTGGCGAACTGTCCTTCTATCACACCGAACTGCGCAAGCAGCGGCTCAAAGAACGGGCTGAGAAGGATGCATACTTGGCCAATTTCAAGCTGAACTCGGCCATCGAGCTGGTGGGCGACGAGCATGAAGAGTTCGACCTCCTCAAGAGCGAGGACCTCGAGGTCGACTTCTCGCCTCTATTCGAGGCCTTACACATCCACCGATCATTAGGTCAGATGGACAAGTTCAAAGCCGACTACGCCAGCAGCCGCCGGGCGCAACGCGACCTGCTGCTACAAAACTCCATCTCGCTGGTTGACGACGAGTTGGGCGACCTACACACTCTGCTGGAAGACATTGCCGGCTTTACCATCATGGAGCGCGCGACAATGAAGAAGATTCCCGACCTACGGTCTACGATCGACGTTGAGGAGCTGTGGGATTCGCTCTGCCAAACCGCCATCTCCCTCATGTCCAAGGCGCTCTCGGCCGTCGACAATGCCGAACACTTGCTGAAGATCAAGAACCTGATCTCGGTCTTCATCCAGACGATGAATGGCTTCAACTTTAGCACGGCGGCCGTACAGAACTTTGTGCTCGTGCTGTTCGACAAGTACGCCGAGCTGCTGAAGCAGCGATTCAGCGAGGACTTTATCGAGATCGTCGGGACTGACGACTACATGCCCATGCCGATCCAGAACGCCGAGGAGTTCGAGAAGGTCGTCAATGTCTCGTGGTACACGCCGGACCGGCCGGTGCACGAAATGGCCTTCCCGACCGTGTTCCCCTTTTCGCAAATGTACCCTCTGTGCTGCATCGACATCCGCAACTTCGTCAACCAGTTCTATTTCTTCGCGGCGCAGGACGACAACACGATCTCGCCGCTGGCCGGCAAGATCGACGCCGAACTGCTCACGTCGCTCGACGACCTGTTGAGTAGTAAGGTGTGTGCCAGCCTGGTGTCGAAACTGTCGTCGCAATATCTCGGCCAGATCGTGCAGATCCTGATCAACCTGTCGCACTTCACCGCGGCCTGTCATGAGCTGGAGAAGCTGCTGGCCACGGCGCGCTCGTCGACGACGGACCCGGGCCCGCCCATCTCTCTGCGCGCGACCGCGCAGTTCTTCCTGCACCAGAAGACGGCGGAGAATCGGATCTTCGAGCTGGTCAACAGCAAGGTGAGCGACCTGATCGAGACGGCCGAGTACGACTGGCTGAGCCGCGAGCTGCCGGTGGAGCCGTCCAACTACATTCTGACGGTGACGCGCTACTTGTCCAACATCATCAACTCGGTGCTGCTGTCGCTGCCGTCGTCCCTGAAGGATCTGATGCTCTTCAACGCCGTCTCGCACACGGCCAGCTCGATTCTGGCCCTGCCGCTGTCCCCGAGCGTCGAGCGCATCACCACCACCACCATCGCCCAGCTGTCCATGGACATCGACCACTTCCGCAGCTACGTCGAGACCTTGCCCAACAACTCCATCCTGCTGGAGTCGCTGGATGAGCTGATCCAGACCGTCGCCCTCATGGCCACGGACCAGCCCGACGAGTTCTACGACATTTCGCTCCGCAACAAGAAGTACCGCAACGTCGACCCGCTCAAGGGGCCGCAGCTGCTGGAGAAGGTCGTCCACGTCAATGTGCAATCGCCCACCGCTGGCACTGGCAGTGGACACGATCGCGGCGCAAGTACGAACAGTAGTGGAAGCATGCAGAGTCCCGGGTTGCTTCATCACGGGAGCGCGGCTGGCAGGACGCCAAACACGTTTGCCGCGTTGCAGAACCGCTTCATGCACGGAGGAAGATGATCGAGCCGCTGTGGTCTGCTTGCAGGAGGAGTAATTAGGACGCGCCGAGGACGAAGATGAGGACGAAGATGAGGACGAAGATGAACAGTCGGCCATGTTATGTATGTCTACGCGATGGGTACGGCCTAGCCCAGCCTAGCCTGCCAGGTCGCGAAATCTTTTGATTTGGAGCAAGAGTCACGGTCCGATCCTCTCAGAGGCACAAGAGAGACAAGACGTATCAACTACTAGGTACTTAAGGTAGTCCTCACAGGCTGGGCCTGTCTACATGTAGCAGCTCTGAACCAATCGACTGTCCTTGTCCTCGGCCAGCTCACACAAGACTCCGAGTCTCTACCACTATTAATACTCCGTAGACTTGTAGATATATCCTCTGCGACGGATATTGGATATTGGATATTAAATAATAACCCAGCCACCCAAAACCCAAGGCCTTGATTGATCTCCACGATCCAAAGAGAGAGGTGACATGTGGCATTTCCTATCTTACCTCTAGGTAATTATCCGTACAGGAATAGTTTCATCCTCACTTTATCATTCAAAGTACGAGTACATGTTACTCCGGCGCTGGGGTTGGTGTGAGATTCCGTACTGAGGTTTGGCTTTGCTTATCTTTGCTGTACAAAAAGAAGAATCATTCAATAGTATGCATCGTAATTTACTGGGATTCGCAAATCAAGACTCCTGCAATCGCAATAGACAACCTTCTTCGTCGACCCATGGTATCAAATCAATCTTCAAGCTGCTCTGGGGGGGGGTTTTTTTTCTTGCAATAAATCGCCTTCTTCCATCTAACTCCCGCGGGACAAAAGCCATCCAAGCCCCCAAACCACGTACCACGTGTTTCACTACTATCCTGGCCCATAACCTTGCTCGTTGACTGGTTCATTTCGACCAGCAGTCCCAGGCCTCGGTCCGCCATATCCTTGGCTAGGTGGCCGTTGACCTGCTAGATTGGGGTACATCTGTAGCAGTAAAACGATTAGTTAGATCAACTTCATCTCCCCTTCTGTCATGCCCAGTATAGACAGCAACACTCTTACCCACTCGACAATCAAGCAGACAAGATCCTTGATACGGGGGGCGCCTGGCCATTATGGATGTCGACCTACCTGTTGCGCACTACCACCACCAAACTGTCCTTGTGTATACGGGTTGTATATGTCACCACTGCCAAACATCTGCGGAGGCTGGCCGTATCCTTGATTTGGGTCCTGTTGACTATCTCCGCCCAGATGCGCCGGATACATTTGAGCTCGTCCGTATTGCTGGTCGGGAGGCCCCATTGTGCCGTGCTGCGACAGGCCGTAGTCAGGCGGCGCCATCTGCTGTTGCGGACCCGGTTGTTGCTGTTGCGGGACTTGATTTGCACCACCTTGACCACTAGTATTTGGTCTTTTGGAGCTGCTGCCTGCGCCTTCTTCTCGGGGCACAATGTCGATGAGAAAGTCGAACATATCACTCTTGGCCAGCGCTGCGGCAATGTCACTTCTTTGTAAAGTCCTCCTCTTGTTGTCCTCGGCGTGTATCCATGCGCGCATGGTCAATTCCGTGATGAAGATGTCACATCCTTTTGCAAAGAGAATGGGTGCTTCGGCAGAGATCATTTTGACCTCGGGATCGGCTTTCATAACCTTCTTGATGCGCGCCAGTGGGAGCTGATGGATCTTGAAATCGTGGGTATCGGTTTCGAGGTGGTTGATCGTCTGCTGCCAATAAGTTGCGAGGATCTCGCGCGAGGGCCCGGTGAGGCCTTGATTGATCTGTAATGGGACTGAAATCAGCTCGCTGCTCTTCGAGACTTGGAGTGCGAACAACTACTCACATTAGACCATAATCCAGAATATAGTTCCGTGTGAGGAACGTATCCTTGGGCCGATAGCTGTAGTCCAAGTCAGCCTCTTGCTCCGAGAAATTGACGGAACAGTCTTTCTCGATCCAGCCATAATTTGGGGTCTGGCACAATTCCTAGGACCGTTCAAGGAGAGGAGAATTGGATCACTTACAGCAGCGCTAGCTCCATAATGTCCTCCTTGGCCTACATGGGAAAGTCAGTGATAAGTAAAAGGGAAAAGAATGCACTGAATCACTTACTTATGTCATATACCGGAGGCGCATTTGGCGGGTTCTTCTGGTCCATACTGATGTGGAGGTCCGGAATGACGGACTAGTAGGACAGTTGAGAATGACCAGGCGCCAGGACAAAAAGAGGATTGAGTCGGAGGGCGCAGATATGTCCAGAAATGAACAAGCGACAAGTCCACGCAGAATCGGGTGGAGGCTGTTCGAGAGGCTGGGAACACGGCTTTGATCGTCGCGCAGTTGTTCTCGTTCAGGCGAATGATGGCGATGGTTGCGCCAGGTCGAAATCAAAGCCGAGACCGATGTCAATGGGCCCGTCCAAGTTGTGAGAATGACGGGGGCACCGAGTAATGAGTAATGATAGAAACGCAGCAGGGTGTGATGGCGAACAGAAGTCGGTGAAGTGGCTGGAGCTGTGACTTATTCGGGTCGCGGTCGGTGCAGAGGGAGTAGTCAATCGGCGGGGTCGCAAACTGCGCTGCGCAAATTCAAACTGCTCCCTAGCCGAACACTGCACACTGGCCACTACAAGTCATCGCCAGATCGCGGCACTACTACTACAATCGATAGATGGATGGAAAGCACTGACAGCAACGAAGTTTTTATGTCTACTTCCTCGCTCCTTCGAACTCGACCGTGCCTTGCGACAGCTCCACCTCCACCTGCGATGTCAACAATGGGCTCCAATCGGACTTGTGTAGACAACAATTAGCGTTCCAGGGCGACCAGTTGGTGGCCACTCTCGATCATAATCACTCTGCCTATCAGAGGGGTGGGAACCGTGCTGGCTCAGTCAGCCTCACTCTCAATTTCAGGAACGTAAAGTCTGCAGAGGAATCAGATGTCGGCTAGTTTTCAGGACGTTCCCTGTCTTGGTCAAGTCCGGCGAGGCCAAAAAAAGGTCTACCAACCATGTCATCAAGCGGTCAAGAAACGTGGTTATTTACAAGGCTGGGAATGACTTGCATCTGCTCTCTTCCCCCTACTTTTGTGGGATTTGTGCCTGAGGATCAGAGGAGATCCTGATAGTCCGAGACCTGATCGACCAAGGTAATGATGCAAGGCCGCAGGAGGTCGGGTCGGCAACGCCTCACCCAGACGTCAATGTCCAGAGCTCATCAACAAGCATAAGGAAAAAAGCGTCGCCCTGAGTTGGGTATCAATGCAGATGATGTGCTGGGGGAGAGCCTCCTTAGCCTCCCTACGACGAGGGCCTAAGGCTCAGGGCTGGGGGACGGAGGAGGGTTTGCCCGCCCGGCAATACTCGGCACACCTGCCTATAATAGACTCAGGTGCCGCAAGTCTGCAAATTTCTTGCTGTCCGGATACACAGTCTACCGCAGTTTCAGGCTTGCAGGTTTTCTGCTGCCCTGCCACGATCCTCTAGCGAGCCGCTATGAGTGAAATCCTGACAGATGAGCAGATAGACCAACTTCTGGCAGAGGCCGAGGCCCGCCTGCGGGAGCAGGCCGTGCTTTTGTCAACACCATCAGGCGCAGATGAGATCAGTCTCGACACCACCGAGGCCAAAGCCAAAGAAAGAAAGCCGTATGCGAACCGAGTAACGAATGCTTGATCCTCAACTAATCCTTCTCTAGTCTGCCCAAATTACGACATGGCCTCGGCCAGCAGACCTATATCAAGGATAATCAGGGAGTTGCCCTGACAAAACCTCAGGCAACGATCCCTCGAGATCAACGCAAGCTTGCCGACGGATTAAGGCCTGTTGAAGTAGCTGAGAAGTCAAAGAAAATTGTACGTGTCCATCTCCTCTCTCCTTCAGAGCCCGCTTCAAGCGCCTCATATGAGGAAAACAAATCCCATTTTTCTCCTTGACGCAGATCAGCAGTCCATTTTGGCCTGCCCTGCTTCCGTGAGAGTATTATATTCATAGTTACTCTGATTCTTGATTGATACGCCCAGCTTTACATGGAAAGCTTGCTGGACCGTGACTGACATTACTAGAATGACCAGCTCTCTGCCGGCCCCGACTGGTTCGACTTGCCGAAGACCAACTTGACTCCTCAATTAAAACGCGACCTGCAACTCATTCAAATGCGATCAGTCCTCGATCCACACCGGCACTACAAGAAGAACAACCGGAAGGGAAAGGTTCCTACTTTCTCGCAAACCGGAACCGTCATTGAAGGGCCTACCGAGTTCTACAGCTCCAGAATCAACAAGAAGGACCGTCATAAGACTTTCGTTGAGGAAGCTATAGCTGCCGAGAAAGAGAACGGGCGGTTAAAGAGAAAGTATAGTGAAGTCCAAGAGGCGAAGACCAGTGGCCAAAAAGCACATTACAAGAAAGTATTGGCCAAACGGAAGAAGAAGCCTTGAAACACAGGATCAAAGGCCCCTTCTGGGGCTTATGATTACGGACCTGAATCACTTGCCAGATCTGTCTTTCGAGGAGATAACATATTCACTGCCAAACCGATCGTTGGCTCCGAGTCTGGAGAAGCACATCGGGGCCGGGGCCGGACCCCATTCAAGGCTCGATCGTTGGTGCACTGGTCTGTTCTACTTGAGATCGTGTCGCAGCCTGAGACAGATCAGGTCATACTGCACAGCCATGACTCCTGCAAACTGGCCCTCCTACTTTGTAAGGGGGCAGGAATGCTCGCTCATGTTTTGAGGCGCACGATAGAGCTCTAGAGCCGTGGGCCTACGAGTTAGATTTAAAATCTCGATAGAAAGACCCTGAAGACGCCCGGCGTGCAGATGATCGAAGAGCATGGGATCGGGGCCAGAAGCCTGATCGACTGGATGTATGGGGAGTGTGCTATATAGCCACCAGAGCTGCGCTTGCCGTCTCCCAAAGGATTTCATGACCCTGCGGCGGACCTGGTTACGTCCTTAGCGATAAACCACTGTAGGAATTGCAAGTCAGCATTTCAATCTGAACTTCTTCCCACGTTCTCGACCAATGTCGCTTATCTTGATTCGCTGTCCTTGTTACTTGTATCTGATCTGATCAACTCGCGTGCTTATTGATTCTCATCCACTCAATTCTACTATTCCACCGCTAGCTTCAGAGATATCACTGACTCGGGGTTGATCTTGGCCTGGACCAACGGTTTCCTGTCACCTAAGTCCTCTGGCGCCACCGTTCCCACAAAGCACCCGTCAAAGCTGTCACCATGACCCTAAATGACGACGTACGGTACAAGTGGCGCGATGTACGACGACACTGTCCCTGACGATCCCGAGTTCGCTACGACCGAATTGAGAGACCAAAAGAGAAGGGTTTCAGACACGTGGGTACCTTGGAGGGCAGATTGGAGATGATCAGGAGTTCTGCAGGGCCCAGGGGCCCAGGAGGCGGGCTGGTCTACCGACAACTGTCAATGGCTCTCCAGCTGAATCAATACGAATCATCTGCCGCCTTTTCACGATGATCAATGTTGTCCCTCCAGTCGTCTGGTCGGAGAAACTAGCAGCACGTATTTGTGAGACACACCGTCAGACAGAATCACCAACGCAGAAACAACACATTCAAGGAACGCCGAGTTCCCTCCCGCCACTGGCCCGAAACATTCGCAGGCCTGTTTGGGGTCGATTCTTACTCTGTGTAAGGCTCAGCGGCTGGCCTGACCAAGGATGCTCAAATGCTGCTCCGGTTTCGCGGGCATTTCCAGCCTCTCGCGACGCCAATCGCATGAGGCTCGCTTCGGTAGCAGAAGTCTGCGCCTTGACTCCGCCCCCATTGGCATGATATCTTTAGCTTGCGCCACAAAAGCAGACCGCAGACCCCAGACTGTCTACTAAGCTCTTTTCAGTCACAGCCTGGTCACCGACTGGGTTAACTTGGCTATCATCCTAGGTCTCTTCGACGGAGGCCCCAACCACCGACAAAGTGACATGGCACCGTCTGTTTCGGGGCCAGATCCAGCTCCATCATACCTCCTTGCACCGATCTTCTTGAACCTGTCCTCAACCCTGATCGTTGCTTTGTCTTCAGCAGCATCAATCTACAATGCGTTCGAGGAACCAGACCTTGTCGCAAATTAGCACAACAAACACTAACTAAACAGATTTCGGTTAGGGACACACCTCGAAACGATAGCAACTTTATCATGACTTCAATCCTACGACTCAGTAAGGACCGGTCATCCTTTCTGTTCAGACGACAAAATCAGGACAACCAAGTAGGCCGCTCTTCCTCAAGCCTCGGCCATCGCCTGCCTGATATCTCTCTCGTCGATACTCGCTCGTTCGCGGATCTCTTTGACCAGTTCACGACCCAGGCACAACCTGGGGATTGTTCGAATGCTCAGCTACATTCGGGATCTGAGAAGCATACTCAGAAGCAAGCAAATCAAGCCAGCATCAAGATCAACAGAAATGACTCGACAACGTCATCTTGCTACTCTCAGCCAAGTCAGAGGGAAAGCGAGTACTCGCCTCTCGTGACCAGGCATTCATCGAGCTCCAGTTACACTCCAGAGCCTCCATTTACTACGTCGAAGTCTCCTTCGCTAAGGACTCGGGCCCTCCATGCCGGGAAAGGGCCTTACACTGCTACTCAAGATTCACGCTCGACGACCGATCCATCATCACTGATGGTCTCTCCACTGCCGCCAAATCTCGACAAGCCTCTTCCACCTGGTCCGTCTGAGGGACAGAAGGCTTCAAGGTCGGCATCAGATCTGCTTCTCCCGCACACGGCTACAGAACTCCCTTCGGAGACTTTCTTACCATCAAAGCCTCAGTCGGCCCCCAGCCCAATCCAGCAAGCCTTATCTCGACCAGAGAGAGCGGCCGCTTTAGAGAGTATATCCGGAGCCGAGGCAATATCAGAACTCCCATCCTGGACAACGAGATCAATTCGGCCACCAGTGGGAAAGGCCGTCTCCCATAGCCACCGAAGGCATCGCTCTGCCTCGGAGACAGTTGTGCAGGAGAGCCCATTTTTGGGAAACACACGGTCTCGACGAAGCAGTGCAGATTTCTCAAGGCTAAGCTCAACCCAACAACGCGTCTCACGATCGGCAAAGGAACAATCAAAACAGCTCTACAAGCCCATCACAGCAACAACGGCCGAACACGTAATCTACAAAATCATGTGCAACCTGCACAGTGTCCACGACCTGCAGTCCATTGCCATGGTCAGCAAAGGCTTTTTGCGGACTTTTCAACGCAATCAGTCTAACCTAGTCAGCCATTTGGTATTCAAGACGTCCCGAGCCGCGTGGGAGCTTCGCCGCAGTATACTTGCTATGAAAGGATCAAACACCTTTGTCTTGAAAGACTTCAATCGGGATTGCAGCACCCTTGCCGCCCTCAAAGCTTATATCGTAGCTCACTGTAGCTCGAGCTGCAAACCAAGTACACTTGTCGGCCTTCTCGGTCAAGACGAAAGAAGAGGGGCCGAGATTGACGATGCTCTCTGGCGCATATGGACTTTCTGCACATTATTCGGCAACACCGTCGGACGACCGGGAGGCTCCAAGATAGAGATCGACTGGCTCAATGGCAGCAGAGCGCCGAATAACAAACAGCTAGGTGCCGGTTTTGCTGTCGGCAATGGACAAGGACTCACCATCCAAGAACTCGAGGACATGAACGAGATGTGGCAGTGCTTACAAGCCCTTCTCTCTGGCTTCCGAGGCAGGGAAGACGAGGCCAAACAGTTTGGTGTCTTTGATAACGGGCACCTTCAGGAGACGATGATGGAGAGCGAACACCTTGCCGAGTGGATCTCGTATCTCCTCTCACTGGGGCCCCAGACAATCCTTTCTGTGTCTTCGTGTTCATTTGAACGGGCGAGGATGCTCGGATTGACAAATTGGTCTGCTTCACTCGCAGGGGAAAGTCGCACATCCTTCCTACTGGCGTCTATCACACAGGTTTACCAAGAAAGAGTCCTGGAAGAAGCTACCTTGAAGGCCATCCGATTTTCACTTCCCCGCGCCCCTATTCACCGGCCTACCAGATCATTTGAAGAGCGACAAGAATCATCTATTCCACCCCACCGGGCAGCCACGCGCCAGCCACAATCTCTGCGGATCGATACCTCCAACACTAGAAGGCGCCCAATATCGGTTGACGCCCTTGGAAATGCCAGGCTGGAGATTCGCCCAGACTGTGATCCGGCTAGATCTCATGACCGGACTTCCCACGCGTTTCTTGCCTCACCAACGGCAGACCCAACACTGTTTTATGCCTTGAATACAACCTCCACTGCGAGCACCAAGCTTGGCGCCACGCTTTTCCCAATGGACTACGCCAACCCGACACCTCGAGTGCCTTTTCCTGCTCCCGAAAAGCCAGCAGCGACGGGGACTGGGGTGGTGGATCCGGTTGACAAAGCAATGGCATTCCTAGTACGCGAACTGGGCTTTAATGAGTCAAGAGCGAGAAAAGCACTTGCCATGTGTGATACCGGCTCTGGGATTGACTTGCAGAAAGCCGTTGATCTGCTGGCAGTCGACTTGAAAGCTTCCAAGGAACAGTTCTCGTTGCCAGTGGAACTGCCCACGCCTGTTGAGGTTCCGAGTCCGAACAGGCTCAGAAAGCAGTCCAAACCCTATTGCGATGGCCAGTGTAAACAGCCAGGCACCATGACCCATTCGCGGAGCCGGTCCGAAGGTGCTATCACTGACATTTCCATCAGTCCCGTGTCTGCAACGAACGAAAGTGAATGGCAAGATACAATGTCTCCACTAGTTGCTTCGCCCATGTCAGCCAATCGAGCAAGGGCTGCTGCAATGCATCGCGGACCAAGCAGGCCGGCGAAGACGTGGAAAGTCCTCGGCATGGACACCAAGCTGAAGCGGAAGAACACCGTACTTGGCATAGATGAGTATCAGGCCAAAGTCGAACGGAGGAAGAGCATACGAGCCGTAAACGAAGCTTCCGATCCGCGGGCCAAAGACAGCATGAGCAAGAATCTTCTTGGTCTAGGACTGGCAGCTGTGGGCAGTCCGGCAGCCAAAGGCCCCGGAGAGCAACCTGAGCATGTCCGTCAACAAGAGAGGTACAAGAAGGGGAAGAGCAGCGCCAGCTGCATGCCTAGATATGCATGACTCCACCAAGTGCGGAATGAGGAACGTACAGTCAATGGTACCAATCGAATTCGCAACGAGCAATGAGCAATGACCAATGACCAACGACCAACGAACGAGCAACGAGCAACGAACAACGGACGAACGAGCCCCCGAGCATATGCAGTGGTGTAGTCGTTGTCCTATCTCCTAGAACCTCCTCCGCATGACGGGAGGCATGTCGATGACATGGGGTTTCATTTGTTTCATACCGCACATGGGCGGGTGCTGCTTTTCCAACGGCCGGCGTGACAACACAGGTCCGTCGAAGCCTCAAAACCACACAAATTTATCTCTTTTTTCGGGGGCACGCCGACACGAACCCAGCATTGCTTACATACGCATTACACAGATAGATGAAGCGACTCGACTGATGAATCTCAAGGACAGCAGGGGCTGGAAACAGAGGATCGGTGACGATGACGATGACGACCAACCACACCAATAAACACTGCATTCCCACGACCCACGAGTCCACGACGTATATATATATCCATGACCACGCCAGATACGGATACGGATACACATCTAACGAATATTCGAATACACACGGTCTTGTATATAGCACTGATACCCGCAACGCAAAAGCACATGCCAGACACCCGCAACCCAACGCAAAAGTACATGGCCAAACATTCAATCCCTCCTGCAGCATCCGGCTGGACTTTGAACTTGAAGAAGGCCCCTCAGCCTTTGCTTTGGGGGTCTACAGCCTAGGCGAACAGAGCCTTACGTGGGCTTAGGCCCTGGAACAGGACGGAGGTCGTCCGTCTCCCTTTTTGCTGGGCAGAGGCGGGCGCCATGTCCTCTCGTACAGTGAGGGAGGTAGACAATATCCTCATCACAGCATTAGACTCGAGAGACACGGGGCACGGAGATATATATGCAGAAGGCGCATTGCGGACCATGATTCGGGATTTCAAGAACCAGACGTAGGATGGATTCTATGAGAAATATGACAGACAGCTTTTCCTTCTCCTTCTCCTTTTCCATCTTCTTTCTCCTCTTTCACGCCTCACGCCCAATTCTTCGGGGATGACCACGCTGTATTTAGCATGCGTCACTCTCTCGCTTTCTCACGAGCTGCTCTGCTCCCTGACCTTTACCATTGATGCGGTGGGGTCATATCGGCGACGGCTGGAAGCAGAGATCAAAGAAGATAGAAGTAGTAGTAGAAGTAGAGCAGCAGCACAATCCCGAACCAAAATCAAAACCATGGTCGGTCACGATACGTCTGGGATTCATGACTTCGAGCCATCTTCTGGTGGCAGACGGTGGCCTGCTCATCGGGACGAGAGCATGCGTGTTGATCAATCGATTCCATCGTCCACGATACATGGCATGTAATAGTACTTGTCCCTTTGCTCGGTGCTGAAGACATTCCTCTGTTCCGGCAGATGCTATTCCCGCGTCAGTCTCATCTCGAGGCGGACGAGCCTCAAGCCCTCTGAGGACGCTGCATCTCTTCTCTCTGGGTGCCCTACAGAGGAGCGGCTTCAAAGGAAACGATATGGGAGTAGGGCGGCTAAGGGCAGCAGCGGGCCCTTCTGTGCTATAGATGCAGGCTTCCTCCACAATCGTATTCTTCCGTGATCCGTGAAAAGCGACTTTGGCGTCGCCCGTCGGCAACGAAGCTGGTGCTCCCAAGACCAAGGCCAATATACCCTGCACAGGCGTCGACTTGAATCCCACACGCTTCTTGTGCTTGCTCGCCAAAGAAATGTACATGCTCCTTAGCCCGGTTGGAGGGGAAAGCCACCGTATGTCAGTCCCTGTACATTTGTAGACACAGTACCTGGTGCCCTGGTCGGAAAGCGGGACTGGTATTGTCTAGGAGCGGGCACTGGGTGAAGACAGGACACGGCGTCCTGCTCTGAGCCTCAGCCCGGCCAACCAAGTTATGCAGAGGAACAGTGCATGCTCAAATGTCGCCGATAGCACATCAGATCTCCAAAGGGTACTGTTTTGGGACGCGGCGAACCCGATCATAGTCGGAGCGCTCTTCTTGTTTCAATATTACGTCCCCATTATGCTGTAGTCTGCCGTCTTCAGATCATGTTGCTCTGTCACACACCTTAGCTTCTTAATCCAACGCCGCAAATAAACTGAGATAGATGCCCCAGAATAGACCGACGACGCTGGCGACGATGACTCGCTGATTGACTGGGACGAAGGTGAAATTGATCAAGGCCACCAAGGGCCACAGTTTCCAGCTGTTGATCATGAGCGGCACCAGGTCCTAGAAGGACACACCCCCCTCGTAGTCAGCACCGGTCTCGAGACTTGGACTTGTAGATGCAATGGGACGGACCATCTTCCAGTGGGCCTGGAGGGAAATGGGCCATAGCCAGCCTCAAAGGAAGATGGCCTCGAAAGAGGGCGGACGGAGTGACGGGACGTATTACGTGTAGACTACAAAGGTGTCGGAACGGATTGAACGTCAAGGTAATGTGACATACTCTTTCAACCTCCCTCTGCACGCCTCTCCAGCCCTTGCCCTTGAACGCAGCCATTGCAGCAACAAAGGCCAGGGTATTCACAAACGCCCCGAGCGTCTGGTCAAAGAGGAACTTGCGCGCCGTATTGGGCTTGTGCAGCATCCTCTCCCCACCCACAGATGTATATCCCGGGAACTTGTCCTCGAGGAAGTCCTGCCAGAGGATGTTCGGTGGACATGACAGGAACGTGAAGAGGACGAATTGCAGGAGGGGGCGGACGTGGATGGCGAATGGTTTCTGAAGACATGGCGTGTCAGTGAGATACAACAGCTCAGGCAAGCAGGTTTGCGTCTGCTTGAGACCACGCCTGCAAGGAGGTCTGCAGATGCCAGATGGATCTCGGGGGTGGAAGTGGGCGAGCTTGACGCACATACCTTCTCTCGGTGGGCCGTGATGTACTGGGCGAGGACATTGGACGTGGCACTCAGGCCAGCGGCTTGCAATGTCGTGATGACGAGGTGTGTGGGCATGATGCCCATTGCCCAGTCCGACTATACGGAGTACAACAACTCAACTCGATTTAGGTGTGTAAGATGTGTTTGGGGTCGGCAGAGGTCGAAGGGAGGTCTGTGATCAAGGCACGACTGCGGCTGCGGCTGCGTCTGCGTTGCTCGTGGATTGGGACTCGAATGGCCAGGGGGGCTTAGGGGCTTAGGGGCCACGGTGCCACCTAAGGGGCAGGGGGGGAGGGCGAAGTAGTTGAGCAGGACGCAGGTGAGGTAGTGAGAACGAGTCTTATTAGTCCTTTGACCCCCTAATCACTGCCACCGGCGCCTCTGACGAGGTCCGGCACGGTGCAATCAATCGACAATTCCTAAATTAATACCCCAGATTCTTATTATTAGCATCTGGATGGAATCTTTGCGGGGTTCCTCCCTCGCCAGTTCCATCTTCACCACGTCCATTGCCCGCAGCATTTTGATGGCTGCTGACCTTGACCACCGTTGTATAGTACGTTATGTTCCTATACATTTGAAGAGCATGTAACCATGGTTTTGTACCTAAGGCCATAGCGGGCGAGATAAACATGTGCGAACCAGCGAACGTTGTTTATTGCTGGCCTGCTTATACAGTACATCCCATGCCAAACCCGTGGGCCGCCGTGACCGAGTCGCAGTCGGATCCTTGACCCTTGAATCGTACGTTGAAATGAGCTCGCCTTGCCTCGCAACACTCCCCTTGCCAGTAGAATGTCTCAGCCGGTTTCCATGTCGTCAAGTGCCATCAACCAACGCCGTAACCAATTCGTGACCCTGAACCACCCAATATTGCTTGTCCTCTCATTTCTACATGCCTTCGTTGGCGTTAGTCCTTCAATCCACTGGCCCTTGGCTTCGCCACATCAGCTTCTTCGTCGTCGAATGTGATGATTTTCCGGCTCAGAAGCAGACGAAGTTCGGGCGTCACGACTTGTTCTGCTCTCTTCTCGACTTCTTTTGCCTTCCCCTTTTGCGCCTGTTGGGCGGGTGCTTGACGAGGCCGGGCCGGGAGACCTTGTCGAAGGGTCGACGACGAGCCCGCTGCCGTTGACGATGGGTTGCCAGTGCCGGTAGCTATGGCGGATGTTGAAGAGTCTTGATTCTTGCCATCGGCGTCGTCAGCCGGCCTTCGCTGCCTCAATTCCCCTCCACTCGGTTCCGGAAAGGTGTTCTTCCGGTCCACTGCCTCGATGGTCTTCTCAAACCGTCGGAACAGCCCTTCCGCCCGGAATAGGATCTCCTGTAATTCAATAGTACCAGATAGCTCGTTGATGTATTTCAGAATCTCATCAAAGTGGCGGAGGTGGTCCATAATAACGTCGCGGTGTTTCTCGAGAATTGCAACTGCAATGAAGAGGTGAAACTGGGAACTGTAATAGTCGGTCCACAAAGATTCCCATAGCCTTAGAGTGTCACTCCATTCAAATTCGCGCTTGTACCATACCAACAGCATCCGGAAGAAGAAGAAAAAGTTGGTTGAGTCGGCGGCCTGGAGATGAACGTAGAGCTTCGGGTCAAGGATCTGCACCAGCTGATCGAGGGTGCTGAGTTGGGCTCGCATGCCCACTTGTGAGCGCACAAAGTTCCGAGACATACGCCGCATAAAGGCTACGAAGGCCCAAAATGCGACCGCGTCGTCCTGGAACACGGCGTAGAGAGGAGAAAGAAGGTCGGACATGCCTTGTACGTAGCCCAAATTCTGAGGATGAGGGTTGCGGGTTTGGTAGTGAGGCGCAGAGGAGGTAGTGGGAGAAGGGGGGGTGTCGTATTCCAGGTATGTCAGGAGCATGTCTTTCAATTGCTCCAAGTGTACATTAGTACCAGGACCATCAGGGCTGTAGAATGGTGAGCTTGGATCCGGGTGAGGGATGTCTTCGCCTGCGAACAAGGGAATGTGTCGATCTGTTCGATGGACATCTTTTTCTACATGTCGGATTGCCAGGTCAGCGGGGGTTGTGAGATTGAGAACAGGTTTGGGGGACTGTGATAGAAACTCACCAATACGACTCTTCTGTTCCTTCCACCATTCCTCCTGTTCAGGAGTGGCCGCTCCCTCAATCATCCTGTCCCACCAGGCCCCTTTCAGTTGGACGTATTCGTCTCTCTTGCTGTTCATGTAGGCGTGTCTTTCTTCCTCCGTGCTGTCCCAGCCATAGACCTCCAACAAAAATGGCCAGGCTTCCTTTCGCACCCCATCTTCGGGATCGAGGCCGCCATGGAATATTCGCTCCTTGACCTCATCCACAGTCACCTGCAGTCTACCCTTGGAGTCGAAGAACGACTCCCACTCTTCCAGGTTGACCGGTCTTCTCTTGCTGTCCGCCAGAGTCATCTTCCCAGCCTCCATGTCGAGGATTTCGAAGTCTCCCACACTGGTTTCCTCCGAGTCTAAGGCGTCCCTTGCCGTCCAGATTCTCTGCCTCTTCTCTCGCTCACTTTGCTCTGCGATAGTCATGGCCCACCTCGCCAGGTATAACTTGGCACTGTCGAATTCATCTTGGAGGGTTTGAATTTCAGGGTTTTGGATGAGGCGACGCACTTGAGGAGGGATGTTCTTGTTGTTAGCAAGATCTTCCGCAGTCCGCCGTGTAAAGGTGGTGACTTTAGATAACTGCTCCAATATCTTCCATCTTGTCTCCTTGAGCGCTTTGGTGAGCGGATCCATGCCTGGCCCAGGCGGATTTTTCTGATTAGGTTTCTTCATGTCGGGATTGACGGTTTGGTGTTTGCCTTCCAGTGATTTTCGACCCTGACCAAAACCAAGCCGGTCCTCCTCGGACGGGTCTATTAGATAGATGGATGGCTCAGCAGTGCTCCGTTCCACCATTACATATCTCTTGAGCCAGCGTATAACCTCGTCCCCACCCCAGAATAACTCTCCACTCTCGCCAAAAGGGTCGAAAGACTCCCGGGCCCTTTTCTTCTTTTGTAGAATGGTGCTTTCACACTCAGAATCGTGGAAGAATAGAGCGGGGAGGCTCGATCCTGCACGGGTATTGACGACTATACTACCATACCACCAGCCTAGACTTGGAGGACGAACGTGAATGGAGTAGATGCTGGACAGGGGGAGCGAGAAGGAATATGGGCCGACCGGGGATTCCTCAAAGGATGTCGCAACCGGGGGCGGAGGGACTAGGTAGGTCTGTTTGGGAGGTGATTCGCCGTCCTTCAAGTCCACCTTGACATAGGCGCTGAGCTCGTCCTGGGCCAGAGAGGCCTCTGGAACCCAGGCAAGAAGGTATGAAGCAGCATTTGTTCTCTTTCCGGACGAGTCTGAGGAATTGGGTCGATCATCGGGGGACAGCGGCGCGGGTTTCTGTTGGACGAGAGCGATGAAGCCGGGGATGTTGTCTTTGGCGGACGGCGTGGGGTGTACATAGACCTTGCTCTTGGAATAAAGCAGCTTGACACCTCTTGTGGTAGAAGTGTGTGTGATGGTATTATATCCCCCTTCTTCGTCATCGGAGAGGTCGTAGAAGGACGCTGACGGGGATGGAGGGTCTGGTTTGGACGAAGCCTGCTGGGACGTCATTGTGTTTTTGCCTGGAGGAGTCGACCAAACGAGCTCAGCATGATCGGTAGACTAGAGGCCCAGACCAGGAGGGTCAACGCAATATAGATTGTGAGTGGTGAGGTGGCGAGTGTCACGCAGGAATTCCTGATGCCTGGTGGTCGGGATGCTGGAGGGGGACGGACGTGGTGGTCGGGTCGCAGATGACAGGTGACGTAGGCTTAGGCTTAGGAGGCCGCTCCGCACCTGAAGCTCAGTCTCTTGAACGAGGGGCAATGCAACCGCCATCATCGCTGCTGTCGCCGTAGCCTCGTTGCTACGACACAATTACTACTTCTTGCTTGACAAGGTGATGGCCAAATGCTACCCTTGAGAGAGACAGGCCAATGCTATTAACCAACTTTTCGCTACAGTTAAAAACCCCCATTCAAAGCAGTGTACTTTTGCCCTCCCCCCAACACCATGCTATCCATTTTGTGTTCCATCCCAGACATACCGCTGTATCAGAACTCCTTTTGGAGAGTCCACGAACTAAAGTCTAACTGCGCCGCCAGGGCGCCGCCCTTTCGAATGCCGCCAATTTCCTCCCGAGCTGGCGTCCTTCTGCCTCCGGCCGCACCTGGTGCTGAACCGGCGCTCGAGGCTGGGGCAAGACCTGCAGCCTGCTTCTCACCGGATTTGTTGATCATTCGTTCCTTCAATCTCTTGATATGTTGAAGTCTTGCTCGCCACGTACTTGGGAACTCCGTATCGCTATCTTTGGTATTCCACGTCTGACAAAACAGATTGGCATTCAATGCCAGAACTCGAACGAACGAACCCAGCTGAGCGGCTGAAATGAGCTTAGGTTCCGCAGCCGGGGATATGTTGGGGATACCGTCTCGTGTCACTACCTGAACCAAATAGAATCCGGGCAAGATGTCAGGATCTGGGTTTGCCCGCGCATGGCAGGCAGGCGTAATCACAATGTTGACATAATTCAACTGAGATTTGAAATTATCGAATTTCCATGCCAAACCTGATCGGTTGAAGACGATGTTGACATGGCAGTTGCCAACATGCGCCTTCTTCATTATGCAGTGAGGATCGTCCTCAAGATCGGTCGGCATCATCGTCGGGACGAGATAGACAATCTCGTTAACTCGGTCTCGCCACGCTATTGTTTGATCGCCATCTCGGTGGTACTCTAACCCTTGGGGATTGAAGTGTACGGGTGGTTTCAACGATACAACATAACCGAGGGCTTCGAGAAGACGCTCGAAGTCGCGAGACCCTGTGACATTTGCAAGGTATTCAGACTCGGCGAATTGCCCCTCGCCAATGTAAAGCACACCGATCTTGTGGCTAGACACGGTCGGAATGCGATCAATGCTCTCCAGAGCGCGTGTGACAGAGTCCTCCTTGGGCAAAAGTAACGGTTGGTCAGCCACACTCGTCGCGGCGGCGCTGGCCACCATTTGGAGAAGGATATGCGATGGCAGCACTTCAATCGTGGCCACTCCTTGATGACGGATCTCCGTGTGATATGGTGCAAGATGAGTAGGTACAGGCCCTGTCGTCTGTTCGTACCTGGCATAAGTCGTGCCTGAAGCCTGGCGCTTGATGATCTGAGTCTTGCCCGTACGGCCGGCGGTCTGGGCTGTGATGACACTGAGGCCTACAATCCATGAAGCTGATGTCACTGGACCGTCTTCAGGCTCTGCAAAGTTGGGATCTAGAGATGTTTCCCCCAGGTCAGAAAACGCCGACCTTTGCATCATGTCAATCAACACTTCACTTTGCTCATCGATCGTTTCTTCTCCTCGTGCATTTTTCCAAACCAGCCTCGGGACAATCCAATTGACATATTTTGCTCGAATATCGAGGCGAAGCGAAAGAAACCAGAAGATCATGTTGTGATAGGCCAAACTAGCAGAATATTGGGGCAGTCCAATGTCCGTCAGCATGGATGCTCGATATGGTGGGCGTCGGAAGTTCATCCCACTATGGCGCGAGGGCAGGTGGATTCTCCCAGGAGGCGAGGTCAGAGAGGCGTGTTGCTGCTCCCTTGTCTTCTCAAGGAATTGTATGCACATCCCGAATATCATCTGAATCTCGTCTGGGTTGAGGTTTGAATGCATCTGCGGCAAAAGCGAAACTTGAGTCAAAAACTCCAAGATGTGGGCGGTGAGGTGAGCTTGGGTCATATTCTTTGACATCTTGTCGATGATGGTGGGGTATAATGTCGCTACCGATGCTGGTATCTCCAGACTGCAGATGGACAGCGCCTGGATACAAGGACGAGATGTCCCTTCCCAAGCTCCGCCGAGTCCAGATAGGAATGTCCTAACAAGATCATCTCCAAAGCCCTTCTGAACCGCCTCTGATTTCATGGTGGCATAGGGGATCAAAGCAATCAGGAAGTTGAATAAGCATATGGCGACATCGGAACGCTTCAGTCCAGTCTGGGGAGGCGCCTCTCGGAATGCGTTATTGACGACCTGATCACAAAGAACCTGGCGCAGCTTGACAACAGCTTCCATGGAGTTGAGGAATAGAGCGATATTGTTGACTTGTGCAGCTGCGTGCACTACGGTATAGCTGTAGGTCTCCCAGTCGGCGTCAGTTTGGAAGCATCTTATAATGCTCATGAGCCAGGTGTCCATGTCAAGCTCAGCCTGTATGTCCGGATTGGTAGACATGTCGACATTGAGGATGGTGGAAGCACGCCCAGCCAAGGGGAATGTCACATCTTCGGTATCTGGGTACATCCACAGCGGTTCGCCGACGTCGGATTTTGTTGATAGACTGGTGCTACTTGCCGAGTGCCGCTGTGAAGAAGGCAGTTCGTGATTGAAGATCTCGACTGATTCGCGCGTGCGTAGAAGTGCACTTGCAATATGACGGCTTTCACTGGTTTTTGCAATGTAAATGAAGCCAGCATCATCTGCTCGGATGCGAAATAGAAGCTGTTTCGATACCAGCCTTGCTGGGCGGTATTTGCAGCGGGAACTTGCGATATCAAGTAATACCTGGATCGACCGGACGGCTGGTCTTACATTGGTATGAATGCTGTAGCTGAAAATAGTTACCAGGACTTTGGTGGCTGATATGGCGAGCTCGTCGTTGAAAGGGCCTCCAGCTGAACCTGAGAAAACCAGAGTGTTGAGTCGTTCGATCATGCGCGCTGTCAGTTCGTCCTGTTTGACTGCCTCGCCACGGTTGGAGACCAGTGATTCCATGAACGTGAGTAGCGCTCCGAGCACCTGTGCATCTTGCTCAACGTCAGTCTGATCTAAGAGCCTCTCGAGTACCCACACGTAGGTATCGCTGCGTTGATCATTTGCCGAGCCATCTTCAGCTTGGTTGCCCATTTGAACGAGGAATCCGATAGCTTGGATGCGACATGTCGCCGGTAAGGATTGCTTTTGCACAATCCGCTCGTAGATCAGATCAGAATACTTTTTTCTGACACCAGGCTCACCAAGTAGCAGATACTTGTCGTTCGCATAGTCCAATGTTAGCGACAATTGAGATGGCTCTGCATACTGAGGGAAATCCAGAAAAAACTCATGGACAACATTACGACTGAAAACAGGAAGCTGCTCCCACTCAAGACACAGATCTTGACCCAGCGTGGTAACCATGGAATCTCTTTCCCGGAAACGCTTTCCATAGTGTCGATTGAACTCCTCATCCTGACTCGAGGTCGGTGACAGAGTGGTCCTTGTAGTGGTTGTTCCAGGATGACTTGGAGGAGTCATTGCTAGGCAAAGCCGGATAATGTTGATGATAAGACTAAAATCCAGGGTAGAAATCTCGGACCTTCCTTGCTCACTAGCAAGAACAGCGTGCAGAAGGCCGAGTATGTCGTGGCAGAGTCGAAATACCCCATTTTTGGCGGCCGATTGAAGCTGTTCGAGGCAGACTTCCGACTCCAGGACGAAGCCATCATTGACGCGTCGCTCGTCCACGAGAGCTCTCAAAAGGACGGTGGCGCCTCTGGCATGCGACATACTCTTGGCCCCGTTCTCAAGAGTAGGTGTCTGTAGGAAAGAATAGAGAGTCTCCATGACTTCTTGATGGAGGTATCCGGCAGCAAGAAATTTTGCACAATCCAATAGATGGTCTGGCAGCGGTGACAGGTTTGCCGCAGATGCGCATAGAACCACCAGTGTCTCATCAAGGCCATCCCTAGGATACTCGAAGTGTAGAAGAACAGCGTAGAGAATGTTGATACCAGCATTGATATCTTCCTCCCGGCTAGCGTTCAAACAAACAGTCGTTGCACAATTCACTGTTTGGGACAGTTCGAGAGGGGCGAAGCCGACATGTCCCAACTCGATGTAGTCGCAAACATATCGGAGTAGCCAGAGCAAATTCTTTTGGTCCTTGACAGGACCTGACCGTGAGTTCTTGTGCTCCTTTCTTGCCCGGTCCGCTTTCTTCGCCCAGACTGGGACCCATTGGATCAGTAGTGAAAGCAAGGAGACAGTGCCCGGATGGCCTTGATCGTCTTTATGAATATCAAGAAATCTGAGCGAAACATCCGTGCCAGATCGGAAGTTGCCAAACCCGAGAAGCCAAGAACGTGCCTCGTCCGGCGTGTCAGTGAGCAAACGTCCCTCTTGTAGGATTTCTCTCAGATCCAGGGGTGCCTCATCACGGGGCAACTTCTCAGTGTTTCGATCCACTGGAGTAGAACTGTCTAGACTGCGAGAACTCTGACCCAACCCGGGCATGTGCCAGAGTGACAGCCTCCGGCCATCTCTGTCAGTATTGGCGTTGGACGACCTTTGTTGAGACGGTTCATTTCCAGTCGACATACGACAGGTGTTCGCTTCTGGACAACTCACAGTCAGCATATGGAACATGGCGCAAGATCCATCGAAGAGATTAGAGATTGGGCTGGTCCCAGAAGGGGGAAAAATCACCCAAGCGAGGGGTAGCAGAACACCAAGAAGCAGCAACAGTATTATAAATGTCTAGTCTGGAAGAACTGAGGGTTCAAAACAGACAGCATTCGAAGACGCGGAAAGGGCCGAATAAAATTGTGCACTCGTATAACAGTCCATCGTGAATACGTATCAGGTGCAGGTCACAGCGGACAGGAAGTGGAGCCTTACCTAGGCAGAGGTCGCTGGAGGAATCGTAATAGGACCAGATATGAGAGGCGCTTTACATCGGATAAATGAATTGAAAATTTTCAGGTTGGTAGATATCAGGCTACACCAGGCGCTGGATGCGAGGTCTAGGTTTCAGGCGGCAGTACAGCGCGAGTTGGAGAGTGGAATTCGAATCTCAGAGGCTCCCCTTTGATAACGCTAACAATTCCATCCGAGTCTCGAGATCAGAGGAAGACCAAACAGGCGGACTTTGACGGTGAATCCAGAGGGGCCGGGAAGTAGCGCATTCGATGAAGAAAAAGCATGAGACTGAGTGGAGGGATGTTATCAGCAACGATGGAGAGTTGAGATGGCCAGATCCGCAGGGAAAACCAGTGGTGAACCAAACTGCGCTGCGCTGCGCATGAGGCCAAGTCGAGCACCTCGCCACTGAGGCACTGCATCAGCCACAGTGCGGATAAGGATAAGGAATGCAACTGCAGGTGCAGACTTTGCACTGCATGACTTCATGCTGCCACCGTCCCCGCCGCGTTTAGCCGTGCTGCTTAGTCACAATGCACGTGATGTCCCTTCTGCCTTCGGTGTCCAAGCAGTCCACAGTACGTAGTAGTGGCAGAAGTTACAGAACAGCAGGGAGCCGGCATGCGTAGTCCCGGTAGGCGGTCAGAGAGACAATTCTGCCGCTTCCACCAAACAAGTTACGGCCACTAATTGTAACTGCTTAGTACAAAGAAGTTCAGGTAAACAATCCCTCAGACATTTCTACCCGGCGTCTTCTCCTCTCACTTTCCTCTTGCTCCATCTTCTCGCTTCTCACGTCTTTAACGATCTGGTCTGCGTGTGCTACGGATAGCTCTGCAGACGTCTCCTCTCTCTTCTCGCCCCTCTCAGCGACAGCAACCACCCATTGCGCATCTGTTGTCAGTTCGATCGCCGGCCATTATGCAGTGATATCCCATAAGCTGTCCAGTATCCAGTGACCCTGTCGTCCACATTTCTCGACCGCCGTCACCATGGCCGCTTTGCAGCCTCTGGCCCAGCTGCTTGATGCCAGTCTCGACCCCCGTCAGAACAAGGAAGGTAGGCGGAGTACCCTGATCTTCCTCCGTTGATGCACTTCTGACTTTTTTCTCAGCCGAACTCAAGATCCGCGCCGAAGAAAAGAAGCCGGGGTTTGCGCTGTCTCTACTTCAAATCACGGCCTCCGACGAGTTCAAGTACAATACACGGCTTGCCAGTGCCCTCGCCTTCAAGAACTTCATTAAACGCAACTGGACCGATGTGGAGGGGAACTACCGTCTCCCCCAGCAAGATGTCAGTGCAATCAAAACCGAAATCGTGGGGCTCATGATATCTGTGCCGCGGGGCATTCAAACACAGCTGGGTGAAGCGATCAGCGTAATCGCAGACAGTGACTTCTGGGAACGATGGGACACGTTGGTCGATGATCTGGTATCCCGGTTGAAACCAGGTGACCCGATAGTCAATGCGGGGGTTCTCCAGGTCGCCCATTCCATCTTTGCACGGTGGCGCCCATTGTTTCGATCTGATGAACTGTTCACCGAGATCAACCATGTCCTTACAAAGTTTGCTCAACCTTTCCTCTCGTTGTGGCAGAGTCTTGATGTCTACATCGAGAGCCATAGCAATGATAAGGGAGCCATTCAGAACGCTTTTGCAGAACTCGACCTGATTCTTCTGCTCTTCTATGACCTGTCCTGTCAGGATCTGTCACCTGTTTTTGAAGACAACCTGGCGGGAATATCAAACTTGCTATTGAAATATCTCTTGTACCAGAACCCTCTCCTGCAGACCGACGATGAATCCGAGGCTGGTCCGTTGGAGAACACGAAAGCAAACATTTTCGAGGCACTGTCCCTCTACATCGCCAAATATTACGATGATTTCTCCAAACATGTCCCAAGTTTCGTGGAGAGCTCCTGGAATCTTTTGACGACGACTGGACCGGAACCCAAAAATGACATTCTCGTCAGCAAGGCTCTTCACTTTCTGACGCAGGTGGGAGGGATTAATGAACAGGCGCAAACTTTCAACAATCCCAACATTCAGACCCAGATTATTGAGAAGGTCATCCTTCCAAATGTGGCGCTGCGAGATTTGGATGTCGAAATGTTTGAAGACGAACCCATCGAATTTATCCGTCGAGATCTCGAAGGATCCGATAGCGAAACTCGTCGAAGGGCAGCGGGAGATTTCTTACGCCAGCTGAGTGACCAATTCGAGCAATCCGTGACTGCAATTGCCATCACTTATGTTCAGAAATGCGTTCAAGACTTCACGAGCAATCCTCAGGACAACTGGAGAGCCAAAGATACCGCGGTGAGCTTGTTCCACGCGATTGCCGCCAAAGGAAGCACAACATCCACGCATGGAGTGACCAAGACGAATCCTCTTGTTGATATCGGCGACTTCTTTTCAAAAAATCTTGCCAGTGACCTGCAGGATCAGCATACCCAGCCTCTGATCAAGGTGGATGCCATCAAATATCTTTACGTGTTTCGAAGTATCATCACCAAAGATCAGTGGCAACAAGTCATGCCGCTACTGGTCAATCTGCTAGGAGATTCAAACTTCTGCGTCTATACCTATGCAGCTGTTGCCGTGGAAAGAGTATTGGCTATGACCGATGAGACTGGAAAACCCGTTATCGACCCAGCCGACATTAGGCCTCTCGCAAGCAGTCTCCTTGAACATCTGTTCAGTCTGGTGGAGAAGGACGAAGCAGCCGAGAAGGTCCAGGAGAACGAATTCATCATGCGTTGCATCATGAGAGTCTTGATAGTTCTCAAAGACGGCATATCTGCCATAGCCGAGAGCGTTCTACAACATCTGACCACCATAACAACCATCATCTCTACCAACCCGAGCAATCCGAAATTCTATTACTATCATTTCGAAAGTCTAGGAGCTTTGATCAGATTTACTCCATCGGCACAATCAGAAGCATTGGGCGCTCACCTCTTCAACCCGTTTGCAGCAATTCTTGCGAATAATGTGGAGGAATTTGTCCCTTATGTTTTCCAATTGATGGCAGCTCTCCTAGAGGCTGAGCCTAGCAAACCATTGCCGGTACAATACAGACCGCTCATTGCGCCTATCCTTGGGCCTACGTTGTGGGAGCAGCGTGGTAATATTCCAGCCTTGGTTCGACTGCTGTCTGCCATCATTCCCCGAGCTGCTGATGAACTGATCTCCGCCAATCAAGTCGAAGGCGTTCTCGGGATCTTCCAAAAGTTGGTGTCAACCAAAGTATTCGAAGGCTACGGGTTTGATCTGTTGGAGACGGTCATCTCGACCTTGCCAGCTTCTGCCCTAGAGCAGTACTGGGTTCATCTGTTGAATATCATGCTTACCCGCCTGCAGGGCAAGCAGTCGCAAGCGTTTCAGATCCGATTCGTCAGGTTTTACCACTTCATCTCGTCGCGCAGCGACAAGGGTCTTGGGGCTGATTTCTTCGTTGCCGCTACGGATCGCGTTCAGCATGATGTTTTCCGACAGCTCTACTTGGGTATCATCCTTCCAAAGACACAAGAGCTGGCTCGTCCTCTTGATCGGAAGATTGCCGCCATTTCATTAGCCAAGACGCTCGCTGAATCCCAGGCCTTCGTGGACCGATATCCCAAAGGCTGGCCCTTGACGTGTAACGCATTGCTCAAGCTGCTAGAAGATCCTCCGTTGCCGCCAAAAGCAGAAGATACCATTGCTGAGCTTGATGTCGAAGACAGTAGTTTCGGTGTTGGTTTCACCCAGTTGAACACCGTCCGACGCCCAATCAGCGACCCATTCGCGGACATTACGGACTTGAGAAAGTGGGTGGGCCACTATCTCAAGGCTGCTGATCAGAGGCACGGAGGGAGGATAGGGCGGGTGGTCAATGATAATCTAAGCCCAGATGCAAAGAAAGTCTTGAGCGCCTACATGGCTCTGTGACGGCCGGGGGTGGGAGAATCAGACGGGGATTGATACAGGATGAAGCTGAGACCAGTCAGGGGGTGAATTAGGAGGTGACGGTGGTGAGATGTTGAAATCAAAAGTCATGTACCATCTTCCCATAGACCGAAGAGGGTTCCTGGATCACAAATACAGGAATGCTCGATAGAATAGCCCGATTGTGTCATTCTGGCAGCCTTGTGCACTGTGTCTCGTTAAAGGCGCAAGGCTGACTGGCGGCTAACCTGCCGTAGATGGCACTCCTGAAAAACATTCGGAGTACCACCAACTCCAAGTTCCAATGAACATCAAGTTGAGTGCGTGTCTGTCAAGCAACCTTGTTACCTCCCAAGTGAGTGGTTCCTGTTTCTGTTCGGAACACAGATCCAGTCTGTGTGTGTCATGTAGCCATGCATCGCATCCGCCCCTGGCGGCACCGCATTCTTTGCTTGCTTCCGCTCCAACGTGACGGCCACACATTCTACTCGACCTCGACGAGCACGGCCTCGGTTTCGCTTGCGGCCGGTCGCCCAAGGCCTCTGATGCATCTATACTCGGAGGCTCGAGTGCGGCCAGGCAGCCAGCCACCACAGATCAGCCGGGTGTCGACATTCCTACCGCGACCATCTGAGTCTGAACCCGCAGGTCGCCGCCCGCGGTTCAGCACGACGGCTCGGAGACACAAAAAGAAACGTGCGCCACCTCTGCCCCCCCGCCCAACGCTCCCCGACTCGGAAATCCACCACAGCTATCTGAAAGGGTCCGGACCGGGTGGGCAAAAGATCAACAAAACCGCGTCGGCGGCGCAGCTGACGCACATCCCGACGGGGATCGTGGTCAAGTGCCAGGCGACGCGGAGTCGGTCTCAAAACCACACGATCGCTAAGCGACTGTTGGCGGAGAAAGTCGAGCTGCTCCAGAAAGGCGACGAGAGTCGGGTGAGCAAAGTCCAGGAACGGAAGAGCAGGAAGAAGAGGAGTGCGGAGAAGAAACGGAGGAGGAAGTATAGAAGTTTAGAAGGGGGGGAAGAGGGGGCCACTGGTCGTAGGGAAGACGAGGAAGACATGGACGACGACGACGACGACGACGACAAGAAGGAGGAGGACCAGGAGAAAGAGATAGAGGCAGGTGACGAGGATGTTGTGGAACGACAGGGCCAAGCGGCACTCGGGAAGGAGAGAGAGAGCCAGAGCCAGAAGAACAGCGAAAAGGGGTGATGAGGAGAGGATAGTCGGCAGGATACGGCCACGGCCGCTCATTGACTGACCTCGTACGCACTCTATCAGTCATCAAACACAACTCGAACTCTGAAACGGGCCAGACTGCGGTGGGAGCTACGACGAGGACAGAAAGAGGTGTGGTTATTTACCTACCTGTGCATTCCCAGTTCTTGTCCTTTGTCATCAATGCAGTTGTCAGATTGCGGTTTGCCTTTTCCATCTATCTCGCTCTGCGCCTTTTCAATCTATCTCACTCTCCGCCTTTTCCATCTATATCACTCTCGCCTCCTTTTCAATCCGTCCATGGGTATCTGGTATCTGGTATCTGTGCGATGCTGGGACCCTACAGAGCGCCGACTCCAGTACACGTATCCGTACACGCATCCGCATCCTTGCTCTCCGAGGCTACTCTGTGGAAGCAGCCAAAGTACATTGGTTAGCAAGTCCGACTCCCTGAGCGGTGTCTTGCTCTCATTACTCCATCATCTTCTCCGTCAAGAAGAAGCCAGACTTTCCCTTCAACTCCAATCTCCCTGGGCCGGACCATCACGTGACCAACAGACTTGTTAGTCGGATTTTCCCCGTCTCTGGGGATTTACTCGTACTGGCTCGGCTACTCCGTACTTACAATGAGATCAGGATCTAGAATATCTAGAATACTAATCCAGAATCCAGTCCGTCCATTTCTTGCCGTGCTGCGCTTCTTTCCTTTCCTTCCCTTTTTCTTGCTAGCTGGTCCCCGGAGATCTCTCTCCTTGGTCTGTACTCCGTACGTGCACTCGGTACCATACAACCAGGTTACCAGGTTACCAGGTTACCAGGTTACCAGGTTACCAGTGCACATAAGGCGCAAGGCTTAAGCCATGGCAGTGTCTCTACTAGACCGAGTCCGATCGTACGTGGAACCGTTGATCCTGGTCGGCATCTCGATCAGCTACCTGCCCATCACGGCGGTGCTGCATCCTCTTCTGCTCGTCAGCAGCCCGACCTCCTTCCGGGCGAAATGGTTCGAGAACTTCTGGCGCATCATCGGGCCCAAGATGGCCGCCTCGGAGATCCAGGTCGAGCACATCGACGAGCTGCTGTCGCGAGCGCGCGGCGCCGTACTGGAACTCGGCCCCGGCGGCGGCGACCAGATGTACCACTACCGGCCGGGGCAGATCTCGACCCTGTACGGCGCCGAGCCGAACGCGTTCTTGCATGCGCGCCTGGCCGAGATGGCCGCCGCCCACGGGCTCGGAGGCGCCAAGTTCGTGGCCCTCGAAGCCGCCGCCCAGCCCGGAAGTCTGCTGCCGGCGCTGAAGAAGGCCGGGCTCGTGCCCGCCACCACCTCGACTCTGCCGGAACAAGGGGTCTTCGACACCGTCGTCGCCATCAAGTCGCTATGCTCGGCCCCGCAGCCCCAGTTGGCCGCCACCGTCGCCGTCATCCAGGCCCTGCTGAAGCCGGGCGGCGAGTTCCTGTTCTTCGAGCACGTCGAGAACTCCTCCGATCCTGTCACCATGTCGTATGCCTGGCTGCTCGGCTGGTTCTGGCCCCTCTTCACCGGCGGCTGTCGCCTGAATGGGAAGGTCGACAGGATCATCTTGGGCATGGGAGGCTGGGATCAAAGGTCCGTCACCACCACCGGAGACTTCAGGGGCCACGAGGTACGTCGCTTGCAGTGTGCTGTGCTACTGATCCCACACATACCATACCATACCATACCATGTCATGTCATGTCATGGGCGCGCGCATCTTGATCGAATCAGAATCTGAATCGTGCTGACTCGCATTTGTCTTCCAGGTATTCAGATATGTCAAGGGCATATGTCGCAAAACATGAAAGACTACTGGTAGGGCAGAGCCCACAGAGCTCAGGCAGCTCACAACAAAAGCGTCTGATCAACCGCCTGTGAAACTTCTAGGTCTCGATGGTTCACAGCATTGGCATGTAGGAACTCGCCAGGCCACGAGGGCGTGACGGTTTAGGATGCCCGAAGGACTTGGGTGGAAGCAGTCAATGAACCACATGTATCATCTGTCTGAAAAAATGCCTGAAAATTGGCTGCGTCAACACGTCCTAGCATGCAACTCGACCTAATAGAGACTATTTTTAAACCCCATAACGCCTGCCTGACATGCCGAGATCATCATCGTGGAAGCCCATCTCCTGCTCACCGTCTCAAGCACGCAATGCCTGCTTCTGCGGCAGTTCCGTCTCATACTCGATCTCGACCCGTCCCTTTTTCTTACGAGGCTTGGGAGCCGGCGCGGCTCGTTTTCTCTTCCCGCCTGGCGTAGGTCCTTCTTCATCGTCTTCGTCGTCTTCATCGGAAGAAGGTTGCGACCCGTCGTCTTCGCCGGTGCTCTCTCCGTCAAACCAGTCGTCAAAATCCTCCAATTCGTCCCCACTGGCTTCGACGTCGGAGACGTACTCAACCTCACCCTCGACCTCCTCTTCATACTCTTCGTCTTCCTCTGCCAGATCCTCTCCATTCTCTGCCCTTTCGAGACCCTTGAGCACCTTCTTCCACACGTTCTCTTCCACGTTAATCGGGCGATCGCCATAGACGCCGCTTCGCAACCGGTCAATGAGTTCCCTCTCAATGGCCCTTTCGACCTTGGCCGCACTTTCGGCCTTCCTCTCTCGCGTCTCTTCTCGACGGCGTATCTTGCTGGACAATTTAGGCACAAGCTTCTCGCCGAGTCGCTCCTCCTCCTTGGCGATTCTCCTCTGACGGATGGCCACTTGTGTCAACCTCGTCAGTCGCTGCTTGCATTTGTGCGTGTAGAATTTCGGCCAGTAGATCAGCTTCTCGTCGATCTGGGCAAGGGCCTTTTCATAGTTGTTCGGCAGCCGGATCTTTTCCCACCATTTGGACGGCAGGTGAACTCGCTCGGGGGACTTGATGAAGAGATACAATGCCCCAGTATCAGGGTCGGGGCGGACAGTGGCATAGCGCGAGTTTGCCAGAGGACATGACTGTCGATTACAAAACCCTGTCAGGTTGTACTCGTTGCGGCAGAAGGTTTGGTCTTTGGCGCTCAGCCTAGGAAATTTTTTGGTTAGGCGCAGTCCATCACTTGCAGCGGGGAAAAGGGCCATGCATACTTTAATTTGAAGGAGCAAAACTGCTGATTGATGACCTGCCATACGATCTCGTCGGCAGCCATGGTTAGAGGTTAGAGAGGGGAGGAAGGGGTGCGGCTGGCAGCGAGGAAAAAGAGACAACAGGCGGTGGCTGTCTTCAGGTAGTCTGTACCGTACATAAGTCTGCCGATACAGTCTTTTTCCGCCAAGATTTATCCTTATCGATAAGCCTGGGTCATTAGTGGTAACTAGTGGCCACTAGGAACATTGGTATTGACGAGTAGTACTTCGGGGCCTGGTCACGTCATTCACGTGATCGGATCGGCGATGGTCGGGCCATGATCCTCGGCCCCGACTTCGCACGCATCAGATTAGATTAGGCATCCATATATCGATGATATATCGATGGGTTTCCATGTCCTTTGCTACACTCTTCAATCTACCACCGTCTACACAGAGTAGGTGGCTGTCTTGCATCAGCTGGACCTTTGCATGCCATAGCACTAAGTTGCTTGTGTTATTACTTGTTGCCGCTTTCTGAACATATCGTGGCTGGCTGAGAAGCTTTTGCTCAGAATGGCTACCGGCACGACCACCGCCGCCCCTAATAATGCAACACTTCCGGGAGAAGTTTCTTCTGTGATCCCAGACTCGGCAGAGAACAAGCCTGCTGAAGAGACCAGTCCGTCTACCGTACGAGTCCGCCTCTGAACCACCTTCCGCCTCTTGGTGGCCACTGACCAAACCCAGGACACCACCGGCCCCGTGCCCGTCGAGACACCCCAGGGAAATAAGCAGAATGAGAGCACCGAGGTTCCAGTTGAGAAGGCTACAACTCCCATCGAGCAACTCTGGACTTTTGCCCAAGCTCACGGGCATCCGGAAATCTGGGGGGTCACCCTAGCCGATCCCGCAGGCCACGTTCCCACCCAGATCGTGCTGCAGAAATATCTCAATGCCAATGACGCCGATCTCGCCAAAGCCAAGGAGCAACTGGGCAAAACGCTCGACTGGCGAGCCAAGATCAAGCCGCTGGACCTGCTGGGAAAGAAGTTCAACCGCAACAAATTCCAGGGCCTGGGCTATGTGACGGTCTATGGAGCCCTTGATGCGCCGGACCCGGAAGCCAAAGAAGTCATCACCTGGAACATTTACGGCAGTGTGAAGCATGTGGAAGAGACGTTTGGCAACGTGGATGAGTAAGACCTCTAGAGATCTCTGATAACACGAAGTCGAGGGTTGTGGATTGACCAAGAGAACAGGTTCATTGAATGGAGAGTCGCCCTCATGGAGGAGGCTCTTCATTCACTCGACATCTCCAAGGCCACCAAGCCCATCACTGCGGAGCACGATCCGTACAAGATCATCCAAGTGCACGACTACAAGTCGATCAGCTTCTTGCGTCAATCTCCCGTGGTCAAGGCCGCCAGCACCAAGACCATCGAGATCTTTGCCCAGAACTATCCCGAGCTTCTGAAGGAGAAGTTCTTTGTCAATGTGCCCGCCTTCATGGGCTTCGTTTATGCCTTGATGAAGTTGTTCGTCGCTCCCAAGACTCTCAAGAAGTTCCATCCCATGAGCAATGGCGCCAATCTCTCCAAAGAATTCACCACCGGCACCGTCACGGGACTCGCCGACCTGATCCCAAAGGAGTATGGTGGGAAGGGCAGCGATCTCAACAGCGTAGGAAAGCAGCCTTTTCTGGAGGATGAACAGAAAGCCTGAGGTCAAAGTCGACTGAAGTTGAGGACCAAGCAAAACCCCTGGGGGGGAGGAGGGCCATTTCCACTCGTAATGATGCAGGGGGATCTATCCGGGGCCTTCTATCGCTCATTGGAAGAGGGCTACCATGTTTGAGCGAGCGTATACCCCAGTTAGTTCAGTTCAATCTCGAATTCCACACCATGCCAATCATCTTCTTCCTCTTCGACGACAGTCACGTCACAATCCCGTCCGTAGTATTAGAGAGATTCCTGCCCTCCATCACCCCTTGACCATCTCTTTTAGCAGATGGAGCCCTCGCTTTCTCCCCTACTGAACTGGTGGAACGGATCCAGGCGCTGACGCATCTGCGTTTCTATGGCCAACAGGCATAATGACACGGCTACTGGGATGCTCACAGGAGGAGAAGGCTAGCTGGAGCTAGCGGGAAACAGCAACTGTCAACTTGAAAGGCTTAGGAGCAATACTAATTCATCGTTGAAGTAGAGCTATGAATGATCATCTCCATCAATCCCCCGATGGATCTCCCCCCTCAACTGATGGGCTGAAGGAGCGGCATTCCATAATTCATGGATGTAGGGTATCACATATCTGGCCCCTGCGTGAAAGCGGACTTCTGATACTCACGCAAAGATCCTAAGAGTTGAGGACCTATTTCTTTTCACCCGAGATGGTGTTGGCAAGGTCTCCGCGACAGTTAGCTTCAGGGTGCTGAGCAAGGTTCAGATGAGTACTTACCTGCTGCAGTCTTACTAGCACTGTTCAAGGCACTAGCAGCGATATCTTGGGCCTGTTGCAAATATCCTTTGCCGGCTTCTTGTGCTGCACCGGCATTGGCACTAGCCTGCTGCGAGACGTCGGATGCGGTATCTTGTGCTTTCTGAGTCACGTCCGCTGCAGTCTCTTGCGCCTTCTGGGTGTAGTCGGATGCGGTGCCTTGTGCCTTCTGAGTAGCGTCCGACGCAGTCTCTTGTGCCTTTTGGGTGTAGTCGGATGCAGTGCCTTGTGCCTGTTGCAGGTAACCCTTGCCTGTCTCTTGTGCTTCCCCGGTATTCGCACTAGCCTTTTGGGTGTAGTTAGAGGCGGTGTCCTGGATGTTTTGCGTAGCCGAGGACAATTTGTCGCCGCCGGTGTTGACGTTGGAACGGGTCTCGTCAGAGAGTTTCTGGGTGGTAGACTTGCTATCTCCTGTAGACGTGTTATTGGGTGTTGTTGATCACCTGGGTGGCACCAGAGAGAAAATACCTGGCTGCACCAGTCCTGCAACACTGTCTGCAGTGCCAGTGGCAGAGTCTTTGGCCTGGTCGAAGGTGGACTTCTGGGAGTCAGGAGTGATTTTCTGTTGGACCTCTGCAAGCAGGTGAGCCGGGTGTCAGGTTGCGGAGGCAGTGAGTGAACTTACGATCGGTCAAGGGCTTGCGTCCGGTGTCAGACATGATCACGGTTGGGCTGGTGGCTTGGAGTTGATATGAGGTGGATTTGCAGAGACAGAGAGATGGCTTGACGAGTGAGTGTGGTGCTTGAACTAGACTACCTGTAGTGTTGATGGTGGTGGTAAAGAGGAGAGAAGTTGGAAAGTGTTGAGATGAAGAAATAGGCAGAAGTTTAGGTTTGCTGCTTCGATTTCAAGGTTTCAACGTCTTGCAAGCAAGTAACTGGCAGGGAAGGAAGCATCCAAGGCGAGTGATGCAATCACACAAACGGGGGAAAGAACTTGACGTCATTGTAGCACGCAAGCCAGCAAAGCGGTCACATGCCTGAGCCTTGGAGCATGTGAAAAAGTCAACAGTCAACAGGCCAGCCACAACGAGGGCAGAAAGCCTCAGGGCAAGGAGGCAGGGGAGGGTGCCAGAGTTACCTAAGGGTTAAGGGTAAGAGGTAATGGCGGAGGAGGGATCCATTCGAATGAGGAAGGACTTTCACTTTCAGACCAGGCATGGGCTGGGCTTAGGCAGCCATTACCCACCTATAGTCTCGCTGCCACCTTGTTCCCTTTCAATGCGGTTATTGCCTCCATCGCTCCCCTTTCCCCAGTCCTCACAGCCCCTTCCATGTACCCCCGCCAAACAGTGCTTAACTCGGTGCCCACAAAATGCAGATTGCCCACTGGCGCACACAGCGCCTCCCAGCCATCGGCCAACACCCCTGGCGGCATGGTGGGACATGGACACCCCCAGCCCGAGTATTCCTCCTCCATCCAGGGCGATTCGTGCGCCTCGATGAACAAAGGCGCAATGTCTTGACCATCGGCGAAGATGTCACTGATCTGCTTCAACACAGAAGACCTCTTGGCCTCCGCGTCCTGCGCCGCCCATTTCCGCCCGAACTGTCCCCCAAGAAAGCATGTGAGGCAGTAACTTTGCTCCCCGAGGCTGGTGTCGCGGAAAACGGAAACAGGACCAGTAAATGACTGCGCCAGCCCGCAAAGGCTCTTCTCCGTCCAGAACGGCCTGCTGAAAGTGATGATATATTTCGTGTAGAAGCCATAACGGGTGCGATTGACCACAGCAGTCTTGGACGGTGGCAGAGGGGGTTCGAAGCTGATAGTCTTGTACACTGGCGTGGGGATGGAGATGATGACTTTGCGAGCGTGATATGTTTTCGGGGAGCGGCCTATGGTGCTCACAGAGACCATACCGTCGGAATCTTGAGAAATGCTCGCGACCGGGCTACACAGTTTGACAGACCCGGGTCGTAGTTTTCGCGCCAGGCCCTCCGGAAACGCCGACATCCCCTGACGGATGCGAAGATACTGCCCGCCATCCTTCTGGTCGGAGCGCATCGTCATCAACCCACCTCCTGCGGCACAGTATTCGATGAAATACAATGCCGAGATCTCGGACGGATCCATACCCAGCATGGCATGAGTCCAAACCTGGGCGGTCGCAAACGCCTTTTCCGTCACTTTCGCATTCCGCAGATATGTCTCGAATGACATGCTGTCCAGCTGCTGGCGATGCCGGCCGGCTGAGAGGATGGACGATGATTGTGTCGTGGAGAGCCTTTCAACCTCGTCGCGAATGGAAACGCAAGAGCTTGTATCTTCCGCCGAAGGATACTAAGCGGGATTGTCAACTCACCACGATGCAGGGAGGTGTTTGTATAGACATTGGCAGTCAACGAGGGGCCCTGGACTGACCTTGGGCGCATCGCCATAGGGGAACTTGATCAAACTCCCGTCGAAATCCTGCACCACCACATCGCCTTTCGTGTTCTGCACGAACGTTTCCAATCCCAAGATCTTGGCCAACGACCACATCTGGTTCTGATTGCTGTCGTTGATCCATGCCGCTCCCAAGTCTGACTTGACCGCCCCCGTCTCTGGGGAGCGCAGCGTGAAGACCTTGCCGCCCACCCGGTCGCGGGCTTCAAGAACGACGTACGAAAGACCGGCGGCGTGGAGCGTCAATGCCGCTTGAAGACCCGATAATCCGGCCCCGACTACGAGTACATCGTATGTTGGAGACATAGCGGCGACGGTGTCTGCAGTTCCTCCTGGATAGCCTACCACCGAGGACAATCTGCGTGGTGCCTTGTGCTGATTTATATCCAGGTTCCATTTGATCAAGCTGCTGGTGGGAGGCAGAGTCAATCAGTGGAGGGAGTTGGTCGCCGTTCTCCGCCTCGGAACTCGGAGAATTGAGCTTCATCTGTCCAAGATCGTTTCCGAGCGTCCATGCTCTGTTTCAGATCTCTAAATAAGGCAGGTGCCCTCCATGAGTCGTTCTCTTAGGACAAGGACAGTTGAAATGCCGCTTAGAGAGGTGGTGATGGTGATAGTAATAGTGCAGAAGAAATTCCCGGATGCTTGGTGAGGCCCAGGCCTGCACCAACGCAGTCATCCATTTCAATTTCAGGCTCCGGGTTCCATCGTCAACAATAACAGTCGTTGTATGTATGCCTATAGTGTTGGCACTTTGACTGCGACATTGCATAAGATAGAGAGAGGAGCGCATAACAAAGACAACATGAACATTGAATACGTCTTTGAGCCCGAACCACCTTCTGGCGCCCCTTTCTTTGAATACCACGTGACCATCACGTGATCTAGACCGTGCTTCGTAATCTGTGGGCCTGATGCTCGATACTTGATGCCTGCGCCGCCAGCAAATCGTCAGCAATAGGCGGCCCTCCCGCTGTCTCTCATCTCCATCTCCATCTCCATCTGCGTCTGTCTCTACTCTTCCTCTTCCTATTCGATACCCTTCTATCGCATCTCCAGAACCATGGTTCTTCAGTCCCCCCACAGTCCACATCGAAACCTCCGATGTCGTTGTACAGGATGTCATGGCCACTTGAGCCGCCGAGTCGGTGCAGAACCACCTCACGCAACATTGCATCGAGGGTCATTCCTGCTGCAGCTAGTCCTGTCATACACGCCCTACCTGCATTGGCACGACGCAAGCTCTGCGGGCTAAACGTACACCGAACGCACTCTCCACCGTGTCCTGCGTCCTCTTACAACCCACAAGCGGTTTGATTCCGGCGATGGCCACAACCTGACTAGAAGTACCAGTAGAACAGAGGGAAACATCAAATACCTCCAGTGCTACACGGACCCAACTGCATTTGAGAAGGGCCCTGAGGCATCCATCTCCAACTGGCTGATGCACCCCCGGCTAGACTAGAAATGCCTCCAACACCTTCTTGCTATTACACATAATTGGCAACGGCTAATCCTGGCTTTCGCTACGCGATGAGGGCCTATCCTTGCCATTCGCTTGTTTCCGCAATGGATGTCTCTGCGGTTCCGGTCAAACCGCAGCCACCACCACCCCCGTCTAAACCCGTTTTAAGCTGAGCGAAGCTACCCCTTCCAGTCGACTATTGTCGCTGGCAAGAAGATAGGCTTGAACCTGGACCCTCGCTTTTCCTCTGTGTGCCAGTGGTAGGTACTTGGATGTCGATCGCTACCGCCTGCGGGGCTGTGAACGTTGAATATATCACCACTATTGCACCATTATTACCAGCTCCTTTTCCCCGTCGAGTCTAGCCGACTCGAACACGTTGATGATGGTTTCCTTTCTCCATAAAACACCGAGCGATCACATCCCTGGTCCCTTGTGCCATTTCACCCTGTCCTCTGCCCACCATTCTTAACCCGAGGTTGTGGGAGAGTACTCCAGTTCGATCTCTCCTGCAGCGGCTTTCATCTTCTCGTCGTCAAGGGATCTTTGTGTGACAATTCTCTGCTCAAGACCTCTCTATTAACCGTTTCTCCCTTCTACCTCCATCATGGGAAGAGAAGACGTCGAGTTTAAAACCTCTGATCGAGTCACCCTCAGGGGCTGGTTTTATACCAGTGAATTATCCTCAGGCAAATCTCCTTGCTTGGTCTTGTCCCATGGCTTCTCCGCCCTTAAAGAGATGGACCTCAACACGTTCGCCGAATATTTTGTCTCCAAACTCCCCATCACCTGTCTGGTCTATGACAACCGAGGATTCGGCGACAGTGATCAGGCCGAAGGCGAACCGAGGAGTGAAATTGTCCCCATTACTCAATGCAGTGATATCTCCGACGCCATCACCTATGCGGCAACAAGGCCAGAGGTCAACCCTGACAAGATCGGGATCTGGGGTTCGTCTTACAGTGGCGGTCACGTCCTGTATGTTGGCGCCGTGGACAGAAGAGTCAAGGCTGTCCTGAGTCAGGTTCCGTTGGTGAGTGGTTGGGATAATTTCAGTCGGCTTGTCCGTCCAGACTTTGCCGTTGGATTCAACGGCGCGTTTGCCGCAGGTATACTCGAACCTCTACACCGTCGTGCGCCACTTCGATGCTAACCTCCTCCAGACAGAATTGCCAGAGCAGAGGGCAAAGAACCCGGGGTGGTGCCTGTTGTTGATGCTGATCCCTTGAAACCGTCTGCTCTGCCAACTCCAGATAGCTATGAATTTTTCTCGTCCTGGGAGAAGAAATCGAACTGGAAGAACACCGTTACTCTCAAGTCGTAGGTCTGACCCTGTTTCTATTTCTTCTGCATCTCTGCTGAACCCATCATTCAGGATCGAACTTTTCCGTGCTTATGAGCCACAACAACTGATCGAAAAGATCTCACCGACCCCACTTCTCTTGACGGTTGGCAGGGGAGATGTGCTGACACCTGCTGACTTGGCACTGGGAGCATATGCCCGCGCGAAGGAACCCAAACAGCTGCAGTTGTTACCTGGTGGGCACTTCGAAGCATATTCGGGCCCTCTCTTTGAGAGGAATGCGAGCACACAGGCCGAGTTTTTGAAAAAGTGGTTGGTGGAGAATTGAGGTTGGAGAGTCTCTGTAAGCGATGAGATAGGATAGCATTGTTTCATGACCTCGGCATTCGACTACGTAAGATGCAACTTGAATAGCCTTCCGTCCAGGCGAAGTACCTACCTACCTACCTGTAGTCCGATTTGCACAGAGGCCACGTTCTTTCGCAGCAGAGAGAACTTGGCGAGCTCAGCCTCGCTCAGCCTGATCATTGCGTCATGTCCCTGAAGAGGCTTAGGCCTAATCTGAGAGGCGGCATCTTCGTCGACTGCCAGTGTCTCTGTCTTCTGTCTTCTGTCTTCTAACCCTCTGCAAATCAATCATTTCAGATGCCGCCTGCTTTTCCTCTAAGTGGCAAAGGCACTGGCATATAGACTAGACTGAGCGGCTTGCCGCAGAGGGTGAAGGATGACCGGGGCCTTGGGGGACTGTGATCTACTTGGCGATCAAAGGGCATGCTTGGCTCACAATGATGAGGTGACTCTGGGCGTCAACGGTGTCCCTTCTTCTCTTTCAGAGCCCACAGTGCTCGAGGGCCGAAGTGGGCTGAATGTTGAGAAAATCAATGAGCCACTGCAGAACTCCTTGTCCGGAACTGCACAAGGTCCGATCAAATGGATACCAGCTGCTAGCAAACCCACCGCCACCATTGCCCTCCCGAGGCGGACGAAGAAACCCGCGAGCATCAGAACGGACACCGCCTCTTCAGACGAGGAGCCTCTGGTTGATACGACTGCCGCATTGGCCTTGCACTCCAAGAAAACCGCTCGCTTGCAACGGAGACATCAGAAGAAGCAGTCGGCGCGGAAAGTCCACTCGGACATTCAGTCGCTGCTTGACTTTCCATCGGAGTTGCTGTTGCTGATGCTCAGTTTCTTACAGCCCAGCGACATATACAGCCTCCTCCGTCTCAACCGCTCTATGCGAAGATTCATTCTGGACAACGAGACTGCCATTGCCGACAGCATCATGTACCGCCGCTACTGGGTCCTACGTCAATGCTTCCCACTGCCCGTGATGCTGGACAGAGTCTCCGATGCCGCCCGTCCAGCGCTCCTGAGCCAGCAGTGGCAAGACCGTCTGAAGATACACAAGAATCCCTACCAGCATATCAAGCAAATCGACCCCTCATTCGTCTGTACCTGCATGAGCTGTGTCCTGGCCTGGAACAATCTGTGCATCATCCTTGACCTTGCGCACTGGCAGCCAAACTTCGACAATCGCGAACCTCTTCCCATTATCCCTCGCGGTCGGAACCCCGAGTGGAATGTTCAGTTACTGGAGAAAAACGCTCAAATTGTCACGAAGGCCATGCAGAGCTCGCTTACACACGCGCGTATACTCCAAAAACACCTCGCCGTCACTACACGCACGATTCTGCGCTCGGGGAGATGGCGGAGGAAGGGTGACAAGACAACGCCGGCGCCGTCTCAAAGACCGCGCCTCTACCACCTCACGGACGAGGAGGCCGCGGCGGGGACGGATGAATTTCTCGAGCGAAGTGGACCACCCAGCTACCAGCCAATCTATATGCGTGACAACTACTACAGTGTCGAAGCGTTTGTCCCCAATCGCAAATGGGATCGGGATGAACAGCGGTGGCAGTATTATTCGAAATGGCCGAAGCCGCATGAAAATGATCTCGCCTGGCTCGTGGCAAGGTTTACGCCGTCAGAGTGAATATATCTAGAACTTTAGAAAGACATTCACCTGATAGAGCTGGAGATCTCCCTGGATACTATCAACACTTGCATAAATGTCATGAGAACCTCGCAGTATGTAGGTGCCTGGTACTTTTCCGCACATCGAGATAGCAGGCCTACTCCCTACTACAACTACAACAAACTTGTACTGTCGTCTGCGCGAGCACTTGAATCTCCCGCTTCAATAGTTCTATGTTGCTGTTGTACCTCTATGTATTATCCACTTCATTGCGCTCCCCCGTCTGCCGATCGATGCCTTGGTTTATGGATGTTCGAAGATCGTCCAACCAAACATCCACACCTTCTCCTTCGTAACATCAAGTCGTTTGCATTCGGGAGGGTGATAATCCCTTCTATTCATTGCATTCCCACCATGCTGGTATTCAAAATCTTTGCCAAAAACCAAATCAAATTGCGCACTTCTGCTCGATGCTCTTTATAACCAAGCTCTCGAAACAGACGCGGTGATATCACTTTGTAAAAATCACAATATCGCAGACGACACATCCCACCATTATATCCGCACATCATATAAAGAAACCTCGACCAGTTCGAAGTTGCCAAATCCTGTTGTCTCTTCTCCTTTCTGCACCCGTCCGAGGTCTTTGGTGTAAGTTGAGGGATGAAAGGTTCATTGTATCGCATGGTCATCAAGTCGTATAATTGGAGAGCTGGGGATATCAAACGAGGAGGAAAGTCGACATACTCTATACGCACCGCCGGAAAAGGAAAGGGCGAATAGCGCGTGCCCATGAGGATTCAGGTGCCGAACGGTACCATATTGGCTAAAAGCCCAGTTTGCAAACATCACAAACTCATCGTCAGCCATTCCCATTCTTGGCTGTTGCCGTGTGGTCCTCCGGGCACGTTTTGAACGCCCGAATTCAGCAAACTACCTTGCATCACAGAAGCCATGGTGGTGGCTCCAACGGTAGAGGAGATGCTGGCCGCCTTGGCCCGAGTGACCGGAGCCTGACTCATCTTTGGGGTAGACTGACCAACGTCTTGCATCTCAGTTTCGTTGGGTGACGCAGAATTTCCAGTCATGATAGGCAGTGTGGCCGTAGAGGCCCGAGACTGCCTCCGTTGACGTTTCGGTGTTACCTGCACAGGTCGGGCCATATTAGGACCCGGTGGCACAGGTGGCTTGGGGGGTGCAGCAGCAATGGGGACCACTCCCGGTTTCCCTCCAGTAGTTCCAGGCGGGTAGATTGATGGCGGGGTCATAGCAGACCCAGAATGGACAGAGCCTTGGACCGAGGCTGGAGACGCTGAATTTTGCTCACTTGCCGCAATGCCCGACGTGGGCGTTGTCGCTGGTGTCTGCTGGACCGAGTTCTTGCGAGATGCTTTCTTGGAGGCTCTCGTCGCGGCGGAACTCATGGGCATTGTATTCCCGCTGCCTCGATTACGCTTCTTGATCACATCCGTTTTCAGGGACAGGGGACGAACCACACCATGTAATTTGAGGAATAAACCACAGGCGTTGCAGAGCGGGTGGCCTTCTGGGTTACGACGCCACAATGGTGTGGTTTGCGTGAAACAATTGGTGCACGTTGTCGGCACACCATTCTGGTCGGTGTTCTTGGGCCCAGGACTGCTGGGCCTTGATGGCTGTTGACTGCTGAAACCAGATTCATCAGGAGAATTGGTGCTCGACTGCATTTGATGGTTGGATAACACAGGCGTGGACGTCGTCCTTGGGATCTTCTGTCTCCTTGGGTCCTGGTCCCGATTTCGAATCTCGCTGATTGAGGCTGCTGAGCCGTGGGTCCGACTCAGCATCGAGGAGCCCCAATCAGGCGGCGAGTTGACCATCTCCGCCCCGCCAATTCTAACCTGTTTGCCACCACCGTAACGCGGCATGCTGCCAAAGTCCGTGGCATTCGGATCCCATTGCAGACCGGAGTTGAGGTCTAATGTCGGGTCACCCAGGTGTCCGTAATCTGACTGCATCATCAGATTGCGCTCCCCAAAGTTGCCCTCGTCATCTTCTTGATCCGAATCGGCTCCAAAATGAAACATGTTATCGTTTCCAGCCATGGACACCCCAGGCGAAACCCGGTTACCGTATTCCGGGACCAGGACGTTGGAAGGATCAACGTGTTGCTGCATTGAGAATCCGCTCATTGCAGGGGCTGATCCAACACCATTCATGGCAGTGTATATCTGCTCATTGTTGGGTCCATATGAAAATTGGGAAGCCATGGGAGCCATCAGATGATTAGGCCTTTGTGATGGGTAAAATGGCATCGCTCGTGGATGACTGGCGTGATCAAAGTAGTACTGGGTAGGGTCATTTTCTTGGCCGGGTTGGGGTGTAGAGACAGCCGAAGCATAGCCAGACTGGGGCGGGGAGTAGAAATCCGTCGAGTTCAATGAAGAAGCCATGGAGGATTGGGGATACATGTTTGAAAAAGGACCATTGGTCACCATTGGCGAGGCGGCAGGAGAGAAGGCCAAGTTTTGTTGGAATGGCCCAGCTGGGGTAAGTATGGGATCATCGCTGAGGTGAACAGAGTCAAGGTGCATGGCCATTTGCCCCTGAAAATTGGCCTGACTACCATATTGGGAGGAGTTCTGTTGATCGAGGGCGTAGTCAGGAACAGCATGATCCATCTCCGAGTTGTTGGCGCCGTTGGGGGCAATCAATGGAGGTACCTGAGGAGAAAACTCAGCCGGTCGCTTTCGATTCTGGTGGCACATTAGCAAGGGTCTTTCTGAACAAAGACACAGACACTCACTCCTCTCCTTTCGTCAATGCTAGTCTTGCGGACTCTTTTCGGGACATAGTCGAATTCTGATGACCGGTTTATGGGAATTGATGTTTGGGGCATAGAGGCGGGTGGTAGTCCCTGCGGGATGTGGACTTGTGGCTTGTTGCGTGCAGCAATGGGAATCCCAGCAGACTGGAACAGCTTCGATTGATCTTGGGCTTCAGATGGGGCGGGCGAGGTTATCCCGGTGGGCGAAGCAACCGAACTTGGAATGATGAAGTCGTCGAGGTTCATGGGATCCGAGAGATGCTCCAGTTCATGTTGATCGAACTGCCCCAGTTGATCGACGCCATGGTCGACTGAGTTTCGTAGTTGCTGAGCAATTCCACTAGGAGCGGACGTACGAGCAGTGGTGCTGGGTTGGGATTGCTTTGCACTAAAGAAAGTATCAGTACCGGCGGGGCGATGGTCGCTGCCGGAATGGGTGTTGTTGGCATACGTTGCTTGCATTTGCTCGCGACGACGAAGGTTCATAGCCATCATTCGCCAGGTCAGATTCTCCATGCGCTCCTGATTTGGCAGACGGGACTTTGTCCGGCTGTAGAGCTTCCATATTTGAGTGCCTAATGGATCCTTCTTTTGCAGCTCTTCAGGGCTCTCGAAGTCGGAGGAACGGGCGTCGGTCTTCCATTCCGGGAAGGCGATGTCCCGTAACAGCGACTCATCGCGAGGAAAGGCTTGGGAAGTGGAGAGATCCAGGTTGGAAGCTGTGAACTTGTCCGAGTCAGAGACGTTGAAGTGGAAGGCGGCGGTTGAGAAGTTGGTGGGTGAAAGGTTGGCTGAGGAGGTATTGCCAGTCAGAGCTCCGCCCAAACTGGACCAAGTCGAGGAATCGGTGTCGTCGAGACTCGAGGAGGGCGGAGGCGCAGGGAAGTGAAAGTGGTCGGCGTCGGAGTGGACGGCGGAAGGTGCACGAGAAGCTGCAGTTCCCCCACGTTCTTCATAATCCGCACTCGACATTACCGGGGTCGATAGGAGTCGTCGCGTGCAGCAGGTTGAATAGCAACGGCAATGGCGTTAATATCATCAGCCGTAGAGTCGAAGAACCACGAAATAGTAATGTAGGTGTGAGTGGTCAGACAACGAGCAGAAATTAATTGGCAGTAGAGGAGGTATTTGGTCGTGGCGGCGGCAGTGTCATTACCACGAGACGAAAAAGTCGGCAGACACAAGACAGAAGTATGGGATCGGGCGTCACTAGGTGGGAGGGTGCAGGTCAAGAGAGGCACGCAACCTATGAGATGAGGGACCAGGAGGCGTCGAGAGATGGACGGACGGCATGGTCAAGGCGCAAGCAGGTGGGCATGGGTAATGCCAGTATGCGTAAGGTGTGGCCAGGGTCAAAGAGATGGTGCGAATGGCGCGCCGGCCTAGTGGAGGGGGACTGGAGCAAACTGGAGCCGGGGGGCAATCAACTTAACCATTGGGAGTAACCGAAGGTGTTTGAGCGCAAGCATTTCGGGAGTTGAGAGGGCGGACGGACGAGCTACGAGAAGAGGTTTAGGTGCGCGCGGGAGGAAAGGCTAGAAGCTGTGGGCGAGGCTTCCGGCTCGAGATGTCACCTGCAGCAGGTAAGCCGGATTCCCTCACGAGAGATGCGTGAATATCAATATGGTTGTCGGTGAAAAAGAAAAGAGGTCACGATCACTGCCAGTGGCATGTACGGAGTACGTGTAGCATTTTTGGGGGATGAGGCGAACGAGGTAACCCCGAGAAGGACGGGAGTCCATCCTAGTCAATCCCTATAGTACGTGCGTGGTGGTAGGGAGATCGAGTTCTCTCGCGACCAGGGGCATCTTCTTAGTCGCGGCGCTGGGTGGTCCTGAGCTCTCTTTCTTTTGCCGGTCACTGTTTGTATTTTTATTATTGACAATAATATCCATTATGGCCTGTACCTTCCTCTGGAATTGGCATCTTTTCCACCGCTCTGTATGGCTGGAGAGCAACTGAGGCATCGAGAGGGCCCTGAACGAGTCGTTGTCGGCATGGCACCAGTCGGTACCACCGAGAGAGCTAGGGCCCAAGCTGGAACCAGCGGGAGGCAGGACTGGGGGACGACGAGGGATTCGAGAAAGCACCGAGAGTGTGGTGTAAGTGGTGGATGCACCTGAGACGTTGGTAGAGGGTAGAGTGGAAGTCAGTGGGACGGGAGAGAAATCATTCGTCCAGAGGCGTCGACTCGACTGCGCTGATGGGGAGCAAGCAGCATGTTGGCAGATGATAGCCCAGCACCGATCCATCGTTTCTTCACCAGTGCGCCGCCCCGGCGCCCGCAGCAGAAGCAGAAATGGCATGCAGGGAACCTGACCTTCGGCGGGGCTTGACTTTGGCTCAGCAACGAGGGCTAGGGCTCATGGCAGGGCCTTAGGGGCCTAGAGGCTAGCCTCAGGCTGGCCTGACAGCATCTGGAGGGGTTGGAGGGCTCAGTTAAGCGGCCGAACCGGGGTGCTCAGGCCCATCTTTTTATGGGCCTAGATTCAGCTTCTGGTGTCTGCCACACTGGTAGTCCTGTAGCGTGGGTCAGTTCCGGCGTGGCTTCTGCACTGTCAAGCTGCTATTACTACAGCGTGTTAATATTTCATTTATTAATGGCCGACCGCGTGGAGAGGTACGTAGGATGATAGATATGACGACCTATGCGTCTCGCCAGCATCCGGTACGGCGTCCGCAACAACAAATAGTTTCTCATAATATCTACGACGCCCGCATTTCGGCCATTGGCCTTGATTGACCCCAAGGTACACAGTACATAGGCGGTACTTTACCGATTTCCATCGGGTGGAAGATCAGGCGGATTAAGTGGCCACCCAAAGTGCACCACCACTCAGGCTGCGAGGGCCACTGGAGTGGCATGCATTGGGTAGACAACGTGAGGTGAGATCCGGTAAAGAGGACTTATATCCCTCAGTAGCATGACAGAAGAGAGAAGGTGACCAGGCTTGACTTCCTACACCCTTCCTCATCTGTGGTATCTTATTCCGGCCAAGCAGGAGGAGGCAAAGGAGGCTGAGTGAGGTCGAGTTGGAGGAATCGTCGCAGGATTTGGCATGTGTTGGTAGAGGAACGTATGTGCGTACCTCTTCCTTCAGACTACTAGCTCAGTAGTACACCAGCAACGACGGTCCAGAGGGAAATCCACTGCTCCACCTGGTAGCATATTGAATTGCCACGGCCAGGAGGTCCGAAGAAGACGGTTTTCGGCTACGTACTTGCCCTGGAGTTCCAGTACACAGGGAGCCTCTTGGAATGTATGGAAAGAATCACTGAAGTATGGAGGTACCTGAGGTACCTTCCCTCTGTACCAGGTTTTGTCTTGCAAGGAATAACACACCGGGCAGGTTCCGTGGGAACAGACCCTGGAACATACAGACTGCCTCTGCCTGCGCCTGCACCTGCGCCGACGCCGGGAAGGTACCGGCACCACAGGCCTAAGCGGCCCCAGGACTTGCCTGCGACGGTACTTTGTTCCCCATACAATTTGCCACGGCGTAGCGTGTACCTCTTCCCAACGCTCTCCTACACCTCGGTTCTCCATGTCCAAACTACGGATACCCAGGCCATGGCCACTCTAGAGTCTAGACATTAGCCTCCTCACCCTCACATCAAGACCGTCGACCATCCTTCACAGCCTAGAGCGATTGAGGAAAACAAACAAACAAAGCAAGGCGAGCAATTGCCCCCTCGAAGGCCACCCACACGACGACCTCTCCCCGGCCGTTCATCCTCCCACAAATATTACGTTCATCCCTGCTCCGTACTGAACACCCCGGTACCTAACCGACCACCTCGTTAAAATAGCACTACCAGCACTGTGGTGAACAATGCACCCCCTGGTCACAATTAGCCAATTACTGCAGGGGGACGTCAAAGCAGCGAACTGCATGGCGCCCATTGCAACCCTGTCGATTCCATCGTCTCCAGCCAACCATGAATCAGTCATCCCACTTCTGACCCATGGGATTGACGTGCAGTTCAAAGGTCAAACCACAGCCCGGGAATCGATACGGGAGACACTTCCCACAGAACCCTTGTCTGCGCGGATCAGAAGCACATCACAGTGGCACAGAGGCACAGAGGCACAGAGGACGTCATGCAATGCTGATCCTACAGTTGAACTTTTTCTCTCTCTTTCCCTTCCTATGTGGAGGATGAGCTGGATCTCCAAATAGCAGCACACAGGGCCCAGATGGCAGTCCAGAGTTCAATTGAACCCTGACACAAATAGTCAGTGGGCCTCTCTGTTCGCCTGCATGGCGGCGTAAGATCGTCGAGAGGCATGTGCTTCATCTCACTTGGCTGTCCATTCATCTCACGCGGTTCCGACATATTGCCTTCGGTACATCTCCGTCGGCATGCCATGCCCGCAAAAATTCCACTTCCAGGGAGGTTCAAAGCACATGGCGTTGCCACCGTCCGCCCTACTGTTTTCCCTTCTAGACTCCGAGAATAATTTGGCGGAAATGAGCCGCCAATGGCCACTCCTCCGAATACACCCGGCTACTGCTGACTTACTCGTATCAGTCTGGCAGTCACCAATAGCCCCCTCACCTACGGATCGATTCACCCACTGACCCCGAAATAGGCTGGCTCTTCTAGCGCGGGGTTACTGTCTCCCTTGCGCGAGCTACTGTTAATATGCCACTTTCGTCCGCCAGTGGCATGCTTTCTGCTGGAAAAAGGAGGCCTTGAAAATTGTGCTGGAGGCGTCAAAACCGCCTTTTTGCAAAGGTAAGCTAAACCAGAGTTTAGTCGCAGAAACTGCATTTGGCGCAACGTCACAACTCGAGGGTTCGTGGGCTTTCGCTGGAATATCCCCGAGCCTCGAGGGTCCTGGCTCACCGCAGCTACCCTTGACCTGTAAGCGGCCGATGCGTCTCGCACGGATGGTCCAAAATCGAAGGCCCCGGAGTGGACCACGGCCGCGGCGTCTAACCCAACTGAAGACCCCCCCAACGTCTGTAGATCTGGAAGAAGACCTAATTACCCACGGAGTTTCGAGTCCACAAGTCAGCACTGAACGCAATCATCAGTAGCCGATCTCATCCGTCATACCGCCATTGACGGCTGCAAGTTTGAGAGGCATTCACATCATACTTTTGGAGATCCTTGATGAACTTCAGGACCATTGATGCCGTGAAACCTGAAATCTGCTGGATCAACCTACTAGCAGACGTCTGATAGGCGTTATGGCTGCACCCCACGAGATCGTGGATGGTTGACGGATACTCTGTAGGTGGTTTTCTTGCACGCTTTCGATTGTTCACGAATTGTCGATCAAGTGAATCTGGATTGACGTTCTGCGTCTCTGTTACCCAATCCGGCGCTGAGACCTATGGGAAATTTACACATTTTGTGTTCGAGCTAGCCATGGTGGCTGAACGATGATAATGAAAGCTTTGCCGTCTCAACTGGGGTGGAAACCCCAAAGCCAACCCCTAATCATCTGGTAGCCGTCGCTCTAGATGAATGTATCTCACTTCATCGTGAATAGAAACAAGTAGTCGAAACTCCACATCAAGCGTTGACAGGTAGACGAAGGACCAGTCGAAAAGCATCTGGTTTCTTCATCTCACCTATCGATACCGGAGACTGTGTGACAGCGGCTGAAACATTCAGTTCCTCCGGACCTACGACATGCGACACATCCTGCAGGCTCTAAGGCTGATATCTGATCTGGCTTCGTTCTTCGCATGCTTGCGGTGCAACAATGGCGACCTGTCTTCCTGTCAATATCGACAATGGGGCCTCCAACGCGCACTGTTGTTGAGCTCAGCGATGGGGAGGCTGATCGTTCTCTGAAACAAGTCTTGTCGCTCAACATTGTTGGGAAACTGGTGTCGAAACAAGCCCATCGAGCTGGCCCTTGAGCAACGGATTGCAAGACAACAGATCACCGTAAATGCCGTCGAAACCACTCGCTCGCGAAGTGATCCTCATTACCTACCTATGCTTAAGGTCCACATTGCCCCTGTGGCGTCTGTCGGGCACGCGACTATCATTCTCAACACTGATCCCCACTGGTAGGCAGGAAGAAGAAGCAATCACAAACAGCTCAGATTGCGCGTGGCGTCCGGCAAGGAGTCAGAAGCGGTAGTTGGAGCGAGGGCCGTTTGTTCTTCAGCAATTGCAGAGGGAGACAACTGTTTGGCCCACGAGTCATCAACGTCGGCTCAGTCGTGCAGCAGTGGTGGCAGCGGCAGCATCGACACCGTAACCATCGTCGGTCTCGGTGGCAGGCAAGTGAGGACTTGCTCAGTCCCTGACTCGACCATCTAGTTTGCAGGGGGCTGACGCATGGAACAATTGGACGAGGCATGATTGGTGAAGGGTGGACCCCCAAGGCCTGTAGCTGCGTTTGTTAGCTGCGTGACCCGCCACGCAGTAACTCTGTGGCTTTGAGGTGGATTATCGAGCACTCCCACCACCTGTGGTCAGTCCTGCATTTCCGTCATCGAGCGCAGAGGCTACTCCGTAGACGGGCAAGGATACTCAACGGAGGGGTTCAGCCTGATGTGCCGTGTTCAACTAAATTGGGGGTGGATCAAAGGAGTGGTTTCGGCCGCGTGCATTCTGACGTATTCTCAAGGACGAGTCGTAAGCGATGCCCCTGTTCAATTTGTGAGTTGGCTCATCAAGTCAGTCATCCTTACCAGCATTGCCAACAAGGGGTACGGTCCGAGGAGCAAAGGGTTGCGAAGAGCAGAGTGGGTGAAGTGATACAGAGGTGGCACCCCCACGCTACTCAGTAGTGCATGCTTGGTGGCTGGACTTGGACTGCGCACTTCTTTCTTCAAGCTGCTGCTTGCCTCCCTAGTGCACCAAGCTAAAAGTTGATGTTCGCTTGCAGGGTGTACTCCGTACTCCGTAGGATGCGCAGGATGCGCAGGATGGGAGGCGCAGGATGCGGGCTGGAACAAGTAGTCGTTGGTAGGGGTTGGTTGTAGGTGACCAGATCATGGCTCGACGCCCGACCTCAGTTCGTCATGAACGATTGATTAATCAAAGTCTCGTCAAGGAGAGACCGGGGGGTGAGGGGTGAGGTGTGGGAAAACCATCGGAAGCAAGTCCGCTCCCAAGACGGCTCCCCCAAGTCGAAGAAGAAAAAGCAAGGAGACAATCCTGGCGCGCCCTGTCCCTTGTGTCCCTGGCCCTTGTTCCTCCTCTTTGCGAATTTGTTTTTGTCAATGAATCTTGCTCGGGACGCCGCTGATGTGTACGGTGTCGGTGCTAAAGCGACCAGCTGTCTCATGCTTCTGATGTCTCGACCGTGGGTGAGGCATCCTGTGCTGTCGGTATGCGGCGATGTGTCCTGTAACATTGTGCGTTGGCCTTCCCCATAGTGGCGGAGCATGGGTGCGAGCTTGCTTTTTGGGAGGGAGGAAGGACCTGCGACCTGTGACCTGTGACCTGTGATTGCCGTCCAGGCAAAGGCAAGGCTTCCAGGCACGTGCACTTCGACTTGGACGGGTTTGGCCAGGCGCAAGAGAGGGCGTATGGTAGAGTACGGATGGATGTATGGAGTACAGTATGTTTCGAAGTTCTTTTCGGGCGGCTGCTCAGGCCCTTAAGTAGCAGGACTGAGCCACCAGACACCAGATACCAGGGCCCCTGAACCGTGGCAATACTGCGAGGTACGATAAGGAAAATATCCAGCTTGGTCAAAGGTCAAGGGATCGGCGAGCGAGCGATACGAGGATTCAACGGGTCAGTTTGGTAAACAAAATCAAATATATCATACTACTTGCTACCTAATCATAGTCGATATCAGATACCAGATACCAGATACCAGATACCAGATACCAGATATGAGCGATAGCAAAAGCTGGGGCTCTCGCCCCCTCCCGTATCAGCGCCTATGAGGGTTTCGATAGGCTCGTGATGGCGAGCGCAAGAGGCCTAAGGGCCCTTACAGCTCTTTTGATAAGTGGTGGTGGCCGTGCCCAAGAAGTAAGCGATAACGAGCTGGTGTTTCTTTTCTTTTTCCTGCTCGGCCTTCCTTTTTGGGTTGGTCCTCAGATAAAGAAATCCGGGGCAACGAGTCCAATCTGAGATGTTTGCGTCAGTGATCTCTGTCAGCCAGCACTTGTCCAGCTCGGGTTCTTTCTTCCTTTTGGCAAACTGTCACCCCGATCTACTATGGCCAGGAACAGTTCGTCCACCCAGGCCGGGCGAGGGCTGGTGAACGAGACGGAATCAGGAGTGAAGGAAGGCAGTGTCGTCTGATTATCGACTGTGGTAATGGTACAGTTGCATAATTGCATTTCCATCTCGGCGATGTTTCTTCTTCTGTCCTCTTATCTCGGAGATCTTGGTGGGAGAGCCGTGCCCAATTTGGATCGTACAGTATCTGTACTAGTAGGTCGGACAATCACGGGCTCTGAGATAACAAGATCCGACGAGGGAACTGCAAATATGCCTGCTCAACGTATCTGTTCGACTTCATGCTTGGACACGCCGACTACACTTCTCCGGTCAGGTCGTCCTGTTCATGGCTCTGATCATCGGGTATTGGTGCATGATTAAGACTTGACTTGGGCACCTCCTATCGGTGCGTGACCGCGCCGATCTTCCCCGTTCTTTGGATCACACAGCAGATGTAGTTCGGGTCGGGAAAGATGATGATCTCTTGGTGCTTGATCCGCAGCCTCAATAGCTGCACGTCATCCTCGCCTCGTGTCTGGTCCGACTCTTCTTCGTTCCCGGCATCTTGTTTGGACCCCGTCGTATCGTCGCTGTGACCTGAGCCGCCATGTGGCCCCTCAGACCCGGTTGTGCCGCGCGATACTGTTCCGAGCGTCACACCCAGCGCGTCGGCGTTGGTGACGAATTGGAAAATTGAGGAGGCCAGCAGCTCAACGGGCTGGGGCGGCTTCTCTTGTGCGGTCTCTGTGGCCTCAGCTGCTCCTTGTGTAACGTCGCTTCCACCCTCGACCGGAGTTGGTGCCGCCTGCTGCGTCTGCGTGTATTTGGTATATGAAATTCCTGTAGCAGGCGTAGACGCGGTCGGCATCTTTGAAGCCGCGACCCCCGTGGCTGCGATAATGGATCCATCTCTTCTCGACAATATCAGCGTAGACTGGACGTTGGGTCTCTCCGTGAGACCTCGTAGCATCGCATCGATGGAGGGTCCATTCAGCCTCTGCACACGTTAGCCGCATTGCTTGCCTGGGGGAGGGTTTCTGAGGGAGACGTACGCTCTCTGTCTGCACCATCTTGGCGATGTTCTCCTCCAGCTAGTAGTGGGCTCGTTCAGTAGTAAGAGTGTGTCGCATACTCATACTGCAAGTCAGGTCGTAAGGTTTTCGGCAGGACTCGGTTGACCTGAGAGGAGTGGGTTGGACAGGTTGGGACACAAACGCGCAGGACGCGTCGGGCAACAAGCTAAGAATGGGACACCAGATCTAGGGACGGTCAGAGATCTGATCTCAAGATCTTCGATCGAGACACTAACCAAGGATCCAGTCAAGCAACGTCCAACATGGAGTGGTGGTGGCGGCGAGGCTGTGCGGTCTGCGAGTTTTCATTACCCACGCAAAAACGAGGCTCCGCCGATTCGCAATCCGGGACAGAAATTGAGAATGAGAATGGCCGCCGGATTGGGAAAGGCGGCGGTCCCCGGCTCGGCCCGCTGCCCGGCTCCAAAGCTTAGTGGTCGAGCCTGAGCACCGCAGTTCAGAAAAAAATGACTTGCGTTTCCACGTCGTCGCTCCAGAATCACCCTCTGTGCTTACACCTCCACTCCACACGATCTTCCCCCTCCCCTACTCTGGTCTGTTGGGTTGTCAAGATGGGATCGAGTGCGAAGAAGAAGAGGGAGAAGAAGAAAGATTTCCAGGTCCGTAGCGCGCCTCGACCTCAACCTCCATTTTGCACTGGCCCTGCTGACGCCTCGACAGAAACAGAAACTCAAGGTGGGCAAGGCCAGGCCCAAGGCCGACAACCACACCGATACTAGCTTTCGCTCCAAAGGTAAGGTACCCTTTACCCTGACCCTACCTAGCTTTGGCTCTTCCGGCCCAACACCCCTTGATGTCGTGCTGACCGTCGCACAAAGCCATCGTTCTGAACCAGCAACTGGATGTCAATGCTCCATCGCAAACGGCCACCTTCCTTCACCACGTCTCACTGCTCAGTTCCCGCTCCGACTCTCAAAGGCGGGATTCGCTGGCTTACTTGACGTCTCATGTCGCATCAACTCCTAAAGGAAATGCGCTGCCCATAACGACGAACGCTCTGCTCGGCAGTCTCTGTCCTCTGATCCTCGACGGCTCTGCCGGGGTTCGAAACCAACTGCTAAAGCTGCTTCAGACACTTCCAAATGAAGGCATCCGCGACCATGTCACCAAAATGCTGCCCTACATGCGTGCCGGCATGACACATCTGTCGCGAGATATCCGAGCCACAGCGATAGACTTCTTATCGTTTCTGATCAAAGTCGCCGGACCCGAGCTGGTCTCCAGTCCCGGAGGCTGGTACCAGACATTGGAGTGCTTCACTACCGTTCTCGGCTGGAGATCCGCCGATGCGAGCAAGTGGTCGTCCAACAAAGCGTCGTTTGGAGGAGATGCCAAATCGACTGCGCGCATTATGCAAGTTCTTGCCGAGTTTTTGCAAGCAGGACTTGCGGGCGACGAGGCCGCAGACTCCCGCGTGGGCCCTCTGGCCGCCGATTATCCTTTGTGGTTCACCAGCTCACTTTTGACTCCTGTCAAGTCCAATGCTTACGCCTACTTGAATCTCTTCGGCCAGCAAACGGAGGACGAAAATCAAATCCTTGATGATCGAGAGGACAGGTTACGGGTCTTTGTAACCCATTTCCAGCCGCGTATCTTGGCCGGCGCCGATGCTGCGAAGCAGGAAGGCGGTGAATTAGGACGTGCTTCAGGCCTACTCGCCAGAACCCTTGATCGCACGCAGAATGCAGACACCGCTGGAGATCACAGGCGTCGCATTTCCCTGCCTGTGTCGAACCGGCCAAGGAACTCCAGCTCAAGCCCATAGGGGATGACTAGAACCTCCGAAGGAAACAGCAACAGGGAAACCTTCTTTACAGAAAGACCACCAGTGAAGAGAATCACCGAGGAGTGCTGCTTGTCGTGGGAAACTTGCCCAACAAAACTCGCGACCGTCCTTACGCTATGGTTCGGGATTGAAGCATAACCAGCTCGAGGCTTATGGGGCCACTACGTCGCCAGTACTCATGATATAAACCTTGACCCCAACCACTGTCAGTCCGAAGGTGCAAACTCGTATTCAGCTGCGACGGTTCGGCTGCCCGAGCCTGCCGTATACAAACACCGTCGATCTGGCCGAACCAGGTCATCTCCAGACACGCATTTCTACGATCTGTTCTCAAAGAGTGATGCATCCACACTTCGGGAGGAAGACCTGGGCAATGCGAACTCTAAGAGTGGCAGATATTGTATTTCCAGGCGGCGATTTAGCCAACTGACTAGTAATCAGCAACCAGCACACATCACCGGCCATCAGCCGCTTACTCCGTACAGTCTGTACACCTCGATCTCCCTTATCATTTCTCACCAGGCAACCTTGCCGCCAACCACTCGTCGACTTTGACAGCAGCCCACTCGTCTCGATCAAACCAACCGATGAAATTGCGATCACCGAACCCACCGATCCAATAGATCTCGCGAACGACCAGTCTCACCCACAGACCCTTGTGCGCGGCCCACTTCTTTCCAGGCAACCAGAGGACACTGTCACCGTGGGCTTTTGTGAAACATGCCGCAATGTCCTCGCTCTTGACCTCGTCGTCCGTTATCTTCTCCAAGTATCCGACCAGATTCAACCGTGGAAGGTTCGCCGCCGACCAGGGCTGGTGATGGGTGAGCTGCGCGTACTGGTCCCACCAGGACAGTGTCAGCGAGACGTTGGAGCCAGCCAGGGCGTTCTGCGTCGATGTCGACACTGTCAGGGCCAGAAGAGTTGGGTTCCCGCTCGGCTCCTCGCACGAGGCAATGTAATCCGGCAGTCCAATGGGCGTGTTGGCCACACCTGCAGGCACACGGTCTGAGGTGATGTTCTCGGGGAACACGGTGGTGAGGATGCCGGTCTTGGAGAGGCCGAGCAGACGTCGACCCAGAACGGTCGACTCGTAGCGTGAGGGGATTGTGAATGCCGAAGGGTCATCATCTTCTTCTACGGGAGCCAGCTCGTTCAGAGTTGGCGGCGGTGTCTCGAGCTCGAGCTGGAGCTGGAGCTGTAGCTCGCGGGCTTCTATCTCCAGCGTTTCAACTGGGACGCAGGCAACATGCGACCCGAGCAGCAGCACTGCCGACAGTAGCCGTCCGGCCAGACGCATCTTGTCTCAATCAAATGTAAACGTACTGAAGAATCTTCCCCCAAATCCGATTCGCTCTGCTCGAGCTGTTTCCCTGGTTTTATCTGTCCCTGAGCGAACTCCTTTTCGAGATATATTCCTGAGTCGCTTCCCTTCCCAATTCGTCTCGGTGCAGTGTATCCGTTGACTTCCACTGGCAGCGCTTTTGCACCGACCAGGCAAACTGCAAGTTGTGAATTCCTGTGCACCACTTCCGAACGCTCTCAGAGCACAACGGTTCTTGGATCGATTCGACTCGATCCGCCCGTAGGTAGATGGGTAAATGAAGTTGTTAGAGGGGTAGATATAGGCAGGTAGGTGGGTAGGTAGGTAAGTAGGTAGGTAGGTAGGTAGGTAGGTAGGTAGGTAGGCAGGCAAGTAGGTAGGTAGGTAGATTGTGTTTGTGCCGCTCTCCCACTGTCTATTAGAGGCACCACGACCCTATTGTCTGCCCGCTCGCCGAAGGTCAAGGTCAAGGTATCCAGATATCCAGATAACTAGATATCTATGATAGCTCTAGACCACCTTCCCTTTCTTGTGTCTTTTCCTTTCTTTCCTCTCAGACGGCGCCCGGTCTCAGGGTCTCGGAACCACCAAGCTCCGCGAGAACTCGTAGGGAGAGGGGCGGATTCCGGCGGGACTCGGAGCGCGAGTGATGGGTAGATAGATGGTAGATAGGTATGGAGAGGAGAGAGTAGAGCTCTAGAGCCTGGTCTCGCTCAAGCTGGTCTGGATGTAATTGTGAAGAAAGTAGAACACACCACCTAGGTATGGCATACTCGAGTAAGTACTACGTAGGTAGAGATGGAGAGGGGCCCATCTCGTGGTGATGAGCTGTAATCTTATCTGATACTCCCACTGTCCACCGTAGGTACTAACATTCAGATGCGACATCGGCCTCGGTAAGCACGCCACATCAATCATTCCATAGTCTTGTCATTGATGTCTTAGGTACGTACTACCTTCACCTAGGTATGGCTCGCCGTTATAAGCGTGGGAAATACTGGGTAGTCATACCGGTATACTGTGTATTGCTCTGATCACGCCCGACATTATTGTCCGCCGGCCACCCCTATTTTGTAATACCTTACCTAGTACTCCAGCTACGACCATTATCAAGTGTCAAGACTCGGGTCTTGACATCTGGTCATCATGTGTACGACGCCAAACACAGAAAGAACCCAGGCGGGGCACCAGACAGAAGGAACTGGAGGTAGTTTTGAAGTACTAAGTTTGAATTCAAGAAACTATACAAGGAATCTGCTAAGTAAAAAGTCCTTTCCTCAACCCTTTGGAACCCATTACTTCCAAAAGGCTGTGACTCCGCAGTTGGTTTCATGGTTTTTGACTGGTGTTCTGGTAGCACATGACTGTCTCCAGACAGTATAAGCCTTGTTAGCCTTGTTCAGAAGGACATGCTGAACAAGTTACAAGACATCATACTTGGTTGTCCACAGGAAGCTTGTGGAAGTATTGGTACCGGATAGACTGCGGTACGACAAGGACAACCTCTCGTACAAGAGCTCTCAGGCTGGAGATCACCAGGTTTATGACGCCTCTGGTCTAACGTGGAGCGGTGCTGGATCATGACTGAAAGACCATAGTAGCCTAAACTCACGACCAAGGGTCCGATCTAGAGGCTTAATGGACTCCACCAATGTCTGGCCGGGTCTGCTTGAAACCTGAAAATGTCAATTGCCTCCAAACACAACCACTAGATCGACTATCTAGGAAGCGATAATCATCGAATCCTTTAGATACTGCGATGCTAGATCTGGTGCGGAAGCAAATTGCTGGATCGAACAATATGTTGCAACACGCTTGTTGTCCAGATTATTCGGCAGCGCTCTCCTGGGTACCGCCCAACTCTTCGTTGGCAGTTGCCATTGCTTTGGTGTATTATCAAAGAAGGGCTGAAGAGAATCTTCGCTGACATCAAGATGCATACTGCCACTGCGTAGGGTTTGGTGCACTTGTGACTGAAGATTGCACTCAGTCTTTGATAATGTTCTCTTGTGGCCCCTTGGGGACTCGTTTGTATGTTGATGGTCATCCCCACCATACGTCCGGCGTCGTTGTGGCGTCGGTGTCGCGCTCTGGCTGGGCGTTTCAGATTGTGTGGATAGCGACATGAGGACGCGGACGGCGTTGACTTCAGAACTTGTCGTCGGGTAATGTTTAGATGACTTGTTTCGTAACTCCTCGCCGCTTCCATAACCGTGGTCATGGATTTGGGCCGGAATCACTGACTGAATGGCGGGATAACCTTCTCCACTGATGTGGTCGCTTGAGACGGCTGACTTGGAGTCTTCCCCTGAGATAGGTTTGCAGTATCGGTCGGATGACGAACACACTTGCGCGAGAGGAGAACTGGACAAGCCACCGCTAGCAATCCGCAGTCGCGGAACTGCCGAGGCCAAGGATGACCACGATGAATTCGAGGAAATGGATGACGACCTGGACCTTGATGTACGAACTGTAAAATCTGAGGCAACCGATGCTGGGGAGGAGGTTGAAGGAGTAGTGGACCTGCTTGGGATCTCCTGAATTGTCTCTGCAGGACGCATCAGGGATCTTACAGGTGGCAAACCAAAGCTGTTAGGTCGTGGCGGAGGGCAACGCTCCAAGTTGGCATTCGCGATGCACTGTCTTCGCATACTCCGCAGGGCGTCTACGGAAGCCGAACAACGGAGAGAAGGTGTGCTGGAATTGTTTGACCATGGACACTTGTCTGCAAGCCGGGGAGTAGTCTGTGGAGTAGGAAGATTTCGTAGCTGCGGCTGCATGGGCAAGACAGAGCTTCGCGCAGGACTCGTCTGAACCGGAGTTTGGGGAGTCTTGGTAGTCTGGGGAGTTTGACCTTTGCATTGTTCCGCGCTCCGTGGCTTCAGAGTGTCACTGAAGTTCATGTCGTAAACTTGGCCTACATGGTCTGGGCTCGACGATAGAGTATCCCAGGCCCTGCTCGGTTGCTTGGTGAAGTGCGGGAACATGATCTGATCGGTCTTGTCTTCTGGTAGATGTCTCCGCAGAAAGTCATTCACGAGCACCGGATCATTGACCATAGTAGGTTCCAGCTTCTGAATCACATCCGTCCACCATTGGTCTGAAAATATAGTCTCCTCGGCAGGATGGCCTACGTCGACTTCAGAGACCATGCTAGCCAGGATCGCGTTCGTGCCACTACCAGGATGGCGAAAATCGTAGTTTGGGGATGACCGACATCGGGATTGTGGCAGCTCTTTGGCCAATTTGCTCAGAGCCAGCACAATCTTGCTCCAGTTGTCGAAGAACTCCTTGGGGACATGCAGGTTGTAGTCAATCTTGAGAAGATATTCTCGCTCGTTCTCGTTGATCTCACTGCTGCGGAGGCCAGATATTTTACTCCAAGCCCTGGCGGAGTAATTCCTATCCTGTAGGTACTTGGAGGCTAACATGAGGGCTGACAAGAACATCCGACGCCCACATTGCATTGCACGACACTGAGATCTTGCTGAGCTCTCCCCACTAGACTGTGCACTCTGCTGTCCTCTTGCGGAGTCAGCACAAGGCAGCTTTGCCTTGAGCAAGATTAGATAATACAATGCGACCTGCAATGTCGAATAACTAGTCTTGGACCGTCGCAGAGTCTCCTGGATGAAGACGCGCAAAGGCAGTACGCCAGCGCCATTGAAGCAGGTTGACATCATAGGAGGGCAGGCCGACAGTGGCCAAATGGCAGTAATGAGTCTTGTGGCAAAAATAATGAGAAGAGACACGAACTGATCAGTGACATCAGTGTCTCTCTTGAGCTTCGGTGGGGAGAGTAGATTTTTGCCTGAGCAAGATGATCTGCGAAGAGAAAACTTCTGGATATGGTGTCCAGCGGCAGTGTCGACCATGCGAGGGTCGACGCTGGTCTCGGGACATTTTTGGGACGAGTCAGAGGCCCGTGGTCGAAGGCTGTTCGAGACATTGTGACTCAGGCAAGAGGGAAGGCTGGAGCAGGTGGACGGTTCACAGGTCTGTAGCCCCTTGAGCAAGTGCTCTGGAGGTTCAATCGATGACCGAGACCCCTGGCACGGCTTCGGCTGCTGCACGTGCTCCTTCTCGTCCTCGTCAGAGAAGACGTCGACCGGATCAGTCGCATTGGTCCATGATGTATGAGACGATGATTCAGTTGAGTATGACTCGTGCGCTGAGTCGCTGATGCTCACATTATCGTCAACAGTAGCGACACTGCTTTGGTCGGCGTCGTTGGTGAATGTAGACCGACCATGGAGCGAGGTAGAATCGGAGACTTTCTCCGTGTTGTAGAATTCACGACAGCCGGATCGGAGCCAATCCGAGACTGAATCCTGCACATTTTGGGGGCGATAGAGGTTGGAGAGGTGTACAACCTCTCTAACGCCCATCTTCTTTTGGTTGCGAGGAGACTGCGCCCCAATTTCGAAGGACTAGAGCTCCTACAAACCAGTATGATCACGTAGGTAAATAGAGATGCCGATGTAGAAAGAACCAGTGAGAATGACCTGGCAGTGCGTTAGGAAAGTCTATTTAATGTAGAGCGCAGTAGGGTCTTACCGAAGGATTGCAAGGGATTGCGCCGCAAACCCACCGCAAGTCAGAATGCAAGTTTTGACTGTTCCTGTTGTCAAGACAACTTGATCAGGACAAGCACCAGATCGATGTCCACGCGGGAGTTAAGCCGTAACTAACTCGCGCAGGGAGATATCGATATACAAATGCTCGTCAATCTCAAGATAATCCTGGTGTAGGTTTACCAAAACAGCTTGCAACTCTGGCGGTGGGCTTTGACGGACGGACGGTAGTTCTAGTATGTATGACCCTGACCACAGACTCATGGCTGGACTTGGATTTTGTTTTATGACTGTAATGGAGTGGAGAGATGGAGGTGCGAGCGAGTGCTGGGTGGCGCTGGCCGACTTTCAGGCACTCAACCGAGTTTGTTTGGGACGAATTTTGTGGTGAGACGAGTTGACAATTAGCACAGGTGAAAAGTACCGTGAAATTTGCGTGGTTCGACGGTGAAGGTGTGCCGGCACAGTGAATGGCGAGGCTTCAAGGATGGTATAGATCGGGAGTCAGCCGATTGAGGTCTGCAACTCTTGGTGACAAAAGCGGCTGTTCTCTCCAATATGGTGGCCAAATTGGTATAGGGACAAAGGTATAGGATCTGTAGGCAACCATGTTGAGTTGAGTCAGTTTCTTTGTTCGATTCATTATGAGTCCGTCTCAATGTTGTCCGTGGCGAGGTGCGCGGTCAGGAGTGCTGAGTGCTTACGGGAATAGGATTGCTGTGCAGTACAGGACTGGGTCCTTGTGTGTAGCCTTGAAGGCAGAAATGTATTCAGACAACGGCACTATAAAGTAGCCAGCAGCCTCTGCTGCGATCCATGGAGTGCTTCATCTTTGTCGCCGGTAGAAACGGACTCCGGCGCTGGTGGTGAGGTTGCAGGGTGGCTCTATGTATACGGGCTGGGCGGCGACCTCGCCACTGCACTGCGCCTGCGCCGCTCAGATCAGCGGATGACTCAAGGAGCGAAGCCAGCGAAAATCGAACGCCTCCCAAAGCCCAGAAACCATCCAATCCATCGCCCACCACCCTTCCCTCTCCAGTTGCTCCAGGGCTCCAGTGCTCCAGTTGAACATCCACCAACCCAGCCAGGCATGCAATAGTATCCAACTTTGAAAGGTGATGGCATAGTCCTCGATTAGGACATTCTATGTTCACACTAATTGACACATTCTTCCAGGCATTGATTCGGAGCATCATCGTCTCCAGCACTTACGTCTACAAAGTACGCTCTGCCTTGAAACTGCTGGGTTGCCTGTATACCTAATCCCGATTACTTCTTCCTAAACGTCTTTTGTCTCGGGCTTGCACCTATCCCGCCTGCTTTCCAGTAAAAAAAGTCTCTTGCCAGCAGGGGGACACCTGTACAACAGGAAATAGACACAGGTGACATACCATGTCCATATCTGAGTGTCGTTGAAACCGACATTATATCAGATTTCGTTGATTGCCTGGTGATCTATCACTAAACAACTCTCTCCGTTGCTCTACACCGACGGGCTTCTGATACCCGATAAATCTCAGTCTTCGCCTGACCGACCTCAAGCTTCCTCCTTACGTTGCTGGGAAGAGTTGGAGGGTGACAAAGACAAGCAGGTGTAACCAGTGTACTCCGTATATTTGCAGAGAAGCAGCACCGAGTAGCAAAAGCAAAAACCAACGAAGCACAACCAATCTTGATGTCCGACAACGCACGGCGGACCCCAAACGGACCATCTAGTCATGTCCCCGCGTAATCGTCAATCACTGGGAGCCTGATTCGCCCCCGAAGGAAGGGCACTGTTGCCGTGATGGTGGCGCTGGCTTGCTCATCGAGGAGAGGACGTGCAGGGAGGCACACAACGAGGAAGCCGGCGACCCATGACTCAAAACAGTAGACCTGATTCAGATGGCGGCAAATGAAAATCCAACCAACGCCACCTTGCCACTTTTAGGCTCTTCCCCGACAAACTCATCCACGCAAGTCGCACGGACCAGAACCAAGTATTTACGGTCCGCATCAAAGTCGTCGCAAGAGGCGTCCACAGCGTTATCTTTCGATACTGGTATCGATATCGAAATCGCTTCAATATTCGCCCTCCTATTCCGAGGCAGATGAGCGAAGTCCCGAGAGAACACACCCGGGGGCTAGTCTAGGGACTGGGCGCCCAAGGTTGCCTTGACCATGGGAGTGGTGTTGGTGGTGGAGATCACCCCGTTAAGAGCCCATTGTTGCGCCTATAGATCGGCCGTTGACTCTTGGCCGCCTCTAGATCGTGACCAGGACTTCCTACGAGCTCCGAGACTCTTGTGTGGATACAACCCAGTCTAGCCAAGCGCAGGCAGGACAAGTGGGTGGTGAGCCTCCGGCTTACGATGACTCGGAATAGGGCCGACCGGATTGAGTTCGGCGATTCTGCAAGTATCCAGCGATCGCGTAGGCAGAGATGCCCAATGTTAAGCTCCACACGCTTCGGTCGGCCTCCTCGGCGCCTTCGTCTTTGCTGATACGGGTAAGCCGGACATGTTAGAAATTCAGGCTATTGATGTACCAGGACTGTGCCAGCCCACCGAGGGAGCCATAATGATGATGGTGTTAACGACAATGGCAGCATTCCTTAATTGGCCCAGTGAGTGAGCGAAGTGATCACACCAGACTGCGAACAACTGAGTCGGGTTTCACGAGATCCTCTGGCAAGCTTCTGCCTATCCGAATACGGACATCCAATCAATACAGACACGATCACGATGTTTGGCCCTCTAGAGATGCCTAGTCAAACTCACATCACAACGACACTACACAGCGTCGGCCCGAAGAAGATTTCAAGTTTCAAGACTTGGTTGGCGTTGAATCTCCGTCAAGGCGAGCCAGTTGATCGCCCTCAGGCTGCATCAAGAGCTCCAGGAGTGCTCGCCGAAAGTTGAGCGGGTCAGCTTAAGAAACGAACCGTCTATTGCCGCTACAGCACTGCTTGGGTGTCCAACAGATACGGTGTCATGATGGAAGAAGCGCCCAAAACTACAAAAAAGTCCAGGCTGCTGTGGATAGGAGTCCTCATTATCTTCTTACGGGCGCTTTGAGTGCTGCCTAGAATGGTGAGTCACGTGGGCCCCAGCTTGTCTCATGGCCCTAGAACTATCTTCTAGGGCTTATGAGGATCTAAGGAGGTGGATAGATGGTGTGGGTGAGGAGTGTCGTCCGCATATAGTCAGAAGAGATGGATGGGGTATTATGGTGAAGTTCATCGGGTGGCTCTACGTACTAATATCAGAGTTCGTATTCGGGACAGGCGCACGACGCACACATGATGCTGGCCGAGGCCCTTCCTTGCAAGAGCAGCCTGGGGCCTGAGCCTAGGTCAGAGGACAAGACCACACGGCTAGACCTCGTCGAGGACTCCAATTAATGCAGTGATACGGATAACTTGTTTCGCTTCATCTATGGTTTCCAACGTTGCCTGGTGCGACAGCAATACCCAACGTTGATGCAGTGTCAGCTCGTCCTCGTATCGAGACCCCTGACAGGCAGCCTTGCCCACCACACCACAGAAATCTTCGATATCGACAAGACGCTCGGTACGAACCTGAGACGTCAAATCATCTGGCGAGAACCGCTTCCTCTTCGCCACTTGAGTCCTTCAACGACATTCCTCTGGCATTCCTCTGGCATTCCCCTGCATTCCCGCTGGCCAGTGTTGAGGCTCTCCACGGCTGAGTAGAATAGTAGAATAGTCTATTGCATTCGGTGGTGGCCGAGAGCGTGTCCGAAGCCATGTAGTAGTATGGAGTACGGAGTACTCTGTGCTCTATTTCAAAGCGTAAATCTTACCACTGCTGACTCTTTGAACCCAACCCTCTGCCGAAACCTCTAGTGGCTCCATCTATATCCACGTCTGTGTTTCGACTTGGAAGCCTGTGGACGCGTCGAGCGCCGTCAAAGATCCGACCGCACTGATGAGGGCCATTTTCCCTCCCATCCCGCTTACCGGAACGCGGCCACGAACCGCGATGTATCTTGGAAACCCTATGCTCGACCAGATTTTATATTCAGTCCTGGATCCCTGAGGCGTAGTATTCCGCGCGTCCCCCCTTTTCTCGCCACAACTAATTCCTCACAGCCCCTTCGGATCTCATAAATTCATCTTGGGAGCCTTTTCATAATAATGGGCCATTTCCAACCCCGCCCGCTTGAAGCCGCATTTGACATAGAACCCCTCGTTCGCCTCGCTACAGTCGAGAATGCTCTTGTAGCAGCCAACCCTTGCGGCAACGGAGTCGAGCGCCTGGATAATGCGGAGGCCAAGCTTCTTGCCCTGCTGATTCTTCGCGACGGCGATATCTTCGATGTGTCCGACCAGCCCCATGTTATGGATGAATTTGCGCTCGACAATCACGGCCCCCGTGCCAACCACCGTCCCTGTCGTGTCGCAGATCACTAGGATGTAGTATGTGTCGTTACGGCTAGCCATAAAGTCGTACCGTGCGTTGAACTCTGCTAGTGTCGGCTCGCCAACCGTCGTGAGGACTCGTAGAGTAGGGAGGAAGCCTATGGGTGCACACATCAAAGTATTAGAATATAGAGGTCAGATTGGCAAGAGGCCAAGGAAACAGGAAACACCAAAGTCGGACTGGAGGGGTAGGGACACAGTAACGTCAACACATAGTATGAGGGCATGAATACAGTCGATTGAAGGCTCCAAAGGCCAGGACCAAGTCACACATCGCCACGTAACCATGCGAGACAAGCCAAGGGATATGGATATGGGCACATACCGCCAGAATAGTCGCTTCGTCGAAGTGGTCGGATCGAGTAGCCCTCGGGTAGACTGGAGGAGACGTCGTCACCGATCAGCGACGGCGAGAATAACGGCGGGTCATCGTATTCTTCTATTCCTGCCGGCGCCGATATAGGTGCCGGTGTTGGTGTTGATGTTGGTCTGGAGCTGGCACCGTTTGTGACGGCGGATGTCGTCCCGTTCGCGACCGTCGACGTGGGAGTAGAGTCTATCCTTACTTCGGACAGGGAAACTTTTGTGCTTGCTTCTTTCTCATGGGCAACCGCGGATTCGGTCGAAGGGTTCGAGGTCGAAAGGAGGGACACTTCGGTGGGAGTTTGAAGGTCTGCCATGGCTGGCTGTGGACAGACTCGACTGGTTGACGGCCCCTGGTGTGTTATGGGACTGCTCGGAGGTCAATTGTCTCCTGAAAAGCCGAGGATGAAGGAAATGAAGGGTGCAAATGAGAGAGTGTAGGTTTAATGAGCTTCGGTCGTTCCAATGTTTATTGGTATCCCTGAATCGGAAAGGGAGAGGTGTTGTTGAGGATTTGCCGCGCCACCACACGATTCTAACTCGCCTGCGTCTATTACAAGGGAACTGGAGACTGGAGACTGGAGACAGAGAAGGGAAAGGCACGTAAGAGTCTCGATCAGTATCGAGCTGGGAAGCCGAGACTCATCGTTGAGTCCAGAGTGTTGGCCCCTGCGGTGTCAGATGCGGAAGTCAGCTTAGACACTATTTGTTTTGGCGTCGCAGCCTGCAGACAGAAAGTCTGACCCTGCATTCTTGACGATCCTGACAGCCTCGGTCAGGCCGCAGGCACAGGCACAGCCGCAGGCACAGTTTAGCTATAAATAAATAGCTTTGTTTGACCTATCTACTCCCTTGGGGCGGCTGCGGCAAGATCTGCACAGCTCCTTTCGGTGGCGGTCGCGCAACTGGCTATAAGCGCTCATCTATCGTGTCTACTGATGTAGGAAGGTGATCTTGTCAGGTGCGTCCTGAGACAGATTGCACACCTGTCGGAAATCCCCAAAGAAGTCTTTCCTCGAGGCAACGAACTTCTGGAAATCCGCCAGCCGGACCGCATGCTTGATCTTGTTGATGGAGGGCAGCCCCGGAAATCTCATCAGGCCGTCGTTGACAAAGAGCCTTATGAAGTGTTCCTTGGGGCTGGCCTGGAATTTTGTTCCACAAGCGATTCTTTCCAATACCAATCTCCCACCCATTGGCACCACGTCGCTTGTCTTCCAGCGGCGATCCCACTTCATCCGGTTGCTAGGCAGTTCTTGTACAACCGAATGTTCGTTGAGGATTTGCAAGGCAGCCATGACGGGCACAATGTCTCCGTCATGGACAAAACTGAAGTAGACATCTTCTGAGGACTTGTTCGACATGAGGTTCTGGGTAGCGTCCAGCCAGAGCCATCCCATCACTCCGGCGTAAGCGTTGCCCGGTCCGGCTCGGTAGAAATGCAGGAGATCCCGGGCATATGCGAAATGCGACCATTCTTCATGCGTAAAGACGTTGCACCAAGCACTGGAACCCCGTGCGAGTATTTCGAAGCCACACATCTCCATCATGCTATAGATGTCCACATGGCTGAGGTCCAGTCCCTGAGCAACCTGAGCAAGTCGTCTGGCTATGGGCGCTGTAAAGACTCTTTGCCATTCGTCCAGTTTTCGATATCCGTGGTCATGGCCGTATTCCACATCTCTAGTATAGTTGTGACAAGTATCGCCGGGAGTGAGGGTATCGGCGCCCCGGTCTTCGTCTTCTGGGATCACTTCTAGGTGAGCAGAACCGTCTGATGACCAATTTAAGCCGAAAAATCCATCGGCGAAGTATTTGGCGGTCAAGACATCCCTCGGCGAACTGCAAGACCAGAATTTTGTCGTCCGGTCCTTTGGGACGAGGTGATCGTAACGTTCTCGCAGGGATTTGCCGGTATTGAAGGCTTGCACTGTCCCAGCATAGGGACCAGCGGCAGTCAAGTTCTCAAATGCTGGGCTATAAGGGTCGGTGAAATATGTCCAAGACTCGAGAAACGAGAGCGACCCTTTGAGAGTGACTTCGGGACTGCGTAGCCGATCTAGCAGCTGGAGGTGTCTAGCACCGGCATTTCTCGTAGGATACCGTTCGGCATGACGCGACAACTGCCGACATAAGCATTGAGTACAATCACAATCGCTGAGTTGATTTCCTCACCACGTGGACCTGATCGACCGAACACTCTTCTGGAAGTAAGGCATCAGAGTAGCCAATTCCATCTATCTTCGGGATCCATGGTCCATTGCCGCCCAGATGGTAGAAAAGATCCCAAATCGCCACCAAAACCGCCGGACAAAGTCCAAAAGTCGGCAACAATGAAGAAGTCTGACAGACTTCGTTTCGTATCTGGCCGAGGAAGCTTGCTGCTAGAAAAGCTGAAATGGCGATGAGGATGACCAAGAAAAGTCTCCGTCGCCAAAGTCCTGGAGCAATGGTCTTGGACTTCTTAGCCTTGGAGGGAGTGGCTGGCATTAGGAGTGATCTGTACTGCTGTGAAGGAAACATTGAGACGACAGCCTAGGAGTGTTTTGTAGGCATCTCAGAGAAGGTCATGCCATATCTGGAGCCAGAGGCCAACAATAATGAAGCCTGACACACAGGTGTCACCAGGAACTGAGGTAGAGAGTCGGGGCCAAGGAAGGTTGCTTTGTCTCCTTCTACAACCGAAACCTGGCAATAGGACAGCCAGTCAAAGCTGCAAAGCCTACACGCCCATAGCTCAACGGAGCTGTGAGTTTGGAGGAGAGATGAATCTGTAAACGTGGATGTGGTACAGGCGTGAACTGGAGGGGACAGGGAAACCGCGGTTTGAAATTCATACAATACTTGCTGCTTGGGACGGAAGCGCAGGTAAAAACTGGCCAGAACCTGCAACCCTCCATCTACTTTTACATGCTGCCTACCTCAACGTGTCTCTTCATCAATGGCTTGTATTGTCTGGCAATGGACGTGAACAGCATATCACCCAATATCCCACTCTGCCGTTCGCCGACTTTCCAGCCCGAAGACCATTGAGTGATTGTGCTCCGCATCGGCCAGAGGCCGGACAAATGCGATGAATTGCCGATAGATACAAAACCTGGGATATTCATCACTGTAAAAGGGCGCAGTCTTGTCCTTTGCCCTGGGAGAAGGTACTCCGTCTTCTCATCATTTTGCGCACTCTGTTGACTCTGACTGACCTGGGACGATTGACAACATGGGTTCGACCCTGACTGACAACTCTACGCCAGCGGCGCCACATTCCTACCCAGTACCTTCGCCGGGCGTATACTGTCCTGCAGTGACCTTCTTTGATCCCGACACTGATACTCTTCGTCCTACCGAACAAGGCCAATACTACTCATACCTAGCCAATTCGGGCCTGACCGGGCTGGTCATCTTGGGCACCAATGCAGAGACCTTCCTCCTCACTCGCGAAGAGCGGGCTACTCTGTTACGATTAGCACGCAAGTCGGTTCCCGAAAACTATCCTCTCATCGCCGGTGTGGGCGGGCATTCGACCGCCCAGGTTCTCGAGTACATCGCAGATGCGCACGCTGCTGGCGCCAACTTCGTCCTCGTCCTCCCTTGCGCATACTTTGGCAAGCAGACTACACCCGCAGTCGTTCACAACTTCTATTCCGCCGTGGCAAAGGCGTCTCCTCTCCCTATCCTCATTTACAACTTTCCTGCCGTCTGCAATGGCCTCGACCTTGACTCTGACACCATTGCAGCGTTGGCGCAGGAACACCCGAATATCGTCGGGGTCAAGTTGACCTGTGGCTCAGTGGGCAAAATCACACGTCTGTCTGCGACCTTCCCGCCTGAACGATTTGCTGTGTTTGGAGGGCAGTCAGACTTCTTGGTGGGCGGATTGGCCGCGGGGAGCGCTGGCTGTATTGCCGCGTTTGCGAACATCTTTCCCAAGACGGTGGCCAAGATATTCGCCTTGTGGACAATCGGTAAACATGACCAGGCATTGGCCCTGCAGAGGATGGCTGCTCACGCAGAGAGTCCGACCAAGGCTGGTATTGCGACCACGAAGTATGCCGCTAGTCAATACAGCGCCAAAAAGGCGGGGATACAAGGTGACCTCGAGGCCATGCTGCGACCGCGACGCCCTTACGAAGAGCCAAGCGAAGTGGTGAAGAAGAAGATCAAAGAGGTCATGACGCCTCTGGACGAGGTTGAAGGCACACTTTAGATATCTCTTGGGTATTGCGGGTCGAAAGGAATCAAGTGTGAACGATCACAGTCGTGAACATGATGAGTCGAGACCCTACTACTACATAGAAGCGGTACCTCTAGATCACAAACACGCTGTTGGCTCTCCGTTCTAGAACAACTGGGCGCAATGCCAGAAGTATCTCTAATGTGTCCGTACATCCATCTCTTACAGGGTCGTGTTGCATGTTGCAAATCATGTTGGCGCAGTTTAGACTCGACCTGCCCCACGACCTTCATGCTATGGTGCATAATCCATGGTCAACAAGCGATGGAAAGGTCGACGGAGTCAGCGCTGTCCGACCATTCAAGCCCCAGGGATATGGCAGGGATCTGCTATGATAACAACACGCCGGTGAATCGCTAGCAACCGAAGCCACTTCCTGGAGCAGAAACAAGGCAGACTGCACGCCCCATGGTGTTCAAGCGGAGAAGTGACAAAATGCTGTACGTGCCAGATGGCACCGTGCAGACGCAAGATGACGCACAATCCGTTGATCTGGGGCGCTGAGTGTCACTATACCGGGCCAGATTCCAGGTAGGAGGCATAAGAAATACGAAATCTTCGAATGGCCTCGGACGAAGCATCGGACTTTCAGCAGACAACCTTGCACAGCCGTCTACAGACGGAGTACATGTCCATGTATGATAAGATTAGCAGAGCCACAAAGGCAGATGCAAGAAGACGCCTTGTACACAGTGTACGGTAAGGTTCAAGTTGTCATGCCTCCATCTGGGTGTTGTTTGGTCTGTGCAGGAGTTGCGCTGCCAACACGGCATCAGTTCAATTTTGAGCAGCAGGACATCTTCGCCAGCCGAAACAAGACGTGTAAAAGCCTTCAATTTGCCTAGCTGTACGACACATACACATCGCTCCTGAGAAGCGGACGAATTTGCCGATGGAGGAGCAGAATCAGCCAGTGGCCAGTATGTCACAAGTTGATAAGCCATGGATCTGCTAATATCTATAAAATACTAGCAACTTGAGCCATCGGGAATAAACCAGCCCAAAACACCGATGTGCTGCGTCATTGACTCAGGCGGGCGAGACCACCAAACAGATATCCACTGCCAAAACCAAGGCAAGGATCGTGATTGAGACAGTGGAAGTGAAAGTGAAGCACGGACAACTAAATAGTCACCATTGAAGGTCAAACAAATCAATCCTAGATATGATATCTGGCCTATTTGTTCGTAGTGGCAGAAGTCCCGGTACAGAATCGTCTCCTCCGTAGTGAGCGAACTAGTATCGTAGCCTCACCAACTAGGCGCCGTTGGCATCACTTATCGCTACTGCCCCGGAAGACACTCCCAAGGTACGGATACTGTTCCTACTGTACCTTAGCGACACGATCCATACCCTCGTTACGACCGCTCCCACTTCCCGCTCTCTTCTCGGTGCCTCTGTCACTCTTTTGCTGCTGTGGAAGCCCTGCAGACAGACATTCACCCTCTCCAACATCACCCAACCTCTTCCTGCACAGCTGGATGCTGTCTCCGTCGCACCCTCCACCTGCCGCAGTTCCTCAGACTTCAGACCTCAGACTTCAGACCTCAGACCTCAGACCTCGAGCCGATACTACCTACTCTGCAGCCCAACTTCGACTGCCCTCCATGCCGTCTCTACACCTCGAAAACTTCGAAATACGAAGCTAGGATAGAATGAAAACGGAACCGTTGCCGGTTCGTCATACAATCCGCAAATAATCTTTAATCCGAGAGGCTGGCTCGAGTATATCAAGCCCCCAGCCCCCTGCAGTGCAGCTCTTCCCTGCACGTTCTACCAGCTCTCTAAACCAGTCGAACCGGTGAGCGTGGTGCCAGCCCTTTGGAACCATGGCCGCTGTGCGTTCTCAGCCCTGGTCATCCTGGTTGGCCATATGGTCAGTGCTGTTGGCATTTCTCGGGCTCAATGTTCCCACCGCCGCAGCAGTGACGAGATGGATACAATATACGGGCAACAGTGGCACAGTATGGTTGGACGACGCTCGGAAGCCTTCCTTATACACTCAAAACTTCGGTGACTGCCAAGGCGACTCTCTCATCAACGTCACTCGCTTCGACGCTGCGTACTATAAAGACAACATGACCGTCCTATTTCACCTGGAGGGGAATTCTGCGTTGACAAACCAGAGCTTGATGCGTAAGACAGTCTACGTGTATTGGTGCTGACATCTGCTTACTCGAGGAAATAGTCTATATTGGTGTCTTTGCTTACGGGGAGTCTCGTTTTAATTTGACCTTCAACCCGTGCAATGCCAACATTGACAGTCTATGTCCGCTGAACTCTTCAATACCAATCACGGCCAATGGCATCATTCCCGTGTCGCAAGCAGACGTGGCCAACATCCCATCAATTGCGCTCACCATCCCGGATTTCGAGGGGGAGGCCATTCTTCGAATCTTTGCCAATTCAACTCAGTCTCAGATCGCTTGCTTCTCCGCCGTTGTCACAAATGGCTCGACATTCTCACACCCGTCGGCCGTTGCGAGTATACTTGGTGTGTTCACCATCGTGGCCTTGATTTCTTCGACTGCGGTTACCATGTATGGACAGACCGTTCCCGAGACTCGCAAACATTATGCTCATTCGATATCGATGCTCGTGGTGTTCTCCGTCTATCAGCACATCTTCTTCACCGGTGGCCTGTCGATGAACTGGCCAAGTGTTCTTGTTGCGTTCTGGAGCAACTACGCATGGTCAGCTGGGATAATATACAATCAAAAGATGCAGAACTCCATTAACCAGTTTATTGGGGGAAATCGAGGTAATATCAGTATGGTTGGCGCGGCTCCGAGTGGTGAAAACGCAGTTGGACTCGGTGGCGGCTATCAAATCTCGCAGATCTACAGGCGGGCGGCCCCGATCTTGTTTGAACCATACGAAGGAACAGGCACCACCTTCCGACCTTCGGAGCTGGAGCATGTACTCAAGAGAAGCCCGGCAATCAATTCTACTATGGCTTCAGCTTGGCATGGCACGCCGGTGCTTCCCGGTTTGCCATTGCCCGGAAACTTTTCTGGGTTTGCCGGGACGTTGGCTGAGTTGAACATACCAGCCTCGAATGCATTCCTGACTGGACTCCTGTGGTTCCTCATTCTCTTTGCCTGCCTTTTAGCCGCCGTTGCCCTGGTCAAGTGGACGTTTGAAGGTTTAGCGGCGATGCGACTCATCAAGACAGGCCGGCTGGGCTACTTTCGACAACATTGGCTGTGGTTTTCCGGCCTGGCGGTTTTGCGAACCTGCTACATTGCATTCTTCATGATGATGTTCTTGACCATGTTCCAATTCACGCTAGGTGGAGCACCGGGTGTGAAAGCCGTTGCCGCAGTTGTATTTGCAATCTTTCTTATCGGCATGTTTGGGATCGCCGCATATGCTCTGTGGTATAGGACCAAAACTCCGGCATTACCAGAAGATGCCGAGCAGGCGAGCGGCGAGTCCGATGGGGCCGAAAAGATGCCTCGCACGACGTGGTACAGACTCGGCCAGAAAACGGCCGGTGGCAACGGGCAAGATGCGCGAGAGACGGTCAGGCAACCGACATGGCTACAGAGGCATCTGCCAGATTTGGATTCAGGTCGGGTGCATGTTCATGATGATGAAAACTACATGATCAAGTTCGGATGGCTGGCTGCTCGGTTTCGCCGGAGCAAATGGTGGTTCTTTTCAGCCTGGCTGCTGTACGAACTGGTCAGGGCGGCCTTTTACGGTGGTGCTGCAGGCCACGCCTTGACCCAGGTGTTCGGTCTGTTGGCCTGGGAAACCATTGCACTGGTGGCCATTGTCTTGATGAGGCCTTTTGAAAGCAACCGGCTCAACTTGCTGATGGTATATCTTTTGGGCTTCAGCAAGGTCGTCACCGTGGCATTATCTTCGGCCTTTGATGCTCGATTTGGCCTAGGCCGGATCCTGACAACTGTGATAGGAGTGGTCATTATCGTCATTCACGGGCTTCTGACCATCTGCCTGATGATTGCCATCGTTCTGGGAGCCATCTCGAGTTACATGTCCATCACTCGATACCGCGAGACGATCAAACCCCAGTCGTGGCTAGGACCGCGGACGCGTTATTTTGCGCATGTTGATCAAAAGGCTACAGATCGTCCCAAACCTCCTCCCCCTCCACCACCTCCGGAGCCAGAAGTTCCCAAGGAACCCTACTTTACAGTATCGGCCGTGCGCAGGCAGCCCAAGATCGAAGATGAAACCCCAGACAATGAGCGTTACCTATCACCACGTGTCTCCATTTCTAGGGCACAATCCGTACGATCTCGAACTAGTGTGTCGACCTTGCCCTACGGCGCAAGACCGCACCGTACCAGTTGGAGTACCAGGGACTTCCAGGAGATGGGGGCGGACCAAGGCATGAACCCTATGCGCTCAAGAATGAGCATCGACAGTATCCAGGATGTCCCCGGGAAACACCGGGCGTTAAGCTTGAGAGCCCCATCCAGAAATGGGCCTGTGGGCTCTGATCTAGGTACGCCGCCCAACGACTTGGACACGCAGTTGCAACGCAATCGCCGTCGACGGAGTGCTTCTACACCTCTGAGACCGACTTCTGCGCCTCTGGGACCGAAGCGGAATAGTTCGATTGTGAACGAAGAAAAGGAGAATGACTGAGCAGACATTCACAGCTGGACTTGAACTCGAGCGGATCAGAAATGACGTTTAATGACTTCATGAATCTAAGTTTAATCACAGAGACTGCCAGGTAGTGTGGACTACCAACGGTATGAGCTACGACATATTTACGAGCATGCATTAGGACGCCGGGTGGGACTCTTTTGACACTCCGGCTGGATGAAGATTGCACAGTTCGATCAGATAGAGGCGTCTTGCATCAGGCTTCATGCTTTGGTCGGGAAGGACATCAGGAGAACAGGAGCGTCTGTCTATATCCCGCGACAAGTACTTACAAGCGGTGTCTGTAGACGCCCACAACATGCATGGTAATTAAATGTATCCGTAAACCGTACTCCGTAAACCTGCCACCTCCTGGGGCCTCCACGTGACGAGTGGGTGGCTGACATGTGCTCTTGGGCTGTGGGCTCCGCATCACGTGCACAACCTGCGGCGGTTGGCTGGTTAGCGGTTGGTGGGATGATGAGCGGTCGATAATTGAATTGATTATCGATTTTGCTTTCCGCCATGAGCCTATCCTGGGATCCTGGACCTCACCCACTACTACCCACCACCCACCACCCACCACCTGCCACCTGCCACCTGCCGGAGAATGCCACCATCCTCCTCATCGATATCACGAGACACATTCACCATCTGCAACAACAGCAGCGGGGACGATTTCCATCCGTTGGAAGCATCAGCATCAGCACCTCGTACCTGACCTGGAGCTTCCTCTCTTCCTCGCTTGCTCTGATATCGGACCCACCCGGAGTGGCCCGGGATATTCGGTAGATGAGATCTCTCTCGGCTGAGCCATCACAGTCGCGATGAATCTCCTGACGCGGAGGAATTCAAACAAGTCCATCGATCAAGAGGCGCGAGGCTCCGATCTAGACAAGACCGTCACCGTCTCGGCAGACCGAGGGCAAGATGGGGAGAAGCCATCCTTGCTCCGCCGTCTCAGCAGGTCGATCAGTCGGACCCAGCAACCACCGGCTCGCAAAGAAAACGATCAGGCTCCTGCAGTACATGTAGAGGTAGGTGACCGACTAGCTGTCTAGCTGTGGGTGTTGTTTGAATCCGGCTGAAGAAATGCAATAGCCTCACCCTCACCCCCGCGAGACTTTCCGACCGCAAGAAACGGGTGATAAGACTGTCGAACCCGTCGTCGATGAGCTGTCGCTGAAAGCGGCTCACCACGCTTCCAGGGCAAATCCAGAGAACCGAGATGTGATCTCGTCTCCGCCGACTGTTGCTCATGAGCAGGTCTCCGCAACCACAGGAAGTACTACAGCCGTCCCAGTCGTCCACGCGAGCCAAGCTGCATCGTCCACCCATCCAGCTCATCCAGCTCATCCCGTCCATCTCCATCCCTCTCATTCTACTACGTCCACACACCACCAACCCCGCCATTCAAGTGGCCTTAGCAAAGCAGACATTCATCATCTGTTCTCCGGGGCGCCACAATTCACGCTGGAAAAGGGCCAACGCGGTCGATACTTTCCTCAGGCTTTCTTTCCTTGGGACACTGAACTCGAGATCGCCGATCTTCAGGACCGGCGATACCTTCGTCATGAAAGCTTTGCGTTGTCCACCTTGCATGCCCACCTGCCAATCCCGGACGAAGTCAATTGGAAACCAGGCATGGCACCACCTGTGAAGAAGGAGGGTGTCGATGCCAGCAAGCAGCCCATGTTTGAGCTGGGGATTTTCGAGAGGCCCAATATGCTGGGTATGGATGGACGAGAGCCTGGCACCGTGGGATTGAGGTACTTTCTCGAACGGCCCGTCGCGGATGGGATCCAGGACGACAAGGTCAAAGAACATGGTAAAGACGTCGACATTGATCTTCCTCTCCCGGGCATGGCAACATTTGAAGCCTTCAAATCACTCGCCATCGGCAAGGACAACGATGATATGAATGCCAAGGTCGGAAAGCATGCACCGGAGCAAGACCGGGCGAGACTAGTCCACGGCGGTCCCCATGCCTGGAAAACTGTGGGAGTGAGGAACATCAGCATGAACGACCTAGCAGCGAGATTGGAACAGATCTGCCGCTGGCGAGATGAAATGGCCAAAAGCGGGTGGAAATCTACGGTTCTGGACTCGATGCAGACGGAAGAGCTTCACAATCATCTCTTCAATGAAGTGCTCTACCCACCGCGCAAGCTCAACTCCGACGCCAAACACCTCAAGTCGGGATTGAAGGTCCAGATTGAGGCGTTGGTCAAGGTACTCACCACGCCCGGGGCGTGGCTTGATTTGAGTGTGCCTGAAGCAAGGCTGCGCTTCGGCAAAATCCTGCACCGTCGGACGACACGGCATGACCACAGCACAGGGACGATGTGGATTGATCCCGAACGGAAATGGCTCCTGATCCAACTGCTCCTTGCCGTCGAGTTGGTCATCCGCCTGGACGCGGCGCTGCGCCTGGGTATTGCCCTGCACTCCGACGATTTTGAGCTCAGCAGCGACGAGATCCACCATTTCAACAAACTCCGCAATCTCAAGGTCGACTGGGATCTGGTGGCGGCACGGAGATTTCTGATACTGTGCTATGTCAAGAAAGTCGAAAAGCGATCACCCTCGCTATCCCCGCAGGTGACCCAGTTGAGCAAAGTCAGCTCTCCCGAGCGCCACGGTGGTTTCCTCGGCGGTCTACGCCATGTGTTGAGCCTGGACGAGGACAAATCAGAGACGACGCTCGATGACTGTGACTTGGCCATCCTGCCGCGTCAGCCGCGACTCATGCTGGACGGGCTCATCCGGTTTGCGCACAATATCGGCTGGCCACGATGGGTTGAAGTTCAGCAACGGCTGGAGCAGAAACTCTCTCCAGACAACCCCGAGGAGCGAGAGAAGTTCCTTCTGGACCTCATGTCCTGCACCGACGCAGAGCACATAACCGGCCCTCAGCCTGGCCAGATCATCCCACCGCTGGGGAAATTCTGCGTCAACCTGCACCCCGCAACCTCCAGCACCATTGGAGGTTGGCTGTCACACACTTGGCTCTCAGGCCTGATCCTGCCGGGCAAATCGAGCTGCGATCTCCTGATGGCGATGCTGTTGGAGAACGACACTGACCCTTCGACCCTTCGAGATCTGGGAACAAGAGGACTCCCTCTCTGGAGTGCCGGCTTCATCCTCAACGGTTCGTCTTGGTGGACCAAGTCCAGCATTGTCGGCCGTGTCATGGCTCCGTTGCGCGGGTCCAAGGAAGGCATGGGCTGGATCCATCTGCCCAATTGCGTCCCCTTGAGCGAAGCGACGTCTGAACCGGTTCCAAACCGCTGGATCAAGATCAAGACATGGCCGGTGCCCACTAGCCGGCCCCGACCCCGGATCTTTGACGGGGACAAAATCGCCTCGGAGTCGTCCCCGTTGGGTTACGGCAAGGGAAACATCATGGGCGCGGAATTCAGCATGGTGACGGACCATACGCTGGATAACGAAACCGTGCCGGAGGTCAAGGTCAGCGAGATCAAACTGCATCTGTCCACCACCAACGACACCCAGTCGAGTCCCGATCATCCCTTGGCCGCGTGGGCCCAGTTTCATCTGAAAATTATCGACCCCCGTAGTCCCGACCGGCCCATCTCGAAACAGGTCCGCTACGGTCTCGACCGCGCTGTGTACTTTGTCAACGCCTACCCTTGCCGGCTCCCACACGGCCACGCGACATTCAAATCAGCCACCTCGGACGCGGGCCATGAGCACCACGAACACCAGCATCAACACCCACACCACAGACCTGCCGAACATATTCCCGCGCATCCGCTCCATAAGACATACAAGTTTGTGACCAAGACTCTCATGGACTTGATCGACAATCACGTTGATCCTCCGGCCTCAGGTGCCGCAGGTCAGAAGGAAGTCTGGGTGGTAGATGCGCGAGACGCCCTGCCGGCGAAAGCACATGGACACGATCAGGCTGTTCCTCCGAGCCAGTCCACGAGCGAACATAGTCCCAGCCCGAATCCTCCGGCTCCCCTGGCCGCCTCACCATCTTCACCCCCGGCGAGCGCTGAGCTATGCACCGACGCATGTCCTGGTCCTAGTGCTGAATTGGCGTCACCGCTACAGCATTCCACCAGTGGATATTCCGGTCATAGCCACAGTTACAGTTTCAACCACCATCACAGTCACGGTCACGGTCACGGTCACGGTCACAGTCACGAGTCGTGTGATCCCGACCCGCAGCTCTGGGAGAAGGATATCCTGGTGCGGGCCTGGTGTGCGGAGAAGGGCCGGAACGCCATCATTGCGCGCGTGGGCCGAACCTGCCTCAGCTGCGCCATCCGGGAAGCCAAGGCGCTCGAGATTGGCGTGATCATCAGGGTCGGAATCAAGGAGTAGTATGTATCAGAGCATCCACGTCTAGCCCCGGCTCTGCCTCTGGGAGAGAAGTGATCAAAATCGAGGCAGAGAGAGAAGAGAAGAAAATAGGGGTTGGGCAATGGCCAAGGGACAGACGCTGTCCCGTGGTCTGATTGATTGGATATGCCATTACGATCCGCCATGGACAAGGAATCATCCCATTCCCAGCGTGTCAATTAAGGACAACGACCTAACTACCGTACAGCATGACTGACATTGCGACATGTGACATGTACATTTAGAGGCTCAACGATGGGGCTGGCGCGGTAACGGCGGTTAAGGAGGCCAGGTCAGGTCAGGTCAGTTCCGATCAGGTCAGGGTGACCAGAGTAGTGCACAACAGCGCAGCACAGCACCGATCTTTTTTTGGGGGAGGGTGTTTGTTTTTGTTTTCCTCGTCCAAGATTGATTGATTGATCAGTCTATGTCACTGTCATGGTCACGGTCACGGTCATAGTCACCTGTCCTTTACATTCCTATCATGGTGGACAGGACAGGACTGGACTGGACTGGACTGGAGACGAATCGACACGCCACGACATGATATGATATGATAGCATAGTATGCATAGCATAGCATAGGACAGGACCGAACCGAACCGTGGTCACACACATACATATACACATACACACCCAGATTAGACTTTCAAGATGGTTGATTCATTGATTCATTCATTTATTCAGTTCGAGCGCAATCCAGAACAGATATCCTGAGCCTCGCTGCTTCAACCTGAGATGCTCCTGCACATGACTGAGCATGTAGGGTTAGGGTTAGGGTTAGGGTTAGGGTTATCCGGCACCCGCCTATACGGATAGTTGCCTAATCTACGGTGGAGTATGTGCTCTCTATACGACGGAGCAGGGTGACGCCAGTACTCCGTCGAGGTTTATCAAACGTCAAATCGTGGATTCCTCGAAACTTATCACACACCCACCACCTTTTCCCATCCTCATCTTTCAATTCTATATTCTAGTGATCTGATGAGCAGATCAAATGTGACCTCCGGAACACTTCCTTGTTATATCATCTCCTCCTAAATGCGCTATCGAGGGTCCCGCTTGGGCTCCGGGTGCTGGTCATGCCGCAGACGCAAGATCAAATGTACGGGTGAGCGGCCAGTCTGCAAACCCTGTACGAGAGGGAGATTATGCTGTAGTTATGAAGCAAATTTCACCTGGTTGCAAGACGCCGCGCAAGCCAAACTGCCGCTCATAGCTTATCGCTTGCCGGAATCGTCCACCCCCAACATCGAGGATTGGATGTTTCTCAATACATCCGTCAAGGACGTGGAATCGTCTGCCACCCCGGGAATTCTTCTCCAAGAGTTTGTTGCCGATCAAGCCAGCGTCTCCTCTTCGCCAGCATCACATTCTGTTGTGATGCCGGCCCGGACAAGGGGCTTCGAATTTCGCTCCCACCATCCCGCACCACCGTCCTCGGTCATGTCAATGTCTGACGACCATGCCTCGTGGAATCTGGATACCCTTGCTCGTCAGATGCACAGCCCGGATCCAGTATGTCGTTCTTTGTCTGACACACCAATCCGCTATTCTCAGAAATATCTGTTGGATTATTTCCGCCGGTCTATTGGTCCACAGTGTCACCTGGCTCACAACGACAACCCCTACGTTCGGCTCATCCTACCCATTGCGCTGTCAGCGCCTTCTGGACCACTCATGCAGGCTCTCCTCTGTGCTTCCGCAAACCAACTACGACTACTCAGCGACCGTCGTTTCGAGAAAGAGGCCTGGATGTACCGAGCCAAAACCCTGGGGCTGGTGCGAAGCGAACTAGACAACTTCATGACTGGCTTGAGTCGGGATACGACATCGTTCGAGCAGCTTCTCGCATCGGTCGTCATGTTGTGTTTTGTCGAGGTAAGTGAAGTTCACTAGGCATATTTCCCCAAAACACACAGGGCTGGGTTGACCTGGGTGATTTTACAGATATCTAACGACGCTGCCGACACTTGGATGGTTCATTCGGCATGTGCCCAGGTGCTCCTCTCGTCAGACCACAGATACAGTGCTCGATCAGCCGAACTAGACGACCTTTGCGACTTCGTACATCTATATTTCGCAGCTCACGACGCTCTGGCTCGAACTTCCTGGATCGATCCCAGAAAACAAGACTGGCGTCTCCCCGTCAGCGATGACCATAACCATATCAACGGGCTTACGGGGTGCTCCAAGGAGCTGTTGAATTTGATCATGGCAACAACCAATCTGGCCAATGCAATCTCCGATGCGGAACGACATCCAAGGGAGGGATCTAATCGGAATGCTGAGCATGCTTTTTACGATACCGGGCAAAGAGACGGGATTGAAAGGCGCCTGCATCAGATTGAGCAATGGCTTCCATCGAAATATTTGTCACAGTCTGAAAGCTGTCCATCACCAACATCGAGCCTGTCTCCATTCTCAGAACCGAACCGTCTCCACCGATTGGAAATAATTGCAGAAGTCAAACGTCTAGCCGCTCTGATATACTTCTATGCGCGGATCGACCGAGCAACTCCTGAACATCCCCAGATTATCCGACTCACGGCTTCTATGCTCAACCTGCTACGCAAAGTGCCAGTCTCAGCCAATGCACTTCTATGGCCCTTGTATATCGTTGGCACCCTGGGGGTACAGAGCTGCCAAGACGAGCATCGCGCCCTAGTCCTGGAGAGACTCGAGGCTCTGGAGAAAAGAAGGCAATTGCGCAACGTCAAAGATGTCCGTCAGGTGGTCGTGGATGTTTGGAAGCAACGAGACCTGCAGACCCTCTCCTCCAGAGAGTTGTGCTGGAGTGATATAGCTATCTGTCACGGCAAAAGGATCAGCCTCGCTTGATTCAAGGTTCCGTTTCTGCCCATGCAGACCGTGCCTCCATGACTCGACTCCCCATAGCGCTGAAGCGTCCGAACTGCTTAAAACGGGAAGTTGGGCAACGCCATCGGCTCATCCTCACACACACCGGCCTTGACCTGTTCTAAATGCAGAGCATCCAGATGTGGAAGCAAGACGCCGGCATAAAGGTCTCGCCCTTTGTGTCTATTGAACAAGTGGTCAATTCTTGTCTCAAACAACTGTTTAGCGAATATCGACTTACGCTGCGAGTTCATCGTCCCAGCTCCTTATAAGGGAGGCAAGCCTTCCCGGGATTCCCGGCTCGTCGAGGATGGAAGTTATGGGAGTGATATAGGTATGAACAGACCAAACAATTGCGCCAGACTTGGGAAGCCTGCGAAGCGTTTGCCGTTCTTGACGAAACCAGATGCTGGAAATATCGGAAACTGGTTGTGGAGGTTTAAACGTGGCGGCACCTTTGGAGCCAACTGCTGGACCCCTGATCACTGGATCCCAGTCGTCTTCTGGCCCCATGGTTATTTCTGGCCAATGCAACTCGTCGTGGATGGAGAGAGCGGTGGTATGTCTCACAATCGGGCTGTCCACCTTTAACTTGGACAAGAATCGATCGAGGGGCGCTTGAAGCTGTTCCTTGAAGTGCGGCACTTGACCACCGAAATGCAAATCGGCCAGGCACCTGCCTAATTTGTCTTTCAGTCTTTGGCCACCGCCGATGCCGAACATGACGGCGCTGAGTTGATACTGGCCATCGGGTAGTTTGGTCAAGATATTCAAGTCAGTCGGTTGCAGCAAACCAGCCACCGTCATGTTGTCATCGTTGACAAGATCATATGAGGCACCGAGGCTCGGCATCTCAACACGACTTATGGACCCTTGTCCATCCCAACCGTCCTTGTCCGATGCAGAGCGGGTGACATGATACACCTGGGGATACCGAGCAGACAGATATTCCGCTAGGTCTTGACAGAGTTCCCTTGCCGCATCCGTCGCACAAGGCAGGGTGCCGACGATCTTGTCACCCCGGTCCGCCAGCCTGGCGACCTTGGCTGCGTGGTAGCGAGGAAACTCGTTGTCGAGAGGAATCCATTCATCCAGATCGAGTTTCTTGACATCGATTACATGTCGCTTGTACGAATATCGAAAGGCACGGAAAGCCGGTGGCGGCGTAGTCTCCAAGTTGAAAGACTTGTTCGCGGTCACAGGAGGATACCGCCACTCGTTCGTGATGACGGAATTTCCTTCTTTTGAAATCGACCATTCAATCGTCAGCAACTTCTAGGCAACAAGGCTGGCTTGCACAATTGAGATTCACATACGACCTGATGCCTCCAATGCTTTTCCTTTGCTGCCAGTGGGCCTTGTTCTCGACCTTGACAAGCCCAATATGGTGAAAGCGACTGCCAATAGTAGCCATGGTGTCAAGCCGGATTTGGTCCACCACCCCAGGACGAGCAATATTGTTTCTTCCATCATGATTGAAGACTCCTTGTTCTTTTGACACAGTACGAGAATAATCGTCAAAGAATCACAATAAATCTTTATAACAGAATGGCAGCTGAGCCAGCACGTGAAAAAATTCCATCGACGTCTCGACCCCGTAACGAGACTGCACGTGTTGAGGTTTGTCAAAGAGAAGTCGAACACACCTCACGCCACCGAGGCGATATCCTACAGATGATATTGTCGTTGAAGCCGACGAACGACGGAAAAACAATTGCAATGAATCAGCACAGATATCTACGAGTTGTTTGAGTGGCTCTGGTTACAAGATGGCCTTCCCAACATTGATCACGGCCATCAGTCAAAGGGAATTTGTTAGCGGGCGAACAAGTCCGCCGGGTCGACCAGTCCGATGTTAGCAAACGAGTCTAATTTGACTCGAGGGTCGTGAACGCGAGGCTAAGTCGTAACACGGATCCCTTATCGACAAGGCTTTCCCCAGTCACGGCAGCCCCATCCCGATTATGACCTTAGGGGCCCGTTCTCGGTGGGTTTTGACTTCGCTCTTATCAACCCATGATATTCCCTGGGTCCGGCCGTCATTTAACTTAGTCAATCATTGGTCCGCCATCTCTGGATTCAGCATGTTCAGTGTTAGAATGTTCGTGTGAGAACTCCCGAAACGCCCCCGGAACGCATCCTCTCGCATTCATCAACCAGCTTCAAATCGACTTATCTACGCCGGCCTCCAATCGATGTGGCGATTATGGCTCGAGAATGCCTGCCACCTTGGCCTGGTAAGTTCGTACGAGTACTCATAACTCATGGTCGGTGGGGAATATAAGATATCACTTGCCCTGGCGTGTCTGGCTTGGCTGTATATACTTATAGCACTCTCTCAACGGCTCCACCCCTGGCAAATTCCCATCCCGTCCCATATCAGCCTTGCAGAGTGCTCGCTACGGAAGAAAAGGATTAAAAGGCTGCTCGCATCCTCCTTTGGCCTCTTCTTCCCCCCACGCACATCTCTCTGCTGAGTGATTGCGTCGAGACGAATTCCCCAGAAACTTTTCCTCGGCTTGTGCCTCTTTGTCGTTACCAGCATGGCTTCCTTTAGAGGGAAAGTCTCTGAAGCAGTCGAGTCCTCTGCCCCAAAGACCTCTGACAGGCTAGGCTCTGAAAAGGTAAGCAAGCGACCAGAAAAAGCATGGAATCCGAACTTTGGTTGTTGTGGTTTTGACCGACTTTTTTCAGGGTGTTGCGACGCTGGCATACGTCTCAGTCGAGGACGGGGTGGTACGTGATGTACCGAGAGCCGACGAGCTATCCGAGTATGGCACGCACCGAGGTCTCCAATCCCATCACATCCAGCTGCTCGCCATCTCAGGCGTCATCGGCACCGGTCTCTTTGTGGGAACATCCAGCGTACTGGCTTCCGCCGGTCCGGGCGGTCTCCTGATCGGATACATTATTTGGTGCGTCTTTCTCCTAATCGTGGCCCACGCCATGGGAGAGATGTCTGCCTTCCTACCCGTCCCGGGATCCTTTGCGACGCACATTGGACGTTTTGTGGACGAAAGCGCCGGTGTCGCCATGGGCTGGGTCTACGCGTACTCCATGATGATCTTCACCGCCGCCGACTGCACCGCCCTGACAGGGCTCTGGTCGTACTGGTTTCCCGACATCAATCCGGGTGTATGGGTCGCTGTCACCCTGGTCGTGGTGTTTGCCCTCAACTGCATGGCGGTCAAGTACTTTGGCGAGGTTGAGTTCTACGCGTCCATTTTCAAGATCTTCCTCATCTTCGGCTTCCTCCTCTTCACCTTTATCGTCGTCCTCGGCGGGAACCCTCATCACGACCGTATCGGTTTCCGGTACTGGAAGAACCCCGGCGCGTTCAATGAAGCCTACACAACCGGCTCTCTCGGCCGTTTCCTGGCCATCTGGGGCGTCTTCAACACCGCCGCCTTCTCGATCGGAGGGCCTGACTTCATCGCCAACTGCGCCCCCGAAGCCACGAATCCACGACGGAACATCCCCAAGGCAGTGCGACGGGTCATTTATCGCCTCATCTTCTTTTTCATCTTGTCGGTCTTTGCCGTGGGGATGCTTGTCCCCTACAATGACCCGTCTATGCTGTCGGCCATCGCGAACGGAACGGGCGTGGCCAAGTCACCGTTTGTCATCGCCATGAAGCGCCTCGAGATCCCCTTTTTGCCGGACCTCGTCAACGCCGTCGTCATCACCAGCGCCTGGAGCTGCACCAACTGCCTGTTGTTTCAGGCCTCCAGGACGGTGTTTGGACTGGCCAAACACGGCCGCGCCCCCAAAATCTTTGGCAAGACCACCGCAAGCGGAGTTCCCCTGCCGGCATTGATCTTGTCAATCGCGGTGGCCTGTTTAGCCTTCATGACTTGTAACACGGCCTCGGCGAAAGTATTCAACTGGTTCATCAACTTGGGCTCGACGGCCATCATGATCGCCTATATCATGATGCTAGTGGCCAACCTGCGGTTCCACGCCGGCCTACGCGCCCAGGGCATCGACGCTAACACCGCCCTGCCATTCCGTAGTCGCTTCACGCCCTGGGGCAACTACGTCGCGTTGGGCGGCGTCGGCCTCATCCTGTTGACCAACGGCTACGGAGTCTTCATTCACGGGTACTGGAATTTCCAAAACTTCTTCACCGCCTACTTCACCATCGTCTTCTTCCTGGTCGTCTATCTTGGGTGGAAGATAGTCAAACGGACCAGCTTCATCAAGGCTGTCGACATGGACTTCAGCACCGGCATGGCCGAGGTCGAGAAGCACGAGGCCACCTTGTCGGTCAAACCGCCCGAGACGCGATATGAAAGGTATGCTAGCTCCTCATGTGTTAGGCTCTGTATGCTCCTATTACACTTGTTAAAACCCCTATTAATACAATGCAACTGCTGACGTTTGATTCTCTCGCCAGATTGATGGATTGGCTCTGGTAAATGGATTTGGATTTCGTGCAAGCATTAGCACCCAGCTTGGGAAAGTTCTCAAGCAACCCGCCTGAATATGGTTTGGAGATGCGAGAGAAGTCGATCTATCTATACTGGGCTTTCCCAGGTTGAGGGAGCGCCTCCCATTGTTCGTATGGCGTGTTTTGCGGAGCGGATTCTCAAGCAACCAAAGTAGAAAGAGGAGTTTTGTCACCCGTTCGTCTGTTTCCATTTGCGCCACCACATACCACCTGTACTCCCACTCCCTTGGCTCTTGTAGTCTACCACCAAAGTAGAAAGAGGAGCTGGAGCTTTGTCGGATTGCTCGTCGTCCAGAGGCTCTGAAGGTAAGATTCTCAGCCACGCTATAGGTAGGTAGGGTTCAGACGTTCCGACGGACCCTCACCAGGGTATAGGTGACGGTGGGTTTCGTATATCCAGGATGTTCGATGTTCGTGAAATAGACGTGGCAGTGGCAGTGGCAGCGCTGAAAGCTGGACAGTGTCCACAAACATACTGGTAGGATGCAGGGCTCACCTGTGTCGTGTCGATGAGGACTATGGCACTGTCACTGTGGCATCAGACTCAGACTCACAGTCCTTGGATCGCCGGAAGGGAAGATTTGAACAACGGCGTGGTGGGTGGTGGCCAAATATGGATGATTGAGGTGCCAAAGGTGCTCTCTCGTCCTCTCGTAATGTGCCACAACCTCAAAGCATTGAAACATTGCACGAAATGAACAATCCGATTGCAAGCCCGCAGGTGCGCATCGGTTCCAGAGAGAGAGAGAGAGGGAGAGAGGAGCATTTTGTTATTGATCATGTCTCCTCGTTCGAGAGGTGCCAACCTCATCGTCATCGCCGACGTACTCGTACTCGGGATATCAGGGCCGTGCCACCCGTAGCCGTAGCCGTAGCCGTACCCGTATGCGACGAGACGACTGCTCGAAAGAGGAGCTTTGTCGGATTGCTCGTCCTCCCACTGAAGGCTCTGTCTTTGTCCCCCCGACGGCACGCATCGACAGCGACGGCGACGGCGACGGCGAAAGCCACGGTCGGAGCCTAAGGGCCCCTCCCATCACACAGTTGTCTCCACGAAGGCTAAGGGGCCCCTCGACCCATCTACGGCATCAAAGCCGGCGTGGTCGTGGTCGTGGTCGTGGTCGTGGTCGTGGTCGTGGTCGTGGTCGTGGTCGTGGTCGTCTCGCGGCCACCTCTCATCACCCCTGACCCGCATCTGTATCCGTTCGAAACAGCACATGACCTCGACCAGCGGCGGCGGCGGCTGAAAGGAATGAGTGGCTGGTCCTGCCACCTGCCATTCACGCAATATTTCGATCCCAGACGCGGCGACTATTCACGTTATATTTCGACTACAGACGCGACACGCCGGTTCCGGCGTTTGAGCAGTGGCGCAGCAGGCCTAAGGCGTGGGGAGCGAGGAGGGGCCGCGGCTCGCGACACGACATGGGGAAATACAATGCCAATGCCTACACCGAGGGGAGGGGAGCTGGAACGACGAAGCAGAAGCACTGGTGGGTGACGAGTCCGGGTCGCTGGAGAAGATAAGATGGTGCGAGACCTCGTCCTCGTCGCTGAAGAAGGCCAGGCCGGGCCGAGGAGTTCACGGGAGAGGCGCAGGTGATGGTGATGCCCAGCTCACACTTGTAGGCCTGCGACGAAGGACGGAGGACCGAGGCCGATGACAAGAACGACCACGACCAGCGCAGCCTGGAACGCAGTCTGCAGCGGACCGGACCTTGTACCTGCTGGTCAAGGACAAGAAGACCCCGGGCCGCAGCCAGGACGATACTCTCGCGAGCTGTGGAGGTTCCCCAGCGGGACGATCGTGGGATTCGAAGGGTTGAAAGAGGTGAGCTGGACTGACGACTCGGTCAAGGCATAGGCTCATGGTTTGGATTGACAAAGGCCGCACCCGCACAGCGCATCCTGTCCACGTCTCTAGGCTCCGATATGAATACTTTTTTTGGTCGGCTACCACCCGGTCGGTCATTACGTGCCGAAATTTGCGTCGCCGCAGCCCCGCCACGCCGTCGGCCACGACACAGAGAGACAAGGCGGCTAAGGAGTCGGCGCCGCTGAAACAGGACCTCGCACGAGAGGGCATCATGGTTGACGCATCATGATTCCGTCAAGTTCGGTCGCTTCGCTATCGTGCCGTGTCAAAGATTTGGTCGAGTCGGGGGCTCGATGGCATGGCTGTATCATGTATAGCTCATTTCAATCAGGTAGATAGATGATGGATGGTTAGTATGGTCAGTCTCATTCTTATTTCCCTTACCCTTATTTTTGACTCTTCCTTCTTCCTTTTCCAGTAACTTGGTACTTTTAAGGCCCTCCGAGTCGTCAAAACTTAACCATCTAGAAGAAACGAGCTTTGGGCCATCGCCATCGCCCCAACGTGGTCAACAGGTCAACAGGTCAACAGGTCAACAGGATAAACTAGCCCGGCCGAGGCTGAGCCTGAGCCGACGTTAACAGTTAAGCCGGACGCGAGCTAGCCTGAAGTAAAAGCAGCGCGAGGTCACGTAGGATAGGAGGTGGACGCCGGACGGCCGTCGAGATTCCGGTGGTGGGTGGTGAAACACATATTCCATATTCCAAGATTGAACATGATGCGGCGAATCAGAGCACTCAGGACTCGCACGCGGTTCTGTAAAGGGGATGCACAATGTCCGAACACGTCTCTCACCTCTCTCACCACTGGCAGCAAGGTGCCATGGACCCACGGGATGAGGTGAGGTGTCACTGGCATGGCAAGACCACAACTTGGGGTGACGAAGATGACAGTGTGCACGTAGAAACGTCTGGGAGGGTCTTTCATGCTTGGAAACAGAGGGTATCGATCCGCATTTTCATGCTTGGAAACAGAGGGGGACGATCCATGGCATGACATTCCCAGATCAATGAGTTCCCAAAGGCATGCAGTGGTAGTGGCAGTGGCGGTCTGCAAGCAGAAACTCACCGCCCTGATAGAGTTGATAGATTTCCGCCTAAGAGTCTATACTCCGTAGACTCGGTCTCGAATCTTGCCAGGGCCAGGGTCCCTGTTCAGCCCTCTGATGCAAGCAAATTGTGACGGATCCAGGGTTCCTGTCCAACCCCCGACGTCGTTGATGCAGGCAAATTGTGACCGATCCAGAGTCCAGTGTCCACTGTCTCTTTGCTGCTGAAATCGAGCGGTGAAGATCAATGCCCGAATTGAGCTGAGCTGAATAGCCAGACCGACTACTCCGTACGAGTACGAGTAACTACCGAGTGTGGCGGATCTCGAATCATTTCAATCTGTCAGAAGCGGAAGCAGTCCCTCAAGATCGGAACGCCACAAAGTTGGTACGGGTTGGGCCAGATGATCAGTAGTGTGCCGATCTTTGGCAGACTGTCGGTAGCCTTCTATGTTAACGCGAACATTTCAATCTGTCAGGACTCCGAAGCAGTCCCTCAAGATCGGAACGCCACCAAGTTGGTACTCGTACGGGCTAGTAGTACTCGTACTAGTAGATGATCAGTAGTGTGCCGATCTTCAAGTTTGACATACTCATACTCATACTCATACGAGTACTGTCGGTAGCTCAGGCCTTTCTTTTTAACCCGAACAGAGGAAGATCGACATCTACCAGCTGAGGCTGAGCGACTCCGCAAGGGGGGAGCTGGCTACCGAAGTCTAGAACTCGACAGACTTTTTGCGACCTGAGACGTGACCTCGACTGCCACTGCGACTGTCGATCTTGGTGGCATTGTGGCAATAGTCCGGGCAGTGAGTGGGGATTCGCCGGAATACCCTACTGTACTCGTACCTGGCCAGCCAGCCATCAACTAATGATAGGCGCTGGAGGGATACCTAAGGAGTAGGCAGAACCGAAGTATGGATCGTATCAACATCATACCACCACCACCACTCGTCCTTAGAGTGACGACACAGGTACATGGTCTTCGTCGTGGCCCACAGCTGGGAGGGGAGAAAACGTGTGTACGGAGTACGGAGTACGGATACACTGTACGGATATGGAGAAAAATGTGTGTACGGTACCTACGGAGACTCCGTATGGATACTAATATCGTATACACATAGAAAGTCGTGACATTTACAAATAGGCGGGAAAGGAAAAGCGGGGAGGGGAGTGGGAGTCAGGCCCGACAGACAGGGTGGCCGGCCGACAGGCAACTCAACCGGCTTGTCCAATATGTCTTGCCCTTGCCCTTGCCCTTGCCCAACTGACTGGCACAGGCACAGGGCTTAGGCTAGGTTGCGAAGCTTGGGAAAGCTTTAGCTTTGGCCCTGAAGCTGAAGCAGATGCTGAAGCTGGAGCTGATCTTCGACCTGGAGACCTGGGATAAGGGCCCTAAAGCTGTTCTTACCTGCTGAGACCGAGGATAAGGACCCAGGACCCAGGACCCTCAACCCTCTCGCCGTAAGTAAGGGACCTGAAGCCCAACCCAACCCAAACCGCCTCTAGATATGGATACTGTGATGGGGGAGCGGCTAAGGCCTGCCTCGGAAATAGGATGGGAATGGGAATGGGAATGGGAATTTCCTCGGGCCCAAGATCGACAAGCAAGCTGCCGGGGAATGGTACCCGACTCCTTCGGTACACTGGCCCTGCGATTGCGGTGTGGCAAATGGCCGATCAAGATCCCACCTACCTAATTATTAGGCAGTTAGTTCGTATGTACGTAGTGTAAAATCGCCATCGCCATCGCCATCGCCCGGGGAATCTATCATCGACCTTAGCCATCTTAGGGCACTGGGACGGACTGTCTTGTCTGGCTAACATTGTTACTCTTGTTCGGATTCGGCCGCGAACACGGCGCACCTGGAGGAATTGCAGTTCAGGTACTTCGTATTCTGCGTGCTAGAGTCCCTAGGGTCGATGGCACACCGTTCCATGTCTGGGGACATGGGCACATTACGCATTCGAAACTAGTAACCAGACCTGGGGGCCATGAACAGGCGTGATAGTGAAGGGCTTAGGCCTTCTTGCACAGCTCAGCTGTCTCCAGGATCGCGACGCTCCTCTATCTGGATTCTCCCTTCTGCTACTCGTACGGAACCGTGATGACTCCTAATGAGGTCTGATCGACCGCTTTGAGTGCGCATCAACGCGTCAAGTCAACGAGAGCTGACCAAAACCAACAGAGGACCGTTTCTGAATGAAATACTAGTTGTCTGTACAATCAATTCTAAATGAGATGGGCGGAGGCTTGGGCCTTTCAAGGTCTGGGCCGATCTGCCCAAGATTAAGCGCGGGTGTCGAACTTGGACGTGATGGAATGACTCCATCTGTCAGTGACGACGGGGCGGATAGGGAGTAGTTTCCGTTCCAGTAGAAATTGGAAATTGGACTGCCGGAGGCCCGCCCCCAGTGATGGATTGATGATGGATTGGATGTTGGGTGCTGGTGGGTGCTGGATGTTAGATGATGGATAATGCATGATGGATGTTGGATGTTGGATGATGGGTGATGGATGATGGATGTTGGACGTTGGATGTTGGAATAGGGGCTATTGACTTTCTCTCAGCATCATCACTTGAGGCAAATGAACACGGGGTGCTGATCAAACGCCCTCACACGCTGGAGCAATGGAAAGTGTTTCCGCTTCAACACCGCTGCTGCAACCACTGCTGATCGGTCAGGGATATATGTGCATCATCGGCCAATGACGATCGCAGCACTGGCGAGGGCCTTGGAGTCGGCTTGATGCACCAAACCGGGTCCAACCCAGGATCGCTGAGCTCCGAACAGGTCCTGGGGAATAGCAAGATTGTCCTTGGAAGCCGTGGCCCATGAAGGAAGCATACATGTACGGATACACAGAGCTAAGAATCGATGATCCTGGCACGTCAAGGATCAACCATGTATGAACAGGTCGATGCAGAGAGGGTCGATGGTCGTGGAAAGCCTCCCCACCACTGAAAAGGGAATCGATCTCTCTTTCTCTCTCTTTCTCTCTCTCTCTCACCGTGACCATGGCAATTTTGCTCCGCTGGCTTAATTCCTGGATCTATTGCAGAAGTCTGGGTCCGGTCGCAACATCTTTCGGTAAAATAGCTCCACCGCATCGTGCAATGCATTCTGACTTTTGGTTGACGCCGGCTCCCCCCATGGCAGAATGGAATTAAGACAAGAGGCTTCCGAAACCTTGTTGATCATCAATCCAAGCGCGATTCGGGGGCGCCGCCCTCCCCAAAACAGCCCTGGAGGGAAGGTATCGGCGCCCTCAGAGTGGATAGTGGATAGACTCCTCTCAGCAGGGACTTGGGAATCTCCACTCCCTGCTGGGCATCCTGCATTTCCTATTTCTTGATCCGTTCAAGTTCTCAATTCTTCAGGGTGTTGCCAACTCAAGTTCAGCCATGCCAGTGGTGGGAGCCTGTCTGGCTTGCTCGCATGTGGGAGAGCCTGATGGTGACTTGCACATTGATCACTGGTGGTCGTGGCCATCGAGATATCCCACAAACAAGGTCAATGGTCATTCTACCATTCGCACAAGTCAGCGGCGTCGTCAGTGGAGTGCCATCACTAGCCATCACAACCAGGCGACGGGCCTGTCCTCTAGTTGTCCATGTGGTCTGACATTTGACGTCTGTGCTGTACTGCGTATTGTCTCGTGTGCAGGAAAAGCTGCTAATGTCCCATCACCTAAAGCGACGCCGGCGCTCGAAGCAGGAGAAACAGGAAAAACATTCACCAGGGACCAGTCCATTCCGAAGCATTTTCGTACTCGTAATTATTCGTTCACTTCGGCATCACCATGTCCGGGATCAAAAGCGATCCACGTGGAAGATGGAACCACATGGCTTGTTCAGCTGAACATCGGAGAGAGCCTAATGTTGGTACGCAGACGCAGACGCAGACGCATCCTCATCCTGCTGGAGGAGGAGGATTTGAGCTAGCCACAAGTCTCCTCCTCAAGAGCGAGCCTAGATGCTTTAGGCGGTATAGCATGTAGACAGACACCACAGTTGCTATTATTAACAGTGACTTGGGAGCTGGAGGTGGAGGTGGAGGTGTCAACATACGGATACTCTGGAGCTGGCCCCTCTTATGGCAAAGTGGGAACCGTCTTCTGTCTTCTGTCTTCTGGTCGAGGGAAGATCGACTTGGGTGCCCGGAAGCCTCTCACCCAAGACCCAGATTTGCTGATTCTCGAGCGACGCAAGATGGCCAGTGCTTCGCGACTGACACCACTTCATCTGCCTCCTGTTACTTCTTGCAAAGTCGGTGGGTTGGATGCGAGGACTTGACCATACATGACCCTCAAACTTGGACAAGTAGGGATACAGTATCACTGGTGCACTCCGCGGAGTACGGAGTACACCACACCACACCACACCAATAAGCCTGCCAAAAAGTTGCTGGTTAGGGCCTCCTTGTCCAGGTCAAGCTCAGTGACCACGCGTCGCACAGTCTAGTCCCCGGCTAAGATGTGCGGTCAAAATGCACGGTTGTTCATGACGTGGGGTGGCATAGGGGCCAATCGAACATTCTGTACGGAGTAGGGAAGACCACGCCATTCGCGCCAGAACGCCATCTGCCGAACTCGAAAGAGATAGCTTGGCCCTCACCGCATAGATGCAAACATACAGAGTACAGACGACTCTGTATAGAGGATGGAATCCCTGCAGGCTGTGGCGCAGCTGACCGCGATGGCTGTGATCGAGTGTGGCCGATGAATACAGAGTGCTGTAGCCATACTCCGTACCGTATGGAGAGTACTCAGTACTGTACGTTACTGGTACGTACTTTCGAAGGGGTGACTCTTGACAGGCCAGCCCGGTCCACCGGCAGCAAGCTGACTGGAGCGCTTTTTGCACCCTCACTTCGATAGCCGCTCCCAAGAAACGTCGAGCCACCAGAAGTGGAGGGCGCCACCATTGGGGTTCCGGGATGCATCCTGAGTAATAGCGTTGGCGCCTCAACATCCCCCCGGCGGACGGTGAGACTGTAATGTCCCTAGAGACGACCGTCGGTCGATCCGGACTTTCGGAGGAGGGGCCAGACAAACCCAACACTGATCCTAGAGATCGGATGCAAACAAGACATCGATCATAGCCGCCATCAACCGAGCAGGCCGAATCCCAGGATTTCAGCGCAGCCAGACCGACCAATGTGTATACGGACGGATACATCCACCGCAGCCTCGACCCAGGTTGACAGATTCGTCGGTCCAGAGTTCATGCTCGGATCGGGCACCCTCGGCTTGTAGGAGTAGGAAATAGTCTCATAGTAGTAATGTTATTGTCACGACACTGGACTTCCGACTTCCGACTTCCTGTGTGCCTGGCAGAAATGGCACGGGACCTCCATGGGCCGTATACGTCAATTGGGCGGAAGATCGTACACTGTTAGACGCAGATCTGTCCCCGACTATACCCTTCAGAGGCAGACCCTCGAGTTTCCAAGCGAAGGGTTCCGACCGGCGGACGTCTCCTGTACCAGGCATTGAGACCTATCATACCATACCTTTCCACTGTCAACCAGCGCTGGGGCTGGCGCCCAATCGTCCATCACCTGCGCTACCGCGGATGATCGGGCGTGCTGATCGTGAGTCCCAGGTTCCTTCAAGCTGTTCTGGACTCTGCACTTTGGACTTTGCCATGCTCATCATCGAGCTGGGTTGTGGCTCTGCCTTGCTGGCACGCTTGATCGTACCTGGGCCCATCCCCCATAATGTTAACTGGGTCAGAAGCTCAGGTATGGCCATCATGGCGTTTTGGGTCATTGCAGCTAGCCTCGATCTCCTGGACAGTCTCTTTCCGCCGCCATCAAGCCATGATCAAAGGGCCAATAATGGTCCAAGTGCGATGGATCCTGTCCCCCCCAATGCTAATGGAGCTAAGTTGGCCTTTCGCCATGTATGTTTGACTTCCTGGGTCTGTTGAGTGGGAATGACTGGGCGCCACAGGCTCTAGTATGCAATGCACGATCCATTCATTCACCATGTCCTCTTGTGCATATGCTCTCAGACTCCCATGCTTGCTTTGTGCATCGAAAGGCGCTTGTCTTGTTCGGTGCTGGGATTCGCGTATGGAAACTCTGCTGGCTGCTGGCTGCCCCAGTCTTCTCTTTCTGGTGGACTATTCGAGAGAAGACGATTGAACCCCGTTTCTCATCGATCCGCACACAGTTAGTAACAGCAGCAGCCCTAACATATTTCTCAGACGCCCGAAATCTGACTGATGTCGTTATTTCTTCTGCTTCTTCACAGCTGTCGAAGCCCAAGCCCGTTGATTGAGTCTTGGACCGAGCCTCTGCCGATCTGCTCGCCGTGGATACCGGTTGCTTGACATGTCCAGTTCCGCTTAGTCCTTAGTCCTGTCAACATTGTTACCTTTACCTTTTAATAACGCCTTCTGACCATCACTTCCACTCGCCCGCTGGCTCAGCTTCTCTACCGGGGTCGAGGTCGACAACTTGAAATCGTCGCGATAATCTTGGTCGCGTATACGAGGTACATCGACTCGTGCCAATTCTCTGGAATTCCTCCATCAGTCTTGATCGACGAGGCCCTCGCTCTGCAACCGCGAGTAGACCCGTTTAGCAAGGCTGGCGCAGCGGCGTAAACAGCGCCAGATTCGCAACTTACCTCAGCCATTTGATCTGCAACATATGGAGTCCGTTTCGGTGACAGTGCGAACCCGATTCTGCGAGTGATGTGGCTCAGCAACACAGGATATTGCATCGACCTTTACCATCATCGAGGGGAGGAAGGCGCCGCCTTTGGGCTGTTGTATGCGGTGACGCAGGTCGCCCCTGCTGGTCGACAGTGATGCAAGAGGAAGCAAATAATTTCGCGAGTTTCGCAAAGGAGGGTACCTCTGCTCAAAGTCTATCCCATAGGGCGAGTGACCCTCTGGTCATGCCCAGCTTAGTGGACAGACTGGACTCGTCGCCGAACGCTCGCGACATGGGGTTTGAGGGACTGGGACTGCCTCTGTCACCAGCCGAAAAGAGGAGAAATAAACTAGGGTATCATCGCACCGCGGTAGCATGTGGTTAGTCTCTTGACCTGATGTCCTGCAGACGAACATGATTGACAGGACGCAGGCCATTGTCGAAGACGTAAGATTCGTTGCCTGCCTGCCTTTGACGATCCAGTTGGTAGATGCCAGAATTGCATCCGGCTGAAAAAGGACTGTCATTTCTATCCCGTGGAACAGCCGAATATTGGCCCGGCAAGACGCCTAGGTTCAGACACCAAATCCACCGAAGGGGCTTCCAATGAAGCCGATACTTCGGTGGCATCGTCCTCTCCCGGTGGTATTCTGAGGAGTGCCTCCTTTGAACGATTTGAACAGGTCGATGGCCGACTGGACAAATCCCCTTTGTCGAGGGACAGTCCTGGGTACCCCGGGTTTCATCCCGGCCCTAGGTCTATGTCTGGACCCGGTAGGACCAAGCCACGCCTTCAATTGCTTCGTCGCTGATCAACACAGGCTTTGACTATCCAAATCCGTACGACTACCGTCAGCAACCGCAACAACAACATCCGCAGCAGCCGCAACAGGTACTCAACCGTCACTCACCTGGGGGTTATGTGACTGATTCAAGGAATGCACAGTTCTACCCGGCATATGGACATTCCTCGCACGGACCTTATCCACCTGTCTTTATCACCGGCGCTGTATCTGGATCTGGGAATATGACAGCATTTTCGAGAGACAGCGGTTACGACTATCGGGTGTCGTCCCCTAATGGAGTATATAATTGGGGACAGTCACCTGCAAGATCAGTCTCAATGGGCGAAACTGGAGATTCACCGCACAGTTTCCGTCCCACATATCGGATGCAGAATTACCCCTCGATTGAACGGAGAGTCACAGGCGATATACAACACCTCCCGCCGACAAGCACTGGCTTCATGCCTATGAGCGTGGAAACCCAGACTGGTACAGACCCGACCTTTCCTGAACCAACAGCTTATCCGCCGATACCATGGCCTGGCCATGAACAAAGGGCACAGTTGTCAGGGTCTTCTGGAGCCCCAACCCCGGTGTGGTATCCTCAGCAATCCGGGCTAATGGATGTGAGAGACGGTGAACGCCAACCGCATATTCTCCCTTCGCAAGATCGTGAATCCTGTTGATGTTACATAATACCAGCTTGAATCTCACATTGATATCGAAGAGTCTTCGATATTCGACTCTGGTCCTCCACAACGGTTGAGACACGACGAGCAGTTCCTGCGAGATTCAATTCTGAGCAAACTGGTTCGGCTGATCCGGTGGGGTTGCAGAAATATAAATAGTGCTGCAAAATCCTCGAATCCTCAGCGTTGCCATCCATCCAGCGCTCCTGAGCCAGCAGTCTCAAGATCCAAGAAGGAAGGATATACGAGGGCAGCGACTTTCGACTGCGCATCAACCAAATACTCATTCATTTCGCAAAGAAACCACGATGCCGTTCGAGTTGCACTTCCACCAGACCCCAGCGAGACACGGAGACCAGCACAGGCAGGCAATCCTCGAGTCCTTTGGCACGCACTACGAGAGAAACAACATTGTCTTCGACCGAGCGGAGATCCGGTATGATAACGACTCGGTCGAATTTCAAGGGTTGAAGTTGAATCTAATCGTTCTGATATAGCGGGTGGTTGTATACACCGCATACTTCCGAACAAGATCCAGACCTTACCCCCTATTTTACAGTCAGATTGACCAATCCCAAATTACGAGAACGAGGCGACCACCGTGCGCTGTATTGGCGCCCAAACGGCAACAATGTCTTTTCCACCGAATCATCGAGTCAGTGGCAATCGTCTTATATAAAATATAGGGCAAAGAGAAAGAGGGCGTGTGATGCCAGACAACAGCAAAGCAAAAGAGCTTCCTAGATCTCCTCTCTAGGCTCGAATATGTACCACAAGATGGACATGCTCCTCCCCGTCCTTAGGCGTACAGGTGGCTCCGGCTCGTTCTAGGCACCGTGCTGAGCATACTCCGGCTTGCTTGAAGTTGCAATCAGCCTTCTGAATCGAGTTGCATCCTCTGCACAACACCCGTGACTGCTTAGCGTCCTTGAACGAAGTCCCCTTCTCCCAAATCCCCGACCGTACGCCGCATAGTTTGCAAAATCGCTGAGTGGCATCTTTGTGGCCCAAACTTCGGCTCCCCATGGCTTGCGCGTCGGTGAAGCACTCGCGTGGCAACTTGCGGAGGCATATATAGCAATTGAGCCTCGTGGCTTTAGTGAAAAAGTTGGCGTGGATGTTGTTGATTGCATGGATTGAGCTTTCTGGGAAGGCTCTAGCCCAGGTAGCAGAGTTGTTGAGCCGTATCTGTCGACGGCCATGGTCGGCTTGTTCCTCAGCACGCAGCTCATTCTTAAGCTTCGCTCGGAGATCTTTGATCATTGCGGAAGGGACCAACTTGGTTGCTGCGTGGCACGTCTGGCGGAGATTGACCACATCATGGTATTCAAGCCCAGAGAGGATTTGGTCCTTCAGTTCTTGAGGCACTGTAAACATAGATGGCGGGAGTGGCGTCCAAGTGTTCTCCATGGTGATCTCGTGCCCAGAATCAGATCCGGATGGTTCCATGTCTGTTCTCAGAGAATGGCACTCCGCGTTGTATCTGGGACCTTGCTTCGAAAAGGACTTCAAATTGGAGCAGACAGATCAATAGACCACCATCGGACTCCCTGACTTGTAATTATCCAACGGATATTGTCTCTCCTATAAATAGCCTGGAGCAAGCGGTGGTGCAAACGAGAGTTGCAAGTATAGTCATGCTTTGCATCTTCACAGTGCAACACCATCGATCAGTATATATATAATGCTGGGGCCACTCGGTGACTCAGGGCTCCGGCGATCAACCACACTTCAGTGTGAGACCGGGCGCTGTTCCGTTGTATAAGGCAGAGGTCCTCTGCCAGGGGTACCACGGACGACGATAGAGCGTTAGGGTGGATGCCAGAGTTCAAGGCAGTTTGTCCAACTGCTACTTCGATAGGATCAGGGAACCCTCCAGCTCTACCAGATGGTCATCTTTCCAAGATACTATATATACTCTACAGCCTCCCTCGAGTGACTCTCCTATTCTCCGTACCTATTATATAAATTCAATATCTACGGACTAGAGATACGGACTAGAGATAGTAGGCACCCAGCCTTAGCGTTACACATTATGTCGGCAAAGTTTCCTGGTACAGGCCCACACGCGCCCTCCACTCACCGAGTTGGTCTGCGATTTAACTCTGCCAGTAATAATATGCCCTCTGGGTTTCCACAATCACATTTCTCTCTCTCTCTCTCTCTCCCTCTCCCTGTCCCTCACCCACCATGGAAACCCTCAGTGATGAGGTCTGGGATGTCGTTATAGCCGGCACAAGTAAAGCTCAGTCGCTCTTGGCATTGTATGGCCCCATTCTCTGTCCCAGATCAGGCTCTAACTGACTGACAAAGTTTGCCTGCCTAGGTCACTTTCCAGGTCGGGCAAAAAAGTCCTGCATCTCGACCGTCACCCTTATTATGGAGGGACTGATGCCGGTCTAAGCCTGCAAGATGCAGAAGAGTGGGCTCGAGACTTGGAGAGATGTGAGCACGGAGTTCAGAAGCAATAGACTCCCAGAAAGGCGTCGACTGACACTCTCTAGCTTCCAACAACGTCTTCCAACGAGCCTCCATATCGAAACCTACCCACAGCGATGAAGGCAGCACCGAGACCAAGCTTGGTTCGTCTAGAGCTTACACCCTCAGCCTGAACCCACAGATTATCTACGCCCGATCCGACTTCCTTCCGAAACTAGTTTCTTCACGGATACATAGTCAGCTCGAATTTCTGGCTGTCGGTTCGTGGTGGGTCCACAGGCATGGAGCATTGCACAAGATCCCAAGCACGCGCGAGGATGTCTTCAATGATGAGTCGCTGTCCATGAAGGACAAACGTGCACTTATGAAATTCCTTCGACACGCTTTGCAAGAAGATGCGGAATCATTGCCTGATCAAGAGGAAGAAGCCCTGATGTCGCTGCAAGAGGCTCTTGACACTAGATTCAAAATCCCCAAGTCTCTACACGCGCCGCTCCTTGCACTTGCGCTCTCTCCTGTGGCTGCACATTCCATTCCTTTCGGTACAGCTCTGGCTAGGATCAGGAGGCATATGCGCTCAATGGGCTATTTCGGTCCAGGCTTCGGTGCTGTCATAGCGAAATATGGGAACACGTCGGAAATCGCCCAAGTGGCCTGCAGGGCGGGAGCTGTCGGAGGCGGCGTATATCTGTTAGGGCACGAGTTGAAAACACTCGACTCTGTCAAGGACGACTCCGCGAGCACAGACGAAACCGGCAACAATCCTGTTCTGCTCGAAGGCTCACTCTCGGATGGCACTCGAATTAGGTCTCGATTTGTTACCGGGACCCTGGATGATCTTTCGCCACTACAGCCAGCGTCATCTGATGACGCGCCATCTTCCGGCACCTGGAAATCAGTCAATATCGTGGCAGATCCACTGAAGACACTCTTCCCCCAATCCTCCGACAATGGACCAGTACCGGCTGCAGCAATTGTGTTGGTAGACACGGATACTGAGAACCCTGGTAAGAGTCCGATTTATCTGCAGATACACACTGAAGATACTGGTGAATGCCCAGCCGGTCAATGTAAGTTTTGCAATCTCCTGCGTCCTTTATTCCTTCTATGATGATCCAACCTATGAATACTTATCTACATTGCCTGAGCATTCTGTGCTTTGCTGATACTTATCCTCTGACAACCTGACCTGGAAATCAATCCATGACCCTACCTTAAGCTCTGCTGTAAGACTCTGGCTAACTTGGATTGGCAGGTGTCATCTATGCGTCCGTGGCTGCGGATGACGAGACTGCAAAGGACAGGCTTGAAGCTGCATTCGACGGGTTTATTGAGACGGCCGGTGCCAAACATTCGCTTCTCTGGTCACTGTCGTATCTAGTGCTCGGACCTGCGGATGAACCAGCCTTATCTTACCCTCGGTTACGCAAGCACTCCTCCCATGTCCTGGTCTTTCCCCCGGAGCCTAGTGATATCTCTTTTCCTGACGGTGTCCTCGATACAGTAAAGGAGGCTTGGGCACTTATTCTTGGGGCAAGCGCGGCAGACGACTCCTTCTTGAAATTCGAGGCAGGCGACATTGACGCCGAGCAGTGATCGCGATTCCTGGTAACTGCAGAGCCCTTACCGGTCCATCTGAGAGGATCTGTGTTGCCCGCCACCCTCTCCCCCTGACTTTGTGAATCAGCTTTCGCTTGAGAACCCTTCTTACGAGATCATGACATTACTCGATTCTAGTCGGAGAAGCCAATTGGTCTCTCCCTTCCGAAGCTGGACGCAGGTCACATGTACTCGCCGTCTTTCGGCCCAGCTTTATGAGGCAACTAGAGCGTGTGCATTGCTCCAGCTAGCCGAACAGGACTGTTGATTTGCTCAACTACGACAAAGGGTGTTCACCTCCTTCTCGTCTATCCCTGTTTGCACGCCGTTCCGCGTGCCCTATCTGCTTTTGGAGAATGATCGGCCTGTTCCGTCTAGTCTAGACACCGTCCTTGGGCAGGTAAACTGGGGCAGGTAAACTCAGTTATGAACCTCTGCCCACCTGCTGGGAATTGCCTTGATGATGGAGCGTTCACTTACGTATGAGAAGTTTTTAGCGAGAGAAGACGTTTCTGACACAGCAGTGCTTCGTGACTGGTCACACTTGCACCGTCCATGGACTTGCTCTACGGCACTGCATTGCTACGCAGATAAAGCCTCACAGAGCACAGCACCGACGATGTGACGGACGTTGAGAGCATTGACAAGTTCTCCGGTCCGGGATAGACTTACTAGACGATGTACTTCAACCACTCCAGATCGCGACTCCTTTCCTTGTTTGGCACTCGAACAGATGTCACATTGGACAGGCAAATGGATTCTCACATGAAACCCTTCCTGAGGATATACGTGTACACGTCCGGAGTATCCGTACACGTACCTACCTAGTACCTTACACATAGCTGCCAAGCGATGCCATGGCTCTAATTCATTGGGCTAGTACTAGTACCTCCACTAACTGAGGCGAGCACGTGATCATCCACTACCATGGTATCCTCCGTACCTCGGGCATCAGCCTGCGTCCATGCCCCTCGCTTCCACCCTCTCCCACCATGCCACCATGCCACCATCCAACCATCCACCATCCACCGACCTCTGGCTCCAGCCATTCATCTCTCGTCTTTCGCCCTTCGTCCTGCATACGGAGCGCGACTGTCATGCACCCTGCATCTTCCCCGAAGGCTCTCGTGTGCATTCATGGACCTATTATTATTGCTGGTCCAACCTCTCCTGCGAAGGACCACTCATGCAATCAATGTGCGGTGACTTCCATCCTTATCAACGGCGGCAGAGACAAGGCCAAAGCCCTTCCGGAGTACTACTCCACGCCTACTTCGATGACTCCAGACTCTCGGTTTGCCTCGAGGGAGCCGCCATGGATGCGGCATTCTGGGTCAGAGGAAGAGCAACGTCTGTGGACAGGTCTCAATGCTATTGCGACTGACACATCTGGTTTTATGGGACTGCAACTTTTCCATGCCCTATCTTGCGAGAGAAAAAAATCAACCGACACTACACTTGCCGTGTCTCTTGATCACCCGGCTCCTGAAACAAGTGGGTTGGTAAGTGGTCCAACACACTAGGACTGACCACGCTCCGGTCGAACTTCCGCACACACCACCAATCGTGACCCCCAGATTCTTCAGCCTGGCTCCATGTTAACTATCTACGCATGCATCCCTATCCCACCTCCAACTTTTCTTTTGACTCGCAGTACAGTAGCGTGGCCTTCACCATGATCGAATCGCGGGCTCTGTTACGCCCCATATCAGCTGTCAATGGGTTCGACTCTGCCACCCACCATTACATGTGCATCCCACAAGGTCACATACCCGCTGATATGCTCCGCTGGCGACATCGATCTACACCTGAGTTCCGCTCGGAAGAGACTGCTCGGCACGATGTGTAGCCGTTTCCTTTTAAAGGATTCTTTCCTTTCTCTACCCTCTCGACCCTGACTCTGTGTGTACTTTTGAATTAGGAGGAAGTCGTGTTGTTGACGATCTCTTTTTTTTTTGTGTTGAGTTTCTCGTTTGGTCAGAAACACAACGTTCCCCTCGTTGACGCTGTCCAATTGACTTTGGACCGCCCGGCAGTATCTGAAAAGCCACCAACAGTCCACATACTGTTGTGGCATCATTCGCTATAACTGTGCAGCTCGGATTTACTCGTTCTTTGGCAGGACAGCCCTCACCCGTTGAAAGCACACGAGAATGAAGTTCACAACAGCAGCAACACTACTGTTCTCGGCCAGCTTAGCGGCCGCCCGGCCGTTGACGGCTAGAGGTCTGATAAATGACGCAGCAGGTCAAACATTCGACTACATTGTGGTGGGCTGCGGTGTATCTGGCCTCGTTGTTTCTTCACGTTTGAGTGAAAACGAGGACGTAACGGTCCTCTGCCTCGAAGCTGGATCCCTGTGAGTATCCGGCACTCTAGAAAGACCGAAAAACCATGGTTAATCTCCAAAACAGTGATCATTATGAGGATGAGATTCTGATTCCGTACTATATCGGTCTGCAACCCTATGGCTTCTACGAGTGGGGAATATATACAGTGCCTCAAAATCAACTAGACGGCGTGAGCCGGCACATTCCCCTGGGCAAAGGGGTGGGTGGAGGTTCTCTCATTAACGGTATGGTATGGAATCGAGGAAACCAACGGAGTTTCAATGCGTGGAATGATGTGGGAAACTCTGGATGGGGTTGGAATGCCCTTCTCCCTTACTTTGAGAAGGCAAGCGGATCTCGGAACCCAGGCAGAGCATCATCAGCTAACCTATCCTGCTCAGTCCGAGACATACACGCCGAAGAACTATGACGGCGCAGAGGTGCAACCTGAGTTACAGAATCCCGCGGTCCACGGCACCAGTGGCCCGGTCCAGGTTTCTTATCCGAACTATTACTGGCCGCAGACGGACAACTGGTTTGCAGCACTGCACGAGCTCGGAATCCCAACTTCTGCCGAGCCCAATGAAGGGTTGACCGCGGGAGGCTACTTCTTACCGTTAGACATCGATCCCAACAACCAGACACGCTCTGACGCACGTCGCTCGTACTACGACCCTAACATTGCACGCGACAATTTCAACGTTCAACCCAACTCCCAAGTAACCCGGATCCTGTTTGACCAAGGCGACCAATTGACAGCTACGGGGGTCGAGTTCGCAACCGGCCCGTCCTCGCCACGTCAGACAGCGTATGCCTCCCGCGAAGTCATTCTCGCTGCGGGCGCGATTCACAGCCCCCAACTGCTCGAGCTCTCGGGTATTGGGCAGGCTTCTGTGCTTCAGGCTGTTGGCATTGAGGTGCTTGAAAACCTCCCGGGCGTCGGCAACAACCTCCAGGACCATGGCATGATTCACCTGGACTACCACTATACTAATCCGTCCGTCATGGATATTGGTGATTTCGCCAGCAACTCAACCTTCAATGATGAATCCGCTGCCGAGTACTACGCCAGTAAAACCGGCCCTTGGACGGCCAAACCCAGCTGTGCAGTTGCATTTCCATCTCTACAACAAGTCACCGATGACGCAGCATCCATGCTATCGTCCGCTAGCTCAGCGCCCTACAACCTGCCATCGACCTACGATGACGAGCCGACACTGCAAGCCGGATACGAGCGTCAGATTTCCAGCGTGCTTGATGAGCTGTCGAGCGAGGACATTCCGGCGTTCGAGAACTTGAACAACAACGCGGGCGGGTTAGATCTGGCTCTGATGCGACCACTCTCCCGCGGAACCACACATGTCACATCGACCGACCCCTTCGCTTCTCCGAATGTTGACCCGCGATGGCTAGTGCATCAGTTTGACTACGATGTGATGATCCTCGCCATGCAGGTGAACCAGCGCATTCTCGACACGAACGCGATCCAGGAGCTCCAGCCTTCATATAGCCAGGTGTCTCAAGATGCGTCGGTCGACGAACTCGGACAGGTCTTGCGGGCCGGCATCGGGACCGAATTCCACTACTCATGCACAACAGCCATGTTGCCCCGGGATCTCGGCGGTGTGGTGGACAACGAGTTGCGGGTGTATGGGACGAGCAATCTCCGGGTCGTGGATACAGGCATCTATCCTATGGTGCCGGGAGCACATCTGCAGGCTGTGGCGTACGGTGTTGCCGAAAAGGCCGCCGACTTGATCAAGGCCGCCCAATAAGCACCGACAAGGACCCAAAAATGGGTGATGGGAAAGTATTAAGATTTGGAGAGAGCGCCGACCGGATCCAATATGAATGCGATTTACGAACCATTTGTGCGCCTGGACACCTAAACGGAGGACTATGCCTAATGTTTATCAACGATAATGAGGAGGATTTCGGAGGATGGGATGGTTGAGGTTCGAAAACAATCTCCACGAAGAGGGATGTGGATGTATTATAGATGGACGACCAGGATTCTCATTGGGACGCAAAATAGAATATGCCTCTGAGCAGAGTATTACGCACTACGCTTGGCCGGAAGCATTCAACGACAACTGCGCATGAAGACCACAACGGCAGCGCCATGTGGATGAGGACGAACATGGACCACGGGCTCAACTGCTGCGGCCAGAATGACAGGATCGTGAGACTCGGGTGTCTGGCTGTAGTTTGTCTCACGAGGTGTACGAGTTGGACATGTGTGTGTATATATGTATAGAGTATATATCCATGTGTTTCCATGGTTGTCACTCAGCCTGATGGCCCGGCGGCCGGACGGCTCAGTAAGCCTGACGAGGAATTCCCGAGGTGAGCCCGGCCGCCCGGTCATTACAGGACATGTGCTCACCGACTTGTTGCCATACTGTACCAGATATCAAGCACAGCTAAAAAGCCTCCGACCAGGAGACATCGAACATCTGGCGAGTGAGTCTACATCGACATCGACGAGGTCCTAGTCGAATCGAGACGAGACATCCATCCCGCCCGCCTCGGATCGCCATGACCACCCCTTCAGGCCGGCTGCAAGGCCGAGTCGCCATCGTAACAGGCAGTTCGTCGGGGTTGGGGCAGGCCATCTGCCTCGCTTTTGCAGCGGAGGGGGCTTCTGTGTTTTGCATCGACCTGCACCCGACCGCAGCGCCACGACACAACACGTCGACGGCAGCCGGGGCGGCCGGGCGGACGGCGGAATCATCCTCGTGGTCGACCGGCGTGCCTCTGCCTTCTCTGCATTACTCCTCTCGGGGAAGTTCGGCAACGGCGACGGCGACGGGGACAGCGGCTGCAACTCCTCCTCCGGGGTCGGGGCCGAACCCGGGCCAGCAAGCCGGCACGCACGAACGCATCCGCCAGACGGGCGGCGAGGCGACGTGGCACCGGGCGGACGTGACTCGGGCACGGGACATGGAGCTCGCGGTGCGGGCGTGCGTGCAGCAGTACGGCCGGGTCGACATCATGGTGAACAACGCGGGCGTGAGCGTCGAGAGCACGCACCCGCGACCGCTGCGGTGCCACGAGACGGGCGAGGACGACTGGGACCGCACGCTGGCGGTCAACGCCAAGGGCATGTTCCTGGGATGTAAGTACGCGTTGAAGCAGATGCTCGGTGACAGCAACGCCAACCCTAACCCTAACCCTAACCCTAACCGCGGCGACGTCTCCGGCAGTGGTGGTGGTGGCGCCGGTGGCACCAGTGGCCAGCCTCAACGCTACGCCTCGCGAGGCTGGATCGTCAACGTCGCCAGCGTGCAAGGCCTGGTGCCGTACTACGGCACGCCGAGCTACTGTGCGTCCAAGGGCGCCGCGGTCATGTTGACCAAGCAGATCGCGCTGGACTACGCGCCCGACCGGATCCATTGCAACGCGCTGTGTCCGGGCTTCCTCGACACGCGCATGACGCAGAACCTGCAGAGCCAGGACCGTCTGCTGGCCGACATCCAGTCCAAGCATCCCTTCGGCGGCACGCTCGGCTGTGTCGACGACGTCGCGAAGGCCGCGGTCTTTCTGGCCAGCGACGATGCCGCTTGGATCACGGGCGTGCCGGTACCGGTGGACGGGGGGTATTTGTTGCGCTGATGAGGGACTATCTCACCATCTCACCATCTCATCACGGGCGTTCCGTTGCCGGTGGACGGGGGGTATTTGCTGCGTTGAGGTCTAAGGGACCATGTCGACTGAGAACAGATTACTTCGTATAGAGTCCTAAGGGACCATGTCGACCATGTCGACCATCTCGACCGAAGACAGGTTAGGCTCCGTATAGGGTCCTAAGGGACCATCTCGACCATCTCGACCATCTCGACCTTCTCACCATCTCGACCATTTTGACTGAGGACAGATTACTCCGGGAAGAGTACGGCTACAGAGTACGGCTACACAGCACAGACAGACAGACAATGCGCCTACCCCCCAGGTCCAGGTCGGCATCGACATCGGCATCGGCATTGAACATGTGTTTGCTTATGTATCCTGCATTTTGCTGGCTGGCTGGCCTCCCTACCTATCTCTCATCTCTCCATCCATCCACACACACCCTTCTTGGGGGAGAGAGGCTGACGCTTGTGAGCCACCGACCGCGTCGCGGAGGCGGTGACAACACTTGCAATGTAACATGGACCAGACTTTCTGGTGATCTGGTCAATCCCATTGCAATCCCCGTGCCGCACGCAGTCCACCAAACAGCGGAAGGGTTGCCTCGGACTCCTAATTCCTACTCCTACTCCTCAGCAATGGCCAACCAGGAATCGCAACACCTACTCCTACTCCTCAACAGCCTCAATGGCCAACCACGAATCCACCCATCGGCGCTCATTCTCGCGCAACTCCTCGCCGGGCCGCTTGTAACAAGTGTCCAGCACCTGGCGCATCCGCTCTCTCAAGACCTTGATGGCCATCAACTGTCTCCAGTGCCGGACCGCCAGCTTGACCTTGCCGAAACCCAGCACCAGCACGCCGGCAAAGAACTTGAACTCGGCGTCGCCCACGCCCACCAGCAGTGCCAGGGCCGACTCGGGCACCGACGACGTCTCAAACACATTGAGGTTCCCGCTGCGGTTCTGCATGGCCTCGTAGAACGACAGCCAGCGTGGCGGTCTGGCGTTGTTGCTCGGATGGTTGATGGACCGAGCCGTCAGCGACACCTGCTGGTTCGTGTACACGTTGCGCCAGCCCTTGCCTTCACGCAACAGGATTCGAGGGTACAGCGCCATGGCCATGAGCGAGTTGAGCGCCCGGTCGCTGATGCTCTCGCTGTAGCGGCTGGGGATGGTGTAGAAGACGCTGCCGCCACCGCTGCCGCCGCCGCCGCCACGACCTCCCACTCCTCCTGCTCGGGCTCGGCTCAACGTGGCTTTCTCCTCGGCTGACAGGACCACCAGGCCCGCGTCCACCAAATACACCAGCAGTTGGATTTTCTGCTCCTCGACCTGCGACATGGCTTGGTCGGAGATGTGGTTCTTGCGGCAGAAGTCTTGCGCCAACCGGGCCGTCTTTGCTCTTCGCCAGCTTTCGTACGCGTTGAAGGATGAAAGAAGGTCCGAGTCGCTACGGCTGAAGATCTGTCGAAAGTCCGCTTGTGAACCCGAACCGCCACTGGCGGAAGCAAGGAACGGAGATTTGGAAATCAGGAGAGAAATGATGGCGAGCACGGGATCCTGTCACGTCGGCCCTTTGGTTAGTAGTGATAATATGACCAGAAATCGATCTTGCCGGAGCACGGGGGGTCAAACACAACACGTACCAGACATCTGAAGATGACGCCGAAAATGGCCAGTTTGGCCAACGTCACTTCCAACGGCAGACGAGCAATTTGCTGGCCCAAGGGCGTCAAGGCCTCGGCCTTGGTCAACGCTCCGGCGTCCTTCAGCTTCTCGATGGCGCGGAGCATGTTCTTCCTCGAAGGCGGATCGATCGCCGCATTGAGCGTCTCTTCAATCGAGCCCAGATCCCACACTTTGATGCGCAGAATAGGGTCCTGCAAGCCGAGCCTCAGGATCTCGGGCACCTGCTGCTCGAGCATCGAAGTCTCGAAGCGGTGCTTCGTCACCAGGTGGAAGCAAAGTCCCTCCTGGACTCGAGCAGCGCGCCCACGTCGCTGCCGCGCCGAAGACCGCGAGATGAAGCCCTCGGTCAATCTGGACAGTTGCCGGCGCTCGTCAAACCGCATCACTTTCTCCTTGCACGTGTCGATCACGGCCGTCACGTCCGGGATCGTGATGCCCGTTTCCGCAATGTTCGTGGCGATCACAATCTTTCGGTAGCCTCGCGGTGGCCGCTCAAACGCCTTCTCCAGGTCTTCCGTCGAGAAGGTCGAGTGAAGCAGGTAGACGAGCCAATTCCGGCCGAACGTGTCCAGGGACAGGAGCAGGTTATGGAGACGGCGCATTTCGCCGATGCCCGGCATGAAGATCAGGATGGCGCTGCTGTATTTCGCGTACTTGGGATTGCTGGCGATGGACGCGGCGAGCTTGACGATCAAGTTATAGTCGATGCGATACTCGTCCATGGTGGACAAGGCGCGGACCGTCTGGCTGCTATATGCCTCTGGGTTGTTGACGACCGGCCGCCCTTTCTCGCTGCCGTAGAAGTCGTCGAGATCCGGACCCGGACCATCGTCCTGCGTCGACGTCGACAATGCCTTGTCCTTCAGGCCCTGCGTCGCTTCGACCGCGTCCTCGAGGAAGCCGACCTCGACGGGGAACGTTCTTCCTGGGAGATCCAACACCGGCGCGCCTCCAAAGTAGGCGGCAAACTTCCTTGCGTCGACCGTGGCCGACATCAGCACCATCTTCAACGTGCTCCGTCGCTGCTGCAGCTTCTTGAGCGCGATAAACAGCAGATCCAGATCCATGGTTCGCTCATGCACCTCGTCGAGGATGAGGTAGTCCAGCTCGTCCAGATCCGGAGACTCCTCCAGCATCCGGAGCAGCACGCCGGTCGTGGCGTACGTGATGCGCGTGCTACTGCTCGTTTTGGCCTCCAGGCGGATCGCGTACCCGACCAGAGACCGGGCCGTGCCCAGGTCGCTGCGACTCTCGCCCAGCTCCTGTGACACGCGCCTCGCAAGCGTGACGGCCGAGATTCTTCGCGGCTGCGTGACCAGGATGCGACAGTCTCGGCCCTGGCCGAATGCTTGCTCCAGCAGCAACACCGGGATGCCCGAAGACTTGCCCGCCCCGGTTTCGGCGCAGATCACGCTGACCGCATTGTCGGCGACGCAACCAAGGATCATGTCCTTGAACTGATGCACCGGCAGCTGGCGACGCACTTCCAGCATTTCCTGGAATGCAGGCCGCGAACTACGCGTCTCCCATTCCTGCGCTACTTGCCCCGGGTCCAATCTGGCAGCTTGGGGCCGGGGCACGCGCCGCCGCCGCTCTACTAGACTGCCTGACGGCCCACCACCATCTGCACGGGCGACTTGGGTTTGCCCTTGGCTCAATTTCCTCTGGGTTTCGTGGATGAGTCCGCGGATGCGGCCAAGGCTGGTTTTGTGCTCTTCGTCCACGAGTCGTTGCTTCGAGTCGGTCAGGTCCTTGATGACGTCTCTCCAGACCGTTGGAAGACGAGCCAGCGCTTTCTGCTCTTTCGTACCTAACGAGGACACCAGGAACAGACCCAGCGTGCAGACGTAGGCCTCGGACTGCGCACTGCTTGCAGCAGCCATGCTGGTCATTTCCAAGCTCCACAGCCGTGGATCAGTTCTCGCCGTCACCTCGGATGGAAGTGCCTCTGTCGTATGGGGCCCTGGCAGAGCGTCGACTGTCCAATAAATGTCCAAGCTGTGCCTTGCCGAGTACGAACTGTTGTGCAGGATGCGGACTGCCACCCGGGCTCGCGAGTCATGGCCCTTGCAAATCTCGTCAAGCAGCCGTCTGGGAGAAACGCCTGTCCATCTGCCAAAGTGCAAGAGTTTCACCCCCTGCGGGTCGTCTTGTTGAGTGGAATTTTCATTTTCATTTCCATCGGCTTCCCCGAACATGCCGGCCAACAGCCCGTCGCCGTCGCCGTCTGTATTTAGATCTTCAGCCGGCTGTCCTTCCTCCTGGTGGTGAGATGTCTGAGTCGCCGTAGCCGGTCCAGACGGTCGGTTCGTGAGTTCATGCGATTTGTTCTGGCTTTGTTCACGCCGCTTCGCCGCCGCCTTTTCTCTCAGCGACTGCTCGTGGCTTGCTTGCAAGTCGATCTGGCTGGCGCTCCAGCCTACCTCTGCTTCATATTCATCAAATAGCGGATCTCGGCGCAACCGTTCAATTTTTTGCTTCAACCTGGACACCCGCTTCTGTCTTCTGGCCGTGCTCTTCTGACCTTCGTTGGCCTCTTGATTCCTCTGGACCTCCCATATCAGACTCTGCAGTCGAATGTATTTCCCTGTCAGCTCTGCAGGGTCAATGTCTTCATCGCTGTCGGAGGATACATCTGGCGAAGACTCTTCTTCCGGCTCTGAGGTCTTTGCAGGAGTGCTTGAGGGACTCTGCCGACTTTGGATGGCTGATGCAGGTTCTGTGACACAGTTAGCAATGCCTTTGGTCTGGCAAGATGGACTGCAGTTGCCAGGAACAATCGTCTCAGTCTCTCATCCAGGCCCGGGGTCTGGCGGAGCATTCGAGCGGCTTGCCCTTCCCCCTCGGAGACGCGTATGAAAGAGAGGTGTTGAGGAAGAAGCCTAGAAGCAACATGGTGCCAGCACACATGGCTGCGCGTTTGTTCACTCACCAGAATTTGCTTGTAATGGTGTGGTATCGCCGCTCTGCCCAGGTTTGAGCGCTGTAACGGTTTCATAGTGGGGCAATTCACTAGGTCCAGTATTAGAACCATACCACTCGAATGCCTCCTGCAACCCAGGCAGAGAGTCACTGCTGATGACAAGCTTGCCCCGTATGGCCAGTACTGCAACCTGAGCAATGGCCTCGGAGACCCTCGGGAGTTTCAAGGCCTCCAAAACACGTTCCAGGGTCCAGAGATCAATCAGCAGCTTCTCCTCGTCCTCCACGGCCGCGGTTGCACGGCCACCGGATGCAGAATCTGCGGTTTCCGACGCGCTCAATTCCAACAGCTCGTTGACCGTGTCATCAGTGAGCCAAGGGTACGTCGACAATCTGTAGGCCTGTGAACGTAGCTGCCGCCGCTCTGTCTCAAGCTTTGCGACCTGCCGGCTGGCATCGGCTGTTGATCGTGCTGCATACTTCTCCACGAGAGCCTCCAGCTCGGAGGTTTCCAGATGAGCCTCTAGTTCCTCTGGGCTCATATCCTTTATGTCTGAAGTCTCTTGAGATGGCTTGCTGTTGCTGTTGCCACTGCCACTGCCACTGCCCTGGACTTTGGGCGCCACGATGGGCGTTGAAGAAGCACGCTCTTCATCGGCTGTGGCGTCACTGGCCTGCTCAACTGATTTTGCCTTGGAAGGAAGTGAAGTCGTAGCGAATCCTCGAGCGGGATTGGCCGCGGGCTTCTTCTTTTTCCTATTTGGAGCCATGACAGGCCACAGGCCACGTTCAGCAGAGTCACAAAGTTGGCCAAATACTAAGCTCGATGACTCCCGAACAATTCACGTCACCACAGGTAATGGATGAGGACGTACCAATGTACCTGCAAACGGTACTAAGGCATTGACTGTGTGGATTAGTACTGATTACTACTATGGCAGTGCAGTGGTCCTGTTCTAACATGTAGGATGCCAAGCCCAATATCCCATTTTGGACTACGTGTGACGCTGCCGTATTTAGACATCCGCTTACCATTTGAGGTTAGCGGGATTGGCCTCCCCTGAAGTGTACAGCCTGATCTCAGCGTCTCGCCATGCCTGTGATCCGGTGGTGCAGCCTCTTATAGCCTATATATGGCTACATATCTCCAGATAGGCCACCGCTATTATTACAGACTCAATGGCCAGACCCTGTTGAGATTTCTTGAAATACTGGTGCCGGTATGGCCAATTGGGCCGGATAAGCATGCAACAGAGTTGAAGTATGTGTCCATAAGAACCCGATGAGGGGCGTTGTCAGGTAGCAGCAGGGAATATAATAGTGCTAAGTATGTTCATAGCCCATTGGCATTCTCCGGACGGCTCTGCCACCCAGGCCAGCAGCCACGTCTCTCGCGTGAGGAGGGAATAGTTCAAAAGCGGCATGGCGAGCTTTGCCAAGACTCTTGGTCGGTCGACCAATCAAACAATCAGCATGCAACTTAAGACGATTTCAGAGGGTTTGGAATCTTTCCCTCCGGCGACACGACACGACGCTGGAAGTGCTATCATCAACTCTATACATTCATCTGGAGAACTTGTTGCTACGACCTAACGGAAAACACAGCGTGGCGCTCTCTGAATAAAGTCCGGCATGCTAGCATTGGCCCTGACGGCAGAGTTGGAAGGGTACGAAGTCGATGTCGCTTGCCATCACCGGCTTGCCGCTAATCAATATTTGTCCAGTGTGACCGACTTGGTGCCTTCTGACAAACCCGAGTCGCCGTACTATTACACATTTAAGGTGCAATGCACGTCCTGTCGTGAGATCCATCCGAACTGGGTTGGTGTCAGTCGTCATGTAGGTCCTTTCAGAAATACATCAACATGACTTTCTCTCTCAGCTCTCATTTTCTGTCAAGATGAGCACTGGACTCCTGTCTGATCCATTTACCGTTCTGGCCCATGCAGTCAGAAGGCCGAATCGGGGTCACCACTCTGACAGGATATTGTAGGACACGAACGAACAATCAGGGAGTCGGGGAGAAGCCAACTTTGTGTGGAAGTGCAAGAATTGCAAGGTCAGCATCATCAAACGCCGTTCTCAAGTCTCCCGACTGACCATGTCGGAATATTGGGCCAATATAGAGAGAATCTAGTGCCAATATCAAAGCCGCGCCAGCAGTCTACGAACAAAATTCGCCCGCCAAACCCAAAAACATCATTGAGATTGACTGTCGAGGTTTGGAATTCACTGACTTCAAGCCGGATGCAAGTGGTTCTCCATGAACACTGGCTCCACCTTGCTGACCAGCTTCTAGGGCGATTGGGAGGCCACTGGGACGGAATCCGGAACAAAGTTTACCGGGATCGACTTGTCGGACGGAGAGTGGTTTGACTACGATGAGAAGGCGGGGGAAGAGGTCAGCGTCAAAGACATCAAGTGGGAGATTCGCAGAGCGTGAATGATAACTTCAGTATCTAAATTAAGGGTAAAACGTCTTATTCTTCGTAAGGTAGCAAAGGTCCAGCCTTGCGAGCGGCAAGGCTGAGCACGTGACTACGCTGTTCTTGCCAAGCTCCGCAGCTTTGCACATTTTCGCAAGGTGCCAGTCCGCGCTTTCGCTATTGTCGCGTCCAAATCGTTTCTGCGCCCTACCAACAGCCTGAGATCCGATCTGCCTCAAGGCCTCTCGTTATACTCGTCAACTTCAGGATGAATGTGCGTGGAACCCCTAGAACTTGACAAGGCGTCGCTAATCCAAAGCAGTTCGCTCCTCTCAACCCGCGGCCTCTATTGCAACAACTGTATGTCTACACGCTGTTCTCGACTGAAAAGAGAGAATTTGCCCCGTTGGAGGCAATCGGGAATGAGCTGAAAGTTGCTAACCAAGGATTTCATCTGCAGGATCAATGATGATGTTATTATCCGCTTGAAATGGGGACAAACCGAGTACAAAGGACGGCTGATCAGCGTGGATTCATACATGAATATTCAATTGTCGAACACGGAAGAATACATTGACAGGAAACACACCGGCACACTGGGACAGGTCCTGATTAGGTAGGCTGCTGCAAACACTGTGCCCTTGCAACGCTTGCAACGGTTTCTAATGACTTGGCCTTTCCAGGTGCAACAATGTCCTCTGGATATCCGCAGCAAAAGGGGTGGAGATGAATGGAGAAGGACACGACACCAAAATGGAGGGTTGAGCTCGATACCACTCGTCTGCAATAACACGACCCGCGAATCGAATTTTTGACCTCCAGCCACCTGAACATCGCCAACCTCCGCCAGCGGCGATTTCTCCTCGACTGCTTACCCGAATGTCCAGAATTGCAGATTCCATTCCCGGGTGGCAGGAGACGAAGGCTTCTTGATGGAGACAAGTTAGGAGGTGTGATTTTAAAATGATTTGAACAGAGTCGTTGACTATATCCACGACGACACTTGAAAGCGGGCGAGACCAAAGTCCAGCACACGCGTGTTCTGGCTTCAGATGTCTGCAAAAGGACAAAAAGTATCCGCATTCAAAGCCAGCAGCATAACAGGCTGTTTCAGCTCGGGCACAGACCATCGAAACTCTTGCAAATTGTCAGTAGCAGGCTCCGTTCAAGCAGTTCTACTGTGCAGCCAGCACGGAATCAAAGTCAGGGTTTATTGGAAGCGGAGCTACCCTTTGAGATGGTGCGAGACGTTGACTTATGCTGGGTGGGCCGATGAGGAATTCTAGCCAGCATTTCTCACAGAACATGGGAGACGGTGATGATGATAGGTCGGGCAGGCACCTAACGCAGATCGGAAACCCAACCCATCTTGCCTCTGGTGGCCTCGTCATATCAGGTCAAGTCAACCGCCTGGTTCGATGAAGGGGTTTCCTTCTAGGCAAGATTCGTGACGTCGGGGCAGTATTACGAGTAATATCAAATTCGCCAGTCATACAAAATCAACCTCTTGAATCGATGTCCCCGTATAAACTGTGTCTGTCGTTTCCATTTGAGAAAGTGATTCAATCCCTTCCTTGCTGCAGCAGGCTCCCGGCCAGTCTCCGTGGTGACCTCGGGTTTGGGGTTTAGTGTTGATCGTACTTGGATCTACCGGGCTCCTCGCACAATAATATGAGCAAACTCTTTGCCGGAGGAGCACGGAGAAAGACAAGTTCTCCCCATTTAGAACCGTTGGGCACGAAATTAATATCCCACAGACATGAAGCTCCATCAATTCGGAGAGATTCCTCGCTAAATATGGGGGGTGTCGTTTTACTAGGACTACTATTCTGCTACTTGACACTGTCACTGGACCTTGGCACATAACTGGCCCACGCAACTAAAGCTCAAGCTTTGAACCGGTCACAATGGTGCACAGGAAGAGTTTGCTGCTCTCTGCGCAAACGGGACGGTTTCCAGCGACCTGGCACATATCATGAGGCCTACTGCAGGCAGCAGCGTGGTCAAGTGACCTGAACCTGCGTGTGCCTACGCAACACCACGACACCGGACAGTCATGTGCGCGAATTTTGCACAAGATTCGGTCGGTGCGGTGTACGGATTCGGATTCGGATACGAAATACGAAGCTGCTGTTGTGCCACGTCTTTCGTCCCGTGGCCACTGCCGAAAGCCGACTGCGCTTCATCAAAAGAATGGGGTTTCGGCGCCACAATGAGACCCTGAACTCGTCCCGGCGTCCATTCGGCTGGGTCTGGGTCTGATCAGGCGGTGGCATCTGTCACTGGTTTGGTCTAGTTTCCTGGATACTAATCCGACCCCGGGGAGGGCAAAGGAGGGGGGCGTTGGACCCTAACCAGACGGCGCGAACGCCACTCCCCCTTCATTGGACACCTACCTTGTCAGCAGGGTTCCCAGCAAGCGAAACTAGCAGATGTGAACCCTAGAAATATGCAGCCAGGGACTTCATCATGGCCGGTGGACGAGAACACCCGAATTTTTACTGTCGGGCGCCGCCTTCGCATTCTACTCCCCTTCTTCCTCTGGTGCGGTCGAATAAAGCCGGCTTAACTCTCATCTTCCGTCGAAACACTCATTCTATTTGCGCCATCTTCAAGCCTTACCGCGATTGACACATATTCTTCGCTGCTGCAAAAAGCGGGTTCACCTTTGAGTCACCACCATGCCTTCCAAGTTCACCGAAATACTTGACTCTGGGTTCCAGTCCACATCTCCTCAGGATGATGTGCGACTCGAGGACATCATCGGTTGCGCCACCCTACCTCCTCGCGGCCGAACCTCTTCCGAGACCAGCTCAAGGAGCGCCAGTTCGTCGAGTAATGAAGGGACGGAAGAAAAGAGTAGGAAGAGGTTGTCCCGGCTGTTAATCGTCAAGCGGTGATGACTTCTGGGACCAACAATTCCCCCCCTAACAACACTTCGACACGAGAAAATGATTCAGCATGTCCTTACCGGTTCTATGGCACCAACTTCACGAGCACACGAGTCACGACGACCATATACAGCCATACAAAAGTCACTCATTGGGGCTTCGCTTTTTCGACCGAAGCCGACGACACCTCTTGACAAATTCCCTTCTCTTCCGCATCAGGCGGGCTGAAACTGGCCCATCGCGGGTCTGGTTGCTTTCTTGGCCGTTCCTTTCTGAAAGCAACGAGAAAAATTTCTCCTCCCAACTTTTCGCTAGGGATAATTGTGGCCTTTGGAATGGGTGCCAGACACTCAAGCGATCAACACACAGAACCAGCCCAGATGAATCTGGAACGTCTTGGTCGTCCTGGCTGGCAACTTTGAAATGGCCCAAACAAGCAAGATCAGCACTCAGACGGGCTGCAGGTCGCGCCATTGGAGGGATCGTCCCTCCGCCGGTTCAGTTTGTGAGACAACTACTCGACCGGACCATCATAGCCTGACTCCAAGAGGACAATCCAGAAGATTGGTTGACGGGCAGAAGGGCCGGATCGAAGCTTGGAAAGAGTCTATCGACGATCCTCGTGGTCGTGGCCAGCACTACTTCAAAATTCGGGTTCTCTCCAACGGCCGAGGCATCGAGCCCTTCCACTTGGATGTGGCAGTGCTTTACCTTGGTCAATCCAGGTGTTCGAAGGGGGTTGTCACTATTGGTCGGGCCCCCTATGCGAACGACCACACACACCACACAGACACACACACTCATGCACACACACTCATGCACACACACTCATGCACACACACTCATGCACACACACTCATGCACACACTCATGCACACACACTCATGCACACACACTCATGCACACACACTCATGCACAGAAGCGAGCTGGGCACCTTGCATATTTGATTAAAAGTGATTAGCAAGCAGAATTTCTCTACAGCATAGCATGGCAGCCACTTCTGGCCGTTTTCGAAGCATTGAATTGGATTGCAAATAATTGAACATGTATGAATACATTGCCAATATCTTGGACTTCAGTTCGTAGAAGCAGAAGCAGCTACTAGTACTATTTATGAGAAGCCATCTGTTCTGTTCTGTACTATACTGTACTGTACTGTACTGTACCTAACTACAGTATAGACGATTGATCAGCCATACTGATGACCTGGACTTGAGTGAACTCTGGTGGCTTTTGTAGGAGGAACAGAAACGAACATGAACCCCGACCCCGTGCCCGGAGAGCTTTCCGAGAGTCCCTAGAACCGGACCCACAATGAGCCGCGGGGAGCCTAACTCCGGGCACCAAAAATGTAGTGTCATATACCAAATCCCTCGAAAATAATGATAATTTATCCCCGGGAGGATGGCCGAGTGGTTAAGGCGCTGTGTTTAGGTCTCTATAGTATCAATCCGCAGTGGGAAACCGCGTGGGTTCGAACCCCACTCCTCTCAACACGCTTCATTTCTTTTTACCCCTTTTCCATAAAGAGTCGTGTTGAGATGTGAATTTATAGACGTACCTAAATAAAATAGGTGCCTTAATTACCCTCTCAAGGAGGTGTATTTTTACTAGGATTGAATAGAGGTAGGCATCTAAATCATGGAATTGAAGTACCTTATGCTTCTCCGATGTATTAGTGGCACGTGATCGACGCGTCTGCGTGTCAAACACGAGGTACGAAGTACGTTAGCACGTCGTCCGTTACCATATTTTTGCTTCTCCCTGTACATTGTACAATTGGGTGAGCGAGATCAAACACTTCCGACGTCTTGAGACAGATACCTACGCGACGCGACGCTACGCTACAGTGCGGCGAGATATGCCGATACAGCCGTAGGAATGGCGACGACAGATGACGCCGATCAGCCGAGCGAGTTTGAGATGCGACGCGCCGCTCTCGTCGGAGAGATAGGAGAGGTGAGTCCCAGCCTTCCAAGGGATAAGTGCTTGCAGGGGGAAAGGCGGTTTCTTTTTTGGGGCATGTCTGTTTTGCTGTTGAGACGATGTTGTGTCCCCGTCGGCGCTGCGCCAGACCCAGGCATGGCCAAAACATCCCATCCCATCCCATCCTGACACAGGGTTTTCATGGAGGGTTGTCTTCATGTAAATAGTGCGGGTCTACGAGTGCGGTACTCGAAGCCAGGACGGTGCAGCGATATACGAACGCTGTGGACCTCGGGACTTGGTTCATTTTCTTGTTTCTCATTTCCTCATTTTCTCGTTTCCTCATTTCCTCATTTCCTCTTCCTTTTGTGTTTCGATTGTGTGTGTTGGGTGTGCACGGGCTGATTGATATGTTGGTGGCGAGCAACAGTCATTAGAGCAGGTCCTTGTGCAGATCAACGCTCTGAATCGGAGCCTGGAAGGCATTATCGAGGTACGTTACGTTCGATGACAGTCTACATTTCCCATTTCACATTCCACATCTTGTCTTGTCCCTAAGGGTCCCTACACGTCTCTGCTGGTGGAGGCTTGGATCGGGTCACCACAGCGTGCTTGCTTTGCCTTGCCTTGGGTTCGTTCCAACCTCCGCTGTTCTCCCTGCTCTAGCATCAGCCGATTCTGACTGGCGGTCGGTTCCTTGTCTGTGTTTCAGCCAGCGAAGTGATTGCATCGCATCGCATCGCGCCAATGCTCATATTAATGCTAATGCTAACGCTAACGCTAACGCAATGGTGGTTTCGCTAGATCGGAAACGAATTCTCCTCGGTCGAAGCGCTTTGGAGCCAGTTCGAAACGGTGATGGGAAGACAAGATGACTCTGCTCAAGGGCAAGCCGCGAGGGATCCTGGTCAGGAGCTCCGAGAGTCCAGCACTAAGGAGCAGGGCGGGCAGAATTGAGCATGGAACGCCATTTACTTTTACTTGTCAAGTGAAGAATGGGCAGGGCTCGGGAACGAAATTTGTCATGTCAGCTTCGGCTTGGACACCCGTCTCCAACACCTGGAGACACGAGGATGAGGGCAGAGCGACGCTGTCCGTGGCGACGAGAATGAAACCCAGCTTTGCGACAACCATGGACAGATTGGCACAACAGGCCTCGAAAAAGTCATGTTCAAACATTTATCAATTTTGGACCGAATGCCGCATGCTGGTTCATACTCATGCGGCAAACAGTACGAGCTGTAAGAGCCCGGCCATCTTCCCCAAGAAGCCTCCAAGCAACGCCAGTCATGCACTCATGCAGCAACGCCATGTGGGATGCGTCTAGCCAGGGCCGTCGTGGCCAACAAACAAGCAAAGCACCAATTTGTAACCGAGAACTGAAGCTGCGTCCCCGCCGGAACCTCAAAATGAGTGCCGTCATCAGGATGCTCCTAGAGAATCCCACACTTTCTCTTCTTGGTCTTTTTGACCTTGACGGCCCCTTTCTGATGCGGCTTTGTCTCGTAGCTCTCTTCCTCAAGTCGAATGGCAGTGTTGATGGCTAGGTCAAACACTTCTTGAATGCCTCTAGATTCCTTTGCGCTGCATTCAATGTAGGCCGCCCCCATCTGCTTTGCGACTGCCGCGCCTTGTTCTGGTGTGACGGGAGTCAAGCCCTGGGTGCGGAGGAGCTCGATACATGTGCGTTTGTTCCGCAAGTCGGATTTCAAGCCCACGAGGATAAGAGGGGTAGTAGGGCAGAAATGGAGAACTTCGGGATACCACTATTTTCGTTAGTACGCTCATCAGAAGACTGGTTAGAGGAACCGACCTTGTCCATAACATTCTCCAGAGAGTTGGGGCAATCGATGGCAAAACAAACGAAGAGAAGGTCGGTCTCCGGGTATGAAAGGGGTCTAAGACGGTCGTATTCTTCCTGTCCGGCAGTGTCCCATAGTGCAAGTTCAACGGTCTTTCCAGTTTGCTTGTGCGTAGTCTGGGTGATGTAGTTTTCGAAAACGGTCGGCACGTATTTCTGACCTTGTTAGTCCTCTGCCCATCGTCTTCTGCTTCCTAGGAGATGTACCTCAGGAAAATATCCTTGGGCATAGCTGATCAACAGACAAGTTTTACCGCAGCCACCATCCCCAACCACCACGAATTTCTTGGAATAAGACGGTGGCTGTGTAATGTTGGTGGCTTCTGACGATCGACCCAGACTGCTGTTGTAACTCATGTTGGTGCTGACGGTGCCGTTGCTCGTTCTTGTGCTCTGTGCCCGAACTGGTCTTCGTCGCGGGGAGGGAGGACTGATGTAGGATGCTGAGACGCGTTTCTCAGACATGACTGTGGGAGTTCGTGAAGGGTAGGGCTCGGTAGCGGTGGTCATGATTTGAGATTTGATATGGGCGGGCGTGGTGCCAGCAAGTGTACTCCGTACTTGTGTTGATGCAGGATCTGTTATGGTGGGAACGGCAGTATTATATGCACTCTATCGCTGCAGGATCTGCAAATGCCGGCCGACGAGCTTGGTGGAACAGGTACAGGATGTTTCGCATGTTTCCAATGCCAGTGCATGACGCAGAGTGAAGAGGTGACTTTCTTCTGTTGTCATGGTCTCGTTGCCGAGTAACCATGCCCGACCCAGGTGAAACGCAGGCTCCTAAGGCTCCTAAGGCTTTCTCTGCCACCTTGTGCCAGGCACCTCCAGGGTTGTCCCCTGATAGTTGCGGGTTCCTCTCCAGCATGCGTCTGCACCATGCCAGAAGATCCTTGTCGATTAGCGATCCTTGATCGCTTGTGACAGACCGAACATTTACTCCTCCCGCAGCTGCTTTCAAGCAGCGAGTGGAACAGGCTCGGCGCACAGCACAAGCCGATCCGACGTCTCCTCAGCCCTGCCACCCCCCCAAAAAGCGATCCAACCCTCTCGACCAGCGGCCTGCTTCTACCAGAATCCACCCCGTACTTCTCCTCGATGTTCTCGAACAGGTTCTGCGGTTGATGTGTTACCGCTCCCAGGACGTGACAAGCCATACCCCATGGACGCGAGCCGAAAGTTGCACATATTGAAATGGACACGGAGAAAGATAAACCAGACGCCGGGTTGAGATCCCTTGATCATTGTACGCAGCCGGCGACCACTCTAGTTGGCTTCAGTTGACCCGTCCTGACCGGCTGCAGATAAAATCAAGCTTCCCAGATGGCGATATCTGCTTCGAGAGCGGCTTCTGCCAATCGTCCGCTGGGAGACGCCCTATGTCGCCTGGCTGCAGGACACTCTTCGAACGCCCGCACTCGACACCTATTTTGCGATGACGGCGAACTTGGGCACCCACACATTCTTCATGATTATGCTGCCCGTTCTGTTCTGGTGCGGACATACGAGCGTAGGAAGAGGGTAATTGTGTGATCATGCGACGGCAAGATAGTATCTGACGGTCTACAGAATGGTCCATATTCTTGCCTCTGGTGTCTTCTTCAGCGGCTTTTTCAAAGACTTGCTCTGCCTTCCGCGACCCCTTTCGCCGCCGCTGCAACGAATCACCATGTCGGGCTCTGTGGCACTTGAATATGGCTTCCCTTCTACCCATTCCACAAACGCGGTTTCGGTTGCCATTTATTCACTCTATCTCCTCCAGCACCAAGACAGCCACATGAACCCTCAGTTCCACCTGGCTCTACAGGTCCTCAGCTACTTCTACGCCTTTTCCATTGTCCTCGGTCGTCTCTACTGTGGCATGCACGGCTTTTTCGATGTCATCTGGGGCAGCCTCCTCGGAGCAATCCTGGCGCTGGTGCAATGTCGTTGGGGCGCCGAGTTTGATGACTGGCTCGTTGCTGGTAATACCAAAAGAGTCGTGCTTGTTGTCTTGATTATATTGGTCTTGGTTCGAATCCACCCTGAACCGGCGGACGATTGCCCCTGCTTCGACGACAGTGTCGCCTTTGCCGGGGTGATGATCGGTTGTCAGTACGCTGTTTGGCACTTCGCGGAAACCTCGTATGCATGGTCGTATCCCACAAAGGGCACTGTTCCCTTTGATCTGGAGAAGATGGGCTGGGTAGTGGTTGTCTTACGCATTCTCTTGGGCGTGCTCATCATCTTTGCATGGCGAGGCGTGATGAAACCGACCCTACTCAAAATCCTTCCGCCAATCTTCCGGATCATCGAGAACCACGGTCTGACATTACCCCGGCGTTTCTTCAAGCCTGCCTCACAATATGAGACCATCCCACGACAAGAGAACGATGACAACGTCATCCCCCAGGCACGGGATATTCCACATCTTTTGTCGTCCTTTCGACGAAGAAGGGCAGTGTCGGTCGGCCCGCAGTCCGAAGCTGATGCATACGAGACCCTGGCATACCGCAACAAGAAAAGACGGGACAGTCTGAATGCTGCGGGATCACCGAGTCCAGCGAAAGAACCCTCGCCGGAGCCAAGCCAACATCAGTCTGATGTGACGGCGGAGAAAAACCCTTCGATTCGTACGCGAAAGAGGTCGAGCAGCCTTGAAATGTTCCGATCGCAGATGGGTGAGGGTGTGGAGGGGTTTTCTCCCGCCCTGGCTAGTTCTCCTGAAGGTGGGTGTACACCCAGTGCGCAGGAGGTGCAAGAGATGGACGAGCTGCAAGAGAGAAGAATATTCTCGAGTATCCAGAAGCCCCGAGTGCGATACGACGTCGAAGTGGTGACAAAGTTGATTGTCTACTCTGGGATTGCATGGTTAGCAATCGAGGGCAATCCCATCGTGTTCCAACACTTGGGACTGGGGGTCGAGTGAGGTGGATCAGACTGGGGCTTGCAGATACACGCGTTCTCATACAATGGAGGCATGAGGGTACGGGCACCGAGAACCCACTGTAGGTATTGTATTTCGATGTTTTGCATAGATCGGTCAAGCTTCAAGACGGAGCGAACATGGGTTGGGCAGTAGTACAATCACAAGTAAGGTAGATACTCTTGTAACAGTGCCGTCGTCCTACTACAGAATACTCCGTACCATGAGCACTCCGTATCCTTTGTTGTATCGGTCACCGCCAAATCCACGCTTCCAGTCTCCCGTCTCTCAAAGCGGGCTCAGGGCGGTGACGCTGGTTTAGTCCGGCAGAAAACCGGGCTTGGCGGGTGTCACGCGGCATTGAGCTGTGCTTTGTGCTTCTCGCATCAAGTTCCTGCGGTCGCGTCTCCCGCAAGCAATCCAGCAGCAGACATAACATCCGTCGTATCAACTCCGCAATCAAGTTTACCTTCTAACAAACAATCTCATCAACTGATCGGCGGCTCTTGTCTTTTCTGTTTCCTATGCAGCTGTTCACAGGCATCCTGCGCTTCCACTCACACTTCAATTACAATCTCCAGACACCCCCGCGAGTTTACTCCCGCTCCTGTACCTCTATCCCAAGTTCTTTCTCCTCAGCCGCAATCCTGGCCTCCTCCCCGACGTTGAAATACGCCCGTTGTCGCAGCCATGGCTGACAACTCCTCATTCATGGACTGGTGTCCTCCGACTCCCGATCCTATACACAATCCATATCAAGGCGATTACATACCTGGCGGCTGGCCCGTCGACCCTCCAACCCAACCTGCACGGACCGCTGGTGTCTTTGCTGCGAAGAGACCCTCACCGACCGGCCTGATACCAACTGCGAAACGAGTTTGCCGGGGCTTGTTCTCACTAGGGCTCGCAGCAACTGTTTTGGTGTCTCAATACACAGTCCGCGCGACAACATCCGTCGTTGCGGTCCCAACCTACTGTGTTGTGCGTCAAGTTCAGCGACTCCAGCGCCAGAAACGCCACCAGCGACCAAGAAGTCGGCGCGCACCATCCCCTTCCCTGTCAGATTCACCATGGCACCGAGCAGTGGCCGATGTCAGCGATGGATCTTTACAGGAAATCCAGCCTTCTCAACCAGCGGCCTCAACACCTTCTCCCATCGCCGTTGCAGCACCTGCGCAGGTCACAGCGCATGCGCCTCTCAACACACCCCCACCAAGTATCCAACACATCCCTGATCAGATCATACCTTTCCAAGAAGTGGTATGGCAAGTCGGGCGAAGTTGCACGATGAGGCAACCCAGAAGACCCAATGGGCGCAGGCGCAGAAGCCGATACCAAACCACTCCAGCATTCCGTATGCTGGCCAAACCACCTCACCCCTCCAAAGAATACAGTACAGTACATATCCAAGAGAGGATCCAAGAACCTACCACGTCCCCGAAAAAGCCCGCAAAGGTGCAGACACCATACCCAAGACCGCGGCTTCCACGCGACACACCTCCGCCAGCAAGCGGCCAATTGCGACAAGAGGAGGATACGCCCTACGAGAGCGATTCAGGGACTACCGTGATCGTGACGAGGTCGCTACGTTCGAATAAGAGAAAACTCGAAGAACAAGGCAGACGAACCCCAGCACATCTGGACGGTCCCTTCGCGGCCAAGAGAATTCAGACGAATGGTCCAAGCGTGAAATCTCCCCAAACCCCAACACCTGTCATCCTCGTCCATGAAACCCGGTCGACTGCCACAGACGAAGCCCGGACCCCAGTTGACACTAGTTTGTTGACGCCGCCACGAGTTAGGAACCGCAAAGTCAGCACACCGGAATCCTCCATACGAAACCAGACGCAGAACTTGAAGATTCTTAAGACGCCAGAGTCACGAATCACATCCCCGACGGCGCACACTTTACATACGCCAGAGTCAGACATATCCTCGACTTGCGATGTATCTCCAGGATTGACCTTATTGGAGGAACTCAACCAGACGAGGTTACCAGTTGAGAGTGATATCTCGTCAGCATATAACGGTTCCCCACCTGATCTAAGTCAAGACGCCCGCTTGTTCAACATGATCATGGCTGGAGGCGGGTCTCTCTGCCTAGGGGATAAAACGATCTCCAGAAATGAAGCAATCGCCGCTACACACCCAACAGAAATCGAACAGACATCCGCCATCGTGTCTGAAACATCATCGAATCACATTGAGACCGCAGCATTAGAGAATGGACAAGAACATCGAGAAATTACTCTCTCATCGGACAAGCAACAAGTTACAACAGAGTCCGAGAAGGGTATGGATGACGCGCCAGACGCTAATCGACAAAGCCCAGCACCACAAAAAGGAGATCTGGACGGAGCAGCAACTTCCGGTCCAAAGACACCAGAACACGCCACGAACACGGCCGAGGTGGGTCCGACGACGCCTCTTACCGTTCAAAACGGAATAAAGTCGACGAAATCAGTCGATAATGAAACACCCGAGCTGAAGCTCGCAAAGCTCACTCTCGAGGATCAATATACGCCCGATCGGCCAACGCCAAAAGCCAGTCCCCATTCTTCCGAGAAGAAACAGAGGGTTACACGAGCAGAATCAAAGAGGTTGCAATTGTTAGAGGAGGCGTACCATTACAGAATCGCGTCGCTCACCGCAGATTGGGAAAGGAAGATACAGATAGCACTTCGCCATGGCCATGGCCCTTTCAAGGCAGCGGATTTTACTCGCGTTGTGCCCATTGGCCAAGGTCGAGGCACTGACAGCTGGTTGAACGACGAGGTCATCAACGGATACCTGAAACTTGTGGTTGCTCATGGCCGGCAGAACGACCGCCCAACCCAAGTCCCAACACACCATGCATTTGTTTCATTCTTCTACAACAATCTCGAAAGCAAAGGCTACGACGGCGTAAAGAGATGGGCCAATCGGGCCAAGATCGGGGGCAAGAGCCTCCTCGAAACAGAACATGTGTTCATACCAATCAACAGTGGAATGCACTGGACGCTCTGTGTGGTCTCAGGCAAGAACAGAAGCGTTACCCATTACAACAGTTTGGGCGGAAATGGGAGGAGGTACGTGGAAACGGTGAAGGACTGGGTCAAGCACGAGTTGGGAGCTGCGTTCAAGGAGGAAGAGTGGACATTGAATGCCGTGGGGGAGTCGCCGCAACAACAGAACATGGACGACTGTGGAGTGTTCACCATCACCAGCGCGCGACAGATCATGCTAGGGCTGACGCCCATGAGCTACAATCCTGGGCAGATCCCCCTGCAGAGGAGGAGGATTGTGGCCGAGCTTATCAACGGTGCCCTGATCAAGGGCAACGAATGAATGTTGGATGAGTAAACGAATATATGAATGATTATGACAAGAGAACGAATAGGGGCACGATTGTTATGACTGGGAGGCTGCCGGGGGGCCAATGAGCCTTTGGAGTCTGGTATTGGGTGGATGGGAGCCAGGAGCTCGTTGGGGCGATACAGCCTCCATAAACCAGGAGCACTCTACAAGCCTAATGAATGATAATGTAATTGACTGTTCAACCAAGACCAAGCTTCCTCGAGCGCGAGCAGACCTTGCTTTAGTGATCATTGTCGACGATGAAGCGGGAGCTTCCCCAGTACTCATCGAAGAGCCGGGGTGTAGACCTGGTCGGTGAATGCCCAATTCCAATACCGACATCAGATCAGGGTACTCGGAGGACGGAGTACATACCTATGCGGCCAGGAACGGCAGCACCCTCTGATTGACAGCCTGTGTACGGATAGGATGTCTGGGAAATGGGAAATGCTTTGCGCGGTCTCAGCCTCGTGCTTCCTAATAAGTGACTAAGCATTCCGGTCCTACTCCGACCTCGACCTCGACCAACCTCAGGCTCAGACTCAGGCTTCCTTGCTTCTTTCCAACAGGCTAGCCCCTGCATACAGGACGGGACGAGAAGCACCTAGGGCTTACGGTCCCACGCCATGCCCTTGGCTCTTCACAGCACTTGGTCGGTTGTGATTGGGTCGCGTCAAGCGCTATATGGCAGATCACTCTCTACGGAGTACAGCCTGCTCGGTGTCTGGCAGGCTTTGTTCTTTGTGTCCTGATGAGCGCGCATGTCGTTGAGTTGCGAACCAATCTAATGCCAGGTAACCTCACTACAAGTCTGTAGGCTGGGCTGAACGCCTGTCTCCGTCTTGGTGGAGAAGTGCCGCCGTCGACAAGCCCAGATCAGACAGTTCGTTGCAGCCTAATGGCGCCGTCGATCCTAAGCATTCTCGGGAATTTTCACTCGCAGAAGCCGGCGGCGGACGGTCTATCGAAGCCTGACACACCCAGGACAACGACAACATGCTGCTGCGACGATGTGGCCCTCCTCACTACGTGGCCATATGCGTGTCTGCAGAACTTTCAGCGCGCCGCAGATCGAGGATGCGCAAGATGTCGGGTCATATCGCAAGGGATATTGAAGTATGCAGACCAATGGAACGGTGTGGCATCGTCTGAAGTCAGAGTTGGCATCCCCGGAGAACTCGAAGGGGGGAATCTGCGCGAGATCTGGGTGCGGTGGCCTAGTCGAAAGCCACGGAAAGAATGGGAGCCTGTCGAAAGATGGGACAAGCTCGATCTGGAGATGTCCTTTGATCAAGGTATGGTTGCCCATTCCCAGCAGTGTTTGGTCCTTCGAAGCGTTAATTTGCAGGTGGGTTTGTGCTCTTCCCAGAAATGCAGCCCAGGGCGAACCTGCCTGAAGACTCCTTCTCAGATGCCTGCTTCAACACCATCAATGCTTGGATCAAGGAATGTTCTCTGGGCCACAGACTCTGTACTATTGACAAGCGGCCTCCATTTCTACCTACTCGACTCGTCGACGTCAGCCCAGAAAGCTGCCCTAGTGGTATGCGACTCGTGCACACGGTTGATTTCCTTGACAGGGCGGCGAAATATGCGGCCCTGAGCCATGCCTGGGGCTTGAAAGAGCAGCGCATCAAGCCCATACCAAAAACCAGAGCAGACTCGCTTCTAGATCGGCTGGACCAGATCCCATGGGAGGAGCTGACGAAGACATTTCAAGATGCAATCGTTGTGGCTCGCCGGTTGGGCTTGAGGTACATCTGGATCGACGCTCTATGTATCATTCAGGACGACGCCGCGGATTTCGCGACGCAGGCGAGTCAGATGGCACAAATCTACGGAAGGGCGCATGTGGTGATCTCGGCCACCAGAGCAGCCACCGGCGACGTGGGGATTTTCCACCGCCGTCCAGGGGCACAAACGGTCTCTTGCACCGATAAAGAAGACAAGAGGTTGACGGCTTTTGTGAAGCAGCGCCTCGTCCATGACGACTTCATCACTGGCGAGCCTCGCGACTTTGGGACTTCCCCCTTGTTTGCTCGAGCGTGGTGCTTCCAGGAACGTCTTCTGGCTACCAGAGTAGTGCACTTTTCGCAGCACGAGATTGTGTGGGAATGCAACCAGGAGCTTTGGTGTGAATGTGGCGGCATCCGGCCAGACTCGACGACCGAGACGGGCTCGAATTTCAAGGGAAGGCAAGCACTTGCAATGCGAAAGTCCAGCTTGTCGGTGCGGCATCGGACTTGGTACGATATCCTCCGAGTATACACGGCCCGCTCACTCACCGTGGAGAGCGATCGATTGCCGGCGCTTTCTGGTTTTGCTCATCAGATCGCGACGCCCGCGATGGGGAGATACTGTGCGGGAGTGTGGGAAGAGGACCTTCCAGCCTCCCTCTTGTGGCGACCCTTACGTGCCTTGCCTGAGAAACAGGGTCGTGTCGAGAGGCCGGACACATGCTCTGCTCCGACTTGGGCATGGCCGTCCGTGCAGGCCGTCATCGAAAGTTATGTGCGGTATATCAAAGACAAAAATTCGGAGGTGGTTGCCCAGGTGCTAGAGGTCAAATGCCAACCTGCAACGGCAGACCCATTCGGCCAGGTGGCGGGGGGCCACATCATCCTCGACGCTCCTGCAGTGACAGCCATGCTTCGACGAGACGAGGCTCAAACGTCAGATGAGCGTCAATACATGCTTACGGATGTCAACGACCAGCATGATTGCCTTCCTTTCCCGGCCGATGTGAGCCTGGCAGCAAAATGCCCAGACCACGTTCCCCTGGGCTCGCAGGTGCTATGTCTCATCATCGAGAGATTCCACAACCACGTCAATGCAAACCGTGCCGCCTGCCTTGTGTTGCGGCAAGGTCAAGGTCAAGCAGGTGACCTTCAAGTTGGCATCTGGTATCGAATCGGTACAGTCAACTGTCCTGCACATTGGGTCAACAAAGGTCAGCGAAGGGTGGTGAAGATCTTATAAATTCAATGGCATGGCTAGTCTGGACGTCGGATTTGGAGACATTGGCCCCAATACCTCGGCGGGAGATGCTAATAAGGCCTGACAACATGATCGGGACGGATTGGAATTGTCCATCAGTTCTAAGGTCTTATGGCTACCTACTCTGTCAAGCGTGATCCCCTCGTGATGGTGCCCGCGCACGACTGAATTATACTCTGTATACGCAAGCTCTGAATAGTATTGAGACTGCCAGACGTTGGGTAGCATTATTGCGTTATAGGTAAGGGAGTCCTAAGCTTGTCTCCTGTCTCCTGGGTCGAGTATCGAGTATCTGTAGCTGAAAGGACCAAGGGCCCCTTAGCCCTAAGCCTAAGGCCGAACGGGCCGGCGCCTCGGGTATAGCAAGGGCTAAAGCATTAGTCTTCCCGAAAATAAAACGACAGGTTATGAATTAAAACCACAGATTAGTGCTGCGATTTACCCGCACGAATAGTTTAAGGGTAGAATTCGAGCTTCCCATGCTCGAGGCCCGCGTTCGAGTCGCGGTTCGTGCAGATTCCATCATCTTTTTTTGGTCTTGCTTGTCTTTTTGCCTCTCCGTTCCACGTGATGCGACGGCGTCACTGGAACCTTCGGGCATGTCATTGTTTCCGCAGCATTAAAGGCGTCCATCATTCCACCATCTCTCACATTCTACATCTCTTCCACCACCACCCGCTCTGCTCAAACACATAAGCGTAGCACACCACACACGTATCTGCCTCTGCCTCTGCCTCTGCCTCCCCTTCACGATGGCCTCCACTGCAGCATACCAGCCTGCTCCACAGCGCGACTCGATCGATGACACCGTCCTCACCCGACCTCCTCCAAACTACCAGGCTACCGGCCCCAACTGGGAAGAAGGAGGATATGGAGCCCCCCGGCAAGAAGACGACAATGTGCCCGATGATTTCAAGGTACGACATAATCCCCATCAGCGTAACCAAGGTGTCTACAAACGACCTTGCGAGCAAGGCTAACAGGTGTGTCTCTAGTTCGGCGGCACGGTGGCCGAAGCGACCATCGACATCCGTATGTCGTTCATCCGCAAAGTGTATAGCATCTTGACGGTCCAACTCCTCCTGACGGCCGGATTGTCCTCCCTCTCGTTCTTTTCCACCGGCTACCGCAACTGGATCCAGTCCAACAGCTGGATGATGTGGGTGTCGTTGTTTGGCGCGATCGGCTTCATGCTGCTCACCTTCTGGAAACGCAAGTCGTATCCGACCAACTTGATCTTCCTGGCCGCCTTCACGGGGCTGGAAGCCTACAGCATCAGCGTCGTCACTTCCTTCTTCGAGTCTCGCATCGTCCTCGAAGCTCTGATCCTCACCTTGGGTATCTTTGTCGCCCTGACCCTGTTTGCCTGCCAGACCAAATATGACTTCACGAGCTGGATCCCATACCTTTTCGGTGCGTTGTGGGCGTTGATCCTCTTCGGCTTCATGGCCGCCTTCTTCCCACATGGCTCGACTGTCGAACTGGTCTATGGAGTCATCGCCGCCCTGATCTTCTCCGGGTACATCCTCGTGGACACCCAGTTGGTCATGCGCCATTATCACGTGGAGGAAGAGATTGCTGCCAGCATTAGCCTCTACCTCGACATCTTGAACCTGTTCCTGGCCATTCTTAGGATCTTGAACAGCCAGAACAACAACTAAATCTAAATTGTGGCCGAACCGGTTTGTTGTGGAATACTGTCACTCACGATGAAAAACGATGCATTACGCCTGGACTTGCAGACCGACATGGGGAATTGATGGGAATGGTGGTCTAGGCCGTCGGAACCGTCATGAATTTGCATGGCTTGGGCTATTATTCAATTGAATCCATCAACTGGGTTACCGACAGTTATGATGAACAGCGATTGATGTACTCCGTATTGATTAAAAGAATTCATTCTTCTTCATTCTTCATTCTTCATTCTTTATTCTTCATTCCGCAATCATAAACATAATCATTTTCTGCCGGTTCTTGACTGCATGCACTCCTAGGATCCTAGGATATTCGCCGAATCGTTTGGGGCGATAGTGTCTATTAACCTTGACCAAGCATACAAACTGGACTGGACTGGACTGGCTGGCTGGCTTGCCTGCTCCTATTCAAGAGGTCCGCTATCCAATTCCATCTATTTCCCTCCCGTCTGAGACGATAGAGAAGGGGAAAGACCGGTCCTCTGCTTAGAAGGACTATAGACGCCAGCCGTTGGGCAACCCCTGCAGGGACCGTAGGACAAGGAGATATGATATGAAGTCGGAGCATTGATGTATCTCTCCGTACGGAGTACTTGATAGGGACCTATAGATAGATAGATTTAGAAGGGTATAGCAGTCCGCTATTATCCAATTCCATCTCCCTCCCGACCGTCTGAGACGACAGAGAAGGGGAATGATCGGTCCTCTGAAGAACTGTCGACGCCAGCCGTTGGGCAACCCCCTGCAGGGATCGTAGGAAAAGGAAAGACCTGGTATGAAGTCGAAGCATAAATGTATCCGATCCGTACTTGATAAAGACCTATAGATAGATAGGGTTGAAAGGGTACAGTAGTAGTAGGTAGATGCTCTTCTTTATATGCAGAAATATAAATGCGACCCCAGGACAGGCCTAGGCCGCTCGCTCGCCCATAGCTATGTAACTCCATCGTGGAGTCCATCCATTCTCTCAGCACCTCGAGTCTGGCTGATGTCACGTCCCATCGCATCGCATCGCCAGCGACTGAGACCATATCCTCAGACTGCACCTTCTCACTTTGATGCACTGATCTCGACATCAGTTGATTCCTGCATGTGTCTGCTGAGAGGGTACAGATGGTCCCTTGGCCGTAAGCTGGACGATCCGATCCAATACATTCTCGACCTCAACATAATTTGGTTGGTGAAACCACACCCTTCCATCCAACAATATCAATCTCTCGAGTCTTTGCGAGAAATCCCAACAAATTTGGTCCAATACCACACACCGGCTCTGTTAAAGGTTTAATGCGCAACGATAAAAAAGGTATTCGTGATCAAACAGACAATCATGACGATCACTCCATAAACGGCCAGCGCCAGACTCAATTTTCTCAGCAACCTTCTCCGAAAGTTCCTTGTCCTCCTCAAGACACTGATGGCGCCAATGCTCAGAATGCCCGAGTTTGCGAGCAAAGTCTGTCCTTCGGGGTCGTGCTCTTCGTCTTCGTCGTCTGATTTGCTCGCCTCGCCGCTTTCGTGTTCATAGTCGTCTTCTTCTTTCACCAAGCGTTGGTGTAGAGGCGAATCCGGCGAGGATATCTTGTAGTAGAACAAGCCTGGCAGAATAAAGGAGATCGCCGTACTTCCAGTGGAGCCGACGTAGGCCAGGACGGCTTCGAGGCTAGAAACTGTCATGGCCACAATGTAGCTGAGGATGATGATGACCGTGGTGATGGCCGCAAAGCGTACGTCGCCCATTTCGGGGTTGCGTTTCCTTCCAGGTTGCAATAGAGGAGTGTCACGCGGCGGACTCGAGTCGATCGAAGATGATGTCGCTGAGCTCGACCTGAGGACGGATTTCAACTTATTGCTAGGTCGCCATTTCAAAACTGCGTCAACACTGGCCCGGCAGGGGTGGACTTGGAGAGGATACGAGAACATGACCAGAACTACGATCATAGCTTGACCGATGGTGGTAGAAACCGCCGGTGCATATTGAGCCACAATGTTTCCCCCGACCTCGTTGCCAAAGGACAAGTATCCGGTGATTGCGACGAGGATGTAAATGGAGGCGGCGGTCCCATTGGAAGCAAATACAACAGAGCTGGTGCGGAAGTGCGAATTATTGGCGATTTCGTTGAGGATGCTGAACATGTTCTGATGGCACGTATAAGCGAAGACGATGACGGGAAACGAGGACAGTGCAGGAACCGCTCCAGCCCATTTGAAGATTCGTAGTGGGGTTTGGTAATGTCCATCGGGGAGGGTGTCGTGGGCGGCGAAATGATAGACGACCAAGATGACCAGATATCCGATTGAAATCAAGGCAATCACCGAGGTATACTTCAACGAGTCGAGTCGACGGAGGAACGAAAAGGGCACCACCACCAGCATGAAGGCGGTGATCCAGAAGTGGCGGTCGACCATAAACGCGCCTAGACGGTCCTCATCGGCAAACCCTCGAACCACTCCAGGCATCAGATCTCCAATGATGATGAGATAGCTGACTCCCACGCCGAAACACTTGATGGCAATTGCGGCGTCGAAAATCACCGCGGCATTGGGGTATGTGATTTGCGAGAGCGCAAAGAAACTGGCCGACCCCCGTTCCAGGTATGCGGCGCAGCGGGTCTGCAGATACAATCCAAATCCTGCGGTGAGGCCGGCCCAGAGTATGACGATTGTTCCCAGCAGGATGCCCATGTGGGAGAGGGCAAGAGGCATGGCCAGGACCCCGGCACCGACAATGGTGTTGAGCAGGTTGACCACGCTGCTGATCCATGATGCCTGGCCGACGGTACCGGTGAGATCGCGTTTGTTCCGGGTCGGCGTTTGAGGACGTCTAACCACCACTTCAATTAGCAGCCAGACCCAGAGGCACGACGGGAAGGGTCATTGTAGTAGAGAGAACGTACCGGCGCGCTCGGGAGTGAGGTCTGCTGGATATAGAACCAGGTGTAGAAGCCATGTTGACTGCTGACCGGGAAGCATGCGAGGGCCAGATGATGTGGGTGAGGTTATTGCCTGGTCATATCTTCTTTCACGGTCGGTGTCTGCACCATGCACCTTGCACCTTGCAGCCTGTGCCAAGGACGAGTAGAAGGATCGATGGCGACGGGACGGAGACAAGTGATCTGTGAGACGTGGAAGAGGCGTCGAAGAGGAGGGGACGGCAGCCGGGTGAGAGGGAGGGTTGTCGAGAAAGACGCAATTCGAAGCAAGGATGAGATGTCGCAGTTGGGTACGGAGTACGGAGTACTGTATCCGTAAGCTGGAAGGCAAATAAGTCTATAATGGGGTGTCACGCATGATACATAATTAATACCTAGAGGTGCCTAATGCCTGTCCGGAGCAGGTGGCAGGGCTTAAGGGCCTAGGAGGCTTAGGCTTCGGGGCCTGGGAGGTATGTGGCAATTAGGTGGCAATTAGGTACTCTGTACTCTAGGGTCGGCGGCTCGGACCCTGCGCCGCAGATAGAAATACGCGGTCTGCTTGGCATTACGAGACTCTCTGCCAGGCACCTGTCACCAACCTGTAGGTACCTGGCACCTACCTGGTAGATAGATACCTAGGTACAAGCACGTACTAGAGTACTCGCAGGGTCTCTGGAGGACATCAATAACACATCATACATCCTGTCAAGGGAGTCCTCTCGTCCATCACTTTGATTGAGTGGATCAACCTACAAATTGTGTCTTCTAGGCTCTCCGTCCAGACCTCTTCACCTCTTCCCCCAGCTCCTATCAAAGCTGCCCCCACCCAGGCTTCAACACATCCATCACTTCGCCGACCAGCTTGTTCGTGTCGGCCGCAGCGACGCCTGGCTTGTATGTCGCATAGGGCCCGATATTGTTGAACATTGGCACGTCTCGAACCGACCTAGCCAACACTTCCAGACACGAGCCTCCTTTGATGGCTATCTTGCCTCCCGTCTGCCCACTTCCCCCCGGAACACTGTCGATTTCGTCGTCCTTGACACACGCCAGCATGACCTCGGCCACCTCTTCAGGCGTAACCCAACCGTCGCTTTCATCAGCGGCGCCTTCCTTGAGCATCTTCATTTTCTCCGGGTGCTCTGTCCACAGCGGTGTCTTGACCACGCCCGGCTCTACCGCCGTGATACGTATTCCGTGAGATTGCTCGAGGCTAGCCAGAGATCTAACGAGAGCTTCGACGCCGTGTTTCGAGGCGTGGTAGAGAGGAACAATCAGCGACGCCGTCTGCGATGCAACGCTGGCAATGTGCACAATGGATTTGGGGTTCGATATGCTCGAAGGGGGAGACGCGGCTAGGAAATAGGAGATGGCCAGCTGCGTGACCCGGATCGGGTGCGTCAAGTTGATGTCGAGCACCTTGTATCTTCCCCCGAGAGGATCGTCCTGGGACTGTTCCGAGCCTGGAGGATACCAGAAATTACTCCACGGTGGTTCGAACACGCCCGCTCCTGGACAGACAATGTCGACGGATCCAAATGCTTGATCAGCTACCTTGAACATGTCGTTTAGATCCGGCCACGAGGTCACGTCGGTCTTCTTGAAGACTGCCTTGTTAGGCGTCGACTGGTACTGGCCGACCAGCTCCTCGGCTTCAGGGCGAAATGCCAGATCTGCAAAGAGGACGTTGGCCCCATGTTGTAGGAGCAGACGAGCAAACTCAAGGTTGATGCCTGATATGCGAACTAGGTCAGTCATGTTCCTTCCAAGCCGTCGGTTTGAGGTGGGAATGTGAAAGCCTACCCGAACCGGCGCCCGTGACGATGGCTGTTTTGCCTTGAACCTGCTGAGCCATTTGAATGGGTGGACGACGGGTCTCAGACAAATGGCGTCTGGAGAAGGGGAATATTCTTATACTCTCTCAACCCCATCTTCTGGCCAGACTTCTTGACTTCCGCTCCGCATCGTATCGGTGATGCCCGGCACAGAGGCTCAGGCTATTCGGTCCCCCTCATTGTCGGCCGGGTTCGGCGGCAGGTGGCCCGAGGTTACCTTACCCAATACGACATCTCGGGCCCTCCCGAGCGGACCACTGAGGTCGCAGAAATTGCCGGCGCGGATTAATGATAATCCCTCACCCTCGGATTGGAGCTAGCCCAGTTAGGCAATCTACCCGGTCATTCTTTCGGGACTCTCGAGTATAACTTGAATGTGAGACTGCACCCGCGGCAACTGTCGAGGACTGGCCTGACACAAGCCACAGTATAGTCGATAAGGCAGACCGATACAATTCGACGTGTTCGATCATGAAGAACAATCTGCTGTCAGTGGGCCGTCGAGCGGCCGCGACTCTGACCAAAGAGGCCGGTGACATCAGCTCCGTCTTCCCCTCTCTGTCGGGCAAGAAGCCGGATCCTCTCCCACCGCGATATAGCAACTTGAAGAGGTCGTTGATCAGAAACAACGAAGACGCCGTCACTGCATCGTGGCACCGTCTCCTCAGGAGCCTGAAGAATGAGATCGAGGAGATCAGGTCCGAGGGTTGCCATGCACGTCGCCTGCTCCACCAAATGTTCCTGACCCAAGGCTGACGGGTTGGCAGGTCATTCCCAGCATTGAATACAAAGATGTCGTGGCAGGGACAGTTTCTGGACCGACGCTCGACGCCCTGCGCCATCGTGGCACAGCAGTGATTCGAAATGTCCTTCCCCCGCAAGAAGCGCTGAACTTGAAGCAGCAGGCGAAGGAATATATCAGTGCAAACAAGTCCAAAGTCAGAGCATTTCCTCCAGACAGTCCAGCAGTGTACGAGCTGTACTGGACGCCCGCTCAGGTGCAGGCACGAGCTCATCCCAATGTGCTCAAGGCACAATCGTTCCTTGCGTCTATCTGGCACTCATCCGACCCAAAGTCCGAGATATCAACCACTTACCCTCTAACATACGCCGATCGGTTTCGAATCCGACAGCCAGGCGATGCAAAGTTCGCCTTGGGGCCGCATACTGATGGAGGCAGTGTGGAGAGATGGGAAGACCCCGAATACTCACGGGTATACCAGGCCATGTGGGAAGGTCGATGGGAAGAATATGATCCGTTTGATGCCCGCCATCGCATCACCGCCCAGATGGATTTGCATAATGGTGCAGGAGCTTGCAGTATGTTCCGATTGTTCCAAGGCTGGCTGTCCATGTCTTCGACAGGCCCCGGCGAAGGCACATTGAAAGTGTGCCCACTGCTTCAACATGCCACTACTTACATGATTTTGAGACCTTTCTTCGACGTCGAGTCGGGGAGGCTGAACATGGACGCCGTCTTCCCCAACTCGGTTCCAGGGGCGTGCCAGGAGTACAACACACGGACGCACCCTGGCCTCGAATTGGACACGACGATGTTGAGTGTGCCACACGTTGAGCCAGGTGACTACGTTGCCTGGCACTGCGACATGATCCACGCCGTTGACACGCAGCACCGAGGCAAAGAGGACAGCAGCGTCTTGTACATCCCCGCCTGCGCCATGACCAGATCAAACATCGAATTCTTGCAGAGACAGCGCATCAGCGCTCTGAGGTATAGTCCACCACCCGACTTCCCAGGTGCAGGCGGCGATGGAGAGATTGGGTTTGTCGGGGTAGTAGATTGGGACCAACTGAATGACGAGGGGAAAAGGGCAATGGGAATGGGCAAGCGAGAATGGGAGGTCGAGGACAGCATGAGCGAAGGCGAGCGGAAACTCATTGACGAGGCGAACAAGGTGATCTTTGCGTGAAGCCTCCGATGCCTCCGTGATGATGTCGGATTCTGTTTCGTATTTCGCCGAGACAGAGGTCAGGTTAGGTTGTGTTGTGCCGATCGCACGGCATCCTGGTCAGTCACGGAAACACAGCCTCAAGGCGTGGTAGACGTACCAGCTTGAATCACCACCAAGTCATTGCCGTCCTGCAGCATGCATGATCCCCTTAGGCCGAAATAACGAGCAATCACCACACCGTCTATTTAGACGGGAGGTCTGTGGACCTCTATCGACACAGAGAGTGAGACCGTGAGGAGGATTGTGGTGATAATGGAGAGTTGTGCTGCAAAATCCATCCCTGCCAATTGTAGTGGGTTTAGCGATACCAACCACAGCCCCTAACCTCTCCTGAACTCTCAATGGGGAACGGAGATGCGGTTGTAGCCAGAATGGAAACGTCAGCAGCAAAGCCACTGAAAACGGCCATATGACAAGTTTCAAAGGGCTCGAATGTCACAAGCCTCATCGGCAGGATTGGCGGTGTCGATGCAAGGCTTCACCTCCGTGCCGGGCGGAAGCATGGGGTCCGGTGGCAATTTACGTCGATGGAAATGCAGGAGCTTTTCCTTGACGGCTGTCAGAAACATCAGCCACGAGTCCATTGGATGGACAGAACAGGCTTTGTACCACAATAATGCAGTCGGGAGGAGGTAGGGAAAGCAGCAGCACGGCCGCGTACCTGCAGATTTCATGTCACTCCCCGGGAGGTTTGGTCAAGGGTAAGCTCCTTAAGACCTCACCAGTCAGGGTGCGTCCACAATAAGACCCTGTCCTTGACTTACATATGGCTTCAAGGGTATTCCATACCTACTTGACGTGAATAGCGTGAGTGGCCAAATACGGACAGCTGGTTCAAGTATAGTGTCCATGACCATGTACAGAGCATCCGTAAACTGTACAATACCTGGCTGACTAGGGCTCCATAGAGACACGGAGCCGGATATGAAAACAACATACCGGTTCCGACCTACCGGCTCCTACCTTGTATGCCAGGGGTACCAGGTAATAGAGCGGATTCCAGGAGAAGAGAGGGGGATACTGTATCCGGGAAGCCTCCCTGCCTGTATCAGGCCCTAATATTGCCCGGGCAGAGTTTTCTCTCCGGCTTGAGTCGTAGGGCTGATGGGGTTTCCAAAGTGCCTAGGCCGAAATCTGCGCCTAGACGAGAAAACGGACGCAAAGCATGTATCCGTACGAGTACAGTATGTGTCATTGATGATGCGATGGATTGTTGACAAGGGAAGACTCACCGCTGTGTACGGTGATCCTGGTACTGTACAAGCCATAAGCTGCACAGAGACGGGGTCCCTAAGGCTCCTTAGGCGGATGTGTCTCGGGCCTAAATCCCCGCGGTCATCGGCAGATGTCAGACAGTTTCAGCAGCAAGACTCTGGACACTGGACAGGGGTGAGTGAGCGGCGGCCACCTGTCTTCAACGGACACACGCGCCTTAGGCGTCGGCTGAGACCCCCATGGGCACGCGAATGACGCCTGTGACGCCCGGGACACGAGTGACACAAGTGGCAGAAGTGACAGCCCGTACCCCGCCGACGGAAAACTGATGAGGTAAAAAGTCAGGCCGGGTTAGGACGCACTGCCAACAGGTCTCAGACTTCGGCGTCCAGTAGTCCAGATACAGTACGAGCTGTGTGTGAAATTCGACCACGCGTGAGATCAACGCGTCAGCAGGAGCGTGGATGCTGCTGTGACCGTCCTATGTTGTCATCCCTACTGTCTAGAAGCTGAGCCTAGGCTTGAAACACGCTCCTTCGCTCGTGTATTCCAGCAGTCTTGTCCACTCTGTAGCCACCCAGCTAGCGAGAGTTACTTAGCGAAAGATGGGCTTGAAGGAAGCAGGTGCGTTGAACCCAGTGATCCATATTCGAGGATCTTGGGTCTCGTTCCGTCTATAGTCCTCATACTCCCCCATTAAGATGGCAGGATGACGAAGGAGGTTGTGAGACATCTGGAGCGGCACGATTTTCGGCATATCCTCATAGCCAGAGCCAGGCTGAACATACCAACTGACCTGGATGTCGGCATACCCTGCGCGTCAGGATCCCCCAGCAACAGCCACGCAGTCAGTTCTTCAGACGGTGGGGAAGAGCCATCCGCCCCTGTCAAGTGTTCAAGGTATATCCTGCACTTCACAGGAGACTTGCTCGTCCCAGACCGAAAGGGGGCCGAATTCGAAAAGATTTATTGCATTTTGTCCTTTTTCATGCATCTCGGCATGGAGAGGAGCATGGCTAGGACATGACGTGACAGTAATAGGTGGTGTCATGCTCGCTCTGCATCCTGGGCATACCAACAAGCGGAGCTCCCTGGTGCCGGTCACTCACCGTATCGTTGGAAAGTCCAGATAGAGCCTTCGGCCAACGAGAGAGGCAGTAACTCGTAGCCCATGTCCTTTTACAATGCTTGTCGATTCCCGCCCGAACCATGAATAATGGCAACCCCAAATCTTTGAGCCACGGCAGTTGGGTATGGACAAGAAACTCGTCCAACAGCTTGTCATCCCATGTCCTGTTGATAAGGGGCGCCGGTCGAGCTTCAATTCTCGGTGCCATTATTATGCCTTCGTTGTCCAATCCAATGGTAATCCCGGAGGAACCCCGGCCAGTAGTTTACGTAGATATTGCATCGTCGGCACCAATGCCTGCATTCGCGGAGTTTTTTATTGTCCCCCAGGCCAGGGTCAGACACCAGGCTGGGAATATGATATCCGTAGAGCATTTCCGCAATTGCTACAATCACGAAGGCCCCCATAATGAACCTCGGCCTCTTCAAGTCCTGGTCCAGCGCTGCCAGCATTGAGGCTCTGTTGTCGGTGGCCAAACTCTAACACACGATGGCTGGTAGCCTTCGTCGGATGGTCCTTTGAATGAACGATAAGCGAACACGGAGCGGAAGGGGGGAACTTTGCACCTGCAGTCCCCTGTAGTCTTCTCCGAGGGATATCTCCACCTTGTTACTCTCCAGTTGGCTAGATGCAGCCACCGTCCCGTCTCCGCAGACGGCTTGAGGCGACGGCAGCCCTCAGTTGCATACAGTACTTACCCAGCCCGCTCTCATCACGTTGGTACAGATGTGATAGACTCAAAACAGTGCCGATTTCTTGCTTTTGCCGGCCACCCAGAGGTGTACTGCAGCGCCTTCGAGCCCAATCATTCACTTTAGATCAGATGCCGGACTCATGAACAGGTGTCGTCCGAAATGCGGGTCCCCATAGCTATCATGGACGGTGAACAGTCAGTAACATTCGTTGTTGATGTGTGACTTCAACCTAGCAGCGCCAAGCAGAGCCTGGTAAAGCCACATGTGTGTGACGGCCTTCGCATATCAGCCAAGCACATGCACCATGGGATGGGCTCACAGCAAGTGCACAGTCTTACAGGAGCTGCTTGTGCCTTGCTCGATCAGACCATGCAAGTGATGATTGTCGAGACGTGAAGGCTTATCGACACAAGTACCACTTTACTTGCTTTGCGTATGAACATGAGCCCCTGCCACCGTCGATCAACTCCCGTCACGCTGGATCGGCCACTCGATTGGGGTCCATGAGGTCGGAAATTGCTATCACGACAGTCCTATCGACGCCGGGCGATCATAGCACGTTTCTTAGGGTACGTAGTATTGAAGGTCGAGTGTGGTTTCCGGAACGGTCTCAACTTTTGTGGTCCGTCTTTTCACAAGTGAGCAGGCCCCAGGGGGTTCATAGTCGTGTCTTTGGACTATTCTCTTCGGATCCATAGCTTAGGATCTAATTAAGTGGGCTATCGCATCATTTTCATCCCTGTTGATCTGCCATTGTCGAGCAGAGAGTTGACCGACGCGCAACAAATAGCTTCAGACTCGACGAACTCTGAAGTTTGTTCTAAAACACCTCAGGGGCAACGTGCCATGTCCACAGTTGGCAGAACCACCGGCCATTCATAGTGTTTTGTTTTTACGCAAGAGAGAAGGCATGATTGCGTGCATCTTTCCTGGGGTGCTGTGTACTCGACGGCGACCACCGACTGCTACCGTCCCCCCGATGGACCAAAGGCGGGTACGCTGGACTGGCGTCTGCAGGATGCATAGTTGACGGCCCCCCATTAGGGCCGAACAATCACTTGGTGGCTTCCTTTTATTGACTAGTATCAAACGTGCTTGGTTGATATGTGTGTGCCGCTGAATTCGATGGCAGGTGATCCTGAAGTCCCAGGAATTGGGAGGTCCGCTTCGGGTTGCAGTGAAGATAGATTGTCGTTAGGCAAGGAGATAGTACGAGTAGCGAACTGTTCCGTTCTCCGTAGAGAGAATCGAGCGAAGAGCTCGGCAGCCAGTCTCCAGAGTGGACTTCTCGTTACCAGCAAGAAGTAGTTGGTGGACACGATCAATGTTAGCGTGAGACGCAGGGGAAGACGGCAAAGAACGCGTGCAAACTAAAACAGACGCCTAAAGCAATCCGAATCAGCCCAATCCATTGCTGCTTTTCCTGACTGAGAAGGAGGCCGAAGGCTTGGCAGATCTACAGCCGGACGGGAGTTATCTTTGTGTGGCTGCTTTAGCCTCTGGTGCCTGCGCCTTCAGTCCAGCCCACGCCTGCGCTTGCTTGTGTTTTCCCTTTCTTTTTTCTTCTCTCATCACGTTCGCTTCTCGCTTGGGCTCAGCGGGTCCTGCACACGAAGCCTCCTGGCTGGTCCTCTTTGGCTCTAGCATTAACATTGTCCATCAATCACTACTCCGTACTCCGTACTACCATCTGACGGTCGCCCTTCTCTGTAAAGCTATGGCTCTATGCTTTCCCTGGTCACTTGTCCGCTCCTCCCTCAGAACGGAGCCTTCCTACGCAAGCCTCCTCCATGCACACGATGACCTTTACAACCGTCGATCGCGGCTCGAAGTCTCCTGCCGCCTAGCTACGATACCTATTGAGTTTTCACATATGTAAGAACAACGGCCCATTGAATGTCTCTCGGTGGGCCTTGTCGATCTTGGGGTGAACACGTCGGGGACCAAAGGGTACTGTGTAAGCACTCCATTGAGGGACTCGTCCCCTTTTGGAGCGGTAGCCGTCATGAAGGTGCTACAAACAACACCGTCATGAACGGCCTCTGGTCTGCTGATTCCAGGTACTGGACGGAGTAGTTGTTGGGTTGAAGCAGGCTACCGTACATCATACTGTCACGGCCGTTGTTGGCTGCCGTCAAACGGCGGTGCAGTCACCTGTCATCCACGTCTCCAGCACGAGTTCTCGAAGGTTACCAGCGCCCCTCTTCCGTCCTCACAGATGGGAGCGCTAAAACAAGTCTCCGAAGGCCGAGGGTGATGGTGGCGCTCCTAGCTGGGTTCTGCTGTTCTGGCGGTCTTGTAGAGCAAATGAACATACAACATACCAGCCCACCTCGGCGCCGGAGAATCAGCCCGCTATGTTAGCCGCGTCGACCCCCGCCATGGGCCTGGCGTTGTTCATACCCTGGTCCCGAGTATGAGGTCCCGGGTTCAGGGTTATGGCTTCTGCAGAGTGTGTTACCCACGCAGTGCAGATGTCCCACTTGGGAAGCCAGCTAGGGATGCTGGCTCCAACCCGCCGCAAAAATCCACCCGTACCTGATGAACAAGCAGCTCCATCAAATCTCCTCGCCTGCTCCTTCACACTCCAACCTCTACCGGTCCCTCTCAAGGCCCCCTGTTCCTGTTGCTTCGCGAATTATGGGGATGGTCTTGGGCCCGTCCGCCTCAGACGCGTTCCTCGCAAAGCATATCGCCGCCCTTTGGGCCGCAGTTTGTGCTTTCGACCCTGTCGTCCCGCGTCGAAGCCTTGCCGGCATTTTGGACCACCTTTCGCCCCTGTTCGTTCCGGGTCCTCAACTTGTCAGGCTCCAAGAAGCTGCTGTGTTCCCTGCCGCCTAGACGGTAGGCCACTATCACGGAGTACACAACAACCAGTTGCTCCGTAGTCTGTTGCTCCACCATCCGGGTTCAGGGTGCCTAACGGGCATTAGAAAGGGCCCTTTCCCAAATATTTCTTCCCTCTCGCCCAGGCATTGAGGATGATACTGAAAGGATCATCCATCTCTCGCATTGTACACTACTCTTTTGTCCTATTGCCACTGCTGAAGCAGCTGTCCACCCGTTCTGGCTTATATCAGAAAGGACTGTTCTTTATACTAGCCCCCACCACTCGGGTTATCTGATCTCTCCACCATCTGTTCAGGTTGAAAAGCTCGACACAATTCTGGGAATTGCCTCCACGAGAGAAAATCCCCCAAACCATCCTCATTTACGAGACATCCTCCAGACACTTGGTGTCGAAGTATCCTCACCTAAAAGATTGCTGGAGGGGCATCTCGATTGGCAATTATCAGTTTGAAACGCGACCGCCTCCGAATGTTCTCTATTGGTAAGATTGAGCTGCTGCATACCTCACCGTTTGACTTTACGTGATTCCGAGCAATATGATTGATTCTCATGCCCAATTTGAAACAGCCTCAACTTGAATCTACCTCGACCAGCCGAACCCCCCCTCAGATCCGCCATTTCGACCACCGTCCTTCTTGAGTTGCTGGACTATCACTCGCCTCTTTGTACAATAATCGCTTGCGGTTGGAATAAGCCGTCATCTGACAGATATTGAATGACAGATCTATCGTCTGTGCGGGTTGTGGTATATGACAGCTGTCACCCAGAGACCTCAGCGCAGTCTAGATGGGGCGGTTTCCATGGGGTCAAGGACAACCAAAGCACAGCAGCGACAAGCTGCATGCCATCACCCATGACTGGTTCTCGAAAGACAATGCCGAGCCCTCGAGACAAGCTTTGAACGACATGAAAAGAGAACAGAGCTTTGGGTCAGGCACCAGCGATGGATCACCGAGATACCAAGGACGGTCACGGGCCAACACCACTAGCTCATCCATATCTTTCTATGCCAGGTCGGGATCAGACGCTTCGAATGATCTTACTTCCCGACCTTCATCTCGGCAGAGTTTCGTCGATTCAAGTCAGCCATTTGGCGAACGTCACGACAATTCGGCTAAGAGCTTACTGTCGAGGGGCTCTCGAATCTTAAAGCGGCAGACAAGCAAGTTGAGTCTTTTGCCTTCTTCGACTGAGGAAAAGACCATTGTTCGTGTCGAGGGAAAGGTCGGGCAAGGATCTCCGGTCAAGGGGCTTCAACGGCAGCTCACCTTCAGCTCACAGCGTAAGTGTGCCTTGTTGCTAAGACCATCTCCGTTGCTGACACGTCTCAGGAGATGATCTAAGAAGAAACATATCGACACCTTTTGCGTTTCAACACCTGAGTCACGGCGACCAAGCGCATTTCCAGAGTCTTGACAACGTCACAAGAACCAGACTGACTTCCGAATTCAATGCTATTCAGGCCGACCAGCGACCGGACGACCGTATCCGAGGCATCCCAGTCACAGACTTACCTACGCAGGGAACAGAATCAGAAGTTCGTATAGGTTCGGAGCCAACATCGCCCACAACCAGTGCAATTCCCTACCTGCCGACGACACCACCCCGTCCTCAACCTCCTCCTAAGGATCCCTTGGTGTCGCCTTGCAGTCCATCAGATATCCGCCTATCCCGCTCCATGGAGAACTTTTCCCGGCCAACAAGGTTGTCCATGGCAGCCAGTGACCTTCCTTCGCCGTTTGCTTCTTCATCCAGGCTCTCAGCCATGAGTCCGGTGTGCCGGAATAGCTTTTCCGCCAAACCTCTCCCACAAGTTCCAACTGTAGTACATGCTGTCTCTACCACGGATGATGTTGCGCTTCCATTGCGAACGGCTCCGTTGCCTTCTCCACCCAACACCATAATGGAGGTTGTGGAAGAAGAATGCACAGAGCAGATAAATGCCCAAATTTCGGACACCCCACCGAGCCGGGGTCTTCAATTGGCGGAGCCCATTTCTCCCATCCAGCGCAGGCGACGCAGCCAATCTTCCGGTGAAATCGACTTTGACATGTCATACTACAGCATGGCACCTATCATTACAAGCCCGGAGGGATCCACCGCCACCAAAAATCATGATTGCAAGCCGAAACACCGTATCTCCATTGGTGTGAAAACAATCCAGCTTGAGGATTGGGAGGACGCCATCGATTACTCTTGGGATCACGCAGCAGAGCTTGAAGAGGTCGAGAACAGAGGCGCCCCGACGACTGACCGGTCCAGACCTCCGAGTATTCAACATGAGAGTTTCCTGCACGTCGAACAAGGCGCTGCTGACGAAACGTCGTCTGCCGCTTCAACTCCCCTGATGATGCAAGGGGCTCGCGAAGGGTTCGAAATGCACCAAATGGAACAGAAACCCATCCCGTCGCGTCGCCTGGATGAGGAGCCTTCATCCCCATTGCTTGGGCTCGGTATCGACTCCGTTCAATCAGTGCCGACCGATACTGTCGCCCAGTCTGATGCAGCACATATTGAACCAGGTGGCAACCGTTTCGAGTCGACAGAGATCTACCGTCCCAATTTCATCCGAAGCCCAAACTCGTGCATGAGCAAGTCAAGCTCGCAAGAGAGCATCATTCTCTCCATCGCCTCCTCTATCATTGGGACACATCGGTCTTCGAATTCGAGCACAAGTCTGTCCGATTTCACTCACCTGGCCAATTTCGGAGGATCACTGGACAACCTCAAACTTGACTTTGAAGGGACCAGTTTCCCCGTGGAGATGCGCGCCAGAGACGGAAGTCAAGACACCATCCGTGAAGAGTCTCAGGGACCGTCTGCTACGGCAACAGAGGATCTCGACACTCGATTTGATTCTCCAGTGGCCTTCAAAACTTCACCAAACCTCAAGCATGACCGGGGGAAATCGGCATCTCAAATTCCTATTCCTGAGAGAAAATCCTCCATGCCTGGGTCGGATATTTCGCACACGCATACCGGCCGGAGACGCGCAGGCACCACAAACTCTCGTCCTCGAGGCAACACCCGCGTCTCATATTCTCTATTTCCGAATACATGACCAAGGTGACAGGAAGTCGACCCCATCCCTATACAATGTATTATTCTTTTCGAACGCCATCGACCACGCCGGTCATTGGCAACAGTTTTTCCTTGACATTGTTTTTGCTATGATGTAATGATGGGTGCGATTTCGACACCATGAACGATAACGAATCAAAATGATTTTCTGGAGACGAATTTCTCTTGGGGAATTGATTAGATCTTGGGACGACCACACGGGTCTGGCTGGATGGGTTGGGGGGGGGGCGGGAGGTTCCCGGGGGGTCAAGGTAGAACAAGGCCTTACAAAAGGATAGAAAAGTCGGCTTGTTAGGGAGCTATGGACTTGAGGCCATGTTGAGAGTACTGCGAGGATTGGAATTGGGATCTGGCGCATACAGATATAAAGGTTGGGTCGAAGGTCGACCGGGTCGACCGGGTCGACAGGAACAGGAGAGTTGAAGGTTGGTAGCTGGTCAATGTAATGTGATTTCCGAAATACAGGGTTTCTAAGTCGGCCGCGAAACCAGGACGATGGCTTCGGTCTTGTATACCTGGATTGGATTTCATGTTCGTAGCCAGGCTTGGTCATTCACAGGTTGCATCTAAACTACCTGTCTATCTGGTGCTTTTGATCTTCCGCCTCTTGAATTTTGTTCATCTATATGCCTTGCCTTGCCTTGCCTTAACGCCGACTTCATATGTCTCTACCTTATCGCTGAAGCCGTATCGTATCGTATCTGACGTCCGTACGGTACGTACGCCGAAGCCGAAGCCGATTGACGTTATCGTCAGGTGGATGAAGCTATGGGAGCTTGAACCTTGACCCTTGGACCTTGGACCTTGAAGCTCTACCTGCTCTGTCCTACAGCTTTGACTTGGTCGACAGTTCCTGCTTCAGTAGGTTTATGGCGTGGGCGGCCATGCCCCTGGTTTGGGATGGTCGGTTAGTATGGCGCGGTAATAAGGATAAATTCAAATTCAGGACAACTTTGTTCCAGTTCGTCTGACTCACCACGAAGCTTGATATCCTGCTCCCGAGGCACCGTAGTTGTGGATCAAGAGTTTCCCGGCGCGCTTTTCTAGCGAGACGCGCGTGCCGCCGGTTCTGCTGGCTGTAGAAATAGTCAGCTGGAGAACGGAAACAATGCAAGAAAGCAAACAGAAGCGAAACAATCCAAGAAGCAAACAGAAGCGAAACAATCCGAGAAGCAAACATACGCCTCAGTCCCACATTGTGGCTTATGATCTGCAAGTCCTCCGGCCTGCCCAGCTCAGGAGCTAAAGCACAGCACCGGATCTTGATGCGCTCGGCCAGCTCCATGTCCGGCTCGCCGGTCCAGTCGTTGTCCCTGCGCACGCCGCCGATGATGACGCCGCCGCCCAGCGGGCGCGGGAAGACGTGGGCAAACTCGTTGCCCCAGGCGGCCACGTGCTGGATGTACATGCGCTTCAATGGCTGCTTGGGCTGCGTGACCAGCAGCGTCTGGCCTTTGGTCGGATACACGGCCGCGTCGTCGACGCCTCCCAGGTGGCGGGCCCCCAGGCCCGTGCAGTTGAAGACGGCGCGAGCGGTGGGGAAGTCGTCGAGCAGCGTGTCGATGTGCTTGTAGTGGCGGCGGAGGATGGTCACCTTCGATTGGAGGAGTTGGGTCTGTAGCCTGCCGATGGGGAGGGGAGGGTCAGTATGAGGAGAGTAGAGGGGCAAGAGAATGGTAAGAGGATGGCAAGACAATGGAAAGAGAATAGCAAGAGAATGGCAAGAGTATAGCAGACAGGCAAGCCAGAGTGAGAGTTGAGACTGATCCAATCATATAGGTATATGCAGAATCAGAAATGATACTGATACAATCACATAGGTATAGGCAGAATAGGATAGAAGGAGAGTGACCCAGATCGCATTATCATTACCACTTCGCCGAGGCAAGCAGACAGTAAACAGGAACAAACGTGAGAAGTAAAGGCATGGCGCATCTTCATCTCCATCTCGATCTCCGTTGGCCAGCATTTTGAACGGCAGGGCAGCTTGAAGAACCAGGATTGAACTCGAACTCACCAACCAAGATAGACGATCGTGTTGATCATGAAGGACGACATGTCGACGCCCATGACCGCGCCAGGGGGCAAGTCATTCTCAGGAACTTCAGTAATACCTCCGACCAGCTGCTCGAACCAGAAGCGGTGCTGGCGCGGCTGGTCAGTGTCGTAGACTATACGCAAGGGAAACACTTGCACGCCGCTTTCGGGCGCTTGGGCCGCAATGTCTAGAAACCGGGGATAGCTGGCGGCGTCGTACTCGGCCAAGTGGTTCCGCTCCGTCTCGAACGATAACCAGTTCGCCCCGGCCCAGGGAGACGTGTATTCGGTCGCCGACGCCGTGCCGGGCAAGTACTTAGCCACCACGGTGATGGACGCCGACGGGAAAGCCCGGCGCAGCTCCAGCGCGGTGGTGAGGCCGACCACGCCGGCGCCGACGACGACGAACTCGGGGGGAGTAGACGATGCCATCACGGCGGGCGGGCTGGCTGGCTGGCTGATAATATTGTGAATCTGGATCAGTGCTGTGTGTTCAATTGTGAATCTGGACAGTGCTGTGTGTGTTCAATGTCCTGAAGAAGACAAAGAAGGGATCCTCTGTTCTGGATCACAGCTATGCTATGGGTAAGCAGGGATCACGGATCAAACAGTCGTCTCAGTCCATCAGAGAGATTTATCAGCAGTTATGTATCGAGTTGGCCCACGCCTCTAGAAGTGTACTTACTGACCAGTACTGCAAGGGCGCGCCTTTGCGGGCCGATGAGTTTCCCGTCCGATGAGTTTCCCTTCCCGACCAAAGAGTTTCCCGACGCTGGTGGACGGATACGTGTGGTTGGCCACGGGTATTCTGGCGCTAGATTGTACTCCGTAGATACAGCACCCCTACTCGTAGGATACTGATCCTAGATAAGATCCCATCCTGGCAGATGTGGAACTGAACATTCAATCCCCAGTGGTCGGTGGTCGGTGGTCTGACCGTGCACGCGCCAGAAAAGAACGTCCACGTTCAGCCTCGGCGAAGGCAGCATTCTGTCTGTGTGTGGGGTGTAATACTGGAATGGGTCCTTTCAACCAGAAGGGGCCTAAGCCCTAAGGCTAGTTGCCAACAAAGGCCATACAGCGCTGTCGCTCTCTTCCTGGTTTGTCTGATGTCTGATGTCTGATGTCTGGTGTCTGGTGTCTGGTGATTTATTATTCCTCTTCCTCTGCCATCAAACCACTTCTTTTGGTCTGTCTTACAGCCCAGAATCCGGATCCGGTGACTGGTTCCCTGTCGATGTTAATATTAATGTTGGTCAGGGATGTGTGTAGGGTGCAGGGATTGCAAGGCTGGAATCCATCCTGCCATTAAAGGGAGGCTCAGCCTTGCCATACCTAGACAGCCCTGTTTCCTTTTGCCCAAAACCCAAACCCACCATTCAGACTGCCCCTTATTGAAAGATAATAAGCCAAAGCCACTGCCGTCTTATGCATGAGCCGTCACAACCATGGATTTGTGCATGATGGCCGGTCTCTTCTTTGTCCCCCGTCTTTCACACAATCTTGCCCAGCGGTGGGAGTGTTGTCTTCTGCCTCCTGGGTGCTATGTCCAAGGTCAGCAGCGGTTCAAATCTGGAGATAGAAGCATGACAGACAGGCAGGCAGCTTGAGAAGCCAGCGTTCCTGGTATCTTAGCAGGATGGTATCTCATCGTGAGGTGGATAACGTACTTGTACGTATCCTGCGACAAGGAAATCGAGAGCATTGCCTGCGCCGTGAAGACGAAGATGAACCAGCATTTGATGAATCGCGCCCTAGACGCCAGAAGCATCCGGACTGATCTGCTCAACAGCGTCACTCCCTGCGCCGCGCCTTCGCTTTCACACCCTCAACCTGCATTTCGAGCCTTCCCGTCTTCCATCTGCGGATCTGAATCTGACTCTGAATCTTCGTGCTCTCAAAACCAACCCTCTTTCCATCCCAACATCTCCCACCAGTCAGACCTTTGCCATGCCTTACCAATACTCCATTGATGTCCGCATCCTTGTCGGTGGGGCACCGCTTTATGAATACAATGATCCTGAATATCCCGATGGTTCTGCCGATCGGGCTCTGAGTCGATACGTCGCGGTCAAGGCCGGCCAGTGGTTCACAGTCAGGATCGACTTGCTGCCCGGGTTCGCATTCGGTCTGGCAACAGAGTGGTCGGTGTGCCTGTCCATCGATAACTTGACCCATGTAGTTAGCAAGATCGAGGCTGATCACTTGATCCACGACGGCATCCTGCGCGAACCATTGTCGCTGGTATTTCCAGGCGTTGTCGATAAAGACGAGGCCACTGGCCGGTTTCATGCCTACCACCCTGTCTTCGGTGAATTTGATCACAACAACTGTGAGCATGAGAGATGACCACTAAGACTAAGATCCAGTCCACTGATCGTCTATAGGCGAGGATGCCACCGTCTCGGCCGAGTGGCGTCGCTTCTGGATTGGTTTTGCTGGAACCATCCGCGTCGGAATCGTTCAAACTACCGAGATACCCGTCGAGCCGCCAGTACTGGGACTATTTCCTAAAGTGATCATGGAGCTACCGGAGGGTATGCTCAGGAATGCCGTGAAGTACGTCCTGTGCTCGTCACTGTGCTTTGATTTGTCTCGTCCCTGTCCCTGATATATCTAACTTTGATCTTCGAAGGTATGCACAAGGCATCGAAGTCGAGGCTCCGCTGGCAGTTGATCGCGCACAGACGTCAGTAGACAACTACAACTCAAGGGACCGCCAGTACGACTTCTGTTTCAAATATCGAAACAAGCGTGAGTACTCTCCATATCTGTCCTGGGCTCGACTTGGTGCTGACCGGACCGGATCAGAATTCTTGCAGAGCATTGGATGCATTCCTCGAACCCCGTCGCCTCCCCCAGGTGCTGCCCTCCCGCCCACACAGACTTGGATGGGTGCCGGACTCTCCAGGAGGCGCCCGATCACGCAAGAGGTATGATATTATTCAATTCCGTGGTTGATGTCGATGAGACACGGGAGCTGATACGGCCCAGGAGACGGAGGAAGGGGGCGAACCCCAACGCCAACGCCAACAGTTCCGTCGTGGCCGTGGCCGGATCGAGGCGGGCTCGAGCGGAGCGCGATGAGGCTGCGTCCGGTCGAAACAATGGCGAGGGATGTTGTGAGATGGTCGAGCAATCATCAAAGCAGTCACAAGCAGTCACAAGCAGTCGGCGCATGTTGGAGGATGGATCTCGACCGCAGCCAGGGGATTGGCACGAAGCGGGTTTTGTAAAGTAATGGAGCCATTGGCATGATCCCATGGGCTCGATGCGCCCAGTATCGCGCACCCACAACTTCAATTAGATGTATCTGGGCGTGGTTATGAGGGAGAAGATGAAGCATGCTTGCTGACCACCGTCCTGATCCTCCCTCGGTCTATGGCCGAAACGATTGAACTACGTACGTGCTGACTCGCGAACTGTGCACAGCCTCATAGGATGTGTTCGGGTTCGAGTTCGAGTTCGTAAACTTGACCTGATCCGACCAGCAGCATACAGTAGGTACCTACTTAGGTATACAGCAAACAGTATCCAGTTTGGCTGTCTGCAGCGTGAGATCTTACTGTACTGTATGTACTACGGCCGTACCAGACTTGGCCCTGAAAGAGGTAGGTACCTACCTAAGGTACCTTAGCAGGTGGTAGGGATAGCCAGCGGCTGCCTACAAGTAACCTGTAACTACAATATGTATGGGTGAGTACCTAGTACTTAGGTACTGCCCTAGACACACCTACCTGGTAGGTACCTAAGGTACTGTAAGACACTCCGTCCACTGTCCAGACTGATTGATATCAGGAGGTGACTGGGCTCCTCCTCCCTATCAATCATTCATTCTGCGACAGTTACAGATCGATTGCCCATCGTCTGGGTCTTGCCTCGTCATTGGCCTGTGACGGCGCAGGGACAGTTCTGAAACACTCCTCGCCCCTTTCAACGTTTCCAGTGTCCCTCGCACACTACGGAGAACACACTAACCATATCGCCAGCTCTCCTCCTCCGCACCTCACCCCCTACCTGTACGGACGATGCATCCCCCCTCGCTTGCAGCTTGCAGCTTGCAACCTGCAGCCTGCAGCCTGTATCGTGCACCATCCATCCATCGGGAAAGTGTATCTGTCAGTGGAGAGGAAAGGCATCTTTCCGTGCCGCTGACTGCCCACAGCCCGCTGCGCCACGCCGCCAACGACGCACATGCTCGCCCTCCCTCCTCCCTCCTCCACCGTCCATGATCCACTGTTTACCATGTGCCCGATAAGGGTTGTCGGTCCAATTGCAACGGTGGAACGGGGTCCAGATCTCGCAGAAGCAGAGGCAGAGGCCAGGGCCTGTGAAACTCGGAGACTGTCGAACCGTCAGACTGTGAAACGTGGAGTTCGAGTCGCAGTTGTGTGACGACGCAAGCAAGGCCCTGGTTATCAAAGGAGCCACACTATGCTAGAATGCTATCGATTCTCACCTCACATATTCGGCGTTGGTCAGTATATTACTGCGTCGGTGGAAGTGTGAAAACGTGAAATCGTTATAATTAAACCTGTCAGCACACCGACACCGACACCGAGAACTAATCTGATTCTACAAAGGAACCCTCGAGTCTGGACGCCCGAGTTTCAGAACTCCAACCAAGCCTCCTCTGCTCTTCTGTACATCCCATATCCCATTCCCGATACACCTGCCATCTGTCCAGTCAGCCTGCCTTGTCGACGTTCTCATCCATCGGCAGACTCCTCTTCTGAAAGAGGACAGCAACCACGATGGTCGCCAGGCTGGGAAATATCTCCGCTCTCAAGGACTTTCTTGCCGTGTGTCCCCTTCCCAAGACAGCTCTGTCTCCTCTATGCACATCTTGCTGACCCAGTCCTTCCATCTCAATAGTTCCTCGCCACTGTCCGCGGCGACATCTCTCATATCACTGCCCCGCCTTTCATCCTCGCACCGCAATCTCTCACCGAGTTCCCAAGCTACTGGGCAGAACGGCCATCGTTATTCACCGCTCCAGCACATGAACCCTTGGCCGAAAGACGGATCCTGCTCGTGTTGAAGTTGTACCTGGCCTCGCTGCAACGACAGTACTATGTCGGCCGCGCCGTCAAAGAGGGCTTGAAGAAACCGCTCAATCCATTTCTGGGAGAGCTGTTTCTATGTGAGTACACCGACCATGATATGACAGACGAGAAACCATCCACGTCCACCGTCAGGGTCATCAGCGAACAAGTTTCTCATCACCCACCAACGACGGCCTGCTACCTGTCCGCCGATAAAGATGGTGTTCATGCCGAGGCATATTCTACCCAACACACCGTGTTATCCGGAACATCGGTTCTCATCCGTCAATCTGGCCACGCCGTCTTGACCGTCGACAAATACGACGAGACGTATCTCCTGCCCCTACCGGATGTTTGCGCCCGAGGCATCCTTTCCGGTGTTCCCTGGCCGGAGCTGAATGATGTGTACAAGATTGTCAGCTCGAACGGATACACCGCAGAAATGCGCTTCACCGGTAAAAGGCTGTGGGGTGGTGAACGGAACATGTTCGAAGCTTCGATATACCACACAGCGGATTCTGAAAAGGCGCCGGTCTTCACAATATCCGGAAGCTGGAGCTCTCGGTTTACGACATTCGATGCTTCGGGAAAGAAGGTGGAGGTGTTTGACCTTTCAGACCCACAGAACCAACCCGTCCCAATGTCCATCAAACCGTTGGAAGAGCAGAATCCCTGGGAGTCGAGACGAGCTTGGGGACCAACTTTTGATGCCGTCAGAAAGGGTGATTTTACTGACGTGGTACACCAAAAGTCCAAACTTGAAAATGCTCAGCGTCATATGAGGAAGCAAGAGCATAAGGAGGGGAAACAATGGGAAAGCATGTTCTTTAACCATCGCGATGACGCCGAAGTCGACGACAGGGAGCCAGTCGAGAAGCTTTATGACACGCTCGATATCCGTGAGGTCGAGCGATTACGAGGGGCGCATGGTCTTTGGAGATTCGACAAGGAGAAGGAACAGCGGTGGAGGAATGGCAAAGGCAGCTGGAGACCGGCGTCTCCTATGGGTTGAGGTACGGCATGGCCAAAGTGGTGCTGGGCCCCAGGCCTTGTCTCCAGCCGGATTTGAGAGTGTCAGTTGCCGCTGGATGCTTTCCAACCCATCTCCTCAAAGTTTGTGGCCCTTCCTCGGATTGTAGCAGTTGCAGACTCCACACATTTGGCCACCCGGGGTTGGAGTCTGGCTGTCAGATCGAGCTCTAACATATGGCATTATGATGCTCGATCGACCACCAAGGCATTCTGACATGTCAAGTGCGCTTGACCCGTTCAGTTACATAGACGTGATCACCAGTACGCAGGACAGCACCAGACGGACCTGCGAAGGCGTATTGTCCAAAGACAGGTTTATCTGAGGCCCCTGGTTAATACAAGACACATTCAGCAACGGCAATGGATTGCAATCTGACTTACGAGGAAATTTGTCATTGACGCGTCTGTCGCTTGCCAATAGACCATAGAGTTGACGATCTCTTTGGATCATGCCGCCTGTTTCAGGGTCTGCGTTCAGACTGAGACATCGCACACACCGAAAGATGCACTTTATAGTGACCTCCTGTGCTTCGTCCGACTGCGATTGGACCAGCAGTGACGACCAATTGTCCTCATCATATGGTGGGAGTTGGTCTTTGACATCAATGTGGATGTTAGGTCGCAGACGGAGAATGATGTCTTCATGTTGGTGGGCTTTGGGGAGTCGTGAGCGGGCGTCCTCCTCCGAGGCCGTCGAGGTGATCAACAAAGGCGCGGCATCAGCGAAACGGATGCGTTGAGGTTGCAGACCTTCTCTCAGTGCCAGGGAAAGAGCATTGTGCTGACTAGGCACGTAGGCTGCCCCCGGGATCTCTCGACGTCCGGTGCCGCCGATGCACAGCAGCCGGACATCTTGATCGAGATGCTGGGAGAAGAAGGCGGCAGGCTCTTCGCCTAGGTCGATGCCGATGGCGGTGGTGCCGAAGATGCTGACTTCAAATGTCTTGTTATGCAGCAGCGACAAGGGCGAGGGTGTCAACGGGACAGTGATGGACGAGGGAGGGTCCGAGTGGATGTGATTGATGGTCAACTTGGTCCACGAGTCGTCGATGACGGGCTTGAACTGGGTGAGCTTGAAGTGTTTCTTGATGGTCAGGAACTTGGCCAGACGAGAATTGTCCTTGGGCGGATTGACCAGCACAAAGGAGCGGTCGAAGCGGAGGCCCTCGTTGGTGAGCTCGACGGAGGAGACTTGGACGGGAGGCAGAGATTTGACCGGGTAGATGAAGAGCTGCCGTGGGTCAGCAAGTCAGGCTGGAGTCCAAGTCAAGTCTCTTTCTCTCTTTCTCCCTTTCTCGGAGAGGGCTAACTAAGGACTCACTCTTTGGATGGTAAGGGACATGCTCCCAGGCTCTGTCATTCTCTACCCGTCAAGGTCAAGGGCATTGAGTGCGCGCGGCCTCTGTAGCCTAATTGGGTAAGTGTGCGCGAAGGGCGAGAGGAGAAGCCAGCGGCCGGAAGAGGGAGTCGAGGGCGAGAGCGAGTCAGGCCATTCTTGAACCATCGGCGCACGGGGAATATATCGCTCACAACGGCGGCAAAACTAACGAGGTGCCTAGCGATAGCGAGATCGGATGAGCGGTTGCGCAGCTGCGCGGCGGGGAAGGCGAATACTGAGGGACCAGGGTCGTCATCGTTGCCCTGCAAAGAGACGCGGGAATTAAATCTTTGCAGCCGTGTGTTATTAATGCCAACTGCACGGTGCTCTGTCATAATAGTAACAAGAACAGTCAGAGTGCAGCCAGAGCGCAGCCAGAGCGCAGCCCAGGTCACGTGATAGCGGTCTAGGCTCGGTCGCTCTGAGTCAGCAGCAGCAGCAGGGCGCTAGTCCCAACACAGACACTGCGCTCGACTTTTCCCCGACGGGTGAGATACACAAGTACTACTACACCTACTAGTACAGGTCATCCTGTGGCCTCGCATCCTATCGTTGTTGTTGGATTTTCAATCCACGCCGCTCGCAATGCGAACCCAACTTGAATGTACGGATTACTGGAATAACGTATCTGGCAACGCCTAATTAGTCTTCCGAAACCTCCGAAGCCTGTCTGATCCATGCGCCAGTGGCGCCCTCTCATGGCCTTCCTCGTCGGCCAACATCTCACCCTTCACTCTATCTAGCACACTGTTTCGCATGGAATCTCTTCAGGCCCATCCGTCAGGGGCCGACAGGGCCTGTAACACATGCAGACAACGCCGAGTCAAGGTAGGTTGTTGCCTTGCCATGTATCTGTTCACCGTGGTCTTCAGACGCTCACCACTGTTAGTGTGATAAACGCCTGCCAGGCTGTCAGCGATGTGAAAAATTGGGCAGGCCTTGTACCGGCTATGACACGGAGCGGAAGTTCCTTGACGAGGGAATCAAGGTTCGGCGGAAATATGATGGCAACTATCAAGCCAGCCCAGATCTACCAACACCAACACATCCAGCCTCCACCACTCCGCCCAAGCACCCTGTGAGTTTATTTGTCCCTACCAGCTACCAGCATTCTCACCTGTTGACACCGTTCTAGACCCAGACTTCAAGTACAGTGCCTGACAGCCGGCGTCCCAATATACCTTCCTTTCGGAGTAGTCTCAACCAGGCGAACCCAATCATCCCCCAACTCATACTACCACCACCACCGGTCACTTTTACGTCCAAATATCCCGCAAGTATACCTTCCCCAGCACGATCCTCACTCGGCGATATCCAATTCTCCGGATTTGGAGTTCTCAGTCCACACACACCAGACTTCAGTCCCTTTCAGACCACTCCTCCACCGCCACCACAGCAGCCTCAGCGTGTCCAACCCGTCCAACCCATTCAACGTCCGGGCAATATCCCTCAGCCCAGTAGTCCATCCAATTTTCAATTTCTCTCTCAGGACCACGGCAGCCTTCAACATGCCCAGGATCCTCCAACTGCCAAATTGCTTCTGGGCAAACCCCATTATGCCGAATCGGACATGGACACCTCGATCAGCGAGGACTATTTCGATCTGGACATCGATACATACTACGCCAACGGCAACAATGCCTGTGGATTCATTCCTGGTCTTCCGGTGATTCTGACCGACCAGAGCGAACCAGAGACGGATGAAGATCTGTTAACCAACGATTATGCATCCCTGAGTGGGAGATCCTCAGTGTACGACAGGTAAGGAGAGCTGCCTGTCTTTCGCACGTCTAAATTAGCCTTGGTGAGCTAACACCTTTCCTTTGTCAACAGTTCCGAAGGAAATCGAACTCGGCCGGAGTACAGCCAGAAATACCTTCACGAACGAGCCACCGAACTGGCATGCCTGACCCGACACTTTGTCCAAGCGATCTCTCCCTCGTGAGTCACGCTGAAACATGTCCAGCAAATAGTGAACCGTCTAACTCGAGGGTAGGATGGATCTTTTTGATCTCGACACCTACTTTAGCCGGATTGTACCATTGAAAGCGGTGCAAAATGTCATGTTGCGGTCGGCAATGGCCGCCGTTGCTGCCAATCAAATCGGCCAACTCCTAGCGAACCACTCTCCCCGAGAAGACTTACAGCACCTGTTGCCGATCATGGGGGAAGATGGTGCCATGCAACATACCGATTGGTTTTACAAGGCTGCAAACTACTACGACCGGGGAATCTCATACCTGCGAATCTTCCTGCAACGCTGGCTGAGTGATGCAAACAACGGCGGGACGGGGCAAGCTTCGAGATACCTACCATCGAGGCAGCTTTCCGAGACTGGCACGAAAAATGCCGTCGGTGCCGTTCCGCCTCACAAGAGACGTCGGATTAATAGCCAGGAATCCTCTGGGGCAGACATGGAAGCGTTGGTGGCCGCCATATCAGTTTTCTCGTTGTACGAATCATTGGACAATCCGACAGATGACTGGTCTCAGTGAGTTTGGCCATTTACACCACCACCACAAACCTCCCTACCTAACTCATGGCTAACTCTTCATCTCAACAGACATCTCGACGGATTCAAAGCACTCTTAGAAGCCAAAATTCTTCCTCAGGCCATGTCCGCCCCACGCCCCCGAGCAGACCCCTTTATCTCGATGAAAGCGGGCCGTGCTGCGTTCTGGAATTTCGCCCGCGCCGATTACCTGGCGGCTTATATCAATCACTCCAAGACCCGGCTCGACCCCGACAACCTGACGATGTGGAAGGCTGCTGGATTGCCGGTGACGGACGACGGAACCTTGACCTATTCTGACCCCACCAACCCCGGAAGTGCCATCGTGTCATATCGACCTGGGGACAGGGAGGACTTGGTATCATGCACGCTGATCTGGATTGTTCTCCGCACCATGAACTTCATTGCCCCTCAGGAGGAGGCGACGGCGAGCACGACGAATACGCCGCGTAGTCTCGACAGTCCGGCCCCCAGAGCCGGGTCAGATGCCAGTGTTCCGACCCCGATTCGAGCTCGTCTTGCCCGCTGGAAGGAACTACGACGGCAGCTCGACGACTGGTATGACAACCTCCCGTTCACGTTCCAGCCTTATGCAATCATGGGGGCACAGAATCCCTCGGACCAACCGCCCGATCATCCACTCCGCTTCACACGCATCTTCTTCTCGGTGCCCATGTGCGCGGCAGCGCTACAACTCTACCACTTCGCGCAGATTCTGCTGCTTCTCAACCAACCGGTCGACGAAAGCGACACGCGCAACCTCGCCAACCGGATCCGCATGTTCCGCAAGGTGTCGGAAGAGTCGGAGCACCACAGCCGACAGATTTGCGGCATTGCCTTGGGCAAGCCTCCGCCTGCCGTGGCCAGACAGATGGTTCATTCCCTGTACCTGGCCGGACTGTGCTTTGAAGAGAAGGACGATCGCGTCGTGGTGGTGGAGCTGCTCAAGAACATTGAGCGGGAGACGGGTGCCACCACGGCCCATCGTGTCAGAGAGCTCCGAGAGCAGTGGGGATGGGGTGACGAGGTGGTTGAGGTGCCGTGATGTGAGTGTGACTGCCACGATGTGATGTTGATGTTGATGTGATATGATGACTGTGATGTTCTCGTCTCAAATGTTTTTCTTTGCGGCAATATGAGGGCAACTGGAAAACTGGCGGTTCGGTTTGTTCTTTCTTCGGCCTTGGTTCCGCCGACATGAGGCAAGTTTGGTCTTGGGTGTGTGTTTAAACAGGTGCCTTAGGGTGGGTGCCAGAATTAAAGGCGGTTTGTCCAACTACTACTTCGATAAGATTAGGGAACCCTCTAGCTCTACTAAATAATTATCTTTCTGGGTTAGGGTTAGGGTTAGGATACTAGATATAATCTACGGCCTCCCTAGAGTGACTCTTCTATTTCTCGTATTGACATTCTATATCTAGGGACAGTAGCTCTCTACTTAATAGAAGGACCGCCGTACGAGTATAATCCGCCATGTATTTTGGCACCCAGCCTTAGCCTTGGGTGTGTGTTTAAACAGGTGCCCTTGCTTCTCCCGGATGTTTACGGTCAGTTGGTGGCTGGGAACAATCAGATGTAGGATCCTAGGCATGTACATCCGGGATACCTGATGATTTTGCCCCTGGAGTTCAGCTCCAAGGATGCAGGGATCAGAGGTGTTGGGTGGGTGGTGGCATGGCATTGCATTGTATTTCCACGCTTCCTGTTCCTGCTTCCTGTTCCTGCTTCCTGCATGGGCTGTATTACATGCCATATATTGTATTACAATATATCCATATATCTAGATCCATATCCATATCCATACCTGTATGTATATCTAGTATCTAGATCGAGAAAGAACCTGTGTTCTCCAGTCTACTACTGCTACTATACTACACTGGACGAACTATAGAATACCTCGTATCTCGCATATCTCACATCTCACATATCACATCTTCCAACTCACACTTTTCACACTTCTTTTCACACTTCTTTTCACACTTCTTTTCTACCCCGTCGTGCACCGCACCGCACTGCACCGCACCGCGCCATGCCATGCCACTTTTGAGGGCACTCCGCCTCGCCCCATAGGAGGAAGAGGGAGGCGGATGGACCCCCACCAAGCCTAGTTGGCATTCAATTACACTTTATTCTCGGTTCGCGCGTTTCTCCCGCTTCCAGAATTGATTGAGGACGACGAGCATGATGAGCATGCACACGTCGAGGGCAATGGTCCAGCAATATCCGATGAGATATCGTGGCGCCTGGACTGTCTTCCACACCCTGCAATGCGGTGGTCAGCTATTGGGATTGGGAAAGGGAAAGGGAAAATTCAACATAACAGATTTGTTGTTCACTTGAGAGAAAGAAGCTCAACCTGCAACTAGGGCCTAGTAGTGGCAGATGGTAGATGGGAGATGGCAGGTAGGAGATAGTAGATGGGAGACAGCAGGTAGGAGATAGTAGGTAGGAGATAACAGGTAGGAGATAGCAGGTAGGAGATAGTAGGTAGGAGACGGCAGGAGGAGATCGTAGATAGCAGGTGGAGGAGGAAACAATCCCAGAGTCAAATGGACGGAACGTACAGAAGAGGAATCCAGGCTCCAAACGTGTTCCCAATGGTATTCATGGCACTGACGACCAGCGCGCGCTCTTCGGCATCATGGGCACAGATCTCATTGGCCCAGGCATAGATGATGGCGGCAATTCCGTCGGCGGTGCCGGCCAGGAAGAAGGCGAAGAACTTCAGGCCTTCCGGGACGTTCCAGATGGCCAGGACGATGCCGGCGAAGATGTTGAGCAGGGCCGTGATGGCGATCAGCCAGACCTTGGCGCCGTCGTAGGCGTCGGCCAGGATGCCACACACGACCGACGCGACGATGGTGACGGCGGGCGACACGGTGGTGATGGTGTTGATGTTCTCGACCGAGTACCCTTCCGCCTTGAGCCAGAGGGGCAGGCCGCTGTTGGACGAGACGCCGTCGGCCTGCGAGAAGAAAAAGGCAAAGCCGACCAGCACCCACACATGCCAGCCGCGGAGAATGTGCATCAGCTTGGGCAGCGTGAATGGCTGGCGCGGCTCCCGGTGTTCGGCCGCCATGCGTTCTTGCGCCAGTTGGATCTCGCGCGCGGTGAGGAACTTGGAGTTGCAGTGTTCAGGCGTGCTGGGTAGGAGGAGGAGTCCGAGAAGGGCAATCGGGATGGTACAGGCGAAACAGATGATGTACAACCATCTCCACCCTTGAATCCCCAGCCGGCCGTTCAAGCTGGCATACGCGCCCGCCTGGATGTATCCCGAGCTCATGCTGCCGACCTGACTGGCGATGAAGAAGATGGCGCCTCGACGGTTCAGCTCGGACCGCTTGTACCAGCTTCCCAGGTACCACTGCACCGCGGGGAAGAAGAAGCCGCCGAGGGCGCCGACAAAGAAGCGCAGCGCGTACAGCTGGTGGATGTTGCTGACCTTGTACTGAGCGAGCGTGAAGACTCCCCAGAGGCAGTCGGCGGCCGGGAGGAAGTAGTTGACCGGGAACCGGGTCATCTGTTTCGCGTTAGACACTGTCAGTCGAAGATCATCATCATCCTCGCCCGGATAGTAGTACGTAGTACTGTTATTTCTTGGTGGGAGGGAGGGGAGAGGTCATCATTACCAACAACGTCAGCGGGATTTGCATCACGATAAAGCCAACCCTACAAGAAGACGAGGATCAGCCACCCAGGGCCCAGGCACATCAGGATCAGGATCAGGATTCAGATGTCGAGGAACAGAAAAGGAACCCGGACTGGAGAGATACATACATATACACCGTGTTCATGTAGTTCAGTTGATTGCCGTAGAGGTGCAAATCCTCCTTCATCCCACTTACATACGCCGTGCTGGTGGCGGACGAATCCAACACCTTGGCCCAGTATGCCAGGAAGACAAAGACCATGATCATGCCGTCGAGCTTGAGGAGGAGTCGGCGTTCCTCGGGCGTGTCGGTCGGCGAGAACCATTGATACCATTTCTGCCGTACCAGAGGCCTCGTTGCCGAGCTTTCGCTTGGGGCCTGCACCTCGAACCCGACTTTCTTCTCATCTGCGTGACCGACACCCTCGGTGAAGGATGTGGGCGTGGCCGTGGCCGTGGCCGGTGCTTGTTCGATGGTGGAGGCCATGGTGGGAGGTCTGAAGTCTGAAGTCTGCCTCCGCCTATCTATCTGTATGATGAAGCAACCGAATCCAGGACAGCCACAGTGTATGGTACTGGGTGAGGCTGGACAAGCGAATAAAATATACTATACCACTTTTCTCTCCCCATGGGCAACACTGCCATTAGGACCGTAGCAGGCAAGTTGTGTTGTGTGCCAAGCACGCCATCGCTGCTAAAATTGCGTTGTAGCATCGTCCATAGGCATAAGGTTCAACGGAGGACAGATCTTTTCTGCCTCTGCCTTTACCATGACCATTGGTGTTGATAAATAGCATCACCAATTAGTATTGGTATGTGCATCCTGGTATATACCTTGAACGCCTCACTGGCAGCCTCACGCGCCACAACCGCCTTGGCTCTCTTAAGCGACGGCCAAGAAAGGCTTAACTCTCTGAAATTCAAGTTAATTTGCAGATGAGAGGGAGGAATGAACTTGGAAGCTGAAGAGCCGCAGTCCGAGTCATATTGGCCAGTGGTCTTTCTGCTTAGGAGAAGGATGAAATACATCATAATAGGAGTCTAGGAGTCTAGGAGTCTGAATCTGTGAGAGAGCCGCGCGAGCTTGCTGGAAGTCTCGCCGAGTCGACGTCGCTGTGATTGACCCAACAGAGTAACTGGCGGCGAGCCACTGCTGCTTTAAGCACCCACCGCCCCCTCGGCCTTCTTTTTCCCTTCTCCGTTGTCTCGCTCATGCCTCCCGCATACGACATATAGTGCCCCGGGCGTCACGCTGTTTTAATTCGGCCAGCTGTGCGACGGAGAGGGAGGCGGGGGGCCTATGAACCATCTACCATCCTCCATGCTGCTTTAACCGGCCCGCTGTGCGACGGAGAGCGAGGCGAGGCGTATAAACCATGAGCCATCTACCGTATTGCGCTCGTTCTGCCGCTAGACCATTTCGGACCTAGAATCGCGGTTATTACCACCATTTGGCAGTCAATTCTATGGCATCCTTTGCGATCCGGGATGTACTCTTCGCTGTGGAGTTTGTCTCGCCTCACTTCAAACCATCATGACCATGACCAATTGCTCTCGGTCCACAGCGTCAACTTGGGTGATGATCAGGCATTGCTCCATACTCCGTATAAGATGGCGGCTGGAGTACGGGCACGCGTCACATCACATTCAAACTCAGACCAAGCACGAACACGGTGAGCCTGTCAAACACTCTTCCTCGGGACTATCTCTGCATGCTGGTTGGGTATCAACATCAGCCCCTTGGGCACCAACATCAACCCCTGGCCCTGGAATACCTCCCTTTTGTTTATCCTGAAACAAACACCAACAACAACCTCCTTGTGTCAGTCTGACATATCCTCCCTTGACCATCTGCGGAAATCTTGAACTCGTCACATCGTTCGGTCTTGTGTGTCTAATCTACACTTGAAGTGGTGGAAGAGAAGAGAAGAGAAGAATAACCGAGTCTATTGCCCGTTTTGCCAGTGAACAGACCGCGACCGCTTCATTTCCATACCCAATCTTGACATCCAAGCCGAGAAGAGTTTCACCGTTCACCATACCGATACCGACGTTTGCACAATGTCGGTCCCCACGATGCAAGTGTTGGGCATATCAACCACGACGCTTAATGAGCTGGGTTCCAACCTGGAAGACAAATCTGCATCTCCTCCGCGGCTACAGCTTCATGGTCGAATTACAGTGTCTGACCAAGACGGGTCTTTCGACACGGTCAGAATTCGCTTGCGAGGAGCAATCCGGACCAGGATTGGCGGTCAAGTTGCGGTCGAAAAGGTTTGTCAACCAAACCACTGCTCCAACAATACAACCTGAGGCTAACGTGCCGCATTGCTTCCAGCTCCCGCCCTCAACCGAACTGCGGTCGAACCTCGACTTCAAGCCAGTGTACTCCGCCTCTCAACCAGCTACCGACGAACAGCATCTCGACTTTGTTTGCCCAATCCCCTTCACAAAAGACCGACAGAAGTCTTCGTTCTCGGAAAGGGGCCTCGGTGGGCGAACCGTATCTTCTTCACCAAGTGGCATGCTCAACGCTTTCGTCCCCTCCCTGCAAATCTCTGGCTCGACATACATTACGCGTGTCACGGCCTTGACGGACAGGCACGTCGTTCGAGGATCATGCGATGTTGTTTACTGGCTCGAAGCCGAGCTCTTGCGGTCCGGCTCGCGTGATAGCATACGGAAACTGACCTGTGCAGTCGACGTATCCTCGCTGGCCATGCCAATGGAGGTCGAAGTCTCTTCTCCCTCCAATGACCTAGATCACGTCGAGCAACTGGCCAAGCCGCAGCAAATGCGACCAATCCACAAATTCTTCACTTCTCAGACTCGCGCGCGGTTATCCGTCCACATACCTAAACGTTTGGGCTATCTCCGTTCCGACTCGTCCAGCCTGGCCACTGGGTGTCGTCGGCTATCGATCCCCGTCACAGTTGATGTCGATTTACCTCCGCCTTCGAACTCGAGCCAGCAACAGGAAGGACGAGAATCAACACTAATGCAGACACAAGGTCTAAAATGCTCGGTCAGAGCGAAATGGTTCACCCGCAAGACCTTTACCACCGGCCCGCCGGCCCCCGAATCTGTCATTAACAACACGACCGTTTCGACCCAGGATCTGGTGATGACTTTGCCACCTTTGTACAGCAACTCGCCAGTCTCCATCCCAAATCTAATCTCACCTACGTCGGCGAGTCACTCAAATTATTCGACCTCGATGGACCTGGATCTTCTTCTACCCCAATCTGTCGCTTGTCCTTCAGTCTCCACAGAACTCTTGGATATTGTTTATACTCTGGACTTGTCTTTGAAATTCGAGTCGGATGGACTGTCGAAGGGACCTTATGTGGCCAATTTCAGCCTCCCGGTGACAGTACGGTCGGCCCGACCATATTCGACTGTTGGTCGACACTGTTTTGATCCTCTGCTGGGGTATATCGAGGAAGATGATGAGGAGCTTCTTTGTGCTCCGCCTGTATATGTACCTTGACAGCATCTCTTCTGGGATAAACACAGTGCGATCTTGTACATCTTGAACCGAGTCAGGCGTCCTCCTCCTCCTCTCGAACCCGGCGGGGGAAAAAAACGGCCGAAGGGGGAAAGAAGGAATAAGGCAAGCGATCTGTTCATTTATTATCAGCCATTGTTGAGAAAGCGACGGCGTTTGGGATTTGGTTAGAGCGAGGGAATGAGAAAATGAGACGAGCACGCATATACCCACCCCTCTTTTATAGATTTAGAGCAGAGATACAAATATACACCTAGTCACTGGAGTGAGGAGGGTGATGATAATTGAAACTTATGTGAGAAACTCTAGTAAGGAGTACTCTGGGAATGTCTCAAGATCAGAACGTACTCCCGTATATCGCTCTACACAGTCACGTGCCGTTGTTTATAGCAGGTCAATAGCGGCATGCAACCCCCGGAGGAGTGAACAACCCCGTGGCTAAGGTGGTTTAGGTGCTCCTTAGGCTAAGGGGTCTGACTTGGGCCCTAAGCCAGCATGTGCCCCCAAAAGCGGCGGCGCAGTCCCCTAATACGGCCGATTGAGCAGTAACCGTCCGTACCTCACCCCCCATTGACCTCTCGACTCAAGTTCTCTCCAAAGTGGCCTATGAGGCCGTGATGAGGAGCCAAACATGTTAAGTGGAATCCTCCTCTTCAACCAGAAGGGTGAGAACCTCATCTTTCGAGCCTTCCGACCCGACTGCCGCCCTCGTCTCGCCGACATTTTTCGAATCCAGGTCATCTCAAATGCCCAAGTCCGATCACCCATTCTCACCCTCGGGTCCACCACTTTCAGCCATGTCAAGCACGAGAACATCTATATCGTCGCCATCACCAAGAGCAATGCCAATGCCGGCATCATCTTCGAATTCCTCTACCGATTCGTAGGCCTCGGGAAACAATATTTCGGCAAGTTTGACGAAGATGCAGTCAAAAACAACTTCGTCCTCATCTATGAATTGCTTGACGGTATGGGAAGGCCTGAGACAGGATCCAGAGTCCAGACTGGGAAAGCTGATACGTGTGTCCAGAGATCCTCGACTTTGGCTACCCTCAAAACACCGATGTCGACGTCCTCAAAATGTACATTACCCCTGACAACCTCTCCTCCGCCATCAGGTCGGTCTCGGCGCCCTCGAGTGACACGTCCAAGATCACGATGCAAGCTACAGGTGCCCAGTCCTGGCGCCGAGGAGACATAAAATACCGCAAAAATGAGGCCTTTGTGGATGTTATTGAAGATGTCAATCTCCTCATGAGTGCGACCGGCACCGTTCTGCGAGCGGATGTCACGGGCCAAATCGTGATGAGAGCATATCTCAGCGGCACCCCTGAATGCAAGTTTGGGCTCAATGATCAGTTGGTCGTCGGGCAGGTAGTGCATGGCATTGACGGCCCCATCGGGAATCAAGATGGACGGAAAGCCACTCGAGCCGCCGCGGGCTCCGTCACCTTGGAAGACTGTCAGTTCCACCAATGCGTCCAGCTGGGCAAGTTTGAAAGCGACAGGACGATCTCGTTTGTACCTCCGGACGGAGAATTCGAGTTGATGCGCTATCGAGCGGTGGAAAACGTCAACCTCCCGTTCAAAGTCCATGCGATTGTGCGTGAAGTCGGCACCACCAAGGTCGAATACAGTATTGCGGTCAAGGCCAACTACGGGAGCAAGCTGTTTGCCACGAATGTGGTTGTGAGAATTCCTACGCCACTCAACACAGCCAGCATCACGGAACGAACGACGCAAGGGAAGGCCAAATACGAACCGGAAAACAACTGCATCGTGTGGAAGATTGCCCGATTTGTTGGTGGAAGTGAATTTGTCCTCAGTGCCGAAGCACATCTCACCAGCATGACGAATCAGAAGGCATGGTCGAGGCCTCCATTGAGCATGACTTTCTCGCTACTCATGTTCACTAGTTCGGGATTGTTGGTACGGTACCTGAAGGTTTTTGAAAAGAACAACTACAGCAGCGTCAAGTGGGTTCGTTACATGACAAAAGCCGGCAGTTATGAGGTACGGTTTTGAGAAGCCTTGGTTAGAGGCTGGTTTGTTTTTCCTGCCCGGCCGGTGCCGGTGTTTGGACTTGCTGGAACCTGGAGATTCCAATCGCTGCATGTTCTCCGACACGTACGGTGGCCAGGCCCCCGTCTGCGAAAACGGCCGAAGTATCCACGGACTGCTTGTCAGACCCTAAGTGCACTACGTAGAGCGTAGTGCCACTCCAATACGCAGCAGCCCAGCCGACGCAACCGGCGTGCCAACACGGATGGCTGGAGGCCTGCCCGTGAGCCAGGGTTGGACTGTGTCTCCATCGCCACCGGTTGCCGTACTCAGGATTCGTGGCAATGCCTTGGTACTTTAACGAGTCTCTTACGAGGAAGCATCACAAGCAAGGCGCCACCAAGCACAAAAGGAGGGGGGGCCAGTACGAAGGATGTTTGGAGAATGAGGTATGGTAGTTCCATGATATATTTCCGGTTTCCCAGTTCGCTGGAGCTGGGCAAAGTATATTCATACAATCAAGAATTGTATGTGAAGAATCCCTGTCAGAGATTGCGGCAGGCCTATCACCAACTTGAGATGTCCAAGCTCGTTCTTGAGATCCTGCCTCCTCTCCTGAGGCCGACATTTCCCTCCCCAACCAACATGCTCCATCTTCTTCCTAGAGTGTCCCTATCTTTGCCCAATATCCTCGCACAATCATTCCAATCTCGTTTGGATAACTTGAGCTTTTCAAGGACCGTCTCGACCAGCATTCGGTCATCCTCAATCGTCCACTCGGACTCTTCTATCGACGGAGAGGATCCGTAGGCGGAATCTTGGTCGGACTGATGTTGGGGGCTTATGATGGGCATCTCGAGCTCTCCTTCCTTTTCCTCGGGCGGAGTCTCAAGGGCGCGGAAGTCGTCGGCGGACAAGCCCATTGGCATAGACAAGGGTATGCGCCGTCGCCTTTTGGGTGTGCGAACTGCTCGAGGTGTCTGTGGACAATCGTGCATAGGGACATCTGACGGTTCCGATGCTGCGAACAGGTCTCGCTCGAATTCGCTGCGCCGTCTTTTGTTCGTGCTCATGTGCGACTGTCGCTGGATGGACGGAGCTGCAACACGGTGTTCTTGTTTTGGCAGCATGAAAGGATCGCTCAGTTCATGCGGCAGGCTCGGGGCTGATTGTGACGTGGTCGCAGGAGTGCCTAGAATTACTTGAAGGGCGCGACAACTCGACGACAACGGACCGGGGCGCGCATGGTGTGTAGAATGTTGCCGTGGCGTATATGCGCCGAATGACTGTAGCTTGGGTCTCTGAGGTATCGAGTCTTGAATCACAGCCCCGTCGCACGGGAAGGCTGACGGGAGTAGCATTGGGCCAATGCGCCGAGAGAATGTGATGTGAGGGGAGGGGAGGATTGAATTGACGGATTCCCTTGCTGTTGCGCCGGAGTTTGTCCTTGGACGTGTAGCGCAGCACAGAGCGAAAATGACACGGACAGTTCAACTGCCTGCGTGAAGGGTGGTCGCGGAGATGTTATACGCTGGAAGGAGCTCGAGGGTAGGTGGCCTGGAGGTTCGAGTATGCAACGGCGAAGAGGGAGGGGAGGCGCTGGGTGCAGGCGGTGTGCGACGGAGGGAGAAGGTGCAGTGCTAGTGAGTGAATATGCATGCGGATGGACTGATGGAGTGAGGAAGAGAGGAACTCGAAGAGATACGTAGTCGCAGCAGTGGACACTGCTAGTTGAGTAGTTGCTAGTCACAGGTTCGAAGTCTGATGGAGATGATGGAAACGGGAAACGGGAAACGGGAAACAGTGGGCGGGCGGCGGGAGCGTGGATGATCTGCCAGTCAGACGACGGGACAGCCAGGATCAGGGGTCAACGGGCCAAGGCAGCTCGAGCTCCAGGCCTCAGGAGCCCCTGCGGCTCAGGATTGAGGATACTGGATCCTACTAGCTGGCTGAACTATCATACACTGTCTCCATTCTCTTCCACTAGCATTCGATGTTTGATTGCCGAGATGGAGCTCAACGGCCAGCTAGGAGTTGGAGGAGCGGTGCCGGCTCGTTCCTGACCTCGTCCTAAGCTTGCAGTAATTAACAGAACGGAGTATGTGTAGGTTTGTGTAACAGAGTCGAAGTCGGACAGCACCAGGCACGGCAGCGGCAGTGGACACTCGGCCGAACCACTAACCTGCTCACCAACGCCGTCAAGTTCTTCTCTGTGCTCTGTGCTACTGCAGCTACGGAGTACGGAGACGTTGGTATCGATTGGCGTCGCTCGGAGAATTGTGCCCTGGTCTGTGTCTATTGTCTATCAATATCACACTTGGTCAGTGCCTGGACGCTGGAGAAGGACAGGGGACAGGGGACGGTGGACACTGGGTACCAGCAGCGGGCTCTGCGGTTGTGGGTTGTCATTGCATCAGCCCCTCAGTCCAGCCCGATTCTCACTGAGGTAAAAGAGTGTTGTTTTCATACCATTCTCCTCCCTTTAGACGAATGCTGGGCCGCGACTTGAGCTCGAGCCTGGAAGCTTTCAGCAGCTTCGAGCTTGACGCGTCATTTGGGGCAACGTGACCGGCGCGTTACGCGTGGCCCGAAAACGGCAAAGCCCCCAACCAAGCACCCGGCAGGTCATGTGACTTGCATTCTCCCACTCCATCTCTTTGTCCACATAACAGTTGCTTCTAGACTTTACTCTCTCCGACGCTCAGACCCCGAGCAACGGTGCCGCCCAACTCCCAAGGCTCTGGTTATCCCTGTGAATTTCACAGGGATCCGATATGGTATGTGTCGGGAGATACACGGGCCCGCATTGGGCACATCAACCAACAGTCTACGAACATCAACATCGCAGCACGAAACACAGTACGATACAGGCACAAGACAAAGCCTTGTCCACGGTGATCTCGAAGTCCGTTCTTCCTCCCTCTCGGCTCGGTCACGGTCGAGATTTAGGCTGGACAAAGAAGAAGAAGCTGGTCTCTGATTTTTCTGCCACGTGGGCAGGCCTACATCATCATGGCCTTTGTTCTGTTGTCCTGCTTTCGTCTGCGCGCAAGGTCTAAACGGCATTCCTAATTCCTATAGGATGCCCACATGGCTCTCATGTGCAGCTATCCCTTGAACGAGCTTTGATCGCTTGTTGCGGCCGAGGCCCCATGTTCCGTTTGATAATTGAGCAGGCCCTCCTCGCCTGTTGCGGCCAACTTCTCGTGTCTGTCCACCAATTGAACACACTCGGCTGCCCCCATTGCCGTACAGATACATCCCAAAGCAGCCGTCTCTTCTCTTTCACCATCTCTTTCATGAATAAAAACCATGTCCTATAGGTCGTCACTGTCTCGCCTCTCTCTTCCTTCTCCCAGATCGGCCCTCGCTGCGAAGCCCCTGTCAAGCTGCCAAGATGAAGAACTTCCTGGCCAATCTGCGAGCCTTTCTGGCAATCGTGTTCTTCCTGACCTGTGGCAATGTTGATGCCTTCTGGCGTATGGTCTGTGGGACTGTCCAGGTAGGTAGGGTTGACCCCATCATTTCGCCGGGTGGGATCTCTGGACACTGTCATACCATTGCTGGACCCAACAGTATGTGCTGCTCAGAAAGGATCCTTCTCACCTGCTGACCACCATGAATAGACATCAACACGACCTCGACTTTCGACAGTCTGCAGGCGTCCTACTGTACATCGTGCAGCATCCAAAAGGACAAGAGTGCCTATTGGACTCCTCAACTGTACTATAGGCATCGGAATGGCTCTTTCGAGGAAGTCCCACATGACGGAACGGTGGTGTACTACCTGGACCGTGGAGTTGACGTTCCAAACATGGTCCCTTTCCCACCTGGATTCCGAGTCCTTTCTGGAGATGCCGCTGCCCGAGCCTTTGACCCGTTGACCCTAACCTACGGAAACAAGTCCTACGCCGGCACCCCTGTGTCCAACCGAGTCAGCTTTGCATGTCTGGATAGCAGTGGCCCTATGCCCGAAACCCCCGGCTTTAACGTGACCAAATGCAGCTCCGGTCTACGTGCGCAAATTCATTTCCAGAGCTGTTGGGATGGCGTCAATCTCTACAAGTCGGATCAAAGCCATGTCGCCTACCTGTCTGGCATGGACAACGGCATCTGCCCACCTGATCATCCCAAGCTGCTGCCTCATTTGTTCTTTGAAATCATCTATTCGGTCAACAGTGTCAACCAATCCGACGGAGGCATGTTTGTCTTCGCCAATGGCGATACGACTGGCTATGGCTTCCACGGCGATTTCTTGAATGGCTGGGATCCCCAAGTGCAAGCCGACGCCATCAAACAATGCATGGGATCTCAAGCCACCAACGACGGCCAAATCGGTCTGTGCCCTCCTCTCGCTGCATCTGTGGATCCCTACTTCAACGGAAACTGTCCTGAGCAAGCCCCGGTGGTCAACGAAACTGTCCACGGCATGCTCAAAGTCCTCCCAGGCTGCAATCCGCCCACGGGAGGACCACTCCGCGCGGCACAGAACACATGTCCCGTCCAACCGGCGCTCAATTACATTCCCAACCAAGACTACAAGAACCGGTCGGTCGCGATCCCCGGCGACAAGGTCGGGACATGGCAGTACATGGGCTGTTCATTCGACACAGGCACGCCACGCCCGTTGGCTGGGAAGAGCTATACCAACAGCACCGGGATGACCATCGAGTCGTGCACCGCTTTCTGCAAGCAGAACGGCTATTTCCTCTCCGGTATGGAGTACGCGACGCAATGTTACTGCGCCAGTGCTATGTCGCAGGTCCTGCAAGACCCCGTCACCTGCGCCACGCAATCCTACATGATCTGTAGTGGCAACAGCTTCGAGTTTTGCGGCGGGCAAGGGCTCATGCAGATCTGGAATGACACGACCTATTCCGGGCCCTCGATCAAAGGTGTCCCCGTCGCCGGAAAGACCAACCTGCCTCTGCCGTCTGGAGGAAATGCCACGTATCAGGGCTGCTTCATGGAAGGCGTGGGAGCGAGAGCCTTGACCGGTACATCCTACTCAAACAGCAACAACATGTCACTTGAGACGTGTGCGGCATTCTGCCAGCAAGGGAATTATGCATTGTTCGGCACCGAGTATAGTCAAGGTATGTATCTGACACTGCCCCTGCCCCTGACCCTGACCTTGACCGGCCTTTGGGCGAATAAAAGCCACAGCACTAGTGCTAACACATCTGACTTGTAGAATGCTACTGCAGCAACACGATCAGCACCACACAAGTCGGCCAAGGTAACTGTTCATCCTTCTGCAGCGGCGACAACACCGAGTTTTGTGGCGGTGGGTCTCGCCTCTCGGTCTGGTCACTGTCCACAGCCCCTACACAGTACACCACGGCCAGCAGTACTGGAAGCTCACCAGCGACGTCTGCCACAGCTGTAGCGGCAGCGACGGGAATCGCCTACCTCAACTGCTATAGCGAAACAAGCAACCCGCGGGCGTTGTCGGCCGTGTTCCAGTCGTCCGGGGCCATGACGGTGGACTTATGCGCGAAGACAGCGCAGAGCCTGAACCTGCAGTTCTTCGGGCTCGAGTACGCGTCGCAGTGCCTGGCGGGCAGCACGCTCGACAGTCGGTCGGCGGTGCTCGCGTCGAGCAAATGCAGCATGGCGTGCGCAGGTAACGTGACGCAGACGTGCGGCGGCTCGAGTGCCATCAGCCTGTACAACAACACCATGTACGTGAAGCCGTTCAATCCGAACCCGGCCAACGTGCCCAACCAGCCTGGCACGCAGTACGGCTACATCGGCTGCTACAGCGAGCCCACGGGCGCGCGGGCGCTGGGCAGCACGGCCAACTACGGCGCGTACACGACCACGTCGGCCGCGCTGACCGTCGAGGCCTGCGCCGCCCTGTGCTTTGCAAAGGGCTACGCGTGGATGGGCGTCGAGAACGGAAACCAGTGCTTCTGCAACGGCGCCGGTCTCATCAACGGCGCCGTCCGCTCTCCTGGCGGCGACGCCGATTGTGCCGTCACCTGTGCCGGCAACCCGCAGGAGAACTGTGGCGGCAGTGCCAAACTCAACGTCTATCAGCTCAAGACCGGGAGTGCCAGGTATGCCAGGTATGCTACCCCGCCGGCGAAGCGCGGCTGGACGTTGAAGACATGGTAGAAGATTGGGTGGCTGCCTGCTTACCGGAACCATCTGATCTGGCCCGGAAAAGGGAAAAGGGCGGTACTTGATACAGAAAGAAAGAAAATAAATCTAGTAGAGTACGAGTATAAGCTTCCTATCTTGTGGTCTTGGAAATGGTCACGACTCATGACTCATTCATTGTTCATGTCTACCTTCAGGATCATTCGATTTCTCAATTCAAGTAACGACGGAACCAAAGTAGATCAGTCCAGACTAGACTAAACCTTACACCTCTCGCCCGCCCGCCTGCTTTTGGAAAAATCAAAATGACAATGACCTGATCTAGCGCACTCACCCTTGCGAGCGAGCACGTATTTTTCCTTCGTAAGGGGGCATAGTCCTCGACAAATGAAACTCCAAGGAACAAGGTTGATCTTAGTGCACCGTAGCATGTATGCATCAGCCTCCGTCCGTTCTTCCATGCTTTTATCGTCAGGCAAATCTGTTCTTGGAAACATACCCCAGGCCCGGCTGAAGGAAGACATGTTTGTCATTACCGTGGAAATCCTTCCTGAATACATGTCTGACAGAACCTTTGACTGTATAGCTATTCTGAATTTTCCTGGGAAGATCGGTGCCCCTTCGAGCCAGACTTTCTTGCACGCTCCGAACATTGAACAGACCAGCTGTTGCTGTTCATTGTTCTTGGGAGCAATTGAACTGGAAAGTGCCCTTGGGACCGGTCGGCCGGTCGTTTGATGATCGGCAAAGACTCCGTTTCTGGTGCTTTAGGAAGGTGCCATTTGCTGCCGCCAGCAACGGTGAGTCTGACTTGAGAAGAGCGTGAAAATCTTGTAAGTTCAGATCGCCTAAAATTGCCCCAGGTCCAAGGAAGGCAGAGGTGAAGGGAAGGCAGTCGTGAACGCATGGCCAGGAGCAGGCAAGGGCCAATCTAGTATGCGTCCATGGAAATCTCTTCTCTTGGATGTGTTGGAACCCGTTGCCCAAGAAGGCCGTGCTTCGACCTCACTTATTTCTTGGTCTTCCGCTTCGACGCAGCCCTCCTCGACCTTGCTTTTTCAGATGCGAAAACCATAGAGTTCCTCTCCTTCTTCTTGGTAACTCGGTGTTCTTTGTGGGCGGACTGTGATTGTGACTTGACAGGCTTCATCTTTGCTCCTTGGGCATCGACTTCCATATCTGCCGACTCCAGTCAGTACATATATTCGAGATCTTGATGCTTGCATTTTGCAGATCTTACCCTCCGCACCATCATTTGCGGATTGGGATTCTGTCCCTTGCTCGGCCGAAGCGTCGACGTCCATAGCTTTGTCCGCATCTGGCCGGGGTTTTGCTGCCAGTTCTTGGAGTTTTGCCGACAGTCTCTCGGTTCGTGCATCGTGCGCAGGACCGAACACTTTGGCACGCAGGTTGCGATGGTTGCGCTTTACCACCGATGCCCGGGCTGATTTGGCCATTGTGGGGGAGATCAAGACAACAGGCAGACTGAGACTGAGCGTATACTTCGTGTGTGGTTGTCGACAACAGCACGGGACTGGACTGGACCAGATATTAACTGAAATTGATTCTCTGGGGAAAAGTACAGTAGAGAGTTCGAGGCCTGTAGTGGAGGCTGAGGCAAAAGAATTTCTCCCACTCGAGCCTGCAAGACTGGCGCCCGCCGTTTTACATGGTGGGCAGCCCAATGCAAATCACATCACCCGTAACTTACTTCACTTCCCGCCTACATCCTCCATCCTACATCCCATCCGTCCATCCTCCACTTCACTCCCACCTGCGATCCACGATCCATGTCTCGACAATAAAACACAATTCGGGCAGTCGCCGCCGTGCCCTGACTTGAAGTCATGTCTGTCTGTCCTGTCTACCACGGGTAATACGTCTACCCTGTATCCTGTTGATTCCGCATCCGCATCTGCGCCACTCCCACTCCGCCATGGCTGGATACGTGCAGGCGCAGGACCAAGTGCAGGCCATGGTGGCCCATGTCAAGACCTTGACTGTTGAGAAATTGAAGATACTGCTACGCACCGAAGGACTGCCAGTGTCGGGGGTGAAAAGCGAGCTGCAGATCAGAGCAATTGCGCGTATGGAACCTCCTCTGCCTCTACCACCCCCTCTCCCACGTCTCGATCTGACCTTGGACAGATATCGAAAAGCTGCGCAATGCGGGCGACCTGACGAACTTGAGTCGCCTGCGCGGCAATATGAGAGCACCCTCGTCCATGTACAGTTCCAACACTTATCCTTCACCATACTCTACGCACACGCCGACCTCTTCAGCATCGCCTCAGTTCTCCTCTCCCAACCCTCGTGCCCCGTATACAATGTCGCCAAACTCGCCCTATGCGCCCGGTAAGGCTCAATTGGTTGTTAAGGAAGAGGCATCTCTGACAGTCAACAGGTCGCATCACATTCAAGAGCTCGCCCTTCTACACCATCGTCAAACCGCTCACCCAAACGCTCGAGTGCAAAGGTGACTTTTCCCAGACCCGATCGGGTTCAAGTCCGCCGGCTGACTGCCTATACCATAGCCCGAGAAACCACCCGCGACACAGTTCGTCTGACAGTCTCACTCACGCCGGCCCTCGTAGATCAGCTCTCGGCCGATCCGACATGTCGAGTCATGGTTTTCTGTGCCGCCGAAGGCTTTCAACATTTCTCTCGCGAATATGACATTGGGTTTCCCCATAATGTGGAACTCAAGTGCAATTCAGATGAAGTCAAAGCAAATCTACGGGGCTTGAAGAACCGACCAGGTTCCACTAGGCCGGCCGATATCACCCATTTGATCAGGAAGAAGCCGCCGACCTACCCGAACATCGTGGAAATGATCTATGCCTTGACATCGAAGGTGCGCCAAAGCAATGTTGAGTTTTGTTTGTCCTTGCTTTTCGTTTTTGTCCGATCTTTAATAAGAATTATTATGCTAAATAGGGCAAATCTGAACCACAGAAGTACTACCTGATGGTCAATCTGGTGATGCAAAAGCCAATTGACACCATGGTTTCCGAGCTCAGACAAGGGAAGTCCATCAGCAAAGAACAAATCTTGCGTGACAGTAGGTTGGCCGTCCTCGGCATCTCTACTCACTCTGCTAACAGAAGCCAGTGCGCACCAAGGCCGAAGATCCCGACATCGTGGCTACATCGAGCGTTCTTTCGTTAAAGGACCCGGTGGCGTACACTCGAATCGTCACTCCTTGCCGGTCAATTGCATGCAATCACAACCAATGCTTTGATGCAGCCTCGTATCTACAGCTTCAGGAACAGGCTCCCACTTGGACTTGTCCCATATGCAACAAACCTGCCCCGTGGGAGCATTTGGCGCTGGATCTGTATGTTAATGACATTCTGAATTCAACGCCACAAGATGTCGAGGCCGTCGCCGTGGAGCCTGATGGGCGGTGGCATATCCAGCGAGATCAGGACGGCTCGACCCGTAACACCAATCCTACTCCGAGTGACGACGACGAAGACGATGATGATGATCTTGTCGAGATCGCGGGGCAGACAGACCATCGGCTAAAGGTTGAAGCGCTTACGCCTCATAGTGTCAGGACACCGCCACTTTCATCCAGAGAGGATTCGACCGTTCCATCTGCCTCGAGATCTGCCTCGAGACCGAGTAAAAGACCCCGCGAAGAAGTCATTGACTTGACTCTCAGCGAAGATGATGATGATGACGACGAAGACGACCAACCGGCGCCAAAGCAGCCCAGAACAGGCGGGACGCCATCTGATCCCTCGCGCCCGCGATCAGCGGCGGACCGGTTTATTAGTTTCCAGACTTTTCACATCCCCGTCCCTTCACCATCTCAACACCTGAATAAAATCAATCCTTCGCTTTAGCATCATGACATCGGCATTTGAGCGAGGCGTTTAGGATTCGGCATGACTCGCACGGAGAGTTTCAGGACGGCATTACGGTCAAAGGGCATGGGGGGTTTCAGGACATGGGCCGGCGATATAACAGTACTTCCGGAAGGAGATTCATGAGCTAGGATGATCAGGCTGCCACGTGTTTTACATTGTGGTTCGGGTGTGGCCCACGGCATGATTGTGGGAACTGGCCATTATGCTCGGGAAGAGCGTCGGGTTTCTCCTGGCTGATTTGTAGATTACGAGCCGACACACGACATGCACGCCAGAGTTGCAAGACTACCGGGATGGGAAGCAATACACAGTACAACACAAATGCACGAGGAGAAGGTCCAGCATGCATACTCTTGCAGCAAACTTGCTCTAGTGACTGATCATTCCCCGTCATAAGAGTGGTGGCTGGTATGGCTGATATGGCTGATATGGCTGATATGGCGTGTCAAGCGAGTAGAAACATCATCTTCTCACAAGTACAGCGCAAACACACCACCTCCTGGTGTCGACCTTGGTCTCTCCGTCACGTGCAGGCTGCCAGGGTCTTCGAGTGCCATTGACGTCGACTTCAAACATCTCGACCGCTTTCAGCCGGCCCTGGACCTCTGCAACCTCAGGGTCTTGATCCTGAGATGCGGTCTCAGGGTCGGGGTCGGGGTCTTCATCTTTCCACTCGCCCGTGGCGACGTGGAAGAAATGGCGCACAATGGCGCGGCCGGTGTGAAACCCGGCCACGACCAAGGCATAACTGTCAGGCCGCAGCGGATCGAGGTATCGCAGGACGGTCTTGACCAGGTTGGTGTGCTGAGAAGGCATCCACAAACAATCGGCGACGATGATCCTGTCGAACCCATCGGGCTGGCGTGGTGCGGGCTTGCCGTAGTGGTTGGGAAGGTACATTTTGCCGGTGCCCCATGTATACCCGAACACATGCACCACAGGGTTAGGGTTAGGGTTAGGGTTCGGGTTCGGGTTTGGCTGTGAGGAGATGGTGTGGTTTGGTTTTGAGGAGATGGTGTGGGTGTCGGGTTCAGATGACAGGCCGGGCTGTCCAGGGGTACTGTTACTGTCGTCGACATCGACGGTTTGCTTTCGATCGGAAACGTTGGCTTTGACATTCTGCTCAATTGCACCCGTCGTCAGGGCGGGTGATGAGGGATGGTCGGTGATGGTGGTCGACGCAGCGCCCGACAGCGCACATATCAGAGAGGGAAGAGCTGTGCCTATGGGTAGTTGGTGGTCGACGTTAGCGTAGACCAAACAAAACCAGAACACCATACGGAGTACCTGGGCTCGTGGGCTCCTGGTGTCCCTAGTGTTCCTGCATGAACATATCTCGCGGGTTGTTTGTTCCACGTACCAGCGCCCAACTCTAGAACCCGCTTGCTTCTGACGTCCCAGTATTTCCTGTTCCATGTCCAAGGAGTTTCGGTTGCATCTTGAATCTCGTGACCACCCTCTAGGGTTCGGTCGAATGATTTGTCTTCATCGTCTTTCTTTTCATCGTCATCCCCATCTTGTTCATGACTCGCCGTCTCAATGGCATCGGCGGCAATGACACCAGAGTTCCACAGGTAGTGGGCAAACAGTTTGCGGCCTTCCTCGACATCCGGGTGGGCCGGGATGCGTAGGCCGATGTTCCCCAACCGAGGAGAGTGGTAGACGACGCTCGAACCGGGCGTGCCGTGGTTGGTTTGCGTGTCGTCGGTGAACAGGCTCGACAAGGCGGCCGAGAGAATATCTTCGGTCTCGGGCGTGGGAGGGAGAGGGACTGAGATGCGCGACGAGAGCATGTGTGGGTGAAGAATCAAGCGAGTGGAAACGAATGACCATACCAGATTGGCAGCACTAGCAGTGAAAGTGAGAGCGCGAGCGACAGTGAGAGTGAGACCAGGAACTAGACGCCGTCTGAGCATTCATCTATCCATTCTCCCACTCCGAACAGCCGCCTGGACTTGGTCTTCATGAAGCCGAAGCTGGGAGCCCACGCAGGCACTGAAGATGCCGGCGCAGACATGGTGTGAGTGATAAAGCCATTGACGCGAAGCGAGGGAAGAGTGCGGGACTAAGCTGACCTGAGCAGAGCAGAGCTGATTAGATTAGATTAGATCAGATTGAATGGTCGGAAATATTTTATGTACCTGGGTACAGAATACAGATACAGTCCAGAGGACAGAGGACAGAGGATATATGTACCACATACTACTACTAGGATGTTATGTATCTGACAGCTTAGGGAGTATTATCAGTGATTCAATAGGCAGGGAGGTCGGCCGATTCCAGATTCCTACTTGGGATTGGAATCTACAACACTACAAGTCAAGACAATACTCTCTCTCTACCGACCCATCACCCAGCACCCAGCATCCCATCCCAACATGTCCGCAGCCCCTTCACACCCAGCCCACCTCGATCCCAGCGAACTAGGAACAAAAGAGTAGTGAGTGCGTTCCCAGCCCTGTGTCGATTGTTGCAGAAATGGCGGTTCCTACTCCCGCTCCCTCTCCCTTACAAAAAACCACTCCCCAAGTACAGAACACACTTCTTGAAATCTCCCTCTTCCTCAGGCAGAATCTAACCAAAAGCGCCTGGCCAGCTGGGATCGATACTACCAGAACGATCTGGACAATGGATCTCCCTCTTCCGACGAAGACGACGACGACGATGAAAACAACAACGCAGACGCAGACGACGACGACGAGTACCATGGTACCGGTGCCGAACCACCTGACCCATCGGAGCTCGAGTCATGGTTCGACGACGTGGGCGCGCCACAAAAGACACTGGCGTTCTTGACTTCGACCACGTTCCCTCTCTCACCTAATTACATCGGGGCGGGCGATGACGACCATAGCGATGCGGAAGGCTCGTCGACAACAACAGCTACAGCTACAGCCACAGATCTACCACCTACCGTTCTTGACCTAGGCACAGGCAACGGCAGCGCCCTGTTCGCCCTGAGACTCGAGGGCGGCTACACCGGCCGCATGGTCGGCGTGGACTATTCGACGCAGAGTGTCGAGCTGGCGCGGAAACTGTGGCGGCAGTATGGGTCGAGTTGGCGTGCAAGTGCACCTGCACCTACAAATTCAACTTCATCTTCATCTGCCGCTTCAACCACCTCTGCCTCTGCCGCTCCATCAACTACGACGCCAACCCCAACATCCGCAGAACCACACCCAGACTCAGAACCAGAATCAGACATCACATTCCAAGTCCTCGACTTGATCCACGACACGCCGGCCCAGCAGGCCTGGTGGCCCACTTCGGCCGGTGGCTTCGACCTGGTCTTGGACAAGGGCACATTCGACGCCATTTCGCTGTCGTCGGCGACGGTGACAGTGACGGTGACGGGGACGGGGACGGTGGTTGAGCCCGACGCCAGCCCCAATGCCAGCCAGTTCACCCCCAGTCGCGACAGGCGCGAATGGCGCGTCTGCGAGCTCTACCCGGCCAAGGTGCTGGCCATGGTCAAGCCCGGCGGCTTCCTCCTCGTCACGAGCTGCAACTGGACCGAGGAGGAGGTGGTCGCGTGGTTCACGGGCGCGGAATCCGAACCACAATCTACCGGACGGTTCGAGGTCTACGATACCATCAAATACCCCGTCTTTGAGTTCGGTGGGCAAAGGGGCCAAGGCGTAGCCAGCGTATGTTTTAGAAAAGTTATTTGATGTTTGATAAAGCTGTTTGATGGTACGTTTCGTTTCATTATAGGCAACTACTACTACTACAAACTACATATGCATATGATACCCACATGAACCTGTCGTTCAGGCTTGGTCCTGGTCCCAGTCCCGGTCCCGGTGCAAAACAAACAAGACATGAACCTGCATCCAAGCGGTCTGGTGGTCTGGTGGTATTGTAACCTTGTGGCGTTGTCGCCTTATGGTCTGCAGCCTTGTGGTCTTTAGCCTTGCGGTCTTTAGCCTTGTAGCATTGTAGCATTGTGGCATTGTGGTCTGCAGCCTTGTGGTCTTGTGGCCTTGTTATCTTGTGGCCTTGTGGCATTGTAGCCTTGTGTTCTTGTAGTCTTGTGGCCTTAGCCTTACGGCCTTAGCATTATGGCCTTGGCCTTGTGGTCTGTAGCCTTGTACCCTTGTAGTCTGTACCCTTGTACCATTGTGGTCTTACGGAATTACAATGACCATACCTACCTAGTAGGTACCTAGCTCATCAACATAGTCACTGCCCAGGGCACCGACAATTGTCGAAGATCACCATAGTGTTGACCCACGCCGATGAATTGCACCGGCACCGAAGTGGCATGGACCAGACTAATCATGGTCCCGATCCCAGATCCAACCGTATCGATCTTGGACACAATGAAGCCATCCAGCTTGCGGTTCTTCCCCAGCGCTTTGGTGAAGTTCTGCGCCTGCCCAACAGAGTCATTCCCGACCAAGGCCTCGGCCACCTGCAAGATCAAGTCCGGTTGTGCAAGGTCGACCAGCTTCTCCAGCGACGCCATCAGCTGCGTGTTTGTGTGCGCTCTACCGGCAGTGTCGACCAGAACGACTTGGTAGTCGTTGGCGGCGGCGAAGGCGACCGCGTCTTTGGCCACGTTGGCGGCGTCTTTGCCGTATCCCCGTTCATAGATATCCACGGCCCCCAAGTTTTCTCGCGCCGTGAGCTCCTTCAAGTTCCGCACGTGGACGTTGAGTTGTTCCACCGCTCCGGATCTGAAGGTATCCCCCGCGGCAATCAGCACGCGATAGTTGTTCTGCAGTAGAAAATAGCAGAGTTTCGAAAGATTGGTCGACTTCCCCACACCGTTGACCCCGAGGATCGTGACCACGAAAGGGCGGGGTTTGGCTTTGGCACCTGATGGGGTTGTGACGGCCTCGATTTGTTGCAGAAGATCCAATGACGATCTGGGCGTCAAGATCCGTCTCAGGGACGTCTCCAGGGCAGGCCGCAAGGCTGTCTCGATAGACTCGAAGGCTCCTGTCTTTTTACCCACCATCTCCGCCTCCACACCTTGGCAGATCCGGACTGCGGCATCGCGCGCAACGTTTTTGTTGATGAGATGCTCTTCCATAGCCTTCAGGGGCTTGTCGAGGTCTTGTTTGGTCAGCGTTTTCCCTCCAACAATGTTTCTGAAATAGCCGGAGATCGCTCCGAGTTTCGTGGTCCCACTACCCTGAGTCTGGACTCGGCCTGTGTCTGCCGATTTGAGAATATTCGTTACTTCGTCGCCAAGATCCTTCAAGACGAATTGCCCCTGCTTGTTCTTGGTGCCCCAACTGTCTTGAGTGATTGCCTCTGGGGCGGGAGAGCTTACCCCTGCCCCGCCAGTTGCATCCGAGTCGATGGCAGAATAGTCGAGGTTCTTGTCGTCTACTTCGTCGGCCATTCCGTCTGGACCCCAGACTCGGCCCTTCTTGGCAGCTTTTTGAGGTGTTTTCGATCTCCTGGCCTCGTCGCCAGAAGAAGCATTCGTGGTGACGGTGTGCGCGGCCTTTCTGGCTCTGCGTGAACCCCGACTGCCCGGTCTCACTTTCTCCGTCAACAGATGTCCCGCAACACCTGGCAGAGGAGTGGTGGGGCGCGATGAATTAGGCGATTGAGCAGGTGTATGCTGTGTAGAATCCCCGTTCACCACCGGCACAGCTCGTGGCTGTGCCTTGAGCAGCTGAGGCAGTTCTGGCGGCGGTGGACCTCCAGTGTCGGCCTCTTCTGCGCTGATTTTCTTCTCCTCCTGCACTTGGACTCGAGGGGTCTCGGCGCCGTGTGCACTCGCACTCTGATCCAGTCTGCGTAGCTCCTCATCGAAGTATTTGTCAAAGGGATATTTCAGCACCGCATGGTCGAGTTCCTCCAACTGTCCTCTGTACACTTGCACGAATATGGTTCGGATATCGTCGAGGAGTTTGTCGACCCAGGTCAGGTGCAGGAGGGACTGGTAAACCGCGACGAAGATCAGACCCAGGTCTTTGACCAGGGTGTATTTCAGAGTGTATTTCTCATGCTTATATGCAGGATGGCCCGACTGGGAGGCCGGCGGCCGGACTTTCTCCTCGATAAAGACATCGTTGATCAAACTGTTGACTGCGGAGGCCCCGATATTGGAGGTAGACCTCGACCACAGCACCACCCCGGAGGTGGTCAGGATCTCGAAAACGTCCAGCATTTTGAGATGGAGAGCGGTCGAGATCGTTCCGCGGAGGCCGACGAGCAGTCTAGAAACGATCGCACTCGCTTGCAGCGGCAGACTTGACACGGTGCCAGTCAGGGACTGACTGACTGACTGACTGACTGACTGACTGACGTCGGCGGGTTGAAATGGGTTCGAATTAGTGCCTCGTGCGCCGCAGTAGCTTGGCGAGGACTGGGAGAGGACCTTGTTACGGAGGATCATACGCGAACATGGCGAAGTGTCGGGGAGAAGCTGAGCGACGCATCCGATGCAGTCTGATTGGCCTCATGGACGGGGCAGACCCATAGCTTGGCAGATGCTAATTTCAGCGACGTCCAATTCAAGCCTGAGGTTCAAGTTGCCAAACTTGACACCACCTGCCAGTGTGCCACGAGCTTTGATGGCTGAACAGGCAATGTCCACCGTCCCCCGTCCGCCCCAGCCACTTCTGCCCCTGAGCTGTATGCCACAGCGGTGTATCCGTACAAAGCAACACTCTAGTGGTAGTTGCGTATCTCCAAGCCCGAGGCTTTAGCTGGAGACAGTGGAAAGAAAAACACGAGTCAATGAAACAGAACAGCATATCCGGTAGAACAACAGGTGTTACGCAATGCGGCTACAGTGGTCTAGCCAGCATCTCCTTGATGCGTCCAAAGTATATGCAAAGAATTCCATCTCCAATCGTGGTGTTCTCCTTCCCCCATCCACTTGCGATCTAATTACAAAAGGACTTCCTACACATTTGTCATCCTCCCCAGACATGCTCCTGTCCTGCGCGAGTCAGTCCTCGATGCAGCCGCAACACAGCCATGTGAATCGTGACTAAGAAAATCGAACGCACGAAACAAAATAGGCCGCTTATGCGATGACGACGGCGGCCACGGCAACAAGACCGGCAAGAGCGAAAGAGCCAGCGTTGGCAGAGGCGGCACCAGTGTAGGTGGCGACAGCTGGGCTGACGGGGGAGCTGGGAATTCAGTCCGGTTAGCACGTGCTGGCGTCAGAGGATTAACATAGGAAATATTCACCTGTAGGTCCAGACACCAGTGCCGGAGGCGGAAGCCGGGGCAACCGGGGAGCTGGATGGCCAGAAGGGAGTCTCGCTGGCGGGAGCAACGGGGGTGCTGCTCAGGGTGACGGTGGTCCAGTCGGCCCAGGTCTCGGCGGAGGAAGTCGAGGTGCTGACGGGGGCAACAGGAGTGCTGCTGGTGACGGTGGTCCAGTCACCCCAGACCTCGGAAGAGGTGGAGGTGCTCACGGGCTCGACGGGAGTGGTGGTGGTGGTCCAGTCGCCCCAAACCTCCTCGGACGAGGTGGTGGTGCTGATGGGAGCGACGGGAGTGGTGGTGGTGGTGGTCCAGTCACCCCAGGCCGGGTCAGAGGTGGTGGTGCTGACGGGAGCAACAGTGGTGGTGGTGGTGGCCCAGTCGCCCCAGGTATCGTCGGTAGCCTTGTAGGGGCAGTCAGTAACGGTAGGCTCGCATGAGGTAATGGTAACGTCAACAACATCGGTAACAGTCGAGGTTCCTGCAGAGGCAACGGCGATGATGCCGGCCGCGATGGCGATGGAGGCACGCATTTTGCTGGACCTGTTGAAATTCGAAATACCGGAAATCGAAAAAAAGGAGCTTTCGAGGAAGCGAGGAGGGTCGAGGGTTGATTATTTAACGAACGTAAGTGGAGCTGAACCTGAAAGAGTGGACGACCGGAGTCAAGGCGTTTTTTTAGGATACAGAAGTCACAGCTTGAGTATTGAGAAGAGAAAAGGTCGGAGGCACTGGGCATCTGGAGGTTCTTGTACTGCTCACCGTGTCCTGGGAGATTGAGGCCCGGGCGACGCGACTGACGGATTGACTGGAGCCAGATTGAGTGGCCCACTGGACATTGGCCCATAGTGGCTGGCCATGGTGCGAGATGGACTGGGCTCTGGGAGATTGCGTTCTGGAGAAGCGCGAGCGAGGTCGCCGGCCGAGATGACAGGGGGGGAGGGGACGGAGTAGGTCGTAGGGCGGATATAGGGGGGAAGTAGGCACTTGCCACTTGCCACCAGCAGGACGATGGCCATAGCCGCGGACGGAAGGTTTAGGAGGCTCGACTGGCTCGCCTGGCTCGTCAAGGCTCAAATTAAGGCTGCGGCTGTCGTGACTGTCCCGGCGCAGGTACCACGACGGGCCGCCAGTCAGGAAGCAGGACACGGGCGCCACCCAAGCAGAAAACAGGCACCTAGCAGGGCAGCGCTAGCAGTACTCCGTACACTGCTACAGTAATTAGCAAGAAGCTGGCAAATTGCTGCATGCAGTTTAGGAGAAGATGGTGCGGTCGCCCACAGCCCACCGCCGGTTGTTTTGGCTGTCAGGGCACCAGAGCAACGGTGGGGAGAGAGGTGGATAAGCCGAGAGGGAGGATCCTGAGGTCCTGAGGAGGAGGAAAAGGAGAGGCCCGGCCAATTTGCCGTCCAGGCTGGAGCATGTCTGTACACATCAGACAACAGGCCTGGTACACATGCTGCTGGTACCATCCGTATATCCATTATGGTAATCCATCCTCTTACTGCACACACTCTAACGTGGACTGTGGACCGTGGAGGCGATAGGGGCGGGTAGCATTGACTCTCGAGGGTCACATTTCTAGGGAGTAGGCAGTCTTAGGAGCCCTCGGTCCGGCGTACCGTACACATAATTAGCAGTTCGGTTCGCAGGAAGTAGGAAGAGCAGGCTTGCGATGGTGCAATTGCATCGCCAGACGGCGTGTCGAGCGAAACTCTGAAGTTAGTAGGGAGTAGCAGCAGTCTGGGCCGATTACTGTAGAATTAGGATGATCAGGAGAATTAGCACCATGATGGCCGGGTTTCACACTGCCACTTCAGGGGCTGTGTGGGCTGCCGATGCCGCTGTGAGCTGTCTGATTGGCCCCATGCTCGGGCTTGGCAGCCCCGATCGGCTTCCCGCCCATCAACCTCGTCGATTGCTTGTCGCTTGCTCGTCCATTGATCAATTGATCGTCTGTTTCGGCCTCGTCGAAATCTCGTTTGTAGATTGAAATGTGAATCTAGCCGGGCACCTAGCCGGGTGTCTCAATTTGGAGAATATGCGAACAATAATCTCGCGGCGGCATGCTATGGAATACCGTGACTAATATATTGCAAGGGCAAGGGGTCAGGGGATAGAACTGTTCAGATTCCCGATCCAGAGAACGGAGTAAACACGCTTTAGGGCACGGGGAGAGCAGTACGGAGGACAGAGTGGGACAGAGTGGTACAGAGGACGGAGAATCACCTGTTAGAAATTTACTAGGACAAATCTTAGGGTTAGTTACCCTACTACGTACTCTGTCTGTACAGAAAAGTTCCATGTGTGTTCCGGGACAGCTGTCTCCTCATGTCTCATGTCTATCCAACGAGACAGCCAGCACGAAGTACGTCAAGGATCAGCTCGATCGTGATGGGATCCGTGCTTTGCTGTGCTTAGCTGTGCTGTGCTGTTTATTTTTTCTCTTTTCCTGCACTGAGGACGTAGTATGAATGATATGAATGTATGTCACGCGCCGTGACACATGCCGCCCGTGCTATCATCTATCATCCATCTATCGATCGCTGCCCGTGCTCGGATCTTTGCTTGTTTGCTCGGCAGGATCAGCCCTCCATCAGCCACCTGCTCATCAGCCGGGAAAGCCTGAGAGCCCCATGCCTCTGCCAGTTTGATTGTTTTGCTCTGCTGCGCACTTGGTCACCGCCATCGACGCGTCCAGTCTGAGGTCTATGCGTGGTTGCCCCGAGAAACAACTGCTGTCGCAACGTAATATGTTTGAGCTCAATCCCAATCTCAGCTGCCACCTGATGGAGAAGTGTGAACTGTGGCCCTGTGCGTGACAAACGGCGGCGGCGGCGGTCTGGAATCGGAGTCTAGGGTGCACATTGTATACAGTGACCTTCTACCTGGTACTTGGTACCTCGTATCTGGGCCTCAAGAGACTCGACTCGGTATTCTAGAACTCTAGACTTTGGAGTCTGGACTCTGGACACAGGTTCGACTGATACTGCCGCCTGGATCACAGACCCAAAGAAGCCCGGCACCCGGCAGCCGGCACTCGTCATCATCAGCTCTCCGCAGCTCCCGAGAGCCAGTCACCTATCTACAAAGTATCACGGATGCACGCATCATGTACTAACTACTATTCTACTATTACACAGCATGTCTATCTAGGTACCTAGGTACCTGACCTGGTATGTGTCCGGATGCAGAGCACAGAGTACGGAGTACGGAGTACAGGGTGTCCGTTACCCAACAGCTATCCTGGTCGACTTCTATGTGTGTGAGCGTGTGCCTGTCGGGGTGGAAAACTTATCCAGAGGCGCCGTACAACGTCATGATGACAACCTGCCTGGTCTTCCCACCATCCTCATGCCTCTTCCATCCAACAGCATTGCTTCGACTTCCTACGCCATGTTAGGTATTTCAGTTGTGTGCGACTCGACTATATTACCTTACGGCTCCAGTATTGAGGACAGGACAGTGAACTCCGTACTACCAGTTACCAGCTAGCTACCACCTTCCAAGACTCCCGGGGAACGCATCATAGAGTGCGTCACCACCAACGGGAATGGGAAATGGTCATCCCTCTGCGGAGGTCCTGGACGGGCGCTGCATCCGGACACGTCCCGAGATCCCATCATGATCCCAGCCAGGCTGAACTTCAGCGAGAATGTTCAACCACGGTGAAAATCTCGACCTCTGCTCGCCAGGGAGTGAGTGAGTGACAAATGAGTGAGTACTCGTGAGGTCATGTATCTGCTCTTGTGCCCCGATCCTTGCCCCTCCCTCCCCCCGGCTCTCATGAGGTATATCTCTTGACCGTGTCAGAAAAGCAAATGGTGTGTTTCTCACGTTCCTGTCTCTCACATTCCTGTCTCCGGCCTCCCACAACGTCAAACCCATGCATCCCTACGTCGGTCTTTTTCTCGGCTTGGGCGCGCTCGCAGCGGCCGCCCCCCAGGTCACTCTCACTCCGCTCAGTGGCCCTATCCCGCCGGTCCGGAGTTCCGAGGTGACTGGACCGACCTCCCATGGACCGTTCTCCGGCACGCCGACCGTCACGGGCGCCTTGTCCGCCCCGGCGACCGCTCAGTCGATCGCGCCTGCTGGTGCGCCTGTTGTCACCTACACCAACAACAATGGCAAGCTGCAGGCTTCGTACATGCCGGTGCCCTACCAACCTGCCGGCGGTCAGGGGGTGAATGGAACCACTCCGTACTACCACCCGCTGTCTGACTTCGACTACGAGTCTCTCACCTTGGCCCTCTACCAAGAGTGGATCGAGCTCGACCTTTTCCACTACGGACTGGCCACATTCTCCGTCCAGGACTTCGAGGCTGCCGGTCTCACCGCCCAGGATCGATTTCTGATCGAGTTCATGGCAGACCAGGAAGCCGGCCATGCGACTCTGCTGAGCAACATCCTCGGTCCTGCCGCCCCGCCTCAGTGCACATACAACTATCCCTTCACCACGGTGCGAGAGTTTATCGATTTCTGCCAGAAGTTGACGCGGTTCGGCGAGTCTGGAGTCTACGGCTTCCTGGGCCACTTGGATTCCCGCGAATCCGCCACTCTGCTGCTCCAATCCATCAGCACCGAAGCCCGACAACAGATGATCTTCCGCCAATTCGACGGTCTATTTCCCATGCCGGTCTGGTTCGAAGTGGGCTGTCCGCAGAGCTGGGCCTGGACATTGCTGGCACCATATATCTCGAGCTGCCCAGCGAACACGACGCGGCTGGCGTGGCAAAACTTCCCTTCGCTTACGGTTCTGAACCAGCCGAATCCAGCAAAGACAAACCCCAACCTGGGCGCGGCTCAGGCAGGCACGGGCTCGAACCCCCTGAACAGCAGCGACATTGCCGCCAGCAACCAATGCCTCAACGCGACGGGCTCGTCCGACTGCGCGCCAGCCATCAGCCAGAACCGCTCCATCCCTCTCTCGTACCCGGGCCGGCCCGTCCATTTCGCCTGGGGTAGTGTCGGCGAGCCCGTCGGCCCCAACAACAGCTATGTCACCAGCCGCTCGCCTCTGGCCGACCAGCCTCGCTATGCCATGTTCGTGTCGCAGCTCAACGCCACCTACGTGCCGCTGGTCAACGTCAGTCTCGCCGCCAACACCGCCTCAGCCGTCCAGCCCAACATGAGCACCTTTGCCGGCGACCCTGCGGCCAATGGAACTATCTTCATCTCCATCGTCTCGCATAATCCCTATGTCACGCCCTTCAACCTCAGCCTGGTCAATCCGTACGTTTGGAGCGGGCCGGTTCTGTATCAAGCGGGCTAGATAGAAAACGGGATATGGATCCTGCATTATACTGCCGGATTGATACTGCATCATGCTGCATCTTGTTGCGTTTCGCTTGTCGTTGATGTAGTTACCTGAGGTGGTCATGGCTGGGTCTACCTTGATGTCTGGTATATTCTCTGCTTGCTCTGCTTGCTCTGCTTGCTCTACACACAGGCTTGAGAAAATAGGTTGAAAGTGCCAAAGTGTTGAAAGGAAGATACGGAGATAGATATGCCAGCATAGCATACCGTATTCATACCCATACCTAATTAAAATTATCTACTATCTTCCGTATCAGGTAGTCTATAATTGACATGTAGGTAGATGCTTACCAATAACTAGTTCATTGTTGTGTCGTATTTTTACGAGATCTTTACGAAATCTAGTAACCTCAAGTGATAACAAAAAATAAATGTGTGTGTGTGTGTGTGTGTGTGTGTGTGTGTATGTGTGTGTGTGTATGTGTGTGTGTGTGTGCTGGTAATATAACCAAGTGGCCTTCTCCTTTTTGGCGGCTGTCATGGTGTAACAGTTTAGGTCAACCGTGATAATATGTATACATGTATGTATATACATGTGTATGTGTGTGTGTATCTGTATATCTGTGTGTATCTCTATCTGTATCTACTAAAATCGCACCTCCCCCTCCTTAACCCAGCTCCAGTCGCTATCGAACCGGCCCCAACCACCGTCCGGGGTATCCTGCATCTTCAAGTCGTGCACGACGAAATCGTACGCGCCCTCGGGCGGTTCTTGGCCTTGACACACCTGGCCGGCCATGGCGATGTTGAGGATGACGGTGAAATCGGCCAGGCGCCTGATTCCCTGTGGGATGGTGTTTTTCATCACGGCGCGGCCGTCGATCCACCACAGCAGCCGGCCAGTGCCGTTCTCATTTTCGTCCTGCTGCCACGCAAACTCGAACCGCACGGGTCGGCGTTGCTGGAGGCCCGGCAGGACGGACTCGCAGACGCGGTGCTTGTTCAGGTCTTGCGGCACGTAGTGGCCCCAGTGCAGGCACGAGTGGTTGACGTAAGTGCTGTTCCAGGTCTCGGCAATGTCGACCTCGCCGTCCGTCGGCCAGCTGAAGGGCTCGGCCGGCAGCAGCCAGAAGGCCGGCCAGAGCCCCGGTCCGCAGGGCAGGGTCAGCGTCGCCACCAGGCTACCGCGCGACCGGCCCAGCCGTTGTCGCGACACGAGGCGTGCCGACGTGTATTTCTTCGCCGGGTCCGGCTGACGCGGCTGTGAAATGGCCCGGAGCACGAGCAGATGGTTCGGAGTGCTACACATGGCTGGTCAGTAACAGAACACAGAACGAACTGCTGACTTGTATGTGTACGAGTGGAAAAGACAGACTCCAATCGTAGATGGACCTCAGCTCGATCATGAATGGGAGGAATATCTTTCGAATACATCCTGGATATCCACATAGGGAAGGCGAACGCGGCAGACCCGGACCCGAAGGAGGACTTACTAGAAGGAATTCGCCGGCTCGTTCGTATAGTACTGCTTCTCGTCGTTCCCCCAGCCTTCGTTGCCCACCTTCTGCTCCCACTCGACACTGACGGGAATCGAAGGATCGAAACGCGGTTGCCAGTACACTGCCGGTCCGGCGTTGTTGGGATGCGTGCCTTGAGGGACTAGGGGCGGGGCATGCTGTTGTTGTTGTTGTTGATGAACCCCGCCCTGGTAGTAGGAAGGATGTGCTTGCTGTGCTTGTTGTCCGGGGTAAAGATTCGGCGGCTGTTGCTGGTATACATAGCCTGGCCCAGGATAGGAATGGTATGGCTGTGACTGCGGCGGGGGTTGAGATTGAGACTGAGGTTGAGGTTGGTACTGCTGTGGCGGCTGAGACTGCGAGTGCTCATTGAAGAGTCTCTGGCCCTCTTGGTGTAAGTCTTTCAACTGGGATTTGATGGCCGAGAAGGCGCTTTTGAAGGGCATGATGTTGGCCCTCTGCCCTCCGGTCAGGTTCCGTCTATTCGCTGCTGCTGCTGGCTGGCTGCTGGCCGGCTGCTCACTGCTAGCTTCGACACCGAGATCAGTTCGCTATCAAACTCAGCTTTGGTCAACTGATACACGTGCTCAACCCTCGTCCGACATACACCCAAGACGGGGAGCAGGTGCGAGCAGAGGTTGTCTGAAAAATCAAAATCAACTGACCTGATCTACTGCCGCTCAAGGAGAATCTTCTGCGACGAAGATCCAAGCCATTGAAACTTAGATAGCAATGAACCGGGGGTGGCGGCCGTCGTGCTTGGTGATGTGCTGGCAGCCAAGCGGCACATGCATAATTCCAAGAAGTAATAATATATGTGTCTCCGGGCCAGCCGCCGCTGCCTGCGACCTCCGAGCCCTCTATTGAATTGATTCATTCATCTGTTTCTGTGCAACCTGAGCATGAACTTGACTTCTTTTAGCTTGATGTATTGCAACCAAGCACACAGATCCCGAACTGGGCTGGGTGGCACAATAACGAGGGCTAGGGCTTGCTCTGAACAGTGACTTGAAACAGTATCCTAACCGTCCTACTGAACTCATCTCAATCTCTCCCGCATTGCGCTGAAAGTATGGCCAGGCCTGGTCTTCCAACATCCCGCGTTGATAACATCGCTCGGGATCCTGCCTGCCCGCACGCCCGCACGCCAGCGACGAGCTAGCTAGGTAAGAGGAGGAGCAAGAGCCTTCACCATGACACCTTTCAACCGGGTGGGCGATACTGTCGCATTGCCCGGAGTCCAACTCTACGTGCACCCTCGCCCGGCGCCGCAATGAATCCAACCCGAGCTCGAGTGGCACAGTGGCCGACTTGAAGCAGCAGCAGCAGCAGCATGAAAAGGAGGAAGAAAGACATGACGAGTGCAGGCTCAAATGGCACGCTGTAGGAGAAAGACTACGTGATGCCTTTGGGGCCACAGCCACAGCCACAGCCAGCGCTGTGTGGCTACCAATATCTTGACTGTGACGTTGGAGACGGGATATGCTGTGTACACGATAAATCGCTCCATCCAAAAACGGAGCTCGTTACACGGTCTAATACACGTTGCTGGGCGAGTCGAGCGTACTCGACCACAAGGCAAGGCTATGGCTGCCATTTCCTTGTTTTGCTTCACAGGGTCGCGGAAAAGTAAAAAGAACGCGACCATATTAGATTTTAATTTCCATATTATCATTAGGTAGTAATAACTACTTAGATGTACACAGTTCACATATCTGTATCAGACATGTTGTAAGGAACTGTCGTAACGATCGTGATGGATGCGTGGGTATCGTTTCTCCAGTGGGAGGGTGTCGGACGAGGTCCACTCGCCTCGTTTCCCATCCCAAGCTCTTGTCGTCCCCATTCGTTCCCAACTCATTACACCTCTATCTCTTCTTTCCTTTCTGCTTTGCGCACAAAACTGCGCATTGCTTTTCTGTTGTCCGTCATGTGTCAAGCCACGCCGCAGAGGCTGTAGCGTTCACAATTGCTCGCCGTGCTCTGCGTCCTTTTCTGCCTTGGCGTTGTCAGCGCTGTCGCGACCAACATCGGCGTTTGCATTAGCATTGCCATTGGCAGTCGAGCTGGTTGCAGCTTCTCCAGCCTCAGCAACATCTTCATGGGTTCCGGCTGCTCTTCGGATCGCAGCGATCTCCTCCGGGGGCGGGGCTACCCAGGACGAACTCTTCCAGGGCTTGACGCCGAGGAGATACATGGTATCAATCTCTTCCAGAGTCCGACCCTGGCCTTCCATAACGAAGAAATAGACCAGAAGCACACCGACAAGGTTGCAGCCTGCGAAGACGTAGCCGTACAGGAAGTCAATGTCGTGCGTGATGAAGGGGGTAAAGAATGCGATCAAGAAGTTCCAGAACCAGTTGGAGGCCGTCGACAACGCCATAGCCTTGGCACGATAGCGAGAAGGATACAGTTCGCCGCAGATGGTCCAGATCATAGGGCCCCAGGTTGTCGCAAAACCAAAGATGAAAAATGCGGCAATGACGATCATGGCAGTGCCACTCGATTCAGTGGACTGGGGGTCGTCACGGTTCAGGGAGAAATGACCGACGCTGGCAAAGATCATGAACATCATGAACATCCAGAGGCCGCCCACAATGAGGGACTTCCGACGACCATAGTGCTCGACGATGTATAGGCCGTAGAAGGTGGTGCCGAAGTTGATGCCGTTCAGAATCATCTGGGTGACGAAGGAGTTGTTGATGCCGGTGGCCTTGAAAATCACCGTACCGTAGTAGAAGAAGTAATTGGCACCGGTCAACTGCTGGAACATCTGCAAAAGAACGCCGAGGCAGATACGGTAAAACATCTTGGGCGCAGTGAACATGTGGAGCCATTCCCTGACGACACCTTCCTGTGCTGCTTCGGCCCGGAGTTGGAGTGCAATCTCCTCCGATTCGAGGTGGACGCTGTAGTGGTTCGGGGGCGCACCGTAGACCTTATACATGACCTGCTTGGCTTCTTCTACTCTGCCTTTGCGGTAGAGGTAACGTGGCGTATCGGGGAAGAAGAGGATGCCGACACCGAGGATGATAGGCCAGACAAAGCCAACACCCATCGGAATTCTCCACGATCCAGAGTTGTCACGTTGATGTTCGTAAGTGCCGAAGTTGACGCAGGAAGCGAAGAAGATTCCAAGAGTGATCTATTCGACACAGGTTAGCCAACAGCGCCCACAGTTACGGTGGGAACTTTGAGTTTGGGACTTACAAAGAGCTGATATGTGCTAATCAGAGCACCACGGATATGACGGGGGGCGGTTTCAGCTGCAACAAGTCAGCAGGAGGAAATGAATGGGTTGGCTAGGATTTGGTGCATACCCATATACATGGGCACCAGCAGGGACAAAGCGCCGACACCGAGGCCAGCGTTCCATCTGCCCATCATCATCTGGTACCAATGGTGATCCGAAGAGATCATGACGATGTTGCCGACACAGAAGATGATACACCAAAAGGTGACGCTCAACCTTCTGCCAATAAGATCGGCAATAGGAGCAGCAACCAGAGCACCGATCAAGGTACCGATTGAAAGCTATGGAAGCATTAGCCTAGCAAACCAAGCGGGGAAGGGACATGTGAACACACCAATGCCACGATGAGGCCTGACCGGACGTTGCTGAAGTATGCGGTGCCATCGCTGTGATGCTGACCAAATCTCTCCAGGAAATCTGGCATCGCCAGGAAGCCGCTAATCTGGCCAGTGTCGTAGCCGAAGATGAAGCCGCCCATTGAGATGAGAATGCCCATCCAGAACGACTCCCAGGTTACTCGTTTCAGGGGCGAGTAGTCCAGGCCGGCCAGCGACTTTCTCGCCTCGGCGTCTGCCTGGCCATTGCGCGGATCGTATTTGTCATATCTGACTGTGTTGGTGAGGCCGAGCGACTCACGCGTCAGCTTTGGTTTAGGGGCCTTGAGAAAGCCCATGTCTTTGTTATGATGTTGATTCAATCAAACTTTGTGTTGAAGTTGAGATCCAGTTGGAAGACCTTGGGTGAGCGAGGGCATGGACCTTATACTCCCGGTCAGCCCTCCGCTAGAGCAAATCATGGCATCACACGTGCACGATTTGTCTCGTTATGTTACCTCGAACAACGGCGGAGGTCCGCGGATGGGACGAATCTGTTTGTGTGTGACGTGGAGCGAGGCTCTCTGGCCTCAGGCCCACCATCACGGGGTGAGGTACATACGACCTAGTACTCCGGATGTATCGTGGTATTGCAACTGTGGATACCGAGGAACGCCGCAATAGCCAGCCGATGGATCTGGAACTATGAGGCAAAGCATTGACCGCCCAGCAAGCTAGTGATAGGCTTGAGCTTGAATGCGCCATGACAGATCGGTGGTGTGAAGCGATTTTTCTCTGGATCGGTACTCTAGTATACAGTCCAGTCGACCTCGAACATTCGAGGCTACCCCCTCGGGCCTACCGGAACGCGGCGGACTGGACATCCCAGCATAATGCACACATCATTATTACTGATCTGGGGCTTGTCAGCAACTCGGAATCATGATCATTTGACCCAATGACGACCAGGGTTGCATCGCAGCCCTGACCGAGAACCGGGGCAGAAAATTCCATGCTCGTTCATCTATCTTTTGCCCCGTGGGGATATGTTTCCTGCGAAGCGAATCCGAGAGCCAGGTGTACCTTTCTAGCGAGGTGTACACCGAACCCTAGAGAGCAGCGGGAGGAAGCAGGCCTGGGGCCTGAGCTCTTGCCCAAGCAGGCAGCTGGGGGAACTGGGAACTGATCAATACAAAGCTCATACCAGTAGTATAACCAGCTGACAGGGGCAGACTATTACAGAGTAGCAGATACTAGACCCGGGGCCCAGACCTTGTAACATGTGGTCCTGCTCATCTCATCAATCAACCATCGACAGGAGTTGCGTCCAAAGTTAGTTGAGTCAGCGGAGTGATTTGTGCCTCGGTCGATGGATTCTTAGCCGCGCGAAGTGAAGTGAGTTTCGGAGAATGCCAGCATCCAGCATCCAGCGTCCTGCGTCCAGGGTCTCAGGGGAAGAGAAGAGGCACAAAAGGTGGAGGGTGGAGGGAAAGGTGACGCCAGCGGCGCACCTGCGGAGAATTCTGGCTGCAACAGTCGGGTGGCTTGGCTAGTCACCTGATGCTTAAAAAAAAGTCTTCCGCTAGTGTTCGAGAACAACCTCTGTGCACCGTTATATCCGCTGTCACATTGGACAGCAACCGTCACTAGAACCCAGTCGACCTGGCAACTCCACCGGCTTGGACGGTACTATCGCGTGAGGCTCATAATCTTACTGTGGTGATCACTACGGAGTGGTCCCCGTAGAGTCCAGAGTACAGGTACGTACCAATATTGATTAATCTGGACCGCTCTGGTAACACTTGTTGCTGGTCGACTTGTCCCGGTGACAGGTGCACAATGTCGTATGCTTACTTTAGGTCAATTCTCTTGATGAGACGACGCTGACCTCCTCCGTCTCGACCGTGACCATGGGTGACTCCGGCTATTCGCCCTGTCGAGCTTCTAGTCCAACAGCACCAGTGTACAACTTTGACGGTCTGAGTGCTGAGCAAAAGAAAGAAGGCAGGGTTCACAACAGTTAACGCAGCAGATGGACAGGATACTCTCGAGCACGTTTGACGTGATGATCTTCTTACGACCAAATGACCGGGCTATCTTGATGCGTTGCTCGAAACTTCAACACCCATCAATCCGTCGGGTCGCTTCTAGGTCAGCTATGGTGGCGGCTACTTGGACATCTCTTCTCAGGCTGCCGTCTAGACTTCGTGGCTACGAAAGTATTCTTCAATATCAATCAACGACGTTCAGGAAGTCAACACAAAATCCAGCAAGCAGGTGACACAGCTAGGCTTTTGATTTTGCTATCGTCGTAAGTTCTACTTTCACGAGTGCTCTTCCCCCGAACAAACCGCCGCTGTATCTTCCCCAGTTCAGTTCACCAAAGAGCCTCCGGTCCCTCTCCCCCACGCCCGGGGCAGCATTGACCTTCCGAGAACCTCATGTTCTTTGCTCCGCGTGTTGCCTGCCATGATTTACGGCGCCGTGCAACCTTCCACAGCTGCTCAGCTGCGTACTATAGTCCCATATGAGAACGGGTCGCCGCGACGGAAGTCCGTGATCTCCCTCTTGGATGTTCTGGGGCAGTGAAGCTCGGCCACCTGCCCAATTCTCAGCCTAGGTGAGGTATTCAAAAGTGGGTGACTTCGATCGAACTAATGTGACAGGCGGATTTCGGTGCCTGGCGCGCTCTTCAATAGATTCCACCACACACAGCGCCAGAGGGCTCGAGTCCAGCCAGAAGGATCTGATAGATATCTATTCCTCGGATTGTTCGTGATGGATGCATCATCTCGGTACGCTTGTCCGGAGCAGTGACACGAGGTTCAATCACGTGGAGCATGCTTACACAACGCCCCAGTTCTCGAGGTATTATTGTCACACCACGCAAATCCTCCGACCCATTATTTCTTTTCAAGGAATCGCGTGACTCAACGACCCACGATCTACGTATAACAGCGGTCTGGAACTTTTTTCTTCGGCCGGGGAACTTCCTTCGAGATCTGGATTCGGGTTTTCGGTCGGTGACGTAGCATCTGCCGTTACCTGGTGCCTGGCTAGGGACGGTCAAAAGAGCCTCAGCCCAATCATAGTGATTCTCGGCTACCACACTCCCGAAATATCTACAGGCGCTTGTGAAGCATCTATACCAACTCCTTCAGGGGCTCAATCGCTGGCGTCGTCCCCTAGGTACCTCTCCGTCTCTGGGCTGTCCCCTTGTCATATCAACAGCTCTCAGTACTATTCTACCATACAGTAGTAAGCACCTACATTGTCCACTTCCCAAGGCTGGCCCTGGTTTCCAACAAATGATGGCTTGGTGCATGCACGAAACAATTGCCTCGCTGGTCGATGAGAACCTAGCACCTGAGACCACGCTCGAAACCACCGACGATGAGTCACGCTGCTGGCCCGATCAAGCATCCTGGTAGCTCACGCTCCATTCCTTTGTAGTCTTGATGATCATGGCCTTGCTACCGTCGCTGCCTTGGCTGCCTGCGCCGTCGGAGCGGGTGCTCTCACTCCTGGATCTAATCTTGACGGGACCCGGGTTGTGACTATCTCTTTCAGCCTTGCGTCCGGCGACGGTGTTGGTCACGACACGATTGGAACTGGTGATGGCGTGGCCGATGCCGGCACCAAGTCCCTGGCGTGGAAGATCAAGGGAGGACTCAGTGGCGCGGTGCCGGTCCGCGCCGCCGTCAACATTGGTCTCGGCAGCGCTTTTGAGTGCCTGGCTTCGGACCTGGGAGGCAGCCTTGCTCTGTGCCATCTTGCCCATCAGGTAACTATCGTTGCCGTAGTCGAAGCGGCCGTCGCTTTCGTGGATCATGCCAGACAAATACCCGGCTTGAATGGAGTCGATGAAAGGCCGCAGGTGTGGGACGCAGGCGGCGAAGACGCACCAGAAAACCTCGAGAATCGTGGCAACCGTCGGCAGCCAGCTGTGCAAAGTGACATCCGAGGTATGATCAAAAAGGAAGTGCAGCCCGCACAGCCGCCATATGGTACACCCAATGGCGCCGGTGCGGAAAGAGAAGGCAAAGCACACGGCCATTTTCTTCTGCTTCTGCAGCTGCAGGTTGTAGACCAAGTAGGTGGGCAGAGCCATGAGGGCCACATCGGTCACGATGTCGACGACTCCCGTGGCGATCCAGAAGCCGTTCTGGCCGAAGCATTTGCCGGTCGTGACGAGGTATGGATGTGGAAGCTCACACTGGAACGCGCTGCCCAGGATCGAGGTCAGGGTCCAGAGACCGACGACACTACCGACGGCCAGCATGGGAATACGGTAGCTTTTGGACGGCGCCAGAGCCAGCAGGAGCGACAACGTTGACCCCTTGCCGAGGGATAGGCTGATGATGTACAAGATGTTCCACGCATACTCGGCCTTTTGAAAGCCGTCGTAGTCGTCGGCAGATACGGTCGACAGCTTCGAGCCCAGTCCGTGGCTGACCTGGCTGTTGATGGCAATGGTGAATCCAACGGAACAGACCTGGACGCCGACCGAAAGGAAATGTTAGAACGCGATGCGCCAATCGTGATTAATCCGAGTGTCACTCACCATTGCCGCAATGAGGATGCAGTCGGCCCAAACCAATCTTTTCCGCACGATGAGTTTGCTGCCGAGCACAGTGACCATGGCCAGGCACATGGTGGTCATGGCGATCCACGATACCAAGTTGACAATGGGGCCTCTCTGGGTTGCAGAAATCAAGGGCACACGAACGACCCAATAGTGAAGAGCCGCCATCATCCTCTTGTCAGATGGTGTTCGGGAGGAGTTGCGAGCACAATGGACGGCTTCTGTCTCTCGCTGGCTACGAGTTCAGTTCAACAACAAGAATGCGACGGTGGTGGATGTAGTCTATTAGAGAGCACAGGTCTTGTCGGCGACCATGTCACAGAGAGAAAGAGAGAGAGCGAGCGATACTGAGCAGGCAAATCAGAAAACGGTGACTACTCTGGTTGTGACCTTGACCAGACATTGGGGTCATAAAAGGGGTTAGATGATATGCGATGCGACGCAACATGAAATGTGATAAGGATAAGTTGGCCTGGTATGGTATCAGGGCAGCGAAGGGGATCCTGTGAGTCTGCCTGCCCTTTCTGACCGGGCTGTCTACACAGGACGCAGTACGGGGTACGGAGTCCATGGTCGCAGACATGTCCAGTCTACACAAGTTCAAAGGCCGAGGCCTCTTATGTGCCGCTGTCACTGAAGTCAATCCAGTAACCCTGACCTTGCCACGAGCGAGGCAGACTGTTGACTGAAAATCTCCGTGCTTGCAGCTTGCACTTTGGCTCTGGCTCGCGGGTTGCGGCTGGCATGGGGCGTTCCGCTAAGCAGAGCGCGGCAGAGCCAACATGGGAGTGCGTTGAAGTATGGATGTGCCGGTCCGGTAGGACGGGGGCCCAGCAAACGGCATCCGCTGGTGCATGGGTGACGGCGGCGACAGCTCCCCGGACAAGGGGTGTGCAGGCGGATTGGATCACTCGTAAGGATCCCCTGCCCTCCCGCGTCAGCCGGGGTCTTACAGCAGATGCTGGTCGATCATGGAGCATGCTCCATGCCATCCCACGTACGTATCCAGAGACTACCGCGTACTGAGTACGGAGGACTACCACTACTCGCCTTGCTGTTTCAAGGAGGCCGAAGGCCAATGACTGAGGTGCATGTGGGAGTGCACCTGCATTTCAGCTGTACAGATAGTTACAGTTTCTGCTTTCTCCCAAAGGGTCCAGATTGCCCATTGCCCCCCGGATATGCAAGTCGACCGTCCCCGCGACAGGCTCAGGCTGTCTTGTCTCCTGCTGCGCTGGTGGACGAGGTTCGACCTTCGACCTTTAACCTTCCGCCACCATTGCAGGGAGGTTCTACTTGGAGAGGTCGATCTCGGCCGTCTCATGTGTGTGTTCACATCCCACATCCCATGCAGCATGCGGCATGCAGCATCCCAGTCTCTGGTCTGGGTCCCATGGCAATCACAAACGACCATCCCCCATGCCTATGGCCACTTGGAGTGTCACGGAGGTTGTATGAGTATGTACCAAAGTAGTGTCTTTGATTTACTTCTGCCCCCTGACCGCGACCCCAAACATAAACAAGCGAGCGCGACTCCGGCATTTCCGATGAGATAGTGGTGAAATACGTAGTACGTACTACATAGTATCTGTACTCACTTACAGAGTACTCCGTACTCCGTCCTCGGTCCTTCGTAACAACCCTGTATCCGTACTAGTGTACGGCAGTTCCAAGTCCTCCGTACTCCGGACGCGTTAAGGGCTTAAGGGCCGGTGTGTGATAAGTCAAGGCCATCACGGGATGAAGAGCCTTAGGCGCCTCCAGAGTGTGTCGACAGGGTTCAGGGGTTAGGTGCAGTAGCAGTAATAGTAGGACTGTTATTTGTGATCACACTCCGTCCTGTGAATCTGTATCCGTGTCTTATCTAATTCTATCCTGGCAGGTTGATTGCAGATTGCAGATGGCAGCCCCAACTTACAACAGCGGACTCGAGCGCATGCAGGATATAGTATGTGTGCCAGTGGCGGTATGTTTTGTTTTGCGTTTGCCCTAATTCCTAGGTCCACCTAAATATACCTGGGTCTGTCTGTGTCAACTGTCAACTGTCAACTGTCAACAGTCAGCTGTCAACAACGTTGCGGTTGTAACTGTGACAGTAACTGTAGTATGTGGGTGCCCGTACTAGCAAGGGCAAGGGTGTAGAATGAGTGAGTACTCAGTGTCCAGACACTGACACAGGCCTGGCAGGCCAATCCTCATTTCTGGGCTGGCATGGGCTAGGGTGGGATGGGATAGGATGTCTGCCGTCTTCAGCAAGCAACACCATTGATCAATTAGTATTCAATATTACATGAGTCAGGTAGGCAGGCACACAGGGATAGGGATATCCAATGCTGTCAGATAGTCAGACACAGGGATAGGGATATCCAATGCTGTCAGATCGGTAGATAGGTAGGTACTAGCTACCTACCGTACGGGATGAGATACGTATGGTATGCACCATGCACCATGGAGCAAACACAAACAGACCATCCTATCTCTTTCGCCAACAATCGACTCAGTCTGGCCCCCCTCACCCCTCCCTGCGACCGACCATCCCAGATATACGAAAGCCGTACTCTGTCCTGTTTTGTACGAGTACTCCGTACAGAAGAGAGAGATGATCGACTAGAATGAGACGGCATCTTTACCTTTACCTTTACCTAAATTATATCACATGCCTAATGGACGTGCAGATACCTTACCGGATACTAGTAGATTTTTCCCATACACCAAGTCACAACCAACCGACTAACCAACCAACATCAAACACAAACATTCTTGTCCATCACCGTCGACTCCCAATCGGCTCGAACCCCGAACGGACACTAATACTAATTCTTGAGTGCTGTTGCCATTGCCAGTACGAGTACCAGTATGTCCGTTTGGTTTGGCATGAAGCGGTGAAGCGGTGAAGCGGCGGGAAGGTTGAGCCTGGCAAGGATTGTCGATTGTCGATTCGATTGCCCATCAGACCTCGATATCACAGCAAGCTTTCACGCAAGCTTCCACCTTGGATCCGTACCTTTCCACCTCGCCTCTCCTGGGTCGACATCTCGCATCTCGCATATCCTTAGTCTCGGACAAGCGCTGCACTCCTCAATTTCGACCTGCCTATCCGTACGTCGGCTCTTTCACAGGACCGAGGATACTAGAGGCGCAGGGAAACGTATGTTTTTGCAGCAACCGGCATCACATCGAGCACTACTCTGTACTCTGTAGTACATGTACGGAGTACGGATAGGAGTAGAGAGATCCATGCCAGCTTGCCGCACTCCACCAGGACGGTGATGCAGGAGATATTGGTTTCAGCCACGTCCAGACTCCATGGCCGTCAGAGAAAGAGCAGAATCGACCTGGCTGAAGTAAGGCGCACGAGAAGTATCGGTGGCAATGTCAGCGAGCAATCATCATCACGCTCGCTTTCCAAGCTTGAAACCACTCTCGAAAGTCTAGCATGCCCTGGTCAGGCGCAGCCCCGTGTCCACTGTCCAAAATACCAACCGACGGACTCCCTGCTCGGTATGCAAGCCACGGGGTTGACTAGACACAAAATCCCCGGCCACTCTGTACGAAGCCTTGTCCAGGGATCCACCTCAGTAGCATCCCCTGGTGCTGTGCCGCATCCCACCCTGGGTCTCCGACACGATCATCGCAGTAACGTATCTGGCTGCGTGCCATCCCGTCGACCACATGCAACGCAAGTCCAAAACCCCCTTGCCAGGACTCAGGCTATTGCTTCGGCCCTGGCATGGGATTGCACACCTTTTCCCTCACCAGGCTCTTTAGTTCTTGCCAGGCCCGCTGCTGGGAGAAGACGCTGCCTCTGCTCTGCCTTTCGCCTGGAAACCTCAAGGCAAAGAAACACTTCATTCTCCCCCGTTGATTGAGCAGGTTGTGTTCTTGTGTCAACCGAATCTCTCAACCAGCACGTCCGTTTGGCAAACCGTCCGATCATCCACACGCTCTCTTTTCCCGCCAGAGCAATCCTGCACCTCCGCGAGTCATTACCAACGGTTTGCATCCCGACTCTTGGCTCTGAACAACACCACAATGATGAGGGACACCTTCGCAACGAAGAGCGGTGGTAAACTTGCCTCTGAGATGCACTACTCCAGCGGGTCTTCCTCAGAAGGTGCTCTCCATCATGGTGATGAATCGGTCAATCGAGACGAAGAGGAGATGGCCAGGTTGGGCAAACGACAAGAACTAAGGGTAAGACTTGTCTCGTCCTGATATCCTCAGAAGCCTCTGATTAACGTCCGACAGCGCAACTTTGGCTTCATGAGCATGCTCGGCTTCTCCTGCACCTTGATGATTACCTGGGAAGGTCTCCTGACCGTCTTTGTGTACGGGTTGACCGACGGTGGACCGGCGGGGCTCGTTTATGGTTATCTGTTCTGCTGGCTGGGATATTTCACTGTCGTGGCTTCTCTGGCTGAAATGGTCTCAATGTCAGTATTGCTCTGCCATCTAATTCTCGTCCTCTGCCGCTGACGCTTAACAAGGGCCCCGACCGCAGGCGGTCAGTACCACTGGACATTTCTGTTCGCGCCCAAATCCTGCCGCAACTTTCTCTCCTTCATCACAGGATGGCAATCCGTTCTGTCGTGGCAAGCTTGTTTGGCATCAGCAGCTTACCTCGGCGGCACCATCATTCAAGGTCTCCTCGTGCTCAATTATCCCACCTACAACTTCCAGCGATGGCACGGCACCCTTCTTCTGTACTCCGTTATCTTGTTGGCAATGCTCTTCAACACCTACCTGGCCAAACAGCTTCCCACGGTAGAAGGTGCCGTGCTGATCGTGCACATTGTCGGCTTTTTTGGTGTCCTCATCACTCTGGTTTACCTGGCACCGCATGGCAACGCCCATGACGTGTTTGTCCTATACCTCAACAACGGCGGATACGACAAGGGAACGTCCTTCTTCGTCGGCCTCATCACCACCGTCTTTGCTTTCATCGGAGCCGACGGAGCCATCCACATGAGCGAGGAAATCAAGAATGCTTCGACGGTTGTGCCCCAATCACTGATGGCATCCATCGGCTTGAATGGCACTATGGGTTTCTCCATGCTGATCGCAATCCTGTTCTGTATCGGCGACATCGACAATGCCTTGTCCTCTTCCACGGGCTTTCCATTCATCGAGATCTTCCACCAGGCCGTCAAGTCGACCGGCGGAGCGACCGCTATGAGTGCGATCGTCCTTTCGTTGATGATCTTTGCCACGATCGCCGTTCTGGCTGCGGCCTCTCGAATGATGTGGGCTTTTGCTCGCGACAACGGTCTGCCTGGCTCACGGTTCATTTCACGGGTTGAGCCAAGGACCAAGCTGCCGCTATATTCCATTGCGGTATCAGTCATCATCACCTTGCTTCTTGGACTGATCAACATCGGTTCATCCGCCGCTTTCAACGCGGTTGCCTCGCTGGTCGTGTCTGGATATCTGGGCAGTTACACTCTCCCCATGCTGCTGTTGTTGTACAAGAAGCTCTTCCACCCAGCGTCCATCCATTACGGGCCGTGGACCTTGGGCCGACGCTTGGGCATTTTCTGCAACGTTTTCGGACTGGTCTGGATTGCCATTGTGATGACATTCAGCTTCTTCCCTTCCGTGCGGACCGATTTGACTCCCCAAACCATGAACTGGTCCTGCCTGCTCTGGGGAGGAACCATGCTCATCGGGGTGGGAAGCTATTTTGGACACCTGCGAGGAAGATACAACGGCCCGATTGTTGAGACGGACATCATGGATCAAGTGCGTGGCGTCTGAGTGAGCTGTCAAGGAAAGCGCCCGAGAAGCAACGGGACTGTGAATTTCGACGGCCCCAGTCGGTGCGCACCGTTGCCTCCGCTGGTACGGGGGATGTTGTGCGGAGGAATGCGTGGAGGCTTTGAGATGAAAGTGTTTGGAGTTCACTCTGTACATCTGTGAACCATTTATGTGTAGAATACCTCACCTTATTCCCAACTGCCTTCCTCCAGGGAACTGACAGCGCTTCTCTGCGGACTGCGATCGCATTATGTGTAACAACTTGAAGTCGACACGTCTCACCTGCTCGCCAAAAGCGGCGGGTGCTGCTTCTCGGCAAACCTGACATTCTCAGGCTTGGAGGTGCACGTGACAGGACGCGTTTGCTAATGTGAAACAGCGACGTGTTGATCCCCGTCGCCCATCATGCGTCGCGAATCTCGGCTTGTAGAGAGAAGTCCGTCTCCTTGCCGGCATCAACTGCTGTCGACGCCGTCAAATCAAACGTCGCGGGAGACACCGTCGAGAATGTTCACCAGAGGAACAAAGCACCCTCCCGGGGAGCCCAGGTGAAGGTATCAGAGATAGCAGTTGACGCTGCTGCAAGACACGCCACCTCCTTTTCAACAGCGCTACTGACGAGCACTCATCCTTGCAACCCTGCAAGGACATGGGAAGTCCCGACTCCCCAGCTTCGGTGTTGACAAAGGGACGCATCTGTTGGCCCCAATCCTCCGAGACCAGCGCCTTCCCCATGCCAATCGGTGGCCTGGTGGCTGTTTCTGCAGTGGACAAATTTATCGTGTGGGTTGCGGCTGTCTCAGGCCTTTCCAAACGCGAAATGATCGCCTTGACAACTTTGCACATCTGTGGGTTTTGTGGAGAATCCCAATCCACCCTCGCTCCAGATCAGACATGTGTGTTGCACAGGTGGCTTGCGTGTATCCCTGAAACCGCTGGACACTGTATGTGTAGCTGACGTTGCTCGTGTGGGAGGTTGTTGGGTTGCAACTTCACTTTGTTTGTCTTCTTGGTTGCTTGTATCGCAAGAAGTATCCTTTGCTCGTGCCTGTGCCTGTGCCTGACATGTTCACTGACTCGGTCGACAACCATGGGCTCGACCAGCAGTGGCTCTTCACGACCCAGCACCGACGATTCGCAGGTCGGTCTCCTGAATGAAAAACACGACTTTTACCCCGACGAAGAGATATCTCAAGGCGCTGCTTGGCTGCTGAAGCCTCGCAAGTTCCTCGTCCCTCCAGCCTGCCTTCCTTTCAGGTTCCTCGTCAGATCAATAACGCAACTATTCCACCTCTTCCTACCCAGTTTTATTCAGCCACGACATCAGCATGGACAGCCTAAGACCGACAAGCCTTCTCCGACCGCGTTTCTCGACGGCATGCGTGGCCTTGCCGCCTTTGTCGTCTTCATCTGCCATCTGACGTACGGCACCTTTGATATCGGCCACGCGTGGGGCGCAACTCCCGATGCAGACAGTGAGACTCAGCATGGAAATTGGAACAAAGCTTTTCTGCGGCTTCCTGTGGTTCGTTTGCTGTACTCGGGTCCGCCGATGGTTGCAATATTCTTCGTTGTTTCTGGCTACGCCCTCAGCTACAAACCTCTCAAACTGATGCGGGCACGGCATACCGAGCAACTGATGAATACAATGAGTTCGTCGGTCTTCCGTCGTGCATTGCGCTTGTTCCTGCCATGTTTCGCGTCGACGTTCCTTGTGGCATGCCTGGCCCAGCTCAGCCTCTACAAGCGCACCGAAACTTTTGCCGCTCAAATGCGCACCCTCCGCGAAGACCATTGCTATACTCAGCCGAATCCGTGGTTGCAGTTCACCGACTGGATGCAGCAGATGCTGATCTTCGTCAATGTGTTTGATTGGTCTCTGTATGCGGGCTCGGTGGAACTCGATAGACACTTGTGGACCATACCGGCTGAGTTTCGCTGCAGCATGGCCTTGTTCCTGACCCAGATCATGGTCGCCAGGATGTCAACCAGGCTACGAATCTCCACCCTGACGGCGCTCATGGTCTGGGGAGTTTCGTGGGACAGATGGGAGTTGTGGCCATTCTGGGCCGGCATGGCCATCGCAGAGTTGGACATGATCCAGACCTCGAGGACGGCGGACCTCACCTGCTTGACTCCTGCGACTCCACCGCAGCAGTCAAGACTCTTCTCAAAGATAGCCTACTCGGCGACGTTCCTTCTCTCGCTCTTTCTACTGTCTTACCCGGACGCCGCTGGCCACGCCACACCCGGATTTATCACGCTCACGCACCTCATTCCCCCACACTTTACGCAAATGCACCGCTTTTGGCCCACGGTCGGGGCGATTCTGATCGTCTGGTCAACATGCCGTCTGGGATTTCTTCGCGAAAAGGTCTTCTGCTGGTCTATCATGCAGTATCTAGGGAAGATCAGCTTTCCGCTGTACGTCATGCACGGACCGGTCATACATACATTGGGGTATTCGGTAAGCGCGCCTTTAAACACACAGAAGGTTCAACCGTGCATCCGGCCACTCCAAATGGGCGGAGATTCACTCAGCACTGCCACCAGCTTCGCTCCGCCCAAGCTTGAAATTTGGTTAATTTGCTGACATGAGTATTGTGCATCTAGATCCTTCCCCGGACCCCCGAACTCGAAACACCCGAGACACTGCGGCAGTTCGAGCTCGCCTTCCTCAAGTCATCGATCGTCATCGTCATCGTGGTTGTCTGGATGGCGGACGTGTTTCTACGGGCGGTTGACACACCGTGCGTGAACGTGGCCCGGAGCCTGGAGAAGGTCTTTTTTGTGGCTTGACTCCACCCTCGATCTTTGCTTTGGCCAGCACCAAATTCGGAATACGAATACACACAACCCGAATACGTACGAAGCATATAGCGATACAGAACCTCTTGCATATTAATTCGGGGCGGGTGCGTCTGGGCCCATTGGACGTGTCTGCAGGTGATGCAAACTCTTGGACAGAGATAGATGAGACAAATCACAATGCTACACAAGTTTAGACCTTTCCCAGTCGGTTCATGTTGACGGACAAGAAGCTGCCGATGAATGATGAAGGATTCACATATACGGTTATGGTTAGGTATGGGTGTTTCTTTCTATGAAGTCTAGTTTATACTAGCCAACGTCTAGAGAGGCTGGATCTCACTCACCACCTATACTTTGAAGCAGGTCGGCCGAAAGCCTCGCATCAGATCCCAGGATCTATATCTATATCTATATCTAGATCGCGCCAGAGGGCGAGATCTATCTAAGGTTAGGTTATAGGATCTATAGCTATTATCTTTACTAAAACGAACGAAGTCGCGTTATCCCGTTACACTTAAGTGGTATAAGCTGTATTTTATTATAGTTTAATGCTGGTTATTGCTGTCCACGGTGCCGAGGGATCACAGGGACAGGGGGACACGGTCGATGGCTATTGCAGCTCTGCTATATGTTGCTCTTCGGTCTCTCCAGCGTCGACGCGGCCGTGGCTCCCGGTCGATCCTTTGTGGCCTGGATATTGACGGCGTCGAAGATCTTGCCCGGGTTCATCAGCCAGTGCGGGTCGAGGCTGCGCTTGAGAGTGTGCATGATGCCGATGGTGTCCAGGCCCAGTTCTTCCACCAGACTCTCCTTCTTCCCGATGCCGATGCCATGCTCGCCGGTACAGGTGCCGTCCTGTGCGTGTTTGTGTTAGGACGACCAAGGGAGAGAAAGAAAGATGCGGGCATAGGACGGTCGAGAGAGAGAAAGATGGCGGGCAAATGCCCTGCCATGGTTTTATTCATTGGATAAGACATACCATTTCCAAGGCCCGGTGGACCATGTTATGCACCACGTGCTCCACCCGCTCTCTCTCAGCTGCGTCCTTGCGGTTGTACAAGATGGAGGTGTGGAAGTTGCCATCTCCGATGTGGCCTAGCACGCTGGCGAACAGGCCGAGATCGTCGAGTTCCGTTTTCGTGCGTTCTGCGGCACGACGACAGTGGATTAGATCAGATGTCCAGGCGGTGGTGGGTATGTCACGGATGCAAACATGGAAACATGGAAACATGCAGTAGAAGACGGGTAACATGCAGTAGAAAACGGGCAACATGCAGTAGAAAACGAGCAACACACAGCAGAAAATGGAAACATGATCATAGGCAACGGCATCGCGGTGCTCATCCGCATGGCATGACAGCAACCCGGGAGCCCGATAAAGACCGGAGGCCGGGGGTTCAAGGCTCGTAACCATATCCCGTACTATAGTACAGGAGATAGGTCTCGGCAATAGAAAACGGACAACACGAAGTTCGACTTACCCACAATGTCCGGCAGCCTTGAGATGGGCACGGCCACGTCGGTGGACCATACTTCATCCCCTGGACGGCGCAACGACAGCATGCTCCACAAGGCCTCCTTCCGGGCCTTCCACAGGTCATGGGCCTCGGCGTCGTCTCTGGCATAGATGAAGTCACCGGCCCTGTTGCGCTTGACAATCTGAGTGGTCATGTTGATATTGTCCTGCACACTGGCCGGGGTGCCGGCAAACTTGAAGAAGAGCGTCGGCACCTCTTTCCAGGTCCGGTTGGTGCCTCCGGCCCGGTTGACGACGGACATCTGGACGTCGTCCATGATCTCCATGGCTGCGACCGGGACACCGGAGCGAATGACCTGCATGGCGGCGGCGGCGGCATCGCGAATGGTCGGGAACGTCACGACCGCCACCTTGGTCTGCGGAGGGATGATGGCCAGCTTGAGAGTGGCCTCGGTCACGATCCCCAGCGTGCCTTCGGCCCCGACGAAGAGGCCGGTCAGGTTATAGCCGGCCGAGGACTTGCGAGGTCTCCGTCTCGTCTTGATGATGCGGCCGTCCGGCAGCACGACGGTGAGGTTGATGACCCAGTCCTTCATGGTGCCGTAGCGGAAGGCGTTGGTGCCGCTACACGAGGTGCCGACCATGCCGCCGATCTTGGCCGACGGGCCGGGGTCGACGGGGAAGAAGAGCCCCTTGGACTGTAGCTTTTCGTTCAGCTCCATCCACTGCACCGCCGGCTGGACCACCACATCCATGTCTTCGTCGTGCAGGGCAAGGATCTGGTCCATGAAGGCAAAATCAATGCTGAAGCCCCCAAAGGGCGCCGAGAAGTTGCCTTCCAGCGACGAGCCGCCGGAATAGGGGACCATGGGGATCTTGTACTTGGATGCCACCTTGGCGATCTGAGATACCTCTTCGGTGCTCTTGGGATACACCACGGCTATGGGCAACTGGTCGATGTTGATCGAAGACCACTCTGAATAGCCGTGGGCTCGAAGGTCCTCGTCGTCGGTGCTGACCGTGTCTTCACCCAGCGCTCGACGGAGCTCGTCGATCGCCTTCTCCAGTTCCCTTTTCGACGCATATTTGACAGGAGCAGGTCGGGGCTGGCTTGAGCGGGGATGCAACTCGTCCTCGTCCGAGTCGGCCTGGCTGCTGGCATCGTTGACGCCCACCACATATCCAATGGAAGCCAATGCTCCTGCGAGGAGCAACACCCTGCTCGTGGTCCATAGTCTGCCAGCTTGTAGGTCGGCGACCGCGGCGGCGGCTTTGGACGATGATAATCCCCTTCTACCGGGTGCAAACACTCTCCTCGATCGCTTGGGCGCACCAAGTCGGGAGGTGGACGAGGCCAATGTGCGACGAGTGCTTGTTTCGAGCCATTGCAACCCGGATCGTAGTCCCGCCATGAAGGGTGAAGTTACTGACCAGTCTAGTTCCCAAACCACATCGACTTTGACTTTGACGACGTGGTGCCGATGGCAACATACATACTACTCGTAGGTAGCTAGCTATATACGGAGAACTCTACGACTCCGGTCCTGTAACACCATCGCACAGTCGGAGCTGGGCCGACTGTGGCTCTCAGCTGCGTAGGTGACTGGCTTAGTTAGCAGCCGTCATGGCGTGCTGGGTCTGACAATCCGCGTCACTGACTGTCACGTCCGGCCATCGGCAGCAGACACCGATGCCGATGTCGTTGCCGTTGCCGACGCTGATGCCCGCTGCCGCTGCGCTGGAAATGTGCGTCTGAGACTCTAAACACGCAGCCTAAGGCCTCAGGGCCTGGATGAGGCTGCTGAGATGAGGGTTGGGCTATGAGTATTATTTTTTGACTGCTCAGGATTTACAGTAGTTTGGATCGGGACCTGGTGCTCGCTTGGGCATGCATGCACATGCACATGCAGATATGAGCACTAAAAAAGATCCCTGACTCGGATTGATAAAGAAAGCCCCTACGCCCCAGGCTCCTAAGGCTCCTAAGGCCTAACTTATAAGCCTCCTTAGCCTTAGGGAGAATCACCCGAACTTTCCTGCGAGCAGCTCAATTGCGACGAAACACCCCTTGCCTAAGCCTCTTTAACTACCAGCTAAGCCTCCTAAGCCCCTAAGCCTATGTAGGCACCCGATTCCCTCCCCCACGATCATTCCCGGCCCTATAGGAACCATGGCATGAGTCTCTTGACCATGCCACATGGACGGAAAACCGCATACCGTACGGAGTATAACTCCAGGCTAATGTCAATGCTTTATATGTAGTCCTTGGATACTTCAGGGGCGCCCTCTGGTCGTTCTAGAACCGCTTTATGTAGTGGTGAGCGGTGAGTCCGGCGGGCAACTCCTTGACATGTAATACCTAACAATGAATGCATGTTACAGCATATGCACATCTCCCCCCTCCGCGTTTGCAAGGAAAACTACCAACGCGTGATGGGTGCGATTGTTGTTGCGGAAATTCAAGTCCCAGCCATTCACAGAAGGCTCAGGCCGGTCTCATTTGTTCCAATCCATCGTTCCCTGAACGTGAAGGAGAGAGCGTGACCAGTGACCACCAGGCAGAAGTGACCACAGATGAAACCAAACCTCAGCTCACCGCAACTTCTCCACCGCAGTCTCTTCTCTTTCCCCCGCGTCCTCTCTTTGATTCTCCCGCCATCTCAGTCTCAGCCTCAGCCTTGTCTCTTTACACATACAGCACCAGCACGGGCGCAGGCACCGCACTGTTTTATCACTGTGCCCAGACGCTAGACCACAGTACCCGCCGGGTACAGCCTGATCCCGCTCACTATTATGGCTGAGGCCTGAGGCACCTACGACTACCTACTTCTCCCTACTACCACCTACTACTTCTGCCTCCTCTTACGTGGTGATTGTTTGTCTGCGGCCCAGTGCCCAATGGTTACCTACCGCTGTGCTGGACTGTAAAGCTGCTCGTTTGGCCAGGCCACCTTCTCTGCTCCCATCTCTCTTCTCTCTTCTCTCTTCACGCTTCCTTGTCTCTGTTCAGCCACCCCTCCCTGGCACTTCACCTCGAACCTGTCTTCTTCCCCGCTTGGGTCCCTCTCAGTCTCGCCTGCGCCCCCGAGAGAGAAGAGAAAGTCTTTCTCCTCAAGGCATGGCAGGCTGTGCCCACTACAAGATCGGTATACCATGATGGACATCCCACGCGCGGCAGTCAGCCGATCTGGCACGAGACCAGTACCACAGCCTCAGGCTCGGGCTCCATCCAGAGGCGAGGAATGGAGAACATGGCCGTCCGTGAGGGCGTTCATTCCCAACCTGCCCCCAGGCACCACCACCTACGATATTCACAAGAACCTGCACCGCTTTGGCAAAGTCGACTTCATCCGCATCGAAGAAACCCGACAAGGCGCCTTTGCCCGAAGAGCCAACGTCGTTTTCAAACCCCCACCTCGTCGCAGACCCCCCTGGGATTCCACCTACTACAGAAATGGCATCGATTTCCTTCTACGGGAGGCCCACGGCGACCGCACCCGCACGCACCGCGTCACGGTACTGCTCGCCAATAACCAGAACTCGGCCCGATTTGTGGAAAGCCCGGTGAGCAAGGGCATTAGATATAGTCCAGAGATGACGATGCTTGGGGAGTCCATCGACTTCGGCTATTTGGAACGCCCCAACTTGATGGTGGTCAAGGCGACTAGGCGGGATCCAGAGGCGGTCAAGCTGTTCCTGAATCTCGACCGACTGGAAATCGAGGTCCACTTCCCCGTCGTCATGAAGTCCAAGGGCAAATCCACCGCGCGCGACTACCGCTTCTATGTTGCTCTTGACGATCAGTTCGCCATGTGTGAGATTCCGGGCTCCCCCACATCCCTGGTTTTTCACCTCAAGAACCCCCCCTGGTATTCGCGCCAGTTGAAGGAGGCCATGCAGATGAGCCACGATCCCAAGTCTCACAAGTGGACGGCCGATGATACCTGGTCTCGCCAGACCGATATCGTGGATGACAAGGAAACCTACAGCCTGATCGACAGCAGCCCTGTCTCCCTCCGGAAGCTTCACAACAGCATTGACATTGCGCGCTGGACCACGTTCCGGGTCACCGTCAATCCCACAGCGCCGGTGCGAGAGTTTGTCAAAGCCTTCGAGGACTTCAACGTCCCTGTGACTCGGAATCCGTCGTTTCAGGTTGTCAGAGGGCCACCGGAAGAAGCACCTCTTTGGAGCCTGCTTGACGGGTCCAACAACCAGTCGTCTCTGACCGAGCAGTTGTCCGCCATCTATCTTCCCTTTGAATTACGGTATCAACTTGAAGTCTGTATCTCCCAGGGCTGGCTCAACGAATACACCATCGACAAGGCCTTTCTCCAGCGTCTCACGTCTCTACCACTGCAGCGGGCCAAGCAGATGCTCATCCATGTCGACTCCTACCAACAGCGAGTTTATGATCCGATGGCAATCTTCACGGATCTGCGATACTCCAAACCGGTTCGGACTCGTGCTCTTCCTGCCAATTGCAATGAGATCTACCATGCGACAGTCACCGCGACAGGTATACTCTTCCACACTCCTTCCGTGGAGCTCACCAACCGTATCATCCGCAAATATCAGCGCTACAACGATCGCTTCCTCCGGGTCAGATTTGAGGACGACTCCTATCGTGGCAGGACGAGATTGTACCCGGCCACGAACGGGAGGATGAAACTCATCTTTGAGAGGGTCCGACGGACCTTCAACCAGGGCATCGTCATGGGTGACCGTCACTATGAGTTCCTGGCATGGGGCAACTCGCAGCTGCGAGAGCACGGTGCCTATTTCTTTGCAACTACCCACAACCCTCATATCAGCGCCGACACCATTCGGAAGAGCATGGGTGTCTTTGACCGCGAAAAGGTCGTAGCAAAGCGAGCCGCCCGAAAGGGTCAATGCTTCTCCACGACCAAAGCTGTGTCGGTGGTCAACAAGCGGTCCTTCAACAAGGATCCGGTACCAGACATTCTCAATGGCGGCTATAACTTCACCGACGGCGTGGGTAAGATATCAGCTCTCACCGCACAGCTCGTCTACTCGGGGTTGAAGCTCAAGGGGCCCGTACCGTCAGCATTTCAATTTCGGCTTGGTGGCTGCAAAGGAGTGCTCGTCATCGACCCGACGTTAAGCGCCATTGATATCAAGATCCGACCGAGTCAATACAAGTTCGAGTGCGAATCAGATGAGTTGGAGATCATCCGTGTATCGGAGTTTTGGCAGCCTTTCCTCAACCGCCAACTGATCCTGGTCCTGTCCGATCTCGGCGTGCCGGACCAGGTGTTCTTGCGGAAGCAGGAGGACTGTATCGAGGCTCTCGATCGCGCCATGGTTGATGATACAGCTGCATTGCGTGCGCTGCGTGAGAATGTGGATCCTAACCTCGCCACCCTCGGCATTGCCGCCATGATTGAAGACGGGTTCCGGCAAACCAACGAGATCTTTGCCACCTCTCTCTTGCGGCTGTACCGGGCGTGGACTCTCAAATATCTTAAGGAGAAAGCCAAGATCCCGGTACCTCAAGGAGCATTCGTGCTGGGTGTGGTAGACGAGACCCGCACGTTGCGGGGATACAAGGTCGATCTCAAACCGCCCAAGGATGCCACACGAGAGGAAAAAGAGGCCTGCTTGCCGCAGATTTTTATTCAATACACCGATCAACACACTGGGCAGCGTCGAGTCTTGGAAGGCGTCTGCATCATCGCTCGAAACCCGTCTTTGCACCGGGGAGATATCCGGGTGGTTAAGGCGGTCGATGTGGACAAGTTGCATCATTTGTGCGACGTCGTCGTCATGCCGTCTACCGGTGACCGCGACCTCCCCAGCATGTGTTCGGGCGGTGATCTGGACGGTGATGATTACGTGGTCATCTGGGATCCCGACTTGATTCCTTCAGAATGGCATGCAGAACCCTTCAGTTACGACGCGCCCGACCCGGTGACAAAGGAGCAAATTACGACAGGAGACATAGTCAACTTCTTCTGTGACTACATGCAGAATGACTTTCTCGGAAGAATTGCCCATGCTCACCTTGCAGCCGCGGACTTTCTCGATGACGGGATCAGAAGTCAGCCGTGTCTCGAGCTGGTCAATCTGCACTCCAAGGCTGTCGATTATCCAAAGACGGGGGTGCCGTCCGAGATGCCGCGCGAGCTCGAGCGCAACAAATGGCCGCATTTCATGGAAAAGAAGAGATCGCCACAATACAGATCGTACAAGATCTTGGGACAGTTGTACGACGCCGTTGAGCGGGTGGCCTTCGAGCCAAACTGGGAGGGCCAGTTCGATCAACGCATCCTAATCCACCCTCCTCCGAAGGGGGAGGTGATGGACGTGGTCCGCAAGCTGAAGAAGAGCTACGATGAAGGTATGAGACGCATCATGGCCCAGCACCAAATCAACACGGAATTTGAAGTTTGGTCGACCTTTGTGCTTCATCATAGTAAAGCAGCCCGCGACTTCAAGTTCCACGAGGAAATCGGCCAGCATGCAAGGACGCTCAAAGAGCAGTATTATGAAGTACTCGTGGAGGAGGCCGGAGGACGTGAGTTTGAAAATCTCATGCCCGTGGCCGTGGCTGCCTACCACATCACGTATGATGAAGTCGGCCAGGCTCAAGAGAACATGTCCGGCTCGTCCGAGGCAGACGAGCTCTTGTCCGATTATGGCGGTTCACATCACTCTGCCGACTCGCACTCGCATCCGGTAAAAATGCCCTTCATCAGCTTTCCCTGGGTTCTTCAAGACGTCCTTGGAAAGATAGCCAGGAACACGGTCCTCGGACACGGTCAAACTGGGCCCCGGTCCATCGGAGGAGATATGAAGTCTAATCTTCCCCAACAATCATTGATCGACGACCTGGACGACGCTTTGGATATGTACGACAGAAGCCATATCAATGGTAGCTTCATGTATCTTGGCGAGCATCTGCCTGATCCGTATATGCCGGTGACGACCAGCCTCGATGATGGCGATGCGAAGCAAGACGACCTGCTCCTCGCCGATGAGACCAAAGAGAAGGCGGCGACGACATTCACAGCAGGAGAGCCAACAACCCAACAGCATTCCCCTTTGAGTGCTCTCCTGCCTCTCAGACCCATCAAAGCCGCGGCGGTCAAGGTGTGCGACGGTCCCTCGGCTTCTGAAAAGAGCTCCGTCATCTCTTCTGGCATCAACTCCTTGTTCTCGAGCACCGAGAGCTCCTCCGCGACTCCGGACCATGTCTACCCACCTGTCCCAGTCCTCTCTCGCAGCAAGGACATGTCTTCCATATCCGCAGCTTCCGGTTCACTGGCACCTAGTCATTCACCAGCAGCCGAACGTCTCGGGGCCGCCGACGTCTCGAACCAAGCGGGCATTGCAAATCTAGAGTTTGACGATCCAGCGTACCATGTCGAAGGTGACCTTCTGGACAATGACGATGATGATGACGACTACACGTACTGATGATGAACGCAACGAAACACCAACACCAACGCGTGTCAAATCCTTTGAAGGATACAGGGGGTTAGCGAGTTGGCCCAGCTTTGGTGGTCATTCGTGGCATGTTCGATCGATGACTAACAAACCCAGCGGCACACCCCAGGTTGTTTTCTTTCTTTTCTTCTTTTCTCTGGTAATGGGCTTTATGGACGGTCGTGAGGAAAACGAATCGTGCAAATCGAGGAGTCGTGAGCAACTCACATTTCCAGGCATATTGGTATGGCATGGCGCTTATGATTCCCCGTGGCTTGGAATGGCATGGAGTTGGCGAGGCATTGGGTGCATTCGCGAACAAGCGACATGCGGATCAAGGATAAGCAGCACACTTGTGTAGATGGAGAGAGCTTCAGTCTCACAGTCTCATGCAGGGCCAGGGGCATATTAGTCTGGCGAGTTGGATGCGAATTGGACGCTAGTATGCCATCGCCATCGACCCTGACCGTGACCTTGGGCTTTGCTTTTTTGGTACCTGTGTCTGTCCTCCCTTTCTCGACCGGCCTCGATTGAGGACGTGGTAGGCAGCGGAGCAATACAAAAGTTGAAAACAACCTTGAGGTATCATCATGCCATGGAAATTAAGCCGCGGACAAGTCTCTCGTCACTTGTAGACTTTAGGGCGCTTCTTAGAAGTCAAAACATTCGGAATGTAGCGGCGCGGACCACACGATCATATTTGCAGGACAGGAGGCAGCGATGGCAGAAAAACACAGTTGGAGGAAATGTGAAGGAAGTTTCTCATTTTATTGATCGTAGCCATTTTGTTGGACAAAATTGGGGGAGAACTCATGCATGCCGGACATGCATGCATGCACCTGCAATGAAATGCCGACCAGAGGCCGCCCTTCTTCGAATGGGGGCACATTTCATCCCGCGTTTGCTTTTCTGGGATGCTCTATGTGATGAGAGAGGGAACCAACTCATCCGCAGCACCCCTCCCAGCACTTGCTCGATACCTTGGACCTCCCACTGCAAGTCATATCGTGTCGTATCGACTACCGAGCACCCGTTCTGCTCAGCTCAGCTCCCCTCCCTTCCCTTCCCTTCCCACACGCCACAAATCTGAGGCGGAGGAAAGGAGAAGCTCGCACCACACCACTCCATACCACACCATTTCGGCCAATTGTTCAAATTCCTTGCGCACCACACAAACACCCAGATTCCCATCCCACGCCCAAGAGGGCGAGAACGAGAAGGAGAAAACGACTTCCTGTTTAGATGGCGGTATCGTAGGGCTGGGGAGCAAGAGACTCGACCTCGGTCAGTTCGACGACGTGGGCCGGGCGAGGGCCAACGGGCTGGCGCTTGAGCTGGACGGACTCGCCCTTCTCCTTGGCGTCACGGCGGCGCTGGGCGTTGGATTTGACTCTGTTCAAGACTAGAAAAGGAAAACAGGTTGTCAGTACATCGACTCTTTTAATGTTCGAGTTTTCGGCCTCATCCTTGCCCCCATCATCGAAGTTGGTGGGCTCGGCTTTGCCGCTGGCCTGGCCTGGGCTTACATTCTTCTCTCGACCTTGACGAGGAAACATGCTCGACGCGGACATTGACTCGCTTCTCAATGTATCGGTTGCCGACCTTCTTGTTGATGATGACGCCCACCGCCGACTTGGTCACGTTGTACACCACACCGGTCTTGCCGTGGTAGACTTTGTACGGCATCTAGAATTCCCCAACACAACACATTAGTTTCTGTATCTGTCATATCTTTTCCCCGTCTCTTCAAGCTGCCATGTGTGCATTGAGCAGATCGGGGATGGAGGGTGTGTCTTTTAGGTGCATCATGGATCTGCAAGAGGTACATACACCCTTCTGGACGGCGCCGTTGGCCTTGACGTCGACAATGTCTCCGACTCGGTATGTTTTCAGGTACGTCGACAGATGGATTGCGCCCTATTGCATCGCAAAAAAACGAGTCAGCTCAGTTCATCATGTTTCTTCCATTCCTCTCTTTGTCGCTCTCTCTTTTCCCCTCCTTTTGTGTCTCTCCATCCTCGGGGACTGCGCAGAATCTAATTCATACCTTCTTGCGGAAGTCACGGCTGAACGCATATCGCGTGCCGGCTCGGAGACCTCGAGCGTTACCCATTGTAGCGGATTGTTTTCGAGGCTACTTGTCGGCTGTGAAGGGGGCGGAGACGAATGTGATGAGAGGTAGATGTGAAATGGCTGCTTTGCTTTGTCGCAGTTTCGTCCTCTCAGAAAGTGTAGATGCCAAGACCGAGACCGCACTCAGGCTTCGCGCGAATTGTGCCCTGCCCTGCCCGGCTGCCCAGCCAAGTGTGAATATTCGGGCCAGTTTTTTGTGTGCGGTTGCCAAGACCCTCCGGCGCGAAAGCCCCAACCCGAGTTTCCCTCTTTCGCAGCGCTCATTTTCGCACTTCCCAACACCTCACTTGACAAACGACACCCACGTCCTCCCTTTCGATCGTGTCGACCTCGTTCTTGATTGTGACTGCACGAGCCTTGCATCGCAATCATGGCGCCGCGATCCTACTCCAAGACCTACAAGGTCCCTCGTCGACGTAAGTGAAGCCCGCCCGATGAAAATCCCGAATCACACGACATTGGAACATGGACAAAGAGAACGGGAAACTAACAAATTCTCCATTGCAGCATTCGAGTCGGCCCGTCTGTACGTGTCTCCTGGCCACTGAGTGCCAGCTTGCCTGTGCCTCAAGTCTGAGATAACCATGTCCCTAACGCCTCTGTGTTTCCTTACAGTGATTCGGAATTGAAGATCATCGGCGAATATGGCCTGCGCAACAAGCGTGAAGTCTGGCGTGTCCAGCTTACTCTGTCCAAGATCCGTCGTGCTGCTCGGTATGAAACCAACCCACAACCCACATCCCCCAGCCCACTCTTCCTTTGATTGCACCAGGAAGGCAATGGACACAATGCCACTCTTCCTTTGGCTGCACCAGGAAGGCGATGGACATAATGGAGAATGCCGCCTGAAAGGAACAAAAAAGAGACCAGAACCTTGGGAAGAACAGTGACTGACTCTCTGCAACGCTTCTAGTCAACTCTTGACGCTCGACGAAAAGGACCCCAAGCGCCTGTTCGAAGGCAACGCCCTGATTCGCCGTCTGGTGCGTGTCGGCGTGCTCGACGAGTCGCGCATGAAGCTCGATTACGTGCTTGCCCTGAACGTCGAGGACTTTCTGGAGCGCCGCCTGCAGACCTGCGTGTACAAGCTGGGGCTGGCCAAGTCCATCCACCACGCCCGCGTGCTCATCAAGCAGCGCCACATCCGCGTCGGCAAGCAGATCGTCAACGTCCCCAGCTTCGTCGTCCGCCTCGACAGCCAGAAGCACATCGACTTTGCTCTCACCAGCCCCTTTGGCGGTGGACGTCCTGGCCGTGTCCGAAGAAAGAAGGCCAAGGCTGCCGAGAAGAACGACGAGGAGGATGAGGAGGCCGGTGATGACGAGGAATAGATCATCTGATGCAACGAACTACCTACTACTAGTACTCGTACCGAGTAGTGGGCCACCTTTCAGCTGTTGAAGGGGGGAAATGTCAATGCAGTGGGAGAGGAGTGGTTTGTCGAAGCATCCCTTCAGAGCAGAAGGGAATACTAGATGATCACTGATGCGGCCAGCCTCCTCAGGCCAACTGATCATGTCTGGTCTGGTCTCAAGGGGGCGGCGAACCAGGAACGACTCAAGAAGATACCTCACGGAAAATATGCTGCTTGGGGCGAGTGGCGAGTGAACCGTCATCATGCGGTTTTCAATCGGCTGGAATCACTCAGCCAGGTAGATACTGCAGAACATCTACCGCGTGAAAAAAAGCGGTTTCAGTAAAATCATCTTCTTCATGCCATTGCTGTGAATGTGATTCGCGCGTATGCAGCTGTGTCTTTACTGGTATCCCATCATGAGCTCATCTACCATCGCCCAAACCCAAACACCCATACACCAACGATGCCCTAAAGTTCCGCAGATACCTCCAACTCCATGCTTCCAAACAATAGCCGGCCCTCTATAATATCTAGTGGTCGTTTATGATAACCGACTGCACAGGAAGATGAATCAGTCCGGTCAGGGAAAAAGTGGCAGTCAATGTGCGGACATGAAAACTCCAGGTCGTGTCCTCTTCGCTGGTGGGCGAGTTAGCGGACGCCTCGAGCTGACGAGGACGAGGATGGCTGATTGAACCTCAACTCTCCACGCCTAAACCCAAGACGCCTCTCAACACGGCGTCCGAGCCACGATACCACCTCCCCAAATCCTCCATCTCATCACGGGCGCCTTGCTCGCGGCGCCTGCGGAGCTCAACGGCCAGCCTTGTCGTCTCATTCCGCGTCTTCTCCAGCTCGGCCAGTTCGCGATCCATCTTCTCCACGTCACGGTCCTTGGCCGGCATCTGACGTTTCAGCAGATCGATTTGGCGATCGAGCTCGGCGTTGGCGGCTTTCTGGCTGTCGAGGGCTAGCTGAGTCGGTCCGAGAGCCAAATTCATGAGAGGGTCGTTCTCGATGTCGCCGGCATCGCCGTCATCGCTACCACTACTGTGGCCAATGCGTTGCTTCCTTTTCTTCGCAGTCACTTCGGCCTGCAATTCCGCAATCTCCTGTCTGAGCTGGTCAAGCTGGCGCGGCACACGCTCCAGCACGTCGAGGCCTTCCGTGACGGTGTCGTATCGCTGAGCCAGGAGACGGGCTTGGCTCTCTATCTCTGCGACCAGAACGTCCACGTCGCGCTTTTTGGCCTGCAGCTCCGCCTTCATCGCGCCCAGCTTGTCCTCGAGCACCAGGTTGTCGCTGTGGCTGACCACCAAGGGCGGATCGCCGACGATGCTGCGCAAATATTTCTCTTTCGTTACTTGCTCGAGGTAGCTGAAGCGCAGTTTCGAGAACAAGTCCTTGTAGTGCGCCAGGTCGGCGGAGAGGGATGTCGGGATGAGTTGGGAGAACGAATCGGCCATGTCTGATGCGGCCTGGGAGGCTGTGTTGGAGGAGACATCTGATCGGCGTGGTTGTTGGTGTGATTGCAATCGTGAAGCACCTGTGTTTGTGTTTGCGTTCGAGGGTGATTGCGGTTGTGCTTGTGACTGTAATTCATTCTGACTCTTCGACGCGGTCGCGGTCAATGGCTCTGCAAGCGCGAGGATCGAGAGGGGCTGCGAGGATTGTTGAGCGCGGAGACTTGCCAGCGTGGCATGGTAATCGACGGGCTTCGCCATGGCAAGACCAAGGTTTCCCAAAGGTATATTCAGAGCCGTGATGGTGATGTGTGGGTGTCAAGCTGAGATTGTAAAGCCGCGCATTGCATTGGCCGGAGTCGCTCAACTCGGAAGATGTAAATAAACGTCACGCCAAGGTGGGATGGTGGGAAGGGATACGGAAGGTGTGCGAAAACTTGAACTCCTGCCGACTCCGAGTCATTATTGTCATTCAAAGTCTTATCCTCCAGTCACCCGTATTTGCCTTCTCACTACTTGTATTGCACTGCCAGTGTGATACGATGAGTGTTCAGGCGGCTGAGCAGGAGGAATCCGAAACATTGAGAAGGTCGGAAGAGCCGACATCCCAAGACACTACTAGGTAAGCTTGACCTGGACCGGCGACTTCATACGGGGTAGGGGGTGCTGTCTGAGGCATTTTCTTGGGTCATCCGTACACAGTGCGGATGTTCTGTTCCCTTCTCAGATACTTTGGAGGTCTTCAAGACTGTGGTGAGTCTGGTGACTGCTCACAGAGAGCGAACCAAGCGACTACCAGAACGGGGAAGCGGTGTTCCTTGTTTGTATAGGGCCCCAAATCTCGTCCTTCGCCCTCTGCACAAAGAACCTGCAATTCAATTGCACTCTTGTGCGGTTGATGTACCGTGCTGTTTGGCGCCATGTCTCATCTTCTCAGTCGTGTCTCCGTACGGATACTACCCTCTCACTGGCAGAGGTGATAGATAGGTGACTAGTTTCCTACCTTGATCACAGCGCTGAGCATAATTACGAGTGGTTTCCCCACTCGAGTTCTCGTCCTGGTCTTTTCTGCTAGCACTGTGTACGTTTTCAGATCATCACTCTTGCTTGGTCAATACAGGACGAGACCGACAGCGACAGCGACAGCCGACAGCCACCGAGATGAGTTCTCACAAGCGTCGGGCTAGTAATGATCATGGTGATCAGCCCGCAGCCAACCGTCCTCGCATTGCCACTGCCAGTGAGGCTCCGGACTCTCGACTTGATAAGGTCAAGGCATCCAACTAATATCATCATCATCATTCTAATTGCAAATACAGGAGATCACCGGTCCTTTCAACCTTTCAGAAACCTTTGGAGACCTCATACTGGAGGTCAAGCTTCGATCTATGTCGAAGGCGTCTCGACGTGAGCTATGCCGAAACCTGCTCTCGGAGTGGTCGGATAAAGGACAAAATACCGCGATCCATTTCGACGGAACTTACTGGCAGGCAGTCCATAGCCATAGCCCTAGCCCAAATCACGACGGAGATGAGTTACCAAATCAGACCAGAACATCCCTCGAGAGTGGCGATGACGATGCTGGAGCCCCCAACGAAGATAACTCACCCGAGAACGTAGACGTTGGTACAGAAGAGACTGGGAAGCGCATCGATGCAGAAGAGAAACAAGAAGCCGATAGTATACTGATCGGCGAGGATAGTGAACCGGGCGAATATGATGAAGAAGGCGAAAGCAACGGCGATGATGAAACTGACCAAGATGTCGAAGATGACGAAGACGAAGACGAAGACGAAGACGAAGACGAAGACGAAGACGAAGACGAAGACGAAGACGAAGATGAAGAAGAGGATGACGACGAGGACGAAGACGAAGACGAAGATGACGAAGAGGATGACGACGAGAACGAAGATTGCTCTGAGTACGATGATGATTACGATTTTGATTTCGAGTTCGAATGGCTAGAACCAATCGATATTACAATAACTTCCACAGCAAACATGGACGGATGCGGCAAGCCAAAGACGATTGCACACTGCCAGGCCAAGTTGATCAGAAGAGACCAAATGCGCGATGATTTCTATGAGGAGATGGAGCAACCTTCAATTGAGACTTCAAAGTTAGCGTTTGACCTGTTCGACCGGTACGGTCGACTCAGACCCGAGTTCACAACTCACCCAATCATCAAAGGAAATGGGATCTGGGACCAGGAACTGGACCAAGGAGATATACTGCTCATTGAAAAGATAATTGTCAACCCAGATTATCGCAGGCAAGGACTTGGTCGAAGGATGGTAGGATCATTGTTGACTCTCGCCCAGCTGGAGACGTGGTCATTCTTCGCTTTTGTTTGGCCTTCCATGCTGAGAATTGACGACATTGAGTCCGAGTGGAACAGCTTACAAGATGATGCGGCAAGAAATCGAATGGAGAAGCGTGAATCCGACCGAGCTGTCGTGTTCTACAGGTCTCTAGGATTCCGCAGAGTAGCATCCACGGACTGGTTCGCTATGGCTTCCAACGATGATCACCCCTCACACCAGCTTGCTTCAACAGAGGATTACAATCCGCCAGAGGCACCTTCCTCCGCTCTCGATCCCCTCTTGGGCCCGTTTCAGCAGATTGGCGACCGTGCTTTGTCCGGGGTCGAATACCCTGACTTCCTCGGCGTGCTTGACAATTGTATGCAGCAGAAGGGGTCGGTTGATGCGTGCTGGACAATTCAGGACAAGAATGGAAATACAGTCCTTCACCTTGCTGCGTCAATATTTAGCGCTGCTTGCGTCGAGTGGATATTGAAACAAGACTTCGGAACTCGGCTGCTTCAATTGCGCAACCATCGAGGCGAAACCCCTCTCGAATTACTCGAATTCATACTCGAAAAACTTCGCACGCAGAAACGTATCAACGCATTCACTGCTCATGTCTCGGACCGATTCATGGGACACAATGATAGCGCCGTGGACTGTTTGATCTTGCTCAAAGGACTGGGCTCGGTGGAATCTGTTGTGAGGTCCCAGGGTCGAGACGCACTCCAGCGGATCGCGGGAGGATGCACGTGCGGCCAGTGTCTGGGCGGGTTTCTGAGTCCGAGAGTGTCGCACGCTCTCGTATGTCAGGCCCAGCTGGGATACGACAGATATAATGATGACATCGACCTGTGCTTAGATCCAAAGATGGTTGTACATGAGGATGACCTCGGTTACCTACCTTCAAGAGTGCTCGACAATCTCCGGACGAACAAGTCCATGCGTCAGGGGTTTGTCAACCTCTGGCAGTACATTGGGACCTGCCTGGAAGCTGGAAAGGTGCCTCATAAAGCCAATGTGTTGGACGTGGTTCATGAATGGCCACCTGTAACAAAAAACTTTCTGCAGAGGGGAGGCACCGTGGAATCAGTGTTTCTGGCGATATGTCGAAGGGCCATGTCAGCGGATGAGTGGATGGGAGACGGACAACATCAGGAATTGTTCGGCGACGAGATTTCAAAGCTACCTGAGTGTAGGAATGACGGTGAATTCGGCTTTGTGAGTGGCATGTGCGGTTACAGGCGCATTTCTCTGAGACCTACTATAGACGGGATGGGCAATACTCTCGACGAGGAGGGAAACATGGTCGATTCGTTGTTATAGCTGCTAGTTTGAGGATGTACAACACAAAGACCAAGGCACATGCTCAATACTATTGATGTCGTCTTGAGACTCGCATTGTTCTATACTATATCCACGGTCTTCAAATGTCTATATGCATACCCACACCCGTAGCGATAGCTATAACCATATGAACGTTATATTTTGCCAGGGGCATGTCATATTTTCTCCAACCATCAAGAGAGAAACCTCTGCTTGTTCTGTTCTGCCCATTCCTCAAACGTCATTGCCTTCTTCCCAGTGTATTTCTCAATACTCGACAGCTGCTCAGCGCCGACTGGATAGCCACAAACCAGACTGCGAGCAGGGTCTACAGCGCCCCAGTGCTTGATCATGTAGTCGGCGAGAGGAGCCGGCCAACGACGCTCCTCCGTGAATTTCTTGTATGCTTCGTCTCTTCCCATCGTTTCAACGGCAGGACTCTTGCCCAATACTTTGGCGAGTGTCTTGACACAGTCGGCCTGGGAAATCAACTGCGGCCCGTACAGATACATGGCCGTCTTCGTGTTTCCGTCCCGCGGCCCTTTCACAAGAACGGTGCCACAGGCTCTGCCAATGTCCTCTGGAGCAATAGCATCAACCGTCGCATCCGGTGCGAAAATCTTGACCAGCCCACTCTCCAATCCTGCCTTGTACTGGATGGTGTTGCTGGCGAAAGAGCCTGGTCGAGCCGCGACGTAGCCGCCCGGGCCAAAGACTGCTTTCAGACTGATCTCCACTTGCGCGTGTAGGTAGGGGATCACCTCGCTGGGTTCCACGTCCTCCGGTTCGCCGCGGATGGTGAAGCTGCTGAGCAGTACCACCAGCTCGATGCCGGCCGACTTGAGGGCCTGGATGGTCGACTTCATATTGTCGGACGAGCGGGGGGCGATGTAGATGAATGCACGGGTTGCTTGGGTGCGAGTTACAGCATCACGCACTGTGTCGGGATTCTGTAGATCGGCGGGTACTCTTTCGAAACTGCCGTTGCTGTCTTTCTCCGTAGCCGAGTCGAGGCCGGGAATAGCCTTCGACGTGTCCCGCATCGCCAGCACCACCTTGGCTCCAAGTTCGTGGGCTGTCCGTGCCGTGGCCGACCCAACCGCTCCGGATGGTCCAAATACTATGACCTTGGGAGCAGCCAGGTTGGAGTCAAGGTGGGAAGTACTAGTCCGGTATTGTACTTGAGAGCTGGGTGGGAGGGTATTGTACTCGAGAGCTTGGTGGGAGGGTATTGCACTCAAGAGCCTGGTGGGAGATTTTTCAAAGAGCCACTGTCAAGAAGGAATGCTGAACAGACAGACTGAGAAGCAATGCCGCCACTTATATAGCTTCAGTGTACTTACTCGGAACGGGAACAATCATTCAGTCAGCTCCATCACCATCCGGGCCGTCTCTCAAGCATGCAATAGGAGGTATGGGGTAGACCTGCCGCGAAGAGCGGAATGAGACAACCTTTCGTACTACTCATCCACTTGCCTCGCGGAGAGTACATTGATGCCCATTTCCAGACTGGATGTGCATCGGCAATCAAGGATGTGCTCAGCCTCGTGCTCCACACCAATAAACACAAAGGTCGACTGATGTCTTCAAGAAAGAATTCGTACGCATAGCGCACGGGTGTGCGAGGTGGTTGGACGGTGGCCAGGCTCACAACACCTGAGACGTTGATGTTAACTCCGGCTATTCCTAAAGCGGGAAACAATCTCAATCTCCAGCACGCTACAGTATCCGTACATTTCTCCACCGGCAACGCTTTCGCTAAGACCTTCGCCCGTTTACAAGATTCTGCACCTTTCATGTCGTTCTTGAATGCTCCCCCAGGGGTCAGTCATGTGTCCCTCTCTTCTGGTGAACAGCGCCCCCGTTTGAAAGTCCGAATGGTCCCACGACGATGGTCTCGTCCGGGTGTCAAGTGAAGCTTTGACACTTGACACAGGCACAGCATTCCCAATTTTCCGACTACATGTAGCCTGGTAGCAACATGGCTCATACGGATCAGTCGGGTAAGTTCGCGGATCATTCGTTTCCCAGTCCCAGTCCCAGGCGAAGGCCATCGATTTGACCTTTGGCTCGTCACTCAGCGGCAGGAATGCCATTCGTCGTCTCTACCAGCATGAACAAAGCGGATCCTGAAATGCGTAAGCTGATCAGGAGCCATTGCATGCTGGGGAAAAACCGCGGGAGGATCTTGCATAGTAGGCGAATGCCCAAGACGGTTGTCCCGCCAGTGCCAGACCTGGAAGCTGCTTCCGCAATCCCCAATAAGCTTGGTTCAGAGTTATCTTTGTTACGGTTTGCCGATTCCGTCGAGCCCTCTACGCTATGGGAAGTCTTGAGATGTAAGTGACCTAACCCTAACCCTAACCCTAACCCGAAGACTGAGGACTGAGAAACCAACGATGCTGGAGACCAACGATGCTGGAGACCAACGATGCTGACCTCGAAAGTCACCTCGGCTTCGAAACAGACTTTCTTCCCCTTGGAGAGATGCTTTGATTTCAACGTCAAAGACCGGTCGATGTTCGAGCCGTTGACATTCGATCCGGCCTATCTTCACGCCGTGATCTTTGGGGCTCAAGCATACCTGGATTTGGTTTCGTGTCGCTCCAGTCCACGGTCGTCGGTGCAGATGTTGAAGACGATTCAGCTCCTTCGCGCCCGACTTTCGCTCTCGGATGGAAACGAACAGACATCGGTTTCTGATCCCACCATACTAGTCGTCTTAACTCTGGCACACGTTGCACATTTAACTGGCGATGATGTTACCGCCGAGCAACACTTGGAAGGTCTCTGCAAGATGATCCACCTGCGAGGAGGCATTGCTGCTTTCCAAAATACTCCGAAACTTCTCACCGAGGTATTAAGGTCAGCAAGAATCCTGACTTCACGTCCCTAGGTAGCAAGAATCCTGATCTTCACGTATCTATTTGGGACTATAATGCTACTGAGCGAAGCGAAGTAGTATATAGCTGCAAATCTTATTTACCGGGGGACTAAGGCTTATGGCTGATTCTATTCAGGTGTGACATCAGCATTGCCATCCACAAAGGAACAACACCGATCTTTGACTTCAACCAGCCTTTACAATCTATCAGATATCAACCGCAGACTGAGTTATCTCCTCCACCAAAGATGGAGTTATCTTCTCTACCACAGACGGAGATATCTTCTCCACCTGCTTCTTGTCTGGATTATAAATCCCCCTACGACAAGACTCAATACACCAATGTCATCACAAACGAGGCTCAATACACCAATGTCATCACCGACAAGGCTCAATACACCAATGTTATCACAGACAAGGCTCAATCCGCCAATATCATCACCGACGAGAAATTAGCCGAGTCATGGAACACCCTGAGCAACTTCTGCTATCTAGTCAACTCCGCGGCGGACAAGAACATCAAGCTCAGCGACCAAATCCTCCTAAACACCATGGGCTCAGTGATGTATGCACTTCTCAGAATGGACTTTCCAACCAACCCCATCAACGAAGCCATTCGTCTTGGCCTGCTTGCATTCTGTTCACATTCTTTCTTGGAGCGACGGGGGATTGAGCTTCCGAAGCGCTCCCTCTGTGAGAAGTACAGGACTTGCTTGGAGCACGTCAACACCACTCAGTTGCAACGCCCTTCTCACATCAACACTCAACCAAAACGCCCTTCTCCTCAGCTTTCGCTATGGTTTCTCATCATGGGCAGAATTTCCATCTTCACCTCCACCTCCCATCCAGATGACTCTGCATGGATAGATTCCAGCCTCAGAGAACATATTGCCCTTGAATCAGGTTTGCTCCTGGCCACAGCTACGACTGGTTCTCAAGTCTTTTCTTTGGATCGACATCCTACATGACGGACCTGGGAAGATGATTTTCGAATCTGTTTCCTAGTCATAGTGCGGTACGGAATGGGTGTTAGGGTTAGGGTTAGGGTTAGGGTTGTTGAAATAGGTGTTGAAGGTGTTGAAATGGGTGTTGAAACGGCTGCCCTTAGGCCCCCCGAGACAATCCACTCGACGACAAGGACGTAGAGTCGATTGTGACAAAAGTTGAAATGTTAATGCTCCATGTTCGCTATCAGGGGTATAGGGGGAGCCTCTAAGCCCAGGCTATATAGTGTATCCGTACTCCGTATAGTATGCCTAAACCAGCCTTCTGGTTAAAGAATAAGGCTGGGAATACTTACTTTTGACACGTCAGTCCGCTCGAAGACGAGGACGAGGACGAAGACGAGGACGAGGACGTACGGTCGATTGCACCTGGGATGGAATGGAGCACAATATAAGGACTAGGGCGTATCGCTCTATGCTGTTCTGTTGATGGCGTCTCGAGACTCAAACTATTCTTATTCTATACTATACTATCTCCATAAGGTGGTCTTCAAGTTTCTATATCCATAAGGTAGGTTGTCCGTGTTCAAGTTTCTATATATGGCCATACCCTACAATCAACCAGGTCAAAGTCATAGCTGCCGCTGTACTGGATAAGAGTTCTTGGTCCACATACATAGCACTGGACACTGGACAGATTCTACGACAGGACTGCGGAATCCTGCCTGCCCAATTTCGACTATGGTTGATTCGCCATGTATATGTTTCATGGCGAGTGTGACGAGATGAGGTTCGGAGCGGAACAACTTATATTCCGTGTCCAGGTAGTACGAGTGACCTATTATTAGGCAGCCTTGTATCCGTATATGTTAGCCGCTTCCTATTATAATGACAAGAGTGAAGGTCCTCCGTATTTTGCTCAGCGTGATCCGAGCCACTGGCACCTTCATCGTTTCCCAGCTTCTTTGTGATACTCAGCTCAATAGATAGATATTCAGCTCCATCTCCTAACCCTAGCCCTAACCCTAACCCTAACCCTAAGATCACTGGTGCACCAGGTCGGCGGTGGCGGTGGCTGTTGGCCCCCAAACCCAGCCACACACACGGATTCGTCGTTCTTGGTACACATACACATACATAGCCTGATCCTGATCCTGATCCTGACCCTGACTCTGATCCTGACCCTGGCTCTCACCCTGATCCTGACCCTCGCCCTCACCCTCCCTCTCGCGGGGCAGCCTGAATCTCACTGCCATGACCGGTTCGACAGCTACAGCTAGAACCTGCACATCCACATGGACCATATTCCTCAAGCACTCGACAATCCTCATCCTCGCATTCAAGTCCCGTTTGTGGTGACCGAGCAGTTTGAGCAAGTCATTTGCCACCACGAGGACGTCCAAGCAGAAATCGATCACGACGGTGACGGTGACGGTGACGGCGACCAAGACCAAGACCAAGACCACGACCACGACCACGACGATGACCAAGACCACGACGATGACCATAACCATGACCATGATTCCCGAGCCTCGTTCCTGGTAATCACCAATGGCAGTGGCAGTGGCAGTGGCAGTGGGAACGAAATTCAAATTGTTCGGAAAGAAGCCGATATCTTGAGCTTCTACCAAGCCAGATGCTTCTTCGGTCTCCTGTGGGACCTGTACCGCGTCGCTGGGCGGCAGCTCGAATTCGACCCTGAACACTACCTCGAGCGGCAGGATGTGGATGCCGACTCAAAGGCAGCAGTGATCATCAGTACGAAGGGGCTTCTGATGGAGCTTGACATGATTGCTTCGACAGGACAAAGTCTGCCGGATGATGCGAAGATGGAGAAATTCATCGAACTGGACCGGTGCATTCGAGTGGCGCAAAACCTGACCGCCCAGCTACAATCGTACGTTGCTGAGAGGTCAGATTCGGAGTTACAATCGTACGTTGCTGAAAGGTCGAATTCGGATTCGGAGTCGGATTCGATTGAAAACTGCGACCAAGGCCGTGGTGACATGGTCACATCACAGAAAGAATTCGTGGTTCTGCAGGCGGTGGTCGAGTCCACCGCCGTGCTGGGCGAGACCATCCTCACGGCCGCACGGCACATATATCTGCCATCATCGTCGGTTTCAGCATCGGTGCTCGAACCAATCTGGAGCGGAGACCTCCCTCCAGCACCTCGAGCATTGTTGTGCATGGACCGCTTCCGGAAATGTGGGTGGTGTCCGCGACAAGTCGCAGAGACGTTCGAGACAGTCCTGGGATCTAGGTCGGTTTTGTATTCGCTCAGTTCAATAGACAAGAAGAGTGCGTCGCATGGGAACCACGAACACTGTTCTGCCGAAACGTGCGTGTTGGAAGATATTGACAATGACACATATCGGCCTCTGCACACGCCGGATTGTGGCGGCGGCAGTCATTGTCCGCTGGTTCCAGAAGCTGCAAAATTGGGCGCACAGAATGAGGCTTCGACCATCATCGCACGGATGATCCAGGAAGGTTGCATCCCAGCCATCAATCTCGTGGAGCAGCCGGGTTCGACTCCTCTGTTGAACATCAAAGCTTACCACCGCCAACCAGGTCACCAACTTGAAAAGGGCCGTCCCGGTCCAGGTCCGAGGAAGCGGAAGCGATCGAGTCAGGGAAGTGACACGATGGAAAGGACCGCGATACTCCGTGATCCCGTTGTGAAAGATGATACGCGCGCACACGAACACAAGAGAGCACCGACCACTCTAGACACTGAGAGTACAAGTCTGGATGAACTGGCGAGGCTCGACGATGTCGATGTCGATGTCGATGACGAAGATGCTGACAAAGACGAAGATGAACATAGATGCCATCAGTATATCGCCATCTCCCATGTTTGGAGTCAGGGACTGGGCAATCGCAACATCAACGCAATCCCCCTATGTCAGCTGCGGCGACTGCAAAGGTTTGTGGACCTTATGGTTCCTGAACATCTGCAGCCCATGCCGTTCTGGATCGACACCATTTGCGTGCCACTGGATCCGACGACCCGAACCATGGCCATCAAGGAGATGCGGACCGTGTACCGGGATGCTTTGGCCGTGTTAGTGATTGACGGCACACTGACCGAGCTGGATTTGGATTTCTCCGAGACCCAAACTCAAGAGTGCCAACGGCCAAGGCCCAGAATGGCAAATTGGCAGCTCGAGCTGCTGATGAGAATCCGCGTTTCGCCCTGGGCACACCGGTTATGGACGTACCATGAATCATGGCTGGCTCGAGACATGTACTTTCAGATCGGCGAGAAGGACACGCCGGCGATTCATTCCCGAGACATTGTCGTTCCCAGACTACAGAAGACGTTGAATCCCTATCCCTCCCGCCATAAGGAGAAGACGAGAGAAAAGGAGGTGGAGAGACAGCTCGACCTCGTCGAACTCTCCGACTCAGACTCGGGAACGGAGGACACGAAGGAAGACCAGAAGCAGATGGTAAGAGCCGTGCTCCCGCTCGAATATACGGCTGCCTACCTCCTCGTCGAGGCCAGCGCACTTCAGCTTTTCGGCGGGCTTTCTTCCGAGGATGAATCTGAAGCCGACGGCTTCCACCAGGATCTCCGAGATCTGAGCCGTCAGCTGGCTTTGCGTACCACCTCTCGCCTACAGGACGAAGCCATCTGCCTGGCTACATTGCTTGGATTGGAGGCCGCGGCCGTCATGACCGACGCCAACGGCGAACCCGTGTCGGATGAGGACAGGATGAAGAGACTCTGGGAGATCCTGGAGGCGGATCGTATTCCTGCCGAGATCCTGTTCTGCAATCGACCGACGTACGGCGATCGCGGGTGTGGCTGGATGCCCAGGAGCCTGCTGAGGGATGATCGGGGGAACCCAATCAACCGTATGCGCTGTGGACAGGCACTGGCGAAGCATGCCGAACATGGAATCCTCGTGGAAATGGGCGGGGTTGCGTTTGAGATTCCACAAAATGCCGGTACTAGTACTGGTACCAGTGGTGGTGGTGGTGGTGGCGATGGCGATGGCGATGGCGATGGTGATGGACCTGGTCTCAACATGTCTCCCTGGGACGTGGTACTCGACATTGCAGGGTACAAATATCGATTGGTACAGGTGGAAGCGTCCGCGCCGATGCATGATTGGAGGTCATCGTCATCCTTTCCCACAGGCAACGGCGCAGGAAAGGCCAAGGCCAAGTTCGCCGTATTGATGTGCCAGAACGAGCTGAGGATGCTCTTGGACAAGGTCGAAGACAGGCTGGACGGATCGCTCAGCCACTCTAGCGACTTGCCGTTTGGCTTGCTCGTCACTGTCCTGGAGAACCCGATCTTGCATGGTTCACCGGGTGAGGCTTCTGCTCCTCCGTCCTCGCCCTCGTCCTCGTCCTCCGGAGGAGGAGAGGAGGGAGGAGATGGCGGCTCGGCCTCTTTCGGCGTGGCCTACGTCCTTCAGAGAGAAATGGTCGAGTTTGAGATCGTGTTGGACGATGATGATGATGATGATGATGACGACGACGACGACGACGACGACGACGAACCGAGCAGTCGAGGTGGGAGTGAAAGTGAAACCGAAAGCGATACACCACTGGAAATCTCGACGGATGACGAGTCGTCTAGGCTGAACCTCCACGGTAAGCCGGCCGCACTTGTTCACACCCAAGTCTTCTCTCCCGAAACTAGAAGTTGGTGGGTTGGCTAGAAGATTTATTTATCGGTTCGAGCTCTGTAGGATCTTCGTCTTCATTATTTTATTGGGAAGTGTAATGCAGCTCATATGCGACCCCGAGTGGGCAGGGGCACGCCATGATGAAGCTGATGATGCCTATTGAGTTGATCTCCGTTGGCCTTATACCTGATCTTTAGGTCCCTTGAAGAAAAGATAAGTACAAAGCAGGCAGCACATATGAGGCAAGACATGCACCGAGGTGATGGCCAACATCGATCTCGATATTTTGATCGCCATGAGACCTGCCACGCCGTAAAATCTATTCTCTCTTCTGTCGTGGGGACGAGAATATCGTCCTATTAGTACATTTAAGAGCAGGGTATCTCTTTCATAAAAGCGAGTGCTTCTGATCCATTCCGTTTGCGCCAGTTCGCATGCAAGACGTCAAACGCCAGTTTTAGACAGAGTTGCTGCTAAGCCGACCCGGTCGTCATCTTCTTGGTGACGGTAGAGGGGCAGGGGTGTGTTGTACAGACAATGTAGCGGGATGACTGTGTCGAGTGACACGATCTCAAGAAGTGGTCCCAAAGAGGCGAAGAATGATCTCGTACCTGAGTGGCATGCGTAAGCGACCGTATACAAATCCGAATCCAGGAAACTTACATTCCAAACATGATGGCCGCGCTGGGTACGACCCTCAGTAAATGCGGTGTCATGCCTCCATATAGCCCTGCTAGACCTTCCTCCCTGGCCACCACTTTGAAGCACTGGATGAGCCCAGTGTATTTCACGGTAACTTTGCCGGTGTCCGTGGTGATCGTCGGCGCCTGTCTTAACCGCGTCCTGACCACTTCGTGTGGATATGTAATGACAGCAGCGACGAGTTTAGCCCCTGCAGCGGCGGTGAATTTGCCAGCCCATTCCTCGGTATTATCGAGCCATGTCTGTTGGTAACCTGGAGTGGCCAGTCTTTTGGCTTCGCGCCTCGCGAGGGCTAGCTTCATTCGTTCGTACATGACCCATTGTAGCGTCGATTCGGTGACTCCAAGATACGAAGCTGTCAGGCCGCGATAGAGTCCCCTGATCCCCTCATGTCGGACGGTCTGCTTGATACAGTCCCAGCTGTTCTTGTATTGGCGTCCACGGGTCGGATCGTGGCTCGCATTGTTCTTGTCCAGTTGCAACCTCGTCTTGACCAGCCAGATCGGGTTCGTGGCAGTGCCTGTGACGATGCCCGCCGTGGCTGCCGCCACAAGATGAATGCTCCAAACATTCTCACGACCTTCCGGATTGAAGTAATCACTCAGTATCCTCTTGCCATTACCGTAGACGTAGAAATTAATGCTTCGTGCGGGAACGACGCCGACTAAGTTCGCACCTAGCCCGCGGAAAAGAGCCCGGAACCCTTCATGCTGGTGTATAGATCGTAGGATTTGTACAGTCTCGGCCAAGTGGAAATATGCACTTCGGGGGAGAGAGAGGAGGGTGGTCTTTTGTGGCAACGGGTGTTGGGCGTGGAGGGTTTTCAACTGTGTTTGGTAGAAGTCGGATTGTAGTCGTGTCTTTAGGACATCGAGAGGAGAGGTTAAGGCAGCTGCGGTCATCCCACCAAGACTGGGGTTTTGATTAGTTTGCGTCAATGGTAACAAAGAATTCTGAGGTCGCCGCACCCGCCTGCCACAAAATGGGCCCACGGCTTAGCCACGGGCCCGTCTTTGGTCACCGAAGGTGCATTGCCGGAGGGTATCTCTGGAACCACTTGACCGGTTTCTCTGGCTTGAGGTAGCAAGTTCTCTTCTCCTCTCGTGGTCACCTGGAAAGGCTTGGAGGGAGTTGCGGAAAATGTCATGAACGTTGCGCAAGAGCGCAAGATGAAGCAGGCTTAACGGGAACACGAAGACGAATGGAGAATAATGTACAAGAACAGAGGAACAGAGGAACAGAGAGGGTAACGAAGGTTGCCGGTGCGCAGTGGCAATGAAGATGAAGGTGAAGGGAAGATTGAATTTCCTGTCCTCTCAACGGGCGAGGCAAAAGCGAGTTCCGGCGTCATCGCCAAACCGCCGCAACACGAAAAAAAGTTTCCCGACTTATAGCAATCACGTGATACTGGGACACGTGTTGGATCTTCTCTCCTGGTTCCGCACCCTCATTCCGGCTTGTCATGCTGTAGATTTTTTTTTACCAACTCATCGATGCTACAACCTTTCTGCGTACGAGCTGGTCGAGATGCCTGTGAAAGATCAATACTAGCATACTTCACACTTTGCTGTGTCTGCGCACCCCAAGTGTCAGTCAGCAGAGCCGAGGTTATGTACATGCCGCGAGCCATCTGCATCCAAGATTGCCATTATCCACCGGAATTATCATCTACCATCATTATTCCACCGAGCCCTTCGGCCGCCGAGGCTAGCCTATCTGAACGTCTCCGGTGGAATTGGTGCTAAGACACCCTGCCTCCTAAGCCTATCATTATCCAGGGTACTCGTACGGTCTTGATTCTTAATGGCAACCATACAAGAAAGAAAATACCAGCAGCATTCAGCACTGCCAAACTTGTCCCTGCTCGAAGAGATATTCAGTCCCAACAGCACTCGTCTGCGGGCCCTCCAAGATCCCGTGGTCGTTTCCTTAGACCTTGAATACGAACGCCATCCAACTCGGATCCGCCAGATTGGCTTGAGTGTCCTTGACACCCGCAATTTGGCGAGTATTGACGTTGAAGACACCCATTCAGTTGCCCGCTTCGCCTCGAGTCATCTCATCTTACTCCATAACCGACATTGCAAAGCATACTGTTACGGCGACCCTCTACTTGCGGAAGGTAGAAGCCTCGAGGAGATCCTACGCCCTTTCGTAGTAATCAATGATGAGAATGGTCAACCCCGCAATATAGTGCTGGTGGGACACTCAATACACGTTGATCTAGCATTGCTCGAAGAATGTGGACTTGACTTAAAGAGTCTTACACAGGTCCAGGCATATGTCGACATCGCGCCAATCTATACGCGTCTCTTTAGCGATATTAACCACAGAATGAGCCGGAGCCATATGTGTCAGCGACTCGGAATTCGCACAGTATCATTTCACAATGCAGCCCACGATGCGCTATATACGTTGCAAGCGCTGTTAAAGCTTTTCTGCATATATCAGGACGAGAAGCTAGCATCTCCTGATAGCATTATGCGGATGCCTCAAGACGAGACGGAGGCCGATCGGAGGATATTATGGGATTGTCAACTTGAAATTCTTCGATTTCTCGGTCAAGAACTTGGTAACCAACTGTGGATGGGCAGTCCCAAGAGCCGGCGACGAAAGCAGCAAAGAGAAGATCATCTTCGTCACCTCCAGTCTCGTACACCTCTCGACGCTGTGACACCACTCAAAAGACAAGTGATATAGCAAGGCTAGACCAATAGAGGTCACATGAACTAGGCTATTAGGTTATGCCCCCGCATCCCTGGCACTTAGAGAGACACTTGCAAGATATAGTGTGAAACGTCTAATGACCACGGGTAGGTGACGGGTGTGGAGGAAGGGGGATCTCATCATAGCGGAGGGAGAGGGAGCAAGGTGTCGCTGTGGTCTGACAGACCATTGTAGGCAGAAGCACTGTCGTGATCAATCAGCCAACTCAAGGACAATTCTGGGGTTGGGGTAACAGTAAGGGTAAGGGTAAGGGACGGTAATCTGGAGCAATCGGAAGTGGGCTCAGGCTCAGGCTCAGGCTCAGGAGGCGTGGTCGGAGCAAGCAGCTGTTGGTGTTTTGCTTCTCCGCCCCAACTGGAGTGAGGAGTGAGTACGAGTGTACTGTACTCCGTACCACCAAAGTACTGCTAGTTATCCGTACTACTATTTCAGCCTCGGCTCTCGGAAGCGGCGAACCGCTCCCGCCACTGCTGCCCATCAAGCAACCGGCCAAGGAGCTCGCCTTCATAATAACAACCATACTCCGTACACTGTACAGCACTCTCTTCCTTGCCATATTACTCCCGTGTTGAAGGTCAAGCTTGACCTTTTATATCACCGGCCCATCTACTCTTCTTTCCCCCATTCGCCACGCGCTTGCTCCCAACTCCCAACATGTCGGTCCCCTATCTGCTGAATAGTGCCGCCGGCCATATCCCGGCCTCAGAGAAGATCCCTGTCATTGCCAGACCTTTCGTCAGCGACCGGGCAAAGAAGACCTTGGATCTGGTAAACATACTCCCCTCCCTCCCTGATTCCTTATTGTGACTCGGGTATCATCCTGTCAAGCCAGAGCCGATGCCAACTGTATCTGTGTGCCCACTAGGTCGAGAAGTTCGTCGAAGAAGAGTGTATTCCCGCCGATGAGGTCTTCAGGCAACAGATCGGCGAAGGCGCCGTCACCCGCTTCGACTCACATCCCCAGATCATTGAGGATTTGAAGGCCAAGGCCAAGAAGCTGGGTCTGTGGAACATGTTCCTGCCCAAGAACCACTTCAAGGAGGGCGCCGGCTTCAGCAACCTCGAGTACGGCTTGATGGCCGAGTACCTAGGCAAGAGTATCGTCGCTAGCGAGGCAACCAACTGTGCTGCCCCTGACACGGGCAACATGGAGGTCTTTGCCAAGTACGGCACCGAGGAGCAGAAGAAGAAGTGGCTGGGTCCCCTATTGAACGGCGAGATCCGCTCGGCCTTCTTGATGACCGAGCCCCAAGTCGCCAGCAGCGATGCCACCAACATCCAGCTGGACATCAAGAAGGATGGTGACTACTATGTCTTGAATGGACAGGTATGCATGCTCCTGACCCGGTTGGCCCTGTTTACTGTCTAGGTTGTTAACCATTCCCTCGCAGAAATGGTGGGCGAGCGGTTCAGGCGACCGCCGCTGCAAGATCTACATTGTGTTGGGCAAGACGGACCCTACCAACACGAACGTGTACCGACAACAGTCTGTCATTCTCGTGCCCGCCGACACTCCGGGCATCACTATTAAGCGTATGCTGTCGGTCATCGGGTTTGATGACGCCCCCCACGGCCACGGCCACGTCCAGTTCAACAATGTCCGAGTACATAAGAGCAACCTGGTTCTCGGCGAGGGCCGAGGTTTTGAGGTGGTTCAAGGCCGTCTTGGACCCGGCCGCATCCACCATGCCATGAGATCAGTTGGAGCTGTAAGTCCCTGCCGCGTTGCCGCGTCAGAGGAGTCGAGTACTGATGAGATGTCCAGGCCGAGAAAGCGCTCGAGCTCTTCCTAGCTCGAATCAACGATCCCGCCAAAAAGCCGTTCGGCAAGCAACTCTACGAGCACGGAATCATGCTGGAGCGGGTGGCCAAGTCGCGCATCGAAATCGACTCGTCCCGTCTGGCCGTCTTGAACGCGGCCATCAAGATCGACCAGTCGAACGCCAAAGATGCCCTGAAGGAGATCGCCGAGGTCAAGATCCAGGTTCCAAACATGCTGCTGGACGTGCTCGACCGGGCCATCCAGGCGTACGGTGCGGCTGGTGTGTCTCAGGACACGCCGTTGGCAAACATGTGGGCTAGCGGTCGGACCATGAGAATTGTCGACGGCCCGGATGAGGTTCACATGCTGCAACTGGGCCGAAACGAGAACAAGCGCGGTGCGGCCTTGTTGAAGCGGATCCAGGCCCAGAAGGAGAAGACCAAAGAGCTCCTCCGGCAATATGGCTTGGAAGAGACCGACCCATTGCAGCTCAACCGTGTGAGCGGAGGCAAGTCGAAGTTGTAGAAATATTGATCGCGGGGGTTTGTCACTAGTCATGCAATTCTGAGCATCCAGGAAAGATGACACCTCGTTTCTTTGTCCCTATATGACTCCTGCTGTTCTTCTTCTCTCGTCCATCCTCTTCCATGGTTTCTGTCCCCCATTGCGTGATGGATTCGTGTATGTTGGACCCAGAGGGTGAGACCGCCCTACGCCTTCCAATCCTTCCGCCTTCCCACCCATCGAACGACATAGACGAGGCCGAGCAGGACTGGTACCTCCACAAGAGGCCCCACGGTTGCGGCCAGTGCCTGATCACTGTCGACGCCGTAGGTGGCGATGGCCACCGCGATTGCCAACTCGAAATTGTTGCTGGCCGCGGTGAAGCTCTGCGTGCAGGCGAGTTTGTATCCGAATCCCAGTCTCCTGGTCACGGCCAACGAGGACAAGAACACCACCGCAAAGTAGACAATCAGAGGCGCCGCCACTCTGACGACAGAGACGATCTGATGGACGACACGCCGGCCTTGTGAGCCGAACAAGACAACGATGGTGAAGAGGAGCCCAATCAGAGAGAGCGGTCCTATCCACTTGAGGAATCTGCGTTCATACCACTCTTTCCCGACCATGTTTCGGAGGGTGAAGCGGGTGACGACGGCTCCAGCGAGAGGGATGCCCAAGAAAACACCGACGCTTTTCGCAACCGGGCCGTACTCCACCGGGATCGAGTCCGAACCCCGGCTGATGACTTGGATGAAGAGAACTGCCAAAGGCGCGAACAAGACCATCTGCAGCAGAGAGTTGATGGCGACAAGGATGGCGCAGTACTCGCCATCGCCGCCGGCAAGACCCGTCCAGATCAGGACCATGGCAATGCATCTGGCGATTCCCACGAGGATCAGCCCTTCGCGCAGGCCCGGTTCGTCAGGCAGGAACGCCCAGGCTAGTGCAAGCTGGTCCTTGTCAGCAATCGTGCGGGTCAACAGCGAGAGCCACTGGAACGTACGTACCATGAAGAGAGGCGCGATGATCCAATTGACAACGATGCTATACCCGACTTGCACCCACAATGTCTGTTGTCGGAACGAATGGTGCAGCGTCTCGAACCTGACCTTGCAGAGGATGGGATACATCATCACCAGCAGTCCGATTGCTGCATGCAGGGTCAGCTTGCCTTCTGCTGTATGGCTTTAGAGAAAGGGAACCCATTTGGGTCACCTTCACCTACCGATGGGGATGGACACTCCTACGAACTTGCCTCGTTGCAAGGCAGGACCTGTGCCAGGCACAAAGTTGCCCAAGAGGATGCCGACGAGCATGGCAAGGAAGATCCATAGTGCGAGGAATCGATCAAGAATCCCGAGACTTTTGAAAGCGGACGAATGAATCTCTGCGGCTTGCTGTGCCTCGACATCCTGGGCAGAGGCAGCTGAAGGGACGGAAAGTCCATCTTTGCCGTCAATGGCCATTGAAGGCGTAGGGAATGCCCAAGGGTACACTCATACTCGAGATGGGTGATGAAGATTTGAGAAACATGACCATGACAATCGACCCTTTTCAAGGCCAGAGCTGTACTGGTCTCCGTTCTTCGCCATCATACTACTACTGTACGCTGTACGGTGTAGAATCTTGTAACCAATAACTTCCTCGCGGTGACACACTGGCCAGTCACCAGTTAGAGGACAGTGGTCGTAGGTAGTATGTAGGCACTATTCCTATATAGTGTTAGTATATTTAGACATCAATAGGCCTAATACACATGGCGCGCAATACCCCGGGCGTACCCCTAAGTATATTTACCTACCTGTTGTGCGTATTGATACACTTCAATGAGGTAGTCTCAACAACAGCGTCAAATATCCTCTATCCTCTCCAAGCGACGGCGTCCCCCGTTGTATATATATCAAAGGGTCTTCAGCAGCCTTAGGGTGGGTGCCAGAATTAAAGGCGGTTCATATGACGGTTATACACCAAGTGGCTAATTCACGAGTGAATTATTAGTTAGGTACTTCATCCTTTTTGGCGACCGTCGTGGTGTAACGGTTTGGGTCAACCGTGACATTTCCCCTGAGCTGGCGCGTCAAGGTACCTAGTTCCACGGAGTACCGAGTACTAGTCGCACAAGCAGATTTGCTCGCATCAAACGGGGCGGCTATAATAACAATCGCTTCCTCGTCCTAAGCTTTTTAAGCGATCTCCTGTGGAGAACGCGTCGCCCATCTTCTCAGTCACCGGGCGTTTGTTGCACCTACTCCTTGGATTTAGAGCTTGATGGTCAACGACTCAACCCCTCCATCCGGTGCCAGGTGTGAAGAAGCTCCTGCCAGGAAGCTACCCCCGGGCGGGATTGGCCATTGAAGGATTCGAGGGGTCCTAAGGGTGGGAGGAAGAAACTAATCCACAGGTGACAGGAGTGACTGATTTCTCCGAGTTTCGGTGCTGATACGAGTAATTAGTACCCACACGCTTCCCCTTTCGTCGCCATGGCCAGTTCTGGACAAGAGCAATTCCTTCGTCATGCGCCGGCCTCTTCGCTTCCCTACAATAGCTCGACGCCAGGCTGGATGGGCTGCAACGGCGAGATTCTGGTTGCTCGCGAGCGTGGCCAGCGTCACCCTCGACAGCCGATGAGATGAGATGAGATGGTCCATATAGCCACTTCTCCGGCATGTTGTTGTTGTTGTCTTCAAGGTATCGATCGCGGCCTCAAGTCACTCGTTTTCGCTTTGTGTGCTCTGTACTCTATACAGTCGTCCTTCATTTCGACCATCTGGCTTCTTATTCTCTCGTTAAGCATCTTTCTTTGTCGAGCTTTACCGATTTATCAATCGCTAACCTGAGGGACTATGCCTTTCTTTTCTCGCGCAACCCTGGTCGGTGGTTGTCTTCTCGCCTTGACCACGCGAGCATACGGCCAATGGAATGGTGAGGCACAGGCACCTGGCGTCGACTTGCGCATTCGAGCCCAGGTCTGTACTACGATCATCGTCACCAGCACTGGTGAATGGTCTTGGACTCCCGACGCACAAGCAACTGTTGAAGCGTGGGGTTCACTGCCGTCACACAACGCAAAAACCCATTCTGGGTTCCCTGGCTTCCTTGGAGAGTCATCCACAATTTCCTCGAGCGTGAAGCACTCTTCTCACGCCCCCAGCGGTCCAACTTGGTCCCACAAGATCGGGACCTCTGCACCCGCTCCAGCTGAGCAAAGCAGTCCTCCGGTTTCTTGGGAGGAATGGGAGCAGAACAGCACACCGGTTTCGTCAGAGGGATGGGAACAAAGCAGTGCCCCCGACACGTGGGCGGACTGGACGAGCTTCGGAGAGGCCAGTGCAGTCAAAACGACCACCTCACACGCCGTCAAACCCATAACCACTTCCTCTAGGGCTACAAGGACCCCCTGGGGCAACACTACCATAGCTGTCACGTCTCCTATTACGACAACCATAGTCACGATTCCCAGCACTACCACAACTACGACCACCACAACCACTACTACCACAACTACTACGACCACCACTACCACTACTACCACTACTACTGCTACACCTACTACGACAACCACTACCACTCCTACAACGACAACTACTACGACACCAACAACTACTACTCCTACTACTACGACAACTACTACTACTACCACTACTCCAACAACGACCACAACTACGACAACTACTACTATTCCTACAACCACCACTACTACGACAACGACCACAACTCCTACAACGACAACCACTACGACAACTACCACTACTCCAACAACGACCACAACTACCACAACGACTACTACGACGACCACTACGACGACCACTACCACTACCACCACAACCACAACCACAACCACAACTACAACCTCCCCCTCCGTTGTACCAACTGACTGTAATCCTGGTGGAGCCCAACCGACCTTCTACCTCCTCTCCAGCGGCAGCGGCTCGCCATATGATGACGACTATGTAGGAGTTGTCGAGATCAACGGTGTAGGAAGGCTAGACTTGGTCTCGTCCGAGGCCGAGGCCATCACCTTGACCTTCAATGACTATTGCAACCTGGTTGACACTTCCACTGGAGATGAAGCATACGTCACCACAATACCCGAGTTGACTGAAATCTTCCTGTTTGCACCGAACACTGCCAACTACTCCCCTTTGGTTTGCAGCGTTACCGCCGCCAACACGCTCGACTGTGTCCAAGGCGTGCGCGACTTTGCCACCTGCCCGGCTGACGGAAACCCTCTGTTCTACGAAGACGGCACAACAGCGGGATGTGCCGCCATTACGCTCAGCCTGGTGTATGTGTCAACTGAGTCGGTGCCCCGGTGATGGTGATGGGAAAGGCAGATGCGAAGATGGACCTCACCAGCACGAGCTATGTTTCCGTGAAACTGGCTAAAGGACATCAACTGGGATCGCGGGGAGAAGGGGTCGAGTTGCGAGAGGTATCATATTCGACACACACGAGACTACTACTATAGGTAGTATTTCCACCTCCGCCTCATCGGTGGCGTGCTGTACTAATAATACCCATTCATCCGCAACGGTTTTCCATTCCGCCTGTTCGGAGGGACAGACTTAGATCGGGTGAGTATATATATAATACCTATATGGTTGCCATTAAGAATCAAGACGGCACCCCAGATAATGATGGGTAGGATTAGGGTTAGGGTTAGGGTTATCTAAGCACCAATTCCACCGGAGACGCCTAGATACTTAACCTGAACCGAGGAACAACGGCGAAAGGAAGGTACGAGTACGGGTTGAGGGGCCCTTAGGCCTTCTCGTCCTCCGTACCTGGCCCCAGGTACCTAGCAGGTGTGGTACTCCGTACTCCGTACCTACCTTAGGTGCCTGTAGGCGCTGTACCACCGAGTGGGCCACCGTGGCACCGGGCGGAAGATTCAGGGCGAATGATAATTATGGCTGGTCGGCACCATCACCCTTAGGTGACCTTAGGTGAGCCCTAGGGCCCTAGGTGACCCTGAACACTGAAGGGATGCCGTCATCCATCATTCTGGCTGATCGCCTGACCAGTGCTCAATAGTAGGACGTAGTACGGATAGTGGGTGCAGACTGCGCTCGCTGCCTCTTCTTCAACATCTCTTCCAGCACTCCAATGTGCTTCTTTTGTTCTTGGCTATCGTCTTTGTCGCTCTGAGGCTGTGGTGCTGTCCATCTTATCCTTTTCCTCATCGTTGTGCTGAACCTCTGTTCCTCCCATCATGCGGCTGGTATCCGCGTGGGCCGTCCTGCTGGCTACCGTCGTGGCCCTGGTACAATGTTCCAGACTGACCCCTCCCGTCCTTCCTCTGATTGTGCGCAATCCCTATCTGAGCACGTGGCTGGCCAATGCGAGAGATGCACCTTGGGAGAAATGGCCCATGTTTTGGACTGGCCAGGAGGTTGGATTGTCTGTCCTGGCTAGCATCCCAGGTCAGAGGACGGTATACCCGTTGCTCGGAAGACCCCAAGACTCGTTGCAGAAAGAGGATGACAGGTACGGACGGGCGCACTCCTGAACAGAATCCTAGAGCTAATGTTGGCCCGGCAGTTACATCCTCTCTTCTCCTATATATCACGGTGCCCAGTACGATGCGTCCACCACCAACTTGTCCTACTCCATTCCTCTCCCTGCTTCATATTCTTCCTCCAGCAAACTGGACATCACGCTTTCGTTTCTTTCCCCTATAACCCCCACTTCCACGGTTAGACAGTCGGTCCCTGCCAGTTATATCACCGTCTACGTCCATGGAAATGTACCGGTGGACATATACCTGGATCTCAATGGCCTGTGGGTCAGCGGGGACCGAGGGAGTAAGATCGTCTGGGCCCTCACTCATACCGCTCTGGATGGCGTGGACCCCGGGTTCATCAGCTGGGAAGTTAAGCGGGAAGTCGAACAGCTCTTCACCGAGTATCAAGATCGCTCGGAATGGGGCACGCTGCACTTTTCAGCCCCGTCCAATGTGCGGCATGAGGCGGGCACATCGGCACTATTAAGACAGCGCTTTGCCCGGACCGGCACTCTTCAAGACTCCGTGGACAATCGGTTTCGCTCTATTATGGACGAAGAGCCAGTCTTTGCCTTCTCCAAGTCGTTTGCCTTGAATGCCAGCGCCAGCGCCCACTCGGTGCGTGAGGATAGCGTCACCTTCACGGTTGCCCACATCCAAGACCCTGTTGTGCAATTCGCCTCTGCCCGTGGCCTGACTCTTATGCGACCTCTTTGGGAATCCTACTTCCCGACCGTCAGCCACCTACTCACCTTCCACTATCTGGACTTCCCACAGGCAAACGCACTCGCAGCCAATTATTCCGCCCAACTTGCCATTGACGCCTACAAGTCTGGTGCCGAGGACTATGTTGACATCGTGGCACTGTCAGCTCGTCAGGTGCTTGGAGCTACGAGCTTCTCGGGCACCCCAGACGATCCAATTTTGTTCTTGAAGGAAATCTCATCCAATGGGAATTTCCAGACCATTGACGTTATCTTCCCAGCCTTCCCATTTTTCCTCTACACGAATCCGCGATGGCTTGGATATCTTCTTGAACCCTTGATCGAGCATATGCTTAGTGGGCAATATCCGAACAAGTATGCCATGCACGACCTCGGAACCCATTTCCCGAATGCTACTGGCCACTTCGACGGCCGAGACGAATACATGCCTGTAGAGGAATGTGGAAATATTCTCATCATGGGCCTAGCATTGGCCAACTCCTTGAAAACGGAGGCAAACACTTCTGTCTCGGCTGCATGGCAACCGTGGGGTGAAGCGCCATCCAAGGACCCGAAGAGCGACAGCATTGCTCCTTTGGCAGTGGGACAGCTTGATGGCGTCCGCTATATCGATGAACCCTGGGTCGGGAAAAAGAAGAGTCTGAATCGGGCCAAGAAATGGGTCAGCAGGAGTTACCGATTGTGGAAACAGTGGACAGGGTATCTGGTGGAATTCTCCTTGGAGCCTCACAATCAACTGTCGACAGATGACTTCGCCGGATGGCTGGCCTTACAGACCAACCTTGCTCTCAAAGGCATCATTGGCATCAAGGCCATGGCCGGTCTTGCCCGGCTGATCGACAACCACGAGGATGTCAAAGTCTATAATAACATCTCAGAGGTCTACATCGCAAAGTGGGAAGAACTTGGGATTTCCCGAGACAAGACGCATGCCAAACTTGCGTATGACTGGTATGGCTCATGGACGACCACATATAATCTGTATGCAGACAGTTTGCTGTGCTTCCATTTGGCCGAGGAGGACTCTACGCAAGGGACCAGCATTGGCGGACGGGACAAATCCCAGAAGCCACTGAAGGACATCGATGGCGACAAGATGGGCTTCGTGCCGAAGCACATCTACCAATTGCAGAGCGATTGGTACTACGCAGTTCGGCAAAAGTACGGACTCCCACTGGACTCTCGACATCTCTATACCAAGACGGACTGGGAATTCTTCGCCATGGCGGTTGCAGCGCCCAAGGTGCGAGCGGAGATCTTGCAATCGGTGGCGAAATGGGTCAATGAGACGGATACCGACCGTCCACTGACGGATTTGCATTCGACCGAGGGCCGTGGAGGGTTCCCCGGCCCCAATTTCTTCGCGCGACCCGTCGTTGGTGGGCATTTCGCATTTTTGGCACTGGAACAGGCATGCAATGGTCGAGCTACCGAAGGCTTGAAGTTCTTGGACGATGGTGTGGTGAAGGAGGTGGATGTCCAGCGTGCACTGGAACAGGAACGAGGAGAGGCGGATTTCTTCGCGGGGGAACTGTAGCACGAAGACGCATATCATATGAGCATGAACATGAAGTGGCATCGCGAGTTCTCGCCCTCTGCTTTATGGTCCTGTGGCTCTTCGATCTGGTTATTGGATCCCATGTCGCGACGTACTCCGCCAGTTGCTCCGTTACTGCGCTCCATATGGCATAATTACTGGCCCCATCTGGCATCGAGGAACGAGGCAGACCTAAGCCAGTTATAGTATAGCCTGCTGGCGGGCACCAATCGTGACTCGTACGGTAAGGTGCGGGTCGGCTCCAAGCAAGTTGCCGCAGGCCGTCGCGGTGTGATTGGCGTAGGGCACGAGGCTGGCGTATTGTACGGTACTCGTACTTTGCCATGTCGTGTTGTGCATCCACCGCATCCATCCGTCGACGTGACACCGCGACTTGATCTCCTACCCTCGGGCTGTTCCCTTCGTTGCGTCGCGTCTGTGGTTGAGGCTGCAGGACCATCTATCTGGTCAATCTACCTGTTGTCTGTTGTCGAGTCTACACTCCTCTGCTTTGTTTTACACATCCTTGCTTCGAGCTTGATCGTTTGGTCTTCGAGCACGCACTTGTTCGCATTTGCACCGCGAGCGGACGAGTTTCGCTCACCCTCAACCCTATTCCCTGGCACGACTGCCCTCATAGGAAGGCATACTCTCAGCCGAAAACCACACCCACACTCTCTTGCCCCAAAATGAATCCAACAACCTCTCCTGCACGACGCGTCCTCGGCGAGAAAGATGCCAACGCGCTTCTACACACGCAGTCGGCGCGGAAGGCCAACCGTGGCTTGGAGAATGCCAGTCCGGTCGCTCAGCGGCCGTCTTTGAAACGGCCCGTTTCGCTCTCGCCCATCAGTCGACATGCTGGGCAGAAGAGAAAGATTGAGGAAGCATATGAGCAGGAAATGCCGGGGTTGGACTCTCCGTCTCGAGACGCGAGCATGGCCCATCCCATGTCCCAAATGACGGAGATGCTGAGCGACAGCCCTTCCGAGCATGAAGGCCCTTACAAGACCTCGGTGGATCAATACAAGTCCACGCCCAACACCGTCTTCTCTTCGTTCCGGCCGTCCCAGGACGAACCGTGCCCAGTCGAGGCCCAGTTCGAGATCCATGAAGAACCCAGCCAGCAGACGTTGGACACAATGGTACAGAGTCCACACGACTGGTGTTTGCATGAAACCCACCCCCGAGAATTAAGGCTAACTGCTTCCTTTCCTTCAGCATGCCATCACCCTTCCTCAGAATACCTCGCAGCTCATGCCGTCGCTCCGACCGAACCTCTTCAAGGAAGGGTCGCAAGTCAGCCTCAGCATGTCGAGTCTGATCGATTTCGAGAACAATCGGTCGTCCGAGGGCGACGACGACGACGGCATGCAGATGCTCGAAGAACACGACGTGGTTCCCGACCAAAGACCAAAGACGCAGGAGGAAAGCAGGAAAGAAATGCTCCTAGAGGTAGGTGATTGATTGGGCCGACCCAGCCATTAGCCAGTACTGTCGTCTTTGCCCGACCCATCCATTAGCCATTACTATCGTCTTTACCCAACCCAGCCATTAGCCAGTACTGTGGCCTTAAGTTCTGTCGCCTTGAGTTCTGTCGCCTTGAGTTCTGTCGCCTTGAGTTCTGTCGCCTTGAGTTCTGTCGCCTTGAGTTCTGTCGCCTTGAGTTCTACAGCGCTGACAGCGATCCTTCGTGTTTCTAGAAAGCAGAGACTCTGCGCACTCGGCTCCAACTAGCCATCTTCAAGATCCAGACGAACCAAGTCTCGCGGCCCTTTGCACGGCTTCAAATCCCCGAAGCGAAAGCGAGGTCATCATCCCCAGACCTGGCCGCTCTATCATCCTCTTCGCCCGGCTCATCTTCCACCGTCAGAGCATACCCGGGTCCGGGTCGAAGCCCTGCTGTGACGCAGCAGCAGCAGCAGCAGCAGGACCAAGAGGCTAGAGTTGCCTCGGCACGAGCCCGCGCGACCATGGGCCCCAACCCCAAAGTGAGGAGTCTGTCGAGCCTCCCGATGCCCAGTATCGCCCCTACAGCCTTCTCGGCCCGATGGAACAATGAGCTTGAGCTCGAGGCAGTCGAGCAAACTACCCAGTTCCAGCGGCAGTTCCAGTTCCAGCGACAGCGACAATCTGCATCTGCTCACTTCCCCAGCAGTCCACCGCTACCGTCGGCGGACTTGCCATCCACTGCTCGCCACCCAGACCGGAGGGCTGATCAGCCCAAAACTCCAATGCGGTCGTCAAGTTCGACATCAGCATCTGCATCTGCATCAGCATCTGCATCCCGACACGCCGACAACTACAGAGCCAACGCTAACTCTTCACAGCGCAGAAGCCACCATCGCCCTGGTGGGCTCACTAGTAGTGTGGTCAAGGGTGAAGCTGCGAGTAGTCTGCTCGAGCTTGTGCGGGGTGGTGCTGGTGCTGGTGCTGGCGCCGCAAGGTCTGGGGGCACGGGTATGTGCGGACTATAACTATAACTATAACTAAAGGGCTTAAATTTGGTCGGCCTCGGGTCAAAGAACACGATCTGTCTACAAGTCATGGATGGGACAGCCAAAAAGAGGAGGGCCGATCCGTCTTCAAGCCATGGATGTGTCTGCCTCGGGTCGAAGAGCACGATGGTCGAAGAGCACGATCCGTCTACAAGCCATGGATGAGTCTGGACCAAGATTCAAAATATGCGGCAAAGGTGTCCGCGTTGAGTGTCGCACTCATCAGCAGTTCTGGACAAGACGGAACGGGGAGGGATTCACGACTACTGCCGAACATGGATGCCAGACAGCCGAAGAAGGAGGGACGATCATGATCACCTAGGGCCTAGGGACTTGCTTCACTTGTACGCAGCACATGAAAAAATCAATCATCAACCATCTACAACTCAGAAAGCGAACCGTACGCTAAGATATGAGATATGAGATATGGCTTCGTCCTATCCACCTCATGCCGGATCAGGCTGTGGCTGCGGATTAGGATTAGGATGAGGATTAGGATTAGGATGAGGATTAGGATTGTCTGTGAACCTAGACTTGTGAATTGTGAAGTTGGAAGCTTGGAGTTTGAACCAACGCTCTTGCGCGGCCATCACATAGACATAGAGGGGAAACGAGGGGAAACTCGAATTCAAATCGAATTCTTCAATGATTTATGGAAACTCGAATTCGTCAATGATTTATGAGTGGTTCGTTTGACTTCAGCCGCCAGTGTCTGCCCTGTCAGCCACGCTGGATTGCGGCTTCGGCTGACAATCCCTCACCCTCACCCTCAATCGATTGAATCCTCCAAAAATCGCCCACCCCGGAGTTTGACATGTACATGAAGCCAGTTCAGACTGTCCACGCTCAACCCCGACGGTCAATTGTAATTGTGCTCAAGCCCCCTTTCCCCCTTTCCCCCGGTTTCCTTTCCTTTCATGCTGTCGTATCACAGGGCTGACCTTGAACTCATGCCTCCGCCTCGAAATGTAATGCGATGCAATGCGTCGCACGGCCACGCCCCGTTGCTGTTGAACAGATCTCATCGTGGCCTTGTCGACACTCTGCTTTTGCAACCCACCAGCCCTAAGCACATCTAAAAGGTTTCTGGCTCCTCGGCACCATTGACATCCACATCGGGGATCTCGAACCCTTCCTCTGTGCTATAGAGTATGGTTTGGATGTTTTTCACCAGCCCATTTTCGTCTTCCTCAATAGACGGGTCTTGCTCGACTGCTGTCTGGAGTAATAATTCGATGTCTCGAAGTTTGCTGAAGTAGAAGTCTCTTTCCTTCTCCAGGCCAGCAATCGCCTCTTTCAACTGCTCGTTCTCTTGTTTCAGGGCTGTCGTACTGGCGGTGGATCCTCCGAGAGCGCGTGGTGCTGGTCTGTTGACCGGAGTAGTGCCGACCTTTCTCGTGGTACTCGTTCCCGTGCTGGTTCTTGCAGCGGCTGGAACTGCTCCCGCTGCTGGCGCCCCAGCTCCCTTCCTCCGCGCCACCGCGTCGTAATCGTGACCCGGGAAGTATTGATCCCAGAATCTCTTGGACCACTGTAAAAACTCCAGGTTGTCTTGCATCTTGCATTTGACCAGGGATTCGACGGGGACGGTTCGATCGATGCCATGTTTGGTGAAGCAGTCTGCGAGTGATCAAGGTTTAGGTTAGTGACCGCGCGCCCGGCACACAACTTCATATAAGTTGGGGCGGGGTGTCGCATAGCTGAGACATACTTTGTAGAATCTTGAAATTTTGTATGTAGGCATATTCTGTGTTGACATTGAACTTGACCCGGCTCATTGGGATGTCAACTACAAACCACCTCGCACATCAGTAACAAGCCACTGCTCGAGTGGTTTCAATGGCGTAAAGGTCGGGATATAAGGGTGAATTCGGGACCAGAAACGTACGGAAGATGGAATCGAAGAGTTGGCATAGGGCAGCACTGTGAGAGTTGACTGTTAGCCAGCATCAGTTCCGGGCGCCTTTTGGTCACCTACCCCGTGCCGCATTGTTCGACTTTGGTGATGTTGAGCTGAAGCAGGCCATTGAGCCAGGCCAGCAATTCCTGCCTGCATCCGATTAGCACCGATCTGCGAAGTCATTCTTTCCATCTGCGAGGAAAGATCTTGAGGTTGTATACCGTGATTCGCCCATGATCGTGAATTGCAGTTGAGCGAAACGACGAGGCGAAAACAGGCGCGGGCAGTAAATAATCAGCGGCAGGGAACTTGAAACCCAAGGGTGCAGTTGAAAAGGAGCAGGGAAATGAGCCGGAGCTGCGACGAAGCGAAAACAAGTTGGACGCGGTTGGAAGTTCTAGGTAGTACTCGTAGTGAAGACCAGGTTGCAAGCGTGAGTGTACTTACTGTACTGTATATACGAAGCCATGTTTTGCTGCGTTGCTGGCGCGATTGTTGGCGGGGACTCTGAGTCTTGGAGCCTTTTTAGCCCGATTGTTTACAACAAGCCCGCCATCAGGAGCATACAGAACAACCACCTGGCTACATTCTTCTACAGCTCCTATCTGGTGCGCATACAGAGTATACATGTTGTATGGGATGACCCTGTTGTATTGTTTTTGTTATTACATTGCAGGTTGCCGTCATGTCTAAGACTCTTCCCCCCACCCCTGACTCGATCATTTATTTCGTCGCCTCGCTGGCATCACTCGCCGGTTTTGCTTTCCCATCGTCTCCCTTCTTCACTGAGCCACCTGCTTTGGCGTCTGCGGGTTGACTCCTTGCTTGCTCCTCTGCACCACCTTTCGTCGAAGGATTTTGTCCTTCTACGTCGGGGTGGTCCGGTGCAACACCAGCAGGATTGACCTCGTTGCCATACTCATCCACCATCCTCGTGCGTGTTTCGTATTTTGTCTGGAAGGACGCCTTACCCTCGGCCACCAACGCGGCGACTTGCGCTGCGTTCAACAAGTTGCCATCTTGATCACGATACTCTACATGCTCTTGTTTCGCGATCACACTGCCTTCACCCACCTGAGCGGTGACGGCAGAGGGAACTTCTTTCCTGTCGGATGCCACTTGGGCTGACGGTACGGTGGGAGTAGCGTCCCCGAATGCAGGAAGAGATGTTGAGTATGCTGCATACTATTGACAGTCAGTAACGGCGGTCGCCCAGATGATTTCCGCAACTTACATCTGTGTGGAAAGTATTGCAATCAAAGTCCCACGTGTCAAACAGCTTGACTTTCCTGCATTGATCTTGTGTCCAAGGATTGCCGTAGGCCAACGGAGCGAACAGGGTGAAGACCACAATTGCGAATGCGACGAAGAGCACAGCAATGGTGCGGCCGATCTCGGGATACTTCTTCAACCCCAAGAAAGCTATCCGATTGGCTGCAAAATCGAAGATCTGGCACAAGGCCATGATGGCAAAGTAGAGAGCCGGGAAATAGTGGTGCAAGAACAGTTGTCGTGCCATCAGATAGAAGGGGAAATAGTGGAATGCCCAGCCCAGTACGGTTTGCCCGATCTCATAATCAAACCGTTTGAAGGTGGTATCGGAGTAATCGTTGTAGCTGCGCTGCCAACGGAGGACGGAAATGCCCTTGAAGATGACATATGTCAGAATCGCCAGCGTGGAAGGCCACCAGATGGCAGGGTTTCCAATAAGATAGATTTGACGATGGTCTTTGCCCCAGAAGTTGATACCGCGTCTGAGGATCGGCCACGAACCAGGGCGAGAGTCCCACGCGTGTGACTCAACAAGGCCAGCATTGGTCTTCCACATGACTTTCTGCAACTCCCAGAATTTGCCCAGGAAACCGGGATCCCTATAGTTGACTTTCTCCACATCGTCTCCCAGCTTCGGATGCCAATTTTGTTCAACATACCAGACACTGTTGGGTAACGTGCCACCTTTGGCACAGGTCACCTCCTGTTGCTCAAACCCCCAATCGGGCAATTTGACCTTGTGCGAGAAAAGCACACACCCAGTCATGATGTGGACAAGCTTGAATTTGGTCTGAATGGTCCTTAGCCTCGTCTTGGCTTCTTCTCCGTCAGACATGGACTTGATGATTTCTACCCGGAATAGGTCGTTGGCGTCTCCATCAAACCCCTCGTAACCGTAGGCACTGACTTCGTTTTGCCATTCAGCCTCTGTAACGGGAGGTCGAACATCATGAGAATGGATACGGCGGTGTGTCATGATGTGGTAGAGTTTGATGACATCGCCATCCTTAATCCACGTCGGGTCCAGCTCATCCCACGCACGAGGCCCCGGGATCGTCACATTGTCTGCAGTAACCGGTTGGGTTTGATTCTCGATCAAGAAGATATTGTTTTCGTCCTTGTGGGGATAGAGGGTAACCTGTTGTTGCTTGCTTCCACCTGGATACATGTGCGAATGAGAGTGGATGTAGCCGCCTTGTGTGTTGTGATGTCGAATGGTTACCTCGCTGCCAAACGCCACGTCTGCAGGAGTGTCTGCCATCGCTTTGTTATTCAATGTTGCTTGGAACTCGGATGACATGAAACCATCTCCGTCTCCGGGATTGACAAGGCAAAGGAAGTGAATGCCAAACATGCCAACGTAGAAGGCAACTGGAATGACAATGAGGCAGAAGACTCGGGCGAAAAGGTGTTTGAACCACCTTCTCGGAGAGACATTGACATGGTCGCCGAGCAGAACCCAGAGTTGCAAAATCGTCAAGCTGCCCACCCATGCAATCGTGAAGAGACCGACCCATTTCACACTCACGGTTGCCCCGAGGCCGAGCCCCGTGGCTACAAGCCAGAACCACCAGCTGGCATCAAACGCCCGTTCAGGTCCCAGTTCATGCTGATTCGTGAAGCAGGTCCAAGCCAGGGCCGTGAATGCGGTGCAAGTGATCAGAGGCGAGTCGAGAAGAATCAGTCGAGACTGCGTAACCAAGCCATTTTCGAAGATCAAGAGTGCGGCCCCCAATGAAGCGGTAATTGTTTTACAGCCTGACGCCTTCAATGTCAAGAACATAGTGGGGATGGTTAGAATCCCAAGAATGGCGGGCAACAGGCGCATTGAAACATATGGAACCTTAGGCTCGAGGTAGTCCTTTCCAATGTCTTTAAAGTCAAAATCCCCCTTGAATCCTGCTGCCCAGCCTGCGAGCGTGATGAGGAGTTTCGCGAGAGGAGGATGGACATCCATGAAAAACTTGCCCTTGATGTACTTTGTCGCAAAGCCACCAAAACTACCGTTCTGTCAGTACACAATCCTGGTGTATAACCTCCTGCGGATACTCACTGGACTTCATCGAAGACCACACTGGTCGGTTGGTAGATCCTGAACAAGCGGACCACTGCAGCAACAATGGTCAACAGACCAATGACCTGGTAGTCAGAGGCCGGCAGGAGAAAAATATCGTTGTCTGACACTCCTTCCGATGCATAACTCTTCTTCTTGGGCGCAGCGGTCCTCGCAACGGCTGAGGCTCTCGGCGGAGCTGAAGAGCTCGACTTCTGTGCGGCCGCGCTCTTTCGGGGGGGAGCATACGCCATATTGAGAGGACACAGCTGGGGTACTCAGAAAGAAAGGTATGCTAGGAGGTGTAGGTAGGATAGGTCCGAATTGAAGAAGAGGCTGTGAAATGGGCTTGAGGGAAGTTCCGCCCTTATGAGAAGGAGAAACACGGTCAAAGAGAGACAAGAACGGGGAAAAGAAGAACCATTAACTAGTCAATCGACCTCACCGAGAGGATTGAAGAGGAACCCTCAAGGAAGAAAAAAGGCAAAGGGGTGGGATGCTGGATCAGGAGTAACACAGACAGTTAGGACAGTTGTTCTTGTGCCTCCGCAGCTGCGCCCGAATTGGGCTGTCAGTCAGTTAGCAGTGGTGGCACGGCTCCTGAGTCCTGACACATGCGCGTTTCCCAGCTAAAGATTTCGCGTACCGAAGCCTAAGGGCCCTAAGGCGCTCATGCACCGCCACATAGCCACCAGCCACAGTTTAGTTTGAGTTCGTCAAGCCATCGATTTTCCAGAGACGGCACTTCTCAGACTATTTTGATACCACTCCCTGTTCCCACTTCCTGCTCCAGCCAGCTGAGTTCTATTCTTCTCCGCCTACCTGGCCATCAAGCTCCGCAGATCTATCAATAGTCAGAGACGGAAGCGAAAGACTTGATCCGCGGGGCAGGGAGAAATCTTTGAGAGAACCGCACGGCAGTAGTGCACCCAGCAGCCAAACTAAATAATGGCGCAGAACGGAGCGGTCCCAGAGTTGCCAGAATCGGTCTCAAAGCCTCCTGAAGGAGTTGTCCTTCCCCCGAAGGACATACGAGCCATCATCGAAAAGACAGCAGGATACGTTGCTCGAAACGGACCTGTCTTCGAAGACCGCATCCGCGACAAGGAACAAGCAAACTCGAAATTTTCCTTTCTTGCACCCAACGATGCGTACGCGCCCTTTTATCAGTGGCGACTGTCGGAGGTGCGATCGGGACGAGGAACAGCTGTTTCAGCAGGAAGAGCAGGAGATGCCACACCAGTGCCCGAGAAGGCCAAAGGTCCAGAGCCTCCTCCAGAATTCCAATTCAGTGCCCGAATGCCGAACATCAGCGCGTTGGACCTCGAGGTGGTCAAATTGACCGCTCTACACGTCGCGCGCAAGGGGAAGAGTTGGATGACGGCTTTGTCGCAGCGGGAAGCGCGAAACTTCCAATTCGACTTCCTACGACCTCAACACTCGCTGTATAACTTCTTCCAACGCCTAGTTGACCAGTACACGCTGCTCCTGCAGACAGGACCAGAAAGCCAAAAGGCGGAGCAAGCGCGTATCCAAGTACTTCAGGCCAACATACAAGACCGGTTCCGCACCCTCAACCTTGCAAAGAAGCGCTCAGAGTACGTCAAGTGGCAAGAGACCCAGAAGCAGAAAAAAGAAGAAGCAGAAGAGGCGGAGCGGTTGGCATATGCCCAGGTTGATTGGCATGACTTCGTGGTTGTTGAGACAGTGCTTTTCACAGAAGCGGACGAACAAGCCGAACTCCCACCGCCGACGACGCTGAACGATCTTCAGAGTGCCAGTCTCGAGCAGAAAGCAATGATGAGTCTGTCTCGACCCGACATGCGTATTGAAGAAGCAATGCCCACCGACGATATGAATGGCTACGCCTATTCAGGAGGCTACAACGACCCGTATGCGCACCCTCAACCTCAACCTCAAGCACAACCACAAAACAACGGATGGGGTCACGAAGCACCTGTACCCGCCTACCCACCGTTTCCGGTACAGCCCCAACCTTCGCCTGCGCCACCTGCCGCTGTTCCCTCTCCTCGGCCTCCCCCATCAACAGCCTCTCCGGCCCCAGGCCAGCCTCCCATGCGTATCAAGTCAGACTACGTTCCGCGGGCACAACAACGTGCCACCCGCGGCGCTACGGCTTTATGTCCGAACTGCGGCCAACAAATTCCCGTTGCAGAGCTTGACGCACATCTGCGCATTGAACTGCTTGACCCACGTTGGAAGGAGCAGCAATCCAAAGCCGCTTCACGCTTCTCGACCACCAACCTCGGCGGTACCGATGTCGCAGCAAACCTCAAGCGCCTGCGCGCCAAGACTGACGGGACTGGTGCATCCGCTGACCCTGTGGCCGAAGCGGCGGCAAGGGTCTTGGGCGAGCAGGAAGACGAAGAGAGACGCAAGAGGATGCGGCTTGACGGTGCAGCTGATCCGACAAATCCCAGCCTGTATCCTGGTGCCAGTGTGCCGCAGCAGCCGCCCAATGTGCAAGAGCAGATTCGGCAAATCCATAACAAGTATAAATCTTGAAAAGGCATTCGCGATCAGAGATATTGACCACCATGGACCGTCAATGATGCACAGCAGCACGCCAGCGAGACAGCTTGCATTCAGTTCCGTTGATATAAAGGATATATCATTGAGAAACCGGCATGGGTGCACCTGTCTCCAAAAACATCGGCTGACTACGAGGCTGATATTATGGAGGGTTCGTCACGCCGGCGCCATAGCACGAAGTTCGTGCAAGGAGAAGGCTTGGGGGAATCTAACCCGTGACGGTGCCAACCTCAGATACAGGCTCAATCGCCCGTAGCCGGATTAAGTTGCTGTTGATCTGGTCGCTATCACTATTGCAGTCGAATACTTAAGGTTCCAGAAGACGCCGCTCACTTGATGCAATGTCCGTGAGTCAGTACCAGGGCTTCTGTCCCAAAGTGTTCGCCAGTGCTTTCGTGTCGAACGCTGTATGAAGCACCAAGGAGACGTTTCTGTGCTGCTCCCTTTCACTCTATCCAGATGGCAGCGAGCAAAATGCGGCCGCAGAGGTGGGGTCAACATCAGGATGGGACCATAGATTCAATAGTCTCAGGGGTGGAGGAGCTTTCTCAACCTGAGGACGATTTTGAAGAGAAAGTAGCCAGGCGGAAGTTGGCAGTTAGCATGAGACTGAAAAGAGAGTCAGGTCTAAGCAAGATGTGCTCTGGCCACAGTTCAAGGGCTTGGAGAGCCAAAGGCAGATTCACGAAAGTGGCTCTTGAATGAATCTATAATAACATCACAGTTCCACGTGCCTCGTGAGCTATAATAGAAGTTCGCTCCCGTCGTGTCATGCTCTCAACAATTATGACGATTCGAGCAGCAACCGCTTGAACATATCCGCTCACTAATAGTCCATAACCCTGATGCCATCACCTTTGGTCAGGGACCAGAGCGGAAAACCAGCAAACCTGCTTGAACGCGAGGGAGAGCGTACAGGGTATCCTCATAACAACACATATTGTCTGTACAGAAAAAAAGATGAGCTCCAAGATTCGGGAACAGAACGTGTCGGAAACAACTGTCATCTGCTAGGGCGCAGTGGATCTGGGGTCCAGCGGAGAATCCCCAGCATTTACCCATCCAACGTAGCCTTATGATGGACTGTTGCCGAAGCATCGGCATCACCATCCTTAGCTTCACCAGAGCCACGGCCGCCATATAGAGCTCGTGTTGGCAAGCGCGAGCTCGAACGACCTTCTTTGGAGGTTCGGGAGGCACCGTCTCTGGATGCAGCTGGTTCAAGCACAGCTGTGGGACTAACAACAGGTCGCGTCAAGTCTTCCTCAGGATGGTACGCGGTGGCCTCGAGGTCGTCGAAGTCTTGACCAGGATTTGCTGTCTGGTATTCAGCGCTCTTGATGAACCAGAAGAAGCCCGAAGCCACCAGTGACCCTAACAAAGGGCCAACCCAGTAAATCCAATGCTCACTAGGGAACGAGTGGTTGGCAACGCAAGGACCGAAGCTTCGAGCTGGATTCAAAGAGCCGCCCGTGTAATAGACCCCTTCGAAAGTCAGGTTGAGATACAAAGTATAAGGGTCCTCCTTACCGGCCAGCTCGGCGATGAACAAAGACAATCCAATTCCGACGGGAGCAAGGAATGTTCCCTTGTGTTTCTCGGCCTAGAATGAGAAGCTGTTAAGCAGTGACATGGCTGTGCGAATGTAGGGAAACATACAGCTAGCATGAAGATGGCGAAGACGAGCTGCGCTGTGAGGAACTGTGCTCATCTTTAGTTCTGTCCACAAAAGTCAAGTGTCGACGAACCATTTCGATAAACAGTCCCTGTGCCTTGCTCGTTCCCCCACTAAGGGAAGTAGTGACGGCGAGAGGGCCAGGAAACAGAGTCTTCACTACGCCTGCTGACGCCATGGCACCCAACATTTGAGCAATGAAGATCAAGCCCCCGCGAAGAAAGGGCACTGCACCGATCAGACACAAGCCTAGGGTAACCTGTGTTATGTCAATCGCCTCTTCCAAAAGATTGAGTTCCCCCCACTCACGGCTGGGTTGAATAGACCGCCTGAGATCCTGAAGAAGATCCAAGCATTGACGGCGAGGGAAAAGCCGAAACACAAGCTGATGTAAAGGAGCTGCGCAGGGTTCGGGCCTTGAGGCAGATTCGTGCTGGTACTACCAGTGGTGGTCTGAGGAGTATTGGCTACTTGCGTGCCTGCGAATGCGAAGAACCTGCAAAGAGACTTGTCAGCGTCAGCTGTTGGACTGGAGTTAGGATACTGACAAGAAGAGGAAGGTGCCGACAAATTCGCCAGCCATGGCGATGAAATGGTTTCGAAGGCCATCTGGCAACCTCGTAAATAAGGGACTCGGCTTTGGCTCTGGCATCTTCTCCTCCTCAAGTTCAGGTGTCGGGCCTTTTCCTTTATTTCTGCCTCTGCGGTCGAAAAGGCCTGGCAGGAAGCCAGATTTCATTTGAAGGTTTTCCATGTCCGTCCGTAACTGCCTGCCCAGAAGACAGAGTGGTTTACCCAAGAGGAAGGTAGGCTATGAGCGAGGGAAGGAGCAACTCGAATACGAGGTTCAGCGTGCTATTTGTGCCACGACGCAGAGTATGCCCAAGAGCCTTGACGGGCGTCTAGTCAGTATCCAATACTAAACAGAGCACCAACCCAGCCATGAAAGGACACCTCTGAAGGTGATATGTTTCGGTAGACGACATAGTGCTGCAAGAGGGATCCAACAAGGCGGTAGACAAGGGCTACCTAAGGTAAGCAAGGACGTGTCATGGATGGGGCCCAGCCTCCAGGAAAGACTGATGAGCCCTAAGTGGACGGCACACAGACGCCATCGAAGCCTACATTATGAGAAGACGGGGGTAGTGGTGATGGAGTTTCAACATGAACATGGGGATCGACACCATAGATGGGACGGTCATCGCCCAGAGGTCGAAAGTCGAGGTTGGCATGACGAAAGAGGCAGATGCAGACAGCCTCCACAGGCATCAATTGGGGATGGTGCCCTTGTGGTGGCCGCCTAAGTGGCAGCTCGCTGCCCCCAATCAGCGAAATCAAACTCGCCAAACCTGCACCTAGCCAGTAGCCACGGGGGCACCTTCCATGGTTCTGGACCACCCCCCCCAGCTTCGCTGTCTGGGCATCTCGTATGCATGGACGGGCTTCATCCTTAGCTTGGAGTTGCGGATGCACCTAGCGGGGCTCATCACGAACTTGTTATCCCAGTACTCCGTAAAATGTCATGAGCCAGATTGCCTTTGGACGCGCAGTCGTTCGCCATCCGAAATTGGTCCTTGCAGAGAAGCGCAAGAACTCCGTACATTATCATGCGTTGGTCATTTCGAAAGTCAGGGTGTGGTGCTACGTATGTGCAGCCCAGTAGAGAGCGGCATCAGGCAGGGAGACCGTTCAGATAGGCATGGAGATAGGTGCTGTTTAGCACAACGGTTCTTATTTTAACAGTCCGAAGCCTGCAATTACTGGGGATCGTGCCACCTAGCGTGTCAGACAGTTAGTGGGCATGTTGTATCCGTACTCCGTAGAGTCTCCGCAGGCTTTAAGGGTTCTCACGTGATCTCGCCCAGGCTGTACCGTTCAACGGCAACAAGGATGCCTTGCGGCAGGCCATGCCTTTGTGAGGCAAAACTTGGCCAGTCTACCTGGTACTTACATACAACTATCAACCTACCCATACAATTCAATCGACTCACCCTCGTTTTGCCGCCCTCCACATCGCAGACGTCGTGGATCATTTGTGCGACTTCAGTTCTGTTCAATTCCTCCAGGCCTTGCCCACTATTCAGGCGCATGGCGTTTCAGTGTTTCTCTCCTTAACCACTGGCCCGGACGTTTGCCAATTCAACCCCTCTCCACCATGCGTCCTCTCCGCTTCCTGCTGCTCCTGGTGTTTTTCATTGCCCTGCCTATAGTATTGACTTGCTGGTCAATATTCTCTGCCTCCGACGGCAGCGCCGCTGATTCCTTCCATGCCGGATACACCACCAGATCGAGTCGCCTGCGAGCCCTGTTTTCCTTCTCGACCCCCTCCTCCCTATTCCCGCCTTCCGCTGTCATCAGTCTAACGAACGACAATTCGACTTTCTTTTTGGCTAGGCCCGCTGCTTTCGGCCCTAGTCTGCCATCGAGAGGCCTCAGTGGCCAACTATGGGTTGGAAAGGGATTTGGAGATGATGCTCTGCTGAAAGAGGAGAACATTCATATTGTTGGGTGGGAGTTGGGCTGTTCCGATGTACCAGGGTGGGGCGAGGAAATCTCAAAACGAATACAACATCTCCCGTCGGTCGACAAGAGCCAGGGGAGATCCAAAGAGCCTCGAAATCTTGAAAAGCATGCACAGCAGGATGAAGCCGATCGTGATGTACTCACGTCTGTGGACGCTCTGCCGCCGGCTGATGACGGCACTGATGACTATCTACACCATCCACTGCCCGATTCGAACCCTGCCACTCCTGCTCAGCCAGGAGAGCCTGCAAATATTGACCCTTCAGACAAACCCAAGAAGGCTACACACGCTGATATTGAGTCTTTGCAAGAAAGCGCAGATATTGCAGGGAAAATCGTGATGTTAAGCCGAGGAGGCTGTGGATTTTTGGAGAAGGTCAAATGGACGCAACGTCGTGGCGGCGTTGCCCTTATTGTTGGAGATAATGAACGAGGAGGACAACTGACGATAATGTACGCCAAAGGCGACACATCAAACGTGACGATCCCTGCGGTGTTCACCTCATACACTTCGGCCCATCTGCTTTCCTCTCTCGTCCCGCCAGAATCGGGGGAGGACGAGGAAGGTGCAGTGAAGGGGTCCGACAAACCTTCGAAAGGCTCACTAAACTCGGACAAGAGTGCAAACCAAAAGCAGCAGGCCGGCAAGCCAGTTTTCACTTCAACCAAGCCAGGCACGCGAAAACCGACTATTGTGCCGGCTGGAGGGACTGGAAGCAACCCTGCTGATGAAGACAACAATTGGGTGAATAATGTGCTGTCCAAGATAGGCCTGAGCGAAAGTTCTCCTTTCTCACATGCTGAGGACAGCCGCCGACCGCCTAGCAGTGGCAACATAGACTGGGTCCTAGTGGAAGACTGGGACGATGAGATCTCTCCAAAGGCTATAAACAAAGCCAACACGGCATCCAATGTCGCTACCATGTCGACATCCGCATTGAAGGCCAAATCTACAACCTCCAAGCGAGCTGGAGGAGACGATTTTGTGATAGGTGTTCAAGATTGGCGAGATACTGACCTTGTGGCCCCCAAACCTACAACTGGCTCAAGCGAAGCTACTTCGAAGGCAAAGAATGGAAAAGAAGCTCCCGGTGATACACCTAATTCTGTAAAAACCTCGACTGACCCAGAGGCGACCTTGAAAGGCGGCAGCATCACTCCTGGAAGCGGCGAGTATGACCACGAGAAGTCCGATCCACCGAGTCGCTTCCACCGAGGAAGTGGGCAAGCAAGACAGCAATCAGATACCGCCAGCAATCGTCATGGGAACGCCCCCGCTAGGGGTTCGTGGCTTGATATTTTCAGATCGCAAGCATCTGCGAAAGAAGGTTCCCAGAGAGGAGAGTCTGAAGGCGAGAAGGAAACTAAAGATCAAAAGGAGAAGAACCTCCTCAAGCCATTGCACGAAGGAGACGAGGCATACCCAGGGTTGTGGGTGACTCTAACGCCCACCAGTGTGTCCACGAGTCCGTTCTTCGACACTCTCCTTGTGCTCGTCGTTAGCCCTCTTGTCACTTTGACGGTCGTATATGGAATGTTGCTCCTTCGCTCACGAATTCGACGAAGGAGGTGGCGAGCACCCAAATCTGTCGTTGAGCGATTACCAGTGCGTACGTATCATACGATCTCTGCGGCTTCATCCACCACTTCATCGCATGTGGCGTCGCCTGATAGCTCTTCGCCAACATCCCCGCTGCTGATGTCGACAACACAAAACGTCTCCCAGAGACCTCGACCTCGCTCCCAAACTACCAATGGCATCTTTCCCAGTTTGAGTCCGGATAGCTCGCCACAGTTTAGGAGTCCGACAGAGAAGCAAGCAACCAAGTTTACGAAGCGGAAGCGATACACAGGCCGGCAGGTTGAGTGCGTTGTCTGTCTTGAGGAATATGTCGATGGTGAAAGCCAAGTTATGTCCCTTCCCTGCGGCCACGAATTCCATGCCGAGTGTATCACACCCTGGCTCGTGAATCGTCGTCGCACATGCCCAATATGCAAAGGCGATGTGGTCAGGAGCTTAGCCCATGCGAATCTAGCACGGTTTGACGATGCGCCGATGGAAGGTGAGCAGACGAGTGACGACGTCCAAGATCGTGTTGCGCAGACCAGCAACGAAGAGCCCAGTGCCGCGATTCCTATCCCTGCTGGAGGCCGAGATGGCGAGATTCACGGAGCTGTTGACGAAGATATTGAGCGGGGTCACGATATTGATGCCCCTTTACTGGGCGAGTCTTTAGCAGGCCAGCAACAAAACCCGGCACGACAGTCTGTGTGGAGGAATCTCAGTGCAAGCGTCAGCCGTCTAAGTGGCGACACGCTCTGGAGGCAGACCCCGGTTGATCGGAATCGATGATTGCAAGCCAGATTCGACAAGAGAGCTTGGTTTCTTCGTTTGTGTTTATATTCATTCGCCTACAACGCCATCAGTACCTTTGTACTGACCATTAGCGGGGGGAGTGACTGAGTTTGTGCAAGGAGTTTAGGGGTTGAAGGGGTCATCGAAGTCGACGGATGCTAGGCATAGGCTCGTTCACTTGGACCGCCACATATGAAGTCGGGGCCACAGATTGTATTGTATTCAGTCGCTACAGTCGTAGACAGCCAACCCAGTTTCTACATCCTGTAGAGGCAAGGATATATGTAAGCGCCAGCACACTCATTCCGCATTGCATCACATCGTATGTACTCCGTACATTTATGTACCGATACACACCCATATCATCAGACGTGTACTCCACTGCCTTAATTGCTGTTGAGCACTCTCCTTTCTAGGGCTCTTCAGCCCAGCATCTCGATTCGCTGGGCGGTTCACATATTTGGGCCCCAGAGCTGCGGTTTGGCTTTCAAGCTGCGGTTGCACGAATGCGCACACAGAAGGAAGCCTCACTACCCTATTCCCGTCTCTGCTGTCTAGCCCCATACTCCAGCTCAATGTATGGCGGATTGCTTTGACAAGCTGCGCCGTCACAGGTAGGAGGATGGTAGTCAAGTCGGCATCCGGGAATTCGGGCAGGTCGTTCTTCTTGCCGGTTGTGACCACCGTCTAGGGTCTTCGATGGATCTTGGTTTTTAGGCAACGTTATTGCTTCGATGGCAGGTAGGAGCTAGGACTTTAGGCCCAAGGCCTTCAATCGTCCGGACGCTGAGAACGTGCCTTCACCATATATATTCTGAATGAACGTCCCCGGCGTGAATCGCCACTAGCTCCTCACAAAGGTCCTGCGTTAACTCACTTTGGGAAAGGGTGACCACTTTGCCGTATGGCTGGCGCGAGCAATCCACCTCAGCTCCTGGGGGCTCTTTGCTTTATTGCCCGCGGGTGGGAGCTCGGGAACGCCCTCTGGATGCTGCTCATCAACGCGATAATGTCGGCTGACAGGTGCTAGGCCGCTGAGATCTGGCTTGGAGGGCTGCAGTGAGACGGGCATCTCCCAACCCTCAGGCGCAGGGATCTCGACCTTCTGGCCGGTTTTGTCATCGATCACGAAGTGTCGAGCAGGTAGAACCTCCACGGCCTTGATCGGCTGGACGTATGTATAATAATGATCCACGTGGATGTCTCGTGTAATGTTTTCTTGGACGATCTCCTTGGTCCGATTTATCACAACTTCATGTGTCACGGCTGGATGCATGGTCTCCTCGACATCAGTGTGTTCGCTGGTCCCGGGCCTGAATCCTGGCGGGAGGAGAGTATGCATGTTCGACCGTGAGGTAGTCGGTTCAGCCGGAGGGTTGGCAGCGTCCGCTGGCATTGTATTTCTCTGGCTGGAGGTGCGTGGAGATGGAATGTGGTACAAAGGGTTCAAGGGAGAAGGGTCGTTCGGTGCTAGAGGAAGATGACGTGGTGTTCTCTGGCGGGGGGTGGCCGGGGCTTGCCCAGGACTGGTAGAACTGGTGGAAGGAGATGAAGAAAAGGACGAAGATGATGATGATGTTGTTGACCCTCCTCGCAAACCACTGTTTGGTGCAACGTCGGACACAGCCGGCTTGGGTCTTATGGAGAGGATACCGTTCGGTGCTGATGCAATTCTCCGATCGTTCTCAGGATGGAGATATCCCTGATTCGATAGCGGTCGGTCGGCAGTCTGAGGACGGGGCTTTTTGCGCAGTGAAGACGAACGGTGGGGGATAGCCTGCTCTGAGAGTTGAGGCAAGGCCGTGAGCCTCTGCTGATCGATCTGTTTTCCGTGGGTCGCAGGCGAAGCGTAGGCCATAGCAGGCGTGCTGGCCGAGGTCTTCAACGAACGTGCCGACGGCCGTTTTTGGAGGCGACTGCTCGAGCGAGAACGACTTGGACTTGGGCGGTCTCCATGATCAGTAGCAGCAGCACCTGATGGAGAAGTCGTCGGATTCCTAAAGGCCAGGCTCTGTTCCAGGTGCTCGGACTTGGGTTTAGATTTGTCCTTGTCGCCGTTGCGGCTACGGCTGTGGCTGCGGCTTCGGCGACTCTGGTGAGAGTCGTTGCGCATGACGTACTCCGTATGAAAGACCCGGCGACCCGTGTCTGGTGGCTCTGAGTCTGCACTATTCGAAGGGACCCCTTGTCATTGACCCTCTAGCGACGTTGTCCTGCCGCTGTCATGTCCATTCACAGAGTACGGAGTACGGAGCATACCCTATCGATTTAACTTCTAGAAGAGCACGAGCAGAATCGTCCCCCTGGGGGTGGCCAGCCAACAGCCAACATCACATGGCCCCTAAGCCCTAAGCCTGCGCACCACTGCACCCTTGACCTTTTTTCTCCCACCCTGCACCACAGAAACCAGGGGCGAAGACAACTTCCGCGTCAGACTTAGACCGCCTTGTTCGCAGTGTGACCGCCGAACACAGTTCCAACGGAGGCCATAATTAGTTGGCCGCGCACGTTGGGTTCTCCATATGCCCACCGTACGACTCAAGGTCTAGAAAGCGATTGGCTAGTATACGACCTTGGTGCAGACGAGCCTTCAGAGGCCAAAAACATCAGAAACTAGACCAGAGCCGTCCTCCAGAATAGTCGTTCGCACAAGCCGTTGGGAGTTAGTGGCCCTCCTAGAGGAATGGATACCCTGTCCCGTCTGACAGAAGATCTGAACAGATCGACAGGCAACTCTGAAAGGGAAATCCAGTCAGACTCGATCAGTTTGTTCAGCTGGGGCTGCCCCAGAGACTGAAGCATGAGCTCAGGAGCCCGAAACGGAACTATTTTGGACCGGGGCCCCCCCTGCCTGTGGCTTTGCTCCTCAAATACCAGCCGTGGCTTGGACCAACTTCTTCCCGCTCGCCACAATTTCCACATCACTTTACTCATTTCTTCATCACGAACGGCCCATCATGACGCAGTCAGACGGCACAGCAGCTGAGATGTTGTCCTTTCCAAGCTGATCTCGTCATTTTACGATTCACAAGCCTGGGGAGTGGATGCCTTGCGCAACCTCCAACCATGGAAAGCGAGTTGTACCAGAGAATGTTAAGCCTAGGCCGCCTGCCAGAAGTACTATTGCGGCTTTATTGCTTGACTGCCGGAGTTGCAGCAGCAGCATCACAACGTCAATGACGATCCTCGCCGGTCTGTGGTCCTCTAATGTCTGGGACACGGCAACTGCAAGGTCGACTCCTCTTCTGCATGACACAAGCTAAGGTCCAATATGAGCTCAATACTGTGCCTGCAGCGTGTATGGGGTAGAGCACAAGCCACTTCATCTAGAGCCGATGTGAAGACGGATGAGGTAGGCGCGCCCCCCGTCACCAATTGAGGCAGCTCGTGTCTGGATATCTTGTGTGAGGACCTCCTAGATCACAACGTCAGTGGTTGGTAGGTCAAGGTCGGGTATGGAGGATGATATCACAGCTCTTCTGTGACGCCTGTGACATTATCTCATACCATGGTTGACATCCATGTTACCTCATGTCGATGGCTGAAAAGCATAAATTGAGCTGTCTTCCGCTACCCTCCATTGACACTGATTCCCACACACTGTTTACTCTTGACCTTATCCTTCTAACCCAATTCTAATCCAAGTATAACCGTCGCAACAATGGAAGCCGCCAAAGCTGCCGTGTCGAAGTTCACCTCTCACAGAGGTCACCACACTACGGTAGACGAAACTGTCCAACCCGCCATCACCCGTGAGACCGTCAAGCCTGTCCGTCATGAAGAAGCTCAACAGGCTATCGACCGTGAGGTCCACCAACATCACTACCATACCACTGTTCAACCGCTTGAGCACAAAGAACAACTCCCCGAGAAGCATACACACAACCTCCTTCCAACCGAGCACCGGGAATATCGTCACGAAAATGAGGGCGAGATCAAGCAGAAAGTACAAGCCGAACTTGGGCACTTCAAGGACACCAGGAATGTCCATGAAGTCCGTGAAACACAATCAGCTGCTCCCGCCGTAACCGGGGAACATGTCCACCATCATGTCCACGAGACTGTGGTGCCAGTTGTACACAAAGAAACGATTCAACCCGAGGTTGTTCACACCACTATTCCCGTGCATGAGTAAGTTTCTTTTTGATCCATGCTACTTACTATTACTGACAAACCTACCAGGAAACATCATGCTGCCAGCCAGCATCACGGACTCTCTGCTCTGCCCATGAAAACGCTTGACGAGTTCAACCGCTCTGGTGGAGTGCTCACCGGTGGAAAGCATGACAGTCATGAAGAGTACGATGGTGCGCCTCGCCCATACAACGACAAACTACAGACCAATCTACAGAAGCTTGGTTTGAGCGAGACTGGTGCGACTACTGGTCATCATACTGGCCATCATGCTGGCGTCGAAGCAGGTCGATCTCAGCATGGTTCAGGCTTGAGAGATCAGAGAACTGGACTTGGTGGTGTTGAAGGTCGCCGCGAAGAATATGGTACTGGTGTTGGGGATCGCACTGGTCATCATGGCGGTCTCGACGATGGTCGCACTCAACAAGGATCAGGCTTGAGAAACCAAGGAACTGGACTTGGTGGTGTTGAAGGTCGCCGCGAAGAATATGGTGCAGGTGTTGGTGATCGCACTGGTACAGGTGTTGGTGATCGCACTGGCAACCAGTACAATACTGAAACTTCTACTGGCACCAAGACTAAGCCGAGCTTGATGGATCGTTTGAACCCACGCAAAGATGCGGACGGTGATGGCAAAGCTGGTCTTGGTGACTAAATGGATGGAACTGTCAAACGTCCATCATGTCCGGAGCCTTTCAAAGCTTGTCGAAGGTTAATGGATAGGTTGGAAAATATACAGGCGAATACGAAATAATAATCCTACTGTTCGGGCGATTATGGTCAATTGGACTCTGAAGACAAATTCCTGCCCCCTCTAAACTCCAATAGAATGTTGGACATGGTATTTGTTGCTAAATCCTACTGATGCATGCTCTGGTACGCAGGAATATGTTGAGTATGATTCAACCAGACATAACCCTATCCACATCGCTCAAGTGGATTAGTCAACTTCGAGCATGAGATGGCATTCTGAAGTACCAACCCCAACATGTAGATGGACACACCAAGGTCTGTCGGAAACCGTCGGCTATGATCGGCAACGATGTCGAAGGAACAGCGTGCTTGACACGACACATACTCCGTATAACAGTACTCAGCGCCCGAGTCTCTCGTCTCAGGAGCCTTAGCCGCATCGTCTCATCGGACAGTGACTAATGGATGGTAGTCGGTACGTGTGTAGGTGTAGGTGAGAATGTCATCCGAAGGGCTGAGTGTGGGTTATCCCGACTATTTCCTGCAAAGGGCCAATGGGAGCTCGATGTCGAGATATGAGTAAACATACTCGTAGACTGGATCGAGATAGATATAGTGTCCTCACCATCCACTACTTTGCCGGCCAACTTTGCCATCCCGACCAGAAAGAAATTCGTCACATCCCCTGCGACTGTATATCGGTCCGTCCCTCAGCTATCTCCCCCCTCATTACTTCACTCTCGAGATAAAATCCTGAACATAAAAGGGAAGAGGAGAGCGTCCCGTCACAGCTCACTCGTACCACCATGTCTGACGAGATCATTCTGTACGACCTGCCCTCCCGCCAAGGGAAAGCCTGGAGTCTGAACACGTGGAAGAGTGAGTCTTGTTCCAGACCTCTTCAAAGTGAACAATTCGATCGTCTGACAAGTGGCCGTCTTCATGCAGCACGATTGGCTCTTAACTTCAAAGGCCTCCCGTATAAGACCGAGTTCGTCGAGTATCCGGACCTTGGACCGTTGTTGGAGAAAGCGTGAGTTGCAGTCCCAACGGTAGCCGAATACATTGTCCTCATTGCCATGGGTTTGTGGTCGTGCTCATACTCGCCTGGTCTCGATTCATGACCCCTGGTTCTGTGTACCTGATGCGTCGTGTCTCAGTCTATCTATGTCCCGTTGCCTGGAATTCTTGCAAGAAGATTCTCGCACTGACTGACGATATGTGCGCTCGACTAGTGGCGTCCCGCCGAATGCAACGGGGATCAAATATACCTTGCCAACCATCCGGCTACCGGACGGCCGCTACGTGATGGAGTCACGCAAGATCGCAGACGTCCTGGACGCAGAGTACCCAGAGCCCTCACTGCGGCTAGACTCGCCGTATCAGGCTCGCATCGAGGCGCTCATTACGGCCCTGCAGCCGAAGATACGACCCATCTTCGCCCCGCTCATCCCCAAGTCCTACCTCAACCCGGTGTCACAGAAGTACTTTGTGGCCACGCGGGAGGCTGACATTGGTATGCCTTTGGACAAGTTCCACGAGGGTGCCGACAATGCTTTCAATGACACCAAACCTCTGATCAAGCAGTTCGGTGATCTGCTCGACGAGCATCCTGGTGGCCCGTTCTTCCTAGGCAGCGAAGTCAGCTACGCTGACTTCGTAGTGGTTGGCTTGGTTAGGATGCTGGAGGGCATAGGCTGGGCGGAGAAGTTCTTTGCCTTGGATGGCGGACAGCAGATTAAGAGGCAATATCATGCCGCTGCCAAGTGGTTGGAGAGGGATAGTTATTAAACCTAGCCTATTCCGTAGTAGACGAATGTCCAGTTGATGTTGGTAAGCGCCAGACGAGTTGTTGAGCCCATCAGGTTGAGATGCTCTCCGCACCGATACCATGGTGAAGTTTAAGTTCTTCTGTGGCCTCTCTTTGACTCTGAGAAAGCCCGATCACGAAGGGTCGAAACCCCTCCATGGCGAGGGGTGGCAGGGCCGAATGGTGCACGCCGGAATGCTCAGTCTGGTTGCTCTGGGTAGCCGTTGTAGACCGCCTGCCCTAAGCCTGGTGATTTGTAGGCCTTGAACAATTCTCATCACAGGCTAGTCTCGAGACATCGCCGCGTGACAACTGGGAAAATGTCGTGATCTGAGGCCATGGCACTGTTCACCACAGTAAGTACGTAGGCACTCAACAATCGTGCTCACGCCATCCACATCACGGTTAGGTGACACGCCACGATACAGACAGAGTTATCCGGAGTAAAACGCGAGTCCTCGGTTGACAACGTGGGTAATGAATGTTACGTATTTAGATACGTTATTGGGAGCGACGCGGAAAAGGGGCCAGTTGCCATCCATCAAGAAATGCCTCGAAGTAGCCAGGGGTGAGCCCAAAGCTACAGCGAAGCATATGGCTGCTGTGCCGCCACTCTCCGGACAGCCGTTCAACAGTGCGGCGCAGCTTCCTGTTTCGGCGATTAGGGCAACGAAAATCTTGGCGCTCAAATACACCTTGGCCGTCAACCGCAACCGATGAAAGTTCAGTGTGTCGACTGAAGGAACAATCCAGCACCACATCTGCAAATCCGAGACAACAGGCTGTTGGAGAAGAATTCCCAGTCCTTCCAGTCGCAATCATGTCTCAACCGGCCCTGAACAAGATCGCCCACAACAGCCCCTCGAGGCAAAACCCGTCCGAGCTGGAAACCAGCATCGCAACTGCCCTCTATGAACTCGAGACCAACATCCCAGACCTGAAGTCGGCCTTGAGACCGCTTCAATTTGTCTCTGCTCGCGAGGTATGACCAATTTTGCTGCTCAGACAATTCCTACCGAGCGAGGAGCAATACGCCAATGGCATGAAATTAAAGAATTGGATTAACTAACTTGGGTTCGAACTATACAGCTCGAAGTCGGCCACGGCAAACGCGCCATCGTGGTCTTTGTCCCGGTTCCTCTCCTGGCCGGATTCCACAAGGTCCAGCAACGTCTGATCCGTGAGCTCGAAAAGAAGTTCTCTGACCGCCATGTCATCTTTATCGCTTCGCGCCGCATCCTCCCCCGCCCCAAGCGCTCCAACCGATCTCGCTCTTCGCAGACCCAGAAGCGTCCTCGCAGCAGAACCCTGACCGCCGTTCACAACGCCATCCTCGAAGATGTCGTCTACCCCGTCGAGATTGTGGGAAAGAGACTCCGAACCAAGGAGGACGGAAGCAAGGTCCTGAAGGTCGTTTTGGACGAGAAGGAGCGCGGTGGTGTGGACTACAGACTCGACACCTACTCCGAGGTCTACCGGAAATTGACCGGTCGTGTTTGTGGCTTCGAATTCCCTGTCAGCAGCGCTGTGGACTATTAGATGCTGGCAAAAGGGGCATGGAACGGTGAAGGCACGTCGATAGGTGGTGGTTAGAGCTGGCAAAAACGAAATGGAATGACCAATCCAGGATCAGGTGCATGCTGGCAGCGGTGTGGTTTATCACTTTGCATGAAAATGGTTCAGAATTGTGACATGCAATGATAGCATTGTGCCTAGGTGGAACCAACGCGCAAATACTTGATCAATTCAATCAAAACTAGTCCAAAAACTCAGGATCGGCAAGAAGGCGTAAGGCGTAAGGCTTTCGGCTTTCATGTATCTCTCCCGACATCAGCTTGAGACTCTTCCTCGTGTTTATTGGCTAGTGTACAGGTGCTACTACTACTGCTACAGACCCAAGTCGCCTCCGCCAAGTATATCTTTCATGTTGATTTTCCCGCTGCCTCTTTCTAGGGGTTTTGGCTGGCCTGGAGCGGCTTTCCATCCAATCATGTAGATGACTCGAAAAGTCGCGGGTATTCTATCCTTCTCGTCCTCCCGACAGTGCAGTTCTCTGTATATGGCTTCATTCGCGAGCAGTACATCTCGGCTGAGGGGCCCGCCGCTGGACTTGAGGATTGCATTTCCCTCGCCCATGGCTTGGATGTCGGTCAAGAGTGCAAATGTGTCGGGGTATTCCACCACAATGTCGTCCACGTCGACGGTGAGCAATTTGAAACCCGCCCGGCCAAGGAGGTTCCCCACGTCGCGCACGTCGGCCAGGGGGGATATGTGTGGCGAGACGCCGCCGTGGCGTTCCAGATCGGCTAGCTGCAACGACGAGCGCAGCTCAAAGAGTGTGTCTCCACCGAACATGGCGGCGAGGAAAGGGGCGTCGGGCTTGAGGATATTGTTGATGCTTGACAGCACTGAAGGGAGATCGTTGATCCAGTGAAGGGACAGGGAGGACAATACGGCATCGAAGGTGTTGGCACCGTACGGGAGTGTCTCGAGAGAAGGCAGCACCGTCTGAGTGATTGGTACCGTGGGCGCGGGGAGCGAATCGTCCCTGTGGAGAGTCGTCGGCGAGGTTTCTACGCATGTGATGTGTTGCACACGCTCGGAGAGTGGGATCTTGGCCCTTTCCAGGCCCTCTGGCAATTCTGGAGCGATCAGAGGTGGCTTCGAGAGCGCTCGTGCAATCTGGCAGCTGTTGGCCCCGAGATCCAAGACTTTGGGGAACTGTCGATCGATGTCGAGAAGGCGGTCAACCAGCCGTCGAGCAACTTCGTCCTTGAGGTAGTCGACATTTCGACTGTGTTCAGCATTCGCGGCTGCCCGCTCTTTCTGTAGGTACTTGACGTTCTCGTTGAAGATCTGGAGGGTCGGTCTACCGGGCGCCTGGACTGCGTAGCGTCTGCGAATGTCCGGCCGCCGCCGCAGGGCTGGGGTTGGAAGCCAGGGCCGTAGCGTCGGTGGCTTCATGTTGAATAAATGACTTACTCAGACAAGTTAATGCCTGGCTTTGGAGAGACTGTCCCGGCAACTTCTGTGTTGCGTTCATGATGTCAATTTCAACACCAAGAGTTGCCAATTATTGGTGCCGCTGCTTTTGGAGATCCCCGAACCCCAGCACAGACGAAGTCACGCCGCTATAACATGTTTCTAAACATCAACTTATTCCATACTCCGTCCATCCTCGAACATCTTAAAGCCTTTTGGCAGGTTGTGCCTGTGACTTTCCGACTGGGGTTTACTTGAACTCAAAAGCTTCCCAACCCTGTCTAGACGGATGCTATTTCCAAACTCCTGATGGTGGTCAACGGAAGCTGTCATTGGTTTGCTGCTTCCCTTTTGACAGCCAGTCTTCTGCTGGAAATATGTCCTGTCCGTGCCAGTGCATTGATACGTTGTTGTGACTACTACTTGTGGGGGTGGATCTGCCTATAACCCCACGCCAGAGTTGAACGCAATGTCACTCGCGACTGTATCTCCAGTTTCTTTGACGGTGGCTGTATGTTTGTATTTGATTCGGGCACAGTGTACGATGGAGAGGTAGGTGAGAGGAACCCTATGACGCTGTCTCGAGCACACCTTGCTGCTTCCGTTCCGAAAGACCAGGCGTGGAATGTCGCCGTAAGACTGAGGCACTGCCCCTCAAGACACCGTATTAAGTCTGTCCTTAGCCGCCTCGTCTCCTCTAGGTAATAACTCGCAAGTCTTCTGGAGGAGCTAATTGAGGTTGAACAAAAAGACCTACCTAACAGGTGAGTTACACAGTGAATCGTGGCCGGATCATCTTTCCGACCAAATCCACGACCGACCACGGATGTACCTACGCCATTGCTCACAAGAAATGTCGTCACGTCAACAATCTTGAGCTCGGGGCGTCCGCCAGTCGCTGCTGCCAGGATGAGAATCTACATAATTACGGTCGGAATTTCCTGGGGTGTTCGGCTGAGGCTCATGATCTGCCGAGCCTGAAAATCAAACCAGCCTCACGCTCACGGTGACGCTGGCTTCACCTCACTCTTCTCTTACACTTGGCGTTTTTCTTCCCCAAATACTCGGTCGTGACTTGTGGACAGTCGCTCGAACGTGACCACAAAAAACCGGGAGTCAGCTATTCTACAAAGCACCACCTGTTCGGGCTCAGGCTGCAAGAAGAGCACCCACATTGGTGCACCCATCGCTAACCATGGCAACAAATGTGACTGAAGACGAGCAGTTTATGAGAACTTCAGGACAGAATGACCCAGTGTGGGTTCATAACGATCCCTATGCCAATCGCCCAGAATTTCAACAGTTGGATAAGGATTTGGAGACCGATGTCTGCATCATCGGGTCTGGGATCGCTGGCATTTCCGTCGCCGAGCAACTGATCAAGAGGAAGTTCAAGGTGGTCATGATTGAAGCCAGAGATGCTATTTCAGGTGAGCTGCGAGTTGCCCCAAGACTCATCTAATTTTGGAACACGGTACCCCTTCGTATATGCCTGGCCAGAACGGTTAACAGCTGTCAGGAGAGACAAGTCGCACATCGGGCCACTTGTCTTCAGATCTGGACGACGGCTACACGCAAATCACTTCTACTTTCGGTCGTGAGGGGGCTAGAATAGCTGCTGAATCGCACAGTTGGGCCATTGACCAGGTGGAGAAGGTTTGTGAAGAGCTTGGGATCGACTGTAGCTTTCGCAAGCTACCAGGCTATAACATCTCACAGTACCCGAAAGGGACGAAAGAACACGACCAAGAGATTAAAGAATTGAAAGAAGAGGTCGAGATTGCGCAAGAGTTGGGTCTGGATGTCCAGTTCGTCGAGAATGCAGCAATCCGCGGCTGGGACGGGAACGTCGACCAACGTGACGCCGCCATATTCGGAGGGCAGGCCACTTTCCACCCCACAAAGTACCTCAATGGTGTGCTGAACTGGCTACGGAGACGGCGCAACTTCAAATGCTACACGCGCACACGAATGGTCTCGATAGACGAACAGGGAGTCAACGTCCCTTTGACAAATGTTCATCTCGGACGGGACAAGGTTATTGTAGAAACTGCCAACGGACATAAGATCACCTGCAACCATGCGGTTGAAGCCACATGCGTACCGCTGCAGAAACTCAGCTTGATTGCCGAGATGGAATACAATCGGACATACTGCATCGCCATTCGCATCCCGAAAGGGAGCGTCGAGGATTGCCTGATCTACGACCAGGCAGAGCAGTACAAGTATGTGCGCCTGACCGAGTGCGATGACGAATGGGACTACATGGTGGTTGGAGGATGTGATCACAAAGTTGGGCAAGAAGACGAATGGGATGGGCGCTACAAGGAACTGGAAACATGGGCCCGGGAACGATTCACTCACGCTGGATCGGTGGACTATAAGTGGTCAGGCCAGATCTTCGAACCTGTCGATTACATGGCGTTCATTGGCAAGAAGACTGGATGCAAGCGCACTTACACAATCACTGGCGATTCGGGCAATGGGCTCACCCACGGGGTGCTTGCCGGAAAGCTCATTGCGGATGAGATCGAAGGCATCGAGAACCCATGGTCCAATTTGTACGATCCCAAGAACCGCAATGCAAGTCTCGTGAGCAAGGCGCCGGACATCCTGCAGCACGACCTGCAGATCAACACGCAGTACAAGAGGTTGTTGCAATCGGACATCGAAGACATCGAGGACCTGGGTTTCGACAGAGGTGGAGTCTTGAATCCCAAGACCTCAACACCCGAGGCGGTTTACAAAGACAAGAATGGCAAGGTCACTAGACTTAGCGCCCTGTGCCCGCACATGAAGGCCGTGGTGTGTTGGAATAACGACGAAAAGAGCTGGGATTGTCCTGTCCATGGCAGTCGATTCAGCAAATATGGCAGCCAGGTCATAGGGCCGGCGAAGATGGGCCTACAGCCATTAGACGACAAATAAGCAGGTCGAAAGAGACGAATGCTGCTGAGGGATGGGGAAAGGCAGCGAGCGAGAAAGGCCGTGTGCGAGCATCCACGGAGAACCTGAGTCAATCGTTTATCCCCCAGAGACAGTCGGCGGGGCAGGGCGAACATGGCCGATGAGACAGGCTGCCCTCTGCTCATCTCATTCAACTGGTCAGATTGAGCGAGACTGTCCTGTATTATGCTGGCGGGGGTGACGCTGGAAGTGAATCAGAGGACTAAGGCTGGAGGCTTTCAACGGGCTACGAGTACGGGCAAGAAAGAGGACGACAAAATATCCTATTCAAGTTATTCCTGTAACAGCTAGCGTCCTCGGTAGTGGCCTCACTAGGTCAGCGAATGGAAAGTCTGCCGAGTCATTGTCTATGTGTATCCGTACTCCGTATCTGTACACTTGCATGGGAAATAAAGACAACCCGCTCCATAGGCGCGTAGCAGGCTTGGATAGCTCGAATCGTTAGATGATGGCCTGCAACAGCTGGATTGTCCCTTGACTCGAGCGACATTCTGCAAGCCGGCAATATGGCTCTTCCATTCCCTTACATCTACATCTCCTGCCCCTGCTCAGACGCTTCGAGAAGGGCATTGACCTCGAAGAGATCATCCCGAGATGTTGATATTGACCGGGCGATGCAGGACGATGAAGACACCTTTGACCCCCGACACCCTCGGTCGGCCTTTTCCCTCTTTCCGCCCGAGCATTTGTTGTACTGCGAAGAATGCCATGAGATCAAATGTCCTCGGTGCGTGACGGAGGAGATCAACGCCACATACTGCCCGGACTGCCTGTTTGAGAGTCCTAAAGTGATGGTCAGAGGCGAATTAAACAGATGTCCTCGTAATTGCTTCCACTGCCCCATCTGCACGTCACAGATGATCACCACATCCATAGGAGACCCAAAGAGCGGGCCGTTCGTCTTGAACTGCAACTACTGCATGTGGAACACACTGGACGTCGGCATCAAGTTCGACAAGGCCATCGGAATCCGAGGGCAGGTGGACGAAATGGCGAATGGAGGCAAGCAAAGGCCCGCGACCCTGAAGTCGCCGTATTCTGGCCAAGCCGAGCCTGCACGCAAGTCTTCTCTGTCTCAAACCCCCCTATCTCCCGGCCACCAAGATGAGGCGCCCGATGCAATGGACAGATCGGTGCCGGGGGCACCATTAGACGCAACAGCCCGATTCAACGCCCTCAGAGCGTTCTACAAAGAACAAATCACCGACTCTTCCGCTACCGATGCTAGCTTCCCAACCTCGGCCCTTGACATGGCCTATTCATCACCGTCGTCTCTCCAGCGCATTATGAACATCTACACCAACCGAGACAGCTCTGCGAAACGAAGCCGGCAGAAGCTCACGATCATGCGAGAGGCCCGGACGTCCAGCGAGGGGTTTATCTTGACCACCGAATCGACCAAGGTGTCGTCGCCGAGCATCGACTACGACGAAACTACCACTGCCTCACAGAGAGCTTTTCAACACCCCTCCTTCATCGGGAACCCGGATGCGGTCAAGGTGTCCGAACTGCGACCCATGCCCACGCTGATGCGGACGAAGCGGTCCAAACGCTGCGCCACATGCAAACACATTCTCACGCGGCCCGATCTCAAGATCAGCTCGGCGCGCTACCGCATCAAACTGATCGCACTGAACTACATTCCGTTCGTGACGATCAAGCCGCTGCCCGTTCCCGGCGGGCTCCTGGCCCCGGTTCCTGACGGGGCCGACGTGGTTCTCGCGCCCGGCAAGCCCGTGCAGTTCATCATGACATTGCGCAATCCGCTGTTCGACGACGCCAGCGTCAGCCTGGGCTGTCCCAGCGTCACGCCCGGCCGGCACGGCCACAGAGTGACCATCCTGTGCCCGCAGTTCCGCATCGGCAAGAACAGCGACGCCTGGGACGACGCCCTCAACAACCCGCCCGACCGCGGCACGCTGAACCCCGCTGCCGGAGGAGAGCAGATCGCCGGCAAGCTGTATGACCAGGGCCGGAACTGGGCCAGCGTCGTGCTCGAGATCGTCCCGGCGAGCATCGTCCGCCAGCAAAGTGCCGAGTTGGACGAGGACGAGGACGTCATAGAGATACCTATCCGCGTGAGGCTCGAATGGACCGTCACCGACCTGGACGCCGGCCTGGAACGCCGCAAGAGAGACAAGGGGCTCGACGACGGCGAGGATGTCGACGACGGCAAGAGGGAGTTGAGTTACTGGATGGTCGTGGGCATTGGGAGGGTCGCTTGCTGACCGACGAGTGCGAGTGGTCGTGGCGGGTAGCACCATGATTCACGCAAAACCGATAGACCTAGCACGGAGTTTCAAGTTCTTCGGATACCCAGATGTTGAGCATGTTAGTTCAGTCCATGCCAAATCATATATGGATTTGCTCTGCAACCGCCATAAGCTTGATTCTATCGTCTCTGGCCTTTTTTCTTCGTGGTCCTTCATCAGCCGCCTATCAGTTGCCCGCACCAAGCTCCTGGCGTGGTGGCAGTATCGTGATCCAGCCATCAATCATCAAATCTCATACCGTCCGTCGATCGGACATGACTCTCACGATTCCGCCAACGCCCACCACCTCGGTCAACTTTTCATGCCAACTGAGCAGAACGCTCATGACCTGGCCGCCGCTGCCCTCGCCAAAATTCCTCCCCTGTATCTGACTGAAGCCGGTGCTGGCGCCCGTGGCTTGGGGACTCAGGCCCTTGCTCCCACTTCCGCCTGCCCCGCTAGCCATACCCTTGTATAGATACTTCATCAGTGTGTCACCCAACGCCGTTCCGCCAGGTTGTTTCAGCAGCTCCGACAATATCCTGCTGACTTCGCTGTGCCTGATGCCCTGTAGCACTTCGAGGACTGTCGCGAGGTGGACTTGCTTCGCAGCTTCGTCGCCGGCCAGCGGGGCTGTCTCGAGTGCTGACTGCAGTGCGCCCAAGCTGTCGCCGGCGCGGAGGAGTTGGCGGACTTGTTGACCGATTTGTGCTGACTCGGCCGCGTTGGAGGGGGCAGGCAGATTGGCAGGCAGTAGAGTTGTGAGGGGGAAGTTGACTTCTGAGTCGGGGTCGTAGGCATCGACGTTGAGCGTCCGCCAGTTGATATTGGCCATGATGATTGCGTCTTTGGCCGGGAATATAGGCTTCGAGTAGCGGAAGTGCTTCTGCTTCTGCTTCTGGACGGTTGCGGCGGGCGAGTGGTGGGATCCTGTGGGTAGGACAAGCCGTACTCTCGGATGTAGAACGATGCGAGGTTGTGTGTGCTGAGGTGGTGAGAGATCTGACGAGTGTTGGATGGAGCTGGCGGTGTTGTTGAGGTTGAGGGCATCAATGCACCATGCAGCCTGACCCGCGCACCTGCCACCTGCAGCCTCAGCCTCTACTCCGCTTATATAAGACCGCCAAGACTCAGCCTCGTCGCTGCAGCCTTGTGCCTCTCGCTGAGACGTGAGATGAAAACTTGACCAACATGCAAGATGCGAAGCTCCAAAGGAGCTGTCTCATCTCTATGGGCCTAGCAACCAAAATATAGATTCGTTATTATCATTGAATTGCCTATAATGCCTCTTGGAAAGACGGTGACTTCTCCCCCGGCCTAGAGAAACTTCATCCGGCTTTCAAGCTTCTCCAGCTCACACACCACGTCACGATAGTAACCTTCTCGAAGCCTCGACTGCTTCATGTCGAAACCACAGCCAAAGTCGCAGTGGATGCATTTACGAACAACTTCCGCATAGCGCGGCCCCATATGAGCTGATACTTGTCGAGCCAAGCGCTCTGCTGCCAGATATTCTGTGTTTCCCGAATAAGCGAGGTCCCGGTCTCCTTCGACCATCAACTCCACAAGGGGCTTGTGGAACGCCAGCTCCAGAAGCATGATTCCCAGGCTGAACAAAAGTCGATTGCGAACCACAATCGGGCTCGGAATGGACTCCGCTCGCGCTGGTGTCCCACGCTGTCCAACGATTTGTGCGGTGATGAAAGCTTTGAGGTCGGTGGCTTCAGCTTCTGCTACGTCTTTGGTCGAGAGAAGTACCTCCTGACTACTCCATGAGTTCTCTAGCCACGGAGTCAGATGAAACTGCAAGACGGCTTTCGCCAATTGATGTGCCAGTGTGATCTTGCGAGCCAAGGCAAACCCTGGACTAGGTCTGTCTGGATTGGCGCTTCTCAAAGCCGCCTGCAAATCTATGAACGAGGATGTGGTCGAACTTTGCATGACAGTTTGCGTCTTCGAGTCGATGTAGACCAGGTGCTTGGACTCACCGGGCACTTCGAAGAAGCCGACCGCATTACTGCTGGGCTGCGAGGCTTCAATGAACTTTCGGATCTGGTCGCAGAAATTGTTGTTATTGTAAAGATTGGTCAACGGAGGTGGGATCCTGGTTCTGCTAGCTCGTGGCTCTATATGACTTGATGGTTCCTGGAAGCGAAGGCACTTCTTCGGACGGGTTGCTTTCTTCTGTTGACGACCGGGGAGAGTTGCCTGCTCGTCAAACGCTCGCTTCAAGCTCGTTTGGGTTTGCAGCAAAGGTCCTGCTTCGACAGTCGACTGGATCCTTCCAGCTATTGTTGACTCTACAGTAAGCCAGGTTGATGCTGAAGGCCTCCTCAAGTCATTCTCGGTATCCGTCAAGCTTAGCTGACTGAAGGCAATTGTGAAGCGAATCTGTGCCGTGTCCGAGCAGATAGGCTCGAGACTTAGATGTGCCTGATGGTTGCTATGTTTTGTGCACGCATGTCCGAGTGCGCGATAGAGGTCTTCGGCTGTCTCCTTAATTCGAGCAAAGCGCTCCAGTTCTTTTCGCGTCACAGTGCTATGCACCGCCTTATTGACTTTCAGTTGTTGTGGTTCGGTCAGATCGACCAAGGTCACAAGGTCGCGGGTCTTGTCCTTCAGGGCGGTCAAAGACACTTCAATTTGCGGTTGGCGGAAGGCATATTTGATTCTCTTCTTGAACATGTCTGCGGGCTCTCCATCTGATGCCACATGCTTGTTGAGTGTGGCCCTCAGAGAGGCCAGTTCCTCGCTGATCAGGGCTATCGAATCTTCAAAGGCGCTGCACGAGTCTCCGAGACGTTCGACATAGCCTCGAGCAACTTGCTCATCCTGCCAACTCTGGTGCTGTCGGTCTGTGAGCATCTGTTTGGCATGGTCATCGTCCACACAATGGCAGAGGAGCCTCTCGTTGGCTTTCCGAAAGATTACTTCCTGAATCTTGAGAACCTTAAAGTTCGTCCTGACTCCGTAGGAGTATTCCTTGAAGGCGCGAAAGCCTTTTGCAGTATCCTCGTAGTTTTCGAGGATCGCGAGAACCACCGCAAGGACAAGGCCAGCAGCTTCCGCCATTGTACTTGCATACGGGCATGAGGATGAGACGTGAAAGAAGTTCACATTTTGCGCAGTCAGGCTGGAGGTAGAAGTGAGTGCAAGTTCTCGCCTGGTCACGCCGATGGCTGATTGAGCCTGACGGGCAGGTTTTGCGCCCAACCATGGGCTGAGGTGGCTATGCAAGCGCCGAAGACTCGTTCAATCACACAGCCTCCTCATCGAACGAAATCACCCCGCTAGCGCAACCGACCTTGCCAGCCTTTTTACAACATCCATGACATCCTTTTCCTCCGAATATCTAGAATTTCTCAGTCCGAACAACAAACAAAAGCGCGAGAATGGAAGAAAGTCTCCTTAACAGGTGGCTTGAACAGAGTTCCGAAGCAGGGCAGACCCTCGACCGGGCTGAAGACAACTTTCTTCAAAGCCTTTCCCCCGAATCAGGCTATGCTACATCGCTGTATCAGGTCTGCATGCGGCAGTTGTCGAAATTGTGTAAGGTGCAGTCTGAAAAGCTCTCCCCCAGGACACGGTGGAAGCCGCGAGTTCAGGAGCTGCAGTTAAAGTTGTACCTGTTCGGCGACAGTTTCGAACATGGCAAGCTCGAGTCATGCTTGAATGCGGATGAAGAGCTTCGTGGAAGTGTGGTTGGTCTGTTGTTGGACATCGGCCGAATCCTCACACAAGGTAAGCACTGCCAACTGATTAGATACACCTGCGTAATGTTGAGTCTGATGCAAACTGTACAGGCTACGCTATCTCCCTTCTGGCCGGCTCAAGGGACGGTTCTGGCAACTTCAATGACGAGACCACGGCCGCTTTGAAAACCCACTTGGCTGAAGCAAGAGAGTTCCTCAACATTGAGGGCAGTGATGATGACAGCACCGATTCCGAACAATCTGAAGATGAAACGGCTTCCTACCTTTCCCGGGATGAAGGTCTGCTTGAAAGAAAATATTTCCGTCCATTGTTCGAATATGTCGAACTTCTCTTGGAACTGTGCCCAACTCTCGAGCAAACCTACAAACATAGACACCAAGAGACTACTTCCTCCAAGCTACAGTCGGAGCACCAGATATCGGTCTCCATTCCCGCCTTGTCATATGTGCAGAACATCAGAGACAAGTTCCCGCTGGCGAGCAACAACCTTGTGGAGCGACTCGGCGAGTCGAATTGGCAACGGCATGAACGCTTGAGGTCCATCGATGTCGCGAAAGCGTCTGAAGAGCTTGCCAGATCAAACCTCCCTCAACATCCAAAGTCGCTATTCCAGCCTGTTTCAATTTTCAAGGACTCGGCGCTGGGCAGCTCTTTGCCTGCTATCTCTGAACACGCTCCGACGGTGGCGTCGCATTCCTCCTTTTTGAGCAGCACGGAAGGTCAGGACAAAGGACGCTTCCGGGTCCCCAAACTGCCCAAGAATACATCTTACGGCGAACCATTCTTGTGCCCATTCTGCATGAAGACCATACGCCAGATCAGGTCACGGGTCGATTGGAAGTAAGTTGGCATAGTTGCGGTTAAGTGAAACATGCTGATTCTGATCCCCTAGGATTCACGTTTTCGCCGACCTCCAAGCCTACATCTGCACGTCGACCACCTGCCCAGAGATACTAAGCACATTTCCCAGCAGGAAAGCCTGGTTCGAGCACGAAACGACCCATCATCTGTCTCAAACAACTCTTCAATGCCACTTGTGCTCAGAGACCTTTTCCGTCACTGCGACTGAGCAGTTTCTTCATCACACCCAGGAAGTGCATGGGCTCTCCACCACTCCGGCAAGTCTACGATCTGCTGTTCTCTCCAAGGCTACGGTGTCTTCTTCGAAACCGATCAATGAAATTGCATGTCCACTTTGCCTGCGAAGCGGATGGTTGAGACATCGTGCATATGCAACTCATGTTGGCAGGCATCTGGAGGAGGTTGCGCTTTGTGCTCTGCCACCTACTGCTGACGATGATGATGACGAGGAGGACAGCAATGACAAGTCCACTGATGACGAACATGCTGATGGTGGCGGTGACAGCCACGGCCACGGCCACGGCCACGATATTTCATTCGCTAACCCCTTCACAACTGTTCAGATTGACGGTTTGTGGCAATGCCATCGATGTGAAAGGCATCTTCTGATCGCTCTGTATACAAAGTGTATCAACTGCGAGCACACAAGATGCCCTCAGTGTAAGGTCACCTACATACCTAGAAAAGTTGACGTTGGCGGCTTGAATGAGATTGGCGACAAGGTGGGCCACCTGGGTCCTGTAAGGTCCAGACCCGAGGTCCTGTATTCCGCCAAACCCGACCACAATGGATACTATCGGTGCCCTCTGCACATGAGGTGCGATCACCCACCTACTCAAAAGAAGGCTGTCTATTGGTAAGTCCGAAATCCCCTCTTACGTGAACCAGGTTCTGATCCTTTCCCACAAGGAAATACCTGGACGAGCACTTGAAACCTTACCGGTGCAAATTTACAAATCGAGAGCAGTGCAAGAATATCCGGTTTTCCTCCAAGTCTCTTCTAGTCCAGCATCAAAAGGAAGTTCATGGACTTGAAAACACACCAACGCCAGCAAGACGGCTTCCAGCCGAGGCAGAGGATCCAACCTCAAAGGACGGGCTACCAATAAGTCAACATGACACAAGCCATGCCAGTGCAGGCACTCTCACTCCAGAAGGTTGCAGGTCTACATTTGATGGATTTACTGCACTGGCCGCATCTCCGTTTCCATGGGCCCCCGGGCAAGATATATTTGACTCTGGAGAACCTGAAGAAAACGCCGCAGTCATACCACCAAGGGATGGTTCCCCGTGGGAACTGTGGGATGAACATTTAGAGGATTCGAGGGATGTGCATCGGGGAGCCCGTCATCGCCAACCATGGTCAGCTGTGTCTACAACGCTGGACAGAAAAGATGTTCCCCTTCCCCGAACAGTAGCTCCCCGGGAGCTGGAGTTGGATGACCAAGACCCTTCTGACACAATCAGCACGACTGGTCTGTTTCCCTGACGGAAGATCATCCCTTCGCCTAAGGCTCCTAGCGGTGACGCTGCGCCTTTATTCTCCTAGACTCTCACAAGGAAGATGTAGCACGTCTTGCAACCAGGAGATCATATCTCATCAGCAGCAGGCGGCTACCGCCGGAAAACAACGAACCTTGATAATTATTCTTTATACTCCGTACTTTATGTGGTAAAATTCTATGTAGGTGTCTCTCTTCGAAGATGTGGCAAGTTTACACGGCCATCCGCGAGGGGACAGTTTTGAGAACAAGCAGACAGAATTCTACACAGAACATCCGACGAGGACAAGAAGAAACGCGAGAAGAACAAAGCCGCGCGCAACAAGGAGGCCGAATCTAAAAAATAGGGAAAAGGACTCAGACTGGTGTGCTCATTGATCAGGACCAGTCGAACGGGGCAAGGGCAATCAGGATTGATTAAGAGACGGTATCGGAGAGATCTGGAGTTATCACCAGCTTCAAATATGTGCGCTGCTGCGCCGTGGCAGAGCGACAGAATGGCGAGGCGCACAGATACTGAAGGCAGGAAAGTCCTTCTCAGGAGGAATGTATGTACCAATTTCAGTCTGCATTCCTCAGCCCCTGCATCCAGGATGCACAGACATTACGACAATCATCACCACGGGAGACCTTGTGTTTCTGTTTGGTTTGGTTTGGTTTGGTCACCATGCGTTTGTTGATGGCAGTGCTGACATTTCCACCATGTTCCTGTCCTCAGATCCGGCAACAAAAGCGCCAGATGGACATGATTCTGATTGTGACGATGGCATCGAGGAGCAACATTCTCTGACAACCAGACACCCCAGACCCAGAAGCCAGGAGCGTCGGCCCACCAGCGGAAGTAGTCTGACTCAGGCGTATCAAAACAATATCCCGTCGGGATGGCTAGAAGAGCAGGTTCATCCTGGTTCACCAGAAGCGGACCCCAGCCGAAGCGCGGCGGTAAAACAGGAGGTCATTCAAGACACAGCGGAAGTACCGCAGCAGCCACAGCAAGAGACCCGATCGAATGCCTTTCCGTCGCTAGGGAGAGAGACTCGGGATCCATTTGACACACAGAATCTTCCGCCACACCTCGCAACCTTGTCCGAATCTATGACGAGGTATCAACATAAATTAAATGCCATCCACAATGCACTCATGAGTCCTCGAAGGCAGCCTTCGTACAACTCGGACTTCTACCAAGCACTTCCACATGGGCTGCCATTTCTCCCGTCGCCGACTCAGGACCCATGGCGGTCTGACAGCAATCATGGAGTTCCGTTCGAGGACCACAATACTGCAACTGCAGGAGAAGCGATGAGGACGGGAGCTTATGTCGACAGAGAAGATGATCAGCGATTCGAGTCAAAGCATCCTCTTGAAGACCTTCAGGGCTATTCGACCAACGATCCCGGGGCACAGGATAGCTTTCGGTTGCCGAGCCCTCTGGAGCACTCGCCGCCGGCCATCAAAACCGATCGGGCAGGATCTGCAGAGACAGAGAAAGCAATCGGCGAGCATTCACCGGATTACACCCAACATGAGAACACACCCAACCTTTTGGTAGGAGCAGGAGAATACCCAACCGACAACGCCTCACCGCATGAAACAGACATTTGTCAGTTTCGAGAGTGTGCCTTCCATGGTACTTTGAGGCAGGCTCAGCCTGACCTTTCCCGAGAACGGCACAGCCTTGCCCAGGAACAAGTTCGAGCAACATCAGATGTGGACGAGCAGCCGCCTATCTCTGCACAGGACCAAGTTTTGGATCGCGACCTGGTGACGGCCGCGGATGGCAACTTCACCGTCCCAAGAAACCTTAGCTGGGGCATCAACAGCGACAGTATCAGGAGATTCGAGGCCGAGGTCCTACGAAAGAGGCCCGACATGACACAGCAAGAGAGGAACGAAGCGTTACTGATGTTCCACATCCGGGAACAGGCGCGGCAGTCGGTCAACGGAGGGAGAGAACCGGGCCTAGAACCAGGGAACTCTCAGGTAACCTCGTGGCCTTCTTCCGAAATGCCAGGGGCGCAAACATCGGTTCCAACGTGCTCTTGCTCAAAGGGTGCACTGTGCACATGTTCTTCGGGCTCCTGCAGATGTGGCACGGATGGCCCTGGCCCTGCGGTTTCGCCGATCAGCCGGAAAGCAACGAGTACCAGCTCGGGACCGTCCAAGGCTGCTGTTCCAGGTTCACCACTCCGTCCTCTGTCTAACAAGACGGATGATCATCAAACAGGACAGAGATTGATCAGCCGGCCAGACACGCCTCGGCCACTTCCCGAGTCAGGCCCGTCGACGCCTTTCTCGCTCCAAGCCCTCCGGCACTCCATTCGACAGAGTGTCGAACCAGAGTTGCCGCATCCAAATTGGCAGCGTGAATCAACGCCTGGCTATGAAGATCGCTCAGCCACCCCGTCGCCATTGTCTAGACAGGGCGTGGACGTCAACGCCGACGTCGACATGCCAGACGCTCCGGATGGATTGGCACAAGTAACGTTGGGACGACAGGCTTCTCTGCCTCCATCGATGCCGCACCCGGGACGCAGTCGATCTCAGTCTCCAGATAAGCCGGCCACGCCGATACGGAACCCGAACCCGCTCCCTCCCGTGCCTCCCATCCCGGGAAGTGGAAGTCCTCTGAAGCAGCCCAAACGCGCGGATCGAAGGAAATCTGCAGCCGCAGCCGCAGTCCAGGGTGCTAAAGTCGACAAGAGATCGGTGACGGCGACGGCGACAGCAAGACTAGGCGCTTCGAAACCGAAGAGCAGAAACGTGACTCGAAAAGCCACGGCGTCTGTGGGTAGACTGGTCGAACAGGCTAAGGCCGAGAAAATGGACAAGGCTGCGGCCGCTGCGGCGGGCGATCGAGACTGTGATGCCGAGAAGACGAAGCCCACGGCGGGTAGCAAGGTCGCGGCGGCAGTTGAGAAGATCGAGCAGCAGGTCCGCGACCGCGAGCAGGAGGAAACGGGAAAGAATGTCATTCTCAAGCAGAAGGATGGGACGCCAGTCCGCAGAAGCCAGCGGGCGAACAAGGGGACGAGGATGTCGCTGGATTGAGTTTGAATCTGTCCATCCGTACAGTTGTCACCAGGGTGCTCTGTGCTCTGTGCTCTGTGCTCTGTCTGGATGTCTGGGTTTCTAGACTCTAGGGGTCGTGTCGTATCACCTATCGGTCTCTTGGTCTATTGGAGGAATGCTTACTGCTTGTTTTGCTTTGAGTCTTGCGCAGTCAGCACTCAGCCTTGTGTCATTTCTATGTTGGTAATGGTAATGGTGATGGTGATTGAAGGAAGAGTCTGGGAAGGAGGATAGCTATAGCCCATATAGATAGTCGCTTCTCACCCGAAAACTCCAAGGCTTATGTAGGAAATACGGAATACCGTACTTCTTTCTAATCATGCCTCATCCTGTAGCTCAGTTAGCCCCCTGAGACTCTGAGCCTTTGGCCCCTTATTTCCGGATATATGTAGGGTACGGATACTGTATGTGATATGTAATTCCAACTGCTTAGTCCTTATAACAGCAGGTAACGAGAGTCTATCCCATAATAGGCCAAGGTCCGACGAGGTGCTGTAGAGCGGATTCGCCATCTGGGATCAAGACGTCTTGCTATTTAGCATTGCCATTGGTTTCTCGTCTCGTCACTAGGTACAGATATCAATCATCTCATCCATTTGCGTCAGTCTACGTCTTCGACAATCGATCTCATTCAGTTCAGAGATACATACCTGACATGATTGAGTATGCGTGATCTTTCAGGCCGTTCCGTCGCTCATGCGGTCAAGAGAGAAGCAATGGCATCGCATCGGACATGATTGGTTGGATGTGTAAGTAAGTGATTATATAATGCACCTGTCTTTTTGTTTCAACCACGTCATGTCATTTGAACCTCCCACTTCACTTCAACTTCCCCAAACGGCAATTCAATGCAACATCCACGGTATCAACCACACTCGACTCGTCAGACATCTTATCTCAACCGCGCGCCATTGTCGTTTCATGGGATCATATTCCTCGTCGTTCAAAATTGACTCTTCACCTCGAAAATAGAATAGCGACCCGCAACCTCTGCAGACTCTTTCTCAATTCCAGTTGAAGCAGGGTCAAGTACATGAGTCCCCCGCCCTGACGCCTCAAGCCTACAGTACTTCTACCCTACCCTGCCCTTTCACAGGGCTGATTCATCACACGGTATTCCGTCCTCTGTCCTCGTCCTCCGTCCTCTCTAGTGTACGAGACGAGGTTTAACTTGACACAGCACAGCATCGTGCTGCCTGAGCCGAGCTGAGCTGAGAGGAGAGGAGAAGTATGGCGCCACTCCCCATGCCGGCGCCCAGTGTGCCCCCGCTCCCGCTGCAAGCATACAAAGTGCTCTCGTTCGACGTGTACGGCACGCTGATCGAATACAAGAGACACATCCTCTCGGCGTTCCAGCCGCTGCTGTCGCGGCTGCCGGCGTCGTCTCCCTATCTCGACGAGACGCCGATCTCGGTTTCCGGCGGAGGTTCCGGCGCGGCTACCAGTGCCAGTGTCGGCTCCGTCGAGTTCCTCAAGCTGTTCCAGCGGCACGAAGACGCCATCAAGTTGGAGCAGCGGGATCCGGCGCGGCGGTTGCGGTTCGACGGCATCCTGCGCGAGATCTGGCGCCGCGTCGCGCGCGACCTGGCCGTCGACACCTCGGAGGAAGAGGCCCGGCGGTTCGGCAGCGACGTCGTCATCGCCAGTTGGCCCGCGTTTCCGGGCACCGTGGACGCGCTGAGACGGCTGGGTCGGCGGTATAGGCTTGTGGCGCTGTCTAATGTCGACAGTTACGCTTGGTCCATCACCACTAAGAGTAAGAGTAAGAGTACCAGTGCCAGTGCCAGTGCCAGTGCCGGTGCCAATACTAGCACGGCTAGCCAGCCTGACGCTGACGCCGACGCCGACGCCGACGCCGGTGCCCTCGCCACAGTGGATTGGTGGAAGGTATTTACGGCCGACAACTTCGGCGACGATGTCGAGAACGCCGACGACGTCAAGTTAGAAACACTGGTCAAATACTGCGCCGACCACGGGGTCGCGAAACACGAAATCCTCCACGTCGCCCAGAGTCTCGGCCACGACCACGCGCCCGCGAAACGCCAACGTCTGGCTTCGGTCTTTGTTGTCGGCGACGGGCCCTTCTGGGGCAAGGAGGCCGAGAGTAGATTGGCCCTCGAGCGGGACTTGGTCGGCTATGCCTGGCGCTTTGGCAATCTCGTCGAGTTCGCCGACTTTGTGGATAACATCAACTCGTCCCCGGCACATGCTGCCGGTGGCTCGGACGATGCATGAGGTTGAGCATGAGGATGAGGACGAGCATGAGCATGAGCATGAGCATGAGCATGAGCATGACGATGAGCATGAGCATGACGATGAGCATGAGCATGACGATGAGCATGACGATGAGCATGAGCACCAGCATGCTGAAACTAGACTGGACTCGATATGGACATCTTATCCTATGTTATGGATATGTTATGGATATGTTATGGATATGTTATGGATATGTTATGATGTGATATGTGACATGTGATATGATATGATCCTGTAGCGTGTGTTAATTCAATGCACGATCAGACCTGTGTACTTATTCTAGTGTAGCATATTCGAGCGCGTCACTGGTGGAATTCGACATCAGCCGAGCCTGTAGAAGCAATGCCACGGGAACAGAAGAAAGTCTCTCGGAAGGATGAAGGCGCCGCAACCACGCCCGGCATGAACATAAACTATCTTCGCTACCCATATCGACCACATACCACATAATGCTCCACGAAAACACAAAAGGTCATTTCGCCGCTTTCTTTGGACTTCAGCCAATGCCCGGATCATTGTTCGCCGTTTCATGTATCCCGCTCTGGCCAGATTCTATGATCCTCTGTCTTTTTGCGTCGACCCCATCGGTGGTGACTGCCGTCACGTTATGCTGGACATTGCTCACATCCCCAAGGGGCGTCCTTCTCGCGGCCTGTAATGCTCGATCTCCTCCGCCAATCTCCACCGCGTTTGGCGGCGGGCCACCGGGCGATTCTGGTCCACGCCTCGTCGGAGGTCGATATGCAGAAGTACTTGGTCCCCTTACAGGGGCAAGGGGACTGTTGGCACCCGGCGCACCCACCCTTCTGCTCGAGTCAGACTGCGGATTGATAATACTCGGTGCTAGCGTGGTGGTGTCAGGAATCAAATCCCGCTTTAATGGGATGGACCTGCTGTGATTCACTCCGGAAGTCTTGCGTATTGACGGGCTTTCGGCGTGAGGGTTGAACTTGGGCACCGCGGCTGGAATTGCAGCAATGACGTTGTTGTTGGCGTCTATCTTGCCAGCAGCCTTGGCAGAGTAGAAGCCAGCAATACGAGGGGGGTTGACCGCCGCAGAAGAGCCTTGCCCGGTCGACTGATTGGCAGAATGTTGCGAAGATAGGGTGGGAGAGAATGATCGAGCAACATCCTCCACATTGGGCCGTGAATCCGGTCCCGTGGATGACTTATTCGGCGGTCCTGTTGTCCCCGGAGCGCGTTGCCCAGGTAGTGGTTGTGGAACGATGTTGGAGGGACCAGTAGCCTGAGCTGTTCTTGGTGGCAGGGTTCGCGACTGCGCCTCATCCACACCAGGTGCTTTGGACGGTGTAGTCAGATCTACCTTGGATGGAGGGGGCATCCGCTCTGAAGCACCATCAGCCGGCCCACGTCTAGCACCTGCTGGCCCAGCGGGCAATGCCACCTCGTCTGGATGTCCTACGTCGATTTCGTCAAAGTCCGCAACCTCAAAATCCTCCAGGTCAAAAGTGTCGTCGAATTCAGTGGATGACTCTTGCACCGGACCGGGGAGAGTTGGCTTCACCTCCTCGTATTGCTTCTGAGGCGCAAAATCTGAATGACGGTGCAGCAGATTTGGATCCCATCTCGGCGCACCAACCTTCATCTTGGTGACTTTGGCAAGGTACCCTTTATCGTAGACGCAGTTTCCTAGCACGTTGCCGAAGTTCCTCAGCGCCCGCTTCAATGCGTCCGTGGTTCCCTCCTTTTTGGCCTTCTCGAATGCAGCAGCTTTTCCCTTGCAATTCTCAATCTGCCCATATCCAATGTCTTCATGATGAGTGCCGTCTTTCAAGGTCACCCGCACGATAACCGAGAGCCCAAGTGTGATTTTACCCGTCTGAGGGTTCTCATCCACGAAATCGATCTGGATGTTTTGGATGGAACTGCTCCAACCATTGAACCCAAAAACCTCGTTCGCAAGACTAATCGCCTTCTCGGCAGCCAGGTAATGGACCCTTGAACCACCCGGCCCTGCCCGGGCAGAGATATACTCGGGTCCTAATTGCTGATTGAGCCGACTCTGTAATGTGGCAATCTCTTGTGCTGTATATTCTGTAATGCGAGGCTTCTGCTCTTCGAAAGGGTTCGCGCTATGGCTCCCACTGGGCTTATGTTGATCTCCGACGCTGAGAAAGGGAAAGAGTCAGAACCATAGGACAGGGTGATCGATTGTGCTACTTACGCAGGCATCATGAAGGCATCGCAGGTGGATGGATGGCGGATATAGTGACGCTGATTGTGCTGTCTCTGTGAGGAGTAGTGGTGGTGGTGAGGTAGACTGCAACACTGGTGGTCAACTTCCCTGCGCGTTGTTCCCCACAGCAGACGCGTCCCATACCATTCGAGCATCGCGAGTTCACGTGACCGTCACTCCCACCCTGGCCACTGCACGTCACCACATCTAATCTACCTAACATCACGACGATGGAACGACTTACACATTGGCAAAAGACTTGGGTGGAATTCATTGGCGAAAAGGCATGATTGCTTATTTCATTTTCATCCACTATGGACTGTTTTCATGATACCCAGAGTCTACACGTTCCATCCCCACCGGCACTCACGAGCCATGGATGTTGAGGGTGCCAGTCGAGATCCATCACACCCAATCCTCCTGTGACCTTGTGTCCCCGTAGAACCTTCAGTGGCACAATCTGCGCATTACTCATCATGTCACTCGTCACTTGCCCGTGGAACACCTGGATACTGCCGTCGTCACTGCCGTCAGCGAACAGCGGGTATCGATTTGTGGCAGGATGGAACCGCACAGCTCGGATCGCTTTCTCGTGGAAACGCAACGTCTTGTACGGGCGTGGTGACAGATCTAGGTCCATCCACAACAACCTGCGATCGTAGGATCCGACAATCAAATTGTCGGAGCCTGCCGTCGATGCGCTGGTCGGATGAACATCAAAGCTGCTGATCCATCGGGCACCAGGCTGGATGATTTTGAGCAAAGACTGTTTGGACAGGTCGTATGCTCGAATGACCCGCTGATTGGCCACGAACAGGATAGGGCTGCTAGGGTGGAAGTGTGCAGCCTGAGGGCTGCCTCCGCCCTTGAGTCGCTTTCGGAAGGGCAGCTGGGTCTGATGCTTGGAGATCGTGTGTATGGCGATCGCTTGCGACGCCGGAACCGTCGTGGCCGGGCAGATGGTGACGAAATGGTTTCCGCTTGAATGGAAGGACAAGGTTTTGGCGGTATGTCCAAGGTGAATAACAATGGCAACGCCCTGTTCCCGCAAACTTGACGACGGTCGACTCCACTTGATGGAAGGGGGTTTGGATCCACTGCTTTCGGATGCAGCGTAACCCCATCCCGCGTCAAGCACTGCTTGGGCAGCATCTGCTTCTGGACTAGAGTCCGTTCCCAGACGTGGGATGCACAGATAGATGTCATCGCCTGCACACGCAGCTAGAATGGGAGTGTCCTTCCCAGGTCGCCATCGAACAGCGTTGACAGCAGACTCGACACCCAACGAGACTGACCAGACTTCTCGTTGGGGGATTAAAGTCCAGACTCGCACCGTGCCGTCGTCACCACCACTTGCCAGATATTGGCCGGAAGGATCAATGGCCAGGGTTCTCACACGACCTTGATGTCCAAGGAAGCGACCAGCCTCGTGGGTAGGGAACGGGCGTAACTCGTCAGGACTTGGAAGCTTCGGTAACAGTGATTCTGGATCGATGTTGAGCTTAGACCGGCGGACTCGAGGAGCAAGATACAGGTCCAGACATCGCTCGAACTTCTCCTTGACAAATCGTCCGTACCCCGGAACTTTTCGTAACGAAGAATAGTCAGTGGGAAGATATTCTTTTTCTCGATCCTCCTCGTCCTGTTTTTCCCACTCTTCTTTCTCCTTTTGGTCAGGCAGATATTCGGCCGGCGGGTGGTAGCTTTCCTCGAAGCCTGGAGGTGGAAGCTTAGGTGCCGGCATGTGCATGGCATGGTCTGGTCTGGGCTGCTCATCGGCCCAAATGTCATAGTTCGGGACTTCGTCCTGCTCGCCTTCTTCTTCTTCCTGGAGAGGCTTGTACGGCAGAATGCGTCCTTCCCGAATAGCCTTAACGATCTTCATGACTCGTTTTGCCTCGTGCTTGGATGGGACAAACCGTCGTTTGGGTTCTGGTGCTGAACTAAGTGGCATAGTCTCCGTCTTGCTGGTGAACCATTCCACCGTGGGCTCGTACGGGTTGTAGCCATCTGTCGCGACTTCGTTCATCTGCACCTTTTTCAACAGCTCCAACTCCTCCCGGGAGAGCTGTAGAGGCTTGCCAGTTGACGGGTCGGTCAAGCCCGTCCACCCTTTGGGAATGTCGATACTATCAAGAAGAGCATCCAGAGCCTCTCCCCTTGCAGGTCTCATGATCTTCTTCCCGTTGATATTATATCCAATATGGGGGTAGGAATCGTAGAAGGACAACGGGATATCGCCAATTGTGTTCGCCGCATTGTCCGGGACGGAGTAGTCGGAGTCATCTCCAGGGTCGATTTCGTCGTATTCATATCTGTCGTTACCGTTTGCGTCTTTGACAATTCTATAATTTGGTTTTTCATCTTCCGAGTTTTCTGGTTCTTGGTGATGGCCAGAAGCAGCACTCTCGCTTGCCCCAATGGCCACGCTGTTTGACTCTTTCTCTTCTTTGGGAATCAAGATATCTTCATCTGAATCTTCCGAGGGTAGACTGTCACTGCCAATTGACACAGCGTCGCTGTCATCTTCGGCTCCGCTGTACAAGTCCTCGCTCTCGCTTGCACTCGCAGATTCGTCGTCGGAGAGTGTACCATCCAACTGGCCGAAATCAAACTCGTCCCCGGAGACGACTGCAGCGTCCTCCTCGACGTCTTTGGTCACAGCCTTCCGCTTTTTGGATTCGGCCATGCTGGGTCGGGTTGGGACTCAGGTCTAGCTCTAAATAAAGAGTATCTTCGAAGGCGCAGGCTGGAAATTTTTTGGACTTCAAGTTTTTGGATCGGAGAAAAAGCGCCGTAGCGCCGATGCTAATGCAACCCCACCACTGAACTTATGGTTACCTAATAAGTCATAGACGCTTTAACACTCACCGATGGTTCCTCCGCATTCACAATGGTCCTTGATCAGTCCCAGGTTCATAGGGCTTGCAAGCACCTGCTTGCCCTCAGCCGATAGACATGTCATACGCAGAGACCGCAACGGCTTTCTACAATTCATACGGCCCATATCCCATAGCCAGTATCTTTGCTGCCGCTGACTGGGCCCCCAATCTTGCCGAGTCAGAAGTGCCGACGTACAGCGCAGCCTTCGACGCCGACCTTTTGGTGAAGAGGCACGCCGCTTGCGACGAATGCAGTTTGTCTCTCCCCGGTTGCTGATACACACTTTGGAAGAAACAGAGCGTCTTACATTCAGTTGGTTCTAGGGAAACGAAAGCTGAAGTGCTCCGGTGCACCAAGCGGCTGCGAACGATGCCTCAAGCAACACCTGATATGTCACTATTCTGCCCAGAAGCAGATGGGCCGACCGCGCAAGAAGCAGAAGGTTGACCATACATCTGAGCTCACGGATACCACTGTCTCTGCACAATCGACTGAATGTGGAAGTCAGGATGACTTGCAGTCAACCCCACTGCCTACCCGCTCTCTGTCGCGACCTCCCGGGGAACCAGCTCAGCCTGTCGACCCAGTACTCCCTGTATCCGCCATAGAAAGAACACAATTCGAAAATGTCTGCAACGGGCCTATATCTCAAGCCATTAAGCGGTCAAACATGTACCGCGCCAGAGCACAAAATGCTCCCTTCTCACAGTCTCTTCAAGACGGCGGAAGCGGGAACGGGAGTGCTGCTAGAGAGTTAAATAACACTTCGCCCTACAATGGCCCTCGCACGCCGCTGGGTGACACGGACTCATTAGGGACAGCTGCAACAAACGCCTCCTACCCGACCGACTTTTCTCAGTGGCCGGACTTTTCGGACATGACTATGCTACCCATGATCGTGCAAGACAGTCATGCAAAAGAGAAGATTCCACCATCTTCTTCAACAAACTTCCCCTTCTCCCCGGTAGATGGGACTGAGCCACCATATCCTGCCAACGGCTTCGGCTTGGACGCGAACCCGAGCTCTCTCACACAATTGCCCACGATTCCCGACTGTCCCTGTCTCCCAAACTTGTATCTTACTCTGTCCACGCTGTCAACTCTCACAGCCTTCCCTGTTTCGTCCGAGACAATACACACGCTACTCGGCGCACAACGCACCGGGCGTGGAGTAATCTACTGTGATATCTGCCCGCAGAAGTTCCAGTCGGGCTCGCAGAACGTGATGATGAGCAGCATGTTGGTAACCATCCTAGCGGACCAATGGCAAAGAGTCAAGAATGCGACGGCGACTGAATTGAGAAACGGGTTTGTCACGGATGCGGGAGCAAAAGAAACATCCGGATCATACACACCATCAAGGCTGGACCCTGATGCCGGTGCCGATGCAGATGCCGATGTGTTCTTAGCCCCACATACAAACCCGAATACCAAGTCTATGTCCGCCATAGAAGACCTCCAATGGCGCCTGTTCGGATTCAATCTGGTGCGAGCCTACGTCTTTGGCGACGCCCCAGTCCCCACGCCTCCAGGGTCAAGCTCCCAGGCCAAATCGATGCCTTCAGGGGTTCCGTACACACTTTGCGATCTATGCAGTGCTCTGGAACGACGACAGAAACAAAGGCACGGCATGGAACCAGTATCAGGCGAGTTCCCCCCGAGCATGACGGAGGACCTGACTCGCGGACACACGGCGGGTATGGTGCTGGAAGACTCCGTGCGATGCGCTCAGGACACGGCGGATGGGCATTTATGCCTCAAGATGGTCGACCATGCCAGACTGCTCATAAACAATCTGGAGGATGACCCGCCGCAAGTGGAGATGTGAGCCAGCTTCCAGGTCGGTGCTACCGAGGAAAGGACGGTTTACAATATCGGTTGTATAAGGAAATTTCCAGCTCTACCAAGTAAATATCTTTCTCTATAAAAGTACTAGATATGATCTACGGCCTGTCTAGAGTAACAACCACTTATTAGTAGTTTTTGCTTACTGTGAAGGAACGAAACGCCTTGTGACCCGCCATCTATTTCATGTAGCACCCACCTTAACGTCTACCTATTTTCTGGGCCGGTAGGTACTCTACTGCAGAGTTACAGCTAAAAAGAGCCAAAATATCATGTTAGGACGGCGTATAGATGATGCTGTCTCCGAAGAGGCTTGACTCTTCTCCTTCCATGAAATGAATCCTTGCCTACGGTATATTACAAATAGCAGTGTGTTCGATGTATAGGTATCAAAGATTGGGGCTCTCATGTAAGATCCTAAGGTACATGACATGGTATTTTTCATATATATTCATTTTGAGGTACCGCACTTCAGGGGTTTCTTGCTTTTTTTTCCCTTTTTTTGATGGCTGCCTTAGTGGTATTTATGATGCATCAATCCATCCATTCTCAGTGTCCACGGACCGTCGGCTTGATGCCACAGTACGGTAGCAGATCATAGAATGACACATTTCTTGGGCAGACCGCAGGGGCCGCTCTCTTCCTTGTCGTCGGGAGACTGGGCACTTGGCTTTGACTTTGCGGGTGCGGGTGCGGGTGTGGGAGCGCTTGTGGGAGCGCTTGTCGGTTTGTTTTGTTCTGCTACCTTCTCCTCCAACGCCGCGTCCTTGGCAGAGGCATCAGTAGCCTGCTTTCCAGCGGCACTGCCATCTAGTCACGCAAAGTTGACCTTTGCCACGGTCTGGTAGAAGGACTTGCCCTGGGCGGTGGCGAGCTCGATCTCCTTGGCTGAGGGCTGTCTGCTGCCGTCGGCGCCGGAAAAGGTGCCGGCACCCCAGGGGCTGCCTCCGCGGGCCTCAGACAGGTCGGCGAGGGTGGCGAAGGTGGTTGCGTAGCCCAGCGGCACGTAGATCATGCCCTGGTGGATCCATGAGCTCAGGGCCTGGATGGCCGTCAACTCCTGGCCGCCGCCCAGGGTGCCGGTGCCGATGAACACGCCAAAGTACTTGCCGTGCAGGCTGCCCGTCGACCATAGTTGGCCCAGTTGGTCGATGAACGTCTTCCATTGCGCAGAGTACGTGCCGAAACGGGTGGGGATGCCGAACAGGAACGCGTCGTACGTCTTCAAGATTTCCGGCGTGATCAAGGGGACCTCCTTGGACGGACCCGGGGCGTGCATCTTGCCCAGCACTTCTTCGGGCAGGGTTTCTGCGATCCTAGAGGCGGCGCACAAAGAACCCATCGTCAGCTCCTTGTTCTTCTCGTTCATTTTTGAGCCAAGGCGAGACAAGGCCGTCGAGTGTTTGAGGAAATGCTTCTCAGCGAATGGGGGTTGCGACTCGTAGGAACATACTGGTACAGATCCACGGTGCCGCCGGCTTCCTCAATGCCCTTTTTCTCGGCCTGGGCCAGCTGGGCAATGTGCCCGTACATCGAGTACTATTTCAGAGAAGGCCAGGTCAGTAATCAGGATCTTGTTCTTGTGGTGGTTTGGAGCACGGCGTAGCAACGTACGTAGACGATGGCGATCTTGGGAGCCATAGTGAAGGGAGGGCTGATTATCTGCGAAAGGGCTGTGTTGGAGATTCTCTGTAGAGAGCGGAGCGGGATTTGAGTTGAGGACGACGAAGACGGAGATGGAGTCGGAGTAGGAAGAAAAGAGAAGAAGGAGGAGGAATGCCTCGAGGCTTTTGTATCTGCCCCACGAGGTTGTAGAGGCATTGACTGGGACTGTGGGTGGGCTGAGGCTGCGTCCTGGTTCCCACGACAATCGCTTATCGATACGAGGTGGAGACGCTGCGCAGTATTACCTTAGCATGACCGATCAATCTCATCCTCCGTAATCATTGGCTTCCCTCCCTGCAGCAGAGCGCAGAGTGCCCGCTGGTTCCTGGACGCCGCTTGCTTACGAAAAGCTGACCGAGACGCGGCACGGGCCAATCACAGCACCGCTGGCCTTTGCGCAGTGCGGAATTGCCCCGTTTACTCAGTTCCATTCTCCTCTAGTCACCCCGTCCATGCTTCGTAACCAGATTCTGTACATCTCGGCTACAAAGATTACATTAACAGACCACGACATGCTGGGCAATGAGGCAACTTGAAAAATGTTGGGGGTTCCACTTGCGATAATAGGTACGGAATACATATATTCTGAATTCCCCAAAGTGGTCTCCTGTACGGAGTACATCACAAGCATGATCCTGCTCGGATCGAAAGGCTATGTTAGCTTGCTCCTAAAGAGCAGGACATTTCCAGCGCTGTGTCCAACCCACCCCCCTCGGACCAGCCTGATCGCGGGTGCAAGGCAAGGCATCAGCGTCGATTGCCGTTCCCCGGTCGATCAGAGCCAGTATCCAAGGTTCATTCTTCGTCCCATTGCGCTTGCTGCTGTCTCTCCCACAGTTTGCTTGCGCTGTTGACAATGATCTCGGCCTTCGCGAGAAGCTTTTGCTTGAATTTTTCCGCAGCTTCCCCCTGTAACCTCGTTTTTTTGGCCTGGGCCTGCATCATCACCGGCACCAGAGTCTGGGGATCGGCTTCTCCAAGAGCCCGCGCACTCCTGAATCCATTCTCCCAAAAAATGCGCGCCATCCGACTTTTGACAAAAGCTACCTGGGCCATCTCCAGCAAATCAGCCCTGGCTCCCGCCCGGAGCCGATCCAACATGTGCTCCAGCACCGCAGCCAGCATGCCCCAACCCATTCTCTCACAGAACTTGATCATCCCTGCCGCAAACCCATGACAGGTCTGGGCCAGTGTCTGGATGTGTCCCCGGGGCACAGAATATTTGACACTGATCACATGCACAGGAATCTCATTGCAGAGGTCGCGCAGTTGAAAGGCTGCATATGCTCTCCGGTACACTCGTGCTAGCCGGATTTCGTCCGGGGTATTCTCTTTTAGGCTACCGCCACTATTGCCAAGTCGATCGACCAACGCCGGATTGACTCCAATGAGTCGGATAGCTCTCAGGCCACTTTCGTCCAGCGAGTGGAGCTCATTGCGGAAGGTTGGCCAAGAGATTTCAGCCATTCCGCTGGTCTGGACAGGCGTGAAGAGATAAAAAATGTGCATGTCGCCGTCCATCACAAATGACTCCAGCGCCCGACACAATTCGGAATGGACAAATATCCCATCTTCAGGGCTGAGACCCGAGGCTACCACGGCCATACCCAGCCTAGTCGGTTCAAGGCAGTGTTCATGTTCAGTGGTCTGGATCAGCTCGCTGTCAATTAATTCTTTGATCGATTCGTCAACCATCCCGGTTACGATCGTATGGTCCGTTGTGTGCCAGAGCAACGATGACTGGACATATTGATCCAGCGAAATTCTGCTGGATGCCATTCGAATACCAATGACTTCGAGGAGGGCTCTCTTGATCCCTCTTTTCTCTGGGGTCAGACAGCTTTCAACAGGAGGCATCTCCGCTTCCAGCAATTCTGCCACCGCCTCGAGGTCGGATTTTTGGCAGCACAAGTATGTTTCTCCAACCTCATCTTTTCCCTTGCGGCCAGCCCGCCCCCGCATCTGGCGAAGCATCGCAGGCCCTACCAGATCGCGGCCCATTCGAGCTCCGTTCAATATGACGCGCCGGGCGGGAAGATTGATCCCTGCTGCAAGACTACACGTGGCAACCATCACTCTGAGTATGCCAGTGTCATATGCCTCGGCAACCAAGGTTCGTTCTTCAACAGTCAATCCCGCATGATGGAAACCCACCCCACAGAGAACGGTTTTGGAAAAGGTGGCCTCAAAGCCTCCTGGCAGTGCACGTAGTGATGCCAGCAGATCTTGTCGTCGGTCGGAGGTCTGCTGGTCAAGGCCGTTGATGGGTAAAGTATCACTAATCAGTGATGCCATTCTTTCCGCCCCCAACCGGCTGCTGCAAAACACCAGGGCCCCGTGACCCATAAGAGCAGTTTCAACAGCCAGCGCAACAACCGCATTGGTCATGGGATTTTGGAGGTCCCGATGGTCAGATCTCGTGATTGTTCGGAGTGGCTGCGGCCGTTGTGTTGAGACAGTGTTGCCTGCCGTTAGTTGAGTGGCGGTCAGAAAGAACTCTTTGGCATTGGCCGTGGGGTAGATGGCGTTGTCATACACCAGATGTTCTTCGATGGGGATGGGACGATATTTGGCAATGTAAAATTTGGCCTTCAACCACCTAGCCAGGAGTTGAGGGTTTGGCAGAGTGGCGCTCATGCCCACGATTTGGACAGGGGTGTCCAACGACATCAATTTCGTGGCGAGAAGTTCCATGAGATAGCCGCGGTTCTCGTCATTGAGCATATGTAACTCGTCGAGAACCAGGACTCCAAGCTCAGAATCCTTGCCATCCTCGATAGCAGCATTTACCAATGAATTGGCTTTCTCAATTGTGCATACCGCTACATCACAGTCTGACCAGTTGACTGTGGACTTGCTGCCGCCGAAGAAACCGCTGACGCGGATCAAGCTAGTAGGTCGCTGCCAAGTTGGGTAGGGAACGGCGTCCGACAGCTCCTCAACATCTCTGGAGACTCCGTCGGCCAGCGAGCGCAGCCACTTCAGCTTTTCTTGCACCAGAGCCACGTACGGAAGAACTAGTATACCCTTCTTTCCGGGATTGTTGATGATCCGCTTGAGCAGGAGAATGTCAGCGACCAGAGACTTACCACCACCCGTGGGCGCAGTATAGACCAGATTCTGCTCTCCAGTCAACAGCCCTTTGCCCAGCAGACACGATGACTGCCATGGGTATATTGCATGTACTCCTAGACTATCCAAGTTGTCGACCAGTCTGGGCGGAAGGCCATAGAGCGGATGTCGAAGGGTGAGTAAAGGATTTTGCGAAGGGCCCGGGGTGGAGGATAGGAGAGGGGGCAATGGGACTGGGGGAGGTTCATATGAGGAGCCAGCTTGGTCAACGTTCTTTGTGGGGAGAACACGGCTAGCCTGTAACCGTGGTGGAGCGGGTGTCTGTACATAGATCGAGGGCCTGAGCCCTGTCGTCGGCGGTTGTGGCAATGAGAAGCGGATGGGATTTGGAGGGATCTCTTCACGCGGTTGCTTAGATCCTGCTAGAGGCTTGGTATTGTAAGTCTGATTCCGAACCAAATCGATGGTACTTTGCTGGCCGTAGACCACGGTCGATCGGGACCAGTCCGCCGCCGCCATTGACGGTTCACGAACGAATCATTATCTGATTGAATCAAAAGGTGCACGGAACAAGTCAAGTTCGAAGGACACGCGCTCTGGGAAACCAGAGCGACCAGCGCGAGAAAAAGGTCAAGGAATGGAGGGAATGGAGGGAGAGTCACGTAACATGTGATGTCCCAAAATGATGCGTAAACACAGAAGCAGAAGTTGGCCAGGGTCTTTAGGGCAGGCGCCACTGACACGTGACTGGAGCAAGCGAGCCCAAAGGGGAATAGCCCAAACCTAATTGCAGCTCACCTCAGACTCGGACTCAGAGCCAGGCTCAGGCCGCCAAGCCCGCCCGACGTCGTCGTGAAACTATTACTGCCACGTCGTACTAGTAGTACCACTTCAGCCAGTCGAAAAGACGGAAAAGATTGTCGCCCAAGAGCGGCATGCTATCCGAGGCCCCGATCATGGTGGCTGTGGCTAGAGTTGAGTCTCTGACATTGCCGACGACAAGGGATGCCTCATGCAAATGGAAAGTGGGCATCTTCCAGCAGCAAAGACAGGATGCAGGATGCAGGATGGCCTGGAAAGAAAAGGGATGACGAATTGGCGAGCTGAGACAACCGAATTATTATTGACACAAAGGGTGGAAGATCAGGGTGCCTGGAGCCTTTGGCCGAGTTGTGTCCTAAGGGCGATCGGCCAGAGTGGGCGGATTGAAGATGACATCAAGACGTCGAGGCCCGACCAACACTCCCGGGCCTGAAGCAGTTGGGAAATGATTGTCAAATGGACACAAAGAACGGCCGAGTCGCCCTATAATGTCCGTTTGTGCTTCCAGGGCCAAATGATGGCATTGTCGAGGGGGCGAGCACAGGAGCTGGCAAAGAGATGTGGTCAAATTTAGAGAGGGCAGGCGGTGGGCAAGCCACGGTCAGGTGATGCCAAGATCTCCGGGCACTAAAAGAGCCCAATGGGGCCGATGGCACTAACCTGACTGGGCCTAGTTCAAGCATCTAGCATGCCTCCCGTTGGTTAGTGGCACATGGCCCTGCACACAGACTCTGCCAGCTGCACTTCATCAACCACGGCCGCTGCCACCCTCGAGTCAATCGTCCACCCTCGAGGCACGATGATGTGCGAAAGACAAGAGCAGTGGGTGCCGCGACACTGCGAGGATGGTGCTCAATCACCGGGCCAAAGAAGATGTCGCATATTGATGGATGTTTGTGGCCTGCTTCAAGTTTGGACCAGTTGTCTCCGACGCTCATTGTAGTGCTATTGTTTAAGGTCGCCTGGAATCCGTTCCATCCGAGACGCTTACGTTTGTCAGGCCAGCGCCACCCACTGCCACTGCAGGGCGCTCTGTTTTCTTCCGCCTGGGTTCCCGGATGGTTCAAGACGTACCTACCCAGGCACTAGCATCCTGCTACATAGTTATAAGGGCAACGTTACGGGCAGGATCAAGCTCGCTTCCCGCCATGCAGGGGATCTTCCCCACTGCGGTGGCCGCACAGCGCAAATGAATGGTCCTCAGGTGCCTACTGCATACTGAGACTTCTTTAACTGCGAGGCCTTAAGCCTAAGGAGCCATGCCGGATGCATATGTCCCACTAATAATGGGCACCAACTGAACTACCCTAATTACTACGACCACGACCACGACCACAACCACAACCACGATAACTTTGACAGATCCTGTCGCTGTGGCTGTTGAATGGTCCATCGCCCATCCGACCTCCAACTCGAAGGCCATTTGCGTCCTCACCGGCGTCGTCCCGGATCGAGCTGGTGCAAGAAGGTCAGGGCGGCAATGACCCATGACGACGGACCTTGGTCCTGGATAATTCACATATTACAATATACTACGTACCTAGGTACTAACTATTATACGTACCGCCATCCGCCTGCCACTTGCTTGCTAGCCTTAGCCTGCCCTTGACGACTAACAGGTTAATTAACTCCTCCGACTCCTACCAGCGGCACCACCAACTGGCACATTTTCTTCCCTCGCCGAGTTCTGTCCCTCCCCCATCTTTTCCTCCCTCCCTCCCTCCCTCTCCCTCTTCTTGTCCTTCCCTCCTTCAGCCTCCTTCCTCCTCTTCTCTCTCGCCTCTTCCCTCAGTTTGCTGCCCCCCGACCGGCGAACTGGGTTGATTTGTCTTCCCTGTCCTCCCAGCCCGCATCCGTCCAGCTCATCGCTGTGTGCCTTGCCCCGACCGCGTGTCTACGCCAGCTACGCGGGCCTATCCACCGACCATCGAAGGCGCTAACCCACACACCGGACTGGTCACCCTACCCATACCCATTAGGGCGCGTGCCCTTTGATATACCACCCACCGTCCGCCACCTATTGCTTGGGCATTTTCCTTCCATCTTCGATACCGTCCTCCCCGGCCACTCGATCCTCTCCAATTTCCCACCTCTACCGTATTTACATAGCATCTATCCTCGCCCCCCCCGAGATTGGCATCCGGCGTCTCTATCCGCTCATTAGCACCTTCCGAGCATCCTCGCAACTCTGCGCAGGCCACCTGTCCCTCCAATCCGAAGTCGCCATGCGATAAAGTCAAGTTTTGACGAATTAACACCAACCGCGCACGCCTTGCCTGGCCTCGACCCGGCGTGACTCGACATGTCGGCTCTTGACACCCTCCATGTCGCCGCGGCGGTTCCAGATGCCCGGTCGAGAGAACAGTCCGATGCACCTTCGGCCTCCCAGAAAGATGCACCGCCAAGCGTACTCACAAGCAGCATGGACGTGTCGCCTGCGCCCGAACCTGCGCTCTCCTTCGACACACCTCAGTCCCAACCCATGACCGCCACTGCTTCGTCCTCCTCCCAACATCCACCTTTCGAGAACGGCGATGGGTCCAACGCCGGCCCCTATGGAACTCGTTCGAGAAATCGCACTGGGGGTGCCCGTATCAATTATGCAGAGGACAAGGAGCTGGATATAGAGTTGGAACCTATCCCCAAAGCCAGTCGCTCCAGCAAGAGGGCGTCAGCGGCGAACAGCGAGCACCAGGCCACATCTTCAGGGTTCGCAACCGTCAACCCTTCCAACACCCAACAAACGCCCGAGACTGCTCCCACGGCCCGCCCGTCTACTCCCTTACCAGCCAGCGCTCCGGCTCCTTCGAAGAAGCGGAAACAACCCGGGAGCCACCATACTGTTACAGGGCACTCAAATATGGGCAGTAGCTCGCGCTCCAGACAGTCGGCATCTGCGCCTTTCAAAGGCTATGTCGAGACGAATATGATGAGCTTCTCCAAGTGCGGGTACCGGCTCAACGAGAAGAAGCAACTGGTTGCCGACGATGGCACCATTGTACAAGCAAATGGTATGTGCTGTCTTTGACCTGACGGCGCCCTGTTTTGATCAACATCTAACTTGCTTCTAGATCACGTATACTTGGTTTGCGAGCCCCCAGGCGAACCCTACTACCTCGCGCGGATCATGGAATTCTTGCATGCCAAAAACGACCCTGACGCGCCCATTGACGCGATGCGGGTCAACTGGTACTATCGGCCCAAGGACATTCTACGCCGGGTTCAGGATACGCGCGTCGTCTTCGCCTCGATGCATTCCGATACTTGTCCCCTGACTTCGCTCCGCGGCAAATGCAACATCCATCATCTGTCCGAAATCTCCAATATGGACCAGTATCGAAGTAAGCCGGATTCGTTCTGGTTTGACAAGCTTTACGATCGATATATGCACCGATACTACGAGGTGATTCCCACCCACAGAGTGGTCAATGTCCCCCAGCATGTGAAGACGGTCCTTGACCAACGATGGAAGTTCGTTCTGGTCGAGATTGGGCGGGGTCGGGAATTGACCAGCGAAAGCAAGAAATGCACCAAATGCGAGCAATTCGCTAGCAATCAGGACTCGGTGGACTGCGCCGTGTGCAAAAGGACCTACCACATGCAATGTGTGAGGCCTCCGCTGTTGAAGAAGCCTGCACGAGGATTCGCGTGGGCTTGCGCAGCCTGCAGCCGAGCACAAGAGATGAAAATGGATGGTCGCAGCACGCCTGCTGGTTCGGAAATCGGGGCTCTCGACGATGACGATGTGCTGGACGAGGATGAGGACGACCCCCGGCCCAAGGATCTGGAGACCCGCGACAGTAGTGTCGTCCCAGAACCGAATCCACCACCTACTCCGGCACAGGTTGCGCAAGCAAACCTCTGGCCCTGGAGATATTTAGGTATCCACGCCCGCGCAGAAGATGCCCTGGACTACGATGATCGGATCTATCCTCGTGCCAGCTCGAGATTAGGCCCGCGCCATCAGGCGAATGTCAACGTCTGGCACGGCCGGCCGGTGGAATTGGTCAAACCCGCCGAGATCAAGCGCAAATACCTCAAACCCACCCATAGCCAGAAGGGTGGCAAGCCACCCAAAGATGCCGGCACCGATACGGACAAGGACCAGCGCCTCAAACGTCCAAAATGGGTAGTGGATGAGCCCGTGGGTTACATTTCTCGGGGGCATGATGAACCAGTGGAGATTAAAGGCAAAAAGGAGCATACTGCTCAACTGCTCTTCAAGATGCCGGAACCATCACAGCTCTCGGAAAGAGGCGGCGATGACTCCGTGAGGCCCGGAAATGCGGACCAACTGGTGGACGACTACATGCGGAGGGTCAAGCCGATTGCGGCTCAGTACAATTTACTGGACTCGTCGGTGGATTTTCTCACGAAAGCGATCGAAAAGCTGCAGGAAAACGAGTACAATGTTGAGAAAGCATTGGAGGCTATGAAGGGGCTATCCCTGAGAAGCGACCTGAAGCAACCCGACCTCAACAGAGAGGAGATCAAGCGGTTCGAAGAAGGGGTCGCAAAATACGGAAGTGAGCTCCATGCGGTCTCGCGTCATGTGGGAACGAGCGTGAAGGAGTGGCGGATTGTCCGTTTCTACTACATGTGGAAGAAAACCGAGAGAGGACGACAAATCTGGGGCAACTACGAAGGGCGACGTTCCAAGAGAGATTCCAAACGAGCCGACAAGGACGGAAATATACCGAAGCTGTTGGACGATGTCGCCGATGACAAGGACGATTCCGCATTTGACGAGGAGAAAGCGGCACAAAAGAAACGGGGATTTGTATGCAAATTCTGCAGTACTTACCACTCGCGTCAATGGCGTCGGGCGCCGGGCACGGCTCCGGGCACCCTTGTGCCCAAAGACCAGGCTGCAAAGAATAGCAAAGACAAGAGTCAGTGGCTTACATTGGCATTGTGTGGAAGGTGTGCCTACCTGTGGCGGAAGTATGCGGTACAGTACGAGGACATCGAAGAAGTGTCCAAGAAAATCGCATCGTCGGGTAGTCGGGCGGCCAAACGAAAAGTTGACGAAGAGCTGTTGCGTCTGATTCTGGAAGCACATCAGATGTCGGGAGATCCTATTCCTCCGCGAGCTGTGGATGAGGTCAACAAAGCTGGGATGGAAGTGCCGCAAAACATCATTCAACCTGATGAGCCACCGAAGAAGAAGAGCAAAACGGACCGAGACGGAGCACAAGGAACTCCAGATGTTGTTGTTCCGGAGAAGAAGAAGGTGGTCGAGAAACCACAGGAGCCTCCGCCGATCGAACCAGATCCTCCGAAGGTCAAGGTTCATCCTTGTGCGGTATGCCGCGTCATTGAAGTTCCCGGGCAAGAACTGCTGAAGTGTCGCGACTGCCGCCTGCATGTCCATGGGTCATGTTACGGAGTGGGAGCAAAGACGAACACCAAGCCCTGGTTCTGTGACATGTGCAGAAACGACCACAACCTTCAGGTGTCGACGACTTATGAATGCGTCCTGTGTCCAGTCAAGTTCACTGCTCAAGAGCTGATGGAGCCCTTGAAGCCGTCGCACAAAAGGAAAACGGATCGAGATCGCGAAAAAGAACGCATTGAAAAGGAAATCATCCAAGAGGCTAGTCGTCGATGGCGCATGGAGCAAGAGGCGGCCGGGCGGCCGGTCAATCCCCGCGAGGCGCTCAAGAGAACGGCGTGGAACAACTGGGTTCACATTACATGTGCCCTCTGGACCAAGGAAATCAAGTTTGGCAACTCGGAATTGCTGGACGATGCGGAAGGTGTTGGGTTTATCCCGCCTGAAAGATTCGAGCCTCCTTGCAAGATCTGCAATCAAACGGGATACCCTACAGTCAAATGCCACCAGTCCAACTGCAACGCCTACTTCCACGTCGGCTGTGCCCATCAAGCAGACTACGTCTTTGGCTTCGATGTCGCGCCGGTCAAGAGCAGTCGCCGAGACTCGGTAAACGTGATGAAGCTTCAAGGCGAGGTTGGCGTCGTGACTGCCGGGATTTGGTGCCCGACCCATCTTCCACCGACTTTCGTCCACAACATGCTCGAACCAACAGAGACGGGGCTGAATGCGATGCAGTTGTTTGCTCGCACCTATAAGCAGGTGGACACTTCAAACACAGGGACCGTGAGGCGAGCTGCACAGTTCACCGCGAACTTGCTGAGTGCCACACCTGTAGTCCAGCCGCAAAGACCCAATCCCACCATCAACGGCACCAATGGCACCACTGGACACGTGGATCGCACAGGAGGTTCCAGCCTCAGATCGTCTCCAGCAGCAGAATCGCCCCGAGAGCCGGAGGATGCCAACGTCGAGTCAAGGTCTGCTGTAACGGCGACCAAAAAGACCAACGTCTCGCGAAAATGCTGTACTTGTCTCGTGGATGCCAGTCCCCGCTGGTGGCCTCTTGGTCAAGCTGGAGCGTCGTTACCGGCTGCGAATGGAACGCACCCAGATCACTCCAGCGAGTATGCCGCAGTTGACAGTGCACGCGACACCGTGATGACCAACGGCATTGTCAAAGCAGAACCTGCCGCAAGCAACACTCTCGGAGCACTCATCGACACCAGCAACAAAATCATGTATCAATGCCATAAGTGCCACGTTCTGAAGCGAACACCGCCGTCGTCCCCATCGCAAGTCAAGCTTCGTGAGAAAGTCCCTTCAGAGCCAGCTCCAGAGCCGTTTCCATATCCACCACCAGCAGACCCTACGCCGGAACCGTTCACCTACCAGCCACTTCCTCCGCCCCCGACAGGCTTTCCTCCCATTCGTCGACCTTCAGTGGAGGCAACACCGCAGTCACATACGCATTCTCATCCCCTGGGGCCGCCGGTCTCGGTCTCTCACCACCCACCTTGGCCGCCTACTACTTCCGCTCCTCCTCAATGGTCGTCTCCCGGCATGCGACCGGTACGCCATCCGTCTCCCCCGTCCGTGCCTGGACCTTACGGGCAACCGTCACTGTACCAACCGGCTCCCCCACCTGAATACCAACCTCCCTACAGCCGACCGTCGCAGCCGTCGCCGTTCGTCAGTGCTCCCCCTCCACCTCCGCCCCTGGCACCCGCGACAGGTCCTCTATCTCAGCATTCTCCTCCACCCCCTTATGCACTTAACACGCACCATCACCATCTTCCAACATCATCCACCCCCCCACAATCAGTTCGGCCTCCTCCATCCCCTTCTCGGTATGGGGTTATTGCTCCTGAGAGGCACCAGGTTCCTTCTATATTGTCCCGACCATTTCCTCCCGAACCTCCTCGTCAACCTCCTCAGGGTTCTCCTGTCAACGGATTTGCAGCACCACACGCTTCCGCGGCCAGAAAATACGGTCCCGGACTTGCTACTCAGCCACAGGCCCCTCCTCCGCTTCCTGCGCCAGGGGTGGTTCGACTATCCCCGTCTGCCCAGACTCTGGCTCAGATTGCTCAAGCAGCATCTGAGCAGACGGGACGGCCACAGTCAAGGCAAGCAAGCGTGGAGATGACGGGGACACCTAGGTTCGGAGCACGGCCTGTGCCAGAGAGTCCCCACCAAAGACCACTCACTCCGGCTGGTGCACCATCATTTCGAGATGACCGGAGAGATGGACCAGGAGCAAGTGCCAGTCCAAGCTTGAAGAACTTGCTTAGTTAGGAATCCTGGAGAAGATGAAGCACGTTGAAATGACACTTGAACTGCTTGTCGGGGTTAATGTCATGGTTCCAGATCCTGGGACCGATGAGATGAATGACATGCCAATTGGGCGCCAGCAGACTCGCTCCGGTTTAGAGCAGAAAAAGGGGGTCTGTGTACTGGTGCCATGTACGGAGTACTTTGCGACCTTTGGTGTAAGATGGAACGATGGAAAAGAATGAAGGTCGAGTGGCACATAGTAGCGGTGACATTGATACCAGTAGAATAAGAATAAAGGAAAGAATCAACAGAGACAGACAGTTTAGACGACATTCGAGTGTCCAAGTTGCTTGTCTTGGTATTATGTGTACGGCTGCATGCCTGTTAAGGGCCCCTAAGCCTTGTTCTCCGTTTGGTACCACACTTGAATTTGTACGAAGCAGAGGGTGTAGCAATCGGGAGGACGAGAGTCAATGTTTAATCCCCATCACAGAGATTGTTTCTGTATAACTAACGTTACGGAGTTCTCGGTACGTACTCCCGACTCCAGTCTCTAGACTCTAGACTCGAGAGATCGGGACGATGGGTCAGGTCAACTTGGATATCAATATCGGCGCAGGCGCTTTTCTTCTCCCTGAGTCGTCGTCGCCGCCGCCGCCCTCGTTCCCGTTCTGTTCTCGCTACGGAGTACATTGCCATGCACTGCCATGCACTGTGAAGCAGAGGTCTGCATTCTGTCGTGTTCTGTCGTGCTCTGTCGTGCTCTGTCGTGCTCGGCCACATACATGACACCCACTGTCCATCCGTCGTCTGTGTACCGGCCGGTGTTGCAGAGCTGTCGGCTGAAAGGCTCCAAGACAATGACAATGTATGTCGAGAGGCGTTGGCTACCCAAGGTAGGTGTTATGACAAGATGGGGGGGGCTAAGGGGCTAATCTCTCACTCCTCATCCTCGTCATCATCAATGACCCGCCTCTTCTTCCGAGCTTGCGGCGAGCCCGCGGCGACGGGCTCGGCATCATCGACGCCTCCGTCATCGCTGGCAGCGCGTTTCGGCGTAGATCCTCTCTCTCTCGGCCGGTCGCGGTCCTTCAGGGTTTCTCGACCGTCACGCTCGTTTCCGCCACGTGTGCGGTTTTCAATCACCGTCTCACGCCCTTCAATCTCCAAGTCATCCACGTCCGGGTCGTCGTCCTCCTCGGCCTCGGCCTCCTCCTCATTTCCGTCCTCGTAGATCTCGGGCTCTTCGTCGCTGGCGGCCAAGAAGTCGTCTTCGCGATCGTACTCGTCTTCACGCCCCCGGCCGCGCGGCGTGTCCTCGTCCTCGTCGTCCGAGTAGATGTCGCCGCGCCGGTTTCCTCGGCGGCGGCGGGCGTTGCTGCTCTTCTTCCCACGTGCTAGAGGCATGCCATCGTCGTCTTCTAGTCCAGCCACGCTGAGTCCTGCTCCGCCAAGACGGCCAAGTCCCGCGCGACCTAGCACGCGGTCCTTCCGCATCAGCAGCCGGTCCTCGGCGGCCTCGCGTTTGCGGCTTGCCCGTGTCCGCTCCTTCTCGAACATCTCGGCCGCTTTCTTGGCAAGCTCCGGGTCTTCTTTGACTTGTCGGAGGCTGGACAGCGGGTCGTGCATCTGCGTTGCCGCGGCGAGCGATTGTTGCAATTTCAATACCGATTCGTCCGCCAGGTCGCCCGTTGGTTGGATCTTCATCGAGGCATCGAAGGGGGCTATTATCTGTAGGTCCACTCCAGCCGTCGCATGCGGCGCAGCCAGGTAGTTGTGCGAGTCCTTGTTCGCGTCGTAATCCGCCTGAGACGAACCTGGCTTCTTAGGCCAGCCCTGTCTCAAAGCCGTGGTAGAGATACGGTAATGGTCCTTTGGCGACGAAGCAATCTGTAGTGTCAGGCTTCCATCGGACCAGCGAACGATGCGCGAGTTTGATTGTAAGAGGTCCGGGGTCTTGGGGTCGCGACGCCAGAAAATCGTGCTTGCTGCAGTGGAGAATGGGGAAAATTTGGCCGTCGGATCGACTTCTGGATCGCGCCCGTCGTGGGGTTGTTTGGGAGGTTCGTAGGTTGCAGGGACAAAGTTGCGGTGTTTGATGCCCAGGAAGGGTGGCATGTTGAGCAGGTGGAGCTGGAGCCGACAGTCAGTTGATGACGATGCGAGAACGGGTGTGGAATGGTGCTGCATACCTCTTCTCCCCCGGGGGGCTTAATTCTAACCATGTCCACGTCTAGGAGCTTCAATTGTTTCTGCTCTTCATACATTTCTTCATGATCCTCCACGGTGGCCGCGACCCGGTCTGTTCGGCCGTCATCGTCGCCGGAGTCAAGGTCGGAGTCATCGAGTCTTCGATGTGAGCTTTTCAAAGTCAGTAGATGTGCGTGAGGGAATGGTGAGATCGCCATACTCGCTGTGGCCTCGGTCCTGCTCCTCATCGTCATCGTCGCCGAAGAGATCTCCGTCATCCTCTGACACGTTGTCTCCGTTTAGGCCGTTGGGCGAATCTTCACCTTGGACATCCCCGTGAAGGGGGGCAGATTCGACCTCCGCAGACATCTTGATTGGATTTCACCAACGCGCGCAGGTAGTATGCTGAAGAACTTTTTTGATCGTGCGACCGGCTGGGGTAGAGTGGGGTTCAAGAAAGAGACAAGGGATTAGACCATAGCCTGCAGCCCTTCAGATGTCAGATGCAGGATTGGCGAGACGAAAGGATGTGACAAGGCGCGTGGATCATGAAGTGAACATACTTCAAGGCCAGAGGAAACGAGAGAATGATGAGAGAGGATGTCGGCCCTAGCGACAATGGCCCAAAGTGGTTAACGCAGGTGGTCCTTAGGCAGTCGGCTATGTTGCCTCAGGGGGAATCTCGTTTCATTGGACGCATCTCTCCGCCTCCGACTTTCAGACGGGCATCACCTCTCACTGTCTCAACTCCTTTTTCACAACAACCACTCCGTCAACGAGAAATATCGTGCACCAGGACCAACTGACCGTGTGAAAAGACCCCCGGGCGCCGAGATGGCGACCTTCTTCCAGAGCGTGTAAGTAGCTGCTCCTCAGTTCTCTCTGTCCTCATCTCCTGCACCGTTCCTCTCTGGCCACCCACTCCCCCTGCACTCAATTGTCTAGGCACAGCAAAGATGGCGAAGACACCAAAGACCATTACAGCCGTCCGCAAACTTCTCCGTGCTCGAGCAAATGCTGACTCATACTTCAGTCGTCAAGGTTTTACCAGAGGCAATACGAAGAGCACGCAAAACCTCAAGGGCCAATACAATGGATCTCAGTCCCCGAATTTGCAGCAAGCGCCGCCAATGCCATCCCTTGCCAACTCTCCCTCACTATCATCAAACTTCAGTCAGGAGGCCATCTATGCTGAACAAGAACCGAAGAAGTTCTTGAACGAGAAATATGCAAAATGCTCAGTCAAGGGGAACTTTCTGACCTTGGCTGCACAACCCAAGAATGTCGAGCTTGGAGAATGGCTGGCTCATCAACGTGTGTTCCTTCAACCAGGCTTGGTCGTACAAAGCTAGTGCTAATGAGATATAGTGGTGGAGATGAATAGGTTGCTTACCAGCATGATTCTAGTCATTCAAGAGGTGGACACGAACACTGGAATGGCGCTGTGCAATGAAGCTGGCTGCCCTACGATGTCTGCTGGACGGTATGTCGATTCGGACTGCAGAGATGCGAATACTGATGCTTTCTCAGTCTCACTTATACCTGGCTCGAGAATGGAAGACCAGCCAAGATCCCAGCGCCATCATACATTGTTCGGGTTCAGCGATGGATTGTCGGCAAGATTCACGACGAGAAGGTCTTCCCCACAGAACCACCATCCAGTATCTCCAGTGCTGGGTACGCTCCCGGAGATACCAGCTCGACGCCAAGCTCGGCGACAACTCCAATCCCGGCTGGCCCTACCAACCTGAATCAATCTCTGACCTCTCTTGCGGGCATCCAGGACGAGTGGGTTGGCAAGTCATCTGGATTCCCACAGAACTTCCTCCAAGATGTCAAGAGCATCATCAAGCAGATGTTTCGATGTTACGCTCACTTGTATCACTGCCATTGGGACCATCCTTTCTGGCACATCAACCGTCACCTCGACCTCAATAGCTGCTTTGTCCACTTTATCACCGTGGCCATGTATTACGACCTTCTGCCCAGGAAGGACATGGAGCCGCTCCAGGGTCTGATCGACATCTTTGTCGCTCAGGGAATCGTGCCTAGAGAGGCTGTGCAGCAGCATTCCATTTAGACTGTTTGCGAACTCTTACCCAACGAAGCTTCTTCATATGAAGCCATTGTGAGGCAATCGAAAGTCACTGGCATGGATACGACTACGACTATGGACACGAATGAAGTGCGTGCATTTAGCGATATGAGCGTTGACGGGACAAGGATAGGCATGAAACCGGGTGGTCTGGCGAATGGGCATCAGTATGAGCATGAACGTAGCACTGAGACAGCATGGATGCATCGTGCTGGCACAACGAATGATAGGAAGGAAGCTTTTGCTTTTTCAATATCAAGTGCAAATTGGCGGATTGCTGGGATGAATGGAATTGAATCGGGCTCGGTGACTGGCCGAGTCTCAGTCCTCGGCCTGGAGATGACTTACATCCAACAAAAAGACATTTGTGCTTGACTTGTTCTGCAAAACTGACTTTGTTTTGCGAACAACTCATCAACTCGGTTTCGGTTGGTTTTGATCATTTGTGCTTCTGCCAAACAGGCTTTGTTTTGCAAACAACTCTATCAACTCGGTTCCGGTTGGTCTTGATCATTGTGCTTGACCTCTGCTCTGAGAATCTGGCTTTGTCTTGCCAACAGCTCCAACACCTCGGTTTCGGTTGGTTTCGATTGTCTGTTTGGTGCAAGCAAGCTTTCGTATTCTTTGGGTGATGCGAGTCAAGTCCTGTCCTACGTGAGTGTACTAACACCAGCACGACTCCAGTTCCAGTTCCAGTTCCAGTTCCAGCGCGACTCCAGCTCCAGCTCCAGTTCCAGCTCCAGTTCCAGCTCCAGTTCCAGCTCCGGCCCCAGCTCCGACTCAAGAAAAACACGCTTGACGCGGATCATGTCCTTTGCCACAGTACGGACATTTCGGCCAGCCCGGTGCGCGGGACATAACCAGATAGGGACTACCAGTGCCAGCACCAGCACCAGCATCAGCATCAGCATCAGCGCGAATGCGAGGATGAATGGAGACGCACATGGACATGCACATGGAGATCCTTGCTTTTCGTGCTGGATATTGTACTCTGTGGCCGAGTGAAAGGGGGCAAATTGAGTAGCTCAACGAAGATACTGCTTTGCTTGTCTTCTATGATTAAGTGAGCAATTGGGATATCTTGCTGGAAGCGTGTCTGGTCTGTCAATGTCGATAACGATGGTGTTGTGTCGAAGGCGATACAGGAAGCCATAATAAGTCTAAGTCGAGCGGAGATCAAGAAATAAATATCTACAACAGCGCAGGAAACCAAAACACGGTGAAGACTGCCAGACGCGCTGTGAGACATGAGTGTAAAGCGTTAGTCAGTGACTCGACTCGATACGACAAAGGTGTCTTCTCTATTACTACGAAGAAGATCTCACGATTACAGCCCACGCGGACAGAAGGCTCCGAGTCAAATCGAGTCGATTGTCTAGTCCTCCCCTCCCCAGGAAGTCACAGTCACTCGCTGACTCGATAATGCGTGACCTATCACTATAACTTGTCCATGTAGAGTGTCTCGACCTATGACTTGTGCAAGTAAAGCGTCTCAGTCCTCTACCTACAAGTACATGTACATGTATGCATGTGCGTATCCCTGACAGAAAGGCTCCCTCTTGTGCAGGAGACCTTTGTCATATCGACTACGACTAATTGACTGACTGACTGACTGCCAGTAAGTAGCGAGTGAGACAGTTGTACATGACCAAGACAATGCAGGTAGATATCTCCCTTGAGCGCAGAGTATGAAGAAAGGCGAAGGTAAATCCCTTGAGCCCAGAGTATGAAGAGAGGCAAAGGATAGGAGATGATAGGCAGTGTACCGTCCAGTTTGAAGAAAGCAAAGGATAGCAGATCATAGGAAGTGTACGGTCCAGTTGTCGGTTGTCGAGGTAAACTAGGAGAAAAGATGTCTGTAAGTGAACGAAGAAACGAATAAATGAAAATTCTGTCTGACTCTAAAGCATGTGTCTCGGTTCCATCATAGTCTAAGCCCCGAGTCAATCTGATCAACCTGGCCTGTAGCAGAGAAAGTCTGCCATTCCTGACACAACTGATACGACGCCTCTGGGATAGCCAAGTGCTCAATCTGGCCCGGGTTCTCGAGAATATCCACACTCAGTCCTGTTGAGGCATGCCAGGCGATGTGACAATGGAAAGGCCAAGTGCCTGGATTGTCCGCATCCGCTTGCCAGACCAGGTATCCGTTGGCGGGTACATTTTGAACATCCCGTCGTTGCGGATTGTCCGGTCGAACTATTGTTCCATCCCAAACTCCTGTGCCAACCGCCAGAATGTACATGTTGTGTCCGTGGAAGTGCATCGGATGAGACGTTGGTGTGTCGTTATTGACGATGAACCGGTAGGAAGACGCGGAACCGGTGTTGACCACATTCCATTCCGGCGAGTCTGGATAAGACGTGTTTCCGCCTTCCGCCAGCAGAAGGACCGGCTGATTGTAGTCTGTCCGGAAGGACGAATTGTTCATGTACCACAACCAATGGCCGGTCGCGTTCTGGCCGACCGTCATGTTGAGGGTCGTGGTTTCTGCGGGCTCGCCAGGATTAATCGCATACATCGGAACAGTCGTCTCCAATGGGTCATTGGCACAACCTATACTAGGCGAATTCCAGGGCGACGACTTTGGCAGGCCATCAACATCTGCATTCTCGTAGTAGAGGACGGCCAGCGCGTATGGCTGGTTTGCTTTGGCACAGGTGGCGTTGCTGCGAATCCAGTATGCCTCGTGGGAATCCCCGTCAGCTTCGACAATGACATCGGTTCGTTGGCCGATACCTAGAGTTACGACAGTGGTATTATACGGCTGTACATCTATGTTAGGCTGAACGGTGGTAGAAAGACCAGGGATGACGTACCTGTACAGGCACAAAGTCGTTCGCGATCACTGTCATGGTGTGATTGTCGATTGAGAATTGTTGGCTGGCATCTGCCCCAGTGTTGATCAGGCGCAGCCGGTGTGTTTTGCCGGACTGGAATTTGAATTTGGAGAGACCAGCGTTGCTAGAGCATTTGACGGACGTGTTGGTAGCCACAGAGCAGTCAAAGTTCATCTTGCCATTGATCAGGTTATTGTCGCTCGTCGGCTGGGGTGGGGGAAGTCCGGGTCGGGCGGCGGTAAGGCTCCTGACTGTCGTGTAGTAGTCGACATGATACCAGTCCGAGAGAAGGATTGGGCCAATGTCAATGTCGTAGTCTTTTGGAGTAGGCCCATATACAACAACTGCGCCGACGACGCCGTCGGTGTACTGCGCAGAATAATGGGCGTGGTACCATGAAGTACCGAACAGTTCTGCTCGAAACTGGTAGGTGAACGTCTTCTGCGGCGCTATTGGGCACTGCGTGAATCCTAAACACATCAGCATCAGCGTGGTTCATAGTCTGGTATAGGGTGAGATGGACTGACCGGGTGTGCCATCCATCCATTGACTTTGATGCTGCAGAAAGCCATGCCAATGGACGGAGGTGCCCTCGGCAACACCAGTGATGTTATTGGTCACGGTCACCTCGATAGTGTCTCCCCAGTTAGCTTCAATGGTCGGGGCGGGATACTGCCCGTTAACCAGCAGTAGACTCCTCTCATAGCCGTCAGGTGAAAGGATCCCGCGTGAGATAGTGAAGTCGTATTTTCGGACCACACCAGTATCAGGGGCGGCTTTGTATGGGTTGGTATTTGTGCAATTATGGTCTCCCCATGGAGAGCCGTCAACTAGTCGCACGTCTGACAGAAATTTGGGCAGCGAGTGGGCTCCCAGGGTACCCAGAAGGGACAGGCCATTTGTTACGGGTTGGTCAAGACTGCTGGTGGTAGTCGCCAAAAGAGTGACAAGAGATGACAGAACACCCATTTTGGGTAAACACAATCAACGTAGCTTATCTGATAGAATGTAGACGGCAGACGGCAGACAGCAGACGGCAGATAATCAGGTTCACTCTCATGGGAATGACATGTTCATATACCTGAGATCAATAGGCTTGAAAGCAATGAGGGCAGATGACACACTATCCCGCCGATCGAACAACAGATCGGATATGAATGTTCCTCACCTTAACGTCTCGAGTGCCGGTGATCAACAGAGGTATGAGGGAGTTTGCCCAATCACTCATTGCTCCATCCTTGTTTTGCTTTCTGGATGTTCCCGTCCCAGATTCCGACTGTAGGGGGGTACGGTGTATGTGAGACATTGTGGTGGAAAGTGGAAATGGCAGCAAGGAGGAATTCGACCCCTGTGGCACGAAATTAAGCCTGACTGGTACTTCAGTACTCGAGCCAACTTGTTGCTTTTCACAGACTGAGTCAAAATGCCTCGAATGAAAACACTAAGGGGCCCCGTTGGTTCCATTGTGAGAAGATGGAGGGTTTATAGGGGTAAGGGACGTATTTGCTTCGGTCTGTTGCACCGCGGCCTTTGTAGAGTCGAAGGTACGTCTAGAACCGCAGAGGAGCCGTGTTCATTTCCATGTTGGACAAGGGGTTCTCATCTGGACCGAAATGCAGAACTGCTGTGATCTGAAGAGATGGCAGAGTGCAGAGTACAGAGTGAGCAGTAGGAAGTGAGGTCAAGCTTGAACTCGGTGACCAGGCTGCGGTTGGGTGCGGTTGGCTGTCACCTATTAGATGGCTAAGGTTAGGGGCTTAGGGGCTGTGGCTGTGTGGCTGTGTGGCTGCAAAAGGCATGACGTCACCCGACTACATCCAAGTATTGAGCGGCTACTGCGAAGACAAAGACGGGCATCATCTTGTCCTGCCGTCCAAAGTACTACGTAGATTTCTCTCCTTTAAATACTAGGCTCGATACTTCAAGCCCGACAGTCGCAATTGTCATGTCTTGTTAGACAACGCCACTTACAAACACGGGGATGGTGCGTACTTCCTCCAAGGTCGCCGGGCTGCTCTCCTGACTTGATTTAGGCTTCAATCCTTCGGCAGATCGTGGCAGGTCCACGCATCAGACACCCAGAGGCAAAGTTGGATCTGTGCTATGTGACCGACTACAGTGAGTCGAGTGTGGCCCCTAAACGAGACGCCAGCAGTTGACGGTGCTGACATGTCCTCCAGTTGTTGTCACATCTGGGCCCAGCTCACTCTGGCCGAAGAAAGCCTATCGAAACCCCTTGGACCAACTCGTGGGCTTCTTGGACAATAAGCATGGACAAGAATGGGAGATATTCGAATTCCGGGCGGAGGGCACAGGATATCCCGACTCAGAAGTGTACAACAGAATCCACCACTTCCCCTGGCCAGACCACCACCCACCGCCCTTTGCCATAATCCCCAATGTTATGGCTAGTATGCGTAACTGGATCAAGCGATTAGATGAGGATACAGGGAACGACCCTCAGGAGGAGGACAAGAAGAAGAAGCGAGTGGCGGTCATACACTGCAAGGCTGGAAAGGGTAGGAGTGGCACTGTCGTGTGCTCATATCTAATCAGTGAGGAAGGGTGGAAGAAAGAAGATGCACTCGAACGCTTCACCGCCCGCCGTATGCGCGCTGGGTTCGGGCACGGCGTGAGTATCCCTAGTCAGCTGCGTTGGGTAGGGTATGTGGATCGCTGGGCGAATCAGATGGGCAAGACATACGTGGAACGACCGGTCGAAATAGTTGAAATTCATGTCTACGGTCTGAGAGATGGAGTTAAGGTCTCTGTGGATGGATATGTCGACAATGGCCGCCGCATACAGACCTTCCACACCTTCAACCGTCACGAAAAGACCGTGGTCGAAGAGGGCAACGGTTCCTGGCCCTCAGCACCACCATCCAACCACGAGTCTCCTTCCAACAAGGACGACGAAATGTTGAGTACTCCTGTCAAAGGGACCCCTCAATCCTCCAGCTTGCAACTCAACCACACGTCGTCCGGATCTACTCAGACGGTCATCCTGAAGCCCTCCTCACCCGTCATCCTCCCCACCAGCGACATTAACATAGACTTTGAACGGCGCAACAAGGCTGGCTACGCTGGATTCACCGTTGTTACAGCCCTTGCCCACGTCTGGTTCAATGCGTATTTCGAGGGAGGCCATGAAGGCGACGACTCTGGCGTCTTTGCGATCGAGTGGGATGCCATGGACGGGATCAAAGGTAGCTACAGGAAAGGCACCAAGGCCCTGGACCGACTGAAGGTGGTGTGGAAGTATGCGAAAAAGGAAGGAGACAGTGCACCTTTGGAGCGAGTCATCACTCAGCCCCGGGAGGGTGAACCGGTACCAGAAAGTCAGCCTGCAGATTGGCGTGGCGATGATGGAGTGTCCTCGGCCGAGGTTGTGGATAGTGGTCATTCAGGAGGAGCTGCCCTCCAAATCGGTGCAATGATCGATGAGGGGGTGGTGTCGATGGGCAAGAGGTTGGGTCTGAGGAAGTCGCATCCCGACAGTGCCAATCTGAGTCGTGCGTCGAGTCCCGTGGAGGATGACATGGCCCCTGTACGCAAGAACACCGAGATCCGCAAGGCCGAGGATTCTGAAGACGAGGGCGTCAAAGTATGTGGTCCCGGTGGTGAAGATCAAGTGTCATATGACGATTCATCGGAGAACGAATTGCCTGGGCATCGGGATGCCAACTCTGGAGAGGGAGCGGGGGTCGGTCTCGGCAAGGCCGCCCATATTTTATCACAGATGAAGCCTGGGAACAAAAGTGAGGAGGAGACCCAGCAACAGTCAGAAGGGAAGCATTCGGCATGAGACCCTGTCCATTGAGGTGACACCACCATCACCCCCTGTCTGAATTGCCATTCGGTGCCATGGAAGTACAGAATATACTGAGTCTGTGCAGATGCATACTAAGATGGCGGCGATATCTCTCATATTCCTGATAACAGCTGGCCCAGGTAGTCTTTTCTGACCACGGCACCAAATCTGTCCCCCGGATCAGTCGAGCCAATGCAACAGTTGTTCGGGGGAGGGAGGTCGAGCTTACCCGTAACACCTGATGTGGCTGAGCAGCTTGTCAGAGATGAAGGTCAAATGGTCGATCCTGATTGTGTCGAAGTTCGGAGTCGCCTTGATCAGGTGCCACACTTGGATTGGGGTCAACTCGGAGCCTTCGATGGGTAAATCGGTCGACATGGCCAACAATCGCGACAGAACCGCCGTCGGAGCGCTCCATGAGGCGCAAGAGGAAAGGTTGGCGGATGGAGCATTGCAGAGCAAGGCGGCTGTTGCCGTGTGGACATGACCGTGCGGTGCGGTCTGATCGTCTCCGGGCTGACATATGTGAGGTAGACAAGGCCTCTCGAGCCTGACGAGGTTGGGGTTAGCATGGAATGTTGGACGATGAGCAAGAAAAGGCGGTGCATGACTTGCTTCAGAACGAACTCCATCGCTACGACCACACCGTCGAGCTGTGCCACCAAAGCTTGACTGCTTTCCACCAAGAACGACCTGTCCAGCGACCCCAAAGCACGCGCATCTCCACCTGTGGTCAAGCGTCAGCGTCAGCGTATGGTTCAGTATTCGCGAAGTCTTTCTCGTCCTTACCCGACCATTCCTGCTGGGGCTCCTTCTGATGCGACGCGTATGGGTCTTGCGGTGATGGCCTGAGGCTCGTGTCGGTCACCGGAGTGAGCGGCCACGCGGAGTCGCTGGAGGTAGAGGTAGGCGGCGTCAGCTGAACGTGTAATTGATACGGCTTGTCATTCTGAGCCTCGACCCAGACGAGAGTGCTGGTCGCGTTTCTGTTTCTGTTTCCGTTTTCGATTTCGATTCCTTTTCCGTAGAGTGGGATTGGGTTCGGGTCCGGGTCGACAGATACATGAAGCCTGTTGGACTCCTGGCCCTGGTCAAGAGACATGATTCCCGCAGGGACATAACCCCACGCATTCTCATATTGACCGCGGCGTTTTCTTTTGCTCTGGTCGGACCTGGACCGGAGCTCTTCGTTGACCAGCAAAAGCTCCTGTTGGAGTTGATCGACCCTGCTCTGCAGCTGCGACTCGGTGAGCTGGAGACGTCGGACCTGCTGCTCCAGCGTTTGCAGATACTGGTCGCGCCGTTCTTTGAATGTCCTGTGACACACACCAATCAGCCCAGGTCCGCTCAGTTCAGGTCCGCTCGGTTCAGGTTAGGTCAGGTCAGGTCAGTTCAATTCAGCTCCGCTCCCAGAGTGTCTGTCCTGATCTATTCTATCGCGGAAGATGAGAAGATGAGATGAGGATTGACTAGAAAGAACCGACTTTTGTGCTTTTCGTAGTTGCTCGCGGCGATTGGCGACGCGGTCTTGGTCCACGGTCAGCATGGCGTCTTCAAGAAATGTGCAAAATAATCGCCGTCATGGGCATGGTCACAGGCATGGGCATGAGTATGAGCATGAGCATGGGCATTCATTCACCTTCGACGCTTCGGAAGAACGGCCGGAACATCTCGCCCATGGCTTGGGTTGCTTGTCCAGCTCCGTACGGGGTACAGTACTCTGTGTGTACCTTAGATTGTAGGTCCACTAGACTCTGGTCGGCGGTCGACAGACGACAGACAGGATCGGTGACGGTGACGGGGACGGGGACGGTGACGGTGATGCTGACAGTGACGCTTAGGCTGACGCTGCTAACAATAAATGATTGATTCCAAATCCAATCGAACCCAAACAACCCAACGCAGTCTCAGGCCACACCGAGATGGAATGGAATGGAATGGAGCGTTCTTGTGAAGACGGTGGGAAAGCTCGAAAATGAATAGCACTGTCACTGACCGGAGTCTCCGTACTCGTACAGTATCACAATCACTCTACCTTATGGGCCCTGAGGCCCCTAAGCCTAGGAGCGCCTAAGCCCCTACAGTAAGGCTAAGGAGATGATGGAACCCTTGGCTTCTATTTAGTACATGTCCTTCCGTACTGCCACCCGCACAACGGAGTCTCCTCTTCTCTTCAGACTTGTTTCGTTTCAGGCTCAGGCTCACGCCGGCTCGGTGATGACTGATCGCTAATCCAGAATTCCCGCATCCGGCCTAGTTCACTCCACCGGCGCGAATCGAATCGGGAAATTTCAGATTCATAATCAACTTGAACGTCCCGTCGACATCGACGACGATGGTCTAGTCTACTCCGTGGACTTGGCCGCGACAACTGGAACATGAACAGGATTGAAATCAAGGCCGTGACAACTTGAACAGGAATAGGATTATGGAATCAGGGCGAGGGGTGAGGGGCGAGTGGTGGTGCTCTGCTCGCCAGAAGACAGTTGACGGTTGGACTATAAAGTCAGGATGGGAACTCGAGCAGAACCAGACCAGAATGAAGAAGAACATTGTCTTTTGTCTTCGATAGTGGCAGCCTGAAGAATTGTCATATTTGGTTGTAGGGATACTTTCATTCTATCCAATCATTCAATCATTGAATCATCCAAACATCCAGACATCCAGACATCCGAACATTCAAACATTCAGTCATCAGTCAATCACTGGTTCACTCATTCACTTTTTCATACATACGTTGACTGAGATTGAAGCTGTCCAGCCCAACCGTCTGACCAATATCTGCCCAACATGCCCACCAGCGTCACCACCACGCTTTTCCTCCTGGCCTCGCTCAGCCTGGCTGCCTTTGCTGCCCCAGCCCGTCACGTCAGACCGGCCGGCCACGCTCCTGCTCCGGCACAGCCTCGAGCCATCTACATCATCACGAATGACCAGACGAACTCGGTGGTCGCCCTGCCTGTCGCGGCCGACGGCACACTGTCGACGGGGACGGTGACCGCGACTGGCGGACAGGGATCCAACAGTGTAGATGGATCGAATCAGCCCGCGGCACCTGATGCGCTGGATGCTCAATCGTCCTTGACGCTGGTCGGCAACGTAAGGCTTCCTAACCCTAACCCTAACCCTAAGCCCCTTTTCCCAATTTCCCTTTCTGTTCCCACACGTTTTTGGTGGTATAGTGGCAATGCCCGAGCACCACTTCACCAACGGATCTCCCTCCCTCCCTCTTCTCAACCAACCCTCCCCTAGCGCCCTCTCCCTTCCACTGTCCACTATCCACTGTCCATGTCAAGCGTCAACGTGAGAACACTCAAACTGACCTTCCATCCTATCTCATCAGAACATCTTCGCCGTCAATGCAGGCAGCAACACTCTCTCCATGCTGTCGTTCCCAGCCCAAGACCCAACCCAACTCACCCTGGTGGGACAGCCGGTCCCAGTGTCCGGCCAGTTTCCAAACACGGTGGCGGCGTCGGCCAAGAACAAGCTCGTCTGCGTCGGCACCACGGGCGCGGAAAATGGCGTTTCATGCTCGACCTTTTCGCCCCGCGGGCTAGGCCAGATGGATGCCCTGCGCTCCTTTGGCCTCAACCAGACCACGCCGCCAGTCGGGCCCCTCAACACCGTGTCGCAGCTGTTCTTCTCCGAAGACGAATCCCGCCTGTTTGCCACCATAAAGGGAGATCCGGCCGTCAACAACACCGGCTTCTTCTCCGTGTTTTCCGTCCAACAGGCACAACCACAGCAACCGCACGCCGGGAACGGGAAAGGGAAGAGGAAGGCAAAGGCACCGTGTGCGGCGTCGTTGGCCACTCAAGATATCCGAAGCTCGCCGTCCGGAACGGCGGTACTGTTTGGATCCCAGAACATCCCTGGCACGTCGTCGTCGGTCTTCGTCACGGACGCGTCGTTCGGCGCCGCCGTGCTCGCGGTCGACCCGGCCACCAACCTGGCCTCGCTGGTCGGGAAGCAGGCCATCGACGGCCAGAAAGCCACTTGCTGGTCCACCATCTCGCCCGCCACGGGAAGCGCCTTCGTCACCGACGTCCTCGTCGACCGTGTGGTGGAAATGAGTCTGACCGATGCCACCATTCTCTCTACCATCGACTTGTCGTCCAACGGAGACCCCGGTATGATCGACTTGGCCGCCGCCGGGAACTTCATCTATGCTTTGTCGCCTGGCAACGGTACCACCGCTCCCGCCGTCACCGTGCTCGATGTTTCCGGCGGCCAGGGCTCGGCGAAGCAGATCCAGCATTTCCAGCTCGATGCTATGGGCGTCGATAAGAATGCTGTGGGGTTGGTGGTTTTTTGAGGGAAGGGAGCTTCAATTATGGACTATGCATGGCTGGGGGTTGGGAGTACTGTATAGTCTCAAGTAGCCAGAGGGAGGTACTTGGTACTTTGGGAGAAAAGTCTTTGACACTTTCAAGGGTTTCTTTTCTTTCTTTTTTTTCTCTTTCCTTTCTTTCCACGTCGTGGAGTATAGTCTCGCAGGTATATACAACGATTCGAGGCGCGGGAGGAGACTGAGAAGGAATGCAGTGCAAGTTGTTGGTGATGCTGCATTCGTCCAGCAACACAAGCGTAAGGGCCCTTGTTAGGCCTAAGCGCCTTAGCCCTAAGCTCCCTAGCCCCTAAGACCCCCTAAAACTAAGCCTAAACCCTGCCCAGCCTAGGTAAGGTTTCGGAGGTGGTCTTGGCTCTTTAATGCCAGTGCAGTGCCAGTCTCGGGCGTTATAGTAACTCAAAACGCGGTGGTGTACGTACAATGCCTTTCTAGGTATCAATCACGCTTATGCAGTAAACAGGTACCCGTATCCGTACATGCTCACTCTATTCCGTACTCCTATATTCCTATCCAGCTCTTCCAGGACGAGCCTGTTTCAAACCCGTCTCGGTCACCTTCTGATGACGTCGAACTGCGTTGGTGGATACGGTGTACGGTGTACGGATACATGCACTCCGTTCCAGGGAGCATCTGCCATCCCACTTCCCACTCGGACTGCTCCGCGGCTCGTCTAAAGGCTGGGCGAAGAAAGACACCGCCAGCTTGACCGCATGGCCGCGAAGACTCAAACTTGGGTGGAGGAACGACAGTACTTCCCAAGCACGTTGCACTTGCGGTCGAAATTTGCCTCCTTCCAAATTTCCATCAAGAGATGGCCTCACGCGGCGACGATCGGCCCTACAAAGTCGTCTACTCTACCCGTGCCCGAGACCCAGCTCCAGATCCAGATGCCAATGCCGCGCCCCTCCACAAATCCCGACGTGAAGTCGGTTACGAGTACGACTATCCCCTTGAGAAATCTTCCTCGCGTGACTATCGGTTCGAAGTCGACAGACGACCCCGGCCCAGTGAGCAAACCTATCCTGAAGCCATTTCGTTGGGGTCGGCTTCGGCTGGCGGCACCACCAAAATAAAGTATGAAGTGGGCAGGGCCAAAAACGCCGATGTCTACGTCAAACGATCCAATACTCTAGTCATCGAGCGGCCTGGAAACAATGCCCGTTATGGTTCTGAGTACGAAGTTCTTCGGCCAGAAAGGAGAGAGGACGGGTCTTACGTGGTCGAGATTGGAGGGCGAGGCCCACGAGGCCCCCGAGGCTATGTTGACCGCGACGTGGATAGTTCCGATACCCCATCCCGCGCAAGCTATTCTGGCGCCCCCAAGTCTTCACGAGGTGACGATATTGCCATTTATGAGACGTCTCGACGACCGGGACTCGGAGATCGAGATTGGGATCGGGATCGGGATCGAACAGTCCACCAGTTCAGCTACAAAGACGTTGAGATCGTGGAGGATCCGGACGATGACCCGAGATATTGGCGGGGCCGAAGACCAGAAGCTCATATGGACAGTGCCGCCCCTCCCAAGCGCCGCAAGAGCGCCATGCGAGGTAGGAACAACACTCCTCCGGAAGTGCTGGGAAGCAAACGATCTCAGAGTGTGGGCTTCTACCGAGACCAAGTCAGCGACCACGACGCCAGCGAACAACGCCATGAACGGCCTGGCGCTGAGGCTCGCATCACCGGCCGGTATCTGAGAAGCCACCCAGACGATGATGATGACTACGGCCGTGCAGGCAGGTCCCGACTCAGAGATGACTACGGTCCTCAACGAAGCGACTTGCGATTGAATGATTACGAATATGACAACGACCGAAGCACATATACGGAAGAAACGATGCGACGATACGAATATGAAGATGACGAGCGCCCGGCTCATCCTACGCGGCTACGACACTCGAAAACATATCGCCGTGACCAACGCGACGATGATGACCGGTCGGCTTACTCTGGCTTCGAAAGCAGGAGCAGGCATGGATATTATAGATAGATGTGAATGGAATGCCACGCCTTGTTTGGCGGCGACCTGCTTGTGATTTGTCGACGAAACGGCATTTCTTGGTGTTTCTGTTTCAGAGATCGACCGATCCCCGAGCAATATATATATAAGTCCAACCTCATGAATCCCCCGATGAAGCAAAATATTTGGGTGCTGTCTCTCGAAAATTGTCCTTATCCTGATATTGCAATTGAGCCTCAACTATTTGAACTCCACGCTTGACCTGAAGCGCTTATATCTTTCCAGTCCTTTGAGCAGTCACCCAACAGACTCGAGTTTCCGTACCAAGGAATTCTACATCCCTGTAGCCCTGCGACTGTCTTCACCTGACCTAACCCGAGCTGGATGATTTTGGCACCCACAGAGACGATCTCGTTCACCATTGACCAGTCTATAAGATCTAAACTACGCAGAGTATGTCAAGATACTCGCCGGCCCGGCGGCAGAGCCTGTCGCAGCGCAGGGCTTCATGAACTACCAGTCGCGCCCGAGGAATCACTCATCTTCGTCTTCTAGTAGCGGGAGTCAATGTGAATCAGCTGTTCTAGCATCTGTCTGACGCTTGATGGAGCTGTTTCCTGATCGGAATTTACTGCCGCCACTGTTCGGCGGCCCTTCCACGGTCAAGGACTCGATTGACGTTGGAGGGCATCGAGACCACCAACGCCGCGTGTCCGCCCTTGGCATTCATGGCCACCATATCGGCAGCGTGCTACCAGAGAGTCATCTGCCACGGTGCCCTGTATGTGGGCAAGGTCAACCTGGGCTGGTTGGCAACGGGACTGAGTGGGAGTCGAAGTCCCTCCGGAATTCACCACTCGGTGTTCAGCGAAACACATATCTCTGGGGGGAGCAGCAGCAGCAGGAGTTGTGTCAGGTCAGGGCCGTCTTGGTAGGTCAAACATGTAGTGTAATGTGATCCGGTATCCTGGGGTCTACACTGACTGTCACTGCTTCTGCTTGGGCAACTTTTTCTCTGGCGACAGACAGTGCCAGCTGGCTTCAATGGGGTGGTTGGATTCAAGCCGACTCGTGGCTTGGTGTCGTTTGCGGGTGTCACCCCCAGGGGGCTTGCTGGTCGGTGGATTCCACTGCCTTCGCCACCCGATGATGCGCGCCCCGTGTGGCACCTGAGGCTTGTGAAGGATACGACGAAGATGACCGATACTCACGAGACACCTTCCCTCCTGAACGACACGTCAATTCGCTGGGTGGTCAGCGTGACGCGTTCCGGTCCAGATTTGGTATTCCACCACCCCGGAGGCTCTCGAGGCCTGTTCGCCTACCTACCGCAAGTTGTTCGAGGAAGCTGTGCGACACTTGCACAGCCTGGGCGGGACGCTGTTACCATTGACTGGACATCGTTCCATGTCGCCAGGAAGCTGTTGTGTCGGAGAAGCTGGCCAGTCTGCCAGACAATTTCCTGGAGAAGAACAGCCGACACCTGCGCCCGGTCATCGGGGAGCTATTTGATATTTGCACAGGTCGTAGCACGTCAGAGCACGGCAGTCGAGCTGTTCCGAGATCTGCGAACCAAGGCTACAAACCAAGGCTAAGGCTCAGGCTCTGTGCACCAGAAAAGCCACCTCACAGTTTGCAGCACCAGAGCAGCCGACCATGATTATTGAAGCCATGCTGGCGGATTCCATTCGACTCAACGCAAAGATGCGCGCCTTCACCAGGGAGAAAGTGAGGGTGAGGTTGAGGCCAGGGACCGGCGTTAGGCGGGGAGATGAGCAGGGTCAGAATCAGGGTCAATCGCAGCGTCACCACCCATGACTGATTGATGACTGATTGATTGACCTCCTCCTGTTATACCCGTACTCCGTACTGTGATCCATATTCGTCGTCCTACAGCGTATCCGTACTCTGTACAGTGCGCAGGGCTACTACTACTACTACCACCACAACTACCACCACCACTAGTTTATGCTTACCTATTACTATGTGCTGACCCGCCGATCCAGGGCTTGGACGCTGATAAAGGCCCCCTGGTGCCCCCAGCAGGCCGGCCATCCCACCCCTCACGTGACCGCGGCTGGCCGCCCGGCTGGCCAATGGCTCGCAGGCAGCTTATCTCGTCGACGACGCTGCCTCCCAAATTCCCAAATTCTTACTCAATCAATTGCTGCTTCATTCGCCGTGCCCTTGTGCCCTGTTGCGGCGACCCAATCTGCCACCGACCCTGGGTTCCGCTATGCACGTCCCCGGTCCCTCAATTCTACATTGCCAGATCCGCCTCAAACCCCTTTGGGCAGTCCAGACGTCCCGAACACCGCCATGTCCGACCAAGTTCCCAACCCCAGCGACCATGTTCCCATGTTCCTGTTCAACCCTCAAAACCCTTTCTCCCCCGAGGACAGCAGCCTGTCCTGACACCTCGCACCTCCTCTGTAGAGCTGGGCACATTGCACAATCGATCAAAAGAGACAGGTCGGCCTTGAAGCCAGCTCCTGCGCCGACAGTACAGAAGACAGAGGACCGACTCCAGAGTTGAGAGCACACTTCCGGTAGTACGTATCCTTGCGCCTGCATCGGCTTTGATACTAGGTAGTGGACACGCCGCAGAAAGAAATCTAATCCCCGCCAGTCCCCAAGCCAGCAGATATCAATCAAATACTACCCAAGTACTACGGAGTACGTACTGTAATGCGGTGGCCTGGGATTGCCCGACGTCGCCAATAATAAAGTCCCTGATTATCATCGGGCCCGGTCCTCCACATCAGGAGCAGGAGCATGCTATCAAGCATGCCGCAACCTTTCCAGCAGCTCCAGCCGCTCCAGCACCTATCCGACCACTTTCCTCCTGGATCTGGCAGTACCAGTAGCAGTGGCAGTCTGTCCAGCATGAGCTCCCCCGCCACCACACCTCGCGTGGGCGATAACAACGCTCATGCGGCAAACTTGGCTACCCTGCGGCCCGATCGACCCTGTGATTCCTGTCGCCGCCGCAAGAGTCGCTGTGTCATCAATTCCGACGCGGTCGCCTGTGTCATGTGCCAGTTCCACCGGCAGGCCTGTACCTTTGTCGAGGAGGCGGTGCCGAGGAGGCGCAAACCCACGAACCCGAACCCTGTCGCAGTGGTATCTTCCGATACCACCACCACTGCCGCTTCGGGTGCTTCCTTAGCTCGACACAGACGATCGTGAGGCTATTCCACCCCTCCCCGTCCCAAGCGGGACCAGTCCCGTCTGTATGTTCCTCCCCTATCATCAGGCTAAATAGATAACAGAGGCTCGGACGGCGACGGCCACGCCCCACGAGGGCAATCAGGGGATTACATCGACGATTATGCCAACCTGCAGGGAGAGTCGTTGTTGAAGAAAACCCTTGGGTACGTAGCGCGATATGCCCCATATTGTCGTTCTCGCCTTCAATATGCCTTTCTTAACCTTCTCCCCGCGGCTGACCTCCATGGCTAGCTTGCAAACCCACCGGTATGCAAAGTACATTGGTCCGACCGACGAGCATGACTTTGCCCTTTTGGATCTGAGACTGTACGACGACGCCCAGGGAGAGTCTCCGGCCGACCAAGGTTCCTTTCGCAAAGTCGGTCAGAATGAGTTCTTCCACCAATATGACGACGCGGATTCCCCCAACCACTTCAGAGATGTCGAGGAGTTGGATCAGATCGAGCACATCGTCGCCCCTTACGGCGAAGCTTTGATTACGCTCTACTTCCGCATCGTCCATCCCAGCTTTCCCATCTTGCACAAGAAGGTGTTTGTGGAGAAATACGCCAGAAGCTATCGCGAGTTTTCGCCGCCCTTGCTGGCGGCCGTCTACATTCTCGCGCTGAACTGGTGGTCCTACAACGCCGATTTGGCTAAGTCGCGAAAGCCCGACGTCGGACTTTTGGAGGATATCGCCTATCGCACGTTGCAAGATGTGTCCCATCGGGCCAAGCTGTCGACGGTCCAGGCGGGACTGCTACTCCTCCAGCGTCCAGGGAGCAATCAAGCGTGGCAGTTGACTGCTCAACTGGTCGCCATCGGGCAGGATCTGGGATTGCATCTGGATTGTTCGAACTGGCGTATCCCCGCCTGGGAAAGGGGACTCCGCAAACGGCTGGCCTGGGCTCTTTTCATGCAAGACAACTGGTCCGCTTTGATCTACGGGCGCCCTCCACATATCTCCTCGACCAACTGGGCCGTCCAACCGATCACGGCCGGGGACTTTCCCGAGCAGACGGAAGATGAATGCGAAGAGGCCGAGGAGGACGGCAGCGCGGATGTGGAAAAGGGCCGCACACTGTTCAGTGCCATGATCACTCTCACCAAGATGCTTGCTGAAGTGCTCGAGGCGCTCTACTCGCTGAAGGCGGAAACCGAGGTCAAGAATGCCTACGACACGACTAAAGCCATCCTAGAAAGGGCCAAACCCATCCAGCTGAAACTGCGGGCGTGGTATGCTGATATGCCCGAGGTTCTTCGGATGGATGCTACCCGGGCTGGTAAGTTGAGTTCAGTCGGCTATCTACATCTGGCCTACTTTGCCACGGAGATCACCCTTCACCGTCGCGTGATTCGATCTCTGTCGCAGAATACCGACCCTTATTTGATCCAGATCTGCCGGTCGGCGGCCAAGGCGAGACTGATCAGCGCCATGGACTTCTTCAATCGACTCAAGCCGGAACACCTGCAGTCATTCTGGTATTTTGCGTCCAAGTTCAATTTTGCCCTGATTGGCACTTTTGCCGGCTTGTGCTTCGTCACTTCACACAGCCAGGAAGAAGGCGAATTCTACCGCCGACGGCTCCAAGAGTACCGCTGGACATTGCGGGTGTCCAACAAGAGTGCCGAGTTTCTGGAGATTGCCAGTGGCATTCTGGAATCGGCCGTGGGAGCATTGTTGAAGGCGGCCGACACGATTGACAGCCGACGTCTTGCATTTCCCATGCTTCAACATCAGGTGGAAGCGGAGGACGGCCCAATCGACTCCTTCTATCTGGGTGCTGAAGAAGTGTACTACGACACCCCAATGGAACCTTGACCAGGAGTGTCCTCAGTCCTGGAACCATGACCAGGTAATTGGCTATTAGCTTATCAATGCACGGGCGACGGCACGGGTGTGCTGACGCTAACGGAAGCTGTTAGTAAGGATATCTCTGATCCGAGAATCGGGATGGATATCCGAGCTTGGAACCAGAACCAGATCCACACGGCCACCATGATGTAACTTGGAACTCAAACATGCGCGGTCAAATCCGACGTGAGATCGTCCTCGTTGCCTAGGCGGTCTATGGTCAGGCTGTTCAAGCCCGATCTTGAAGTGACAGTAGACTGACGCATGTTGCAAGGTGGACTCATGTGGTAGGGTGGTCGTGGTTTCACATTTCAACAGGCTGATCTTCAACATATCACGGAGTCTCAGTGACCTGTCGTCGCGATGTGCTCCGTCCGGCTTCAGTCATCCCATGTGGAAAGTCTCATGTACACTCGGTTTGGGACGTCAGGGGTATGACTGGAGAAGCCGGAGTGGTGGTCTGCCTATGCTCCTCCACTGCAGCCAGCACCATCCCTACTCGATATTTTCAGTGAGACGAGGGGGGGTCTCGTGCTATCGACTATGGTCAACTGAGCGACTTGTCATCACAGAGCCAGCTGCATGGTTCATCCGGGAATACTTCTCGTCCCTCCATCTTACCACTGCCGCCGTCTCGTTCACCTCGGTCTTCTCAAATGAGGTGTGCACTTGTCTGCAGGGCGTAGGACTCTGCGCAGCGACCGGATCAAGTCATCTCGCCGTCGACCAGGTTGTGTCTGGTTAGTTGGACAGCTCCTCGGGCTCGGGCTGTCGACATGTTTGCGGCGATGCTCCTGCCCTGATGCTGAACGGAAAGATGTGGCATGTCAGCGTGACATGATAACCTCATCACTTGGTCCGACTCACTCGGCTGCTGTGGCTGTGACTGGTCGGGACATGCGTGTACGGAGACATATAGGCATCTAGGTCGATACAGTAACATGATTCTCGGCTGGTCCACGGCCAAGGCTCAGGCTCAGACTCAGGCCAAGATTATGTACATATACCCTGTAGGTGTCCTGTATACCTTACTGTACCCTGTATCCGTACTCCGTACCCCGTATCCTGTACCCCGTACCCCGCCGATTCGTATTCGTACCTGAAACCACTCCCACTCCCACTCCCCTGGGAATGGAGTTTGGGACCGACTTGGCCGAGGTTACGGTTCCTGTTCCTGTTCCTGTTCCTGTTACTATCTATATATCTCTCTTGTTCCTGTTCCTGTCACTGTCACTGTTCCTGTAGCTATATCTCTCTACTATCTATACCTCATCCTCATTCCATTCATACACTTATAGGTACTCACACTTACTCACTTACTCACCAAACAGTTGATTAATAGTCCAAGCATAGCCGTACTGGACTGTACTGTACATAGGTACATATCAACATCACCACCGCCACCGCCACCGCCACTCAGTCGTGTCCCATAGTCTGCTATTAAACACCCAGCCGGGTCTACTGTGGTCGCCGGCGTCTACAAGCGACACGACCACAAAAGAACCACGCGAGAACCACGCAACAACCACTTGACATTACACAACAACAACATAATAACCACTCAAAAACCACTCAACCACTCAACAATGACAGCCACCGTCCACGGCCACGCCGACCCGGCATTCCAAGGCCTCCGCACGCTGATGCAAGAACTAATCGAGTCCGGAGAAGAAGACGGAGCGTCGCTGGTGATCAATGTGGCCGGGCAGAACGTGGTCGACCTCTGGGGCGGGTACGCGGACGCGGGCCGCACGCAGCCATGGGCCCAAGACACCATCACCAACATCTGGTCGTCGACCAAGCCCGTGGCGGCGCTGGCCACGCTGATGCTGGTCGACCGTCAGCTGCTGGACCTGGACGCCCCCGTGGCCCAGTACTGGCCGGAGTTCGGGGCCGAGGGCAAAGCGGACGTGGACGTGGACGTGGACGTGGTGTTGGTCAAGCACCTGCTGGCGCACACCTCAGGCCTGTCGGGGTGGGAGCAGCCGTTCAGCGTGCAAGACCTGTACGACTGGGACACGGCGGTCGCGCGCCTGGCACGTCAGAAGCCCTGGTGGGCGCCGGGCTCGGCGTCGGGATACCACTCGCTCAGCTACGGCCACTTGCTGGGCGAGTTGGTGCGCCGCGTCACCGGCCAGTCCCTCCGACACTTTGTCCGCGACCACATCGCCGGCCCGCTGCAGGCCGACCTGCAGATCGGCGCCGAGGAGCAGGACTGGTCGCGCATCGCGCCCGTGGTGCCTCCGCCTCCGCCGCAGCAGTCGACGAGCGAAGCCAACGACGGTCTCGCCAAACTCGACCCAGACTCGATCTCCATCAAGACCTTCACCGGCCCGGCCATCGACGCCAGTGACTCGTGGTCGCCGGAGTGGCGCCGCCGCCAACGGCCACTCCAATGCCCGCGGCCTGGCTCGCGCCTTGTCCGCCATCACGCTGGGCGGTACCGTCGACGGCGTCAAGCTGTTGTCGCCCCAAACCATCGACCGGATCTTTGACATTCAGGCTGACGGCACTGACCTCGCGCTCGGCGTCCCCATACGTTTCGGCATCGGCTTTGGCTTGACAGGTGGTGCCACCGCCCAGGCTGTAGATTGGTTGCCCGCGGGTAGAGTCTGTTTCTGGGGAGGCTGGGGCGGCAGTTCGATCGTCATGGACCTCGATCGTAAAGTCACCTTTTCTTATGTCATGAATAAGATGGGTGGTGGTCTTCTTGGCTCGGCCAGAACCGAGGCCTATTTAAAAGCCGCATACAAGGCCTTGGCCGTCGAAGGTTATTGATTGGGAATGGATAGGGTGTGGTGATGAGCTAGTAGTCAAGCCCTTAGCCGGTCGTGGGTCATGGGTCATGGGTCAAGCCTGTTCTGAAACGCACATGAGACCGCAGTTGAACGCCACGAAAAGCCTTCAGCTCGGGCGGCTTCTGGCATGAAAGGTTGGGTCGATGGCGACGTTGGTTGGCCGGCCTGGCAAGAGTCTCTGAAGGTGAGCAGTGATGTGTACTTGAACTTGAAAAGGTCGTACGAGGCATCGATGACTTTCCACCTCATCATCAACCCAAGACTCCGCGGGTTATACAAGTAACCATGGGAGTCTGTGAATCCAGTTGCTGACAACCTTTCATACGTGGCCGCCGCTCGGTTGCGCCAGGACATCTTGGAGTCGTTGTGCTACCGTTCGCAGGCTCTGTTCCTGGAACGAACTGGAGTAGAGATATTGCGCCATATGGTTGTGTAGGTCGTCGTAAGTGGAGTAGCCAAAGTATCGACATAGATTTACCGCGCGGACGATGAACCATTCCTGCTCAGGTAGACCATCCGATGACCAGACGCCGGTGAGGACTTCCCACAAGGTCAGCCCGGCCCGAGTTTCCTCCAAGGGGGGCAGGCGTCTATGGGGATCCCAGGATATGCAATCTTCCGTCCATCCTATGGTGGGACACCAAACAGCCAAGGCGGCCTCTTCGGCCATTTTAAGGCGCCGGGCCTGCGCCTTGGCCGTGTGGAAGCCCACCAACGTACAAGCATGGGTCATCAGTATCATGAGACAGATCCTCAAACCCTCGTGCCATATGTCGACGTCCGATGGACTGACGTGATTCTCAGGGGCCATGAAGGCCAGCGCACGAAGCACCGCCCTGGCCTTCCTGCATAGCCACTCGGCATCGAAGCAGACTGCAAAAGGAGAGAGCCACACCACCTTTGCGATTTCGATGCAATCGACCAGGTCGGAAACCACCGAGCCCATCTTTCCGCGGAACGCTCCAGCTTTGAGTCCGTGGGCGAGTCCAGTCCCCATTCGCAGATCCAACGTCTGTGCCAGGTCGGCAATGGTGTCGGTCAGACCTAGTGAAGCCTTGGGACCCCCAAGCGCCATGGAAGAGGGCCTAGAACAACCATAGTACCTCAGGCTCTGTGCCTCTCTCCGAAGGGCGGCCATGCGTTCCGGCAGCATGGGACCCGGATCGAAACTTCGTTTGATGACTGGAAGGGTTGCAGTGGTCAAGGCGAGTTGGTTATCCACGTGAGCCGCCGTCTCGGAGACCCAACGATCAAAGTGCTGTCTATGATCGAGCAGATGGAAGAGCCTTCCCACCACCTGAAGATGTTTTCTCGCATCGTCGTAGCGCCCATATTGCACTTCGTTGACCACCAGGAACAAAATGTCCAAGATGGTCTGTTTGTCGAGGTCGCCTGAGCGAGAAGCACGGATCAGCTCCTTACGGAGATGATATGAAGCAGCGGCTCGGAGTTCACCCGCGTCATCGCCAAACCTGGAGACATCGAAGCAATATTTCAACCGGGCCGCCATCAAAGCCATTAAGGCGTAGAGATGATATTCCTTGTAGACACTGCGCTCAACAACCTCTCCGATGGGGAATCGAGAGATGGTCGACCGTACGTGAGGGGGGAGAAATGCCAGCTTGTAATTGTTGCCCGAGTAAGTGTACACTTGCAGCGTATGCTGCAGGATGCTGTGGATTTGGGTCGTGATTTGGACTGGGGTGATGCCAAAGGGATCGACGCAGTCGTAGCCGGTGAAGTTGGCCCGGTAAATAGACGACAGTTGCAGGACGTCTCCATCGTCCGTCAGATCTAGATCCTCGTCAGGGGGGAGGTTTTGATCCTGGTCGTGGGTACCGTGGGCACCATCACTACTGACGACACCACGTGATGCGGGTGTTCCTGGTGACCGCCATGGACGTGTCCGGGAAGGTAGAGTGGCAGCCAACGGCCAGATGGACGCCGCACTGGCAGTGTCTGGACCAGTAAGACCGGTGACTATTGCTGGTGTCGTTACAGCAGTTGACCCGTCCTGATCAGGGATTGATGTCTGAGACGCCTCATTCGCCGGGGTCCTGAAGTTGTGTTAGTTGAGTCGACAAGGGGTGAATGTCAAGTTCACCGACTTACCCTTGGAGCTGTCCTCTGCGAAGCCATCCATCCAGCGCTATGCGACGAGCTGAAGATGAACTGGACAGAGCTGAGGATATTTTTTCAGCCTCGACCTTGCGGCTTCGAAAGTGTTGGGCGTGGCGATTAATCTGTTTCGCCACAGCGCCATCACTTTTGGAAAGCGACTTGGACTTTTGAGTCTTGTTGACGAAGAGATAGACCGGCTTGGAGTCCGTAGTATCTCTGTCCTTCATCCTTGACCATCAGAATGGGACATGGCGAACAAGGGAGTGACCAGATGCTGGTTAAGAGACCGGGAAACAAGGGGCGGGAGAGTTGTACCCAGTGACTGATCTGGAGGGCGTAGACTATAAGAGCGAAGGTTCGAGATCACAACCGCGGTGGAGGCGTTGGACGAAGACAGAAAGAGGGTGAGGGTGTGTGAGTGTGAGGGTGTGAGGGAGAAGAACGAGATGGAAGGGCCTGAGGCTTTTTTGGGTTGTAAGGCGATGAGATTCCGTACCACGTAATGGGAGGTAATCGAGCCACTTTACCACTAGTCCCAGGTACCAGGTACGGGCTGAGGGCTGGGACCTACCACCTACCTAGGCAAGGTATGATACCTACGGAGCCCTAGAGGATGACTATCTACCGGTAAGGTAATAGGTACCTGGTATGTATTGTACTGTCATAGGTCTTATTTTCGGGCGAACCCTAGTTGTTGGGCTAGTGTCTTATGTACTTACAGAGCCCATAGAGCCCCTAGAGCCCCTAAAGCCCCTAGAGGTTTAAGGGTTGAATAGGAGGGTGCCTTGGCACCTATAAGCCTTAGATCCTTAAAGTACATAGTACGTACCATATACTACTGTAACTCCCCGTGTAGTGTACGAGTGCTAGAAGTGTCCGCCCTAATACAGTGTCCCAGATTCCTTCTCCGTACTCCGAGGTACCTAGGCAGGCACCTGTATAGTACACAGAACATAGAGGAAATGCCCTCCCATAGGTCTAGGACTCAAGACTATCCCGATTCCAGCATCGACTCGATGGCCAAGGCCTTAGGAGCCTCTTAGCCTGATCAAGCACGCTGATGACCAATCATACAATCATACAGTCCAAAAGAAACCGAGGCCCCCTTGAGCCAGTAGAATGGGATCGAGTATCAGACACTAGAGTCCAGATACTACTCTCTCTTACGGAGATTGACATGGGATTGCGACATAGCGTTTAGCCCCTCCAGGCAGGATCAACCTGAGTTAATCAACATACATGAGTCCCAGTCCCAGTCCCGGTACACCCCCCTCGCAAACTGGGTTTAGCTTCTTCACATTCCTCTGCTCAACTAGTAGTAGCGGGCATGGTTTCATGGTGCTCGGCCACTCCCTCCCCCTTCCCAGTGCCTCTGGGCTCGTACACCCATTCGAGGACAGAGTGACATCTAGGGTCGTGCGTCGCCCTCAACTGGCCAGCCTTGAAGCTCTTGAACACCAGATTCGGTTCGGCAGACTCGAAAAGCTGCTTAAACTCATCCAGTTCTCGCACCTTGCCTTTCATCAGTGAAAACATGACATTGTCCAGTCGGCGTGTGGCAAGTTCCGCATAACTGGGGCCCGACCCCATGGGCGGCATCACGTACTCGATGCATATGACCCTGGCTCCAGGACGTAGTGCTGGCCGCAATGCTTGTACAATGCGACGCGCCCCAGCGTCACACCAGTTATGGAAGACCATGCGGAAGAGATACACGTCTGCTACCAGCGGTTGAGGTTCCAAGAACGAATGGGCTTGGAAGCTGATCGCTTCGCGGGGGAAGCTAGGGTCTTTGAATGTCGCTGCAATGGCTGAGTGGACCACTTTGGGTAGATCCTGCACGGTGCAGCGGATACCGGGTTCTTTGCGCACGATAGAAGCGGCAACAGAGCCAAAGGAGCCTCCACACTATCAGTATCGGTTAGTCGACAGGTCAAATAGATATCTGCTTTGTGGGAACCTACATCGACCAAGGATTTGCCTTTCAGTGAGCGCCAATCATAGCATCCTTGGATTGCCGCGTCCCCTTGCTGCGCAGCCTGCGCACGCATATGCGCCGCGAATCGTCGACCCTGGTCAGGGTTTGTTTCGAGGTATTCATAAAGTGGCTGGTTGCGTGCCAGGCTGAAGCCGCAGACGGTCTCCTTCTCGTCAGTGGGATCCTGGGTGCAGACTTCGCCCAGTTTGAATGAAGAACTTGGCAAATGGTCGAGCATGACTTCCATACCGTTAGCCATGAGGGGGTCGAGTTGCCAGATGACCGAATTGTTGCTATGTTGGACTTCGCCAGTCTCGGTTTCGGCAAGGTAGTTGGAGCACACGGCTGCAATGCGGACCAAATGTTTGAGTCGGTCTGCAGAGACACCAACTCTCGCTGACAGATCTGTATATGAGATCGACCCTTCCAAAGGAACATGCCGTGGGACTTGGAGTTTGCACAGAGCTTGGATTACTCCAGCTTCGGCGCTCTATTCTTCATTCAACAAATGGCACAGAAAATTGTGGGAGAGATGCTGACCTTGTAATAGAGGGCCTGCATGGTATCTTTCGGCCCAAGAACAAGCTGCTCTAGTTCTCTCAAAGTATCAATTAGTTGATTTCTCGCCTCCTCGCCCGACTCGTCAAGAGGTGGAATGGTAGTGCGCCGACCCGCGGGTGATGAGACTCCGTGAGCATCGTTCGCATGCCATGACTTGGTCAGGATTTCGGTTTGAGTGCTGACTGCGCGAGCGAGAACCTCGATTTGACACATGATGCGAAATGCCTGTCTGCAGGAGGAGGCCTGCACAGGGGGGACTGGACTGGTAGCTCTTATATGCGATCCCGCATTCACAACAACAACAACGGGCCGCGTCGATCGTAGCGCTTCCTCGAGGCAACAGGGCCCGGTTGGAGGGGGGATGCAGATGTGCCTAGGACCGCCAGGTCCGTAGCAAGAGTCGCGATCATCCTGTATAACGGGCAGATTGCCAGTATCAACCAGAATAGTCCACGGCAAGCCAATGCATGATGTGCATTTGCGCTTTAGTTGAAGAACCGCTGGGGTTGGCCTGTTGCAGTATCAGTCAAAGAAGCCCAAGAGCTTGGCTACCTGTGGATGAAAATAGTATGAGCAGTTGCATTGGCTAGACAGCCCTCAATGCATCATAGCTTGTCCGAAAAATGCATGTCTCGGTCGCCTTGGTGACTGCAAGGCCAGGACCTCTCATGTCCATTGGTCGATTGTCCAGATGCAAGAGTAGATCGACGGCAAAGATATGACCTGCATGATCAACATGGTTCGCTACTGGAACGATCTTCAATCTTTCTTTGGTCTTGGACACTAGTTGTTGTGCATGGCCAGCCAGTCCCTTCCAAGTCCAATCTCTAGCTGTGTATATTGATGCTCCTCGGCGCTTTTCATGACTAGTACGTGAAGTTGGGTCGACCGACGATTGTAAAGCTGCGGTTCTTAGAGCACAAGGACAAGTCTAGGAAACGCGAGCGGAGCCTACTCACGAGGAGTGATATCGACCTCGGCTAGGAATGAAAATCCCTTTTCCTTCAAGAGGAATGGTGGAGGTTGGTGCATAGGGCAATGTGAAATATCACAACTTTCAAGGTGGAGTAGTGTGGAAGCTTGAGTGGAAAATACGGCGCAATCAGCCACTTGGATCTTGGTCTAATACGGTCAGGCGAAGGGATCAATCCCCGCATAGCAACGCGAGAACTGCAGTGTGGTGGGATGGTAGAGAGTAACTTTAGATCAAGAGTGGATTTGAGGTGTTGTAGGCATCTGGTACCCGCAGCCACTTTCACACGTGACCCAGAATATGAGAGGGCCTTATCAGGCTGCCGTTAAATGACGCAATCACGAAGGAATGCCACACTGCAGGGAGTCCGCTTCAGTACCTGGCGAGTTCTGAGTCTGGAAGCCCGCCAGATGAATCCCTGGACCGAATTCATCTGACCGCTAGAGAGTAAAGCAAAGTCATAGGAAGGACAGCACCCGCATGTCTCAGCGTGACAAGGGAATGAGATATTGGCATTGTCCATTGAGCAAGCATGAATGCCTTCAGTATCAAGCCCTCCTACCCCTCTCCAGCTGTCACTTGTGTCTCGCTTGCATTTCAACTCATGCTCTCCTTCGTGTATGATTCACCATGCGAGAATGAAAACGGGCAGTCCAAACGCCGGCAATAAGCAAAGATCATGAACCCGATCGATCGAATGAATACATCGTTGCCCCTTTGGCGACGCGTCGGGTATGTATCGATCTTGGAAGACTTGTGCGCGTTTAGGACTCCCCAAAGGTGTTTTCACCCGAGTATCTGCTCATCCATCAGTATATCCCATAATAAAAACAAGGCGCCGTGGAACATACGTGATGTATAGGAACCCGTCTTCATCCTTGTGTTCTTCGTAGATGCTGCTCATGAGCGCGGCCGTGGGAGGGAGGACTTCGTCAACAAAGATGAAGATGGCTTTCTCGGGGCTGAGCTTGATTCGTTTGCGAATAACATAGACGAATTGGCCGACGGTCAGATCGGCGGGGACCAAGTACTTCTTCTTATCGATGGTAGCGATGTCGGATTTCTCGACCTTCTCACAGATGACCTAGCAGGTAGTTAGATGAGAGCCGTCAAGCCTCAACAGAACAATATGAATAGATACTTACAGGAATACGGTCGGCGTACTTCTGACGAATGCGTTCGGCTTCCGCCTTGCGCTTCTCGAACGGGTGCTCGTCCTTGAACTTAGAACGCATGATGGAGGATGCTGTCAAAAATGTGGTGTAGGGTACGTCCTAGTCAGTGTCGAGGTCTAGGGAATGAGAGAGGAAAGTCGAGGTTGGTTGTTGCGAAGGATAGGATGAATGAGCGAGGATGGCTGGTCGGTGAGTGAGAGACGGGGTTGTAGGCGGAGGCGGCGGCGGGGGGCAAATAGGCAGGCGCAGGTGCAACAGAGGAACTATCCCAGGTGGTGCCAGGCACAGTTGGGCCCTGTTACTACTGGCGGTTTAGTCACTGAACCTGCACTCTTGTTGCCTGGGGCGCTCCGTACTCAGGGTTGACGCCAGTAGAGTATCCTACTATTGGCTGTCAGTCGGCACGGGCCAAGGTCACGAAACTGGTGCTGATCAGGCTGGTAGAAACAGTACGTACCACGCTGACAGTCCTCGCTACTCGGTCCAGGTATGCGTGTCAGTCACCAGATTCCGATAAACTACCCACGAGGATTTGTCGTTATATACGAGGCTATGAGTCACGTAGAACAACACGAGGGATACTAGGTAATCACTCGAGAATCGAGATGGGAGCCCGAGGTGACTCCTTTGTGCCTGGCTTTGTCGACTTGGGGCCTGGCTGGCTTTGTCATTATTGGAGCCTGGGTCAACTGCTGTCTTCTAGACTTTGTTGCTCTGATGACTTACAGAACAGTGTGTAGCTCTCCTCGACGCAAGCAGAAAATCCTCTCCTTCGGTTGCTGCCGTTCTACACGTGTTTGGTGGTGTGAGCGCGCCCTGTCACGTGATGGTGGAGAAATGTTTCCCCGATGGTATAGGAGAGGAGGCCTGAGCCTTTCGCATCAGCTGTGAAGCGCAGTTGCAATACGGAGTACTACTGTAATAGTATATATCCAGACGACCTGCATACCTAATTTCTTTTCTACCTCGCATTTGTTGACTGTGTACAATTTCTTTCATGACGCTCGTTCTGTCGGTGGGATCAAGGCGTAGTCTCTAACAGCCATGTCCTTCTCTAGGCCCTCACCGAGCTCGTTTCGAGCCATGTCTGCCACAAGACTCAGAGCCGCAGTTGTTCGACAGTCCTCGTCGCCTTGCCCACGTTCCTACTTCTCAACCAGCTCTACTTTCAGATCTACTGCATCGTCTGCGTTTGCGCAACATTGTCGAACGATATGGCGTCCTTACTTGCGCATTTCTATCGGTGCCGCTTCCATTGGCATGTTGTTATATTCCATGCAACCCGGGCATGTTGTTGCCAATGACTCGCCACCCGTGCAGTCTGCGTCACTGGCCGAGATCGACGAGGTGACCAAGAGGAGAACCAATATCACACGCAAGTCGCCCATGCGGCTGCGAATGGAGGCTTTGATCCTGGAACACCAGAATCGTATAGTTTTTGCGCTGGAAAATATTGACGGAAAAAAGTTCAAACGCGATGAATGGGCCAGGCCCCATGGTGGAGGCGGAACGTCTTGTGTGTTGCAAGACGGCAATGTCTTTGAAAAGGCTGGTGTCAATACCAGCATTGTCTACGGCGAGCTCCCTCGTCCGGCCATTGAGAAGATGCGAGCAGACCACAAGTCATTTGTCGATTCGGACGTTGAGAAGTTGAATTTCTTTGCGGCAGGGATCTCACTCGTTCTCCATCCGCATAACCCTATGGCTCCCACTGTCCACCTTAATTACCGATACTTCGAAACCTCAGATCCCCGAGACCCAGTCAATGCGACCGGCACATCACAACAAAACTGGTGGTTTGGAGGCGGCACTGATTTGACGCCATGTTACCTGTTCGAGGAAGACGCAGAGCTCTTCCACAAGACTCTCAAGAATGCTTGTGACAAACATGACAAAAGCTATTATCCAAAATTCAAAAAGTGGTGTGACGAGTACTTCTGGATACCACACCGGAATGAAGCGCGAGGTATCGGCGGAATATTCTTCGATGATCTAGACGCGACCGCCCAGCCCGCTTCTAAAAACCCACAAGAAGATATTTTCCAGTTCATCGCCAGTGGCCTCGAGTCCTTCCTACCAGCATACCTACCAATCATCAAGAGACGGAAGGACATGCCATACCTGCCTGAGCAAAAGCTGTGGCAGCAAATCCGACGGGGCAGGTATGTCGAGTTCAACCTTATCCATGACCGAGGGACCAGCTTTGGTCTGCGCACCCCCAGCGCCCGAGTGGAAAGTATCTTGATGAGTCTGCCATTGACGGCTCGCTGGGAATATATGCATCCGGTTTCTGGTACTGGTGTCCAAGAAAACACCGACGAGGACTCGGAGCAGAATTATGACAAAGAAAAGGAGTTGATGGAGGTTCTCAAGCACCCACGAGAGTGGGTGTGAGTCACGACCTCAATGTCTGAGTGACGCCAGCCGATGGTCGTCAAACCCCAGCAGGACTGGCCTCGATATTGAGGTGGTGTGTGTCTCGGCAGAAAGCGAACGCAGTCACACAACTACTCCGTACCTGGTTCTGCTCTCAGCGATGCCTGGGCGGTGCCAACACTCTCGAAAAATGGTTGAGAAATTTCCTCACCACAGTGTCTGAAGTCGAGATGTTCCTCACCTTGAGACTCAGACACAATAGTGCTTCGTCGCAGAAGCTTCGCCTCTCCAGACACGGCATCGCCAACCGTCAGCGAGAGGATTACGTCGTCTTCAGACGGTGCCTGCTCAGAAGACCAGCGTGTCTTCTCTGATAGGGATATGTACTATAAAAGTAGCCACGGATTGATCGATATCGTTGTCAATCTCGCTCCATTCAGAATCAATAATGTTCCGCGACCGACAGTAAGACAGTCAGGTCTGCTGTTCCTGATTAGGAGTCAGCTCCCGTACTGATTGATTGAGATTAGGATGCTGACCTGAAAAGGTCGCTATATGTGTTACAAGTGCTTCTCTTGGATGAGAAGGATTCCATGCTTACCATGACCACAGATGCTATATGCTGACCAACTGTTTCGAACCACCGCAGGTGACCGCCCTATCCCAATCCCCCTTGCAAAGCTAGATCTATTTCAAGAGTTCATTCAGCTCAAGGACGAGCATTCAGCCGTGTCAGCAGACAGTCAGCCAACTACACCGCATCCTGCCTCTGTGGCTGCTTATACTCTTTGCACTCTCTGACAGCTGGCAAACTTTTGACTTGTTGATTTTTGCCTTCCGCCAGATCCTTTGGCAATGTCTTCTCTATCGAATTCTCGGTCCTGACTGTCCCACTCCGGACGTCTGCAAAGCAAGTCATGGGCTATCAATGCCCGAATGACACCAGTGGATTGTCACCATTATTCGATTGGTTCTTGTTGAGATTGCGCCCCAGACGTTTGTATTGTTTCGGTAACCTAGTAGCTGCTGGAAGGATGGTCGACACCGCCTCGGGTATTCAAGATACGAGGGCCTACCTCAGCCTCACTACTCGGGGAGCTGAGTGCAAAGTCTTATCCGGCCATTCTCTACCCGAGGCTAGCATTCTTGGTTTTTGGTATTTCAACAAGTCTGACTGTATCTGGAGACGGCAATGGAAGTCGAGGTAAGACTACGGATTCGCTTATCAGCTCTCGAAACGACGCCGATATAAGACAACTTTCTTCTCCCCGAGGTTGTACAACTGAGTCTACATGATAACATCTCTATTGCATCTTTCTGGCGATCTGGAACCTCGATATGAAAGCAGGGTTCAGTCTTGCCCTTCTGGGCAGTGTGTTGGCTGGAGGTGCCCACGCAATGCTGGAGAAATGGATGGGAGTAAGTGAGGTCGCTGGTCACAGGAAACGGTCACACTAATTCGGCAGGGCGGCGATTGTCCATGGCCCGGCCCGACTGTCACTGGATCTCATCCCCAGAAAGATATGCCAGATACAGGTCTGCACTCTGCCCGTAAAATCGCGATGAGACTGACTGAAGCAGGCGTCACAAGGTACTATAATTTCACCCTTTCTCGGGCGACTCTGGCCCCCGATGGAGTACAAGTGCCTGTAATCGTGGTCAATGGGCAGTATCCCGGACCTCTGATCGAGGCAAATTGGGGGGATTGGTAAGTGCGTGAACTGAAGACATGTCTACTCCTGCTCAAGCTAAGACAGGATCGAAGTCAACGTCCAGAACGAGATCTGGGGACCTGAGGACTTGACCACCGTTCACTGGCACGGTCTGAATCAAGCCGGCACACCCTACTTCGACGGCGTCAGCACTGTATCGCATTGCCCGATTGTGCCCGGTTCCAACTTGACCTACCGATTCCGTGCAGACGAGTATGGCACCTCGTGGTATCACAGCCACTATTCGGCCCAGTACTCAGCAGGAGCACATGGGCCGATAGTGATCCATGGACCCAACGAAGTCGATTACGACGTCGACTTGGGACCGATCATTGTTTCCGACTGGTTCCACGACACGTACGAACATCTTGTCGAACTGGTCTTGTCGCCGACCAGCACGGGACTGCCCTTCCGGCCCTTTTCCGACTCGAATCTTGTCGGCGGCGCCGGTCAATATCCTTGCGCCAACATCACCAACGGGACACCCTGCAGCGTTGTGCCCTTCGCATCGTACGAGTTTCAGCCAGGCAAGACTCACCGTCTGCGATTCGTCAACACGGGCACCTCGGCTTTCGAGACCATCTCCATCGACGGCCATACCATGACTGTCATTGCCAACGACTTTGTCCCCGTTCAACCATACGACACAGAGTTTGTCACCATTGGCGTGGGCCAGCGTGTGGATGTTCTTGTCACAGCGAGTGCTGCCTCGGGCTCTTACTGGCTTCGTGCCCACAATTCCCCCGGATGCGGTGACACCAATGGACCAGACGGCCGTGCCGTCATCTACTATTCCGGCGTCGATTCCAGTATCGTGCCCACCAGCACAGGCACCGCACCTCCAGCGAACCCGGTATGCGCGAACGCCGCCCTTTCCGGCACTGTGCCAGCGTACGCCATCCCGGCCGCCGAGGCCGACACCACCATCACGCTGACCATCGCCGGCGCGACTAACGGTACAGGGGTGTTCCACTGGACGATGAATGGGGTATCGTACTCTGGCGATCTAGACACACCTCTCCTTTTCTCCGGTATACAGACTCAGGACCAAGCAAGCTCACTCCCTGCCGAACGCCAGATCTACAACACCGGCACCAACGGCACTGTCCGCATCGTTGTCATCAACACCACCCCGGCGCCTCACCCCATGCACCTCCACGGTCACGACTTCCAGGTTCTGGCCGAGGGCGCCGGCACCTGGGACGGCACCATTACCAACCCGTCGAACCCGCAGCGGCGCGACGTGCATATACTGTGGGCCGGCGCGACCGCCACCAACCCGACATATATCGTGTTGCAGTACGCGCAGGATAACCCGGGGGTTTGGCCACTCCACTGCCACATCGCGTGGCACCTGAGCGCGGGCATGGGCATCATGCTGCTGGAAAGGCCGGACGAGCTGGCTCAAGTGCAGATCCCCACCGACGTCGCCGATACCTGCGTCCTGTTCCAGCAGTGGCAGACGACAAACCCGACCACGGAGGTCGATGACGGCCTCAAGAAACGCCAGGTCGAAGTCGCCGCCCACCGCATGATCGAGCACATGAAGCACAGGCCTGGGTCTGGGTCTGGGTCTGGGTCTGGGACTGATCGGGAACATGCCCGCCATCTCGACAGCCACATGAAGCGTAGTGTACATGGTTGGGGCAAGGCCATGCGACGCGGCCGAGAGGGTGAGGCTATAGCCAGTATGGATATATCTAGGCCCAGGTCGACCACCTTGGCCGCGGGCAGTTTCCCAGGGGAGGTGGGACATGGTCCTGAGGGGGAGGGATGAAGTGTATCTTGGATATGGTAGTCGTTCTGTCTGTCTGTCTGTCTGTCTGTCTGTCTGTCCGTCTGCTTATTCCCCAGAAGGATCTTGCTTGCTTCGCTTCAACCCAGGTTTTGAAGAGGAATTAGGGTGATATAGGCACTAGGTAGTACTCTGTAGTCTAGCTTGGTTCATAGTATATTCATCATATCATATCATATCATATCACATCACAGCACAGCAGATTATATTATATCGTTTCTCCCCTCACACTCCTGAGAAGACCGCTGACACCGACACCAACTTCTGACACTGGCACTGGCACTGGAACTGGAACTGGTAGTGGAATGATTTCGATATATGACCATCTCATCTCTGCTCATTGCTCATTGCTCATTCATTGCCCGATTCTTCTCCTCCCCATGCATTGTCCGGCGCAACACTCAACTTTGAATAGAGAACTGCACGGACACGGACACGGACACACATCAACCTCCCGTCACCGTTGGGATCTGCTACCTCTCACTGACGCCACCAGCTCCGGCCCCTCCGGCCCGTTGCTGGCCATCAAAATACCGGCTCCTCAAGGCCTGACTGATGCCGCTCACCCTTCCGGCGACGCCGGCGCCGGGAATGGTCATGGTGGTGTTGCCCATGCCGCTGAGGAGGGCCTCTTCCAGCGCGCTCTGCGTCACACTTGCGTCGTCCAAGTCGGAGAATGACGAGCCCATGCTCGGCGACGTGTCGGAGCCTGTGCCTGGATGGCGGCGCGGCGACGACTGCATGAGCGCGCGGTGCTGGGGCGACAAGGGGTTCGGGTTTGGAGTCAAGTTTTGGCTGCGGTTCTGGTTCTGGTTCTGGTTCTGGTTCTGGCTCGACTTTTGCGCTGTCAGACCAGGCCTGCCGGTGGTGGCTTGCGGTTGAGAAGCTGTTGTGGGAAGCTGGGTCTGATTGGACGCTTGTGCAACTGTAGTCGACGAAGTCGGCTCTCGAGGTGACGGTCGATGAGTCTGTACGGGAGTAGGCGGTTCGACGCCCGGAGAACCGATGCGTTCGGATGTGGTCCGCCGAGGCATGGTTGGTCGCGAGCCGGTCGAGGCCTGCTGCATGATAGATACACCTCGCAAGGTGGCGTCTGGGTCTTGTTGTGAGGACGACACTGGCCGGCTTTTAGCTTCTGTAATGGGCGTAGCAAAGGGGAGGAACGAAGGCGAATCGTCGTCGTCGTCGTCGTCGCCGTCATCACCATCCTCGTCAGAGGCCTGGATCCGTGGTGAATTCACGCTTCCGGGGTTCGTAAGGATACCTCGCTGGGCTTGGTGTTGAAGCTCTTTGCGCTGGGACAGAGCTCGTCTATGGATGGACGAAGGATTGGGCCGGCGGGCAGTGATGCGTGACTGAGTCATTTCCTCTTCGGAATCCGACGACTGCGGCTGCGCAGATCGCGGTTGGCCCGGCGATCTTGCGAGCTGGTGCTGAATACTCCCTCGTCTGGACTGCGTCGTGTAGGTCGGCGTACTCCCGTCTGGGTCTTTGAAAGACTGTCGCGAAATTGGCCTGGATGTGCCTGGCATGGCCCGTGTTTGTACCTGCGTCTGTGTCTGCGAGGCCACTGCAGGGCCCGCGCCAGAAGGGTTGCGGAAGGGAAGAGACGATCTGCTCTTAGCAGGCGTCCCGGGAGTGCTGTCTCCTCCACCTCCGCCTGTCACTGGACTGCCCAACGCCTGGGTGGACAGGCGGGAGGGCACACGTGAGCCACCACTGCCGCCGCGTTTCATGGCTTGGCCACCGACCATGCTGGCTGTCGTCGATCCCGGGGCCGGAGAGGGCGTGGCGGACTGTCTGGTGCCTACTCGACGCATCTGGGCGCGCACCTGAGACAGTTGCCGCTCGTACAGCCATGCGGCTTGCTGCAGCAGGAATGGCTGGGTGACCTCGAACCTCTCGGACAGAGAGCGCCAGTCGATCTCGTTGCCTTTGGCTTGTCGAGACAGGATGTCCCATAGTGCCCGTTCTTTGGCTGCTGACCACGCGACAGGCGGCGGGTCGATGAAGTCGCCTCGGTTGAAGGGGAGGCGGATGAAGACGGTGAAGTGGTTTTCGACCTCCGCCATGCTGGTGGAGGGAGAAGGGAGCAGAGGTAGACGTCAATGTCGGAGTCGATGCCGATGCCGATGCCGATTCCGACCACCGAGCGAAGGGATGTCGATGTTCTCCTCAAGATGGAGCGAGAGACTGGGCCATGTTGATAGAGAGGTGAAGTTGCGGTGCTGTCAGTCAGTGACCCGTGACCTGTGAAACGTGACCCGGTGATGGCTTAGGGCGGCGATGTGGCTGAGATGGCAGCCTCGTGACTTGTGGCGTCACTGGACATACTACGCCACAAGGCTGATCCAACGTCCTTTTTCTTTCTTGTATGCACATATGGACTCTGTCTTTGTCTCTGTCTGTCTCTATATTCTGTAGACGTCCAATGTCGAGTCTATCATCATCCTTCGTGGTCGCTCTGCACGGCAATGCTCTATCTCCCTCCATCTATGCTGCGCCTTCTTCTCTTCCTCTCTTCTCTTCCACGCAGAGTTCACCCCAGGACTTCACCCCAGTGACTGTTCAACCTGCATGAATACTTTCTGATGCCACTCCTGGTAGCCTCGTAGGCAGCACGGCGTTTCATCTGGCGACGTCTTTCTTCATGCCTCGGAACACCACAGCATCAAAGTGTGTAGCACTGATGTATAGGACTTCCGGACAGTGACACATCCACCTGTGGCAATGTTGTTGATGCTTGATACTGCCAGTGCCACTTGGTGGTCGCATCAACGCCATACACAGGCCACCAGTCCAGATATGGCTGTCTGATGCCACTGGTACGGCTCCGGTTCAAACAGCCCACAGTCCTTCCTGATGGATCGAGGTGGGAGGTGAGAATGTCCTCGCCCTCGTCGTCGTCCTCGCACTTCCACTGTGCTGTGCTGTGCCGTGCCGTGTGTTCATTGTAGAAGATGAGGTTCCATCGCCACGGCGATATCGCGACGACATCACTGTGGCATCACGACATCATTCTTCCTTGTCCTCCGTCTTCTTTTGTATTAGCTCTCTCGGCGCACACAAACACACACACTGGCAGTGATTTGCAGCCCTCGTCTCTCCCTTCCTTTCTCCCTCTCTCTCTCTCCTATCTTCTCTCTCCATCTTTCTCGCTCTTCATCTCTTTCGCTCTCCCTCTCCATCTCTCGTTCCCATCTGATCTGACTCTTCTTTCGACCAGTTCTCCTCTTCTACTTTCTTCAGCACTCCACGTTTCTGGACAAGCGGCCAGTCGGGTGGGTCCGATTGCCTACCATCCGGTAGGAAGCCCAAACCCTCTACGAGCGCCACAGCCGTCGCTGGCGAGCATTCTCAGCCGCCAAACTTCGCCCTCAACAGAGGAAATGCCGCTGCCAGCCATCGCGGCGGTCAAGATCGACACTTTCACCACCACTTCCTTCGGCCAGAATCCCAAGTTCAGCGCCACGGCGCATGCAATCTGATATTCACAAAGATAACCTTTCGGATCAGTAAGTTCATTCATATTCATTGTTCATGTCAACTCCCCATGCCCCTGTCTGTTGAAAAGATGATGTGACAGTTTACTGTGTGTGTCTGTGTGTGTTGATGGCAAAGAGCAAGAAAAACCCGCCCGCCTCAGTGCCACACTAGTACCAGACGCGTGCTGACAAGCCCTTGGAATTGTGCCGTACCCTGCTGCTCGATGCTAACAATAACACAGGGCAACCTCAGGCCACACAACAACAGGTGTGGAAAATTCTTCTGCAAACGCGTCCATTTCATTCATCTATCCTCCACCCTCCTCATCAAATACACCTACGCCTATCAAACACGGCAACAGCAGAGAAGCACAGCTAATTGAAGAGTGCAAGACAACCAGTCACAGCCATTGCTGTCCCTTTTCGCCCATTATCCAGCGCAGGTCACAGCGTTGTTTCTCAAGTCTCTACGGAGCACAATCAAGCAAACAAGCGACGAACCCTGACTGACAGGCACACGCACACATAAACGCACGCACACATCTAAATTGAGGCACCTACACTTTCGAGCAAGTGGCACAGAAGCGTGTTGACGACTTGGATCAACACCAGAAGTTCTCACATCGACCGTGGCCGAGATTCAATTCAGCCTGCAAGCGTACAGATTCGCAGAACACTTCAATCCTCAACCTCCAAACTTCAAACTGCAAACTACAACCTGCAACCTCCAGAACCCTGAACTCCAGATAAACCGCAGACAACAATTCATCTGCAAGTACACCCCAGCCAGCAATTCAGCTGCAAGTAAACCCCAGTCAGCAATTCATTTGCAAATACACCTGTCCCGAAAAAATGTGTTTCAAATACCTCTGTGTGTCATGCAAGTTGGACAAACATATCTGCTGCGATGACTTCATCAACTCGGATCAAACCTGGTGCAACGTCACCACCGAGACGCCGTGGGGAGGCCAGAAACTGCGGTGCCCGACGTGCGAGACAATCAAAGGCGTGATCTGGGCGTTGGAAGTGCTTGTCTTTCGGGAGCCGTACCTCCTCACGGAGGGCATGGCCGGGGCGCCAAAGAAGGGGGCCTGGGAGGAGGAGGAGAAGCGGGGCGGCGGGGCGGACGCGGACGAGGACGAGTGGGGTGAACTGGACGGCTTCACCAAGGAGGAGAGAGAGCGTGTTCGGGCTGAGGCGGAGGCCTCGGTCATGAAGCGCTGGGGCCTGATGCGGGCGGAGCAGAGTGCTCAGGGGGAGGGGGAGGACGGCGAGGAGGTTGTTGAGATGCTGGCGGGCGCGCCAGGAAGTAAGTAGAGAGGGAGAGGGAGGGAGAGTCTGATAGACCCCTCGTGTAGTGTACAGAGTCTTCTTGTCAGACGTTTTTAAGCTCCTAACGGCCACTCTACGCATTCACTATGAGTTTAGTACTAACAACCATACCCCTGCATCAAGATTCGTTCGTTACGTTCGTAATGGTGGCCGACGGCGATGATTTGAGATGGAGGTTCGCTTCGTCTTCAAGAGCTCTCCCGACCATGTCTCACTAGTGACAACCACCGGCATCATGACAGTCCATCGTCAAGGTCCTCGGTCTTCAGTTCGGGTCTCCACCATGAGGAAAGTTTTCGAGGTCCTCCAAGAGTTTAAGGTTCAACCAGCCAGACACAGACACACTGTAGGCTGCCACTTTGGGAAAGGATGGCTCCCAAGACACAAAAGGCCCTTTCTCTTTCTTCATTATTTCTTTGCTCATCTGTGGTGGTGTCGTTGGACCATCGGAGTAAACAGGAGAGATACGTTGTTCAAAACCACCATCATCAGCAGAATATAAGTGACCACCGAATACCACCCCGGAGACCCAACGCCAGTCAACAGCCGTACTTACAAGCCAAACGGAATCATGGCTCCTCAAGCACCACTCCCAACATTGCCCTTCTACTCGGGAATGACAGGTACTATGTTCCCGTGGACCGCCAATACATACCTGGCCCCTTTCTTCAATCAGTCCATGGACACCTCCACTAAGTCCAAGGACGACACCAGATCCACAGCTATGTCCAGCGCAAATGGCGCACAGAGTAGCTTCTTCAGCTGGATGTCACGGAATATCAGACCCACATTCAACTGGTCGAGACAACAGCCTAATTCCAATCCCGGCGTGCTCGAGGCGCAGGTCGACAAGGTCTGGAGCTCATTATTTGTTTCATGCCGGTGTAAATCGTGTTGGCCTCCGAAGGAAGCTGTGCCCCGGCTCTGCGTTCAGCGCACCAAAAAAAAAATTCCACCCAAGCCTGGACCAGTTTGCCCAAGTGCATGGCTCTGACGGTCCAAAGATGTTCTGGGAGATGATCCTGCAAGATATCCAGCAATTCATTATCATTGTGGAAGCGCCTGGAGCAACATACAACGAAAATGACAAGCTGGTCTTGTTGCGACTGCTCGAACGAGCCGAGACACAATTTCATAGGACAACAGCATCGTGGGCACAGCTTGCGAACCCCCAAGCACCTGGATCACAGCCATCTTTACAAGGTAGCATCAGGCGCTGCATAGTGCCAGCACCCACAGGTAGGGGAATAGGTGGAGAGAGAGCGATTAGGGTTCGAAGATCTTGCTCTGTTCAAGAGTACCTGAGCGAAGGGCTGGAAGCATCGAAGACAAAACTCGTCAACATCGATGGGCGACAGCTGTGTATGCGGAAACAACATTTCGACGAATCGTACCTGGATCGCAAAAGCACCGCGCGGAGTCGACGGAGACGGATGAGACGGAGAGGGATGATCAACTCACCGGGTCATGCTGCTCAAAGACCTAATCCTCTTTCGCATTTCATCACCGCAGAAGATGTGCAATATCCAGCCTTCACCCAACAGGAGGCACGTTGGACATTGGCAACACTGGGCAAAACCCCAGCATATGTCTGTCTTTCAGCCTTCATGGTGTCTGTCACAGCGAAATATAACTGGGAAGGGATATCCCACAACCACGCTCTGTCAATCCTTAAACAGCTCCAGGAGAGAAAAGACCTGCTTGTGCGCCAAGATGCGGGATCCGAGAAGACCACAGTAGAGAGGAGAGTGCAGTGTCTCAAGGCGGTGTTGGAGAAAATGGCAAAGGAGTACGATCTGGATCGCAAGGCGTTTACTCAAGGCATCAGCGTCGGAACGGGTATGGCCGATCTAGGGAAGCTGAGCAGGATGGCCATCCCAGGGCAGCAGGATGTCAAAGTGGTGCAAGAGTTGGTAGCAGAATTGTTGCATGGGAGGAGCTAGACAGCTGACAGACATTATGGGATAGACGACCGAGAGAAGGCGTCAGTGTTTTCTTATGCAGGTACCGAATCGGTCTGGAAGGCGGAGGCAATCACCAAGCACACATTGACTGGTATAGGAGAGGAGGTGTGCTGTGTCATGTCGAGGAGCTTGAAGCGACAGCGCCATTTACGAGAATCTTGTGAGGCGCAGGCAGACTATGGCGGAGCATAATACCTACGGTCATCGCGTCTATACGCCATAGGTAGGTAAATCTGCAGCCAGCTCACCCCGCGTTGGGACGAGAGTGACGCCGCCCTGTGCTCACCCCGATAGAGTGGTCTGTAGGTAGCTTCTTGCCGAAACATGATACGCCGAAAGAGTGTAGTAAACGGGTGTCCTTTTGCCGAATACGGAGATCTGCTGCCGGCGAAGAGAGCTGGTCAGCAGCGTCCAAGGCTATTTACAAGGCTCGCATTGGCAGCGCCTGTCGCATCAACGTAGCTGGCGACCTGTTGCGCTCAAGCGATAGCTTGGAATTAGCGGCGTAAAGCGAAGGCGGTCCGAAGAAGTTTTTGGTGCCGTTGACCAAGTTGCCATCAGCCCAGTTCTGCAGGGCGGAAGAGTTCATATTGCATGATTCAGAATAGCCACACACCGCTCCCTGAGAACCAGCGCAACCAGATCCACCCGTGTAAAGCGACCGGTCCCAAGCTTGTTCCCCGAATATACCCTGAGTGGCGAGAGGAAGCACCGGAAAACACGGTGAGAACGACCAAGATGTGTGAAGTAGATGAATATGAGAGAAACAAGACCTCAAGGTTGGTTTTTTTTGGTGGAGAGAGAAGAGAGAGTACAGCAGACGCAGTGGGTTCGCTCGGCTTACTAGTGATGTCCACGTTTTGTAAAGGTCAGCGGAGCTCTAGCGTTCTATAGAAAAAAAAACGAATATACGGATTCGCTGACAGACGAGCCAATTAGAGTGATGTGTTCAACCACGAGGTTGAATACTTGTTGACGAGCATACACCTAAGCGAGGGACTTTGTCTACGGTTCAAGCTTTATGCTAAGCTCATTAAGCACCCATGGGTGCGAAATATACACAGCCGTTTATGGAGTACTGCGGATACTTCGGACCATACTCCGTACCCAGTACCTTATGTGGTTCGTTTTACTTTGGCGCCGTTTAGTAATATCGCCTTACCTTTTCGAGTAACAGCTTCGTACGTCGCCACTAATATTGCTCCTTATATAATCTATCTAAGTAGAGCCACGAGCTTTATCGTAAAGTATACGTATCAGGAGCACTTAGGTGAACGAATGATAGGCCAGGTCAGCCTGAATAGTACGAGTGTGTATGATTATGGTGTACTCCATAATGAGGAATGCTAGCTACAGTGGACCTTGACATCGACTTAACGCTTGAGACTCCTCAAGCGCGATGAGTTAGCTTTTAGGAGAATAAGGCGCGGACGTCTTCCGGCTTAGGCGGGTGAGGTCCGACGACACTCGCTGGGTCTTGTGAGGAGTTGAATCCGTAACATCTGCTGCGTAAGTAACCACGACAGAGGGACCCCCATAGGGCGAGGATAACATTCATCAATGCTCGTCCAGGGCTAAGACGCTCAGGCCGCGGCCCCAGATGTCACGGAAAGCAAAGTTAAGAAACGTCTTGCGGCGACGAGATAAAAAGAGTAAGCAATGACTCCAGGATGGGCAGGGAGAAAGAAGGCTTGATGAACATTAACTCGGGTTTCCACGCCATTTCCTAGGAAATGCCGTATAAAGCCGAAGCCTGAATCCAGCCTCAGCTTTTCCTGGTAGCGCAATAGTAGGCACCTAGGTAGGTACATCGAGCCACCATCTCTGTCTCCCCCCGTCCTTGTCCCATCCTTTCAAGGCACATGCTCGTTTCCGTCTTGTTGTTTGGCTGTTGCAACTTCTCAGCCTGCTCGAGCTCGGAGAGGCTAATCATAAGATCCAATATCCAGCCAGCATAAAAGCTTCCTGATCTGCTGTTCGACTTGCAATCATGAACAGTGCCAAACTTCTCTTTCTCGTCTCCCCCATAGAAGCCCTGACTGTGCAGGATGTCACTAACCGCGATGGGTTTGCAATATGTTGGAGCTATTGTCCTCACGGCTCTCTTGGGACAGGCAGTGGGACTGAAAGCAAACTCGCTGGTAGCACCCAAAGGCGCCGAAGTCCTCACCGTTGGTATTATTGGAGACTACGGTTGGACGGGATGGGTCCCGATCCCAGACCACTTCTGCCGCGAGGTTCTCCCGCGACTGACTGCTGCGGGAATTGAGATCCCTAACGACATCGCCAAGGACTGCGATCCTGATGACAAGCTAGCCATTGGAAACGCCACCGCTCTGCAGCTGGATACGTCGGCTTATGTTGGCCAGATCTGTGCCATCAAGAATTGCAGCGCCTTCATCTCGGTGGGCGATAACTTCTACGAGAGTGGTGTTACCCTCTCTTCCGGAGGCATCGCCCGCTTCGAGCAAGCCTGGGTCGGTATGTACAATGAGGGAGCGTTTGACAAAACACCTTGGTATCAATGCTTGGGCAACCACGATATTGTGCCCGGGCAGGCTGGTGTTGATTTCCAGACCAAAGTGGCTCCGCTCTACGACGACCGCTGGTACTTTGGCACCAAAGGGCTCCCGTACTACACCTATGATCTTGTCGGCGCGGACTGGACGGCAACTTTTGTGGTGGTGGACTCGGACTGCTACCTAGATAGCTATCAGAAGAAGTCATCGGTCTACAAAAACTCCTACACCTCGGCATGCCACAACAACACCCAAGTTCAAACTGATTTCCTGAACACCACCTTTTCCAACTCTAATGCAACGTGGAAGTTCCTTCAACTTCACCATCCTTACGCTTCCGCCACTGGCAATGAGACCGATCTGGCCCCGTTGATCAAAATCGTGGAGAAACACAATGCGGTCGTCTTGAACGGGCATGACCATTGCCTGGGCCATTTCTTCCTTAACAACACCAATTTCATCCTCTCAGGAGCCGCCGGGTTCCCAGAAGCGGCGGCTTGCAATAACGGGACGGCTCCGGGGCCGTACGCTCGGTATCTTGGGGCCAATAACTTGACTGGTGAGTGCAAAAAGCCCAGCACCACCACAGCTGGAAAGCAAATTCTTTGTCTATCTACTAACATAACAATCTTAGCGGCAAACGGATTCGTCACAATGGATATCAGTCGAGACACAGTCGCGGTGGAATATTATGCTCGGGATATGCAGTTCGAGAATGGTGACCTGTTCCCCGTGAAAAGTGATTTGAAGCCGAGTTACACCTTCAATATCACTCAAAAGGCGAAATGAATGTTGCTCGCTCGACAAGACTGTCCATGCTGAGGCAAGACAGGAGTGTGAAGCCAGTTGGAAGGAGGTTGGTGAGAGAAATGGGATGTTGACAGTAAATGTAATCCCAGGGGAGATCAAAAGGCGTAAGCATATTGTACATAGAAGAGAGATTATATCCCTGATCCATCTCGTCAGTGGTCCCCCCCTCATCCATTTGACAGTGACTTTTGGCGCACCATATATAGCATTAAAAGGCTGACGCGGTCGAACAGACAACCGTATACTGGCATGCACGAGCCGACTGGCAATAGGGCTGCTCAGTCTTATGACCTGGCCCGTGGCCAACGCTGCCGAACCTAGTCACTCCCAGCGTTCATCGAAACGGGGTGGTCAAGACGAAAAAACCAGCCTCTACACCTGCACACGACAATCCACCAGCGAGGGTATGGGCGGCAGTCTCCCGAGTTCATCATGCTTTGTTTTCTGAGCGTCATAATTCTATTGTTCGCTGGCCGGCCTTCCCAACCCTTCATTTCCCACCGGGGTATGATTATATGCTGTTTGATGTACCTTTGGCGTACCAAAGATGTCCCTTCTTTAATTATTCTATCCAGACACTATGTCTTCACTCTAAAAAGTTACCAGAAATACAATACCGAATAGAATACCCAGCCCCAAGAATAGAGCCTCAGGTGCAGTCCTGAGTGTCAGACTGTATACGAACTGCATCAGTGCAGGTACAAGTGCCCTGGAAAGTGAATGAAGGAGACTGATGGCGCCGAAGAGCTCTCCTATCCTATCCGGCGTTACGTAGATCGTCATGGATGATTGTACGAGAGGCGAAACAGGAGCGCCAGCGGCAGAAGCTATCCCGGACAGGGTGAATGGGAGTGAAGTCCTGGAAATAACGAAGCCGATATTAGAGAGATCTACCAGCAGTATACATGGCCGAATGATTCTCATGCTGAGCCTCAGAAGACTGGGGGACGATGGTGGTGCTTTCACCGACGGTCCTGGCTTCGAAGAAGTAGAGCTCATCAACTTGATTGCTGTGGGGAGAAAGATCGCTAAGATAGTTGCACGTGTCATGTTGGTCGCGGAGATGAATAGGTTCGCTTCTAAGTTTGTCCATTGGAGGTGGTACTCTGACAAGAGTACCAGCAAAGCCGGAAGACCAATCTGTACACCGAATGAGAGAGCATCAATAGCTGCAAGGGTTGCAAGGTTATTCTGAGCACCAGCCAAGGCAGTCAGTGGCAAAGACCCGAGAACTGAGAGCGGCATCATGCGACAGAGAAAGACGTTTTTGAGCTTCCTGCTGACCGGCCAGGTATCCGGGAACGAAGGTTTATCTCCCGGCTGAATTGAAGGCGCCGGCAAAGATTCTGGAATGCCCACAAGGACATATGAGATAAACAGAGCATGGCACGCCCCGGCAACGTAAAAGACAGACAGCATGTCTCCATTGTGGATCATTCGAACGAGGAATGCTCCCGCGGCAGGTCCCAAAGCTAGTCCTAGACAGAGGTATGCATGCAGCAACGAGAAGACCTTTGCCCTTTTCTCGGCCGGCGTGATGTCTGTGATATACGACTGGGTTAGTGCAATGATGGTGAGGAATGCGCCAGTTAGTCCACCGATGACAAACTCCAGCAAAATCCAATACACGGATATCCTGTTCGGGAACCACGCAGCCACCACGGAAATAACGTCACCGCAAAACATCCCCAGAGCACTGAAGGCGATGAAAGGTTTGCGTCCATAGCGGTCAGACCATGCTCCTAGACAAGGACTGCTGACAGCACACAAAATGCCGGAGAGCAGGTTCCCACAACCTACAAACCAGCCCATTTCAGCGTAAACAGTCGGATCAGTACAAATTTCACCTCTGCTGATATTTTTCCAATTCCGGTCTGTATCTCCCGGCCGACTCTTGAGACACATCAGGGCCAGGATGATATTGATCTTAGGAACAGCAACTGCCCCGACGGCTAGGCAGTAGATGAGGAATGGGAGCATTATCCGATGAGGCTGTCATTGCGCCGCACATTAAACTTGAACTCCAATTCAGAGACCGGCACTCACGGAAATCTGCCCTTGCTGGACCCTCCGGTATTGTATGGATCGGGGCCGGCGATGGACTAAGGAGCCGCGTACTCTCGTTGAGAACTGCCTCCTCGTCAGTCTGAACTGTTGCATTGTCTCTTGAGTGATCATTTTCGGTCAACATTTTGTCATGATCAGTATCGATGATGGGAACATTTGTTCCATGGGGGGGAACAGAAGAGGGGAATTTTTAAAAGCGGCACGATTCTGGGTGAGCCGCACGGGAGCTCCCTGCAGTTTTACTTCCTTTTCTCTTGCTATATGCCGGTCTCACGGATCGAGCAAGAGATACACATCAAAGAGTAAAATATAGAACGAGAGACTCGTAAGGAGTCATGGAGACCGCGAGGTGCAAGATATGCCCACCGAGCGGCGCTTCTCAGTCACGTGCGCGCAACCACCGCTAGTCACGTGGTTGCCTACCAAAACCGTGACAATGCCGGGGAACCTCTAATTTTGCACAATCAACATCCTCCTCTGTACGCCTACAGCCATCTACATCGCGCTCTCGGTTATTCCGCGTCCCTCCCTCTCCTACGCCTGAGCGCAGAATAGTGGGAGCATCTAGACTGAGATATACTAGGAAATTGCAAACAGGCGGCTAAAGAGTCAGAGAATGTCCCAGCACTAGTCCTGACGCATCATCTTGGCCGCAAAACTCCCTGTTGCGTTCCTCAACGTCCACCCCGGTCAAGATCCGATTCCGGCCATGAATAGGCGCCGCCATGTCGCAGAAACGCCAGTACGACGGCGATACTTCGTCTCCCCCTGGACACCGGCCTCCGCATCCGCGTGTGGCGCGGACCAAAGCATGTAAGTCGCCGACGCTCGTTACCCCGTTCGAGCTGCCTCTGACCGAGCAGGCATGGAATGTCGAAGGCATAAAATCAAGTGCGAAGTCAAGATGGGCGAGGGCTCATGTACGAAATGTCTCCGGAGCGGCATTGAATGCGTCTTCCAGGATCTTACTCAGAAGTTTCAGGAGGAAGATGCCTTGTAAGTACAAGTACATCAGCCACAGGCTCCAAGCTGGACACTGACCGGCTGGCAGGTGGAAAGCTCAGACCAAGATGGAGATGGGACAGATGCGCGCAGCCATTCAGTACCTCCTCAAACACAGCCAGTTACCAGATCTCTCAAGCTTTCACGCAGCATCAGCCGCCACCAGCCCGGCGAATCCAGGTTCGGCTTCCGCTCTGATCGTGCCGCCCATGGACATGACCCGCGAGAACTCCCAAGAACCTCAATCCCGCGACGATTCCGGGCTCGTCTCGGCTCCAATGAGCAGCTTGTACGACCTCACTCGCCTCAAAACCCTACGGAGCTCGGTCTTGTGGAGACAAAACGCCAATATGCTGGACGATGATTTCATCTCCCAAGGCATCATCTCCCTGGAGGACGCCGAGCATCTCTTCGCCCACTATCTGCAGAACAACAACCAATGGCTGTGGGGAGGAATCTTGCTCCCACATCAAACATTGGTCTCAGTCAGGCGTTCATCTACCCTGCTCACCGCCGTCGTCCTCACTATCTCTGCTTTACATATGCCCCACAGCGACCAGCTGCTACAGAATTGCTACAGCATCTTTGTATCCCTGGTAAGCAATACTTGTCTCTCTCGACACCAGACTCTCGACGATGTTCGGGCGCTGGGGCTGGGAGCCTTCTACCTCTCGAACCTCAGTTGGAAACTTTCGGGTATGGCTGTGCGCCTCGCCGTGGAAATGAATCTGCACCAATCCTTTCAGAAATTCGTCCGAGCTCAGCCTAACCAGCATGAATGCGTCCGTCTCTGGTATGCGCTGTATGTATGCGAACATCATTTCAGTATTGCCTACGGTCGACCACCCATCATCGGGGACGATGTGGCGGTCAAGAATGTGGAGAGGTTCATGGAGAGCCCAGCCCTGGTTCCAGGAGATGTCCGGCTTTGCGCTCAAGTGGCCCTCTTCCGCATCCTCACCGAAGCCTACGTGGAATATGGGAGTGATCCTGAGCAACCCCTGGGCGAACAAGACTTCGAGCGACTCCGTGTGTTCAACGTTGTCATCGAGCAGTGGAGACTGACGTGGCAGGCCCGGTCTGCTGACAGTGCGGAGGTCGGGGCGTACCCTTCCAAGGGAATTGTGTTGTACTACCATTTTGCGCGCTTTCAGCTGAACTCTCTGGCCCTGAGAGCCGTGGCGGGCCCCAATAGTCCACTCGTGGAGCCGCTGACTTATGACCGCCGGGAAGCGGCCAACATTGCCATCTCGGCGGCAACCAGCACACTGACCCTGATTCTTGAGGAGCCCGACATTCGGCGGGCCATGCCAGCAGGCGTGCCTGTTTTCACACACACCATGGTGGCCTTCTGCACGACTTTCTTGTTGAAGATGGCCATGAAGTGGAGCAGCGCCTCGGCGCTTTCACTGGGCAACTGGAGCCAAGAGACATCAAACCTGGGCCTCAACTTTAGCATCGGACAAGTCATAGCGCTCATTCGCAAATCTGCCGACTTCCTGGACGAAGTTTCGCAGAAATTGAACCAGAAACACCTGACGAGGCACGTCGTTGCGGGGATCCGTTACCTCCTCAAGAGCTTTGACACGGAGATTGAGGTGTCGAGCAGAGACGGAGCTCCCAGTTACCCGCAAAGCCACACCCAAGAGCCATTTATCACCACTCTGGACTCTACGAACAATGCATCGTCAGAGAACATGAACGGCAACTACAACTTCAATTTCTATGACTTGGTTGGTTCTTATGGATTCGGATTTGACGAGTCATACTTGGGACAGGTTGAATCCCATGATCCTGACTTATGGTCGTATACATGATTGGTCATATCCTGGAATATCAAACTCCAACAGTGAGCCAAACGACACCAGACACTGATAGAAAGCTGCTCGACGGCAACAGCACTGGCCAGAAAAGACACATGGAGCACGAGCCGACAAGGACGAAGCCGAATACACTGGCAGGAGATGTATGAACGCCTTTCTATCGGTCTATGTTATGCTTTTTGTCTTCGCGATCCGCTCATCAAATTCATGCTAACTACCTTATGCCTTCCCGGTAGAGCCCATCCAATCCATGTGTTTCTCGATGGCCTTCTGCATGGCCAATGTGCCCTCCTCTATTAGGGTGGTCAAGGGAGCCTTGGCGGCCTTTTCTTGCAGGACCTTGAGGAAGTGGTCATTCATGGCGTCGTTCAGGTTGACCTTTGCCACGCCGCAAGCAATAACCTGCTGCAAGAGATCCTGGTGGAAATACTCCCCCGAGGCGCCGTGTAGGACCAGATGGACACGATCCCCGACCTGTTTATGGATGCTCCGCAGCCGGTCGAAGTCCAACTGGGGTCCCTTGGGCCCGTACTTACCGTGGACGTTGCCAAAGGCCGGGGCCAGCCAGTTGATGCCGAGGGCGACAAACTCCTCGGCCTGGTCAGGGGAGGTGAGCAGGCCCTGCAGGGCGAAGTCGGCGGTGTCGCCCACGCCATCCTCGCCGCCCTCGATGCGGCCGGGCTCGGCCTCGGTGATGATGCCTCGATCGTTACAATACTGGACGAGCTCGCGCGTCTTTGCAAAATTCTCTTCCTTGTCGTAGTGGCTCATGTCGACCATGATCCCGTCGAAGCCGCCCAGGTCAGCCGCCCGCTTGACAATCTCCGGGCTCTGCGCGTGGTCCATGTGCACCGCCACGGGCACGCTCGCCGTGTTGGCTGCCTCCGCCGCCGCGTGCACCAGGATCCCGCCGGCGAATGTCACCGCCCACGGGAATAGCTGGATGATGACGGGCGAGCGTTTCGCTTCGGCCGCCCGCACACTGGCCAGGATAGCTTCTACGTTGTAGCAGCACAGGGAGGGCACCGCGTACCCTTCGCGCGCGGCTTTGGATACTATCTTCAGCGCCCGGTTTTGGCTAAGGTCCGGCATTTTGGGTTCTGAAAGATGGGTTTTCCTTTTCCTGACAGGTCGGGGATGGAGTTGATGTGGATGTTGATGTTGATGATATAGTATTATGCGGACGACTGGGGAGCGAGGAACTCTGATTTAGCGAGATGAAATAGCTGAATTGATGCTCCGAGCAAACATTCAGAATGCTGCTGCTGTCGGTCTTGATCTTGGGTGCTGGAGTTGACGGTGATGGTGATGGTGATGGTGATGGTGATGGTGATGTTTGGACGACACCTGGGCCGCTGATGTAATACTTTAATGTCTATGATGCTGCCCTGGCGGAGAAGTACAGATACAGAGGCGGGATAAGTAAGCGAAAGCAACCAACCAATGCCCGGACGGAATTTCTGATTTCTGTCGAGCGAAATCAAACCAAACAACAGACGCAACAATAAACCACGAATATTCAATCCACGGGTTATATTATTGTTTTTTGCTGTTCCATGAAGGACGTCAAACCCTGATCCGCTGTGTGTGGCAAGCCTCTGCCGTGGGTACCTTGGTATCTTGTCTGCTGCCTCCTGCGTTGGCCATGATACGGCCACCGCCCGATGTGGTCGGCCACTTCGCCGAGCCTGAGCCTGGCAATCTCTCGACTCTCGAGTCTCGACGCTTGCAGTGGATGATGCTGGGCCTCCTCAGCCTAAGGCCACCGGCATCCAACACCGGCGACGCCGTGTCCAGCAGGCCACTTCTCCCGTACCAGCCACCCGTCTCGGTCCTGCGGTTACCTACCATGTACCTACCCGTTGCCCCCCACCTCCACCTCCAGTTGCTCGACAGACGCGTGGTGCGTACCAGGGCGGGCACGAGAGTTTGTTCGTTCCTCGGACTTTTCGCCGAGGCTGAAGATAGGTACTGCATCTGGTGCACATATGTAGTACTCGGTACGGAGTACAGTGCGTGGACTCCGTACTGTATGTACATGATCCGCCACAAGCATGATAACTCACACATGTTAATTGATCTGCCAGAGAGAAAAACCGCGAGTTGTCTTGTCCCTCACCGCGCGATACCGATATGATACTCTACCTCGAGCTGTAAGAGATGGACACCATGACACCTCGAGCTATGCGTGAGGTGAGCGAAAGAGCCTCGAGATTCGTCCATCAGATCAGATGGGATAGGCTGGCTGAGCGGAGCGGAATTCTGATGCTGTCTTCTCTCTCCTCTCCGCGCTGAGCCCACCCTGACGCCGTAGTCCAGGTAGGAGGAGCAAAGGTCCAGACAAGGGTAGTCAACTTCTGGAACGGTCTATACGGAGAGATCAAAGCCACACACCCATACACACCTCATTTATTTGGTCCTTTTGTATCTGATACTCTGAGCAGCTATGTACCGGCTGTGACAGCATTGGTTCTACCGCCTTCTGGTCTGCAACGACAGCAGCTTCACACACTTGTTTTCTTCTTTGGACCAGGGTTTCGTCAGTCCATCCAACTCTCCCAGGCATGTCCTGGAGAAGGAACCCGACCCGCAAGATTTACTGTACCAAAACTGCATTCCCTTTTGTCTACCTACGCAGCTGGATATTGTCGGCAGAATCAGATCAGGGCAATTCTGCCTCGTCCATGTTCCGGATGAAGTCGCTCATCCACTTCGTACCTCTAAGATGACCCGCGATACTTTGTTTTTCATTTACAGTATGCACCCCGCTGGTGATGGCATCCGCGTCAAACCCAACACCATAGCGGAAAATATGCTGGGTCAAGTCCCAAAAATACCGTGTATCAGTGTTTCCGGTCATGATTCCCGGCGCGACAATGACGTCCTCGCCATACAGCGCCCTTGTCGTGCCTGCGATAATCGTGTACGGTGATATCGGATCTACCTCGGTCGGCGTCACCGGGGCTGGGTTGAGGACTCCCTTGAGGGGAGAAATGGTGATCGAATTCTCCAGCTTGGGAGAAGAGCTGTTGAAGGGGAGGCTCTCCAGAGTAAGATTGTACTTGTGCGCCACTGGCTCGGTAAGCGCTATGACTTGGTCAAGCACGTCGGATGGTTTGTCCCCAATGTTGACCCTGTGGTTAACTTTGACGGAGACCTCCTCCGGAAGGGCATTGATTTTGACGCCACCCGCGATAATGTCTACGGCGCGGGATGTCTGCACCAAGTAGCGAGTGTAAAGGCTGTCCTTAGCAGCTTCTTCGGCCAGAGGGTCTCGGATGGTTTTCCGTTTCGTGTTTGTCAGAGTATCGCCAGCATCGGAGGACAAGAAGTGCCGTGGGCGGCTCTTGAGAAGCGCCTTCAATTTCGGGGGAAATTTGGGGCTGTATCTGGCACCACACTGCAGCTGGCCCAAGTAGGGATTTTGGTTGTACAGACGGGGCTCAAAGACATTGGCTTCAAGAATGGTGATGATCTCGCTGAGGATGCCGATGCCGGTATGGGCGGGTGGCACCGACGAGTGGCCACCGGGGGTGCGAACCACAATTTCGAGGTCGATATACCCCTTCTCAGACACGCCCGGGAGAGCGAAGAAGGTGCCCCATTTGGTTTGCAGGGTCGAGCCCTCGTCGACCAGCACGGCAATCGAGTCCTTGCCGTAGCGGTCCAACAGGAACGGTGCTAAATGGCCCGCCCCATGCGGCCCAGAGGCTTCCTCGTCGAATCCAAACGCAAGGATCAGGGTGCGTTGAGGTTCGAACCCGTGTGCGATGAGCTGCTCGGCCGCATCCAGGATGGCGGTCAGCTGGCTCTTGCAGTCGGCCGCCCCGCGCCCCCAGATGTATTTGCCGTCGAAAAAGCCGCTCCAGGGCGGGTACTCCCACTGATTCAGCGTCGCCTCCGGCACCGGGACCGTATCTTGGTGCGCGAGGAGTAGAGTCGGCCGCAGGGTGGGATTGCTGCCATTCCAGGTGTACACCAGACCGTGCGTGTTGACCCGGTCAAGCTGAAATGTACTGTGGACCAACGGGTACGTCGTTTTCAAGTATGCGGCAAAGTCGTAGAACACGTCCCATCGTGCATCTTGGCCTACCGGGCCCAAGTCGTCAAAAGACTCGGTTCGCACCTGGACAGCGCCGGAGAGATGGGCGATCGACTGATTCTTGAAGTCATCGGATGCAATCAACTCCTCCATCGCCGATAGCTTTGCAGTGCTGCGACGCGGCGACAATGGCGCCACCTGCGGGCAGACATCCTGTACCTGTCCTCGATCTCCAAGCCAGGAGGCACAGTGCTTAGTGCTCAGGAGTGTGTCGATTCCCCGGGAGAAGAAATGGTTCAGGTGCAGGACTGTTATTGTCGGTACCAGCAGCAAGAGGACGACCAAGCCCAAAGCACGGCGTGCAGATGCTCTCTTATCAGCAGAAGCCCGCGACCGAGTAGCTGCAAGGGGACCCCCGGGAAGGAGGTCTGCTTTTGCTGGTGTCATGGATACGGTGCGCAGCGAGACGTCCCAATTGACAGGGCGGAGGACCAAGGGCGTGGTGAGGGATTGAAGTGGGAGAAGGCCTGCTGAGAAGCTGGATGGCCGAGATAAACATCCCCGAGCTGATTGTGGTTACTTATGCGACAAAGGCTGACCACTCAATAGGACCCATCATTCCGTGATTACCCACTTGAATGAGCCGTTGGGCTATCAGGACTGACTGGCTTAGGGGCTTAGCCGGCTATCCTGTGGACCCCGGACCTCACGACACACATGCCAGCCCGGCAGATACGTCGATACTGTGTTAACTGGGTGTCTCGAATGGCTTTACCAAATCAATTCAATTAGCGTCGAGCGCTACAGGCCGGACCTGCTTGCCGCTCGTGGACAAACCCCTACTCTGTACTAGCAGGAGGATGCCAGTTCATCCGTTCTTTTGGCCTGCTCGGTCTTGCCACTGGGCGTGGCCAGGAGGGTCTAGGGGAGATTCGTTTCTGACTGCTTTGTAGGTTGATATCCACTGCAGTGCTGCCTTGCGGAATACCAGACTATGATCACGACAGCAAGATGTCGGGTCTAGGGCGGAAGACCAGGCTCAGGCCTGCCATATAAATGGCGGCGGACCTCGTGCCGATGCAGCTGGCATCCAGAACGTTTGCCTACCTCTCTGCAGCTCATTTCGTGCTTGACCATGGCCGAACACATTGAACCAAACCCCAACCATGCAGCTTTTACGGAAAAGAACCTCACTGGGACGTCGGTCGAGGCATCCAGGGCCTACGAAGGAGTCGATACCGAAAAAGTCCCCAGTCGGACATCGGCCGAGGCTACAAGAGCTCACGCAGGAGTCGACGTCGCCGATGTGGTCCATGTCCATGCGACGCCTGAGCAAGAGAAGAAAGTGCTCAGAAAGATCGATCTCCAGTGCGTGCAACAATGAGGAACGGCGAAAGGCGAAAGCTTGGTTCGATGGCTGATGAGTTGGTAGCATCATCCCGATCATGGCCACATGCTATATGCTCCAGTACATGGACAAGGTGACGCTGGGCTACACGACCCAACTGGGGCTACCAACCGACCTGGTAAGCCACCGACGATGCAGAGTCCAGACATGATTACGATCCGCTGCTCGCTCGCTCGCATTCGACTCGGCTAGACCCTCTCTGACGGCTACTGTGCAGAAACTCCACGGCAGTCAGTATAGCTGGTGTTCTTCCATCTTCTACTTTGGATACATCTTCTGGAGCTGGCCCAGCGGCTACATCTCGGTCCGCTTCCCCATCGGCAAGTACCTGGGCGTGTCGGTGGCTCTGTGGGGGGCGGTGCTCATGACCCATGCCGCCACTCGCAGCTTTGGCGGTCTCCTTACCGCCCGGTTTTTCCTGGGTGTCACCGAGGCCGCCGTTGCTCCAGGGTTTTCGCTGATTACCGGAATGTTCTACAAAAGGAGGGAGCAACCGTCTAGGTAAATTCGTTACCACCCCCAGCCATGCTCCTTCTGAAGACATGAACACCTCTGCTAGAAGACATCCACACACTCGAGCTGACTCGCTGACGACCACTCTCTTTTATATAGAATGTGTCTTTGGTTTCTCGGCAATGCGGTGGCCAACGTTGTTTCTGGACTGATCGCGTACGGCATCGGCAAGATCCACTCGCCCATCGATTCGTGGAAGTTGCTGTTTATCATCCTCGGCGCCGTCACTTCGGCGTACGGCATCTTCCTCGTCTTCGTGCTGCCAGACTCACCAGCGAGAGCGTGGTTCCTGACCACCGAGGAAAGGCGAATCGCGCTCCACCGCACGCTGGAGAACAAGACGGGCGTCTTGGACGAGGGCACCTTCAAGATACAGCAGATGTGGGAGGCCCTGAGAGACCCTCAAGCTTGGTTGCTGGTCGGCTACAGTCTGACTCAGAACATTCCCAATGGGGGATTCAGCTCGGTATGTCAAGAAATGCGATGCGATTCTCTCCCCTCCTCCCTCTCCTCTCCTCTCCTCTCACCTTTGATTGGAGTATGCAGTTGTGACTTCCAAAGCCGTGCTCTCCTTGGTTGAATCTTGCAATCAAACCTGACATCAACCCTCCAGTTCAGCAGCATCATCATCAACGGCTTCGGCTTCAGTCACCTCAACACGCTGCTTGTCGGCGCACCCGGCGGCCTACTGCAGATCTTCGCATTGGGTTGTATCTGCCTGGCGGCCAAGTATGTCAAGAAAAGCCGCATCATCACCATGATCATCGTCATTCTATTCGCCCTGGTCGGCGTCATCGTCATGGTCACTCTGCCAAAATCGCACAAATGGGGGAGATGGGCCGGCATCTTCCTCCTCGGCCCCTTTGCAAGCAGCATTCCTGTGTCGCTGAGTCTGATCACGTCCAATGTCGGCGGCATCACCAAAAAGGCCACGGTTTCCGCCATGCTGTTTATAGCTTACTGGTATGTTTTGTCTTGTATTCTGCGAAAGTGCTGTCGTTACTTGAAGTGTTGTCCTTATTCCACTCCCTTCCAAGGACACATCAGTATGGACTAGACTGGAAGTCAGACAAGTCCGGACAAGGATAGGACAATCAGTTGTCTTGTCTTGTCACTCTGATTCCATGAATGTCGATACTCATATATCCTGATTTGAGGTCATTCAACTGTCATGTCTTGTCACTCTGACGCCATGTCGATCCTCATATCCATACTGATCTGATACTGATACTGATGACCTTGTCTGATTCGATACTCATATCCATACTGATCTATACTGGTACTGATACTGATGACCTTGTCTGACTACAGCACCGGCAACATCATCGGACCCCAGCTTTTCTTGACCCGAGAATCTCCCACATATCCTGTAAGTCATTATTGCTGCTACCGCCACCGGTGCCCGTTGGCGTTGCTATCATCATTACCCTACCCTGCCATCCAACGTCACTTAAGACGATTGTGAAGGTTTAACTCAACTCCACTTCATCCAGCCCAGCCCACTTCGGTTTACTTATCATCTTGTCATCACACAGACCGGCCTCCGAGGCGTTCTCGTCGGCTTCAGTCTCGCCATCTTCTTCCTCGTCCTCCTCTACATCTACTATACATTCGAGAATCGGCGACGAGACCGAAAATACGGGCCGGCCCCCGAGGGGCCCGACGAGTATGTCGCAGAAGAGTTGATCAACCTTACGGACAGACAGAATCCGGGGTTTAGATATACTTTTTAAGAACAGACAGAATCCGGGGTTTAGATATACCTTTTGAGAACAGACAGAATCCCGGGGTTAGATATACTTTTTAAGAACAGACAGAATGCAGGGGTTAGATATACCTTTTAAGAAGGTAGAGGGTAGAAGGTAGTAGGCAGATGGGGACGGTGACAAACTTAGGCGCCTTTCCCAGCCTTGTTCTCTAACCACAGTATAAGGCTGGTTTAGGCATACTATACACTACCTTATATAGCCTGCGCTCTCCCTGCGACCCTTGATGGAGAACATGGAACTTTTCAACTTTTCAACCTTTGACATAGTGTAGTGTAGTGTAGTATACTGTACGTAAGGTAAGTCGACTCAATCATAATACTTGGTTTTGGCCTTGACCCCCTGATCAATCATAATACTTCGCCTTGACCCCCTTGATGATTTCCTGCTCGTCCCTCCCAACCCGACTGACATTTCTCGACACACGAGCCTTGACCCACTCTCCGGCAGTCAAGCCGACGGTGCTCTCATCCTGGATCTTGGTGTAGCCCAGCCTCTCGAGCACGGGACTCTGGATCGGCACCAGCTCGGTGGCGTCCTCGGGCCGCACAAAGTACAGGACGCCGTGGCGGTCGAGGTCGGCCTGGTCGGGCGGCGGGGCGACGACGCGGTGGATGCTGCTCTTCAGGAAGCCGTTGGTCAGGAATTGTAGCGCGTCGGCGATGTTGACTGTGATGCTGCCGGGGTGTGGTTTGACGTATTTCCACTCGCCGGAGGGGGTGCGTACTTGGAGCGCGGCGACGGGTTGTCTGGGGTAAGGGTTAGTTTCTTTTCTTTTGGTTTGGTTTTGTTCTCGTTGTTATAAGGGTCAGTTTCTTTGGTCTCTCTTCTTTTGGGTTGGTTTTGTTCTTGTTGGTTCTCTCTCCCTCCCCCCCTCTCTCAATCTCTCTCTCACACACACACCCACTCACCTGAATAGTAACGTCAAACTCCCAAAATCCGTATGCCCTTTAACCCACACATTGTCCAGGCGCGCATTCGTCTCCGGAGAGCGGCGATGGTACTTCATGTATCGGAAGTGACAATCACTCTTCTCGGTGTAGCGGTGGTGCTGCAGCAGCGCGTCCTCTGGGAGCTCGAGCACGATGGCCAGGAGGACGAGCAGCTTGTGCACGATCTGGTCGTTGATGTGACGGGCGAAATGCTGGATCTCGTCCCAGTGCTCGCGGATGACCGGCGGGTGCTCGCGGGCGTAGGCCGGGATGAACTTGGGGATATTGTAGATCTCCGTGTTGTCCTTGATGCCGTCCTTGATCTCGCGCAGCCCCAGCGGCTTGTAGCCGTTGTACCCGCCGTTCTCGAGGTCGGCGCGGTACTTGATCTTTTCGGCCGTCGGCAGCTCGAATACCTGCTTACACAGGCTGAACTGCCGGTCGACTTCGGCTTGGCTCAGTCCGAAGTCGGTGATGTAGAAGAAGCCTGGAGAGTGAGTGAGTGAGTGAGTGAATGAGTCCCCTGGGTGGTTGTTGGTTGTTGGTTGTTGTCTGCTGACGGGCTACCTGGCTGTCTTGTGCTTTACAGCGTCCCTTCCCTTTGCTCCGCCTTTCTTTTGCACTCGAAGATAGAACACACATTACACTTACCAATTCGATTGACTGCGTCGGACAACTGAGCTGCCAGCGCCTCTTTTCCACCTGGCGCGTCGAACTTGGACAGATCCAGCGTCACCAGGTCGGCCCAGTCAACTAGAGAGAATCTTGACTGTCAGCTCGGAAGGTAAGGGGACAGTGTAATCATGAGTGTACAGCTGGCGTGTGAGGCGAGTACTAACGGTCATGCTGGGTTTCGGGGACTGGCGTCCATGCCGGGATGGATGCCCAGGTCTGCGTCTGCGTCTGTGAGATGGTCTCGGTGGCCATGATGGCGAGGGCGAGGGCGATAGTGGTAGTGAGGAGGTGAGGTGAGGTGAGGTGATGTGATAGTGTTTGATTCTCGTCCTAATCCCAATCTGCTGGTATTGTTCTCAAGCTGACATCAACACTCAAGGTTGAAAGGTAGACAAGTCTGGTCTATCTGACATATGTCTATCTGGACATATGTAGATCTCAGTCGGCTCCTCCTCTCGTCTCCTCTCGTTTCTTCTCCTCCCGTCTACCGAGGTCGCACCCGAGTCCGATAACCTGCCACCTGCAAATGCCCAACCACCTTACACCTTCTGAGCACAACTTTTCGGGTCTGGCGCACCGTTGTCCGAAATATGCCCCTTATCGTCCTAGTCCTAGCGAGGACCCGATGTCGCGGACCGTCCGGGATCACGCAAGAGGCTTGGATGGCCAAGTTGGGAAGTTTGTGGCGGATCTCTAACCCTGGGCGGCCTAATAGTAAATAGCGGTATCACAATCTCGCACACACCCCGTTGGCATGGAGAGTCCAGAATCCTCCGGGGGACAAGATACACCGAGCCATACGGAAGAAGAAAAAGAAACAATGCATATTACAGCAGCTTCACCTCTGAGATCCGCATCTCTGCTCTGTATCTGCTGCATGAGTTCATCGTGGTCGCAGATTGCACCATCGACCCCAACCGACAAACGCTCCACTCATACCGCCTGCTGCAACGCTGAACAGCATCATTCATACGGATACCCTCGATCCTGCAATTGCAATGGCCCCTGAGCCGAGCTCGAACTCCCACTCCCCCGCAGGATGGAGTGCATCTGGTCCTGGTACATATACAGATGGCGTGGCATTGCCTAGTGGCCCGGGCTGTTGTAGTCTGCGAGTGCCTTACAGTACAGACAGCAGGACAGGATAGAACAAGGACAGGACTTTTGACCCAGCTCTAGCTTCAGCTTCAGCTTCAGCTTCAGTCCCTGTCCCGACAGTGCTGTGGAAATACGAGAGAACGAGAGGAGAGGAGGTCAGATGTCCAGCACCACCATGGCCGACAAGATCCCTCCGGCCACGGCCACCACGGCTGCAGAAGAGCTCGGGACTGACGACCGAGGCCTCCATTATGCTCGTCGCGGCGATGCGGTCGACCAGACGTCTTCGGTCGACAGCGACATCCTGGGCTACGACGCGGACCGTATGAAGGCGCGGGCCTTGCTGACCGTGGCGGAGGAGAAGAGGCTGATGCGGCGTATCGACTGGCATCTGATGCCGCTGTGTTCGCTCATGTTCCTGTTCAAGAACATTGACGCCAACAATGTGAGAAGCACTGGACTGGCGCCTATACTTGACATGACCTGACACTTGAACCCCCAGGCCTCCAACGCTCGCATCATGAACAAAGGGACCGACCAGAACATCCTGACCCAACTCGGCATGAGTTCGAATGCGTATAACTTCATCGTCACCATCTATTATGTGAGAGGAACCCCCGAAGCAACCCTGGGGCTAAGGCTGGGCCTGGTGTTGATGGTTGTTGTAGATTCCTTACATTGTCGCCGAAGCCCCCTCGAACCTCTTCATCAAGCGGGTGCTTCCATCCAGATGGCAGTCCCGAATCATGGTAAGTCTCTTGGAGCTTCCTCGCCCTTTGTCGCTGACCCTGACCCTGACCCTGACCCTGACATAACCTACAGGTTACCTGGGGCATCTGCTTGGCATGCCATGCTGCCGTGACAAACAAGCACGGCCTGTACGCCGCGCGGTTCTTCTTGGGCTTGGTGAGTGAGACAGACAACTCGAATTGTCAAATCAAATCAAACCAAACCGCGAAGGTGGATGAACAATCCAATCAGTGCTGATGTGTTGCCACAGTGCGAAGCGGGTATGTTTCCAGGCGTTATATTACAGATGTGTTACTGGTACCGGCCGGACGAGATGTCGATTCGACTGCTCTACTTTTGTAAGTCTATCAAAGCGCGCTCTGCATTGCATCCTGTCTGGGATTGTTTTGATACGACAGGCGATCAAACGGAACCGCTGACAAGTTGTATCTATATCCAGACGCACTGGGAAACTTCTCCAACATCATCAGCGGTGTGCTCGCTTATGCCTTTGACACCATCTCTGGCCGCGGTGGTCTCTCCGGTTGGCAATGGTAAGCAAACTAAGGGTCCAAGCAGTCCCGAGTTCTCCGGCCCGAATGCGAAGGTGAAGGTGCACGATCAATTACTGACGCTTGGGCTGGGTAGGATCTTCTTAGTAGAGGGCATCGTCACCATCGTTTTCGGAGCGGCTTTGTGGTTCATCCTTCCAGATTGTAAGTCAACTCTATTCCTCCTACTGCTACTCCTACTCTTCCTATTACTCATCTCATCGTCGTTGTCGTCCTCCTCTCTACCCAGATCCTATACTGAATGAAATCACAATCACGAAAACATGGTGACAACTGACACTCCAAACTAGTCCCGAACCAAGCGAAATGGCTCACGGACAAGGAAAAGGCCTTCATCCAAGCTCGGCTGCCTGCCAATGCGCCTCGTGCCGAAGAGCTGAATTTCAACATCCGCGAAGTGTTGTCGGCTCTCAAAGACAAGCGAATGTGGCTGTTTACTATGGTCTGGGCTACCATGACCGTCGGCACCACAGGGTTGAGTTTCTACCAGCCGACGGTGATTGCGAACCTGGGATTCACGTAAGTGGCACGTCAAGTCGAGTCCGGACGCTCTCTCTCAGTATTATACTGTTCAAGTGTGTTTGGTTTCGGTCCAAAACATTGTATCAGTCTTCAATATCATACCGCTGCACTACACGGTGCTGTGCTATATGTTCTCGACTGACACACTGGCTCCTGGCCAAATATACATACAGATCCATCGCAAGAAGCCAGCTACTCAACATCCCCACCGCAGTGCTCACCATAATCATCATCGCCATCTCGGGCTTCTTCGCCGACAGCGCCTGGCTCCCACGGCCGGTACTCCCGCTCAGCATCTTGGTGGTCATCATGGCCTGCTACAGCGTGCTCTACACCTTCCCCAACACGGGCGGCGTGTACACGGCCACGGTGCTCGCCAACGCCGTCTCGTCGTCGTGGTATCCGCTGATGTGGCCGTGGCGGGTGCAGACCACCTCGCGCGCCACGGGCTCCGCCTTCGCCATCGGCTTCGTCAACAGCTACGGCCAGATCGGCGGAGCGGTCGGCGCCCAGATCTTCCAGTCCAAGTATGCGCCGCATTATACCGTGTCGTTCGCCATCGCCATGGCCATGGTCGGCGCCTGTATTTTGGTGACTTGCCTCACCTGGTGGGTCACGCGCGACACCGAGCGGCGCACCAGAGAGATCAAAAAGGCCAGGATGGCGGCTGCCAAGCGTGGCGAATCGGTTCTGGATGATGTCGATCCAGATGTGGATTTGTGGAAGACCAGAGCCGTCGACGACAAGGAAAAGGGAAATGGAAAAAGTGCCGGTGCTGGTACTGTCCATGTGTCGGAGGCCGCTTGATGAATCGGTCGAACCTGGACCTGAACCAGACGCTAAAAGGGTCGTGTATCTCGTCTCATCTTGTCGAGACCTAGAGACCTAGAGACCTGTGGTCAACATGGTACCAGACCAAGACCAACCCTGTCAAACTAGGGAGGGACCATCAGTCCTTGATTATAGTCTGACAGACAGAGTAGATGGTATTAATGGCATCAGTGTACTCTGTACTCGGTACTCGGTACTCAGTACTCGATCTAGCCTGAGGCAAGAGAGAGTGATGGTGAAGGGGTGACACCAGTGATAGCCGTGCTGTTGTGCTGACCGCCGCAAACATGCCAAGATATACCGCACCACTGGCCCATATACTCCGTAGTACTTCTAGTCCGGATCACGGAGCACTTAGTACATCGTGACGTAATCACCGAAGCGGGCATTGCGGCCGCATTGGGCGGATACTACGGAGCAGACTTGTAGAGACGTTCCTATTATTATTGCTCTTACTGTTTCCTACTCGGCAAATACATCGACATGGCTCAATTTCACCCGCGTATTCTACGGAGATGGCCCTGGCTTGCATGTCTAGACATCAGTCTTCGCTTTTAGCGGGTGACAAATCATGCTTGACCGCCTTCCAGTCGGCCAACGGAAGCTCTTGGTCAACCACCTACATACCTGCTTGGACAATGATGGATCTCATTGGCGACTGTCAACCACCTACCTGCTCAGACAATGCTGAATCTCATTGGCGACTGCCTCAAAGCCAAGCGTCAAGTGAGAGTTGATCTACTACTAAGTAGCTAGTAGCGGCCAGGATACCATCTCCAATCTGCAAGCTACGCTGTGTTTCCGGTGGGTGGGCTTGGAAGAGCGCTTTCACACCGTCTGTCATGTCGTCAGGAAACCGATATGTCCACATTAGTTCCGTGCGGTGGCTTAAGGCCTTGCCGAGGACTCTGGAAGCTGTTTAGGTTCAGGGCACGCGGGCTTCGCTGTCTATAAATACGATGCTGGGTTGCTCTTCTGTCTCGGACTGACCATTGACTGTCGGCCATTGACTGTTGACCATTGACTCTGACCATTGACTTTCAACCATTGACCATATTATACAGTGGTAGCGAACCCGCCTCCGACTTTGACGTCTGTATCTCAACCTAGCTCATCCATCATGTCAATCGCTCGAGTTTGGTTCATCACCGCTGCTCTAGCGGATTTGGGAGAGAACTCACGCTGCAAGCCCTCAGCCGCGGGGACCGAGTGGTGGCCACGGCACGCAACGCTCACAAACTAGCCGACTTGAAGGAGGCCGGTGCCGCAGTGATGAGCCTGGATGTCACGTCGCCACTGGATGAGCTCAAGAAGATTGCCGAGGAAGCACACGGCATCTATGGCCGCATTGACTACCTAATCAACAATGCTGGCTTCAGCCAGGTTGGGGGCTTGGAAGAACTCACGTAAGTCAAGTGTGACCGACCAGCATTTCGGGGTCGAGGACGAGGACGTCCCAGACTCTTCGTACAGCACAGCACAGCATCCCAATTGTAGGACACAGCACAGTATCCCAATTATAGGATACTGACATCTAACTATCCCCCATAGGCCCGAGGAAACGGAATTCCAGTTCTCCACCAACGTCTTCGGCCCCCTGAACGTCACGCGGGCCATTCTGCCTTACATGCGAGCCCGGCGGTCTGGGGTAGTGGCCAACTTCTCCAGCGTCGGTGCGTGGCGCGGCGCCGCCAGGGTCGGGCTGTACTGCGCGTCCAAGTGGGCGGTCAGTGGGCTTTCCGAGACCTTGTACTATGAACTGGCCGACTTCGACATCAAGATCTGCACCGTCGAGCCCGGCTACTTCCGGTCCAGCTTCCTCAACCCGGGCAACAAGAAGGACAAGAAGAATGTCATTCCCGACTACGAGGGAACAGCCGTGCGGAAGGCCGAGGCGTTTCTGGAAGCATATGACAACAAGCAGCCCGGCGATATCAAAAAGGGCGCCAAGGTCATCCTCGACGTCCTCACCGGAGCCGCGGGCAGAGAGATCCCCATGCGTCTCGTTCTGGGCACGGATGCTTATGGGGCCATCAAGGCCAAGTGTGAGAATACTATCGAGACATTGGACGAGTGGAAGGACCTTAGTGTCTCGACGGATCTAGAAGAGAAATAGGACCTTCAGGTCGGTCTCTTCTTCTTCCTCTTCCTCTTCCTCTAAGTTGTCTCTCTCTTTCCTTGCCACATACAGGCCTACTCACGGCTTATACCGCCATATCTGTGTGTGTGTGTGTATGTGTGTGTGTGTGTGTGTGTGTGTGTGTGTGTGTGTGTGTGTGTGTGTGTGTGTGTGTGTGCGTTTCCTCACCATCAATCAAGGGATGTAGTTGGGTTGGATAGGTAAGGTATATAGGTACATATGATCTAATAAACACTATATTAATGGTCCAACGAGTAGCAAACCCGTAAGTCAAGTCAAGTCATAGCACCGCAGTTGACAGCGAAGAACCCTCATGAGTACCTACTAGGCGTAGCGTTGCTTCAACGGCTAAGGGATTGAGTACAGGAGCTGAGCGTAAGAGCGGCGAGTGAGTACAGGAGCGTACTGCAAGAGCGGCGAGACAGGGAGGAAGGCTGCCGTGTGAAGAATGGACATGGACTGGACACTGCAGCGCAGGGAGTGACCTGAGTGAGGAAACACGGTAGATTCTATTCCGGTGTCACTCGTCGCTTGTCTTCTCGCCATCCCGTTCCCTCTTCTCATTCCAGATGACCAATGTCACCGTCGCCGCCTCTACGCCTCGGAAGACCTTCCTTGCGCAGCACCAGATTCCAAGAATCACGTAAGCGACGACTTCATTTGGTGCATTGATGGGCTTTGATTGGTGGCCTTGCTCTCAACGGCGCGACAATTCAATTCAGACTACATCTCTAATTTCTAGGTGCGTCGAACCTGCCGTGGCTCGTAGCAACGTATGAGGAGCAGTGTCTTTCTTCAGTGAACCTGCTGCCGTATTCTGCTGTCGCTGCCGTCCGAGTCACGTCGTAAGAATGCGATTTCTCCATGCTGGTTGCTACGTCATCTCTGCAATGCTCATTCCCGCCTCAGGCGACTAATGCACCCATGCATAGCATAAACTAGCCCACATCTCGTACCGAGCCAGAAGGAAATGCCTCGTGTGCTGTCAACGTCTCACTCACCCGTCAAACTGGCCAGAAAGTCCTCGCCGGGGCCGACTGTGGTGCATAGTCGGGAAAGGTCGAGGGGCTGGCAATCAGGATGATCTGTCGGCGGTTGTATCGTCGCTCGGCTCAATGTCTGCTCTAATATCGGCCAACCGGGGGTGGCCGCAAGTGCCGACGTTCGGCAGCAGAGTCAGGCACTTGAATGCCGGTTTTTCGAGGTTCGGATCCCACGTGACTTTGCCTCTGAGGAAGTTTGACTTCCTCTCGTTGCTGCCTTGCGGCTCTTTGAGGATGGGGAAGACGCAGGCTGGCTGGTTCGGGATCACGCCGGGCGGTCCCCAGCCGTGGTTAGGCTGATCGTACTGGCTTTGGTGCCGCTTAGGGAAAAAGCGGCGAGTTTTGTCGCCTTTAACAAGCTTGAAAATCCAGCCAAAATGCACGCCTTAACACCCGAGAAGATTGACAGAACGCAGCCCATATTGACGTTGTGGTTGGCGAGAGTCTGAAAGTGAAATAGGGGGACGAGGAGTCTAAGATTAGAGTGGTGATTGGGGTAGACTTCGGAGGCGACGATCCACGTCTTCAACGTCAGGACGCGCCTGAGGGTCTTTTTCGAGATGCTTTCGGACTTCTCGCGTGCGAATCGACTTCTCGGAGCCGGGGGAGTACAGTCGAACAATAATCCGCGTAACGCGCATGATTCAGATGAACGCGGAGGTTGCCGCTTGGGAGGGAGCTGTTGCTGTTGCTGTTGAAGCAGAGGTTGCGGTAAGGTTGCTGCTGTAGCTGTGGAGGACTCTATTAGTAACTGACATTTTTCAAAGACGATGAAATGGTGGAGGGTAGTAAGGGTGAAAGTATAGAACAAGAGAGAGAGTGTGTGTGTGTGAGTGAGAGAGAGAGAGAGAGAGAGAGAGAGAGAGAGAGAGAGGGAATAGGCAGGGAGATAAGAAGGAAGGGGGCGATGGGCAGGGCAGTGAGAGAGGAAGGAGCATTTCATCTCGGTCAACCACTCTTGACTAGGTATCTACATCTCGCCATCTTACCTCCTTCTATGTTTAACGCCTTTACAATCACAACCTCAACCTCAACCAAATCAATCATATTCGTTCGCTGCTACTGCCCCTTGCTCTTTGTCGACAACGACAACGACAGCGACAACGACAAACAATGAGCAGGACCCGGTCAGAAGCTCTCTAATTACATGTGTTGCTTGAACGTAACGTAACCTTCAAGCCCTTCTGACCGCCGGCGTTGATCGAAACGACACTTGACACGGCACAGCACGGCACGGCACGGTACAGCACTTGAACTGTTATTGCTCCCGATGCATATACGTACATGCCGGTTTCCATTTTCCCAGCCGAGCCTGACTCAAACCCCCATTCCATTCCATTCCTATTCCCGTTCACTGAATCTAGGGGTCTGAGCTTGAGCTTGAATTTGAATTTATTACCATGGGAGAAAGGAAAAGGGAAAAGAAATAGATTTGGAAAACTCTCTTCTTTCCTCGTCAGTACGAGAAGAATTCACCATTCAGGTTCGGAAAACAATGCTTCAATTGATGGATAGCACCGCAACCCGGCTCCGTCTCTCGGTCCTCGCCTCGTCTCTCGTCTCTCGTCTCTCGTCTCTCGTCTCTCGTCTCTCATATAATCCTTATGCCTGGCCTGGGCCTCACACATGCACCGAGTTCGTTTCAAACGTATCCATGAAATTCCAATCGATATCACCTGCATTGAGTCTCGGATGAGGGTCCAAATTGTAACCCAGTAAGGGAGTTCTCGCGTGAGGGTCAACGTGACTGTTTCCAAACCCATGTTCGGAGCCGACAGGAAACTGTTGACCTGGAAAAGCTGGTAGAAAATCTTCCACCGCGTGGGTGGGCTCGGCATAAAGACTGCTCCTCATGTTAGATGGCCAAGCCATCGACACTCCAAAAGATCCGGGTGTATCGGGTTGGGAATGTGAAAACGGTCCAGGGACTAGCGCCGGGTTTGGGTTTGATAGTGTTTGGAAAGCCGTGGGTTGCGCCAGATCCAGCTGTTGACTTGTTGAAGTTGGCATGTTGAATCTCGGTGGGGTGGAACCATTCGAATAGCTTGGCCGTGCTTGGTATGCCTTTTGCCGTTCCAGAACAGCCTTCATCCGTTTGCGAATGATGGCATTGCTCCTTTCCAGCGCCGGCATGGCGCTAGACGCCTTTTGCAACACATCCAATAGGAAACTCAGGCCTATCTTCTGCGCCGCCATCGACGGATCTTGGTCCGGCTTGTACTCTCTTTCAAACCGCAAGATGGCTATCGTGGCTGCAATGTAAACGCTATAAGCATTCAGATAGGAAAGGTGAGCAAGCCCAAAGGTATTCCCTTGCAGCATGATCAGGTCGTGGATCGCTCCCATGGCTTGGTTGCATATCTGATATGACCTGGCAGGTCCTGGGGCGTTCATTTGACGCGCCCCCAGGATCACAGGTCGATGTAGGAGGATTAGGGTGGTGTGATACAGGAGGTTGAGCGACATGATATGCACCGGCGGCGCCAAGGTTGACATTTGGTCAAGATTAATCTTGAGGTGAGACGGCAGGCATATAAGCCAGTCTCGTAGATCTCGGGAAATGCGCATGAAAGCCGCCTCGTTGGCCGCTTTGGTGTCTCCCGAATATTCTTCTTCATCCAAGTCCCGTCGGGCCGCAGCTTCCGGGGAATAAATGTTCTGCATCAGATCGTTGAGGATGACGCAGATTTTGCACAGTTGTCGAAAACAGGACACAACATAGCCGGGGCATGGGGGATAGTTCGGATTGTTGGCAAGCTCCGGTTGAGGAGTTTCGCCGTAGTAAGGTGCCCAAAGGTCGCTATCACTGTAGTCGTCCATGAAATTCAGAGGCACTTCTTCGGTATCGGGCGTGAATTCAGGCATTCGTCCAAGGTACAGCGACAGAATCTTATCCCACGTATAGCAACTCCAAAACAGACGTTTCCGGACTTCGACGTCCTCGGCGGTCAAGCTCTTCACGAATGACTGGAGTTGGTCACTAGGTAGGTGGATTCCCAAGTCGAAAGCCATGCGAAAGGCGACGCCGGAAAACGTCCAGGCTTGCGACGGCCGTCCAAACAGCACTTCTCGAGCGGATTGCTGCAGTAAGGCTTGGATCGTGGGGATGGAGCTGCTTTCCAACATGTCCATGGCCAATCCAAACCTCGCTTCGTCGGAAATCTTTTGCATGAACTCTCCAGCTGTGAGGCCAGCAGCCATGGGACTTTGGTGACGGAGGACATTTCGATACTGGGCCTGATACACGTCGTGGTTGAGAAACCGTGCAGAATGGGCGTAAATAACCTGTAGACTCATGAGACTTGGGACACGGCAGAGATCAACACCACTCTCCTACCTTCAACAGTGTCTCTGAAAAGTAAGGCGGATCTTGGGCACCCGGGGTGTTCAAATTCACCATGGCCATTCCTCGCGTGAATGCAGGTCTATAAACGAAGAGAAACAGAGGATGCATCCAACACCAGTGGTACTTGAGCAACTCCTGCGAAATCTCTTTCGGTACGTTGGCTTTGGCTGCGCCGTTTGCAATCGCAAAGCTCTCGATCTGTCTCTGGTGGGTAGCGTTCAGGATTAGATCTCGCCGCACACGTTGGTCATCTTGGACGGTTCCACTCATATGGGCTTGAGAAACCGGCGTGGACGGATGGTGTTGTGCCATGGGAGGTTCATAGATGGGAGAGGTCGAGTTGTGAAACGTGACACTTCCCGTCTCATCCATGCTGATGTCGGTCTCCCATTTGACTTGACGACTGCGGTGCGCAAGTTGGCTTGAGCTTTGTGATGTCGCTGTATCACTGGCAGGTGAAGCGGAAACGGGCTTCTTCTCATCGTGAGACGCCTGGTGGAGGTTAATACAAGCGAGGAGCACGGCCGGAGAAAGCGTCCGTACTCTACTCAACCAGACTTGGTTTTGGGCTTGCCGCAACTGGGCTTTCAACTCGTGGTTCTCCTCCTCCAGTGATCGCACATAGGCCAGTGATGGCGGCTTGTCATAATGACACTCGTCTTTGTAGGCTATGCATCTGAGGCTCTGTCAGTCTGCCTCTTCTCGGGCTTTACAATCGGGTGGGATGAACCCACGTTGTACACTTGGGTGTTTTGCCGTCGCATTTCGACTAGATACCAACAGATTAGCGATGTGCACATAGCCTCCTTCGACGGGTCCAGAACTGCGGTGAGAAGAATTGGAGACATGCACGACAAGAAGGTGGAACGGGCCAATCAATACCTTTCTTCTACGACAGCCGGCACAAGTAGATTTTCGATGCTTGGATCTGGGCTTTGCGTCGACTTCAGCAGGCATATTTGGATTTGGCCGACAGGTTTCAGTGCAGACGGAGAGGCAGAATCATGAATGAAAGCATAGTTCGAGCCTCGCAGGATAATGATGACGAGAATCGGGGCAACCTATGTTGGATTTCTCCTCACGCATTCCAGGGTTGGAGAGTCGTCAGCGAAAATCGATCCCTGGTCCGAACCCGGCATGCCTTACTCATCGAGACACGCGGTGGGCGAGGCAGTGCTCTACTCCGTAGTGGCATGCGCAAAGTTGAAGTAATATGAGTGGCAGGGGGGGTGGTAGCGAGCGGTAGCGGTAGCGGTAGGTACTGTAGTGTAGGTGGTCTGTGATCGGGGTGGCACCCTCACCGTGGTGGGATGCGAGAGGGAGGGAGGGTTAGACTTCTGGGTTCCGAATACCAGGTGAGCAACGTTAGTGGGCAAGTATTGGTTCTTTCTCTCTGTCTCTCTGTGTCTCTCTCCCCCTTTGGTGATGATGGCAATTCGCTGCGGAGAAGAGTCAAGTGACACCCGAGCCAGTCGAAGAGAGGTGGTCGGTAAGGGTAACGTCGAGATAAGCCCCGAGGTGAGAGCTGTGGTACCTTACTAGGTAGGTACCTAGTACCTTAGGTAGGCAGTGTCGACCTCGTATTAATCTCGTATTAAGCTCGTATTTACCAGATGCATATCCCGTCCCAGAGAACGGTATGAGGGGAACTTGAAGTCGATACATGAATTTGAATGGATGGATCACTACAACTAACTAGGTACCTACTACGAGTACCTAGCAGGCCTGCTACCTAGACATATCCGTAGTAGCCCGTACCAAAAGGAAACATGTGACGTATCCGTATCCTACTAGCTGTACTGACTGTGGCCTTTCCTGGTTTAGTGTAACAGGCGAGCCTAACGTCTTCGAGCAGACTAGAGTCGAACCGGCTGACTAACATGTACTATTCAGTCCATGGGTAGCCCGTTCGAGGAGCCGAAAAAAGAGACCCCGGTCGAGTCACTTCAAGTTGGGATGATATGTCCCAGACTACGGAATAAGACACCTCCCACGCAATGCTGTCGCATACATTAGGTACCTACCTAACCTTAGTACTGTACTACAGGGTACGGATACATGTTACAGCTGAGACTGAGGTAATGTAATGCCCTAGACTGTAAAGGGAAGGTGGTGACTATCCCCTAACCCCGAAGAGGTTAAGCGTGATAGCTAGCCCTTTCCAGTTTCCCACCTGGACAGACACGGCGGCGGCGGTGAAGATGAAGAAGAACACAGGCTCTTCATCCCTTGGGTAGCTATTCGCAGCCTCTGTCCACAGCAGTTGCTTTGTGGTGGTAATGGTGGTGGTCAGTGTTTAGGCCGTTTCTATTATTGTCACTCACCATGGTTCACCTGTGTGTCCTGTTCTTCGATGACCGAACTTCTTCCTGAATGGCGCATCCTCAGCCAACCAATACCGAAAGCCTTTGACCGACCGAGGCGCGGGCTATACATTTGACCCTATGAGGCACTGATCTTACCTACGTCTTTCCACTGGTCTTCGTTCTAAGGAATATTTTGGAGCGAGCCACTAGGTGAGACTACAGTTAATATTACAGGCTGCACATCACCCTGACCATTTACCTCCCTGGTAGGTGCCTGGAATGCTCTAGCAAAGGGCTCACCCGTATCAGGCGTCGCCTCAGCCTCTTCCAGTTCACGTATGCGGAACCGCTCCTGCGAACCGAGCTTCTTTGCTTCTACTGAACGAACACCCTTACCTCCACTATCCCAAGTATAGCACCAACAGCATCATGGTCGAAATAAGCACTACTGAGTACTGCTATGTCTTTCCCTGCTGCCACGAGGGAACTAACAACTAGCGCCCATGCTTCTATGGCCGGATACAGGAAAGACGTCCCTCTTATATGACCCATCCAGCCCTGCCATCTGGAGAAGCCCAGCCGAACCTCGCCAGACCTCTATTCTCTGCAGTATTCCCGTTCGACGGCATAAAAATGAGCATATTTCGGACCATGGTAAACCATTACCCGCACCTGACAGGGCCCTGTTGGAACAGCAGTGAACTGTCTGACACAGGTGAGATTGCAGACACCATCCCGCTCCCAAGGCTACCTACCAGTCACCATCCCCGGAAACCGGGTGGGTGCCGTTCCCCATCGCTCACGCCTATTGCGCGCAATCACTCGCTGCTCAGCAACCGTTCCGAACCGTGGCATCACGGAAATACATCTGCATAGAGGTGAGGCCGGAGCTTGCGTCCTGTCTCTCCACGGCCCATTGCGGTGTGCCTCTCCATTCTGACAAATACAAGTTTCCCTAGCGTCGTTCACGAAGCTTATCGCCTGTTCAAGGCTCAGCCTCCGGACTTGCGAATACCTCTATTGAATTAAGAGCTTGCCTGAAGATGTTGACGAGCTTAAGCCGGAGTCAGTCCTGCTGGGTCATTCTCTCCCGAAAATGACCACTGAGAACTAATAACAAGGGTGAGCAGCCGTTACAGGCATTATGCAGGGCTATGACAAATTGTCTATCGTGGCTGAACTGCACCGTCCTCCAGTAGGTGGGAACCTCTCGCGTTACGCGGCCTTTCGCGCAGTGCGGCAAGCACAAGATGTCCAGCTGCAATAGCGATTCGCCGAAAAGGCTAAGCGACATGATGGGAACCCCCTCAGCCCCCTCGGCCTAGACATGGACCAGCCCTCCTGTGCCTCGCAGATGGCATCGGTCACGTCTCGTTGCGTCGTCGCCATTTATCTTCTCAGTCACTTTCACAACTTCTTCTGGCAGTTGCAATACTTGCTGTTACTGGCTTTCCGTGATGATGGAATCTAACGGCTACGTGCTGCTGACCCTCGTCTACTACGACACTTCGTTCTTAGCGAGCCTTACTGGTGGCTTCATCTCTCAAATATCAACTATTATAGCGGCCGCCGGCAAACAAGGATGTAAGCTTGAATGGCAGAGCTCCATACCTGATGTTGTGCCCATCATGGCATTATCTAATCTTAGAGAGCTTTTTAGTCGGCTTTAGATGAAGAGATATCTAGGATGGCTCAGCCTCTGGAGGAACGAGGCTTTCACCGTCGGAATTGAATGCGAATGACCGGGTGAGCCTAGAGTGATCCCTGGTGTAGAGTGGCCGGTCTGGTGGCCATTCAGGCCTCTGGCGCAGAAGGCAGAAAGCAGAAGGCAAAATGCATATTATCGGGATATGTATCTACCATCTACCACTGGTAATTGCTGGATGACTTCAGACATCCTCAGGCATGGGCACTGGCACTGGTAGCGCAGGCAAAGCTTGCTTACTGTATTAACAAGTTTCTTGTCACCATTGTCCTGCAGTGGAGATGCCACCACCCACTGGCAAGATCTGGCTTAGGGGACTTATATGTTACTCCGTACACTACTAGGCGATGCCTAACGCAGTTAGCCTAATGCTTAGGTGCCTACCCGCCTATCTACCTCATACCTATAGGCTAAGGCTTAGGCTAGCTCTCCCAAGTTAGGTACATACTGTACTCCGTACCGCTCATTCACTCTTTCCGGCCCCTGTTCAACTGCTCTGCATGCCACATGGTCATAGTGGATGAGATGAGATGAGATGCCTGCTCCTCCAGACAATGCTCTCTTGAAACATCACATCACCAGACACCCTCTGTTGTTGAGACCCGGCATTTCTTTTCCTGGCTCGCTTACTGCGGACATCTGCTGCCATCTCTCAACCATGCCTGCTGTTTCTCCCGCCCGCAAAGAACCCTTGCTCGCCCGCCTTGACCTTCACTCAGACTTTCGGGCCACAAGCCTCTTTTGCCGCTCGAAAAGCTCCCTCCAATTCGACCACGGCCCTGCGAATTCCCCAGACACCCGCCCTCCTTATCCACATGACTGGGTCCTCGGTAGGAGACTCGCTACTCGTGCTGTCGCTCGATCGATCCCCTGCAGCCCTGCCCGACCGCTGCCCGCAGCGGTGACGATTCTCAACATGATCAGTATATAGCCTTGAAGCAGGCTGCCCTGAGTCAAGACAACACCTCGCCCTGTTCTTCTCTCCTCTCTCACCTCGATTCCTGACTTCTCCAGTCTGCCACAATGGACAAAGGAGGCGTGACGGAGAGGACTGACAGTGATCCTAGTACTCTAATTAAAGAAGAGACAAAGACAGCCATATGCCACAATACTATGCACGATGATCCAGAATACCTGAGCCCTACATCTCCTCGTGATCCGCAGGATCCCCTTAACTGGCCAATGTGGCTCAAGGTCAGACAGCTCCATTGACTCAAGGCCACTACTGATCTTGTTCAGTTTGTTATTCTGACCCAGACGTCTCTTCTCGCAGCACTCGGTGGCCTCAACACCGCTTCCATTAACCCTGCGTTGGTCATGCTCGCTGAAGACTTTGGCATTGGCAAGGTGCGAGCCTCGTATCAGACGTAAGCCTACGTGGGCAGGACTACTTTCCCCAAGGGTAATGACTGACACGCACGCAGAACCGTCTGCATAGCTCTCAACGGCATAGCACCATGGGTCTGGATCCCTCTGTCCAACAAATATGGTCGCCGACCTGTCTACTTAGGCACCACCTTCCTCGCCTTCATCTCTGCCTTGAGCTGCGCATACACTCGGTCATTTGGCCAGCTTATTGCAGCAAGAGTGTTCAATGGCTTCTTCCCAGTAGCATTCGCATTAGGCGCAACCACGGTCGTTGACCTGTTCCATTATCATCAACGTGGACGAGCCATGGGGTTCTTCACTGTTACCATGGTGAATGGGAGTCACCTAGCCCCTATTGTGGGCGGTCTCTTGGGCCAATATTGTGGATGGCGATGGATTTTCAAGTTCGTGGCGATCGTGGATGCGGTCATGTTTATCGTCGCTTTTTTCTGTCTCCCTGAGACGCTCTACATCAGACCGATGCCCTTTTCACCATTGGCACCGGACGCGATCAAGATGCCGATCCAACCCCTTGCTGTGCGACCTCGCTTCGACAAAGCAGTCTACTTTTCAAGTCTACGGCTCTATTCCCGCTCCCCTCAACTGAAGCTTAGAGCAAATCACTTTGTACTCCCGGCGTTGAAGATGGCTAGGTACCCTTCGGTGCTCTTTGCGGCGTTATATTACTCCACCATGTACGGATTTGCGTCCGTCCTCCCTGCCGTCACAGTCGCGGCAATCTTCTCGGAATTCTTCCATTGGGACACATTGACCATCGGTCTCACTTACGGTGCAGCTCTTACCCTCGGTGGCATTTTGGGCGAGTGCGTCTCTGGCTGGGTTGTCGATGTCATCGTGAAAAGGGAGAGGAAGCGCCTCGGTCGCGACCCGGAACCCGAGGTAAGGCTCAAAGCCGTATGGGTGGGTGAGATTATTGTTCCGGCAGGTCTTTTGATCTACGGCTTCTGTCTGCAGTATCATACAAGCTGGTATGGACCTGTCCTAGGCATGGGCATTGCATGCTTTGGTCTGCAGGTTATCACGACCACCACATACACTTACGCGGTCGATTGTTACCGAACAGAAAGCAGCGAAGTCGCGCAACTGTTCAACTTCATTCGTCAAGGGTTCGGAATGACTTTTGCATTCTACGTCGTTGACCTCGGCAACAGGATGGGATATCAGTGGTTGTTCCTGATGTTTGCCGGGGTCGGTGGCGTGCTGGCTTTCATCCCCATGCTGCTCATAATCTTGTACGGTCAGAGGTGGAGGAAGAAGCTTGGAAAGCCTGTAGGTGTCAACATTTTTGAGAACATGTTGGAGGCCGCACAAGCTCGCAACCAGTGTTCAACAAGCGTCAAGGTCTAGTCAGACAGCTAGCTGCGACGAGGTATGACTGATGATGAATGACGAGGCATGAGAGACGAGTCATAACATTTCTCCTTTGGCGGACAGCCCTCCTCTGCTCTTAGGCAGTGCTCTGAGGCAGTGCTTGGACTATCCGTGAACCTCAACCCACACGGCGCGCTACAGTACTTATTCTGCAAGGCTACCTTATGTATGCTATACCGCCCCAAGTGAGACGAGTTCCCGCAAGTATTTAATGCAAGTATTTAATATTAGTCTTCTTCATCCTTCTCTTCTTCCTTCTCCTCTTGCTCCTCCCCTTCAACTGCTGTTCGGTCAGTGACTACCTAGTATGTACTGCAACTCTAATGCCAGTCACTCGAGGCTACGCACCATGCTTTCAGACCGCATCTTGCTGTCCCGTCGGAGCCAAGGTCCATCAGCATATGATTAGCCCAGCGCCGTCCTACCGATCACGACCCCCCTCCCAGCCTTCGAATCTCGCGTTCCCGCTCACAACTCTCATTGTTCCGCGCCGATTGACCTCTGCGTCACCTTCAAAATTCTCTTCGCCTACCCGGTCGGCATCTAGGTCGTCTCTCCATAAATCATCAAGCATGGCCTGAAATAGTCCAGGTCGGTTTCTCGCCCGCCCAACATCGCCGCCGGGATGCGGCGCTTCCACTGCCCGTTGTGTGAACAAAGTCTCGTCCCTCATCATCATCCTTCGCAGCCTCATTCCATCCACCCGTACACTCCGTTGCAGTTCTCTGTTTCGTCGTTCCCTGAGACTGATGGCTCGTACAGTGGGGCTCGGTTCGCCTGCATCAGGATCCCACCGTTGTCCATCCACGTTCGAGGTGGAAGCGGACCCTACTCGAACCCTACCAGGCGGAGCTGTGTAAGCAGCATTGTGCTCCGTTATGTATGGTCTCCTAGCCAGATCGGCAGGCGTCTGTGGCTGGGACGTCGCGGGAAGTGATTCGTTATATACTGAGAACGAGTTCCCATCCAAATATCGATGCCTGTGGCTTTGTGGTTCTGTGCGAGGGAACGCGGGGGCTCTCCGGATAGGCGTCGGGGTAGCGGGCAGCCCAGAAGAAGTGGATGGCTCGTCCACCTGCGAGATCTCCTCCACCGGTGATGCACTGGGAACAGGAGGGGAGCTCGGCAACTCTTCGATAGTACCCTCTGTATAACTTCGACGATGCGTCCACATGGGTAGGAGGGAGGCCGACTCATATTGCCCTTGAGATGCATCACCAAGACTTTGGCGGCCAACTGGACTCGCAGCACCGAAGTCCTGAGATGAATAAATCCGAGGAGTGGCTGAAAAGGGTGGTGGTAGTGGCAAGGGCATATCGTCTGACAGCCCACTGATCGAACCCCTCTGAGCATCTGTGCTATTCAGTGATATCTGCCTCATCTCCTCAACAACCCAGTCTGGCAAACAAGAATGATCATAAGGCTCTTCAAATCCAGACGACCTATCCCACTCACTGGCAGTGTTGGAAGAGACAATCGGAACAGGTATATCATCCGCTTCGGCGGTATCTGTTGGAGAACTTTCTCGGGAAGCTGCTGTCGCAAATCGAAGCAGAGAGCTTTTGCGGGGTGCATGTTTGTTGACTTGCATGGCTGGTACTAGGGACACGGGAGACACAGATCTACCCTCCGATTGAGGGAGTTCAGACACGTCGCTCTCGTCGGTTTGTTCAGTAGAATTTGTAGACAGCCGTGTTGAATGGCGAGTCGACCTCTCCGCAGATTCCCACTGGAAATTAGACTGGGAAGATTGGGCACTTTCCCCTTGTTGGAGCGCTTCATCCTGCGAAGAGTTTGGAGAACGTCGGTAGGCCAATTGAACCGTACTGGAAGCAAACAATAACTCGCCGTCCAAACCACCGCCAGCCGCTTCTGAGATGGCTTTGCGATGATCCTTGAGATACCGCACGATATCATGCTTCTCAAACCCCTGTCTCAATAGGCCGTGGTAAATCTCGGCTTGCCGCAAGTGAAACTCAACGTCACTCTCCGACAGGGAGATACTGCTAGGAGGCAGGCGGATCATCGCGGGGGAGTTTGAGTAGGACTACCTTGGCCAATGCTGATTGATGGCCCACTGGCGTTCGATAGTTGAACAACCCGGGGGTTCGGAGTTGTTAACTGGAAGAGCAGCCCGGGCGCAGTCAGCTCCATCGTTGCCTGGATCTTCACCATAATTGCAATGAAGAGCAAGAACGATGTGTGATGGGGCCGTTGCCACCAGCATCTTCCTGATATCGCCCATCACGCCGTTACCAGACAAAAGGCAAGTGCGGCACTGCAGGTGCTCTGGTTCACATCGTATCCGGTGTCTTCAACCACGCTCGATCCTGTCCGAGCTCATTTGTCCTCGCAGCAACCGTCTTATATGACTTCCATAATCCGTTGCCGATAGTGGTATTCCGAAGGAGGAACAAACCGGAGAGCTCCATCATATTGGAAGTCTTGACGTAGAAAGGCGGAGGTTGCGTTGTCCTGGTGGATCAATTCACGTAAGCTCCACCGCAATCTTGGGTCAATCTGCGCCAAATCCTCCTGCATGGTTTCGAGATGGATGTGCTGCTGTGACAAGCGATGCATAGATGGTTGGCGACGATCTAGGCAGTGCAAAGTAGCAGCTCTGGGCGGAGAGGCAAGCTTCGATCTGATACGGACGTTGCCTGGCTCGAGACGCGAGACGAGAGACAAGAGACGAGGTCGGCGTTGGAGTGACTTGGACTATTTACGGCCTCCCACGCCGAACCTCCATCTTGGTTCGTCTGCAGCCACATCCATCGTCCTCTACCAAACACTGCTCTTTAACCTTCTTTCAACATTCACACGTTCGCTACATCACAAGAGCTCTCTCTGTCGACCTCCGCGATCCCTCTCTGCCTGCACCTGGCCCGGCCGTGCTGACACCCTAGGTCCGGAGCATCTGAAACCAGGCCAACTTCTCCTCGGACCCTCCCTCTCCTTCCTCGGCCTGCGAAGATATTGTCTAGGGTTTTTGTTTTTTTGAAGGAACAAGAAGATACGCACTGCTAGGCTCAATGCTGCAAACAATGAGGACTTCGGTGCCTCTGCTCTAGGATACGAAGAGTCCGTCAAGAGACACCGTCTTAGCGACAAACGGGGACGTCATTGCACATCCGGACCAAGCCACGTCGTCCACGAGTCTCAAACCTGAACAATTATGGCCGACCTCTCGCTCGGCCCGCTGAGGATTGCAAATCCTGATGATGCCTCTCCTGATACTCCGTTGCAGCCTCAGCCTGCGGTCTCGCCCTTCCTACGGATTTCACCTTTAGTCGACGCCAATGGAAGGACAGATTACCTCTCCGCCGCACCTGAACGATCCGACAGCCCTGTGTCGCCCCTCTCAACTTCTCCTGCAGAAGTAGTTCCTCCTCAGGCGGGGGCATTGTCGGCGAGCCCTTCCAGTGCTACACCTTTCACGACGTCAAATCAAACTCAGCGTGGATCAGAGCGGCCGTCACAACGGACAAATCTCCCTTACTCTTATCAAGATCAGCAACAAGCGCAATTCCCTCAATATCCGACGATGATGCCTCAGAACCTGCACGATCCCCGATCTAACGCTGGCCGACCCGGTTCCACCTATTATTCCCAGGTACCTGTCAATGGAACGGCCGGTAATGGTGTGTCTCGACAAGGTTCATATCGAATTCGCGGTGACGGTACGGCTTCGACTGGCTTCCCACAACGAACATCATCCAAGCGCTCAGGAATAGGAGATGTGGCTGGTGTCCCTTCAAGAGACGACAGTCACACTGAAAGAGCATACGGGCAAGGGCAGTATACTTCCGGCAATGCTCCTTTGCCACCCCGGAAGACATCCAGAAGCGTTCCAGGTTCCCGAATTGGTGGTACAACTACTGGGAATACGCCCCCCTCCAGTATCCCTAAATCAACACAGACACCCTTGTCAACGTCGCCTTACAACATAGAGGACCGTCCTCTGGCCAGTTCGGACGAGTGGCAGGAACGCGGTGCCGCAGTTGGAGTCAAGCGAGAGTATGATGTAGAGGGCCGGCCGGTTCTCAAAGCTGTCAAGAAGGGAGTGAAGGACTTCAATTTCGGCCAAACCCTGGGGGAGGGTTCCTATAGTACCGTTCTCGCAGCCACGGATCGACAGAGTGGAAAAGAGTATGCCATCAAGGTGCTCGACAAGAGACATATCATCAAGGAGAAGAAAGTCAAATACGTCAACATTGAGAAAGACACGCTAAACCGACTGACGGATCACCCTGGTGTGGTCAGACTCTATTACACCTTTCAAGATGAGAGGTCATTATACTTTGTCCTGGATCTGTGCCCGGGTGGTGAGTTACTCGGTGTTCTCAAGCGCATGTCAACGTTCGATGAAGAATGTTCTCGATTCTATGGCGCACAAATACTGGATACAATCGATTACATGCACAGTCGCGGGGTCATACATCGAGATCTAAAGCCGGAGAACCTACTACTCGACGAGAACATGCATATCAAAGTGACCGATTTTGGAACGGCGAAACTGCTACCTGAAAAGAAGACCAGCGATGGCAGAGTCGAATTTGAGCCAGATTCGAATTCCGAAGAGACCAGAGCCAACTCGTTCGTCGGTACCGCGGAATACGTGAGTCCAGAATTACTGATGGACAAGAATGCTTGCAAGGCCAGTGACTTGTGGGCATTTGGATGCATCATCTACCAACTACTAGCAGGACGCCCACCGTTCAAGGCTGTCAACGACTATCAGACCTTCCAGAAAATCATCAATCTTGATTACGAATTTCCTCGGGGATTTCCTGAGGTTGCACGCGACCTCGTAGAGCGTCTACTTGTCCAGGACCCTCAACGGCGGTTATCACTCGAACATGCAAAAAATCATGCGTTCTTTGCGGGCATGCAGTGGGGTCGAGGCTTGTGGCAACAGAAGGCACCACGATTAAAGCCGTACGTCCCTCCACCGATGCCACCAATCAAGTTGAATGGAAATGGTTCTCAGGACACCTACCCTCCAGACATTGCGTCTCACAGTACACACGCGACCATGCTCCCACCGAACAACCAAAAGCCGCATCCGAGAGTGATCACTGAGCTCCCCCCACCCAGCCAGCTTGATATCGAATGGTCTCCAGTCCTCACACGGAACAATGAAAGGATTCTAAAACTAGGGAACTTGTCTGTCGTCGCATCGCCGAGCCCCCACAGCCCGCACGGAAACGAAGGAGGAGGCAAGTTAGCAAGACTTTTCGGAGGGAGTACTACCAAAAAGCGGCAGCGTCTCGTCATGGTCACCTCGAGCGCACGCATCATCATCGCAGCTGCTGGTGGTGAGGAGAAAAAGTCAAAGTCCGAGATCGCACTCCTGTCACCGGGAGTCGAGTTTTCCAGCGCAACCGACTCCAAAGGAGTGACTCAGTGGATTGTGAACACGGTAAGTTCTACACACTGGCGTCAGGGCGGCAAAGACTGACTATTGGAAAGCGGGATAAACATTACGTCTTCGAAGATCCGAAGCCAGCTTCCAATGACCCCATGGCAAGTGCTGTGTCGGCTCAAGAATGGCTTGACGCATTAGTCCGCGCCCGAGAGCTTGCGGCATTTGTGCAAAACTCCAGTAGCAATTATTCAACGGATGACACTCTCACCTTGTCGTCTTCTGCGTTATCCAGTCAGGCGAATATCATCGATCAGACCACCGATCTCAGTCCTCAATCGGCCAGCCATGGACATACAGGGCGAGCTATACTACACAAGCAACATTCCGGCGGTGATGCCGAGTCGCTGAAAGGGCGAAAGCGATTCAGCAAGCGACAGTCCAAGAGCGGATTGACTGCAGTGTTTTGAAATTTTGTGCGGAAAACGAATCCGCGCCTGCGATTCCTTCATCTGCATTTGTGTGTATGGTTTTCTACTACGTCTTGAAGCCTGTTTAGCATAGCGTTGCGATTGTGGACGACGGTCAGCATGGCGATGGTGGGCGAAGGGCATGAAGAGGGCACAGAAACCCCTCCTGCTCGAGTTTGTTTGGGGTCTGCATTTGTAGGGAAGCCAGCCTTTGAGATCTAGACAGGATATATTGAACTGGAGAGCCACAGGTCACGGCACTTATTGATGACAAGGAGGTACATCCACATCGCCTCTGTAAGAAAAGATGAGTTTGTACGAGTGAGGATCTTGTCACGCGTCAAAAGGCATCAAAAGGCATCGGCGCAGGGCCACTCAACAAAGGCTCAAACTTGTTTTGTGCTGTTTTATTAGCGCTGTATTGCTCCCACAAATTATGTGTCCAAGTGACCACGAAGAACCCTTGTCACCGTGGTACTGGTGGTACTTTGGTTCAGCTTGCCGTCACGACTGGCTGACATCGACCGGACCTGCATCCAAGCTAGATCCCAAACAGGACTTCGTCTACTTCTTCATCGCCACACTGCGTCCCGCGGTACCAGTCGCTCTGGCGGTCTCGTTATGTGTAGCCTGGCCACCCGCACTATGGCGCACGAGGAGAAAAGGCGTGGAACCGCCAGCGTAACATTCTGACTCTTGCGAAGCGCGGGGATTCTCTTTCGACAGTTGGTTTAGCGCAATGGTGTAAGGACCGGATTTAGACGAGGAACGGGCATTAGCCTTCGAGAGCAACGCCGTGTGGCCTCCAACTGACCTCCGAACAGGACGTCCGAAGCAGGAAACCTCTGCAGACGCGTACTGTAGTGAGGACGGGCAGCGACACAGAACAGCATCTTCAAGATATCTACGGCAGTCTACCCTGAGTCACAAAGGTCGATTACAAGGTACGCAAGACAGTCACAAGTTTCCGGGTCCATGGAGCACCGGAGGACATGAACCAGCTCTATCCGCAGACTCTTCAGTATACGAATCCTCCAATTCCAGTCCCAATGGTTTCCCGAGCCGAACTTGCGGACCAGTCTCGAGGCCCGCCCTCTGTCGCTTCTCGAACGTCTCGATCTCGACATCACCACCATCATCGCGGTCGATCCCATTACGGGGGTACTTCCCAAACATTGCAGAACGAGTTTCCCTTCTTCGCGCAGTCGGGGGACGTGGAGATAGTGTTGGCATGTGATGGACAAGAGAAAAGATACCTCCTGCACAGGTTTACATTGGCGCAGTTTTCGGGGTTCTTCGAGGCGAGTACCAGTGATGAATGGTCCCGAAATCAGGCCATCCCGAATGTCCCATCTTTGCGGCCAGAGCAAGCTCTGAGTGCCATTGAGGAGGAGTCATCCCGCGTTGGCTCCGCCGCTGGCCCGTCGGTGCCTCATCCCATATCAGTATCATCTCCCCAGCGGAGATGGAGGTATGAGTTGGACTGGGAGAATCTCGAGGACGACGATGAGCCGATTTTGGTGCAAAGGACGCCTCAGGGTCCCCTGTTCACTCCTTCTCTACCACCGCCCCAGTCGCAGCAGCGGCCTCAAGCCCACCACACGTCCTTTTTTCGGTCGATGGCAAATCTAACCCTGCCTTATCATGGTCCGGCGTCGCAATCGACTGCGCAACTTGCGACTATACCGGACCCCGCCCTCACAAATCCTCTCCTCCGAGACTACGATAACCTGTTCCGTATCTTTTATAACTTCCCGCCTGTCCTCAACTCGACCAACATCGCCTCAGCTTACTCGGAATGCAAGACCCTTCTCTCCTTGGCGGATATGTACGACGCGCTGCCCGTGGTTGGACCACGGATCGACCACCATCTTCTCCGGTTCTCGTCACGACTTTTCAAACAAATTGCAAAGTATCCCCCTTCATATCTGAAACTCGGCTATCTTGCGCGAAGCCGCATCATCTTCTCCGAAGCCCTGACCCACGTGGTAGGACAGTGGCCTGCCGCGTTGCCCTACCTCAAACCACCTAGTCACGCTGGTGGAGGATACGAAGTCCCGCAATCCGTCATCGATCTGATTGAGGACAAAGTTGACGAGTTGGAAGAGTTGAAGCAAAGAGTTGAGACGAAACTATTCAGACTGACCCTCACAACGAGTCGCGGTGAGCGGGTGAATCCAGCCAATGACTACCTTGGTTGGCTTGCAATGAGTCTGTGGCGGCAGTGGTTGGCAGAGAACACCACGCCTGAGGTGCGTGGGATATTGAAGAACGGCCCCAGCTCGCGGCCGGGCAGTGCGACTGCAATCATTAACGTGCAGGCACAAGGGTCTATGGGGAGACCGCCGGCTCCAGGTACGGTTGCGCGAAATCCTACACAAGCTGCGCCACCGCCAGCCGTCAACACCGGTCGAATCTTTAGAATGATAGCTTCTCCGAACGCAGAGATCTATCTGCCTTACGACGAGCTGAAACGCTTTCTGAAGATTAAACCGCCGGGCCAGCCAAGTTCTCCGGCACTGTACACACGAGAGAACCTACGACGGTTCGAGCGAAAGATTGATGAGATCAAGAATGTGGCACGAGATATTGTGAAACCCCTAACAAGAAATTGCCTCGAATTAGATTTGAGAAGTTTGAGTGATGGCCAGGGTGGCGGACTAGGCTATCTGACTTGCATGCGGTGTGAAGAGGAGGATTTGCCTTGGGACATCTGAACGCTGCGACGTCTAGTATCTTGTCCTGCATTTTAGCGACAGCGTTTTGACTTGATGAAATCTCCCCGACGTTTGAAACGCGGCTTACGAACTTCCCTCGGCATCACGAGTGGCAACGAGCATTTACGAATTCCCTTTCTATGAGAAATTGCGTATGGGATGTATGACTGGTGACCTTGTGGTGGATTTTGCGAATTGATTGATACCCTGCCACCCTGCTTGAGTCTTTCCCAGGTTGGCCAGAGGAAAGACATTCCCTTGACAGTAAGCACATCGGATTACCCTCGCCATTCATATCGACCTCGCGAAATCCATCACTGCAGGAGGGAGGCTAATGGCCTTGAGGCGCTGCTGGTATATTGTCTGCTGACCTCCGAGGTATTTGCCCAGGAGGCGACCGTGACAGAAGCGTCATGAAATGGAAGAATATCTAGGCTGACAAAGTACCTGCACACATTGAAGAGCTTGAAGTAGACATACGTCCGAAAGATGGTTCGATGGACGAATGGATGTAGACCTCCATGTAGTCTGTTGAATGATATCAGGTGTACGTATTGCCAAAAAATAGGTCTGTCTGACGGGACCGAATGAGCCTTGACCACATATGATTTAGCAAATACTTGCTTTGTCAGACAATCGTCTTTTCCGTCTGCTCGCTATCCAAAGTTCCTGCCACCTAACCTCCTCGAGACAGTTGTTGTAATTATGTCGACGAAGCATTGTCTGCAGTTCGCGCCCGAGCAGTAACTCCCGCCATTTCTACCTGCGGCATGATACACTCTTGTGTTTCTATGTTTCTGTTCAAGCGAATCCCCATCTCCCTTTCCTGAAGTAAGGCAAAGCAATCAGGCACTCGGTCGCCTTCCACGATGTTGTCCTCCCTCGCCCCGTACCTCTCGAACCCACGGCAGACACTGGCCCAAGTCCTCAACTTCGCCCTCGTCCTATCTACGGCATTTATGCTATGGAAGTCGCTCTCGGTGATCGCCGACTCTCCTTCCCCGATCGTTGTGGTCCTGAGCGGATCGATGGAACCTGCGTTCCAACGTGGCGATTTACTGTTTTTGTGGAATCGAGATAAGACAGCCGAAGTGGGAGAGATTGTGGTGTACAATGTCAAGGGCAAGGACATTCCTATTGTACATCGCGTTGTGAGGAGTTACGCTCCACTGGGAGTCGGAGCAGATGCGGATGCAAGGTATGTATATGCTGCCCGGAAGAATCCTAGAATCCTTTGTCGGTGTGATACTGTTGGATGTTACCGTTGCCTGAAAATGGCCAACGCAACTGGAAAAGTATTGCGGGACGTATTCGAGCTGGACTGACACCCACCCTACAGTGCGTCTCCCAAATTATTGACGAAAGGCGACAACAACGTGGCGGACGATACAGAGTTATATGCGCGAGGACAGAGCTACTTGGACCGGAAAGAGGATATCGTCGGCAGTGTGCGCGGATATGTACCTGCAGTGGGATACGTCACCATCATGTTGAGTGAACATCCATGGCTGAAGACTGTTATGCTGGGAATTATGGGCTTGATGGTGATCTTACAGAGAGAATGAAGATGGAGGGTGCATTTGTCTCGCCCATATGGGGCGAAAGCGTGTTACTGGAGCTTGCGCTCGCCCTGCAGGTCAAATCAGGATCAGGCTTGGAGGATCAATACTCGCGCTGGAGGATGAAAGAGTGAGCGAGCTTCGTGTCACCTCCAACATGCTGCACCGCTACGACATTCCCCGATTGATTGTTTTGCTCCAGTCGAGCCTACCTACTCCCATGAGGAATAGGCGCCACGACAGTTTGCCGGTCAAGCAGCACGCAGTTGGTGGTATGGCATTGGCGAGAAGAGGTATCATTGATCGGATTATGGCCGACGAGAGCAACAAACACCTCGTGAAGACTCGGTGTCCCACCAGCCCTACGCCTCGGCCCTGATAAGATCCCTGTAAAAAGTCTGGGGCAAGACCCAAAATAACCGCGAAAGACCCAGCCTCTGGAGGGGAATGGATACGCAGCAACAAATTCGCGGATCATGGACATGTTAGTGCTGACCGTCACAATGCAAGCAGAAGGGCGGATAGGTTGTGCTTGGATCATTAGACGTCTTGGAAGCAGTCCATCCAGCACGGTGGCATCCAACCGCTGCGCATAGAGATCTTGTACGAAACCCCTGCTCTTTTGGACCTTGTTTGGCGCCGCAGGTTGTGATCGTCCGTGGTTCGTGGTTCGTGGCGGGCTCCGTCTAGGTGCCGTCGAGCTGAAACCAAAAGACTGGCAGAGACGAGTTCACCCCTGGCTAGCTCGATAAGTGTTGCGCACTTGCTATGAGCTGTGGTTGTTGCACACTTGTCTCGTCGGTATCACCCGTGAAAATCAAGACCAGGATCAAGATATCATCACAGTGGAGAGGTTCTTTGCCAGCGCCCATTCCCGTACTAATCGTCCGTGGTGTAATCCGCATGTTTGTCTAGTTACGCGACCTTGGGAGGCCTGATTGCTCTCTACGGAGGACATAATCCGCATACGGCGTACAGGAGGAGTGCTGGACCAAGTCTAATGCACGCTTGGTTGGCGCGATCAATTTCCAGGGACCAGGCCCGCTCACTTCCACCTTGTTCGGGCTTTTCTGTTGCAGCCAGCTTGCCAGAACTCAGTCGATTGTCTAGAACAGACAAACGACACTTGCCTGCCATCTGGACTATCATCCTCGTCGCTTGGGAGCTTCTCGATTCGCAACATTGCGCCGCTTCGAGGTTTGCCGATAATTCCGGGACTCTGTGGTGGGGGAATCAGCGCCGAGCGGCCATCGTTGGCCATCTACACCCCCAACACGACTTGCGCAACGACTGAAACCCGGCCACCGACCCTGATCAAGCTCCTGGCAAAGCCGCTGGCCCGTAACTGTATAAGCGTCCGTCTTTCATTCTACATTGTTTCCAGCCCGAGAGATGCCCTCGATCGGTCCAGTACGCTACAAACCACGCGCGCGGGTCTATAGCTCAAGCGGTAACCATGGAGGGCGATCGCAGCTATTCAGCATATCGGCCACCACCAAGTATTGCAGTTGAAGATAATGTCAGACTGCTGAGTAGCAAAGATCCACTGGGAACCCAAACCACCACCACCACGGCAATGGAGCGCGCTTCTTACTTTCGAGGGCGGCATTCCAGAGGAAACTCCAGAGACGAACGGCTAAGATCCATCGACGAGAGCGAAAGCATGCGGGCCGATGTGTTTGAATTGGTAGAGCCTCTAACACCGGCTAAAGCTCGTCGACCGAGCCCCGGTCCGTCCAGTGCCTCGTCAATGTTCCGCCGATTGACCACCAAATACGCCCCGTTGTCGAGATCCAACTTCCGATCCGCCAAGCGCTCGCATGGCCGGCAGTATGCTACCTTGGATGACGCCGACGCGGACCAGGTGTCGGTGGACATTTCGTCGCTAGCAGGCATGGGCTGGGAACTCACGGATCTGTCGAATGCGGACGTGGCCCTTCTTCAAGATAGCGAGACGGCATATGTGCGGCCCAGTCAGAGGAGAGGGAAGCCTGATTTCCGGTCGTTTGTCGAAAAGCGCCGTTCAGTTGGGGAAGGCATGAGAGACATTGGCGTCCAGCTTCGGCGGGATCCCACCAAGGTGGGGAGAAGTTCGTCGGGAGGAGGCCCCCGGAGTGCTTACAGCACGGGTGTCGACCGAACCAAGACGGTGCGCGATTTCGGGCAGAATCTCGCGCAGGAGAAGAACATGATTGTCGAAGTCGAGGAGGTGGTCGACTTGAGTTCTTTGGAGGGTGGTCACACCGACAATCGAGCGAGCCAGACGTTCGAAACCACGTCGGCCAGGAACAGCACCCTGCCACAACAGACCAAGAGCTACTTCTTCCCTGAGGATCCGGATATCCCCAATTGGAAGCCTCGGTCCATGAGCAGCATCTACATTTTGTGTCTCATAGTGCTTGCTTTGGGCCTGGCGGGATTCCAGGAGTTTCTGTGTCAGCGATCTCTCGAGAGCGTCAAACGGAACAGCGGGCTCCTTGCGTTCAATCATGTGGCGGAAATATCGACGTGGGACTTTTTCGCCTGGAAATGTAAGTGGTTTGCTCACCCACGGACAGTGTGAGGGGGCTGACAAGGCGATAGATCTTCCCACCATGGTCACCATCGTGTATGCCGTTCTGTTCTCCATCATGGACTTTGACATTCGCCGCCTTGAACCGTTCTACCAACTTTCACGACCGCGCGGAGCCCGGGCCGCAGCGAGCTTGAACTTGGACCATTTGACCATGTTTCAATATTTTGTCCCCTTCAAGGCGTTTCGGCTCAAGCAGTGGGCCGTCTTCTTCTCCACCACAGGCAACATTATCGCGTCCATGGCTGCACCGGCCTTACAGAACCCTTCCATGACATTTGACACCAATCCGAAATGCAAGGATGGCCCTTGTGCCGATCCCGACGAGAAGCAGTATTGGGTTCGCGTGTCCACGGTGTGGTCTCGATTGTTGTCGGCGAGCTACGTCGTCGTGGCCTTGATATTGATCATTCTGTTCCTCCAACTGCGCCGGAAATCTGGCCTTCTGAGCGACCCCAAAGGCATCGCGGGCATTGCGTCCATGGCGACTCGGTCGCACATTCTTCAGGATTTTGCCGGTCTAGACGTGGCGGACCGGAAAGAAATCCATAAGCGGCTGCAGCACCGGCGATACCTGCTGTACAAATCATCCATCTGGCAAGGTGAATGGAGTGAGACCATTGAGCCGATCCAGGAAAGCGAGAAAAAACTGACGAGTCCGCATCCGGTCATGCTCCGGACCGTGGCCGCCATTCCCTTCCTTCTATTCATGGGCCTCTTCCTTGTGGCAGTGCCCATCATCACGTTGACCAAGGCCAATGTAATTCCCAATGCAGCTCCATGGCTGCCTATTGTTGTCGCCACAGGATTGAAGTTGTTCTTCAGCACGTTTGAATCGGACGTGCGGCTTATGGAACCATTCTATCAGCTGTCCAAGGGCAACGCAAGACCAGAGAACAGCCTGACACTCGACTACCAGGCCACCGTGTATGGCTGGATGCCGTTCCGCGCGCTCTGGAAGGGACATTATTTAGTGGCCCTGGTCGGGTTTTCTTCAGTTGCGCTGGATGTCCTCACGGTGACTGTCGGTTCATTCTCTGTCAATGCAAAGGACTTTATGAGCCTGGGCGGTAAGGCGAAGGACGTGTCATTCGGTGACGAGACATTCATCTCATTCTGGGCCTCGCTCGTTCTGTCCTTGGTCATTCTAGTGTTTGTTATCTTCACGACCTCGCTGGTCTACCTGCGGCGTCGGCATCCGTTCTTGCCCCGCGAACCATCGACCATTGCGGCCGTCCTGTCCTTTATCTATGCCAGCAACATGCTGACCGACTTCATTGACACTGAGCGCCTGAACAACAAGCAGATGGAGGTGAGACTCATGACTCTGGGCAAACGATATGCCCTGGGTTGGTTCCGTGGAAGAGATGGTCAGATCCACTGCGCCATCGACGAGGAGCCGATGAAGAGCAAGTATGTGCATGGGAAGCCGTATACTATGGCACAGGCCGGACCGCTGCAGCCTCATGAAACATTTTATTCTGTGTAGACGCGGGGGTGGTGTCGCATTTTAACGCAATTTCCTGTACGCCCGGGACTGGATACGCTACAAGGCACAGGTTACGATAGGAGGATATAACGAGACAAGATATAACTGCAATGCCCTATCCACAGGTTGAGAGACCAAAGGATGGTGTTGATTGGTATATGATGATTGATCTAAGCTCAAGCTCGTTGCTGCATTCCACCTTTTTTTCTCCTTATCCTCTTGGGTGAGGCTGTCGTCATCTAATACATAACATGTCTTGATCTGTGTTGATCAAGGCTGGGGCTCAGATAAACGGGTGCTCCGTGCTGAGATGGGTCTGAGGTGGGCCAAGGAGACTGCGTAACCGCCCTTGGTCAAGACTGACGCTTTAGTTGACGCAACAGAACAGGGAACCAGATATGGGAGGTCGCGCATCTGGCGGCATTCGAAGGGTACGATAGGCGACGGGAGGAGGGATTGGCAGAGAGCCCACAGGGTTTCAAGGTTCCATCCAGATGCCGTGGACGATGGTGGATGGTGGGTGGGTGGTGGGTGCAGTGGTGGGTGGATGGCAAACAGCAAAGGATCGCTGCGGTGAAGATGCGCGTCTTGAGACTTGATCTCCACCAAAACGCCAATGACGTAGATGCAACGAAATGCGGCATTCAAGCAGAACAGCAAGCAGAAACCCGGTGACAAGATTCTGTATTTTGTCTCTTTGTCTGATACTACCTATACTACTGAGGCTTGCTCCAAATCCAAGATTATTCTCTGCAGACTTTTGCAGCAGGCATTACAAGACTAACCACTCTATCTCACTTCCTCCTCTTTCTCTGCTCGTCACGCTCATATCTCCCCCCAAGATGCCTGCGCCAGGCTACGTCTTCCGCGATGGAGGCACCACGCCTCCTCTGGAAGAGAATCAGGGGACTGAATTTCACAACCGAATCACCAATGCAACTAGACCAGTGACTGCCACTTCCCAGGCCCCTTTGGGTCAAAACACCACGACCAGCCATCAACTAGCCACGGCAGAGCATGAAATCCAAGGGGCTGCTCAAAAGGCCGGTAAGGAAGACAAAACAACGAATCTAGGATGGCAAGCCAACGCTGTGGGTGTAGATGTTCTGGTGGGCGGATTGTCCAACGATGATCTGTGGACGTTGGTGAGGAGATTCAACAAGGCAAGTATGCTCCCGTCGGGGCCCTAGGCACCTTGGTTGGGGTGGCTGTGGCTGTTGGAACCTACACTGACCGCACATGCTAGCAAATGTACCATGTGAAAGCCATCCCTGAAGCACCCCCAGGAGGGCTCGACCTCAACATCGCCGACGAAGATGAATTCTCCCCCGACAAACTCCGATCCACCCTTGAACGTCTGTACATGACCGTCATTGTTGGCCTGATTGGGTTTGGAAAGCACATCGCAAGATTGCGGTCATGGAGGGAACCCCGCCGAACCGTCGCTTTCGCCATGGGATACTTTCTGGCCTGGGTACTCGACCTGCTCGTGCCAGCGTCGCTCACCCTGATCATTGTCCTCATTACCGTACCTAAGGCTCGCCACATCCTGTTCCCTCCGGCTCCTCTCGCTCTGGTCAATCACAAGAGCGGCGGCATTCAGAAACCAAAGGCCGGGGTGTTAGGCAGTCACGACAGCGTCACTGGTGCACCGGAGAAGTACAAGGGCGAGGCGGTGGAGCAAGAGGCCAGCAATCTGGTGTCTGGCATCGCGTCAGTGGCTATCTCAAGTGCTGCTGGACGTCACGATCAGGCCAATCCGGATGAAGAGGGTGGCAGCAAGACCCTGGACGGCTCGGTGCCTGATCCGACCAAGATAGCCACGGCTGCGGCAGACGCCTCATCCTCTGCACAAGGTGGTACGCCGGAAGCAGCTCACGACAAAACCAAGCAACCCATGGAAGAGGCTGTTTGGGTCCAGATGCGTCCTGCGATGCGCGCCATTAACGATATTTCAGACATGTGGGAGCGGTTGGCCAATGCCCTGTCGCCGACTCCCCCGTTCTCGTCTCAGAAGCGTCTGCAACTTGCGGCGATCTTTGCGCCTCTCCTTCTCCTCTCCCTGTTCACGCGGCCGGAATGGGTGATCAAGGGCTCGACCTTTTTTGGCGGGTTTGGCTTCTTCTCCGACCCCTTGATGCAACGAGGCATTGCGCTGTTGAACGAGAAGATTCCAGACTGGCCCAAGTATTTGGAGCTTCGCAACACCCTCCTCAAAGGCGTGCCTACGAACGCTCAACTGACCATTACGCTGTTGCGGCTGGGCGAAGCAAACCGAGCCCCTCTCCCTCCGGCGCCGAGCTCGAACGAACCTCTGGCAGACAAGGCGGCCGAAGTGGACAAGGAAGGTCTCACCGCCAATGGACTGGACGCTTCTCACTCGGAGATTGAAGACGCCATCACTGTGGACAAGCCTGTGAACGGCGAACCAGGCAATGAAGATGCAGAGGGTAAAAAGAAGAAAAAGGGCGGCATCGGGGCCAAACTCATGTCAGCGTTCAAAACCACCACGGCGGGCGGGGTGGAGACAAAGCTGACAGTGGATGGAGTCAAGGCCACGCTGGGATCACATCACGCCAAGGAGAAGTTGGGGGTATTGCCTACCAAGAGCGAGATGAAGGCCAAAGCGGTGGAAGGACCAGTGGAATATCTGGGTCGATACAACGGTCGCAAGGGAGCGGTGTACGTGGACAGCTCGGTGTCTCCGGCCAGTGGCAACCGGCCCGCGTCACCGTGTATCTACTTCACCTCGCATCTGGATGGCGACGAGGCGGTGGAGAGTATGCCGCGCGATCCCGCGTGGGCGGTGTCGATTACCGACCTGGCGGAAGTGAAGAAGATTGGAGGGTTAGGCTGGAAGGGCAAGATTGTGGTAGGCTGGGCCACGAGTCGCGAAGTCAAGGACGGCATTGAGCTGGTGACCAAGGCTGGGCAGCGATACCGGGTGATGGCGATCAAGGACCGGGATGCCTTGTTCAACCGAGCGATCTCGATGGGCCAGCAGGTGTGGGAGAGTTATTGAGGGTGTTCCAGATTGATATCAGTCGATGTAGGGATACGGACCCGGAATATCATGTATTATGTATGGTTAGGAGGGATATGAGGACATCCTTGAGGCTCACCCTAGTACCTACTCTGTAGGGAGTACGGAGGTACATTGGTACAACCTTCAGTTGTTGACGCCGGTATGACACTAGAGGCTTGGTAGTCAGAGGTAGGGGCGATAAGCTCGTTATCGCCGTGTTTAGGGTTAGGGCTAAATCGACGTCTTTCATGCTCTCAGCGCCCGCCGCCGAGTCTATCGATAAGGTACCATGGCCGCTATTCTCGCTCGCCGGAACTCTGTAGACGACATGCCATCACCCTCGCAACTATAGAGATTATCGATCCCACGCCCCGACAACACTTGACGGCATATTGGATGCGGATGCGGTTGCGGTTGCGGCAAAGATAGACAATGGAGAAAAAGGTCATCTTCACCGACGCACCGGTAAAGGCTTCAAAGGTCCGGCCTGCAGGTGCAGCCCTCGTGGAGACGGAGAGGAACCCATTGATGGCGTCGACGAGCGCCAGGTCCGACGGGAAGCTCTGAAGGCGTCCTTTGGCCATGGTAGCCCTGGCTCCTCGGTTGCCTGAGGCTCTCACAAGATACCTAAGGTGAGGGGTGTCAGCCTATCCGTATAGGGTGATGAATGGTGTTCAACCTGGCAAGATGACAGATGGCAGATAGGCATGGGATCGGATCACAAGGCACTGGACCTCCGAACTGCCAATGGTACGGAGTACTTTGTACTTTGTACTTTGTACTTAGGCCTAGGTCCCCCAGTCAAGTGTTGCCACGGTTCCAGCCTTTTGTCCCCCAATCAAGTGTTGCCACGGTTCCAGCCTTAGGTCCCCCAGTCAAGTCTGGCCACGGTTCCGCTGCTCCTTCAGCCGCATCACATGATTCGAGGCATCAGATGCGGCTGAAATAATGTGATGCGGCTGAAGGAGCAGCGGAACCGTGGCCAGACTTGACAGGGGGACGGCTTAGGCGGCTGGCTGGATTGGTCAGCCTGGTTGTCACGTAGGACAAAGCCAATCATTGGGATGTTGGGAGTTTTGTCGGTGAGCCATGTCTCACGGCCAACTTGTGGAGCAAACCGGGCGTTCAACAGTCCAGGCCTGGCCCCAACATGCTTTCTGGCCCCTACCATGGGCGTGATTGGGGGATGGTTGGCTGCATTGGCGTTCCAGGCCAGACGTTGCCAACTTGTGGCGCAAACCGGGAGCTCAATAGTTCAGGCCTGGCCCCTACCATGGGCGTGATTGAGGGATGGTGGCTGTATTTGTATTCAAGGCCAGACGTTGAATCCCAGTCTTCTGTCTTCCCCTGCACTCGTCCCTCTTTTCTTTCGCCTTGAACAACTTGGTGCGAGCTGTCTGTGGTCAGGATGGAAGCCAACCGTCGGATTTTCATATGCCTGGGGAGGACAGGCACAGGGAAGAGTACCTTTATTCGTGCCATGGGTGGCAATGTTCCAGCAGCCGAGCTTGCCGACGTCAACAACGGCGATTCCGTCACGTCTGCGGTCGAATGCTACAGAACCCAACTTGATTTTGGTGGCAAGAAACCTGTGTAGCTCGTGGATACGCCTGGATTCGCCGATTCCCGAGCACTCGATACGTCCCCTTTTGACAACTCCAGATCCCTTCGGCGGTCCACAGTGAAGACCACACCAACGTGTCGCACGCGAAAAAGTTGATTCTTGCCTTCCAAAACCAACGCATCACTGAATTCAGCGGTGTGTTCTGGTTCGTCGATACCCCCAAGGCAGGGGAAGAACTCCGGGAAGAAGCGGCCTTCATCAACAAGCTGGCCAAGCCTGAGAGCAATGGACATGGCTTCTGTATCTGGAAACACGTCGTGGTCATCCTCAAAGGCATCGGTGGGCTTGGAGGCGCTCGAGAGGCCGTCTCCCATGCGACCAGAGATAATACCCGCGCACAAATTCTGCGTGGTGTGATTGTCTACATGTCGAGTGCAATTGCAGGCGTCACTGTATCCGGAGGCCGAGTGATTCATATTCAGCAAGATGAACATCTCGCCGTCAGCGGAGACCCAACTGCTGCTGGGGCTCTACTAACCGCCAACTTCGATGCCACGGCGTACATCAAGGTGAGTCGAACGAGTTTCCATTCGGTAGACCGGGCACAGGCTTACTCTTAGCACAGTGGATCGAGCAAACAATGAAATGTAAACGCTGCCTGCAATCTGGCGATCCCCGCGCTTTCTATGCTTGCCACGCCGAAGTCGAAAAAATTCATCAACATATCCCTTACCATCCGGGAAACCTGTTACAGATGCACGGAGAGCGAGATGTGAAAGATTTGGCCAAATCCGTGGGTAAAAAGATGGCTGCAGTGGTTGCGGTCACGGCAGCGGTGACTACGGTTGCTCTTCCACTTGTTGTGTCTGTCATGTTCCCCCCCCTCGCACCCGCGCTTGTCGTCCACTTAACCATCACAATCGCCGCCACTGGAGCAGCAGCACCGATCGCTGAAGCTCTGGGGAAGGATGCCTTTCCAGGGATCAAGTCGCGTATGCCGTTGGTTCACCTCACTCAGCTCACTGAAGATAGGATATCCAAGGAGTTATCTGAGAAGATAACCAAAAAGTTATCTCAGAAGATAATCAAAAAGTTAACTGAGGGCACGTCCGAGGACTCGTCGGAAGAGATGTGCGAACAAGTGCCCAAAGTGTTATCTAGGAAGGATTTGAAAAAATTGGCTCGGATGGTCGAGAAGAGGGTCACGCTAAGGGGTAAGTGTGAGGATTGCGGTCAGAGGGCCGAAGAAACAGTGGGATGCTTTCTTTACTGGACATGCTGCCCGGAACGGCATTAGGCCAGAACGACAGCGACTGCAACAAAGCATAGGCAGCTAGGCGGAGGTTGTTCTCCAGATTGTACAAGATGTCACAACCCTACAGGACCAGAGTGCACCATCTCTTGTTTGAATTGCAAGTGGACGAACGACGAAGACAACCCGGTCAAGACCAATGGGGCGTTGCGCTGCAGGGACTATAGCGTTGAGCATATGCTGGAGATTCAGGAGTGAATCAATCAGTGGTACGGAGTACGGAGTACATGGACTGTGACTATGGCATACGACTACATAGTATCCGACTGGACGACGCCGGCATATAGAATATAGATCTAGGTAATTCATTACCTCTACATGTAGGTAGTATGATTCCTGAAGCGTGGACTTTTACAGAACGGAATGTGGCCATTGATCAGTAGGTACCTGAGGTAATACTACCGGGGTAGTCAAGACCTTTGAAATAACCACGACAAGCCGTGAACCCAGCGAGCGTATAGGTAGGCTTAGGGGCCCTAAGGCCTTAGGAGCCTCCTAAGCCCGAGATATAGGCTCTCTAGGCCTTAGGCCCCGTCAAAGCGGCGAGGGATCGGCGCGGCTCCCAGGGACGTTAGGCTAAGGGTAGTACTAGATTGGTGCCTAGCACCTGCCTACAGATAACAGATAACAGCGGTCGTGGGCCCTAAGGCGCCGCTTTTGGCCTCCTCCGCACCTGGACGCGCAGCACAGCGCAGCGCGGCGCAGCGCAGCCTCAGGCCCGCCAATATCGCAATCTCACGCAGCCTCAGCCTGTAGGTTTGAATATTAGGTACGTAAGGTATGATTACGGAGTACCTATGCCATACATACAGACTAGGAAAAGACTCGTGTGAGTCGACGGCTGGCTTGAATCATCTTATCATCTTTTCACCTTTTCTCCCACCGGCAATGGCTCGCTCGCCACCATCTCATCAAACGAAGCCTAAGCCTCAGGAGCCGGAGCCCCTGTTTGAGCATGCTGTATTTGACGTGACTGGGTGTGGAATCGACTGCATCATCTCCGTAATAATAATACTACGTACTACGTACTCCATACTACCTTACGTACTCCGTAATACTAATTCTTCTCCTCTTGTCTGGCCTTTCCTTCCAACCATCCATCTATCCAGTCAATAAGGTCCCCTGTCCACTGCCAGTATCTACTACTCTCTGATCCCTGGCTTTCCCCTGGCCGCCCCTGGAATTTAGCGAGATATCAATGCCTCTTTTGAGTCAGTCGGCGATGCTCCAGCACCGATCTGGCAATTGTCTGCAGCCACGCCACAGGCCGCCGCTGATTGCCTGCTCGATCCGCGCGCTTCGAGCGTCCACCGGTGGACCGCGGCCGTTATCTCCCAATCTACCAATCTACCAAACTACCAGTCTACCGCACCATGTTCTTTCGAGGATAGTACTCCGTCCTAGGTCCTCCGTCCTTACTCCGTCCTGCGTTGCAGCATGCCGCAAGCCACAAGATATGGATGGTAGATACCAGATACCAGCTACCAGCTCTGGCTCTCGACACTGTACTCCGTACTACGTACACGCGGCTCCTATACCCATGCCCATACCCAATGCGACCCCTGGACCGAGGGTGGATCTCTCCCCTCGAAACCTTGCTGCTCAACGCTTGTTCCAGTACCAACCACGTACCCTCGCAGACCCTTTGACCTTGAACCCTTGACCCTTGTCCCTTGACCTTGGACCTTGGAGCACTGAGCACTGAGCAGCCGGGAGCACATGTCGCGTCGTGTGCAGTGTGCACGGTGGGTGGCGATCGATCATGGCCACTGCCAGGGCACGCACACTCAAACACGAAACTAGCTGTGAACGACGTCCTCTGTAGTCATACACACAACACTCCCCTGTTCATCTGGCCGGGCATGAGTTGTGTACAGTTACAGTATTAAGCTGAGATGCCCTGATCCATCCCAGTCCTGTTTTGCCTTGCCCTCTCTATCTTCTCATCGCTGGCTCATGGCCATCCTGCCGACGGTTGCCTCATGTTTCCGCCGCTCTCTCGTGCCGTATGCGTTCCATCTGGGTGGCCTTAGCGAGCCTCGGAACCATCTTTGTGTCTGCGTCTGCTCGACAAATCCCAATCACCCTCCAGCCATGTCCATGTGTTCGAGTCAGTGCATCGAGCTCCTCGTATCTGGCCGCCACGCCCACAGGTATGTACAGAACAGAAATCAGGAAACAAGAAACAGGAAACCCACTGGTCCCAGCCAGAGACAAGAAACAAGAAACCAGAGACCAGAGACAAGAGACAAGAAACAAGAGACCATGGTAGCTGACCCCAGACCTTTTACTAGCCACCGCGGCCGTGGTCGACGGCCGGCTCTTCCACGAATGCTTGCAATCCATCCCCATCGACACCCGCGCCGCCCTCGACCTTCTGCACGCCTTGGAGCCATACATTGAACTCCAGTCGACCTTGGCATATCTGGCCCATCCACCGCCCGACTATGCCTATCCCGCCGTCGACATCATCGCCTCTCTGCACGCCCTGGCCGGCAATGTGACGGCTGGACGGTATGCGGCCGAGTATGAGTTCCAGACCGACCTGTTGCGCCTCTTTCTGTCCGCCCGGGACGGTCACTTCTCCTTCATTCCCGACCTCTTTGGCGTGGGGGCGTTCAAGATCCCTCATGCCGCGTTGGTCTCGCTTTCGCACCCGTCGCATGCCGCTGGTCGAGATTCGCCTCGAGTCTATTTGAGGTCGGATGTGCTCGACACCACGCCTGACGGCTTCGTCTTGCGGGAGAGTGAGTGGGAGACGGAATGGGAGAGGGCAACGGATCCTGCTGGCCTAAAGGACTCGCGTCCCCCCTCACATGTGGTCAGCGTCAACGGCATCCCCGCCCTCGACTACCTGACCGCACGAACCGACGAACTTCCCTTCCACGACCGCGACGCTGCCTACAACTTCCTCTTCTTCGAGAGTGCGCATCTGGTGCAATTCGGCTCCAGCGCGGCGGATGGTGGCTATACCGATGGCTATGGCGATGGCCATGGCGCATTCGTCAACCCGGTCTTCTATCCTGGCTCACACACCACCCTGGGCTTTTCCAACGGCTCCATCATCAGTATTCCCACCGTCGCCGAGATCTATGCCAGTTTCGACAATGTCACTGACGGACTCACTGCATACACCCGGTTCTGTGTGCGAGACAGACCGGAGGACTCGGCCCCTTTACAGCCAGCCATCGATACGTCACCAGCATCAGCACCAGCATCAGCACCAGCATCAGCACCAGCTCCATCCTCTCATTTCTATCCCTCGCCCGTCGTCGCCGACGCCGGAAATCATGTCGCAGGCTATTTCCTCGGCGACACCGACACCGACACCAACGCCATGAACGACACCGCCGTACTGTCGATCCTCAGCTTCGATGCACAGACCGACCCGACCGGGTTCCAAGCCACCGTCGCCACGTTTCTCGAAAGATGCAAAGCTCAAGGCAAAACCAAATTGATCATCGACGTTTTCGCCAACGGAGGCGGCATTGTCGAGTTGGGACTCGACCTGTTCGCACAGTTATTCCCCAACTTGCAACCCATCTCCCACGCCAACATGCGCGCATCCCCGGTTCTCGACAGTCTCGGCCAGGCGGTGTCTCGACTTGGGGTCGGACTCGTCGACGCTCAGTTCGGGTCGGGAGATCCATTCGACGTCCGCTCGGCCTTACAGCCCGACGACTCGCCCTGGTCGAACTGGACTCATATGTACGGGCCAGTGTCGGCTTCCACTTCCACTTCCCCTGCCAACACTGATGGTGACGGTCGAGATCGAGCCCATTGGCCCGCAATTCCAGAATCCAACATCACGTCACCAGTCGCAACCACAGAGATGTTCAAGTTCACGAATGTCTTCCGACCTGATCCTGCTCTGTCCGCACCGCCGGGCTTTCACATGACGCTCTCCGCGTCCAACGTCAACACCACCTCGCCCGTCTTCGATCCGGAGAATATCGTTCTTCTGACCGACGGCTACTGCGCGTCCACATGTGCCATCTTTGCCGAAATCCTACACACCCAGACTGCGGGCCGCGTTCGATCGGTTGTCGTCGGCGGCCGACCTCTCATTACCGAGCTGAATGGGGGGGAAGCTTATGAGCATGGCAATGACCGAGACCACGACCGAGTCAAAGATGAAAGTGACGTGAATGACTACTCGCAACCTGCTCGTCCGCCGCCGCCGCCGCCCATGCAGGCTCTCGGCACAACCAAAGGCCGCGCATTCTGGTCGTTCAGCTCTATCTTGTCGACCGCCCAGACTGCTGCGAGGGGGGGAATGAGAATGGGCGTGCAAGTGGGAGTGCAAGCGAGAGCGGAAGTGGGAGTGCAAGCAAGAGCGGAAGTGGAAAGGCAAGTGAATGGGGAGGAGGAGAAGGAGAAGGAGAAGGAGGGAAAGGAAGACTATACAGATGCAGATGCAGATGCACATCTCCATCTCGACCATAAACCCAGCCTGTCGCCACTCCCACCCGCACTCGCCTTCTCACTCGCTCGATTCTCCGACCTCCCACTCCGACGGACATTCCAGCCCGACGTGGCTGGGGTCAATGGGATGAATCACATCCGGGTCAACAATGACAACGGGAATGGGGATGGGGATGACGATCAAGACGACAAAACCAAACCCGCCCCAACCCCCGTCCAGTTCCTTCGCGAACACGCGGAATTTCGCCTCTTCTTCACGCCGGACATGCTGCTCAGCCAGCAGCGGGTGTGGGAGCGGGTTGCTGATGTGGTTTTTGGGAAAAGCGACGTTCAGGGGGTGAGTGAGGGAAGGGAGTGAAAGGGAGGGAAAGTGAGATGCGACATGCGAGATAGGAGATACAAGATGCGAGATACAATGACTGAATGAATGAACGAATGATTAAACCCTCTAGGGTGACACACTCAGACATTGAATCAATAAACCCCCTAAGTGACACACTCAGGTCGGCCCTAGGTACATATATACTACATACATGCCCAGTACTCCTGTAACGTGATATTAGATTAGGCTGCTGGGCTGTTATACCGAGTCTAGATAGATACCTGTAGGTAGGGACGTACTATACCTACCTACCTACCTTTCTTGACCAATTTGGCATGGTGATGGTACTATACTGTGTATATGGGTTCTACTTGATCCTCTGATTGACTCTTTACTATGACCACGACCCTGACCACGACCTTGATCCTGTCAAAGGTTGAAATGTTCCATGTTCTCCATCAAAGGATCGCAGGCGGAGCGCATACTAGATAGTATAGGGTAGCCTAAACCAGCCTTCTGGCTAAAGGACAAGGCTGGGAATGCCTAAGTTTGACAGATCCTGACTCTGATCCTGACCGCAACCACATCTTCTCGAGCCGGCAGTCTCGTCCAGTCTCTTCCAGTCTCCTCCATCTCGTCCATCTCCTCCAGTCTCGTTCAGTTTAGTCATCCCATAGCAAAGCAACCCAACTACGTAGTGTCAAGCAAACGGCCCCGTAACCCCATCGCACCAATCCACCAATTTCTTCGCATTGCCTCCCTCGCTGGCCGCCTCGACCAACAGATCTTTCCGCAGACGATTGTCCTTCCGGCCCCAAGGGACGATGTAGGCGCCTTGGTCGGACTTGAGCGTCAGGTCGGGCGACAAGCCGGCAAACAGCTCGGTGTAGGCGCCGTAGACGGTGGGATAGAGCAGGACGTTGTGTACCAGCCAGCCCATCCAGGCGGGCCAGTTGCTGTCGGTGTGGCGTTGCAGTTCGGACCTGAGGTTTCCGGGGTTGTAGCACTAAAGGGAGTTCGACGTGTTAGATACAGGAGCATTCGACGGCGTGTTAGAAAGGGACATTCGACAGCGTGTTGAGTTAGATAAAGGAGCATTCGACAGCGTGTTAGATCAAAGAGCATTCGACAGCGCGTTAGATACCACTATATAACATGCTTGCTTGTCGGTGGGTAACGGGTAGAGGGCGCCTTGGCCGTGTGTGAAATACACACCCCTGTGTGCGTTTCACCCGTTATCTTGTCGGTGCAGGTGGTGATGTCGACATCGACATTGATGGGGGATCTGATTAAGGAAAAGAATGGGAGATAATGTACGGGTGTGGATGGGAGAGGCAGATGGCATAGGGGTAGCATAGAGCTGGTAGTTTTAACGCAGAGCTGGTGGTTTAACGTAGAGCTGGTAGTTGTAACAGACTCGCCCGGGGCACTGTACTTACATTATGCAACACACCATCAGTCTCGCCAAACCGCCTGGCAAACTCCCGGGCAAAAAACCAATTGGCAGCCTTACTGACGCCATAGATGGACTGGTGGCTGACGCCGTCGTCGAGCGTATCCTGACCGTCGTTGCCCTCGGTCTGGTCCTTTTTCCACGCCACGCCGCCCTTGGGACTGTAGAGCACGACCGCCAGACTGCCGGCCCAACTCACGCGGACCGAGCCAGCCGGTTCGGCCTCGGCGGTTCGTTTGAGCAACGGCAACAACAGCTTCGTGAACAGGTACGGCCCGAGCACGTTGGTCTGGTAGGTCAGGTCGAGGCCCTGGGCGCCCTTGGAGCCCGCCGGCGGGAACATGACGCCGGCGTTGTTGTTGAGCCAGTGCAGCTTGGTCTCGCGGGCCAGGAAGTCGTCGGCGCTGGCTTTGATGCTGCTCAGGTCCGACAGGTCCAGGTGCAGGTACTCCAGCTGGCCGGTCGAGGTCGGGTGGTCCTGGCGGATCTGGTCGATGGCCGCGCGGGCCTTGGATTCCGTCCGCGCCGCCACGTAGACTTTGCCGTTGTGTCCGTACAGGATGCTGGCCAGCTGGTAGCCGATTCCCGTGTTGGCGCCCGTGATCAGGAAGACTTTGCCGCTTTGGTCGGGTAGGTTCTTTTCCGTGAGCTTGGGCGCTGGGAGGCGGAAAGACTGTGAGTAGAATGCGCCGAGACGGTAGAACATGCTGGCTTTGTTATCGGAGACGGTGTTGAATGTGACAAGGGATGAGTGAGATAGAAGACCGCTTGGATGAGTGAGTGTTTCTATTGGGTTGGTATGGTTTGATTCGAATTGTAGTATATTGTTCTGTAGAATAAGTAGTGTAGTGTACTGTAGTGTAGTGTAGAGTAGTGTTCAGTGTGGTTTAATGGATAAAGAGAGAGCAGACAAGCAAATCCAACCCAATGTATAGGCACTGTCGGGTGGCGTATGTAGACGAGATGAAGATGTTTTAGCTTAGCGGAGGCCAGGTCAATTCGAACTTAGCAGTACTCCTCAATGTGTTCTCCGTACTATTACTTCTCAGCTCGACTTGCAGCAGCATGCCAGATCCAAGGTTCATATATCCGTATATCCGTCCGTACTACGCGGACATTGTTGGCGCTTGCTTTGCCACCCCAGCAGTGAGTGACCCGTGCGGCATCAAGCACGCACGCAAACACTCCGTATTCGGACATAGACCTTTTCGCAGAGAATATCTGCCTGGCCCTTCCTCTGGACGCTGCAATTGGCCGCGGCTTGCGACGAGGGCGAGTTTGAGGGCAAGGGAGAGGTGATGCGATGCCGGTGACTGAGGTGATTGATATGTGCAATTACGGAGTCAGCAGGTATCAACCCCCAGCCGGTCAGTGCCTTGCAGTAGCGTCGAGCTTGGTGGTGAGCTTAGGGAAACCAGTAGACGAGTAGGCGAGCAGTGATGCGGTGCTGTGATTGGGCTGGACGCGCCAGGCTGGCTTCGTGGAGCCCGCCGCCTCATGCAGCAGTCCGGGGTTTACGGAGCAAAGCCAGCAACATGCATGAATTCAGTCGCCGCAGCCAGAGTTTTCAACGTGGTTCTGGTCCTGATCGATTCTAGCGTCGGGGACTCTCCGGAGCCAGAGACAGGCCGTCGAGATTCTGTAGCTGTGTCCTCTGTCTGCGCCGCGGATGAGTACGGCCGTAGTGGTGCGGCGTAGATGGCATAGCCAGAGCCGGCGGACAGAGGACGGATACTCCATACAGAGTACATACATACCACGATGGCGGACCACTTGGGTTGTAGTTTGTGTGTATCCGTATATAGAGCTGGCAAACGCAACGTTGAATCAGCTGATAAGCTGTCCTTCGCCGCGGCTAAAGTCATGAAACATCATGACGGTCGACACTCGACTTGGCCAATTCAAGCCAAAACCAACGTCTGACCAACGTCCATCAACCCAATCTCCTCGCCCCATGACAAACCCGCCTCTTCAGCAGCCTGCCTCCAATGGCGCGGCGGGGTGCGCACGTCCTCATATTGCGCCGACAACCCTCCTCGCACCGTGCCCCAATGCATGCCGATGGACTTCTTGCTGCGGATGTCGTGGTGGATGCGGATCGAGTCCCAGGAGTTGGCGTGCACGTTGGACATGAACTGCCGCGGTTCACAGAGCCCGATGGGCAACAGTGCCAGGTCGAAGGGCCCGAGCCGCTCGCCGATCTGCTTGAATGCAGGACATGTCGGCCGCTCGTCTTCTTCTTCGTGCGATAGGCCTGCAGAAGGGATGCTGCGGTAGGCCGTGTCTCCTGCAAAATACACTTTCTTGCCCGGTACACCTTCGCTTCCACCACGCTCGTGGTCGCGGTCCTGGATGGCATAGGAACACCATAGATCGTGGTTGCGGTCAAAGATGCTTCGGGAGGAGAAGTGCTGCGTCGGCGTACATGTAATTTGGACCTTTGCTGGTGTTGGTGTTGTAGTTCCTGCTTCGTTTCCAGCATGAGCTTCAGCTCCTACAGCCTCAGCCTCAGCCTCGACCTCGACCTCGACTCTATCCCACCAGTCGAGCTCCGTAATACACGACGGGTCAATGCCACAAGCCGAAATCAACCAGCGAGCGTTATGCAATCCGGCCAGAAAATGGACATGCGGTTTCCGTCTGGCCCAGATCGCCGTCAGCGTGTGCGCGTCGGCGTGGTCGTAGTGATTGTGACTGATCAAGACCAGATCAATTTCCACCGACTCCAATAGTTCGTCTAGAGAACAAGGAGTCGGGGTGTACCGTTTCGGTCCGGCCCAATGCACGGGCGACGTGCGGTCGGAAAAGACGGGGTCACACAGAATATTGACGCCTCGCCGGCGCGCTCCCTCTTCAACTTCGTCCGCACTGGCAGTGGCTGTTTGCACGAGGAAACTGGCATGGCCGAACCACGTCACTTTCAATCCAGGCGCAGGCCCGCCCTTGCCCTTCAACTGGGCAAAATCTATCTTCCGCACCGGCACCAGTTCCGACCGCTCTGGGACGGGGACGAACGCAGGTCGGTGCCGCGCAAATCGAACCTTGAGGATGTCCAGTACTCCGCCATGAGCCTCATCGAACGATGGCCATGGATTCCTGAAGCCACTGGGAGGATTGCCGATGTGATGCGCCCTGGGCTCGTCGGTGGGCAAAGAGGGCAGCCGATGGACGACAACCATTTTGACAGGTACCACCAGTGCCAGTACCAGTACCAGTACAAGCACCAGTCGAGTAGTATCAGGCTAGGTGCAACACAGTTCCAGTATGAGTACTCTGTAGATGCGGGCTGGGCCTGCCAGACTGGGCAGTCGGAGCGATGTTCCTCCGTCGAAGTCGAGGAGAGCGGCTCGGAGTGGACCGTAGTGCACGGATAGTGTAGAAGATAGATGGGTTCGATGGTGGATAGAATGATTGTAAGTACTCCGTACTCTGTAGTGCATCGCGGCGGCCATAAGGACATGACATATGGGTGACAGTCTGTGTACTGTACAAACTGCACAAGTGCGGGTGGTGACTTCATGACTTCGCAGCCTGGACTGCGCCTGCGCTCAGCACTTCACCCACATGCATATACTACTGTACCTCCGCCTCGATACACCTAGATTATATCCTCCGTACTGTGTGGTCCAGACGAGGCTCTCCTTCTCCTTCTCCTCGCGGGAGGACTCCTCCAATGACTGGACCGATCCAGCCGAGTTCGGGCAAAGACTGTACAAGTTGTTTCTTGTGCACAAGGCTAGATGGGATGTGATGTCCAGTATCCGGTTTCGGTGTACAGAGTACGGAGTACAGACGACATCATCGATGCAACCACTTACGTGTCCACCAAACCAACAACCACTTAGCCTGACCTGGCTGCCAACAATATGGAGAGAGAGAGAAATGATGATTCCCCCCCTTTGAGTAGGGAATGTGTTGTAGCTAACCTCCCACCACCACGGCTGTGTTCGCTGGCCAACTTGCACTTGCACCATACTGAACAGCTGCGCTCGCTGGCCAACTTCAGCGGTATTGAACAAAACAGACCAAGACCAAGGCTGAACCCAACACAGCAGAACAGAACAGAATAACCTCCGCCAAACATCAACATGACTTCTCTCCCTCCTCTCATCGCTCTCGAAGAACACTTCTTCTCTCAGGCCATGCTCGCCGGCTCGACCGACACCTACTCGGAGCAGCTGAAACACATCCCTGGGCTGGCCGACAAGCTGGCTGACGTGGGCGAGCTACGACTACAAAGCATGGACGCCGGACAGGTGTCGTTTCAAATAGTGTCGCACGCGCCCGGCGCCCTGTCTCCCACCCAATGCCGGTCGGCTAACGACCAGCTCGCGCAGGCTGTACAGGACCAGCCGGACCGGTTCGCCGGCTTCGCGGTGCTGCCTGTCTCGCACCCGGCGCAGTGCGCCGACGAACTGACACGGTGCGTCCGAGAGCTAAAGTTCGTGGGCGCCTTGATCGACAACCACGCCGCCGACGGCTCCTACTTTGACGGCGACGCGTACCTGCCGCTGTTCCAGACCGCCGAGCAGCTCGACGTGCCCGTCTACCTGCACCCGACCTGGCCAACCGATGCCGCCACGGCCGCCCTGTACACGGGCAACTTCTCACCCGCGGCGTCCCGATCCATCGGCTCGTCCGCGCTGGGCTGGCACGCCGACGTCGCCACGCACGTGCTACGCCTTTTCGCCGCCGGCCTGTTCGACCGCCTGCCCCGGCTCAAGATCATCGTCGGCCACATGGGCGAGATGCTACCGTTCATGCTGGACCGCATCGCCGCCCTTTCGCCCCGCTGGGGTCCGCGCGTCCACAGCTTCCGACACGTCTGGGATACAAACATCTACATCACCACCAGCGGCAACTGGAGCGTCGATCCCATGGCCTGTATTCTGCGCAACACCAAGATCGACCATGTCTTGTATAGCGTCGACTATCCCTTTGCCAAGAACGAGGATGGCTTGGTCTTTATGCAGAATCTGCAGCAGAGCGGCCTCGTCACCCCCGAGCAGTTGGACATGATTGCCTACAAGAATGCAGAGACCTTGCTCAACGTCAAGGCAAGCAAACGCTGGACTTCTAGCGTGTGAGGTTGCAAATTCCAAGATAGCCATTATCTCCAAATACAAACATGCCATTTATGGAGGGGAAAGAACTCGGAATTTGGTCTTTAGGGAAGCGAAGCCGTAGAGTATGTCGAGGACTGGGAAGTCATTCATCCGGCACAGCGGGAGATCCCTTGATACTATCCGAGTACGGAGAATAGTCGAGTAAATCGCCACTGATTCTGACATCCGTCCTGAGCCGTCCGATCTTTATGTGTAGAGACACCCTGGCTGGTATTCTTCCATCCAATTTAATCCGTTTCTTCCACACGAGACATGCACAAACATGACCATGACTACTCGCAACAGAGCAATAGCATAAGCTAGCACATGGGTACCAACCCGGGGATATCCCTTCCAACTCCTTCGCTGAAAAAATCATCTCACACGTCCCGTCTCAAGCTTTTCTTTTTCTTTCTTTCAAGTCAGACCATTTTGGGCTGCGGATACCAGTAGTCCAGTCCAGTCCGGTTCAGTGTCATCGTCTGGAGACCTTCCTCATCGGTCGACTTCCACCTCCAAACTCGGCTGGATCAACCGTCCGATAACCGCTGCGCCCACTGTGTTTCCTGGCCGGCCGTTCGGGCGAATGCTCTTCGATGACTTCGACTATATCTTCTTCCTCGACACTTGGCGACAGATGCTCTTCGACCACGACCCTCTCCTCTACCACCCGTTCTCGGTGCGGACTGCTCACTTCTGTCATGGCCTGGCTGCGACTGCGACTGCGCCGCGGAGAGCGTCGGCGGTGATGGATAACCTCCTCCTCGACGACTGTTTCTCGGTTACCGTAGCCTGACAGCCGGTAAGCCGAAAGGATAATGTACAGGATCAGGACAAAGCCGGCAATCGAGCCGAGTATGATGCCCACAATGGCACCGGGCGCCGGGCCGTTGTTCAAACCGGCGTATGTGGTGGGAATGGCTAGGATCGCATTTTGACGTTTCGAGAGGCTGGAGGGAGCGATCAGGATGGGGTGAATGACTTCCGAGACTGGCGAACGTGATGTGAGCACGCCGTCTGTAAGCGTTCGTTTGGAAAGGTTGATCGTGCCCCGGATGATCAGGGCGAACAAGGATGCAAGTGGGGTCTTCTTGGAGGATGTAGACCGTGATGATAAAGTCTGGAGGGTGGAAGATACTGATCGATAGATGACGGGGGTAAAGTGCTCGCCTGAGGCACTGCGGACTGAAATGGCCGGTGCCATCTGGGCGCCCAGTTAGATGTTGGCTCAACGGTTGACTGATCGTAGGGTCACGAAGTTCGTCCCAGGAAAGGGTTCGTTCTGTTGTAAATAGGAGCAGGTCCGTGTCTGAGGCGGGCGACGGCGCGTTCCGTTGTGGATGAACACGGTCCGTGCTTCTCTTCGCGGTGTACTTTTGGATCCTTCTCTTACTGTTGGCCTGTGTTTCTGTTCACTGTGCTGGCGGCACTTTTTTCAATAGACAGACTTGGGATGTCTCCTTTCCCTGCGTCTGTGGTGACTGCACCGGGCTTGAAGAGGATCCGTCGAAGTTCGAGGCACCTCACTTGGTTCTCCCCTGATTGTAGAGCACTTGGTCCGACGGTTCAAGAGGCCTGCAAACCGTGTCTTTGAATCTTCCCTATCTGCCGTCTGTGCCTTGGCCAACGGACTGCCTTTTGAAGGGTGCAGCGCTAACAGTGCATGCGGCTCTGCTCAAGCACGAGGACCTCGGGGGACAGTGCAGACTGAACAAGTAGTCGCACCTCGCACCTCGAACCTTTGGACACTCGACCAGCTATGGTGTGGAAGAGGCCACTGGCAAACCACTCGCTAAGCAGATGTTCAGGGTATATATCTTCAATGTTCAATCGGGATCCGAAACAAACGACGACCGCTCAAGAAAGGTTGGGATGTAGAGAATAGGTCCTAGGAAGTTCGAATCTTGGTTTCGAGGCGGACAAGAGAAGCCACTGGTCAAGTAGGACGGAAGATTGAAGGCTGAAGGTAGTAGTGGTGTTCTCGACTCTCCGTTCCGGTCGGGACAACGAGGGCGAGAAATGGCGATAGATCTTTGGAGAACGAACGACAGGAATAGCGACAAATACAATGCTGAGGAAACGCACCCGAGTACAGAGCACAGGCTTCTTCTGGCCAGAGGGATGAAGAGGAGAGAACAGAAAGAAGAAGGGAGTCGGGAGACAGACGGTGTGAGGGATGCAGCGGTGATGGTAATGCCTGTGTTTCGCATCTCTTGACTTGAAGGTGGAGTGTGGCATCCACCCCCAGCCACGTCAGTCCGGCGCCGCCATCCAGTGCCCACCGTTCTAGTATCCGAACAGCCTATTCAATCCCACTACTAACATACCCCAGCATAATCCTGGTGGTTGGTGTTTGGCCATCTGCTGTAATCCGCATGTTGGCGAAATCACTCATCCCACTCATCTCCGCGCATGGTAAGAAGCCCAGCCTAGTGATTAATTGTTCATCTCGTCATCGTTCCTATGAAATTGTCTCGCAAGCCCTGCTGAATTGCCCTAGTTGCCGATGTATCATGCAACCGCCAGTCGAGATATTCAGATCCTAGCTTCAGCTTCAAGACGACATACTCCATACTCGCATCCGTCCCCTGTACTCCGTACTCCGTCCTCCGTACACAATTTCATCATTCATTTTGATGCTATCGTCGACATCTATCCATCGCCACCAGTCAGCTCTGCCGAGAAAAATGCCCTCCAAGGTCATGGATCTCCCAAATCCCACTTCCGTGTCGTCAGTTTACGCTGCTTCTTGACTGTGCTCGGCGGCGGCGGCGGCGGCAGCTCCTCCATCGCGCTCCGCGTCACACTTGAACTCCTCAACGAGAGCTTTCGAGGAGAAACATCCGACACCTTGAATTCCTCTTCGCTCGTCCTTGCTTTGATCGTCGCGTCGCTGTCCCGCAGTCTCAACGAAGCCAGGAACGGGTTGGTCGCCACGTTACTGTTGGACGTCTCCTGCAACACCAAGCCTTGAACTGGAGACTTCGCTGCTGTTACTCGAGACTTCTTCGACGGACTTCTCATCTGCATCTCCTGCTCCAATGCCCGTAGCTTCGCTCGAAGTGTCTCATTTTCGCGCTCAAGTTCTTCAACCCTAGCCTCGGTCACAGGGTCTTCATGAATGGTGATCTGGGTGGTCTTTTCCAGGATCTCGAGCTTGCCGTCTATGAATTCCTCGCCGCGCATCTTTTCCTGCTCCCACGCCATTCTCCATCTTTCTTTCTCTTCCTCCATCCGTTCCTCCATTTCTGACCAGCATTCTTCTCGCACTTCTTGCTCCATATCAACTAGCTTTTCTTCGGCTGCTTGCAGCTTCAGCTCGGCCTCAGTCCTGTTGATTTCTTCTTCTGCAAGTCTGACGGCCAGAATATGACATTCTTCAGCCAATCGTGCCGCTTCGTTTGTTGCTTGTTCCAATTCTTGGGCGCTGAAATAGTTGTTGTGGAGGTCCTGGGGAGTATTTCGTCCATTCTGCCCTGCTTTCCCTTGTCCTCCACCCCCGAGGATCGCGCTGGTCACGCTGGGGACTCTTGGGACAGTTACCTCTCGAGCTAAGGCTGAATATCTCAGAATCTGACTCGTAGCATTGAAATCTCCCAATGGATCTGCAGTCACAATCATGACAGCTTTTTGAGGTGATCTGTAAGTGGTGGCGTGGTTGGACGAGGGGAAAGAGTTCGAAAACAGTAGCTCTGTAAGCTTACACTGCCTGAAAGGGATGATAGGCTTGCTGCCCTCCTGTTGACAGTCACTCTGAACCTGCAGACACTGACCCAGATACATCAGGCTTTCGTTGATCTTTCCTGCTTCGGCGAGGGTTGATCCGGTAGTTTTCGCGTTTCTTGCACGTTCCGAACCGGCCAAGTCCACAATCGACATGGTCCCTCCGGTCCAGGCTGGCACGACGGGGGCGCCATAGCCTTGCAGCTGAGGTCTCTTCTTGACTTCGATGCAGAAGAAACCGTGACTCCTCGAACTCACACTGTTGCTTCCAGTCCCTGCCACTCTCCTCTCGGTCAAGCCAGTCTCAAGCACCATCATAGCCTCGTCGTAACTTCCGCACACAATCTTGCGAAGTCCTGCGACCACCTTGCGGTCGGATGACATCTCAGTGTTCTTGAATAGAAGTGGTCGACGAAGCAACCCCTTCTGCAGAGCGGCTCCTTGGCGTGTCGACATGGGCGGTGCGTTTGGTGAGGTAGGGTTCGACAGAAGATCGAAAATACGGTCATTATAGACCTCATACATGGAGATAAGGACTGCATACTCCGCGTGAGGGTCGATATCCGTCGAGAATGGCGATACGTCCGGGTATTGCGGGAGTGTGCTCGGTCGTGGTAATAGAGGCCTTCGAACATAATGCGAGGCGGTATCCTTCACAACTTGTAGTTTAGCAGGTGACTTTCGGAGACTTCTCAAACGAGTAAGGAACGGGGCTTTGGACGGAATTCGCCATGGCTCCTTCTCGGGCGAAGGATCTGTTTCAGGGATACTGGGCAGCATTCGTATGGAGGACGGAGTGCCTGTAGAAAGATTTGGGCCATGACTTAACGGTAATGGTGATGCGACTGTGCTTGGGTAGTCTTCCGGTGAACAGGGGAATGAACCGGGAAGTTTATGGGTCTGGTTGCCTACCATCATCGGGGTCTGTGCTCTAGACATCGGTGTCTGAGCTCGTGATAATCTGGCTCGATCGCCATCACCGTACACGGACTCTAGGAAGGTGGTTGCCGACTGGATTCGGGCTTCTGAGGGATCCGCGACTTGGAGAGAGGAAAGGAGTTCGGTGTCTGTTGGCAGATCTGGATGGTGAGGGCGGCGAATCTTCTCTCCTATTGATCTGAACAGAACGTCCAGGGTCATCTGGGTCAGTCCTCGTTGAGACTTGGATCCTAGGATGGTGTGACTCTTGACACAAATCAGCCATGTTCCATGGTGGTCCAGGTGCAACTACCTTTCCGCTCCCAGTGACCCCCAGCGTAGCCACCAAGCCATCTCTTCCAGTTTGCAGGACACTTTGAATTGCATCGGCCGTGCCAGTCTCCTGAAATACGTCTAGCTGTGTAGCCTCCTCTTGGAAGATCTTGGTGAACCCAAATCTCTCAATCGCTCGCTTCCGCGAATCATTCGGCGGTTGAAGTGTGATATGTGTGGGAAAGGTCTTGGTTGGGCCTTCACTCTGGCTGGCTGCCGGACTCGCGGGCTCAACGATCAGCCATGGGTCAAGTTTTTGTTTCGGCATTTGAGGATGAATCGGTGGCCGCAGGCGGAGGTAGACCTGGAATAACGAGGTTTGCGACGGCATTCTGGTTGAATTGTCCATGATGAATGAGACACTGGCCGGCAAGATGGTTCCTCAAGTTTACTTGCAGGTCGGGACGAAGGTCAACGCAGTCGTCGTGCAACAAATGTCAATCTTCTGGTACATGCGCTGCTCACCCGATGGCTTGGCATATGTATGATTCCTGTTTGGGGAAGGTGCTGGTTGGTACGGCAACGGCCCTCCAGCTTGATGCGGGGTTCAGCCTCGTCTCTGCCAGAGTAGCACGTATTCGAGCGTGGTATTACATAAACCTCCGTCAGCAATCATGGTCATCTGAGCGTGTGTCTACAAGGATCCTCGTAAGGCCGAGCACACTTCAGAATGGAAGTAGCAGATCTCAGGGGTTCTCATCGCCCAGGAATCCAGGCAACAGGTCAATCCCCTCAAGTTGATAGTCGGATGCTTGGAGGTGGCAGCTCGAAGCAACCTTGAAAAACGACTCGAGGATAACGAGATATGAGGAATGTTAGTGGGAAGCGCAATGCTAGCACTAGTATTTCGCCGAACCCCCCTCCCCCGACGTTTTGCTCCCTTGGTGTACCCGCGAATCGCAGACTGCAAGCTCTATTAGTAAGGACAAATGGACAGCACTGGCACTAGATGAAAGACTAGGCCTGTGTAGAAGCAGGTCCGACTTGAGCAAGCATGCATGGAATAAACGGTCATGTAACAGGAAGAATCCGCACTCGAACGGCTGTTATTCCGAATTCGATGGTGGCTTCAGCACTTGAACCAACCTCAATGTGTGCTGATCCGACACCCATGCTAGGTAGATTTTATATAGCCAAGGTTTCCCCTCCATCTAGGATGACGGATCAGCCAACACACAACTCCCTCTGCACACAATGGCTGACTTAGGAGCTCTCGTCCATAGGAGAAATAACTTTTCAAAGCACATCGCTGCCCGACTTTTCTGTGAACAACCCTTCCTCAACCAGTCTCCACCTCCCAGCCTTGTCAAGCCCAGGTCGATGAGAATCGACTCTCTGAATACCCCCAAGATTTTTTGTGGTATTGTGAACGCGTACATCGCCTATACAAATCGCTGTGTTTTGGTCTGGAAAAAAAAAATCTCGACTGCTGCAGGCTCAATGACCCGATCTCTGTTTCATGATAGCTCTTCGCTCCTTTTCTTTGGCTATGGTGGGGTCAGCAAACATCAAGACTCATCGGGGAGATTTGAACGTACCTTCGTCATAAACCAAGAATTCATGCAACCCCTTACCAGCAGGGACCATGGGCAATACAGGTACCTTCTTGTCGATGATGACTTCCAACAGCGCCGGACCCTCTCCGCTACCACTAATCAACCACTGTAAACTCTCCTCTACGTCGGCAGGTCTGATGCATCTCCTTGCTGGTACCCCCATGGCGTCGGCAAGTTTGATAAAGTCGGGATTCTGTTGATGGGTATGTGCGAACCGATCCTCGTAGAACAAGCTCTGCCATTGGGTGACCATACCCTGTTCTTCATTGTTCAACACGATCACCTTGACGCCGATCTGGAATTGGTTGGCGGTGCTCAGTTCGGTTAGGGTCATGTTGAACGAGGCATCACCATCGATGTCAATGACGAGCGCATCCGGTCGAGCCACCTTGGCGCCGATCGCCGCTGGGAGGCCGTAGCCCATGGTGCCCAGACCTCCTGAAGTGACTATAGTTCGAGGGTGTCGCCAACGGAAATGCTGAGCAGTCCACATTTGATGCTGGCCCACGCCGGTAGCGATAATGGTTTTCTCCTTCATGCCCGCAGTCATGTCCGAGAGTTTCTCAATCAACTCTTGTGGCTTGATCAGACCATCAGGAGTTCCCCGTTCGAAATTGCTCAGTGGGAATCTCTCCTTCCAGTCCTTGATCTGTGCGAACCACTCCGGTCGGTCCTTGACCACATTGACTTTCGGGAGAAGCTCAGCCAGGTTTGTGGCCACCTCACCCTCAACGGCTTCGGTAGCCTGCACAACTTTGTTGATGTTCTTGGGCATGATTTCAAAATGCACGATACCGCCACGTTTTTCAGCTGCGGCTGCCTTTGCTTCTGGGGCAAATTTGGCGACGTTGAGGGTCACACGGTCATCAAACCGCGCTCCCAAGGCAATGATAAGATCTGCTTCTTGCATGGCCATGTTAGCATACGCCGCACCGTGCATGCCAAGCATATGTAGGGCTTTGGGATCAAGCTCGTCAAATCCACCAAGGCCTTGTAAAGTGGTAGTCACTGGGATGGAAGCCTTGTCGGAGAGCTGCTTCAAGAGCTGGGGCCCTTCACGAGACCCCAAGAGACCTTGCCCAGCGTAGATGACCGGCTTCTTCGACACATTGATGAGGTTAGCTACGCGGGAGAGGGTCCCCTCCAACTGTTTTCTGGAGAGCTCTCTCGCGGCCAGGGTCGCGGCCGATGGGTGGGCAGGAAGGGTTGACTGCATCGGAATGGGTCTCCTGAGGATGCCTGCAGTGACATCTTTGGGCAAATCAACAAGAACAGGACCTGGCCGTCCGGACGTCGCAATCTCGAAAGCCTCGTTTATTCTCTTGGGCAATTCCGCCACGGACTTGACCATCACGTTCCACTTTGTGCAAGCTCTTGAGATTCCAACCACGTCAGCTTCTTGGAAGGCGTCGGTGCCAATGGCAGTGGTCGGGACCTGGCCGCAGAATACGACCATCGGTGTCCCGTCGGACAGGGCGTCCTGCATCGGCGTGATAACGTTGGTGGCACCAGGGCCAGAGGTTACGAGGACGACCCCCGGTTTGCCCGAGGCTCTCGCGTAGCCCTCAGCCATATGTCCGGCACCTTGTTCATGTTTAGGGAGAATGAAATCGAAGTGTTTGGAGTTGTAGATGGCATCGAACACGGGAAGAATGGCACCACCAGGGTAGCCAAAGATATGCTTGACACCTTGCCGTAGCATCATCTCATGGAAGATCTCTCCTCCGCTGAGACCGACGAAGGAGTCGTCAAGCTCAGGCACCTGTCTATTGACCAACGGCGATGGTTCATTCCGACGGAAGTCATTGTTGAACGCAGGACTGGGAATGGGTCTGGTTGATCTGCAAAGGGGTCAATTAGCAAGTGTGCAAGCAAACACAGGATACTTGTGTAGGAGACGTACTGTGCCTGAGCTGCAACAGTCGTGGCAGGTCTTCTTGATTGCTCAGTGGTGGTTTTTTGCGATTTTCGGTACGGCGACAAAGCTGCCGCAGGGGCGGTGGAGGAGAAGGACTGGGAGCACGAGGGTCTCCGTCTGGACAAGGAGCGGATGGCACTGGAGCCAGGGCGCATGGGCATCATTTTCGTCGCCATGTTGTCTTGGGCAAGACAGAAAGACTACAAGAAGATGACTGCAGTCAAGTGAGGGAGGAAGTAATGGGAAGCCGAAGATTGGCGATGACAATTATGAGTCAGTGCTCGTTTCGCGGGCAGGCTTGCTTTGGGTGGTGGTGGTGTAGTGTGGTGACCAGTGCGGCACCCCCGATCACAATCTCTCACCCATTGCCGGCAGCGGAGTCTCAGATTGGCCAGGGAATTTTTTTCTCCCTGGCTGCATTGGCCACCAACCCTGCAGGCCCTTAGGCCTGGTGCGGTCCTGACAAGTAGTCTTTGCGGAGAACCGCCACCCTCCCAAGTTCCAGAGCATCCTTCGGCCGATCTCGCTCTTGGCTGAGGTCTTGACACTCGACAGGGGTCGCTTGCTGTTGCCACAGTTGGCCTACAGCCCACAGACACACCTCGCTTCTGATGCATAAACTAGGCGCTCTGGGGAAGGCATCAATAGGCCAGCCATTGTCAATCTACACATCCACCTACGGAGTACTCTGGCCCGTCATGTCTGTAGAATTAGTTGCCAACAGCTATGCCTCGGGGGAGCGGAACCTTCTGTCTGGCTTTCGAGATCTACATCATGGGTCACAGCGCATGGTTTGCTTTTCGTCGCTACTCTATAGAATGAGCTGTCTGGCACCGCTATGTTGTGCTAAGCTCTTCTCCCGAAGATCCTGAACCGCTTAGCACCACCATCCGGTATGATGGTCAACTTGGCGTGCGTCCATACATGGCCCTCTGGGGGATCAGAAATAGCCAGATCCTGCCCCTCGAAGATATGTTCCGTGTCAGCCTTGCAAGGCTGCTCGCCCTGGACCAACGGCACCCATCCAGCATCATCAGCCTTGGGATCAGGCTCAGTGCCGAGGGCTGCTTTCGCAGCCTCGGTCGACCAGCCCTCCACCTTGACTGCTTGGGGGAAGTTGCCCCGGAAATCCTTGGTGTCGACGACGACCTTCTCGATCTTCCGTCCCTTCAATCCCAACCTGACAATAACCCAGTCTGTGTGGCCCTTTGCCCTGCTACGAGCAGTCTCCCATCCGTCGCCCATGTCTTTCCCGCGTCCGGGCAGGAGCAGGTACGACTTGCCACCGAAGTGCTGGTCGGAGCATTCAATTGCCACCCCGCCGTTCAGCGCGTAAGCGAGGTCTTCTAGAGGCCTCTCGCCCGCAGCTGCACTCGCCGGCAGCGGCGGAGGGGCGACTTGGCCATAGACTCTCAACCGGGCAATGCCACCGTCTGGATATTGTTTCAGCCTCAAATGTGTGAACCCTTTGCCCGTAACTCCAGGCCCAGACACCTTCCAAGCCTGCCGTTGGTTGGGTCCGCACTTCGAGGGTGGTAGGACCTCACTCCAGCCCTGAAAGTCCTCCTTGTCAACCCCGCTGCCGTGTTCTTGTTCTGGAGTGAGAAAACACCCATCCAACCCCGCAAAAGGCGCCTCGTTGCCGTTGAAATACGCAGTGTCGACTTCGACGGCTTCAATCCGCCCCACACATCCCAGCTTGATCACCACCCAGTCAAATTTCTTCGGGTTATGTCTTCTAGTCTCCCATCCGTCGTACCACGCGCCGGTGTGCACAAAGTATCCCGCCCTGCGAATCGGCGGGGTGGGCGTAAGCAGGTTCGCGGCCGAGGCGAAGTATTCGTCGGAGAATGAAACGATCGAGGCCCCGAGGACCGTCGTTGTCAGTGACGTAGAGGAGGAGAACGTCTTGTCAATCAGGGCGGCGGGCACGGGTGTGACGGTCACGTTTGAGTCGGTCGTGGTGGTTGAGGGGACAATTATGTCCACCGCCTTGGAGAGGACTTGTGGCTGTATCTGCACCTCCATTGGAAACGAACGACAGCGGTCTCTTGTAACAAGGGCGTATTCGACAATAATGTGAACGTGGAGTAGAGAGTCTTTCTCTCAACAACGGGAGCGCGCAGGTTGGTGGGAGGAGGGCCGAGAAGTGAAATCACTAAAACTTTTTCGAGACGGAAGGTTTTCTAGCTACTCTTCTCTTCACGAAACAAGTGCTCCAAGCTCTCTGACTGGGAATATCTTTTCTTCATTTTAGGAGCCGACATCCGGCCTATGATCTCTTTGTTATCTATACCGCAGGGCTTGACTGACCACGGAGCCCGCCGATAGTCGAGATCTGCCCCTCTTATTACTGTTCATTATTACGGAGGACTATCGTGTTAGTATCAATTCCTCCCTCGCGTCAGTCCCCGCTCTTAGCACGTGATAGACGTCCTCACGTGCTATGCAGAGTAAGGAGTACGGGTTGTGAACGACAAGCGCCCTAAGGCCTTACCAAGGCTTATAACGACGTCGAAGTGCGTCGACGCGTGTCATACACTTATACGACGTACTTAGTAAGGAATCGAATCGCTTGCGCCGGCACGCAGCAAGAATGTCTTCGTCGACAAACGATGGTTTTGACTCTCTTCTGCTGGAACCATTCAAATCAAAAGCAGGGAAAAATTAGTTTCCGGAGTTACGCTGGAGGTGGAAGAGACGGGCATGTTTTCAAAGTCCGCATTGACAAGGAGCCATACGCGTTGAAGATGGCAAGTTCGAGGAATGAGTTGTGCCTTCGAACACCTACTAACTCTCAAGCAAGTTCCCGTTCGATGATCCAGAATTAAACGTGTCCCGACTCAAGGGACTGCGCCGAAAATACTTCTACGATCCTTTCTTCATCGAATGCCGTGCGAATGGCTCCCTCATTCAACACGGTCTTAACGGCCAGATTACTGCCGCCTGTTATGGTTGGATCGACGTGCCCATTGCTGCAGAAAACCTCGTGGCTAGAAGATTTAACATACACCCGTCTGTATGGAACAAACCGGTTTCGGCCTCCAACCAGAAAGTCCGAGGCATCCTGTTTGAGTGGATTGATGCCCAGCCGCTCTCGGAAGTCCCAATCAGCTCAGATATTGCAGACCAAGTTCGCACGAAAGCCAAGGCGTTGCATAGTGTTGGTATTGTGCACAACAGCCTTGCGGCATCTAACATTCTCGTTCAAGCTCAAGATCCGAACGCGACTGTCCACCTCATCGATTTAGGCTCATCCATCACACTTCCTCATATCCAATTCTCTCTGCAGAAATTAAAAGAAATCCAACAAAAAGAGATCCAGCTTCTAGAATTCGGGTTCAAATTGCTCTCAGAAAACCCCATCAATAGAGGTCTTTGCGTTGCCGACATGTCTACTTTCAGCAAGGCGATTCTGGATGAGTGGCTCGCTGAGTCACAGTTCATAAAACACCTCTGGGCCCCACCACCGCCTACCTGCTGGCAGGGGACATGACCATTTCCCAAAATTCCACTAATTCTGGCCTACAAACGCCTCCAATCTACGTACAGCGCTGTATCGTTCGGCATTGGAACATCCCAGCCCTCTCCACACTTGACTTTTTGTCTTGTGTCTCGGGCGAATCTGGACTGAACCTCCATAGCCACGGGTTGACGACCGTGTTCGATCTGGGAGTTGATGTGACCTGCTACCTCATGAATTAGGAATCGTTTGATATAGTCTGCCTGCGCATGAGAAATGTGCAACAGCAAGACAGCATTAAGGTATTCTGGAGTTCGGCGGCAGGCTGTCCACCGCCATGAGTGTTTTACTTTCGCCTCGATGTCTGCACCGGTGTCCTTTTCAGGTGTCCCAGGGACCCTTGCCACTCCTCCCCTGGCAAACAAGGCTAGTCATCGTAAGGCACACACAGCAAGTCGAGGGGCGCCTCATTCAACGCCATGTCTGTAATGCCCAGGCATCACCTGAGAACCAAAGGGCTGGTTGTCGTGTCAGCGAAACAGGTTCGTCCACTATTCCAGACACGAAGCCGGAAGAACTGATGATCAGGAAGCCACCACACGTCTCATGGCTCCCCTACAACCGATCGTAATAGGTCCAATCACCCTGCAGCGACATTTATGCGATCCTCAGCTACGCCTGCCCCTCTTGCTGCTAACGGCGATGCTGACAGTCTGATGCTGACAGTCTAATGCTGACCTTTTCGGGAGAAGGAGACCCACACGAGTCTATCTGCCAACATGATCAAAGTCCTATCACTCGTAGAAACGCGGCACTTCCTCCCGATGAGCAATGGGATGTCGACGCCGTACATGACAAAAGATATTGCCTTCACCACAGTGAGGTGGAATACCTCGTGATTACGAGAGATTCGTGGTGCCATGTGATGATGTGCCTAGGTCGAGATAGCTTGTAAATCACCGTGGCTCGCTTCAAGTTGATAGAAGGCGGAGGTCGAGCCAATCTTACTGATTTACTGTTTACTGCAATAACTCTGATTGTATCGTATCATATCATATCATATAATTTCCATTTACCAGTCGAAATGAAAAAAGGGGCAACTTGGAAGAGTCCGTCGGAGAAGCTTTGAACGGCAGTCTTCCGTAGCAAGTGCTTGAAGATCATCTATCGTCTATCGTCTATCGTCTATCATTTATCATCTACTTATGTGGTAGATGATTCGCCGCCGCAGACTTGAGTGTCCAAGATGGCTGGGTTCGATCAGCCCTTCTAGTTCGCCGTATTACTGTCTAAACGGTCTTTGGCCCCCGTTGCAATCAACTGTCAGCTGAGACTTCCCCAAGACCATGTGCGTCACATTCTCAAGTCCGTATCCCTGAACCTTTCATACATGTCTCGAATTTCATGGAAGCTGGAGCTGAGCGGGAGATATAGGGGGGTGGGGGGAGGATAAGGGTTGTGTTCCTCAGTCCGCCCCTGAAGATGCCAGCCTCACATTGAGCGGCGGCCCGTAAGAGAGGCAATTGCTCCTGTCTGTGAATCCTCTGGCTTGTCCAAGGATGCGTCGGATACCTGCTTGTTGAAGGACGCGTCAGATCCCAGCTTTTCCAGCAACAAGCAAGGGTCTCCGATGTCTCGAGCTGTTGAAGACACGTCTCTCGGAAGGCGTGCGGCCGATCCATTCTATATGGTGTCCATCTAAGCGCCAATCAAAATGATCTCATGGCTCATCAAAATGCATGAAATGAAATGCTTTTCTTTGGACGCCCGTGCCATGCACCCAACCGTCAGGAATCAACGCGTACGCCGAAGCAAGGTGAGAGAGACGCTGTGAGTTGTGGAGGTCCAACGACTCGCGAATGTGCGCGCCTGTGAGGTGTGAGGCGCAATGCAGCAATTGGTCTCACTGCAAGGCTCGTTGAGGCAGCCATTAGTTTCCTGGAGGAGAGAACAATAATGGGTTAAACTAAACGCCCACTTTCCCACCCTTTTCCCTCTCCTGTTCATCGGCTCTCGCCTCGGTTCTCTCTGCCGTTTTACTGTCAACAGCACGTCTCCATCCCTCCCCCCACACAGTGGTAGCCCAGACGGACACGGCGGATAGGATCAAGAAGCCCGAGGAAATGGTGCTAAACCAACCGACGCCTATGGCCTCGATTGCGGGAAGACAGACCCCAGAGGCGATGGCGGCAAATACGTAGCGGATCATGTAGTTGCCCGCCACGACTTCGGCGGAGCGGCCCTTTGCCTGCATCACATCCAGGCAGTAGGTGTTGAGGCTCGGGAAACAAAAGAGCTGCGAGACGCCTTGGATGAACATGGCGGCCACGGGTAGCGGGATCCCACCGACGTTCTTCTCCACAGACCACCCGTACACGAGCATGCAGGCGGGGATGGCGCCGCCTATAAAGACATAGCACGATCGCAATCTGTCTTCGGGGACCCGTCGATTCTTCTTGCCAATCCACTTCTTCACAATATGGTCGGCCCACCGGCCTCCGACAAAGGTGCCGAGTACGTATCCGCACCCGGGCGCGATGTAAAAGAGACCCGACTGAATAGGCGAGGTGAGATGAAAACGCGGGTTGAGCACATACCGAATAGGCGTCAGAAGGGAGTACTGGTTCCAGACCAGCGAGCTTGAAGCCAGGCCAGCGATGATGAGATTTGGGTAAGAAAAGAGCAGCACAGCCACGCGGAAAGGAGAGATCCAGTGGAGGATGCGAACTACTCGTTCTTTGCGCGAATACTCGCGGAGTTCGTCGATTTTCTTCTCCGGGATGGTTTCGGGCAGAAGCAAGATGACGAGCACAGTCGCCAGGCCGCCCAGTGCTGATTGCAGCCAGAAGATGACTCGCCAGCTGCGGAACGTGACGATGATACCACCGACGAATGGGCCAAACGCCGGGCCGATGAGAGTGCCGGTCAGGAACCAGCCGAGAGCGGTGGCACGGGCCGTCGGCGTGTAGATATCGCCCAGACAGGCGGTTCCGACCGTGAGAAAGGAGGTGCCCTGGTAGGCGGTGAGCATGCGAAAGATGAAGTAAGAAGCCAGATTAGGAGCGAGGGCTGTGCCGATGCTGAAGGCGAAGAACAACGAGGCTGTGGCAATGCATATCAACCGGCGCCCGTAGATTGTGGATAACGGACCCCACAGGCACGGCGAGATCGCCATGAACACCAGATATAGCGCGTTCGACAGGTTGATGATGCTCCCGTTGGTTTTGTATGTGGCTGCTACTTCCGGGATGGCGGCGAGGATGGCCGTCGAGGAGACGGGAGCGAGGAAGCCACATAGGGACAACACACATGTGATGACGAGTTTCCGGCGGTCGCTGAAACGCTCATATTGGGCCGCGTTGGACTCGGTGTAGGAGCTGGCGTGGCTAGGGACGCCTTCAATGTCGTGGGCGGACACTGTCGATTGTACTTGAGAGAGCTCTGATTTGTCGTGGACATGCTCCTTCTGCCCGGCCGTAGGACTTCTTTCAAGATCTAGTAGAACAGGCTCATGGTGGTGAGATTGTACGGAGACGATTTGAGGATCGAAATCGACATGGTCGTCTTCGACAACATCAAGGTGGAGCTCGCCTGTCATGGTCGGATTGTTGGTGGAGAGAGTAGCAACAAACCGTTCATTTCTTTCGAACCTTGGAACGAGCGAGGATGGTCAAACTGCAGCAGTTGAAAGAAGGTGAAGCAAGCCACTTTCGTCTCAGAGACGCCGGTAGCTGGATATATGTAATAGGTAAGTCTCTATATGCAAACTCACCTGAGGAGAACTGTCCCTATCGGGCGCCGGGCGTCGGGTTAAGCGTGCCCTACACGCATTTGCCCATAAATGCCGGCCTGTCCAAGGGCTCCTTATAGGCTTTTTGCCTATCTCAATACCACGGCCATTGGGACTGTACCCACCGCGTCGCCATCAAAGGCCGATGTGTCGCTAGATGAGCTTCTTTTCAATGGGTCAGCGACGCCCTGCCCGTTGCCGAGTCCCGCGTTGGCCAATCATGCGACATCAACCTCAGGGCGCTGTCTCCACGAATTTTTCGCCGTAACGCCCTTTGACGGCGGCTGGGCTTTTCTTTTACCGACGGATCGATCGGAGGACTGGCTCTGTGCCGTCGGTTCAGAGGCTTGACGAATATATAATGTGCACGGAATATATAGTATATAGCGATGAAGAGGTGCGTGTTTGGATGTGTTTCTGGTCTGCCAGCGCATTCGACCTCGACCTCGACCTCGACCTCGGCACGTGATGACCACAGACAGTATGCCTGAAGATCAATAGTATGTGATTCTGAGGGCCGTGTGTAATCCTGTCACGTTTACAACTTGGATCCGTCCTTTGCACTCCGCGCCAGGAGGGTCTTCTTTAGCTGTCTCCTCAGTATCTTTCCGCTGGGGCTCTTGAGGATACCTTCGACAACATAGAGACCTCCTCTCAGCCGTTTGTGGTTGGCGACTCTGCCAAAGACATACTATACCAGATTTGCTACGGCCAAAACAGTGGCCGTTCTCCACTGTCAAACCTCACTACCGACTATGATGTGGTCCAACTAGACGTCTATCCTAGTGCAAGGTATCAAGATGTTCTGTTGCACTGAGAGATTCTTTCATGGCCGCGAAGGTTGTTCAAACCGTGGACCAGTCCTTGACTGGTGATCGAGATCACTTCATCTTCAAGCGACGGTCACAGTCGGAGAGACTTTATTTCTTCTGATCGGCTGGAGTCGGCGAATCGCCCGCCACGATGTTTGTCGATGCAGTGAGGGAACTGGTCCGTTTATACATCGAGAGCAGGGCCGATAATCAGCGACGATCCTCGGCTGGGTTTGGAGATGACGATGGCTTCTTGAAGTTTCTCTTCGCTGATATCCGGAAATTTCTTGAAATAGTAGTCCTTTTTGAGGGCATCAATCACATCTGCAACCCTTTCCTGCGGCACCAGATGTACCGTGCAGCCGCCCCAGCCAGCTCCAGTAAGTCGAGCACCATATGCTCCTGCGTGCCTTGAAAGAGAGCAGATTTCATCGATTTCGGGACAAGAACATTCGTACATATCCCTGCAGGAGGCTTGTGTTTGGTTCATCAGTTCACCGAGATAGAGAAGCTCCTTCTGGTGAAGTTTCCCAGACGTCATCAACGTCTCCCGGAATCTCAAGACCCGGCCTGCCTCCTCCAGGACATGCAATGCGCGTTGTCTGAGTTTGAAAGAATCCGCCTGAATCGGGAATTTGGACATGTACTGCTTCTCCAGCTCTGTCACTGAGATTCCCAAGATTTTGGCTATATCTTCCCTGGTGTAACGCTCTTTGTCGAGGCTCGCTTTGATAATCTCAATTATCACATCAACCTGAACGCTGAGGGGCTCATCCCGACGGCCTTGTTTCTTCATGATCTCCTCTTGGAAGTTTCGCAAGCAGAATCCAAGAGAGCTCTCGTCCGGGTTAAGAACAACATCATGAAGTTTCGCCAATACCACGGTAGCTAGAGTACATTCCACGACTCTGAGGTTGTAATGGAAGGGAGCCGTCACCGCCTTGTCGGATGTGATGAAAGACTGAGCGATCAAAAAGGTGATTTCAGGTTCTGATGCCGGTACAGGAACGTTTTCTGCCGAGAATTGGGGGAAGAAGTGACAGTAAAGAAGGTATCCTTTCTCGGAGAATATCGAGGCAGCCTGGTCCATCCCTCCGGAAAAGACGCCGACGGCACGTTCTGATACAATGCAGATGTCCAACAAATCCTGCTTTGAGATGGCGTAGTTGTTGGCTGTCATGACTGCGAGAGCGGAGGCACAGACAAAAGCAGCACTGCTAGACAGTCCGCCCCCAGCTGGAACGTTTCCATCAAGCAAAAGTTCCATGCCATTAGCCCTGAACGAATTGCCAAACTTCTTGCGGAGGTACTCGAGGGACCCCTTGAGACCAGCCAAGAAATAGTTGGTCCAAGAATGGTGCTCTTTGTCCACTTCCACTGTACCAGAGCTTGAGATCGTAAAATCCTTTGGCGGATATTTTGTGGAATTCACATTGGCAAGTTTAATTATCGGATCTTCAGCGCTGGCATCCTTGACAACTCGGACAGCGATGAGCACGTCGACCGTGACTGCGGCTGGCAAGACGTTGTATAACGAATAGTCGACATGTTCGCCAATTATATTGACTCTGCCCGGGCTTCTCGAGACGAACTCTGGCTTCTGACCGTACTTGCCTTGGAAGGATTTGATCAAGTGGTTGAAGCGGTTCCGGAGATCAGCAGGGACGTTGTGGCCTTCGCCGACTCCGGCATATACCTCATCCAAATTGTTCAACTTTGGCACCAATGCGCTCATATCGAGTTCCCGGCAATCACCGCAGGACACTATCCGTGGAGAGGACTGGACAGATGTTTGTGGCCGGCGCTGAGAGAAGGAATATCGTTGTTGATGCCGCTCGTCGGATCAAATAGTATGTGTTAAAAGATGAGGTAAATTAATTCAACTCAACATGCAGTAAGTGACGCCAAAAAGACAACGACGATGTGAAGGTTGTTGAAGTGGTGCCACTTGATACCTACTGGTGCTACCTTAGGAAGTGACTTGACGTTGAGCATCGGATCGGGAAAACGTCATAGCGAGCGGCCTAAATTCACGCAGGCGGCTCTCTGCCTGCGCTCTGAGTGCCACATTGCCATTGATCACTCCCTCTTTGAAGGCATCGAAACACGTTTGATAGTATCAACACGCCGTCCTTGCCCGGCCTGGCGCGTCCAGGTAGAGCTTCGTTTAGAGACTCACCTGTTGGGTCTTAGGACACGGCTTCATCGCCTCCGCCGTCACTAGCCTACCTAACATCCGTATCAGCACATCTTACTCCGCTGTGCCCATTCGAGCCTCTCGCAAACTTGGGTTGGAATCATGGACTCTGAAGACCTAGGACGCGTCTCCCCAGACGTACCATCGACCAATCCCTCTGATGTCAATGCCGATGTCGCAAACCCCGATTCGAATCTGCGACCTCCTCCTCTTTCCCGCTCTTCGACCTTTGGATCCAAGAAATGCTGGATATGTATGAGCGACACCACAGAAGACGATCCACACAATCCTCCAGTCTGGCGTTCACCCTGTCAGTGCAGTCTTACCGCGCACGAAGCTTGCCTCTTGGACTGGGTAGCAGATCTCGAAAATCCCAAGAACGGCAAACGGAAAGCTTCGGGTCAGATTCTGTGCCCACAATGCAAGTCTGAAATCAAGATATCAAGACCGAAGAGTTATATCGTGGACACATACCGCTCTCTGGATCGCGCTTTGGGCAAATTGGTATTCCCAGGCCTTGGTTTGTCCGTTCTGACTTCTTTCTGGGCCGGAGCTTGGGCCCATGGGTTTTACTCTGTTTATCTCGTCTTCGGTGAGGAAGATGCTGCACGTATCTTCGAAATGACTCTCCGTCATCCCGCATGGAATTTGGCGTACGGGCTGATTCCTATCAACCTGATCTTCTCCCGTACCAACTACAGCGACTTTGTACTACCCACCGGCTCTTTACTGCTGCTTGCCACGCAGACCAGCGACGAATTCAAGATTGACATGACCATCTGGCCGCCGCTCCCCTCTACGGTCTTTGCATGCTTGCCTAGCATACGATCGGCGTACAACTGGTGCTACCATAAGGCGTTTTGCGACCTCAACAAGAAGTGGTTGGAGGAAATACAACCTAGCCATGCGCAGCAAGAGGATGGCAACGCAGAAAATGACGAGGCTAATCAGAACTTAGTGGAAGAAGTTGAGGAAGGGGGTGTTGTTCTGGAGTTGCAAGTGAACTTGAATGCGGAACCGGAAGCTATGGACGACGCCCCCGGTGAAGCCGGCGGCCAACAAAACGGACGAGCGCAGCCACAAAACGGTCATGTCCACCAAATCCTGGGAGATCGGGGAGACCGACTGGTTGAAGGCACATCCGGGATCGGCCAGATGGTTGTCGAGGCGTTGGCCTTTCCAGCTGTGGCGGCGGGGATGGGCACTCTCCTAAGCTTCCTGTTACCATCCTCATGGCTTAGCGACTCCAACCAGATGAACGGTCGACCAGGCCTCCTTAGGACGAAATGGGGCAGAAGTGTTGTGGGAGGCGGCCTGTTTGTTGTGCTCAAAGACGCTCTTGTGTTGTACTGCAGATGGAAGCTTGCAAAGAGCCATCGACAGAGACGCATCCTGAACTACGACAAGAAATCGAAAAGATACTCGCTTTGAATTGGCTGGGAACTGTTGAGGGCTTAGACGTCTCCCGAGTTTGACGATGCTACGATGGTCTTTCCTAATCACAGATACCCCAATATGATGATCTGCTAAGGCAGACTGTCTATATATGACAGCAATCAGCATATCCTTTGAATGGCAGGTCGAATGAATCATAATCAATGGCATCTCAGTATCGTAGTAGGTGCCATCTGCAGTGAAAGTACGGAGGTACTGTAGTGCTACGTAGTGCTAGTTATGGACAAGGATCAAACATGCCAAGCCTTAATGTTCGCCGACCTCAAAGATTCCAGTGTCAAGAGGTTCGACTTTCACAGTCGCAAGCAATCGAATCCTCGACGTTTTGTGTGTTCAGAGCCCTGCTCACCGTCTCCGTATACATCTCGCAGGCCAGCCCACGATGCACGTCTCATCAATGCGCACTGCGTTGGCGCGTGTTTTTCAAATACCTCTGCGACCGAGTCTGCGCAATGCCGTCAAAGTCCCATCCACCACCACCGAGACAACCACGTCCTCATTTTCAACGAGCGTAACCCGTGCCGCAAAAAAGGGCAAGGGCGTCAAACCTGATCAAAGAATAAGTAAGCATCCCCGTGCACACACACCCTCGGTCTCTAGTGGTGCAGAAGCATGCTCTGGCCTTTTCGCACCACTTCGACCATGGAGTTCTGTGGTGCCACACTCACAAACGCATGTCCACCTCATACTGACATTTCCACTCCTCGTTCTAGCTTTAATTCGCTACTTCCTATACCACCCGACGACACTGACGCCGCGACCGCTCCGCTTCTCCCGGAACCGATACCTCCGACACTGGACAATCCACCGCGCTTGGAACCTGTACCGGGCGAAAGTCAAGCAAGCCCGCCAACTGGAGCTCGAGCGGCAATACAATGCCATGAATGCGGCGAACGAGGAGCTGCGTGTCGGCGCTGGTGACGGCGGCAAGCTCTTCCGCAAAGCCCAGATGAAGACGGGCGTTTGGAGTATTCCCGAACGAGGCGGCGGAGTGCCCATCGAGTATGCCAGGGGCTTGGTGGATTGGATGGGCAGTACCGGCGGTTTGGGCAGTTCCGGAGTTGGGCTGGGGGCCAAGGCAAAAATCTGGGACAGTGAGTGGAAACGATCGTGAGGGTCGGAGCCAAAAGGCCAGTCTACAAGGGTTTGAGCACGCACTGTATAATACCACAGCCTGGTTGGTGTTGCGAGATGGGATCATATCTTGCTTGGGACTTGCTGGGCTTTATGAATGGAAAAAGAGAGCGATATTACTTCTATACACATACATCATGGAAACTTTTCCCCAGGTCGCAAACACCAACTGAACTCAAAAGAGAGCAAGATTCCATCATTCAATATTCGCTAATGCCCAGCAGGAAATCATAGAAGAAAACTGTCGTCACATGTATAGCAGGGAGACAATGACCCCGACTCCGGAGGAAATGCCAATCATGGCTCCCAACATATTAGGTCTTTGCCATCTTTGAGATATTCAATGGCCGGAAGGATCAACCACGAATACTCCAAAATCCCCAGAGTGAGAGAAACCTGGCCGCCTTTTCGTTCTTTCGTCAGCATTACCAACCACTGTCGATCACAGGATCACGCAGCAGCCACCTCCACCTTGTTTGCCATTAAACGTGAGAAGCGCGGCTCTGGTGGCAGCTTCGAACACGTCGTCCACTCCCTCGCCGGTCAGGCTGGAACACTCGAGGTATTTGCGGGCGCCACATAGCTGCGCCATTTCTGCGCCCTCTCGTGGAGTCACAAACTTCAAGCTCTTCTTTCGCATTTCTTCTATTGCCATTGGATCTTCTCTTAGGTCTTTTTTCAATCCAACCAGAATGATAGGCACATCGGGGCACCGTTCTCTCGCTTCTTCAATCCATTTATGCCGTACGTTTTCCAGGCTGTCAGGGCTGTCGACGCTGAATCCTATCAAAATGACGTGCGACTTAGCATATGCCAGTGGCCTAAGTCTCTCGTAATCTTCTTGTCCTGCTGTATCCCATAACGCCAGCTGAACTGATCTGCCATCGACGCGGCAATCGGTAACGTAATTTTCGAATACCGTCGGTACGTAATGAGTCGGGAAATAGCCGAGAGTAAATACGGATAGGAGGGATGTCTTGCCGCAGGCACCATCACCTATTATGACAAGTTTCCTGAACCACTATCAGTCTGTCGTTTCACAATTGAATCGCTTGAAGAAGGAACGTCAAGAAGGAAGCAACGACACTCGAAAGCTGTTCAGAGTGACGCCACGATATGACACCGGGTTTGGGGAAACACACCGCCTCATCACATTCTGCTGTGCCTGGTTTTGTGCCATTTTCACGTATCTCTCTCACAGTGCCCCGTTGGCGGATGGGCGACACCGGGAAGAGCTCAGTTCAGGTTACGACTTCGGATAACGGACAGGTGAGGTCAATTGATCCAGGCTTTTGAAGTCCGCAGACGGGAGGGAGAAAGAAAGAAAGTCGATAGTCTCCTGTGGACAAGCTGAGCTGATGTGGTGGATCGGTGTAACTAGACGTGACGGATATGGATGGCGCCAGAGTCGCATATGCGACAAACCGTACGTAGCAGTCTTGAGGTCTTCAAGTCTCCCACGCGGCGATTGAATGTAGCTGTTCTTCTGAAGGTGCTCAAAAGCGAGACAATCCTCAATGTCTCAGACAAGCTTGAAGGTATTCGTGGGGTCCAACAAGACAGTGCAACCGAAGTGCAACGGCACCGGAGCGAGGAGGCGCAGCCACAAATAGAAACCTTAAGTGGAGATGGAATGGGGTTATTACAGCGCAGGAGGCGCGCTCCGGATAGAATCAGATTGATGCAACCGTAGATAGCAGCATAAGTATGCCGCAGACAGATTCGTCGAGGTTCGAGGGTTGAGAAAGCAGGCGTGAGGCTGTAGGTAGGTGAAGGAGGAATGGCTGCGGGATTGGGAGGAGAGCGGCAGCGGTGCATTAGTTGTACACAATTAGTTGGGTGCAGTTGAAGCCGCAAGCCGCTGCTTTTACCTCCCATTACAGCTGCGATATTGGGCTCCTTAGGCCTACGGCGGACAGAGGCAGGCACAACCGCAACTTGTGACTGGCATCGCCCCACGAAACCGAGAACCATCGAACATCGAACTTCCTCATGTTCAACGACCACCTTCCTGCCACAACATACGCGACACCACTCTTACTCCCCCTGCCGCCCTCGATCTCTTCCTCCTCTACATCCCAGCGACTGTCTGCCAACAATAGCGGTTGTCCCTACTCAGTTTGTCGTACCCCGCTAGCGGTAAAAGGGTCTTTGATGCCGAACTGACCGGAGAGTGAAACGGCGCCCTGCCTTGGTCATTTTCCCCTTGACACATCGCAACAACTTGGGACAAACGGTTCTCACCATGCCGTCCAAGAAGAAGGCCAGTACGCAGGTCAACGCCGCGAAGCCACAACCATTACACGACTCCTTGAAAAGTGCGCCTGCTCCTCCGCAGCCACACTCCAAAACCAACTCCATTCCAGCCGCCACCACATCAGTGAACGGCGAACACCCAGCCACAAAACAAGATTCAGATTCGAAAACCGGGGACACAACAGAATCTGCTGGGGAGCCTGCACCCACTCCGGCCATCAACCGGAAAAAGCAAAAGAGACGGGAGAAAGAGGCTGCAAAAAGAGCTGCGGAGCAGAAATCGCCAAATGGGATTGCTCATGCCAGTCCGACGGAGAACGGCCGACTGCCACCTATAAAGCAAGGCCGAGGACCGGTCAAAGGGTATTTTACTGAAGAGGCAGATTATGCTGATCCGTCGCAACCTCCTTATGCAGATCTTGGAAGTCCCGAAGAAGCCTTCTACAGCGGTGATGAGGACCCAAATTATGGTGAAGAGGCAGATGCGGTTCCAGATAGCTCGTGGCTTAATACGAGCAAGCGGAAGAAAGTGAAAAACACCAAGAACCACCTGGCTGATTCCGACCTGTCAAGGGCTTCCACCATGCTTTCGAGATCCCATATCCCACCCTTGTCGAATGCAGCCATACGAGCCTCGCACAAATTGTCCAGCGAGCAAATCTGGAACACTTCTACGCAGGCAGAGCGAGAAAACATAAAGCAATTTTGGTTGGAATTGGGTGAAGAGGAGCGAAGATCTCTGGTCAAGGTGGAGAAAGAGGCAGTCTTGCGCAAGATGAAAGAGCAGCAAAAGCATTCGTGCAGTTGTTCGGTATGTGGTCGAAAGCGGACAGCGATCGAGGAAGAACTCGAAGTTCTATACGACGCCTATTACGAGGAGCTCGAACAGTTCGCCAATCACAACACCGATTTGTCCAGCGTCCCGCAGATGATGGCACCTCCCCGGCCGCCGTTCAAACGCGTCGCACACCCTATGGCGGGCTCATATCCCTCGCGAGGTCGCGTACACGAGATCGACGAGGACGAGGAAGATCTCGATGACGATGAGGAGTATGACGAGGAAGATGAGGAAGCATACAGTGAAGATGAAGAAGAGCTTGACAGCCACGGCCTTCCACCCGGCCCTCCTGATTTCTTCCAGTTTGGCAATAGCTTGACGGTCAAAGGTCTGTGGATGTCGCCGGTGAGGCAAGTGAATGGACTGACGAATTATACAGATGGCATACTCACAGTCGCCGACGATCTGCTGAAGAACGATGGGAAGCACTTCATAGATATGATGGAGCAACTGGCAGAGAGGCGCATGCAACGTGAGGAAGAAATTCGTTACCCTTCTTCTACATTAGCTCATCGTGGTATCCATGAAGGTCACAATCATCCTCCGATAGATGACGATGATGATTATGACGACGAGGAAGACGACGAGGAAGACGACAGTCAGGAAGAAGAAGATTACGAGGGCGACGAAATGGTTAGCGATTCTACACCTGTGCTTGCCAAGATTTCTGACAAGTTGCTAGGACTCCATGACCGAAGAACAGCGAATGGAGGAAGGTCGACGGATGTTTCAGATATTCGCTGCTCGAATGTTCGAGCAGCGTGTCTTGACAGCCTATCGAGAGAAGGTAGCTGAGGAGCGCCAAAAGAAGTTGCTTGAAGAGCTTGACGAAGAAAGCCGTCTCGATACGCAGCGTGAAGCAAAGAAGGCAAAGGAAGCTGCCAAGAGAAAGGAGAAGAAGCGACTACAGAAACTTGCCAAGGACGAGGAGAAGGCCAGAAAAGACGCCGAGAAAGCGGCCCAGGAAGCAGCGGCCCGAGAGGCCGAAGAGAGGAAGCTAGAAGAGCAACGCCGGCGAAAAGAGGAGCAGCGAAAGAAACGTGAGGCTGAAAAGAAAGCTGCTGAAGAAGAACGCATTCGAAAGGAAACGGAGAAGCTGCGGAAACAGCAAGAACAGCGTGAAAGACAAGCCGAACTAGAACGCAAACAACGCGAGGCAAAAGAGCGAGAACGCCAGAAGCGCGAGGATGCAAAGAAGAAGGAGCGTGAGGAACGAGAAGCCAAGGATAAAGAAGCAAAGGAGCGCAAGACTAAGGAAGACCGAGAGAAGAAGGCCAAAGAAGAGCAGGCGAGAAAGGATAAAGAGGCAACTGTGAAAGTGGACAGGGAGGTCAAGGATCGTATTGGCCAGCCTCCAACCACGAAGCAGCAGCCAGTCGCTCTGCCACCAGGTCTTCACCCCCCTTCTCGCGGTTCAGGTATACAGTCGCCTCATCTGCAAGTCGCTACTCCCATCGTTCCTCCGAAGGTTCCTACTCCAGGTCGAAGCCGGCAATCATCACAGCCAGGACAGCACTCGCATGCGTCTTCTCCGAGATCGCAGAAGGCCAGTACCGAGGTTTCGCGGAGCTCTGCGTCTCCCGCAACCGCGGCAATACTGCAGACGCCTGTTGCAGGGCATCCAGTCAAGACGCCAGGCCAACCTCCAGTCCTCCATCATCCGCAGCCATCAGCTCCAAGATCCCCCCTGAACAGTCACGGGCGTGGTCAATATCCGTTCAATGTGAATGGACTGTCAGGGTTGGGCGTCAATGGTCCACCTATGGGCAGTCAAGGCATGGGTCCGAACATAATGCCCCCAATGCCGATGTACCAGGGCCCTCCAATGAACAGTCAGCCACGATTCATGCCGAATGGGATGCAGTATCCTCCAGGATTTCCAAGGCCGTTCCAACCCGGTCAGCAAATGCCGTTTGTCCCGCAGCCCCAGAGTCAAGCGCCGCCGCCGCCCATGGTCAATGCCCCAGCGGTCTCGAAAGCGCCAGTGCATTCCAGACAGCCATCTAACGACAGCGGTGCGCAACCCGCTCCAATCGCACGGCCAGGGCCGATTGCTCGGCCATCCAGCACGACACCGGACAAGCAAAAACCACAGAAACCGAGGGAGGCTGAGGTAGAGCAACTAACAGCACAGCTTGGCAGCAAGGCGCTATTGGATGATTCGGATGCACCTTTCCTGGAAAACCCCGACTCTCGAATGAATCTTCCCCCCTTGGGCCCTCCGGGCTCTACGAGATTGTCCTTTGCGAGTAGCTTTCCTGAGCCAAAGCAAGAGTCCTTTGGGCTAGGGAGCCCTGGATGGGGTAGTTTCAACCCTGCCATGAACGCGGTACCGGGCTGGGCACCGCCAGGGCCACAGCGGCCTGGTCCTGGTTGGTCGCAGCCTCCTTTCGGCGCCAATGGACCTTCAATCGCGAGGTCACACCTTCCTCGGCCAGTCGCCGTGCGGATCATGCTCGTGCAGGCATGTCGCCAGCTGACACAAATCCCGGGAGCTAGCGCGGACGGCTATCACCCTGTCCAGGCTGTTCTCCGACAACTCGAGGCCCTGAAGGCACCAGGAGAACCCCCGGTGTCGATGGATGAGATGCTGGGCATCTGCGACACCGAGGGCAACTCCCAAAACGGTGGGGGTTCTTTCGAGGTGATAATCGATAAAGCACGGGGCCAGGTGATCAAGTTCGTCGAGGATACTGCCGGTCAGCCAAGAGGCAGTGTGGGCGAGATCGGCAGTCCTGTCCTCGGGCACAGCCAACATGTTCAGCCCAGTCCTTTCGGCGGCATCGGCCCAAATAGCTTCGGCCCCCCAGGCAGGAGTTTCTAGTGGTCGACTCCTCCTAGAACGAGACTCCAGAGCGAGAATCGATCTCAACTGTTGGCGTCACAGTATCGGCGCAGCATGTCGGCCACGTGAGAATGTGGTCTTTGGGGACTTTTGCAAGACAAGGTCGGAGTCTGAGAGTGTACGTTGAGCATTGCCAAATGTTTCTTGTCGAAGGAACGGATCTTTCGGCCTCGGTTCCAAGGCATGTATCCTAGGAGCACTTTTTCCATTAGGCGTAATAGCACCAGTGCACGGCATGCGATTTGCTGTCGAGACAAGACAGATACTTTGAGAAGTAGCCGTAAGAGCAGCTTTTATGCTTTATGGGCTGAAAATGAATCATTCTGATTCCCGGTCATGGTTGTCTGCTGCACGTCGTATGTGATACTCGTAAAAGTGTGCAGAGGTTGACCTCTAAAAGGGATCCTTCTCCCACAACGGGTTGCCTGAGATACTGGCGATATTGTTACAAGTTCCAAGCCTCCATTGAAACGTCGGCTTCAGTTCCGGAGAACATCGCGTCTGAGCCGGCGCCGCTTTATCCTTTCCAACTGGAATGTTCTTTGACCTCCAGGCATGCTCTCGCAATCTTCAAGGGGGCGACAGCCCAAATGGTCACGGTACATCAGTTCTAAAGCCGGCGTCGAGTTGACCGACGTCACCATTGCCAGTTCCGTGGCCTGTGCCGTCGGCGGCTGTAACGGGTACCCCGAAGGTGGCGAAGAGCAGCAAGTCCTCGCTCTCCCCCGGATTAGTGGTTAGACCTGCGACCCCGGTAGTTGTTCTTCCAGCGCCAGCGCCGACCCCGACTCCGACGGCAGGCCCATCTGGTTCTGCAGACACCCCAGGCAGCAACAAACCCTCGATGAGGGTCTTGTAGTACCGCGCCTCCTCGATGCTCTCCAGCACGTCCTCGCGGGCCGAATGGACCAGTTGTTTCCGCGGGGCGCGCTCCAGGACCTCGGGCCTGGCCCAGCGCCGGATCATCTCCTTGGTAGCGCTGACGTCAAACAGGCGGTAATGCAGATGGTCGAGCACGACGTTGTATGGCGGGACCATCAGAAAGGCCTTGTCGGCGTGAATGCTGTTTCCCGCCAGCAAGGCGCGGCCCGGTTCGGGAATGTAGCGCTTGATGTAAGTCAGGAGAGCGTCGGCGGCGACTTGTGCGCTGGTCGTGCTGGTCAGGCACCGCTGCGTCAAGCCCGTCGCCCCGTGCGTTCGTACGCACCACTCGGACATGGCGGACATCTGGGCGGCCGTATGGTGGATCACTGCTTCGAATCCCCCGGGATCGAGGGGCTGTAGGTCCGACGTGGTCAAAATGCATGCTATGCTCATGATCGTGTCTGTTTTTGGATCGAGGCCCGTCATCTTTGCGAGTTTGAAGGCATGGTCAGCTTATAGTTCTTCATCATGGAGAGAAGTCGTCAGGAAGGGGACTTGGAGATCAAGGGCGGAGATGAAGTGATGCGGTGCAGAGTTTGTCGCCACACCCGAACCTGGGGACGAGGCAACGCTACAGACACCAATATGGGCCATCTCCTGTGGGAGGCGACGTCCGTGGTTTACCCTGGGGCTGTCGTATATCGGCAGAAGTCGACTAGTTACTATCAAAACTTACCTCACAATCAATCCACACCAGGGGATCCGTCGATCTAGTCAACGCCATGATCAATTCGGTGCCCTCTAACAAGTTGGCTGGCTTCTTGTTGCTTCTGGACACTCGATGCGGGTCTCGGAACCGAATTCAGCTGTGGTCCAAGGAGAGACAAGCGGTATTAGTGACAGAGACTGCTCTCTTCTTTGGAAAAGAACGAGAAGAGACTGCTAGTTATGTATGTGGTTCTTGGTTTTCCGAAGATATGTACTGGTAGTTGATATAGCACAAAGCGTGTGGAGATGGGTGGTTGGTGGCTAACCATGGACATTGTCCCTTACGGAAAGGACGCAAGTTTCTTCGCTAGGTCGCACTTCCAGGGTCGAGACATCGAGATGGGAAGAAAGGTGTTCGACGGTCGATCTGGGAGCAGAGCTGAAGTATTCAGAAAGCAATGGACAGATAACGCGCGTGATAATGCGATGATTCAGACACAGTGGTCACTGGTTTGTGGCTGCCAGTCGTATCCTTCCGCTCGAGTCAGAAGGTTGGGACCGTGGGAGTCTCCGTTTTCTTTCTATCTCGGCACCAAGACTCGGCCAACGCTCGGGATCTGAGCTTCTGGCCAACCTTCAACGAGTAACGAATGAGTGTGTTGGATTGACTGGCGGAAAGGGAAAAGGTAAAGGTAGGATGATGATGTATGAATGGGTGACGTTGTTTTCCGGTCAATCAGAACACGATTTCGCCCGCGGACACGCGTTCACGTGACACGGTCCAGGCCTGACTCGGCCCGCGGGAGTCGACTTGCAGGCTCGGGAACTGGGGTGGAAGACATCTGGGGAATTACGACCGGTCAAAGACGAGAAGAGAATAGCTTGTGCACTGTAGAACTTTGTTTTGATTCCCGCGTGGGAATCCTAATCGAACAGATGACGTTTCCAGCCTGACCAGCGCTGCATACCTTGATGGCTTCGAGCCAGTACCATGCCTGCCAGTGTCACTCGAGACATTCCCATCTTTCTCCACCCCCATTGTTCTGGACTCTGGATACTGCTCGCATGTTCGGATTGATGTGCACCCTTCCCTTCCTCTCCATGCTTGCGGTACGCCATTGTTGGGCGTACCAAGACCAAAGTCCCAACCGCCCAAACAAAAGATGTCCTCCTGTGGTTGCAACATGCTCCGTGTCTGGTACATTAAACAAAACCGCGGATCGAAGTTCGACCTCTTTTTTTTGGCCCCGTGTCAACTTCAATCCCGTCTTTGCTTTGCAGACAATGCTGCACGACTCTTCCGATTCTCTGGGAAGAAAAGAATAGTAGTGTGAAATTTCCAACCCAATGCGCTGATGGACGCACCTGGCGTTCACGTCGTCTGCTAACCTTTCTTGAAAAGAGTCTCAACCCCTTTCCGAGAGGTTCCTAGAAGATCTTATGAGGCAGAAGCCGGATGGAAGGAAAAAATCCAGCCATACGTCTGTGAAATGATGGAACAGTATCCGTGGTGTGAGAACTAGCTCTGGCCACATCATAGTTCCTCGTCGTCATCGTCGACCGAGCCCTTTAGCAGTGCTCCTCCAAGCTGGAGGCCAGTAGCAGTCGACTCTGCCGTGGAGAGCTGAGGCTGTTCGGCAGACCCCATTATTTCGCCAATAGTGCCTGTAGTTGTTGACATACCAGCACCCAGTCGTGTCTTGATATCATCGTCGAATTCAGCTACGCTTGCGCGGTGTCTTTTCATGGGGCTTCCGAGCATGAAGCTGTCATCTTCCTTCTTGATATCCATGCCGGGGCCATTCACCGAGCTACCAGCATTGATCGCTCCAGAAGGGGATGTGCCCATATCGTCATCTCCGATCTTGGGTGTGGAGGCTGTCGAAGGACTGCCGGACTTCGAGCTCTTGCGAGCTTCAGGGACGCCATTGCTGTTCAGCGGTTCGGCCGAATGTTGCCGCTTGAGCTGATAATCCCTTAGCCTAGGACAAAACTGGGGCGGCAAGGGGTCTCTTACCTTCATTTTGCGGATCCCCTCCGCCACCTGACCGGTCCGCTCTGCGTCTTCTGGAGACAGTAAGTCAGGTTCTCGCTTGACTTCAGCGTCGTTGATGTCCTCCATCTTGCCTATGATACCCGCACCCCCGTCATCATCGTCACTCTCCATCTCGTCGTCGCTATTCTTCTTGCCTTTACGGCTCTGTCGCCCTTCCACATCTCGAAATGTCGAAAACCCAGCAGTCCCCTCTTTCTTGAGCGGCCCGAGTTTCGGAAGGTCGGCAACAATGCTGCGTCTCTTTGTGCTGGCAGCTACTTTCTCTGATTTTGGAGTGGGAAGGATGCCCATTTTCTGCAGCTGACGCTCTCCGCGATACAGGAATGTGAACACGGCGTAAGGCTTGTCAGTCGGATCAATGCCGGTCACAGTTTGGGTCGAAATGCTCTTGGGGTCCAGAGTTTTGGGCTTCGCAAAACTGGTAGTATGGTCAACATCTGCTCGGTTCTTGCCTTCCCCATTCGGAGCTGCGCCTTCAGGAGTATCTGAGTCTTCTGAGTCATCGTGCGCGTCGAACTGTGGCGAGTACTCTCCGCGCTTGATCTCTCCTGACGCTAGAACGCGGAATAGCGCGACCTTTATCTGACCTGTCGATTCTGGGATGGGATCATCGTCATCTGAGCTTCCAGAGTCACTGAGAGACCCGTCGTCGTCAGAGACATCCTGCAGCTCACCCCTCTCGCCATACCTCAACGTGCTCTTCCGCGAGGGTCCTTTCGACTCTCCGTTCGCTTCGTCTTCACTTCCAACAACCTCCTTTCTCTTTCTTCGGCGCTTCTCCAATTTTTGTCTTCGTCTTTCTATCGTCGCGGCGGCGTCTTTTCCTTCAAGGTCCAGACCATTCAGCCATCGTTCGAGACCCACTTCACGGAACAAGAACTCCCGCTCTGCGAGACCGCCTCCTTCCTTTTCAGGGACACTAACCCATCGAGAATTGACCCAGGTCTCTTCCCCTTTCCTCAACAGTGTTGCAACTTCTTCTTTTGCCCGCCCGTCGAAGTAAATGTAGGCTGCGATGGTCTCATTCGGCGAAGTGGTCAAGGGCACATAGGGGGTGACAGTGCCTGCGGACTTTGTTCGATCACCGGTGTGGCCAGGTAGATTTCCGACAAGTTTAGGTTTGGCATTTGGACTGTCCAGTGCGGCTTTGGGAGTGGCGTATGGAACCTCTTGACCAGGGGTGAGCAGCGTTATGGAGATTGCGAAGGTGGATTGCTCAGGTTTGCCGGTGAGCGAGTCGGCAGGAATCTTCGCAGGCGGCACAGGGATGTAGGCACTGATTCGTGACAGGCGAGAGGTCTTCTGCACCGAGTATTCAGGCAAAGGCCCATTGGGGGTGTGTATGCTCACGGCAAGGCCTTTGAAGCAGGGCATGATGGGAGAGGTAACTGGAGGATGTTTACAATGAGTTGGTCAGTTCTCCGCTCTCTGCACCACCGAGGCAGATTGCGGAGAAAATCCCCGAGATAGGATGGATAGCCTGTACAGTCGTGCACAGCTTTTGTAGTCCAACTCTTTTGTATGGACGACGGTCACGCACAAGGCATACCCAGAATGTAGGGAGCAGTCAAGATTTGCGGGGCATGCAGGAGGAAGCCGGGTGTTCTAGGACTTGCCTCCTCCGCAACTTCGCAACTTGGGGAGACGGTGAAGTGTTAGGTTGACTTGCGGTGCGACGCCGAGAAAGTGACGAAGAGGATGACCAAACTGGCCGCTGAAGAGGATTATCTCGTGGCTCCGCCGAGAGGAGCTGCCGCCTTTGAGAATTGCAAGGTAGTCGATGAGGGAAACAATGTCAATGAAATGGTGGTTGTCTTGACTTGAACAACAGCCATGCACAGACGCAACACCAGCACGCACGCGGCAGACATAGACAGCCGTGCCAAGAGATGCCATTGGCGCTAACCATCTTCAGCCAGACTTGTTTGGTACGCGGAGAGAACAGTCAGAGGACAGTCAGAGGACAATCAGAGTAACAGCCAGAGTAACAGCCAGAGTAACAGCCAGAGTAACAGCCAGAGTAACAGACAGAGTAACAGACCTCTGAGAGTAACAGACAGCGTAACAGACAGAGTAACGGCCGGCGCGTCAATCATCCATCAACACATCATGGTGGAAGACTACAACTCCTGGAGTTATGTAGGTACCCATAACCCATATCGACAGTCTTATACTCTGCCCTAACCGCCCCCCTAACTGATGCTCTTGATAAATGCTGTTCAGCTCCTGCGGCACTATAAGACATACATATTCGGGTTGGTTATTCAACTAACCGTCGCTTGAAGACTGAGGACCCTCGTTGACCATAGTACTGACTTGGGCCTCATCTCTCATACTAAATTACCCCGGTAGCCAACCAGCCCTGCCGCCTGCTGCGCCCATGGCCACACCTCCATTCTCATCCGAGAGGCCAAGCGGTTGGTTTCTGTGGTGGCCACATTTCACCTGAGATACAATGTGAAGACGGTCTCTTCCACCCCAGAACCTCGTTGCCGAGCGATCGAGCATATCTCTCCTTCCAAAGTCTGATTTTCCGCATGCTAGGGGGGCAAATGGAGGATAGATCAATTCATGACCGGTTGTTAATCAGATCAAGCGGATGCCCATGAATGTGGAGTCGGGAGCACAAACAGGCAGGGTGAAGCAGTTGTATCATCGTCAACCGGTCGCATCTTAGGCAGTAGGATACAGGTTGTGATAGTCAGCTCGCAGGTAGTTGGATGGGTTAGACAAGTCTTGAAAGAGACTTTGTGTTCCATCCGCGTCGGACTCGATCGCTTCTGGGCGGATCTTGTACCTGCAGAGACATTTTCACATTAGCCATTCTCAGAGGTCCAATGTCCCAGGACCAGTGGCTTGCCGTAACCTCTAGCAAGCATCTCCGGAGGCTGTATTCCATAAACAGCCCAGATCTCCCATGGGAACAAGTGGCGTGAGGATTGCCGTTAGAGGTATCGTTAAAACAGGTGTTGGGCAGCCAACCAGAACAGTGGCCAGTCGGCAGGACAAGCCGTGGACTGGAAAAGAGGATTGTGTATGATATGATCCTGGCAGCAGCGTTTGGCGTCGATTGGTGGGCTATGACGTCGATGTCGGATCTCCGGTAAATAAAGCGAAGCATTGCTACCCTATGTGCCTCCGTACAGAGTAATTAATACCTACGTAGGAGGCCAGGAACACGCTTCTGCCCCGCGATTTTGGTACATTCATTTTCACGCAACTGAGAACAACTCCTCCCGCAGTCCTCCTTTTCACTGCAACCCATCTTATCCTTTCAGAGCTGAGAGCACACCGTCCGACATCTCATATCTCACTCGTGACAACTGACTACAGAACTGCAACAAGCCCCGCAGCAGCTGCGCACCCCCGCCAACATGGTCAAGGAAGTCCAGTTCAAGCCCTTCACGGACCAGAAGTATGTCGCTCACTGTCCCCTCCGAATCTAGTCTCTGACACACCTGGTTTTAGGCCTGGCACGTCAGGACTTCGTAAGAAGGTCACCGTCTTCCAGCAACCACACTACAGCGAATCTTTCATTACATCCATCCTCCTCTCCATTCCGGAAGGTGCAGAGGGCGCCTTTCTGGTCATTGGTGGTGATGGAAGATATTGGAACCCCGAAGTCGTTCAGCTCATTGCAAAGATTGGTGCTGCTTATGGCGTGAAAAAGCTACTCATTGGTCAAAATGGCATACTGAGCACTCCTGCCGCCAGCAACATCATCCGCAAGCGCAAGGCCACCGGTGGCATTCTGCTCACCGCCAGTCACAACCCAGGTGGTACGTTCAAATCATGAGGAGAAACCAGAAACCTGGGTTGACAAGTCTTAGGTCCCAAGGCCGACTTCGGTATGAAGTACAACCTTTCCAACGGAGCCCCTGCCCCCGAATCGGTCACAAATAAGATCTTCGAGTTCTCCAAGACCCTCACTTCCTACAAGATTGCCGACATCCCCAACATCGATATCTCCACAATTGGCACACAAAAATATGGCGATTTGGAAGTCGAGATCGTTGATTCCGTAGCGGACTATACCGCCATGCTGAAGGATATCTTTGATTTCGACCTGATCCGCTCCTTTTTGAAGTCCCAGCCCGATTTCAAGATTCTCTTCGACGGCTTGAATGGTGTCACTGGCCCGTACGGGATTGACATCTTCCAGAAGGAGCTTGGTTTGGGACCTGAAAGCACTCAAGATTGTATTCCAAAGCCTGACTTCGGCGGCGGTCACCCAGACCCGAACCTAACATATGCGCATTCTCTAGTCGAACGAGTGGAGAGGGAAGGCATTCTTTTCGGCGCTGCTTCGGACGGAGATGGCGACCGAAACATGATTTATGGCAAGAATGCTTTTGTGTCACCTGGTGACTCTTTGGCCATCATTGCCCACTATGCGAAGAAATATATTCCTTATTTCCAGAAACAAGGCGTTTACGGGCTGGCAAGATCCTTCCCCACTTCGGGAGCCGTCGACTTGGTGGCCAAAAAGCAAGGGCTGTCGCTCTATGTCGTCCCTACTGGATGGAAGTTCTTCTGTTCCCTTTTCGACACCAACAAGATGTCGATCTGTGGTGAAGAGTCATTTGGCACGGGCTCAAACCATATTCGGGAGAAGGATGGACTGTGGGCTATAACAGCTTGGCTTAACATCATTGCTGGCGTTGGCAGGGACACTGGCAAAGTTCCCTCCATTGGCGAGATACAAAAGGAGTTCTGGAGCGAATACGGCCGAGTCTACTTCACCCGCTACGATTACGAGAATGTCAGCAGCGAGGGGGCCAATGACATGGTCAGCCACCTGAAAGAGAAGATCTCCAAGGCTGACACCGTTGGCTCAGAGATACAAGGTCGCAAGATTACTGAAGCCGATGACTTTTCGTACACCGACCTGGATGGCTCGGTGTCAAAGAACCAAGGCATCTATTTCAAGTTTGACGATGGAACCCGAGTTGTTGTCCGACTGTCAGGAACAGGCAGCAGCGGCGCCACCATTCGACTCTATGTCGAGAAGCTTGAGGAGGACAGGAACAAGATTCTTGAAGAGACACAGACATACTTGAAGGGAGCGGTTGAGCTGGCAGTTGAGCTCTTGCAACTTCAGAAATTCATTGGACGAACCGAACCCGACGTCACCACCTAGGTTCTTTTCGAACAGGAGAGAGTTAGGCGACAGACCTTCGAGATGAGATGAGTGTCACATTGAAAGAGTCGAAGTTTAGGTAGTACATAGCCAACTCGGAGGAGACCGAAAGAGTGAGATACGACCAAGATGGTCGGAGTTCCACAGAAGAAGATCAACGATAACATAGACTGTAAGCCAAGATTAATGAGCATGTTGTGTGCTGGCTATCTTCCCAGCCTTTCTCCATCCACCATGCTGAAGGAGACGGCGTCAGGGGTAGCACAGCCTCGCGCTTGGCAGTAGTAGTGGAGAAGGCACTGGCAGTTGAACGGGGTAAGGGGCTTTGGCCAAGGCTGTAGCCCAGCGAGGATCCCCAGGCTCATCCTTCCTGGCACGCTCACTCTCCAACTTGTACATTTCCAGCTGTTGTGCCTTGCCTGGATGGGACACATCGACCTAAGAAGAGGAGCTGCCCAGGCTTGGCCAGATAAAGGAAAACACCTTCAAAGCCTCCGGAGCCACACGGCCTTGGTTTGACATCCCCCTGCTCGTGGTGTATATCTATCCCGGAAATTCATTGCACACGATGCGTAACTGCCAAGTCACACCGACTGATAAGGCAGTCTCCAAAGCTTATGTTCCGCTAGACACAGGAAGCGTCTAATCAAGAACCCTCCAACGAAGCCAAACTGCCCGTTTCAGCTCTACCCAAGATCCTTCAGCCTCCTTCATCCGGCGTCCCTCGACGGCCGACGACCGACGATCTCGACCTAGGTTGCTTGACGCAGCCACCCTTCTTGGCTCCCGGTCCCAAGAGCAGTCATGTCACGACTCCCGGGCTCTTCTCAACCAATGGTTCTGGGCGCCAGGTAAACAACGTCCATGTAATAAAGCGACCAAGCATTCGATGCTCCCAAGGTATCACCGTGTGCGACTTAGACATGGCCATCATGGACAATACAGCTGCATCATCTCATCGCTTGGCTTTCCTCTTCCATATCCACCCTGAGAGCACAGCCCTGACATGGACTATGTGGTAGAGACACCGCCGTTCGCAATGACTGTCTACTTACCCTGGAACTCCCCTCGCCTGGAGTGCTGCTGCCTCTCCAACGAGCCCAGTATACATCTGTGCTCAATATAAGGCCATTCCTCTCCCTCAGGCTGCGTCCTACTGTTAGAGTGAAGCTCGGTCTTGTCACCTTTTGGAGCTCCTTCCTATCACTTGTGCTATGGGTGATCTTTCCTCCACCGAAAATGGCCAGAACGCCGTGTATCGAGTTGAATCATCCCTCACTCTGACCAACCCACCTCATTCAACCCCAACCGCCTCTAGGGACACGAGCGTTGAAAGACAGAAGCTCGCTCGACAGGCTCGGCCCAATCAGTTGAACATGTTGTCCAAGCTACGAGGCTCGGTTCATAACTACCTCTCCCAAGAGCTCGACGGCTCATACATGAGCGTTGTCATCATACTTTGCTTCTTCATATCCGGCCTCATCGATAGTGTGGCATTCAACTCGTGGAACTGCTTTGTCGATATGCAGACTGGTAGGGACCTTTTCGTGTAAGGGATGTCTCCGAAACCGGAACGCTGACCTTGTGCTGTCCTTCGTAGGCAACACTATCTTTGCAGCACTCGGGCTCGGTGGCCAGCCCAAGGCCAGCCATTCACAACAATATTACAAATCTCTCACTTCGATCGGTGCCTTTTGTCTGGGCACACTCTTCTTCAATATACTGCACCGTTACCCGACGGGATTGTCGGAGCAGCCGTCATGCCGCCGACGAGGCCTGTTCATCGTGTCCTTTGGCATTCAGACAGTCTTCATCACAACCGCAACCATACTGGTCTCTGTGGACTTGGTCTCAAACCAGCCCTTTGTGCCGGGTTCTTTCTCATCCGGTAGTAAGGACAGCCCATCGTCAATCACGAACTTTCTCGACCTCTGCCCGGTGTCACTCCTCTCGTTCCAAGCTGCAGGACAGGTGACATTGTCGCGGCTGCTAGGGGTGGTCGAGTTGCCTACCATCGTTCTCAGCACACTGTATCATGACTTCACCTCGGATTTGCTTGCCGTCCGGGCGTCCTGGAGGAAGAGTTCGAGCGGATGGGAGTTCTTCGCGGGCCAACAGCGCAGACAGGGGAGGCGACTTGCTTGTATCCTTGCTCTCTTTACCGGAGGTATCATTGGCGGTGAGATGTACAAGTCCCGAGCAGGCATGGCTGGGGCATTATGGCTCGCCGCGGGCTTCAAGTTGGTCATAGTCATGGCCTGGTGCTTTTGGAAGGGGGAAATAGATGCTGGGGCTCAGACGGATATGCTTCCGCGATAAATGTGACCAGCATCTCAACGGTGGTTCATAAGGGGATGTCATCGCATTTGGATGCCACGAAACATCTCAGTCTGTTAGGGATTCACAATCTAAGTCTATATTAGACGGCCCATGAGGACCCCAAATTCTTTCATTCAGTAGATGGTTCTATTGGGCGGACACGAGTGGATGCAATGACTTGCCAGGCTTGCATGAGATATGAGCAGTCCTGAGCTAGGCCGCCTGAGTAGGGCTTTTGAACAATCTTCCAGCCTTCCAGACGTGCGTGATGTTTTTGGGGTTCTTGAACAGATCCATGTCGGCGAGCGGATTGGCGGCCAGGGCGATCAAATCCGCGTCATATCCAACGACGATCTGGCCGCTCTTGGGCGCCATGCCCAGGTGTCCAAGGACTTCGGGGCCCCGGGCCGTGGCGGCCTCGATGGCAGCCAGCGGATCCATGCCGCCATCGGTCACGGCGTAGGCCAGCTCGCCGCCACTATTGCCCAGGGCCAGCGGATGGGTGGTCGGGGTGCTGATGCCCAGGTCGGTGCCGAGGGCGATCTTGACGCCGGCCTTGACGGCCAAACGGTACGCGGCGCGGTGGTACTTGGCGGTCTCGACCATCTTGCGGTAGGATTCAGGCGACATGAGCTCGGGATGGTCGATGCCGACCTTGACGATGGTGCGGGTGGCGACATAGATGGCGCCCTTTTCCTTGATGAGCTCGGCACACTCGGCGTCCATGTAGGTGCCGTGTTCGATGGTGTGGCAGCCGGCATGGAGGGCGGCCATGATTCCGGCTTTGCCGTGGCAGTGGGCAGCGACGACACGGCCTGCGCGGGCAGCCTCTTCGACGACAACGCGCAGCTCGTCCAGCGAGAACTGCTGCCTCTGCGGGTCGTCGGCGATGCTCAGGACGCCGCCTGAGGCAAAGACCTTGATGCACTTGGCTCCGCGGCGGGTCAGGAGCCGCACGGCACGCCGGCACTCGTCCACGCCGTCGGCCAGCAGCAACGGCCCCGTGGCAGGCGCGAACGCGTTGGCTTGCGTGTCCCTCACCCCGAGGCACGACGTCACGAACCCCGACGGCAGGTCGTAGATGTCTCCGTGTCCCGAAGTCTGTGAGATGGCCGCCCCGGCCGAGTAGATGTTCGGCCCGACGAGGCTGCCTTCCTCGATCGCCTGCGACACTTCAATGGCATAGCCGCCCAGGTCCCGGATCGAGGTGAAGCCGCTCATCAAAATGTCGTGCACGTTGCGACTGATCCGCGCCCCAGCCAGGGCTGGTGGAGATGTGGTAAGCAGTTCGCTGAAATTGAACGAAGTTGCCCCCAGCAGGTGCGTGTGGCAGTCCCAGAGGCCAGGAAGCAGTACAGGAACATTTGTGGTTGGAAGCTTCTTGAATGGCGGAGGCACCGAGGATGTAGGCAGCACCGAGGTGATTTTGCCGTCCTGCAGAATCACCGTCATCCTGTTCTGCGGTTCGCCTCGGCCTGGAATGAGAAGCTCGGTGTTGATGAGCTGGGTGGTCTGGTTAACTTGAGGACTGCTCGCCAGGGGTTGGCCAAGGGATGGCGGCCGGCTTGTGGCATCTTGGTAGCTGCCTTCCTGTTGGCGTGCCAGGTTTGCTTGTGTTCTCTCCAACGTCGCATCGGTATCGACAGAGGATGTGCTAGGAGTCGTTGCTGGAATGATCTTGCGACGTGTCATGGTTGGACGTCCTGCAGGGCAAGTTGCTTACTCTCGTTAAGCAATCCGGAGGGTCTGGCCAATTCCGATCTTGAGATTGTAGGCGGTAATAACTGTCCGCTGAACCAAGGCCTTGGATGATGTGTTCGGTCACATAAAATGCTATATCTGTCCGTGTGAGCACTTGACACCAAGAACCACCGAACCAGTACTCCGTAAAGTAAAGCTTGATTTACAAGGAACACAATGTTTTCGAGGCTAAGTGACGGGACTTGGACAGAATTCAACAAGATCAAGATGCGGGTGGCCTCTAGCAAATGCTATCTTACCTCCGCCGACCAAAAAGCCCAGAAATGGCTTCTTGAGAGCGGCGAGCTGGCACGTTGGACGTTGATAGATACTAGAAGCTGAGGTTGTGGCAGACGAATAGAATGCGGCAGACGGCCGGCCGCCTAGTACGGAAGAGGAAGGACGATTGTGGCGGCGATTTGTTATTCCGTTCCGACATATCATCCATCAGAACTCAGAGTACTCCGTATCTGTACCGAGTACAGAGTGTAGCATGTGTACGGCGTAGAAGACGAAGCCTCATCTTCCCATGGGAAACTTGGCCTCGAGCCGACTGACTGCCTACTTGAAATATCTGATGGATGATTCCAAGATCAATTGCTCGACATCGGAACCGGCCAAGATAAGATTGCACGTTTTGAAGCTCAGACCTGGAAGAACACGCCCCCGACTACCATGATTTCGTTGAGCTCCGCATGGCGGGCGCCGAAACACATAGACAAGTCTACACATGCGACAAGAGCAGGGCACGGACACGGATATGAAATATCATCAGACTAGGGTTGCCTTTCGAAGTTGTGTTTCACACCGGAACGTGTCCCGACACGCCGTTGATCCGCCCAAGAGGCCTGATTACACCGTCTTGAGAATGGCCCTCTGGTGTTCTGTGTTGGAGCATGCCCTGGAATCTTTGGATCACGCGAGCTGAAGCTGGTCGGGTCAAGGCTCATAAGGTTCTATCTCCTGACACAGATTAGGTCAGCCACAGTGTCGACACTAGGGACAGGGTGAATGTGTCAAGAAGCCACGGTAAATCCTTGACCTTGAGTAATTTTTGCGATCCTTTGAGACAACTGGAGTGTCAGTCGTTCGACTCGACGTTCGGTCTGTGTCACCACACTCCAGATGCTGTTTCACGTGATTATGCCTTTCGACGATCACGTGCCAGCCGGTGGGAGTTGGAACCCGCGTCCTCCCGCTGTCGACTACTAGTACTACTTTGTGGATGGGATTTTACGGTTGGTATCACCTTACCAGGGCGAGGACATCAGAATTATTTGGGTCAACAATCACAACACTCCGTACGGCTAGTTGCCTCTCAGGGAGCCTTTCGTGGCAATTCTCTGACCACCGGAGAAGTTCGCTGAGGTCCCAGCCGCAATGCAAGCATTGCTGCGCTGGACCCCAGGAATGTGACGGGCAAAAGCCCCCTGCCTATCCCGCCAACGAACCTCTTTGTGTACGTGGCCAGGCCCCGACTTACTCCTTGCGAAGAAACCAGTGGCAACTGCCGTTCGCCGTCGAACTCTCTCAGCTATCACCCCATCCCTCGCTCTTCAAGGATGATGCGCGCCTCGGCTGAACATGCTGGCAGATCGAAAGGTGGGTTCCTTGCGGACGTCAAGGACATGGGACTTAATGGGAAGCCTGTGTGACTCGAAAAGGCAACGATTTTGCCGATTTCCCACTCATTGAGACACAGAGTTCACCCCCCTCATAGAGATTAACTCCTACGCGTGGCTCAGAGTTTAGTTCTGTGTTTGTCCAAGACTGGGGTCTGATTCAACTTGGAGGATGCACAGCAGGAGCAGGACTGAGGACTGCACCACTACTAGACTGAATACAGCACGTGATTCCATATGTTTCGGCGGAGCATGCGAGAAGTAGAGAAGTTAGCTACGGTGGCGTATTGGGGGTTGAGGCCAATTCCAATTCCAACCTCCTCGCCACCCGCCTCGCTGTCTGGAGCGTCGCATCCATCTGCCCAACTTAAAGTCCCCCCTCCAGTCGGCGTCTGGTAAGGGCGAAATCGGCTGTAGGAGGCGTGGCCAGATTCACAGCGAACGCAGACACGGGCTAGTAGCCTCGTGTTCGCCCACCACACCTCAGCTCCAGCGTTGCCACCCTCAACATTTGACTCGTCAGGCAACGTGGCTTGAAATCTGTCAAAGCCAAAGTGTCTACCCCCAAGGGTCTCACCGACAGGTCTCATAGCCTCACACAGGCCGGGCACCGCTGTACAGCGCCTACGGCCCGCCTCTGTAAGAGGAGTGTGTGGTATTCTCCTACGTAACCTAATGTCGCTGACGGGCTGGGAGTACAGAAAGTGGTTACTAGACGCACCCATGCGACACTCGTGTCAGTCAACCCCTGGTCCTTCTTCTGGGCCCTCTGAGCAACGATCCCAATCCCATTTCTTGCCTTCTTGCCGACACTGGCATGGACTCCGCTCTTGGCTGGTCAACGGCCCCAACTAAACACCCATGCGACAAGCCTTGGTCGTGGCTATCAACGACGATCCTGAGACACGCGACGACTGCTCACCTTAGTCGTCCCCACCCCAGACCGCCTTGTTCAATTTCGGCGCGACTCATAGGCCGCGGCGCTATACGCATACTATTTGCGCTACTGGCCACTGACCTTCTCCTGATCTTCGACTCGCATCTTCGCGAGCTTAAAGCGGGGTCATTTGGGCAGATAAGAGGGGACCTTCACATCACAATCTCACAAACTGGTGTCCTGCGGATCGTGTGCTCGACCCTCAAGCATCATAGGGTGATGAAACACTCCGGCCCGCCTCGTCTGCGAATTGTGTGTGGCGAATGTCCATGTGTGGTGTCAGAGCACAATAATTTGCAAGCCACAAAGCCGGCCGCCGAAGCTTCCGTCGAGGCTGGTTTTGCCGTGTGACCTAAGCACAAAGGGGCAAAGCCAATGCAGCTCACCAGCACTTGTTGAGTCTCGACTGCTACCACATACTACAGATGTACGGCAAGGTAGTTGGGGCCTCTATGAAGAGTAACTATTGTTCAGCCTAGGAGGCGACTTGCGAGATTGTTTGCCCCATGGACTCGCATTGCTTGAGTCCACAACTGGACGTCGCCAGTGTGGACTGTTAGGAACCAGGGGTTCATTGTCTTTCCCAAGGTATCCGTACTATGCCTGGGATAGTTTTTCAGGAGCGACAGAACTGTGGACTGGCCTCTTTGAATCAGAGTGCACCGTAGCGCTGACCACAAGGTGGCCCTGGCCAGGGCCAGAGATAGGATTCTCCGGGTTTGAAAGCCTTGTCTTGACGGCGGCAGACTCCAGGCATACTCGGCAAGACCAGGGAAGGTTGCAGACCTCAGAACGGCCTTGGGGTCATTGGGCAGGAACTGAAGGGCATTGCAGGACGCGACGACACCCCTTCGCATCCGGACTCTGGCGTGGCTGTGTCAGAGGGCCGCTGATTGGCCACTAGGTGTGATTGGGCGCGAGGATTGCAGCGAGCAGCGCTCCAGCAGTCAGAATGAAACTAGGTGACGCTGGCAACACGGTTGCGTACTTCTCAGTCCGACAGGCTACCGTCCTGCCATTCTCACGTCTAGCCGTCTAGGTCGCCGCCCACCAGCATTTTCGAAACACGAGCGAATGACAGGGGCAGGCCCACTACTAGGCCACAAGGTAGTCTGGGAGACTACGGCCAGGATTTCCGCCTCTGCCAGGTGTGAGGCGCAAAAGCAAAAAAGAAACACGATCTAAGGATCCTCACCCACCAGGCCGCTTCCCGGCCTACCGATCAGTCGATCAATGTGCTCGTCTCATGTCCGACGCCGTCTGTCCTGGCGCCTGAATCCGCCAATGGTTGCAGCCGTGCACCTTTCACTCTGAGCCCTGGGCAAATGACCCATAATCGAGAGTCGGATGAGATGAGTTTAGACAAGGCTAGAAACACAGCAGACGGCAGAGGGAATCTGCCTGTCACCCGTGGCGTCACAGATGAAATCCCTCGTCCAGAGTCATTGGATCTGTCGATGCCAAGGTAAAATCCCGAGAGGCTGGCCGCAAGTTGGGTGACGAACAAGCGGCTGCGAAAAAAAGCTGTGCTTCGGAATGACCATTCATGCTGTATACCCTGGTCCTGGCCAGGCCAACGTTAATCAGCAGCATTCTTGGGCAAATGCAGGCAGCCAACTCTCTCGCCGTCTCCCTCCAGCGTGACTGGTGGTCGGCACACTGGGGCGCATACTTCGTACAGGAGGGCCCACAGAGCCGGCAGACTACTGGATGGTGATCTAGCGCTGGCGTTCGGTCTCGCAAGGAACGCTGATCGGTGGTGACCAGAAATGCGCCCAGCCACCCGGTGATCCGTCCACCCTGAGCATTTTTGGTCCAAGCATGCCACCGGTCCTTGCTGCCAGGCCGTGCCCGCCTTAAACCGAAAAGGTCCATGGCGATGCCTCGTCATCTAGCGTGAGACCACAGCCCAAGGGTTTACCAACTTTGACGCACCGCGGTGGGCCTCTGTTGTTCCTGGCGTTCTATTCGCAGCATCTTCTGACCAGGTTCTGACTACATTTTGCCCCACCGGCATGGGTGACATGGGGGCAATCATGTCCGTGCGTCGAAGTTTGCCATGCTACGCCGTGCCTCTGGCTTCGAACTACCGTCATACCATAAAGGTCGAGACGTTATATTCCCTCTATACCTCGACAGCCCCCTCGATATCAACACCAGTATCACCAGCGAACACCAGCAAACACCAACCACTCCGCCAGACTCAACACTCTCCACCTCGGACCTCTTCTGTTCTACATATCTACTCTTGTCTTGCTTTCAATCTTTCGCGTCCTTCCTTACAGCCTTCGACCATCTAGCCGGCTTCCAACTCAACCACCTCCATTGGATATCCCAGGACTGGCCACATTTCCTACTTTCCATCTTTTCCTCTCAACCACCTGTCTCCAGAGCCCTTCTGGACCCATGTTTTGAACAGTCTCGTCTTTTTTGGTCTTTGCCGACTCCTCCCTTTTCCTAGAGCAAGTACTCCGTACTTTTGGGCTCTCCCAAGAATGCTATTAACGCCACCATCGTCCCCCCAACTCACGTCCTGTCTCGCGCCAGAAGACAGATTGGGTTGTGTGCTAGCCGGCCGATTGGAACTTGTCTCTATCCTCGGAATTGGTGCCTATGGAGTGGTCTACCAGGCCATCGACATCCTGACCAACATCCCCTTCGCGGTCAAGGCTCTCCCTAAAGCCGGATTGGACTCCAGGCAGCGGCGTTTCCAGCGGCGAGAGATTGCTCTCCACCACCAAGCCGGCCAACATCCCAATGTGGTCTCCATGCATCGCATCCTGGACAGCCCGGACTGCACCTTTGTCGTGATCGAGTACTGCCCCGAGGGCGATCTGTTCTCCAATATCACCGAACAAGGCCGATTCGTGGGCGACGATCAATTGGCCAAGCATGCCTTCTTGCAAATTTTGGATGCAGTTCAATATTGCCATTCCGTTGGGATTTACCACCGGGACCTGAAGCCCGAGAACATCCTGGTGACTGACCAAGGCCGCACGGTCAAATTGGCCGATTTTGGACTTGCCACCACGGACGCCATCACCTCCGACTTTGGATGTGGTTCGACCTTCTACATGTCACCCGGTATGTCTTGCTTGCGCCCTCCGAACCGTGCATCCTTGGACTAACGTACCCTCAGAATGCCAGCAAGCGCCGACCAGGCCGTATGCTCGATATGCTGCCGCCCCCAATGATGTCTGGAGTCTGGGTGTCATCCTGGTCAATCTCACCTGTGGTCGCAATCCATGGAAGAAGGCCTCTCCTGATGATTCCACGTTTAGAGCGTTCCTCAGGGATCCCAAGTTTTTGAGCTCGATCTTGCCCATCTCACCCGAGTTGAACTTGATCCTGAGACGCATTTTCGAGTGTGACCCGCACAAGAGGATAAGCCTCCAGGAACTCCGGGAGGTGATCATCAATTGCCCCAGGTTGACCATGAACTCATACACCACTCTTCCGCCGTCGCCCCCTCAGACACCGTACGACTATGTGGATCCGATGGATTGTGCCAACCTGGCTCTCCCACCATCACCACCGGCTTCCCCATGTCCCCAACCGGCCTTCCAATCTCAACCCTCGGAATGGTCTTTGTTCGAACCTGCCTCGAAGCAGTGTTCGTCTTGTTCTTCTCTTTCCACGGATTCCGGCTATGAATCCGAGGCCTCTTACACGGATGCTGGTCAACGTCTGCAACCTCCCGTCTTCAACTTCTACGGCAATGTCATTCCTTTGAACGAGCATGACAAGTCGTATTATACGCCATCCACTTTTGTCCCAGCTGTTGCTGCATTTTAATCTACGCCATTTGTCTACATACGGAGGGCAGCACCCTGGTTGCCGCGGTCACGATGTTACGGTGTTACGATTGGGAATCTTACTGGATACCCGGGCGGTCTACGATCTATTTGATATTTACCTCCTGGAATGGATGGAGCTTTTTATCTAACTGGACGCACTGGTGAAACACCAATTGCTTTATTTGTTTTTGGGAAGACAGCGGAAGCATTTGATCGGAGTTTAGTGTCCAACTGTGTGTGGTTTTTCTGGTGTGGCTGAGACTGTTGTTGGTGATCGCTGCAAAAGGATAAGAGAAAAAAAGAGGAGGCGCACAAAACGCAAGTGATTGTCACTGTCTCTCAAGCCAAGTGCTGGTGCGAGACGACATACTTCTGGGAACTGGGAGGGTGGTTGTTGTTGTTGCTGCTTTTGTTCCAGCACTTACAATGTACACTGAAGGTGGTTTCGTCTGTTGACCGCCGGCCGTGAAACCCACCTGGACCTGTGGTTCATGGGATTTCCCAGCTGGGTTCTCAGGATGTTGCCCTCCGGGGCCGTCTATTCTTAGGCCTGGCCAGGTGTCGGTTGGATTGTATGTAGATAGTTGGAAAACAGGTCCAATCGAAGAATCTACGAGATGAATTTTCCAGTTCGAATCTTAGCGGGCTTATTCGTGTGTTTGGCCTTATGAGGCGTAAAGATAGAGGACTCGGTCGTCGTCGTCTTCCTCGCCCCCGTATTCTGCCCTTCTGGTGTTGGCCTTCCAACCTCCTTCTGACCGGGGGGCTTGGAGAAGAGGACACGCCACTTCCTCCCAGAGAGTCTGAGTATCCCTCCTCGCTCCCTCCATTCGACCCTATCCAGCTGGGCCATATCCCATCCTGCGCATACACACAGGAATATTCCCTTCAGCTGGCACGCTCATGGCCGTCCGCCCGCCCCTCGATGATGCTATTCCTGATGACAGCTCTGGCTGCTGGCTCTGCCTCCGCCTCCGCCTCCGTCTCTGCCACATTCGCGTGACCATGCCGCCATTTCATGCGACTAATGCAAGCCGCCTCTGTTCCAGCCCTCGTTTTTGACAGCGCATGCGTCAGGCAGCCCGCGCGAGTTGCAGGATTGCCCGAGGCATTGGCTGCCTTACTCTGCATGTCCCTCTTCTGCCCCGCCTCGCTCGCCTCGTCCTCGCCCTGCCGTTCGTTGCCGGCCTTCTTTTGCCACCCACTACTGCATTGCAGCTGCGTCCACGGTCCCAGTTCGACCTGCCATCCTGCGCAGACCGGCACGTTGAACCTAGGTAGCCTATAGCCCCCTTGGCTCCCGCTTTTTGGGGGCGATAGTGCCCGTCTCTGCCTGTTGGGAGGCCGCTGGAGCCAAAAGCAAATCCATCCTCCTCCTCCTACACCGTTATGTGCCTATGCAGTATGCCGGTGTCAAACGGGGAATTCTACCAACAGCATCCCAGAGTCTATGGCCAATATGCCCCGCCATCTCTGGGATCTGCTTCTTTGTGTCTGCGGCCACACCCACACTGGCACACATCCCCCCCACAGCCCGACCTTCACGATCAACATATCCCATCAGCTCACAGCGCCGCCCTCCACCAACACCGCTTTGATGCAGGAGCTTGCGCAGCACCGACGCATGCTCCTGGGTTGTTGACAGTCTCTAGGGTGCTGCGATCGACGATTCAACAGTAATGGCACACACAACGTGGTCATGCGTAGCCTGTGGCACCTATGCATGTCCAACCGTGTGCCCCAATGTTTCGGCACCACGGGGGCGACTTGGGGGCTGGCGTTCAGTTCAACCAAGGGATGCTAACAACTGACAACAACTGTGTATGTTGTGCGAGGGCTCCCGGGCGGTTACCAACCCCCCTGCCACATATTTTGGCTGGCATTCGCCGGGGTGCTTAACTACCACTACTCGTACACTATCTCCTCTCCGTACTTGCCCCTCCATGCCGCCATGTCGACAAACTGCCTTTGTGTGCCACCGACAAGGCTCATGCCCAACCATAGCGGTAGCCAAGTCGGAAGGGTTCAAGGTCGGTCTGTCAATGTCCTACAACCAACAGCGCATTCAATGCTGCACCTTCACGACTTCTGTCTCGCGTGATAAGTTTGGAACCCAGCTAGTTGATGGGGTTTCCTGCTGGGTGCTAACTGGACAACCCCCTTGCTTTGCTCAGTCAGTCGGCCATGATCGCTCGGTGACCATCTGCCATCTCTGTCACCCAGGCGTCGACTGCTGCATTGGTGGCTGTCTTATCTTGGACATTTCCTTACTCCTGATTGCCTGTATCATGAATGACTGTCACATCGGTTAGATTTCGAGGTAGGTTCAACACAAGGTTTAGACCTTCATGGCAAAAACGTGTTTATTCACAGTCAGGGAGAGTCTGGATTGACAGTGTGTCCCTCCTTCCAAAGGTTAACTCCTGCCGAAGCCAGCCCCCTTGCCTACTACCCTGTGACTATGGCCATAGTCTTGGGGCCACGTTCAAACCTCGCTGAACAATAAACTTCCTTGCAGGAAGTCTTCAGCCCCAGAGGGCTTCGGCACTTGACCGTGAAAGCCAAAGTCAATCCTCATGGGGCTCTACGTGCAAGGCAGAGATGGAGTGAGCGGCCAGCGGCCAAACTGTCAGCCATCAGCCATCAGCCATCAGCCATCATCCAGCCATCAAGCCTTGTCCAACAAGAACTACACATCCCACATGGCGAAAATGCCGCATACAAAGGCAATGAGGGCATGATGATGGGCGGACGCGGATGTGTACATCCTGTCCTGCATGGTCCCAGGAAAGCCCTGCAACCTGGTCTCCGCCTGAGGCCCCCCTGGCCCTGGCCCAACAGCATGCATCACTGGCAGTCAATACGGCCAAACGAGTTCAATGCTGCAGAATAGCATGACCTTGCACGTGATTCATTGCGAGCGCTTCACAATAGTCGACTCGAGCGTGCCAGTGTCACGCGGAGGTCGTCGTCGTCGTCGTCTTTCTCGACGTGTCTGAAGTGTGTGAGTCAACGGCTCGTACCATTGAATTGACAACCCCCCTAAAAGGAAGGGAGCGCTTAGCCATTCAAAGACTCGTCTATGGACGAAACGGATCAAAGCTCGGGGTCAAAGAAGACCAAATCAAGGTAGAATATGCACAGAATGCACGGAGCGCACAATACGAGATTCAGATCAGCAGGACAAGCGTTGTCGAAGAAGAAGAACGAGAACGAAGACGAAGAAGGCGGGAGCTGGTATTCCTGCCTTGCTCCCCTGGGCCCTCCGACAGCAGCCTGCGTACATGTGACATATGCCTCATCTCTGAATGTCGGGCCCTTCGATGAACTTGGTCGAGGTTCACAGTTCACAGATCAAGGGGAGCGGGTTCTCGCGGAAAAGAGATTGTGACCAATCTTGTTGCTGTCTTGTTTATGAACCATTGGAAAAATTATGTACAGTGTGCACATTATTGGGAGGCAAGCAGGGCCACCAGGTGGTCCAGCCTTAGGGGACGGGAAGTACGGAGTACTCTGTACACATTCCATTAACATGGAGCGGGGGGGCCGTCCTCAATCTGTGCTGCTGTATACGGAGTACTAATCCGTGGTACAGCAAAGCAAGTGCCATTATTGGCATATGGTATGTGTACTCTGTACTCTCTGTTTGGCAGTGTTATGGGGTTATTGGCATATGGTACGTGTGCTCTGTACTCTCTGTTATGGGGTTATTGGCATATGGTACGTGTACTCTGTAGAGTCTATTCTCTGTTATGGGGCTGAGGCTCAGCTCGCTCACTGCTCAGCGTTCTAGCATTTTTCCCGGCCGAGCACGGATCTCGCGCCGGAAATGGTTCAGCCTCGTCGATCGGGTGATTAGATTTGGCAGTACGAGTACGGAGTGCTGAAGAAACTTCGAACTTCAAACTTTCATCCCTTTCTCGACTTCGACGGCCTGCCACGGCCGGGGCGCAATGAGGTCTGTGGACGTGACGTTGGTCTGAATGCCAAATGGGGCCGTGCGTGATGTTCAGGGGGGCACAAGGCTCGGAAGAGACCAACCGTGAGATCGGCCGGTGGTCCCAGTCCCAGTCCCAGGAGGATGCCAAGGTGAGCGGTGAGTGAGTGAGGTACGCCACACGGATGCCCTTACTACTATGCACTGTTCCAGTGCGGTGGTGCACGGAGCAGCAATCCAAGAATTGTGGCCCGACCGGATACTTTGGCTTTCTGCCATCTGGTCCAGGCTCAGCTACGAGTATCCAGCTGTCTAGATGTCTAGCTGTCTAGGTGTCCTCTTGCATTTCCTTCGCACTGACCAAGCGCTACTGTCTCTGTTACTGTTGCTGTCACTGCACTGGTAGGACAGGCAGCAGGATGCACGGTCACGGGTCACGGGTCACGGGTCGGTGGCAACGGCGCCTGGCAAGAGCTGGACGTGGTGGTGGTGGTGGTGGTGGTGGTAGTGTTGGAGGCCACGGTGGCCACAACCAACGTTGACTCACCGCGCCAGCGCCATCGCCACCGCCACGATTTGAGCGCCACACAAGGTGACATCACGTGATCAGCTATGGCTGTGCAATTACTAATGTACCTACTTAGGTACCTTTACATATTCATCTTCGCATCAACCTACCGTTTCGTACTCTCCGGTCACGAGATTCGTATCCTCGTATATCGTTTTTCGTTTCTTCAGCTCGCCTCGGCTTTGCCCGCTGCTGCCTAAAGAGTTTAATTCAGCTACGGTTGATGAGCTGAGGCTCACTACGTATCCGTACTTGACTATGACTATGACTGTGACCTTGACTTGGTAGAGAGAGTGAGTCCCAAAATATCCCATCTTCAACGTGCCGCTGCCACCATTGAGGCTGCTCTTCGCCTGCAAGTGGCTGGCGGGCTCGCTGGCTGGCTGGGTCTCTCGACTGTTTGGTGGTAGTGAGTCCCGATATATCCCATCTACAAAGAAAGTCGGAGCTCGTGCCGCTGCAACCATTGAGGCTGGCTGGCTGGCTTGCTGGCTGGCTGGCTGGGTCTCTCGACTGTTTGGTGGCAGGTAGGAGTACGGGGTTACGGAATGTGGTCGCGAGGCGAGGCTACCAAGGCTACCAAGGCTTCCAAGACAGGCCATTACGCGTCCCCATTGTTAATGGTCGCCAATGTTAATATCAAGCCTGGATCTGAACCTCAATTAATGAAAGGGGAGACACGTCGTCCATCATAGATAGGTATTACTTCTGCAGTTGTGGCAAGCTCATACTATCCGTGCAGTAACCACGCTCGCAGCTTTCCAGCAGATCCGTATATGTGTAGTGACGCCATTCACTCACACATACGTGGAATCAATTCAATTGTTCCTTTCGAGTCTCTCAGAGTAGAGTCCCTGGGCTTGTTCGCCGACTCGGTACCGCGTTCACAGTACTATTCAGTCAAATACCTATCTTAGTACGCTCGCCATCGTCCATCAGGTCATTCATCCATCACCATCACCTTTTCCCTTTTACTGACTACTGCTTCTTCCTTCTTTATCTGGCCGGGTGTCGGTGGTTGCCGGATTCCGACTTTGATCCTCCGTCGAGCCATTGAAGTCAGCTGCCTAGGCGCCTTGTCCACGCCCCCCAAGACTGCCGAGGCAGAAAGAACGTCGACGGCCTTGAAGCAAGTGTGCGGGCAGGCGTTGTCGAGTTCGGGGTCTCAGGAGAAAAGACAGACGAGAGAAAAGGACGAGAAAAGACAGACGAGAGAAACGGACGAAGAACAAAAAACATAAATCACAGATACAGATCAAAATCAAACACACTCGCCCTACCTACCAGGCAACCGGCACAGATCTAAACCACAGATACAGATCGAAATCAAACAAACTCGTCCTACCTACCAAGCAACCGGCACAGATCTATCTTCCAGGAATTCCCTTCCTTTTATACTTATCACACAATGGCCGAAAAGTACCCGCCACCGCAATACCCGGCCGCGGCCCTATCCCACCCCGGCGCGGATGGTTATCAATCCCCACCGCCTCCGAACGCGAACGGGAACGGCATGGTCTACGACCCCAATCAGTACGACATGTCCCGAGGTGGTCCGCAGGGAGGCTACTACCAACCGCAACCGCAAGGACAGTACGGCCCGCCACAAGGCTACGGCTACGGCCCTCCCCCAGCCGGTCCGGGCTATTATCCGCCCCAGCAACCCGTCGTCGTGGTTGAGCGCGAGAACAATAGTAGCGGCGGCATCTGCGCCGGCCTGATGGCCGCGATGGCGTGTTGTTGCTGTTTGGATTGTTTGTTTTAGTTTAGACTTGGGGTCGGAGTTGGCGAAGCGAACGAAGCAAATCGAATCAAAGCGAAGCGAAGTGAATCGAATATCGAATTAAGGCGTCACGACACAATCGGACCACATTGTCTTGGATTGAGGGCAGGGACCGACTACATGACCCGCAGGACGGGGAAGCAATAAATCAAGGAAGGACACATATTGCCATACTAAAAGGGAAGAGAAGGGAGGTGAAGAGAAGGGGGGAGGAAGAGAAAGGGAGGAAGAGAAGGGGTGAATGAACGACACTACAGCATCGGCGGACAAAACCAAACAAGAAGAAGCAAGAACATCCATCCAGGTCATCCAGGTCATCCAGATCTGGCGTCGGTCTAGATTGGAGAGGCTAGCCGGGTCAAGTCAAGTCAATCCAAGATGCCAAACTGCCACCCAGACCAAGGTCCTGAGCCTGAGCCTGAGCCTGAGCCTGGTGTCGTAACATGTGAATATGATAGTTGTCGTCGGACATGCCTGGGCTGGACTACGTGGCGAACCAACGAAGGCCGGTTGATTGTTGATTGTTGCGTTGACTGTTGATTGCTGGACTGTCGACTGTGGACTGTCGACTGGAAACTGTGAACTGTATCAGGAGGTTAGAAAGTGAGAGATGTAGCGCCGTGCACCCTGATCCTTAGCGAGCCTCTATTTCCATGTTTTGCCGTTTCCATGATTCCATTCCATTCAATCAATTCAATTCAGTTCAGTTCAATGCAATCGGCTAGTCTTGCACTTGGCTATTACGAAGACCCAATGTGGGAATAATGTCTGAAATTCTAAATACTTGTACTAATTAGTACAGTGTTTTCCTTACACCCCATGGATCTAGTCTGGCTTCAGCAGATAGGAGTTGGAATTGATGCCACTTCTCCTGTGAGTGCGATTCAACATGTGGGGTCAAGTCTGGTTGTGAATAACCCAGTCCAGCCTCATCTAGCCAACAGCCCGTCCAGCCTCATCTAGCTAACAGCCCGTCCTCACGACTGCGGTGCAGCCTCCTGTGAGTCCTGGACTCCATGCTCGGCGTGGCATATGGATCATTCGCACATTTGTGTCCTTCGCCAAGATGGTTGTGTGACTGACGGTATGGGACGGCACAAGGAGAACCACAACTGCGGCTTGGAGTTCGTACCGACGGCGTGATGGTTGGTTGTAAGTTCTCTTCCCGTAATGGTTGGTGTAAGTTCTCTTCCGTCAGGAGACGACCCGGTCTACACTGGCAACCCGGTTGTGCCCTTGGCGATTGTCCTTGAATCGCAGCTGGCTCCGTTATGCCAAATGCCGCGACTACTACCCGGAATCACATAACTGAACACATGCTCCCCTGACCCATCGCACCGTTCTCTGTAGTAGTCATGGCGGCAGTGCGAGTGATATCCTCCAGCACTTCCCACATCAACTCCCCCGTCAGAGCACTGCACTCGGCATATCGATCACACTGCATCTCCTGGGCTACGCGCAGAGCCTCCTGGGGCATCACACACTCGAATGATCCGTCTTCCAATCTCTTCTCGGTGCGCTCGTCCCGCTTGAGACCCAGTAGCATTACAGGCATGGCATGCTCGAGATCGGCGTAGTGGAGGGACAACTGCTTGCGCCAGTAGTACTGTGCGTTGTGGAGAGACTCGCGCGAGGAGACGGAGAAGGCGATGATGGTGAAGGCCGGCTGGTCTGGGAACGGGTCGACAAACAGCGTCGATGTTGAGGGCCATATGCGGAACTTGTAGGGTCGCCCGAACAACGACACATCCCACCCCAGCGAGCCTGTGGGTGCGAATGCGTGCTTGTGCTCGCGGGGAGTAGACCGGTCGAGTCTGCCATCACGGACATGTTCGATCTGGCTGCGGAGGGTAGGAGGTTATTGACGATCAGGGCTGAGGGGGAAAGGTGAAGACGGCGATGGCAATAACGACGGCGACGGCGACTTACGACAGGAAGGTTGCTTTGCCCACGCCGGGGCTGCCCAGGAACAGAATATCAACCTCGGGGACAGGTCTGCCCTCGAGCACTGTCGGCGCCATGTCTGGCGTTCCCCGTGTCGATGCTGGGGTGCATCGTGACAGGGTGGCAGGGTGGTGGGCGTGAAAGAAATGTCAAGGTCGATGTCGCCGTCGCCAGATTCGGTGTTGGTGTCGGTGTCGATATCGGCCTTGGCACGGGCAGGATCCAATGACGCCACTCCAATTGGGGCATTCTACACTCTACTCTACACTCACTCTACGCTACACTAAACACTACACACTACAAATCTTTACACCGTTGACACGATTAGTCATGATCCCGACCTTCAGATGTAGCCAGAGTACAAAGAGTCACAAGTCATGTTATGGAAAGGGCGCACCTATGACTCCTAGGTGCTAGTTTCCACTCTGCACTCTGGTGAAAGCACTATTGCGATTGATAGTTAAGTTTCTGTCTCTCTTCAAATTCTCTCTCAGGTACCCGTCATACATCGCACACTCTTCAATCCAGTGCATTGCGCATTATCATTGCAAGATGTCGTCCGGAAATGCCGATTTCTGCTTCCCAATCAAGCGGCTAGAGAACTCCAGAGTGATTCTCGAGCCCTTCAATGACAAGCACGTAGCCTCATTTGTCCAAGGCTGCAAAGACCACCCTGCACTCTTCGACTACCTGCCCTTTGGCCCTTTCTCCACCACCGCCGAATTCAAGACTTGGTACCGAGGCCGCGTCGAGCGCAATCCCACCGAGACCATCTTTGCCATCTTTGCGAAGTCACCTGCACCTGACTCCGTCGAACAACAGACTCTGGCCGGCACGATTGGCTTGCTCAATGCAAGCCCTAGCAATGCTTCCGTGGAGATTGGTTTCGTATGTATCCGTATCCGGACTTTGACTTTCTTTCCTCAGCCTCGTATTGAGCAGCCGTGCGGTGCGTGCCTAACTCCACGACAGATCATAGTCCTGCCATCATTCCAACGAACGTTTGTCACTAGCAATGCTGTGGGACTATTGCTGTCATACACACTTGATCTGCCACCAGAAGGGCTCGGTCTGCGCCGTTCTCAATGGCAGACGCACGCCAGCAATGAGGCTTCCAGACGGGTAGCAACGCGAATGGGCTTTTCCTTCGAAGGGATCCAGAGGTTTCAACGAGCATTTCCTGCTCACAAACAGGGGAACGGGTTCGACCTTTCTCGCCTTCCCGAGTCCACTGGGATTAAACTGGGACAAGCCAGAGACACCGCCATCTTCGCACACTATTGTGACGAATGGCCGGCAAAGAGGGCCGAAGTGTTGAGGTTGATGGAACCACGCTGAAGAAAGCTGAGAAGGTTCGACAACTACGACTGCCATTGCGGCACTTGGTTCTAACAGGTATCAGATCAGGGCTTGGTACTCTTTTTCCACCCTGGCCACTAAATAGGACTAGTATACCAGCAACATGATCTTCCAAACAACAGTTACTCTGTACACCTCTGTTGACATGGCCGGACTCCGCTCCAAAAGGCGCCGACATGGACAGATCTCAGATGGCGGTGCTACTAGATGTCCCATGTCCGGACACTATACTCCTCCGTACTGATCAACGCGTCTCCTCGCGTCTCCTCGCGCGTCTCCCACGTGATCCTCCTTGGTCAATAAAAGTACCCCCACCACCTAGGTGCCCACCGTTTCTCAGAAAATTGACTCGATCGTCCTTGGTGCCACGGTCGCGTCGATCAGCATCACACAAATCTTCACGTCTGATCCGAAAGACAGCGGCGACGTGGAGACCGAGGGCAGCTTCAAAAGGCCACGCCTGGTCGGTGTTGAGGGCATTGAACTTGAACATTGAACAGTGATCTAAATGGAGACGGCGACTTTGACGATGACGACGATGACGGTGAACTACGGATTGTCAGTGAAACATCAACGGGATTCTATCTCTCACGGGATAGATCTCAGGACTAAGTAGGGTCGGCGTCTCTCGGCCTTAGCCTCACGATAGGTAAGTTGATGGACGGGTGCTGGCTAACGCGGTGGTGAGTATGTATCATATGTATAGGGCGGCACCATCCGGATCCTAAACAGGAGTGATTTCGGGCCAGATTTCACTCATGTTGGTTCCGGAGATCTCTGAGATGTAGTTGTCATAGACCTCTCGACCGGGGTTACTAGCTTCCGGGGATCCTTGGACAGCAAACCCCTGATTCGTCGACCATGATTTATTGACGAAGTCCAGACTCTACAGATCACCACTGCGCTTCACCACAAAAAGGGCTAAGTACAATACTGTCAGCCATCCAAGGGCAGACCCATACCGACATGAACCACCATACGCATATCGAGGTTGGAGGGAGTTTTACTCCTGGAATGGAGAGCTTGCAAACATTGGGGTGGGAGGGAACTTTACTCTGGAATGGAGTGCTTGTTGCGGCATACACATGCACACACATCGATTCTCTGCTGGTCTGGAGATCTGAACTAAGCTGGCGGTGATCTGGCTCACTGCGGCTCGGCTCTGCATCAACGCGTCAATGAAAGACCAATTAGGTAAATGCTATTTATTCTATTCTTGTTTGGCCGGAGTTGGTTCCTCCGCCGAAGGAGCTCTGAGATACTATATTAAGACGATCGATCGCCAACGAATTCACATTGGTTTAACCACCAGAGACTCTCTGTCACGGAAGCGGTGATCAGGTACGTGAAGGCTATTTGCATTCACTCTGTTCCCTGTGAAGCAGTTCGTGCCAGGGTATTTATTCCCTCCCCCGAACTCTGCATTTGTTTCTTCTCCCCAAACTCTGCGTTTGTTTGTTCTCGGCCACTCTTCGACAGAACAGCATCGAGAATCTAGCTTCGTCGACATCATATTGCAGAACAGCCACCTCGATAGACATCATCTTGCAGAACAGTCCACCTCGATCGACATTGACGTCAAGATGCGTATCTCGATCCTGTCAGCCACCTTGGCCATGACCATGACCGTGATGGTCAGTGTGCTCGCCCATCCCTGGACCGACTGGCCTGGTCAACAGACCTGCTTGAACGACACTGGAGTCGCATACCTCGTCCAAGGCTACACCTACCTTCTCGAGCAACCTGGCGGGCCGGACTTCAACTCCACTGCGAATACCATCCTCTCTGACCAGTTCTTTGTGTGTTCCGATTCGATCAACTCTCTCTCCGGTAGACCTGTAAGTCACCCTACCCTGCTGTCATGCTTTCCCTTTCCGAAACCTCCTGTCATGCTTTTCCCTTTCCCTTTCCGAAACCGACATACACCCCTCAAGAGGAGGATACCGTGCCCGAATTCGCTCGTGTGACGTGACGGCCCCTTTGAAGGTTGATCGTGGTGACCTGACTGACCGTTTGATAACCCTGTTGCCAGCTCGGACAACTAGCATACCCTAACAAGCAAGCCTTCATCGCCTCCCAGTTCGTCACGCCTCCACTCCCGACCGTGTCTACGCTGGCCACCTTCCACAACTGCCAGAGCGTGGCGTGGAGATGGAACGCGTCCGGCATCGGCGCCAACCAGTACGAAATCAAGGGACTCATCAATTTCGACGTCAACCCCACCACTCTGCAGATCGACGCCGTTTACTCCGAGTTCAACACCGCCGCGTTCCAGGCCGACCTGGGCAATCCTGAGTGCCAGCAGAAATAGAGAAGGGCAGAATGAGAATGGTCTATCTGGCGAGGAAGGAAGCTAGCTTCAACATAAAGCTCTCTCTCTGTGCCTCCAAAGAATAGTCTATGCCAGACCAAGGATAGCCTCTGCCATAGAACTAGATTGAAGGTCATGGCGAACTGCCACATCTCGGCCCTAGACATGAAAGCTAATTGACGGCCAAGGCGATCCGCCAAATCGATCCATAGACATAAACGTTAATTGACGATGATGCTTCTGTGACCAATGTTTCCCGGTCTCTCTCTCCCGGTGAATATGAAGATACCCTCTCCTTGGTATTTAACTACCTCACACCTTTCGTATACAGTTTGGGCCCTGAATCGCTGCAAGCCAGGCAGTGTATACTAAGGGTCCAAGGTAATTGAATACACTGCGGCCTTGCTATGATGAGCACGTGAGAATTGCACTGCCGCTTTCCTGTGATGCACGTGAGAAGAATGCTCGGGGTCCCTAGGGATACATGGACATAGACATGCAACCACATAAACAGCTAGCATGATTGAAACGCACATATTTCCAATTCTTTACGTAAAGTCGTTGTGCCGCAAACATAGCATAGCATAGCATACTATCCCAGCCTTGCTGTGCTGCTCTTGCTCCTGCTCCTGCTCCTGCTCCTGCTCCTGCTCCTGCTCCGACTCGAATCAGACTCGGAAATACTGGACCCCTTGAGCCTTGCAGTAAGTAGTGCGTGGCTTGACTTTTCAGTGCTACGGCGGCTTGACCAGGTCGGGGGAGAGGGGAGAGGGGAGGTGGAGTAGTCGAGGCTAACTATAGGAAGCAGTTGAGGCTAGCAAGCTATACGGGATCAAAGGGGGGAGTAGTTGGGGGCAAGTAGTTGGGGGCAAGTAGTTGGGGGCAAGTAGTTGGGGGGAAGTAGTTGACGCTATGAGGCTACCTATCAAACCCGTCCAGCAGACTCTCCCTCTTCAGCCATGACGATGGCGAGCTTAGTGCGGTGATCGAGATCCTCCTTCGGCAGGCCCAGCAGGTCATTATGCAAGCCATGCCTGGCTTCATGGCAGCCACTACCGTCCGGGTAGAAATATCTAGAATAGAGCACCTGCACGAAGCCGGCCACAGTGCCCTTCTGCATCTCGACGAGCCCCTCGTTATATCGGGTCTTGACATCCTGATACTTGACGGACCAGTCGGCTTCGCTGGTGGCGGTGGCGCGCAGCACGGACTGGAACATGTCTCGCTGGCTGAGTAGGAACGAGGAGATATACACAAACCCATTTTTGAACTGGGATAGAGTTGGGGTTGTGGTGGTTGTAGTGGTGTTGGTCGTGGTAGAGTTGTTGTCGTTGGTGTCGTCCGCAACCACCTTCAGGCTAAGCAGCCTCGCCATGGCGCGCCCACACTGCTCCCAGGTGCTGGTGTTGACCTTGGTGTTGCCGTCGTCGAAGAAGGTGACAGTACGGTTAGGCAAGTCGAAGCCATAGCGCTCCGGCCCGCCCGACAGGCTAAACTCATACCACATGCCGCACACCAGCGAGATGTAAGCGCTCTTGCCCAGGCTGACGATCAGGTCGCGCGCCTTCTTCCTCGCATCGCCGAGATACGACTCCTGTGCGAGCGCCTCGTTCCACGGGTCCAGCCCCCATTCGTTGGGCATCACCCATGCCACGCCGGCCTCGGCCGCCGCGCGGATCAGCTTCGCCTCCTGGTCGGGCGGCGCCGTCACCGCCATCGTGATGATCAAAACCTCCTGTCCGCGCAGCGCTGACACCAGCGACTCCGGCTCGTCGTAGTTGACGGGTTGGATCGTAAGTCCGGCCACCGTCGCCAGCTTGTTGCTGCTGCTGCTGTCCGCACGTGTCAACGCCGTCACTTTGTGTTTCTTGGTCTTGAGCAGTTCCTGTGTTATGAATGCTCCTATGCGGCCGGTTGCCTGGGGTGGCATAGGTTAGTACATGGGTCGGTCGCCATATTTGGGATGGGATGGGGTAGTGCTCGTGGCATAAGGTTAGTCCATGGTCCGGTGGGCATCTCTGGCATAGAATGGGAGTGTAATGATGGCATATGGTTAGTCAATGGTCCGGTGGGCATGTCTGGGATGGGATGGGGTAGTGGTGGTGGCATAAGGTTAGTCCATGATCCGGTGGGCGTCTCTGGCATAGAATGAAGTCGGGCATCTCTGGGATAGAATTGGAGTCGGGCATCCCGGCATATGGTGTCGAGGCAGGGTCCAAGATTCAATATGAGTTGTTTTCACTTACCCCCACAATCGCGATGTTTTCCACATGGTTCTTGAAGCCTTGCCCCTGGTCCTTCGCGTCCTGGGACTGCTGTGCCATTGTGAAGCTGAAGATGGAGATGGCTCGAGATGTTAAGGCGCGAACCCCGTTGACGTTGACGTTGGTGTTGGCGTTGGTGTTGGCGTTGGATCGATCGAAGTATAGTCAAAGGAAGAGCTGATTCTGCTTCTGATTCTGCTCCTGCTTCTGCTTCTGGTGGCGTCGAGAAGAAGAAGAGGAGGAAAGAAAACACACAGACAACAGACCAGACCGACAGACCACTCTCCCATTCATTCATTTATACCCTTCACCTGAGCTCGGATCAGCGGAGTCTTGAGTCTTGTAAAAGCCGGTGAGCGGGTGACTCGGTGCCTCGATGCGCCGCGACGTCGTTATGTCCGAGGTCGATATGATCATGATCATGATCATGACCGAATGATGCATGGCGTCGAGTGCCCATCATTGAGACCACGCCTGATACTTAGACAGACAGTGCTGTATCCGTAGACAAAACGCCGTCCAAGAAATACGAAACTGGGTTAGCGCACGTCCTGTGGCGGGTATTATGTACAACAAGGCTGGCTCCACTTCCACTTCCACCATCACCATGACCATTTTTGGACCAGTCAGTCTACGGAGTAGACTTTCCACTGCTTTGCAGGGCCCAACTCCAACTGTTGGGACGCTGGACACTGAACGCTGGACTCCGGATGGATATGCATCGGGTTTCTCAAACTGGACTGACGTCGGCTTTGTGGGTGGAAGGACTGTACTACTGTAATGGTGTTTGCAGGACTGTACTCCTCCGACCAACGAGACCGTCTCAGACGATCGCTCTCTAGACCGGGCACATTTCATGCCGAAGCCGAGTCATCTACGGATACAGTCGAAGAACAAGACCGATAGAGTAGTAGAAGCCATCATCAGTGATCTACCTACCATAAAAGCAGGTCCATGGGGGGGAAGCACTCACTTAGTATATACTTCAATCTGTCTATATAGGGCCTATTCCCATGCTATGTGGTTTCTGGAAGTCTTGCTGATCCCGTCTGACAACCACGGCCCTTTCGTCAAAATTTCAGAATCAGAATCAAAATCAAAATCAAAATCAACAGCAACAGCAATAGCAATAGCAACAGCAACAGCCAGTCGCCACGCCACATTTTCCACCCCAGATAGTTGCATGTAGTTGTAGTTGTCATTGGCAGAAGAACTGTCTCGACATCCAATGACCTCGCCTTTTAACTAGCCTGCCAGTGTAGCCAGAAATGTGCCACACAGCTATGGATGGACATGACAAGACATAGCTTGTTCCCACCCGATGAGACAAGCTCGGGCTTCGGCCACAGTATCACACACTTGACGCAGTCGACGCCGGCGCAGTCCCGCTGGGGGGAGCTCCAGATACAGCAGCCGTGCCGTTTGGTGGGCTTCCGCCGCCGCCGCCTCCCATGCCGCCCATGTCTCCATTGCCGTTGGCAACACCACCTCCTTTGTAATATGTTGCAGCGTCGCTGACTTCTTGGTCTTCGGTGGGATCGATGCCGATGCTGATCCAAGCCAGAATCCCCTCCTCGAGAGTATCGCCCAGCAGGACATATTCGACAAAGGGATCTGTCGTGTCTGCCTCTTGAGATAAAATGCTGTCCTCCGAGTTCAAGGTAAGTTCCTGCTCATTCTCGCTGTAAGGGGCTATCTTGTCGGCTTGCGAAATGAGGTCTTGGTCAAAGAACAGCTGGCCCACGTGGGAAGCGTGTACTTCGGTCGAGCTGTTTGTGCCGAGCAGCGTGCCGTTGACACGCACGGTTGTAGAGTTGGGATTGTGGGTGAGCACGTGGATGTGGGTGGCGCGCCCTGTAAGGGTTTCTTTGGTCAATCTGGGTACTCCGAAAACCTTTGGTAACATATGTTGCATGACTTGACTTACCAGTATAGTGCCCGGGGAAAAGTGTCTCAAACTGAACGACGCCGTTGCTATCAGTCTGCTGAATCCCTCTCAATGCTGTATTGTTCAGGTTGGTGGTATCATTGCTGTTACCGTTTCCACTGGCAACCACTCCACTGTACACACCGGTGGAGTTGCAGTGCCAGATGTCCATGTACAGCGCTGGGACAGGCTCGCAGGTCGTTGTATCGATGATCTGGATGTCCAGCGTCAGGGGGATGCCTTTCTGGTCCTCGACCAGGTTTTTGCGAATCAGCTCCCCGTTGACATAGTAGGGGCCCTGAGTGACCTCGGTCTGCAACGTGCAGGAGGAGTTGTCGGCAAACAGGACATTCTCGTCGACATCACCAGAGATGGCCGAGTTGTCTGAGAGATGTGTGAAGTTGTACGAGCTGAAGTCCCGACGGTGGATCATGGGTTTCGCAGCAAGACCTCGTTTGACACGGAGGCCGTCGGCCAGAGCTTGGCGACGAGAAATGCTCGCGGACTCATGACCACGAGCCTTCAATTTAGCTGCGCACGAACGGATGGTCTTGGGGTTGCGCTTGAAGAACTCGGCACGTTCAGCCGCCTCTTCGGCAACATTGTGGCCCGGATGCGCAAGGACTGCCGAGGTGGCCAATAGCGCAACGGTGATGGCATTCCAGACTTGAACCATGTTGATAATTTGAAGGTCACGCTGAAATGCTGGCCGGAAAATCGAAGAGCTTGGGAGAGATGCGGGCTGAAAACAAGGAGAACTTGCAACCCACCTCTCTATATATCTTGGTCACAGTGCTTTGGCAACTCGGTCGCCGCAGGTCTCCCTTGTCACCGCAATGGATCCTCTTCTCCGGCTGTGTACTGCTGATCGTCGTCACAACGAAGCTGACGACGTGGGCAGTCCCCCGCTGTCGTTGAAACACCGCAGAAGGGATTGGTTGGCGTCTTGTGATGGCCCAGCATCGTGATAGCCTTGTCTAATATGAGTTGCTAGCAATTAGCGGCGCGCCTTGGTTGCCTCTAGACCCATCTTAACACAAAGAAGCACGAGGCCGGGGTCTTGGCGATATGTCTCGGCGAGCTTGTCCTTGGTGATGGCGACGAGAATCCAGCCAAGTAGACGCGCGTTCTGCGTCAAATTGCGCGGCTGGTGGTAAGGACCAGCAACGGAGCATCCAGTCGACAAGGCACAAATGAGGATCGGGGCATTGAGTAATTTCCCTTCCATTCGCTCCGAGCTCTGCGGACGAATACCCGTATAGCGACTGGTGCCGCGTCATCAGTTGCAGTGGAGTGAGATGTCAGAGACTGCAACTGGCACAGTCCTGGCCACTGACCACGGTCCACGGTCCAGCCATCCGAGGTAAGAAGGTGTTTTGCAACCGCATCAACGAGCCACGACAGGGAGCGGCGACGGTGAAAAGGGGGAAGGGTTGCTGAGGTGCTGAGGTGCTGAGGTGAGGTGATGGTCGCTACGCATTCACTCGGTGGCCTCAAGCTGAGGCTGATGCTAGGGTTTGCCAAGACGGGTGCCAAGACTTCCGCCGTGCAAATGAACTTGAACTGCAGAACCACTCACCTACCACTTCAAGTTACCACTTACTTACCACTTACTCTTTACCACGTACCACGTACCACGGGAGGCGCAGTCTACGGTTTACCGAGGAACCAAAGCATGTACCGGCAGAGCAGCCCAGCCTGGCGGGAAACCAATTCCAAGAAAGGTGACTATGCATTCTGGCGTTGGGCTGAATACGCCTGATACGAGGCTGTTGATAGATCTCCCTTACCCTGTACTGCACATTGGCGCCTAGTCACCTACTCGTAGGCAGGATACAGACAGGTGATCTTGTCCGACATCTGTGCCAATCTGAAAACATACTGGTGATATGACCTTCCATCTTATCATATGCTCATAATATCCATCATGGAGCATCCGTGCTAGGGATTCCAACCTGTGAAGGCGCAGGCGACCTGAACGTCCTCCTCAAAAACCAATCCCGATCAATTGCAGTGTCCTTCGCTGCTGGAGAAGCGGCTTCTTGCGGCTGGAGAATGTTCATTTGGCTATCAACCCTCCATCGACCACAATACTCGTACCACAGACGAAATCACTCGCTTTGCTGGCCAGGAAGATGATTGCTCCGCGAAAGTCTTCGGGGAGTCCCCACCGGCCAGCTGGCGTCCGTCCGATGATGTACTCGGTATATTCAGGATCGTCGGTGTATACCTTGGTCATGGCGGTTATGATATATCTGTGTAACAGGCGCCAGAGCCGTCAGCTTTCTCATCCTTGGAGTCGAATACTTGAAAGACAGGCTGATGCTGATGCTTATGCTTTTGCTTTTGGCGCCACCCACCCCGGACAGATGCAATTCACGTTGATGCCCTGAGAGGCCCACTCGTTGCTCATGGCCTTGGTCATCTGCAACACGCCGCCCTTGGTGCAGGCATACGCCGCAATGTTGATGTTGCCGATGAACGAGATGATCGAGGCAATGTTGATGATTTTGCCTGGCCGTTTCAACTCTAGCAGCTTTCGGCCCGTTTCCTGGGCAGCCACGAACGAGGCTTTCAGATTGATTTGGAACACCTAGATCCACCCAGTCAGCCATGGGATTTTCCCCTTGCCCATACCTCCCCTGATTGATAGATACTCGGGCGGGATATTTACCGCATCAATGTCCTCGTCGGTGAAATCTTCCACCTTTGCTCGTCGATTGATCCCTGCACAGTTCAGCAGGATATCGGGCACGACACCGCTCTCCCAGATCTTTGCGAAACACGCTCTCAAGCCTGCAGAATCTGCGACATCAGCCTCAAACACGGAGAGCCTCCGCCCGCAAGCCTTGACTCCTTCTTCGAGCAGAGGCCCTCGTGGATCATCTTTGATCTGGATCGAAACAATATCAGCCCCAGCCTCTGCCAGGGCAATCGCCATCGACAGACCCAACCCTCCAGTGCCGCCTGTGCAGATTGCCGTCTTGCCCTCCAGCGAGAAGAGCTCCGAGACCGTGGGCAAGGTCCCCTCCCCCATCTGATTGACTGACGCCATGATGGACCTGGTTGATTCGATCTTATGTCAGAGGAAAGACTGACTGTGACTGTGACTATGACTGTGGCTTGATCATCAAGGCCAAGCAAGGTAAGTTTCCGGAAGCTTTGAATGGGACATACTCGTTCCCTCAACCGTCAAATTCATCGTGTCGCTTGCAAGCTCCTGTCTACCTGTTTAACCGAGGTGTGCGATCCCGAATAGATCAGAGCCTCGACTTTCTAGACCAATCGACGTCCCCCCTTCGGTCTCCTCCAGCCTTTCTCCGCAAATCCATCGATGCGGGCAATGCGGAGTAATACGAGGCGGCCCCTACCTGAAGGATATCTCAAAGATGTGCCTCGCCCTTCGCGCGGAAGACGTTCATGATGGAGGAAATTCCATCTGAATGACCTCCTGTCTTCTTTACGGTTGTCTTCCCACGTTACACTGGCTAAACACATCACTGCCCACCAGGGTGTATCGACGATTGAATTTTTCTCCTCACTAGGACGACTATCGAATCGACATGGGCCGACTCGATGGGAAAGTTATCATTGTGACCGGTGCTGGGGCCGGTTTCGGGCGAGGGGTAGGTTCAGCCTGTCCAGATTCCGATTAATCAGCTGCAGTGCGGCCAGTCCTCGCAAGGGGTCCCTTCAATTAGTGCGTGAACGAGTCGTGAACAAAATGTCTACACAGAGAAATCGCGTCACTGAGGAGTCCAAGGGCGCAACACAGGCCATCAAGCTTTAGTTTGGCGGATCTAACATATGGGGGCAACAGATCGTCGAGAAACTGACCGCCGAAGGCGCATCTGTGCTCGGAGTCGACATCAACCAAGCGGAAAATAACAAGACTGCCTCGCTCTGCCCACCAGGCAAGGTGCACGCCTTTACCGCCGATATAACCTTGGAGTCGTCGTGGCGCGAGATTCTTCACCAGGCGCGGTCGGCATTCTCCAATCGCCTCGACGTCGTTGTCAACTGCGCGGGCGTCGTACATAACGCAGCGCCGTCACACGAGGTGCCCGAGGACCAATTCGACCTGATGTTCCGAGTCAATGTGAAGCCACTGTATCTCAGCACCAAGGTGATTGTCCCGTGGTGGAAAGAGAACAAGCTACCAGGTCTGTTCATCAACCTGAGCAGCATCAGCGAGCCCAGGCCGAGGCCAAACCTAGTATGGTACGCCGCGAGCAAGGGAGCTGTGACGGTGGTGAGTCTTGATCACTTCTTGGTGCTTCGGTGGTTACCTTAGCCAACATATCATATTGGGCCCTAATCGTTTACTGACGACCGTCGTGTGAGCGGAAGACGACCAAAGGCCTTGCGGCAGAGTATGCCGTCGATCAGATCAGGTATAACTGTATTCGGCCAGCCGTGGGCGAGACGGCCATGTAAGACGGCCTGCTGTTCCCCGTCACCAGATGGCTCAGCTCTGACCTTCGACAGGCTCCCACGAGTTCTTGGCGGCCAGGACACCCCGGAAGGTCGGAAGAAAGTGCTCGGGACGGTCCCGTTAGGCCGGGTGTGTCAGCCTGGCGACATTGCGAATATGGTGTGCTTTCTCGGATCGGATGAAGCGACGTATATCACGGGCGCCGCGTTTGATGTTGATGGTGGCAGAGGGGTCAGCTGAACCAATATTGTCAAGTAGACACGAACGACTCGCTTGCAGGATTGTCAAAATGCACCTCTGTTCGCGGGCATGATTATACAATATTTCCTGCTCAAACCGGTTATATTACAAACTGATCTCCCCTTTCCACATGGCGTCGTTGAGCCCAAGTTTCTCCACAACATTCTGCCACCTAGACCCGCCTCTGTCCTGACGTCTCAGATACGCCATTAACTTTTGTCTCCTGTGCACCATGAGCCTCAGATGGCGCTTGTTGCTCTTGTCTTTCCTGTGCAGGTTGTCTGCCAGCACGTTGATTTTCGCCGTCAGGATGGCAATCTGGACTTCTGGGGATCCCGTATCTTGTCCAACCCGTTTCGGAACTTCGACTGCAGCCCCTTCGCTACTGGAAGATGACGACGGAGCTTGCGTGCTCTTTAGTCTGGGTGGAAGAACTTTGTCAGTGTGGTGACGGCCGAACTCTTCGATGCACCTCTGGATGTTCACTCGAGTGCGGTCTTTGCTGCTTCCACTGTCCAATGAGGCGATTGCCAATAGAGCCGTCGACGCATTTTCATGGGATTCAACATGCTCTTTGATTCTTTCGGCAAGATTATCGTTCGCCCCGGGGACTTGATTCGGCTCGGGTAGAGGTTCGGTGAGCCATCCAGAGTGCTCCAACGATTTCTTGAGCTCTTCTTGTTTCAGCAAATAATTCAGGTATGACTCTTTGACGGATTCCAACGGTGTGCTCGAGTGTAAGGATTCGATGAAAGGTGTCGGTCGTGACCGGACGGGGTTGCCCAGGGCCAAGTTGCGCTCTTCGTTCAACACGTTCTGCCGTGCCAGGTTTGCAGCTTTACGCTGTCGTGCTTGAGCTAGACGGTATGGGTCGATATGTCTACGCGTTTTGCGCTTTTTGGAGGACCGCTTAGCTTCCAAGGCAGGCGTGGTCGAAAACAGGCATGTCGAGCATTTTGTAAGGCCTTGACGGCGCACCGCCGACGGCAAGCTTTGAAGAAGACCGGTCACTGCACCCATGTCAGCCAGAACGTCTGGAAGTCAGAATCCCACATACAGTTGAAGATACTGCTCGCCACGGCTGACGATGCACGCGAAGGCATTGTTGGTGGTGCCTTCGTTGATAGAGAGCGTCCTTCTTCCTCCTGATCTTCAGCTTTCTCATCGGGATGCTCACAACTTGAACCTGGGACCAAGTCTCATCTCGCGGAAAAGTAGCTCCGGTTCCGAAACGCCGCTAACCCCCAAACGAATCTTTGAATTGAGCAAAATCTTGGCAAGCCCTAACTTCCACTTTCGAGTCGCCCGCTGAATTGAACCATCTCCAACTGCTGTCTATCCGGAATCTTTCTTACTTCTCTCAAGCCCGCTTCAACTCTACAAATCGCTCTCGACCTCACTACACTCTCGGTCGCAAACATGGCGAGCCCAGCAAACCTCCCTCCCATCTTCAACCCTACGTCCCAGGACATTGAGAATCTCCTGGCGGCACAATGTCACCTGGGGTCCAAGAACCTGCAGGTTCACATGGAACCTTACCTGTGGAAGACTCGACCTGATGGCATCAATGTCATTAACATCGCTAAGACTTGGTACGACCTCCCCCGTCGCTGCTCGCATCCCCCACGATACCGCGGACGAGCGTGGAAAGGTGCGGAGAAGAACCACCTACTGACATTCCTTGCGCAGGGAGAAAATCGTCCTCGCAGCCCGGATCATTGTCGCAATTGACAACCCAGCTGATATCTGTGTCATCTCCGCCCGTCCCTATGGCCAGCGCGCAGTTCTGAAGTTCGCCGCCCACACCGGAGCCGTCGCCATTGCCGGTCGTTTCACCCCGGGTAACTTCACCAACTACATCACCCGCTCGTTCAAGGAACCTCGCCTGATCATCGTCACCGACCCTCGCACCGACGCCCAAGCCATCAAGGAAGCCTCCTATGTCAACATCCCCGTCATTGCCCTCTGTGACACCGACTCCCCCACCGAATTCGTTGACGTCGCTATCCCCACCAACAACAAGGGTCGTCACGCCATTGGTTTGATCTGGTGGTTGTTGGCTCGCGAGGTTCTCCGTCTGCGAGGCACTCTTGCCAACCGCGAGATTGACTGGGATGTCGTTGTCGATCTGTACTTCTACCGCGATCCCGAGGCCGAGGAGCAGAAGGAGGAAGAGAAGGTGCCAGGTGTGGACGAGGCTGGTGCCGGTGCCGTCGACCGTGGATTCACAGACAATGCCGACTGGGCCGGCGAGCCAGCGGCGGCTCCTGGCATTGAGGGTGCTCCTCAAGCCGATGCCACCTGGAACGAACCTGCTGCTGGTGGAGACTGGGCTCAGGAAGCGACTGCTACCGCCGCCGCCGCTGCTACTAGCGGATGGTAAGAGCTGGGTGGTTGGTCAAGGCGCAACAGCGATAGTGCTTGTTCCATCCATCAATTGTCTGCATCCTCTGACGAGTCTATCGTCTCGGCAACGGGATAATACCCCATTCCAGCATTGCGTTCTGCCAAGGATGGAAAGCCAAAAGAGAGAAGAAAATCAAAAAGCCTCAATTTATGCAACCAACCAACCCCTGCAATCTCATCCTATCACCTGTCTACGTGGCTAAAAGTCAACGACACTCATGAGGGAAAGATACTCGACTGGGATCAATCATTCATCCCGGAAGAGGGAAAGCCCTGTGTTGGAGACGAAGGGATGTACTTAATCGTTGCCCAGCCTTGTGGATGAGTCTCATAACTAATTCTAGCCCGTGAACCGAGCTTCATGAATACCAGTGGGAAATGGCTGAGATAGATCAATGGAAGAAGACAAAATCGTTGAAGACGACTCTTGGCCTATGATCCTTCCCTACGTGCTAAGCGGTCTTTCCGCTGCCTTCATTTGTGGTTTCCTATCTTCATTTGTGGTCCTATATTTCATTTGTGGTTTCCTATACCCTCCCTTGGCCATGGTCCGCATCTCCCAGGTGTGTAACCGGTAGCAGCCCAGTGTCGGCTAGCGGTTTGATCGAGTGTAGTCTGGTAATCTGTACTCCCCGAGACTAACAATACCCATGGCCCTGAACAAGTTTCATCTTTGGAGTCTATCCTCTTACCAGCACGCTAGCTTCATTGGTCGTATCAGAATTTCTCGACATGTTCAGAAGGTTGACAAGTGCACCTTTAAGCATGACTGCATGCGGTGGTAAGTAATGATTGTACTGGGAAGCTTTGCCGACAGACGGGCAAGCTTGTGACAACCTCTCCTCAGATTTGCTTGTGCCTACATCTAAGTCGCCCTTTGAAACCTAGGTCCCTATGGGAGGCGAGGCTGTGAGACATGGGCGGGATGGTCTGCCAATGCCTGTTCCTTTGGTCAGCATCGCCCAATCTTTTGTCGCAACTACTTGTACCGATATAACCTTAGACCTACCCAGAGCCTCCGTGATGCTGTAGAGGCACGCCGCCACTGATGAGGAGCAAGTTACTCTGTACTCCGTACACACTCGACGGTTGAGGCCGCACACGTATGCCATGCCTCGACCCTTGGAGTGCTGCGAATGAGTGATGGCGTTAGCCGCCCAGGGTGGTGTACGGAGTAACGTATCTCCTCCCCCCTGCTCGCTTTTGGCGCCCCTAGCCTCTCGGCTAGTTAGCTCTGCGTTGGGGGCTGAGAGTCCAGGTGTTCAAATACTTCCAGCTCTCCTGCCTTGAGGAGGAGCTTTCCCAGCCTTAAAAGCATCGACACCTGCTGCATTGGCTTGTACTTACTGTTTATATCCGCTGATGCAGTTCTGCAGCCCGACTTGCGGGGAGGAAGGACGCAACGACCGCTCCAGAGCCGTCCAAGAACGGCCCGTCCCCTAATCCGCCGTCAGCCGCCGCGCCTCAAAGGCTATAAGAGAGCTACGACGGGATTCTCATCATGACCTGGGCACCCTGGGAAGTCTTGCATAACTGGGCACCCTTTAAGATCGATGCCCTTGGCCTGGTCACTTTACTCGGGGCTGAGGAAATCAATTCCGCCGTTGGTCGACTGGTCCGTAGCACCTATCTCGAGTATCTCCCTTTGCTAGGGGCTTTCATCATTGCCGGAGACCGCTTCACTGACAAGGCAGCCGGCTTCAACCTTTACAATATCTCCGAAGGCATCCATACGACAGAACTCTCTGCATGGCTGACCCGGTGGATGCTCTCTCAGGACTTCGAGGTTACTCGAAGTTTCGTGGACTGGACGGTCACTCCGCCAAAGTCTCGTCGACATGACATCGTCGTCGCAGCGATCATCGGCTTCGTTTTGAATGGCTTTCTCATTGCTCTGACGCTCTTGTCCAGAGACTGGTATGGTTTCGCCAACGCCGTGGCCATGATCATTTCGATCTTGGTCCGCGCTTATGTTATAGGCCAGCACCGTGCGGCCATCGATGCCATGGTAGCCGAAGTCTCCAGTAAATCTCAATCCCATCCAACCGCAAATTCAGGCGAGGACGAGAGGCGGAGCCACGGCTTATGGAAGAAGGAAAACAGGGCAGTAACAATGAAGAGAGATAATACGTCTGGCGCAGACCCCCTCCCCGATGCGGACTCCTCATTTCAAAGCTCCTTTTCTGTCGACAATACCGCGAGGAGTCGGGGCTCTTCCCAGCAGAGTCAGAGGATGCCGAAGGAGCAGAGACCTGCACCGCCTATTAAGCGAAATCCAAAGAACCCTAAGTCTAAAGGCGGCCCCGGGCTTGGGAAGACCAAGGTCCTCATCATCCAGTCAGATTCCAAAGCAGTGACCTTCTGGATGCCAAAGGAGCTGTTGGCTCCACCATCCCTGTTCATCGAAGGCCCCAATCTTTTACACCCCCTGACGTATTCCTTTGTGCGATCCCTCGGGTGGGTGGCGTTTGCGGTGCACGTCGTTGCCCTTGGTATGGCAGACCTGGCTAGTCAGTGGTACACAGTTGTCCTCCTTGTGCTGCCGAGTGTCCTGCTGGTGCTCAAGTTTGGGTGTGACGACTCCAACTGGAGACCGACGATAGATGGCTGGAGGAGAAGCTTTCTCAACGGGTGCCAACGTCGCGACACGAGCAAGTCGGACGAGGTTGATGAAACTGCGAAGTCGGGAGAATTCGTGAAGCAGCGCGAATGCTGGATCGGTTCACGACTCAAAGCAGAGATCTACCAGTGGCCAGCCTCCTACGAGTTCACCGAAGAGGCAAATGGGGACGGTAAAGGATGGACGAATCGTGTTCTTAAAGGCAAAGAGCGCTCAAGGAAAAGACAAGATCTCTATGCATGGCTTGCACTTACGCCCGACGAGGAACAAAGCATGGATAAATGGGACCTCTTCCCGCACATACGCAACAAAAATGAGGTGTGGCGGACCACGTACGAGCTGAAGAGAGACTGTTTGCAGCCCAACCCCAATTTTGGGCCGCAGCGCGAGTTCTTGAGTGATCGACAAACAGTCTCCCCTGAGCCAATGGTACGGCGCAGACAGGCCAGGCCTCGCAGACAGAGCCTTGTAGCTCCTCAAATGGTTAGTTCAGCCTTTCCACTTTCAGCGATCAGGCCTGAAGATGCTGGTTTGGTCGATTCGCCGCGCCAAATGCCCCAGGGAAATGAGGCCGGGCCGCTCGATGATGGCAATGCGCTTCTGGAACCCTTTCCAAACGGTCGTAAGCCTGAGAGCGCTTCATCTTTGAAGGAGGACTAGAGGACCAAGGTCCGCAAGTCCTGAGCGTGACCACATTGAAGCGTGAACTGCCATTGAACTCTTGAGCGGCGGAAAAAGGAGTTCTGTTGGGACCATGAGGGACGATCTATCTCGGGGTCAATTTGGGCGGAAGATGGATCTCTTCGGAACGTCCAGAATTTAGACAGTCTAATCAGATTCATGAATCTCGATCTGGCATCTGGCATCTGGCATCGTTGAGGAAGCGACGCCTGGTTCCAAGGACATGAGAAATCACGTGCACACTCCATCTCCCTCGACAGCCTTGTGAAATGATATAATCCATTAGCGCTGATTAAGTAATGTCTCTTAGCCAATGGAAACCCCGTATCAACGCAAGGCTGCAAAATTGAGCTGACTAGTGGTGCCAAGCTCCATAAATGAGTCGCCAAGGCATAAAATAAAATCGGACGAGCTCCATATTCGGAGCGACCTCAGCTCAGCCAGTGTGCAACCCTCGTCATATTGTCTTTATACGCAATCATGCCGCTGGTCAATGGAACGGCCAAGGAGGTGAGAGTGAGTCTCCTGGGTAAAGAAAGCATCATCATCAACTTCGGTCTGTGGCGAAATCATGTCGCCTCAGATTTGCTCACCAACCTTGAGTCATCCACTTATGTTTTGATCACCGACACCAATATCAGCTCTCTCTACACCACGACTTTCCGAGAGGCCTTCGAGGCCGAATCCAAGCAGAAAGCCAGTCCGCCGCGGCTTCTGGTGTACGAAATCCCCCCGGGAGAGAGCTCCAAGTCCCGCCAGACCAAGGATGATATCGAAGACTGGCTTCTGAGTCAGAGTCCACCATGTGGTCGAGACACCGTCATCATTGCCCTCGGAGGGGGCGTTGTTGGTGACTTGACAGGTTTCGTCGCTGCAACATACATGCGCGGGGTTCGGTTTGTTCAGGTGCCAACCACGCTGCTCGCCATGGTCGACTCGTCGATAGGAGGGAAGACGGCCATCGACACTCCTTTAGGCAAGAATCTCGTCGGAGCCATTTGGCAGCCACAGAGGATTTATATCGACCTTGATTTCCTAGGGACTCTCCCCCGAAGAGAACTGAAAAATGGCATGGCCGAGGTGATCAAAACCGCTGCTATTTCTGACGAGGAAGAATTCATTGCGCTCGAAACCAACGCCCACCGTATCATGACCGCGGTCAATTCCGACATCAAGCAAGGGGCTAGTAGGTTCAAAGATATTGAGGCGATCCTGATTAGAATCATCTCTGCATCGGCGAAATTCAAGGCACACGTGGTCACCATTGATGAGAGAGAAAGTGGATTGCGCAATTTGTTAAACTTCGGCCACTCCATCGGACATGCCATGGAGGCCTTTTTGACCCCTCAAGTCCTTCACGGCGAATGTGTTGCGATCGGCATGGTCAAAGAAGCGGAACTGGCTCGATTCTTGGGAGTCCTTAGTGGTGTCGCGGTAGGTCGCCTACAGAAATGTCTGACTGCATACGGTCTGCCGACACGACTCGATGACGAGAGGATACGAAAGCTCTCCGGTGGCAAGAGATGCACTGTAGACGGCATGCTCAAGAAAATGGGCGTCGACAAGAAAAACGATGGCGCAAAGAAGAAAGTCGTTCTACTGTCTGCGATCGGCCGTACCTACGAGCAGAAAGCCAGCGTGGTGTCCGATTCGGACCTTCGTGTGGTACTTTCTCCAGCCGTTGAAGTGGTTCCTGGCGTCCCTCAAGATCTGACCGCGGTTTGTACGCCACCAGGCTCGAAGAGTGTATCCAACCGAGCTCTCGTTCTAGCTGCACTCGGCCACGGCACATGTCGCGTCAAGAACCTGCTCACGTCTGCCGACACCGAAGTCATGCTGGAAGCGCTCACCAAACTGGGAGCTGCTTCCTTCTCTTGGGAGGAAGATGGCGAGGTTCTAGTCGTGAATGGCAACGGCGGTCGCCTCCAAGCCAGTCCAACGCCACTTTACCTGGGCAACGCTGGCACGGCGGCTAGATTCTTGACGACGGTGGCGACATTGACGAGCAAAGGGCCTGTGTCATCTACAGTTCTTACTGGCAATGCTCGCATGAAACAACGCCCGATTGGAGATCTTGTGGAAGCCTTGAAGGCGAATGGCACTCACATCGAATATCTTGAGACTTCCGGGTGCCTTCCTCTCGACATCGCAGCTTCAGGCGGATTCGATGGCGGCGAAATCAACCTGGCGGCAAAAGTCTCATCGCAATATGTCTCTTCCCTGTTGATGTGCGCGCCATATGCGAAGAGGCCGGTCACCCTCAGACTTGTCGGCGGAAAGCCTATCTCGCAACCGTACATTGACATGACCATTGCGATGATGGCATCTTTTGGCGTCCAAGTGGACAAGTCGAAGACAGAGGAACATACTTATCACATCCCGCAAGGTGTCTATCACAACCCCCAGGAATATGTTGTGGAAAGTGACGCGAGTTCCGCCACCTATCCACTGGCAATCGCAGCCATAACGGGCACAACCTGCACCATCCCGAACATTGGTTCAGCGTCTCTGCAAGGAGATTCACGTTTCGCGATGGATGTGCTCAGGCCCATGGGCTGCGAAGTCGAGCAGACACGGACCTCCACTACAGTGACCGGTCCGCGAAATGGCGCGTTGAGGCCATTGCCGAACATCGACATGGAGCCTATGACCGACGCTTTCCTGACAGCCTCTGTGTTGGCGGCCATCGCCCAGGGGACAACGTCAAAAACCACACGGATCTACGGCATTGCCAATCAGCGAGTGAAGGAGTGCAACCGCATACAGGCAATGGAAGACGAGCTGGCAAAATTTGGCGTCACCTGCAGGCAATTCGAAGACGGGATTGAAGTGGATGGCATCGACCGGGCTCGGCTACAGCAGCCCAAGGGGGGTGTACACTGCTACGACGACCACCGTGTAGCGATGAGTTTCAGTGTCCTCGGGCTTGCGGCGTCCCAGCCCACTCTCATCCTGGAGAAAGAATGCACTGGAAAGACTTGGCCCGGATGGTGGGACACCATGGCGAGACTGTTTCGAGTCAAACTGGAAGGCGTGGAGCTGGACACGGCTGTGCACGCCACGACAAAGCCGCTGGACAGAAGTGCGGCCTCCCTGTTCATCATCGGCATGCGAGGCGCTGGCAAGACCACTTCAGGTCGGTGGGCTGCAAGATCCCTGGGCAAGAAACTGATCGACCTCGACACGGAACTTGAGCGTCGAGAGGGCAGGACGATTCCGGAGATGATTCGAGAGAACAGCTGGGAGTATTTCCGGGAGCGCGAATTGGCACTTGTCAAATCCGTCATGAAAGAGATGTCCACCGGTTACGTCTTCGCCTGTGGAGGAGGTGTGGTTGAGGCGCCAGAGGCTCGAAAACTGTTGGTAGATTGGCACCAGACCAAGGGCCATGTGCTTCTGGTGGAACGGGATATCAGTCAAGTGATGGATTTCCTCCAGATCGACAAGACGAGGCCTGCCTACGTTGAAGACATGATGGGCGTATGGCTGCGACGAAAGCCTTGGTTCGAGCAATGCAGCAACATCCTGTACTACAGCCAGAACATCCCCAACGAGCAGATGTCCGAGGCCGCCGAAGACTTTGATCGCTTCTTGCGGATGGTCACCGGCCACATTGACGTGCTTGCCGAGTTCAAGCGGAAACGAGAGTCGTTCTTCGTGTCCTTGACCTTTGAGGATCTGCGACCGCATCTGAACACCCTCCCAGAAGTCTGTCTCGGATCCGACGCGGTAGAACTGAGAGTGGACTTATTGAAAGAGCCGGGATCACCAAACGCCATCCCTTCCACGGAGTACGTGACTTCGCAGCTCTCTCTGCTCCGAGCAACCGTGCCTCTGCCTGTGGTCTTCACCATCCGGACGAGCTCGCAGGGGGGAAAATTCCCCGACACCGCCCAGGCCGAATATCTCGCCCTGTGCAGGCTTGCGATCCGGATGGGCTGCGAATTTGTCGACGTGGAAGTGGCCTCGTTCCCGGAGTCCATCCTCAACACAATCCTGGACTTGAAGAGCAAGTCGTATAGCAAGATCATCGCATCGCACCACGACCCGCAAGGCCGGCTGTCGTGGTCCCAACCAGGCTCCTGGATCTCCGTGTACAACCAATGCGTACAGTACGGGGACGTGGTGAAGTTGATCGGCGTGGCCCAAACGATTGACGACAACTTCTCCCTACGTCGCTTCAAGCAGTGGTCGGCATCGCAGCACCCGGAGCTGCCGCTGATTGCCATCAACATGGGCCGGGCCGGACAGGCGTCGCGCGTACTCAACGGCTTCATGACCCCCGTCAGCCACCCGGCACTGCCGTTCAAGGCCGCCCCCGGTCAACTGTCGGCCACGGAGATCCGACAAGGCCTGACGCTGCTGGGGGAGATTGCGCCGCGGCAGTTCTACCTGTTCGGCTCGCCGATCCAGGCCAGCAAGTCGCCGGCGCTGCACAACCGGCTGTTCCAGAAGACGGGCCTTCCACACACGTATTCGCTGTGCGAGACGACGTCGTTGGACGAGATCAAGGCCAAGATCCGCGCGGAGGATTTCGGCGGTGCCAGCGTCACGATCCCGCTCAAGCTGGACGTGATGCCGCTTCTGGACGAAGTGGACGCGACGGCGCGGCTCATTGGCGCGGTGAACACGATCGTGCCCGTCCCCGACGCCCGGACCGGGACGACGAAACTGGTCGGCCGCAACACCGACTTCCTCGGCATGATCGACTGCCTGCGCGCGGCGGGGGCGTCGCCCGCGCTCGGCGACGGCGAGCAATCCGGCCTGGTCATCGGCGGAGGCGGCACCGCGCGCGCCGCCATCCAGACCCTCCACACAATGGGATACCGGCCCATCTACCTGACTGGCCGCAACCAGGCCAAGATGGCCGAGCTGGCCGCCAGCTTCCCGCCCGTCTACGAGCTGGTGGTGCTCGACCCTGCGACCAACACGGACACGGACACGGGCGTGCAGACGCAGATTTCGGTCCCACTCACCGTCGCCATCGCCACCATCCCAGCCAACGTCCCCATCGACCCGGCGCTCAGCAACGCGCTTCGCGCCATCTTCGCCCTTCCCCTGCCCGCCACCACCTTGCCCAAAGGCCAGGGCTCCGCCGCGCCCCAGCGCACCCTGCTCGAGCTCGCCTACAAGCCCGCCCACACGGCCGTCATGGAGACGGCCGAGAGCGTCGGCGGCTGGAAGACCGTGCAGGGCCTCGAGGTTCTTGTCACTCAGGGCGAGTGGCAATTCGAGTACTGGTCCGGTATTCGCGTGCGAGGCCTCGCCGGCCGCATATCAAGGGTAAGTTAGGTCGAGTTGCGTCTGCTCTGCTCTGCTCTGCTCTGCTCTGCTCTGCTCTCTCCCCTCTCTAGAACAACCGAGTCCCTTCCCAGTCTATAATTCACTGCATTACACTGTCGCACCGTCAACTTGTTTGTCACTTGGTCGGACGCTAATTCTTTCCATCTAGGAAGTCGTTCTGGGCTCTGCCGCTTGAGCTGGTCGAGACCGCTCCGGCCGTCAGTGTCAGTGTCAGTGTCAGTGTCAGTTTGGATCATGTCAATGGTGAAGCGGATGTGAAAAGTTACAGTGACAGGTACAGGACATAGATATCGTCGGGGTTCATGGATGGAGCCTCGGGCTTTTGAGTATGAGATACTTGTTCAGATCACAAGAACTGCGGAACTGCGGAACTGCGAACTGTGGGAAATATCGTTGTAGAAAGCCAAAGGACCTGCAAAACTGTGGGAAATATCGTTGTAGAAAGCCCAAAAGGACGTGTGAGAGAGAGAGAAGCTTGATCTGATCCAACTTGGCCGGTCATCTCATCTTAGATTGTCACCTCCTAGGAGGTTGGGAGCGATATTTTGGTTGGGTTCGGTTCGGCGGCCTAAGGTGTCGCGACCTATGATATGTACTTAAACCACTTGAGCTCTTATCCTGTAATAGAAGAGTGAATCTACTTACACTACTTGAGCTCCTGTGATAGAAGAGTGAATACATACACCACTGGAGCTGGGGTGATAGAAGAGTGAATACATACACCCTCCATCCTCCATGAATACTTAGTAGTACAGATTCTGTCCAACACCCCCTACTACAATTGAACCCGCATGAACACTTTTGTCAACCTAATTAGATCTAACCTATGTATAGAACCACAGACCCCAGGCATTGCAGCAGCAACGTAACTAGAGTATCTTTGGTACATTTCACGCTCCTTGTCAGCCCTTGTCGGCTTAGGCACATTCACGCTCCTTGTCGGCGCCTCTCGTCCTCCGCCTGCTTCTGCAACGCCGCCGCAAGGGCCGGGTTACTAGCCCATGGCCCGGAGCTGAAATTCGGCGGCGCTCCCATGCTCTGCTGATGACCTTGGTTCTGCTGCTGCTGATGCGGGTGCTGTTGTTGTTGCTGCTGCTGCGGTGGTGGGACCGCCCAGCGCTGCTGGTATTGTTGTTGCTGTTGCTGGAAATTGAACCCAAACTGCTGCGGGAACCCTGGCATGGGCATGGATTGTGGCACGAAGGGGAAATTCGCCGGGGGGTTGAATCCATTGAAGTTAAAGGAGCCATGAGGTAGCGGAGTGATCGGGGAAGGCGTCATCGGCGGATATGGCATGTTTTGCGGTGTGATTGCTGGGGTGGTAGGTAAATTGAGATTCGGCATGGAAATCTGCTGAGGAAAGCCGTTTTGAGCATTGCCGTTGTGCCCGCCATGGTTGTGGAAAGCCGCTGCTCCTCGTGACTGGCCGAAACTCCCACCGCCGTGTTGACCACGAGGACCTCCCCTGCCTCCTCGGCCGTATCCTCTTCCCCGTCCACCATAGTCGCCTCTACCGGACCGCGGCGGCGGAGGGAGCGGTGGCAGTGATGTGTTTGGCCTAGACTCTTGGGGCTGCTCTCCTCTCGTGAGCAATTCGGTCAGATTGGCTGGTCTTTGTAAGGGTGTGTATCCTTCGTCACCGCCATCTGCGACGTCGTCGTAGTTCATTTCCAGTGAGCCATTGCCGTATGCACCGGCATCGGCATTGTTCATGTGGCTGTGGTTCCCTCCACGACCGCCCCCCCGGTGAGATCCTCTGGAGTGCTTCGACCCACCACGGCCTCTGCCCGTCTCCAGTGACCGTCCTTGCCTCCTCGCCTTCATCTGGCGTTTGTATTCCGCTTCAGCTTCATCGTCGGAAAACTCCATTTCGTCCTCGCCGACTTCTTCATCATGGAAATTGGACGCGTCACTTCCCTTGACGCCTTTCAGCGGTTGCGTAAAGACAAACGTCGAGTGCTGCGGAACATAGAAGACCGTGGCGCCTGTTGAGGAGAGACCGGCCTCTTTGATTTCGTCGTCATTGTTGAACCGGATTGTGTACCTAGGTTCCTCGACTCGTCCTATCAAGTCGGCAACCACTCCCACGACTGATCTGTCCTGGAGACAAATCAACGATCCGGTCTCAAGCACTTGGTACTCGCCCGAGGTTTTGGCTTTGATGACCACAGTGTTCTCAACCACAATCTCGACATTTCCCAGCTCTTCAATTTTCATATCCTCGGTCACGGTGATATCAGGCTTAGGGATTACCGCCTCCATTTGTTCATGAGCTGTCCGAAGAACAGCATCGGTCTTGTCTCGCGTTCTTCCTCCTTCGTCGTCTGAGCCTGCATCTCCTTGCATGAGTATCCGTGCCGTTTCTTCCGGGTCGAGCATCGCGTAATCTCCATCTGCGTCATCATCGCTATCCTCTTCCGAGGACGTTGTGTCGGAGGATGAGTCCGAGTCGGAATCCGAGGACGACTCGTAGGGTGAGGAATCGATTTCCCACTCGGCGCCTTCGGCACCAGGCTCGGGAGCAAGCGACTCGGTTCCAGGTATCACGTCCATCATAACGTCAGCTGCGACGACCGAGGTGTCGGACACGTTTCCCACAGCCAGACCAGTAGCATTGGTGTCAAGAGAAACAGCAGCTGGATCATGATCTTCAATATCGCGGCCGCCCGTATCGCTGTTCACGATGCCATCTGCCAGATCCATCTGGACAGTCTCAGCCGCAGGCTGGCTTTCCGTCGGCAGCTGTTGCTGCACTGTTTCCCATTGCTGAGTATCTGGATTCTGTGCCCCGTCTTCACTTTTTTCGACCACAAGCTCATCGAGAACAACATTCGTCGTTGCTCCGTCCTCAGCGACAGTCAGGTCTGCGGTGAGAGATGGTTCCGTGGGCGGCGGCGCGGATGCGGATGCGGCTTCGACCTGCAGCATCAATGCATCGAGCAGAGAAGTCGATTCATGGCTGGGTACCGTCGCCTCTGGGTCGGTGGTCGCAGTGCCAGCCTCTGGGTTCTCACGGCCTACGTCCACAGTGCCAGGCTCGACATCGGGTTGTTGAGGATCAACTGGCCGGCCGTCGGGGACTGGCGCTGGTGCTGGTGCTGGTTGCGACTCGAGGGGCTGGCCTGCATCGCGGCTTTCTTCAGGGGAGTTCGTCCTTTGGCGCTTGGCCGGGGATGTCGGAAACTCGTCCTCGCCGTCCATATCTGAGAAATGCGTGATCTTGGGTGCAGCGGTGTGGTGAGAAGTGAATGAGAAAAAGATCGAGGCAGTTCAGCGGTACATGCATGATCCAAAATGCCGCCTCCAAAAAAAGTCTCTGACATGCGGAGAAATCATCCACATCCACTCTGAGTACATTTTCATGTCCAGCCACAGCCACAGCGAACCTCTAGGCTGCTCACTTCGACCTGCTCACCTCAACGGCCCCTCGACCACTAGCGAATACCACGATCTTATCTATCTAGGCAGATGCACCGATCTTTTCGCCCAAACATGACCTGTACAATCCCATCGAGCCGAGTTCGTGGGCCGCGTGAAACTCTTCCGTCCTAACTGCCACACGTTGACCATCTGGCGCCACGATCCAGTGCCTGCGTAATTTACGAGAATATACAACGATGCGAGGTATCAATGACCGACAAATGGAATGGATGTCAGGTATTCGTGACTGCTGGCAAAAAGAACGTATCTTCAGGGCCCCATGTCGAAGATGACAACGCATGGGCCATCACCAAGTCAGTCGGTTTCGCAGCAGATAACAAGTGCCAGGACGTTGAACAAGCGACTCAAGGCTTGCTCCCTCGTTTCACTGTGGGAGTTGAGCACGATTGAAGAAACATTCACAGCTATTGACCTCTGTTTCGAGAAGACCACGTCCTGTCCTTCTGACCACGGTGAGCCAAAGAGTCCGCCCAACTCCCGTGTCTGGTGGACAATACCCCTTCATAGACTTGTAACGTAACTTTACATGGGACCGTGTGTCCAAGGTCAGTTCCTCTCCCTAGGCCCGTCCGCCTGATTCGCCGGTGATATTGTTCGCGGCTGCCATCTCCTCGTCCGTGGGCATGTTGACAATCATCAGGTACAGGACATTCTACCGCCCAGACGTCAGTATAAATCGCAGCAAAGCAGGAAACGAGCGGGTTGCTTACCTGGCTGAGGACACGTTTGATGGCATTTGGGCCACCTCCCAATCCTGACCCGAGAATGGCGCCAACAAGGTTGTCCAGGCCGACTCCTCCAAGGCCCCCCATGCCACTCGGTCCATCGTCTCTTCTTTCTGTTCCCCTGCCGAACACCGTCTGAGCAGCATATTCTGAATTTTGTGGCTGAGAGCCAACTCCTGGCTGCATCGCCCCTTGAGATTGAGATTGCGCTTGTCCTTGCTGGTAATATGCTTGCTGTGGCAGGCCTTGGTACCCTCCACCTCTTCCGCCACCCATCATCTGTCGCCTGCCGCCGAAACCTCCACCGAACCCGCCAAAGCCTCCTCCAAAGCCTCCTCCAAAGCCTCCTCCAAAGCCTCCACCGCGTCCACCAAGCCCACCTCCGACGATTTGCTGAAGGTTAGGTGGATTGAACTTTCCGCCGGTGATCAGTGACACAATATTTCCACTGGTGGCTGGATGGTTTGGATCGGCGTATCGGGAGGTAAACTTTGGAGTCGGCCCGTTGAGTTTGGCCAGGGCACTGTCAGGGTTCTTGCCCGCCTGCGTCAATCAGCAAATGTCAGCCATGGTCCGAATCCAGGAGGTAAAATGCCAAAGATACACCAGCAAGAGGTCTGGTAACCACTGGCAGTGAAATGGTCAGGGTCGGTATGGTCACCTACATGTTTTGCTTGAGCCCTGCGGTCAAAGTAGGTCTGAGAAAATTGCTTATAATGTTTGATCTTGTCTTTCTTCCGTTCAGCCTCGTCTCCTTGCTGGACGGCGAGCTCATCGAGGGCAGGGAAGACCAGAGCAGCTGCTTCAGTGAACGCAACGTCACCGACGCCACTAGAAGTCTTCATGCTCCGCTTGATTTTCCCCATTCCTGACGCCGGGGCCATGCGGTCGACTATGGTGGAATTCAGGTCGACCGAGGTATACATCTCAGGAGAGTCGGGCTGCCAGGTCATGACAAGGCAATAAAGGCCACGAGGCCGGAAAAACTCGTCGTTGATGCGGTCGAGGAAGGTGTTCTGTCTGGAATGGGGCACGATTGTCAGCTTGTTCGAGGCTTGGCCGGGGCCCAAGGTGAAGATCGGACTGGACACTCGGACTGGACACTCGGACTGGACACTCTTACTTACCGCTTGCGACTCTGAATGTCTTTTGCAATCTTGACCGAGATCATGATTGCAAGCTGCACTGCCTGCGAGATGCCCGGAGGCAGGGCCAGGGTGGCGAACCCGGCCAAGTTGACCGCGTCGAGCCAGGGTGCGGCCAGACTGGCCTGATGGAAGGTCTCGATGAAGTCAAGAAAAGTGTCCTGGTCGATGTCCTTGATCGCGAGGTCGGGTGCGTAGGCTCGAATGAAGCCTCGTTCCCGCGCCTTGGGTCTGCGCTGAGGAAGAATGACGGGCAATGGGAGTTTCGGCGATCCAGCCACTTTGGTCTCTGGGTCTCCCGGGCTTTGGTGTTGGTGTTGCTGTTGCTGTTGCCTCGCCGATACAGGTAACGTTGACTTTGACGTTGAAGGAGGAGGAGGATGCCTGCGCATGAATGCGTCCGTGATCTTCGTAGGACTCATCTGCTCACGTTTGGACAGGGGCGCCTTCTGGCTTTCGTTGTTGTTGTCGATATCAGCGAGCTCGTCCTGCGCCTCATCCAGCTCCCATTGTTCTTCGTCCCCTTCCTCGGGAACAAGCGACTGCGACTGCGACTGCGACTGCGACTGCGACTGCTTCTCTTTCGCATTTGGTGCGTCGGCTGTGCTGGACGGGTCTGCTCCAGTCCTTGCCAACTTTCTCTCTTTGTGATGATGGATACCTTCTGAGACGAGGCCAATGCCGGAAGCCAGGCCTTTCACGGCCATCCCAAGTATCACGTCCGCCATTGTGTTGTGTTGTGTTTTGTTTTCGGTCTTTTTCTCTGGCAGAGAGCTTGAAGAATGGCTTATGTGTCCGTACACATGTGAGTATGGCAGGACCCAGAATTGAATTGCAGGGGTTTGGCAAGTGGCTATCTGGTACTATGTATTTACTTAAATATTCATGGACTCTGGGGACGATTCCATGGGACTTTGTACCATGTAGTACTAGTACATGTCGTCTGTCTACCTAGGTACCCAACTATCTTGCCTTACGTACGGATCTCTCGCCAGGAATAGGACGGCTGCGACAGTTGAGACGGGAAACTGGGCCCCTAAGCCCCTCGCTGAGGCGCAATACGCATGAGGCCCTTTAGGCCCCATAGCCCGTTGATCTCGCGCATGGTGCACCAAGCAGGTATAGGAGGGACAGGGTCCAGGGTCCAGGGTCCACAGTCGCGGAGATATGTAGGTCCGGACAGCCAGTGATCAATCATCACACAGTAAGTACTCTGTACTCCGCATGGATACTGCTAAGATCGGCCGTATAGGTACCACAGGTATAACACAGTGGAGCTCACATACGAGAGGAGAGGCAGTGCACGCCAATCACCATAATGGTATGGTATCTGTAGATCAGGGCGATTCAACCCCGTTATCACTCGCAAGATGGGTCCGCTTTCAGTTACGGCGAGATCGGGGGTGTTTCAAAGAGCGGGGATTTGGCTTAGATACGTGCGTACTCCGTACACTGTACAGATCTTCAGGGTTGGGGCAGATATGTTAGGTACCTACCACCAATGTACGGATACAGAATATGTACTCCGTATATACCTCCCCAGCCACCTTAGAGTCTTAGGTACTAATAAGACAAGCATTAATTACGCTGTTCAGGGAAGTGAGCGACACACCGCCGTGTTAGAGTTAGAGTTAGGGTTAGGGTTAGGGTTAAGATATTATATCTGCCAATTAGACAGATGTTTAGAGTGCGCATTTTAACTTACTAGCGTGGCCAATTATGCTGACTTAGAGATGGCTCTAGAGTTTAAACGGCCAAGTCTTAAGTCATAGGCACCGCTAACACGACTAACGTCAACGTCAGTCAGTGGCAATCACAGGGCGGCGTCACCCTCTTGCCTAAACGGGGCGAGTTGCACGCAGGCCGCAGCTCCCCCTGTTGGCATCAATCTGTCCTTATAGCAATTAGATACTCGGTACATACCAACTACCCTGATCCTGAGTATACCACACACCATGGATCCTAGTCTGGAGGAGTTCAAGAGACGCTCCGGTCCAATCAAGGTGCCCCAATTCCAAGGGTAACAAGTCCGCTGGCTACTTTACGAAAAGTCTCCCGCTGATACGAGTAGAACAAACCCTCAACCCCTTGGCAATCTGCAGCAAGCTCCTACTCCTACTCGACTCTATCTTCCTCTGAGCGTGGCCTTCTACACTTGTTTTGCGTCGCATCTTCTGGCTGCTCTTTATGCCCCAATCCAGGATTGTGACGAGACCTTCAACTACTGGGAGCCCTTGCATTACCTCACCCATGGCTACGGCCTTCAAACATGGGAATATTCTCCAGAATACGGCATTCGAAGCTGGGCGTACATCGCCCTACACGCCTTGCCGGCCAAGATCGTGAGTCTGCTTGGACAGTCGAAGACCTTTGAGTTCTATGCTCTGCGCATCGGTTTCGCCATTGTTTGTGCAGCGACCGAGGTCCGCCTGTACTCGGCCATATCTCGAACACTCAACCCCAGGGTCGGGGTGATCTACCTGATGATCGTCGCCGTCACTCCAGGTTTCTTCTATGCCTCTTCTGCATTCTTGCCATCAAGCTTTGCCATGTATACATCCACTCTCGGACTGGCCTGTTTCATGGATTGGTATGGCGGGCCCAGGACTGCTCCTGGCATCATGTGGTTCGGAGTCGGTGCTCTGCTCGGTTGGCCTTTTGCTGGAGCCCTGGTCGTCCCATTCGTCCTGGAGGACTGGTTGATCGCTCTGGTAGGCCAAGTCGATCTTTTCGCAACCTTCAGAAGGTACCTTGACGGCTTCGTCCGTTGCTTGATCGTTCTGGCTTTACAGATCAGCATCGACACCTTTTTCTACCACAAGATTGTTGTAGTCCCGTGGCGTATTGTCGCGTACAACGTGTTCGGTGGCCAAGGCCGTGGCCCGGACATCTTTGGAACGGAGCCATGGGACTATTACGTGCGCAATTTGCTGCTCAATTTCAACATATGGTTCATTCTGGCCTTGGTCTCGGGGCCCTTGTTCCTTTTCCAATGGATCGTCTTAAAACAACATACCACCAAGCAAACGCTCCTGAGGACACTGACCTTTCTCAGCCCCTTCTATCTCTGGCTGGCCATCTTCACCCTTGAACCGCACAAAGAAGAGAGATTCATGTTTCCAGCCTACCCGTTCCTGGCTTTGAATGCCGCCATAGCATTCCATTCGCTCTTGGCCTGGATCGGATCGTCGGAATCCATCATCTTTGGTAGAATCCCGGCCAAGCTCAAGTTGCTGGCTATCCTGTCTACGGTTCTTGTCGCGGTCAATATCGGCCTGCTGCGAACCTTGGGAACAGTCACTGCATACCGAGCACCCCTGCAGATTTATCGTGTGCTCGAAAGCGCCAATATGACTCGAGGTGGAGATACAGTGTGTTTTGGCAAAGACTGGTATCGCTTCCCATCATCTCACTTCCTCCCTCACAACACACATGCAAAATTCATCAAGAGCGAATTCGATGGTCTGCTGCCTGGCAACTTCCATGAGGGTGAGACCGGGTTTGGATTCTTCCCAGGCACTTGGCTGGTGCCAGCTGGGATGAACGACCAAAATAGAGAAGATCCCGGAAAACACGTTGACGTGGAGCACTGTACATTCCTGGTTGACTCCTACATGCCAGGGATAGAAGCAACAGAGCATGAGCCACTGTATGTTGTAGACGACGGCTGGGAAAAGATTGCGTGCGCCCCGTTTCTGGACACGTCCAGGACCGGGATGGTGGCGCGGACGGTCTGGATCCCCGACCTCGCAGTCATTCCACCCAGATACCGGCGGCGGTGGGGAGAACACTGTCTGTTGCACCGTCGCACCACTTGACTTTGGGATCACCTGGAGCCCCAAGAAGAAACAGAAAGTGCCGCCGCCCAGGGAAGGGCATTGCCCGGATATTAACAGCTGGTAAGCCTATCTATGCGAGAACGAGTCGCCCTCGCGGTCAGATGCCGCACCGACTCCCTCAGCCGTTGCTGTGGAGAAGCCGGACTATTCCATAAGTGGCATGTTTGTCCAGCAGAATCGCAGGCACGCCATTGGTCATTCTCGACCACGTCGTTGCGTCCCTTGATAAGAATCCGAGGAGCCAGTGCGATAACACCCACTGTCGCCTGTCACAGCAAAGCGAGCGGTTGGAAACGTGGAAAAGACCTAGAAAAGTCCTGGGGAAGAGGCCAGAAGCGTGCGCTTCCATGGCGGATCGGCACGTCGAATTTAGACATTCGTTCCTCGATGCATGGGACATTCATGCATATCTATCCTGGCCATGCCCATGCCACCCAGCTAGGTTGTCTCCCTGCCTTTCTTCTTTGAGCTTTATGCTGTTGGATACCACTGTTCCTGTTCCACCGCCATGGATTCAGACACACTCAAACGGTCCCTCTCGGACCTCGTGGTCAGGTCACAACCATACATCGACCAAGCCAGCACACAGCTTCGAAAGTCCCGTCAACACTGCTCGTCGTTTCTGAAAACTGCCCAACAAGACCTCGACATCCTGTCACGGGAACCGCATTTGAAAACAGTTGTCTCTGCCTTGATTCTCCTTGTTTTCGTCACCGTGGCTCTGTCCCGCTACCTATACCGTCGCCACCTCGCATCTCCCAGTACCACGCGGCCGTCGACGCCGACAATCGAAAAGGCGCCCTCCTCCAAAGCGGCGGCGCCAGCCCGCAAGCCAGGCACATGGATCCCGTCGTCGTTCAAGCGGCCCACTCCGGCGCCCTTTCCAAACTGGTCGATCGAAACAACCAAGCCTCTGCCCTACCGGCCATTCCGATATGGGCCGAAATACTTTGTGACCATGGGCCTCCGCAACGTGAAATGGGACGACTGGATCGAGCTGGACAACCACTACCCACGGTTCCACGCCGACAAGGCACGACGGATCAAGGAGCGCGGGCCCAAATGTTGCAGGACGGCGCCCGAAGCGTACCCGGCGGCGGTGGAGCTGCTCGAAGAACTGCGGGAGTACCTGTGTGACCGTTACCCGACGCTGTACCAACGCACTGACAAGGGGGTCAAGAACCTCTGGTCGGGCGAGGAACTGGATACGACGTCGCGGCCTTTGCCCGAGGACCCGATGCAGACGTGCGCGCGACTGACGCAGGACGACCTGGCCATCATGATCGAGCGGGCGGACGGCCAGTACTACCTGTTGGCGGGCGCTATCCTCCTAGCCGGGTTCTGGCGGCTGGAAGACAAATACGGGATGCCGCTGTCGGAGATCCACACGAGCGGCGAGGTGCCGCAGTTCCGCGAGAAGCTGGAGAAGGGCATGTTGAACTTCTTTCGGCGGCTGAAGCCCGAGGAACTGATCTCGCGCAACAACTACTTCCTGCAGGTCGACGAGGACCTGGCATGGTCGCAATCGATCGGCTCCGAGGATTCAGACGGCATCAGCTGGAACACGGCGGAGAAGAACCGGGCCATCGAGCACCACTACTTCCGCTCTGAACGGCAGGCCTTGCGCCGCCTGCCCAAGTCTGGAGGGGTCGTCTTCTCCATCCGCACCTACTTCCACCCCATCACCGAAATCGCCGAGGAAGACTACGTGCCTGGTCGTCTGGCCAGCGCTGTCCGGTCCTGGGGCGACGATGTCAGCCGATACAAGGGCAAGGCAAAGTACGAAGATGTCTTGCTGGAGTATTTGGACAAGAAGCATCAAGAGCAGCTTGACCGAGGCCTGAAACTCGACGAGGAGGATGAGAAGAGGACTTATCCGTGGTAGTGACCAGTCGTCACGGCCGGGGAGAGTATGCACGCTATAGGGGATCCAGTTTGGTTGTGTCTGTGGGATGTTTGTCGGTGTGTGGATGACGATACCGTGCGCAAGACAAGCTTGGCTCCAGAGACAAGCTTGGCTTGTTTCTCAGGCTTTCCTATGTACCTTGGAGAAATAATGATAAGCCCAGCCTAAGGTCATCTCCAAGCCTAAGGTCATCTCCAAGCCTAAGGTCATCTCCAAGCCAGCCATACGGCCCTGTTCTTCCACTTGGCTTGAGAAAGCGACACAAGGCATAGCACCTAAGACGAGTTCAGACCGGACGAGGCATGGGCCACAGTACCGGTATGTGTGACGGACGGGGAGTTGACGAAGTTCCACCGAATATCTCCTCTTCTTCGCCCACCATGTTCCAGCAGACGCTTCGTCCAGATTGAACCAGGCTGCTTCGAGGGTCTTTTTTGAAGCCATCCATGGTGTGCCCTTGAAGCCATCCACGGTGTACCCTCCTCTCTCGAGAACTTGAAGGTGGCTGCCACTGGCTTTACAGCACTCTGGCTTGTTGCCTTGTTCATGCGACTCGACTCGACTCGACTCGAAGCCAACTGTCGCGAGGGGAGTTCACTAGAGTACGGTATGAGTGTGTACAGAACATGTCATCAGCGGCCTCGACAATAACTTGAAGTATGGACTCCGAGTGTGGTGGTAGCCTCGACAATAAGCATGGACTCCGAGTGGTGGTAGCCTCGACAATAAGCATGGACTCCGAGTGTGGTGGTGGTAGCGGTACTATGAATCTCTGAGAAATATATAATGCCTATATACCTACCTACCTGCCTAGGTACAGTCGCCTATCCATAGCATACTGTACTGTCTGTATTGTTGTGTGGAATCCCTAGGTGTTTACAGTCATGTCGTCTGTCATGCTGTTGCTGTTGCTGTTGCTGTTGCTGCCTCGACCTCGATTTCATCTACTCTTCGCAGATCAGACTAGACGGCAAAGACGCATCTCTAGCACCTATCTAGTATTACTTACCTACTATATATCTACTATGCACCTACTATGCACCTATCACAGTGCCCGTGTGTACTATATTGCCATTATTTACTAACAGTGAAGTTTTTATTATCACCCGTAGTGCAGTACAGTACAGTGCAGTGTAGTGGTTGCAATATTCCTGCTGTGGCATGGCGTGAAATATACTTCCCGCAAATATATAGAGATACACGGGAATTAGGACCGATGCAACGGGTACGAATTGAAATTGACAATAACTTGTTTTCTCGCCTCACATCGCCTCGGATTGCTCGGGCTCGGACTCGGATAGATACATACCAGGTAGATACATAGATACATACTGTAGATACTAATTAATTAGAGCTTAGATACGAACAAAACACATCTGGATCTGGATCCAAGACCAGGCAGGCCCAAAGACTCCCGAAGACATTTTGATCACTATATACTGTCACTGTGACTGTTTACCATTCCCCTCCACACGGTGGTCTTGTCGTTGCGCCTTTTGTGGCGTGTAGACTTTCCGCGCTTCTGTGGTCGCCTCACCCTTTCCTGGGCCTGGGACCGCATCGTATATAATATACATTGGCTGTACGGATACTCTGTACAGAGTAGTCGTAGTAGTAGTATGCTTGAGTTGCCGGGCGAGATGTGTCCGTATCCGACGTGGACCGTGGGTCGTGGGTCGTAAGTCGTAAGTCGTAAGTCGTCGGAAAGGAGCGCCAACACCAGGTAATCGAATCGTCGCACGTCACAGTGCATATCGCAAATTGCTTGTCGCGGCTTCAGCGCGATGCGATGCGGTGCGGTGCGGTGCGATGTTCAAGTGTCGACCGAGTGTGGAAGGCCGGACTCTCCTGGCAGTATGGACTGTATTCTTGTCCCAAAGAATTCATAGTATGGACTGTTTTCTTGTCACAAATGATCCATGGTCCGCGTCCATTCAACGTCATCAGAGGCCCAGGACGACATTAAGTTCTTTTTGAACCATTGCGTTTCTGCGTACTTCCTTTTGAACCATCGTGTTTCTGCGTACAGCACAGCAACGCAGCGAAAAGACTTAGGCGTAGGGCTGAGGTGGACTCGACGCAAAGTCTGCAGGTCGTAGCGACATTCTCTCACCTGGAAATGGGCCCTGGTCGTGGCCGGGCGTAGCCGTAGTCGTCACCTCAAGCTTTGAGATCTAGCCAGGTCATAGCCGTAGTCGTCACCTCAAGCTTTGAGATCTAGCCAGAGCATGTAGACTTGTCTCGGCCAAGATTCAAGGCAGGGCCCAAGTCCACATCATACATAGATTCAAGTCTAAACCCGACTCCTGCTGGATACGGCCGACGCCGGCTCAATGTCGCGGCCTTGACCGTCGATGCCGGTCGACTCTCTCATCTTTCTTCTCTCCTCAGCCTCCCTGATTCTCAATTCATTCCTCTCGTGGATCCATTCACACCCGTCACGAAACTCGCAGACACGACACTTCCACGCGTCATGTACTTCGACGCCCTTGGGAGAACGCTCTCCCCGCCAAAAGGCCAGCGCGTCGTACAGGTACGACTTGAGAAATGATGGGTTGAAGATGATGGATTTGCTACCCAGAAGCTTCGACCCAGATCGAGAGTCATAGGACGTCGAGACGTACCGCACCGTCAACAGAGGTGACAAGCGTGTCGGAAAGGAGGGCGGCGTGGGGATTTGAGACAGGGATTGCGGCGTGGAAGAGGGATTGTTTTGAGACAAGGATTGCGGCGTTGACGAAGAATTGTAGTCGTGGCCTGGAGAATTTTCATGTTCAAAGCCAAGGTCACGCTTCGAAGCAGTGGAAGACGTAAGCGAGACCAGAAACGTTTCCCTGAATTGAGCTAGCATGAAACTCCAGAGGCTAGCGATGTTGCTGTGCTGGAGTAAGATGTCGATAGAATCCTGACTCGAGGGCACGGCCTCATCCAAACCCTCGTCAACTGGATGCCCTCCGGTTTGTGAGCTGGGGAAGACGAAGAGCTCCTGGTTGAGATTCCCGACCTGCGCGATAAATGCGTCCGAAAACGTCGCGTGCACATCTAGCCTATACCGCGAGGCGAGGTGGTCGAGTGAGAAATGCCCCTGCGCCAGATTCTCCAGCATGTGGTGATATAGATGTAACTGTACAATCGTAGGACGTACGCTGGAACCGGTAGGTAGAGTCGAGGAGCCCCGTGTCTTGACGTCTGTAAGGTAGATTCTCCTTTCATCTTCCGACTTCCCATTCCTCCCTGCTTGTTTCGCCTGGCTGTTATGATTGTTGTTGCTGCTTAGTGCTTCGGCGATGGTCTGCCCTTGTGCCCCGATGTCGCTGGTGACGAGGTAGTCCCGAATGCTGGCTTGATATTCTGGCAAGGGAGGCTCAGAGTCTTGCTTGGACAACAGCCTGAGGCTCTGTTCCTCCAGTTTCGGGTCTGGACAATGGTAGCTAAGCTCGTCAATCACGCCGTTCACCAGCTCGCCACCGATTGATCCCCACACCTCCAACTCCCGTGTCTTGCCTGTTTCACGCAGCGTCCTCAAGCCTTGTATGATATTCCATATCCGCAGTCCCCAGCTGTCTTCCTTGGTGGTGATCGTCACCGGCACCGTAGCGTGCACTTCGTCCTCTAGAGCCTGGTGGACCGCACTGCCTTGTTTCATCGCAGGCGTCCTCCTCTTGCGGCCATGCTTGGTCAGAACGTAGAAGTATTGCAGTTCACACCAGGCAGGTGATACGAGGTCGGTGACTGAGAGTGCTTTCTTCGGCGGCCGCCTGAATCGTTCTAGAGGGCTTCGAGTATCGGGTTCGGGTTCAGCTTCAGGTCCGGCCGGTTGAGCATCTGGTCCACCAGGCGTTTCCGTGTCTAGGGTTTGCGAGTTTCGCCCTTCTTCATCTGTACGGTGTGTTCTCACCTCGGCTAGCCGCTGGTCAGCTTGTCAGTAAGAGACAGCGATGGGCCGGTTGTCTGTGCTTACAACTCGGGTCACGTATGTCCTGGGCAATCCTCGCGTCTGGGATTTGCTCCTGTATATCCCATTGACGCGTCGTCTCATGACCGAACACCTTAGGCAGACGAACGCCTCGAGGTGCCTCATAGTCCTCGATGTCCGTGACGACCAGAGGCGCGTTTTGGCCTCGGGTCTGTTGCGCGGCGACTTCCAGAAGCAGCCGATCGACTATTTCGAGCTCCTCAGGATCTTCTCCGAAGTCACTGTATTCATCGTCATTGTCCTGCCATTCAGCTGGAACTTCCTGGTCAATCGTGTCCACTGGCATGGGAGTGTCGTTCTCTCGTGGCCGATCTAAAAGGTTCGACATGGTTAGGGGTGAGTGAGATCTATCGGTGGCGTTGCATGCGTCACGATCCAACACGCGCGACTCCACGACTCCCACGAGATAAGGAGTTCTGAAGGATGGACGAGCTCATTGTTCAAGTCACTGCAGATATACATCACATATCATGCCGTTGTTTTGCTGTCGCGTCCAAGTCTGACAACACCTCCGGAGGTGCTTCTGCCTGGCTTTCGATGGTTTGTGGACGCGTCGCGGGGTTTTACTCATCAGTTCTACAGGGTAGATGCTGGCGTACGAATACTCAACATCAAAGGAAATCCAATACATCTATGCTCCTTTTCTAATCTCTATGCATGTCCCAGCGCGTCTAGGCCAATAAATGCTCCTCTCCCTTATGCCGATGCCACCTCTCCTTCATTGCATATCTACCCAATGCTCCTTGATCGACGACGTAACAGAGGTTCTGGACCGCTTTCCTGTATCTCCTGAAACCTTCGATCGTCGTAATTATAGTTTAGTTGTGCAGTCCCTCAAATCACTCCCGCTTATATCCAAGCCTCCTGTGGCTGTCGATGCCACTCCGTCACTTTGCCGCGAGGCCCTCTGGGATGACAGGTCTATCAATAGAATCCGTGGCCATCTCAATCTTCTCTTCTTTTCTGTTCAAAAAACTCAAGTACGCCTGCCATGCAACTGCGAAAATGCCCGAGAACATAAATCTGTACTGGGGCATGATGAACCAGAAGCTGAAGGCGGTGACTGCAGGCCACAGCTTGAGAGAATTCACAATGCTCACGGGCACAGCCGCTTGAACTCGTGCAATGATCCCAGAGGGTGGTTCGCCGGTCAAGAGGGCCTGCATGGCGAAGAAATATGTATTGAAAACGGGAGTGAATACGATCTGTTGGACCACGACTTTAGTGGCTATGGAGGCCGGTTTGGAGGCAAAGTTGAAGCTTCTGCCCAGAAAGAGAAACCTGCTCTCCGTATCAGCCATTGATTGCCCTTTTGCTACTGCTGTGGACGACACTCTTGCCGGTGTGAGCACTGCGGCCAAAACGTACCATTTGTACCCCGGTATAGATGCCACTGCACCAATTGTCAACATCCGCAACGTCCTGGTCGGATCATAAGGCTCTCCTCCAATATCCTGCGCCAGGAGATCACCACACAAATATGTTGTCAGGGTCGTACATATTTGCACGGTGTACGGTCTCTTCAGCTGCGTACGGTGAAACCAATTGAAAAAGGTCGTCACCGGCCCCAGGCGGTGATACCATAGCTGGCTAGGAATGTCGACCGGTTCGCCCTTCCTCGATGGGATGCTCACTTCATTGGGGGAATGTGGGGGAAGTCGAGTCTGTGTCTGGGTGTTCAAGCTGGTCTGGTCTTTGGGCGCGGTGGATTTGGATGAATTGTGCTGGGCATGTTGAGGTCGAGATCGAGGTATTCGTAGCCACGGTGTTCTGGCACCAAACCTGCCAGACACCCGCTGCAGATGTATTATCATCGTATCTCTATCATAACGAGAGCAATCATGAGCGACTCCTTGAAAGACATAGTATCGAAGATGTCCGCAAGGCTTTTCTTATCGGAGAGGACTAGGGACGGACTATCTGAATGTATCTCACCCGCGGTTATTAATCGGAGCGGCTTCGGCTGGACGATGCAGATCCACCGCCCAATGACGCCTTTTAGGCACCAGGTTGCCATGTGGCGGGCATCATTAGCCACGCCCATCGCCCGGAATGCAGCCTATTAGCCTCTAAATCACCCAGCCAGATAAGCACAACATTCACACAAGTAGTGTCGTGACCGAAACTCTTGCTACTTCAGAAACTACTGGCAACACGAAAGAAGTATGATCATGTCTGGACGTGGATTGTATTCTCAACGTCTATCTCGCTGTCGGCTCATTCTGCTCTATCCAGATCATGTCGGTGTGACTGGATTTCTGTGATGTACAAGCAGAGACGCCAAAAGCCCCAGGACCACCCATGATTGTGTCTTTGGAAAAACAATACAAGCCCATATGATTCATTCCGTTTCGCCGGTGCAACTCGTGAAAACCCCCCATACCCATCATCATGCCCAACTTCCCAAATGTGCTGATTGACTCATTGGAGCTGTTCGAGCAGCCGGTGACTCAAGAGACAGTCATTATCTAGGATCGCTCACCGCGAAGACGACGGGCGAGCTGGATGTCCTTGGACTGGATGGTGACACGCTTGGCGTGGATGGCGCAAAGGTTGGTGTCCTCGAAGAGAGAGACAAGGTAAGCCTCAACGGACTCCTGGAGAGCGCCGATGGCGGAAGATTGGAATCGCAGGTCAGACTTGAAGTCCTGAGCGATTTCACGGACAAGACGCTGGAAGGGGAGCTTGCTGTGGTGGTTGTTAGCTATGTGAGACTGTGATGAGATTGGTTCAAACTAACCGGATGAGCAACTCGGTCGACTTCTGGTAGCGACGGATCTCACGGAGAGCGACGGTACCAGGCTTGTATCTGTGAGGCTTCTTGACACCACCAGTGCTTGGTGCGGACTTGCGAGCGGCCTTGGAGGCGAGCTGCTTTCGTGGGGCCTTGCCACCTGTAAAGTCAGTTAGAATGGCTGTCGGCGGCGGCGAGGATGAAATGGCTGTCCTTACCAGTGGATTTACGGGCGGTTTGCTTGGTACGAGCCATAGCGATGGATTGTTTGATGAAGAATTGAAGGTGTGGTGGGTTGTTGATGATGGAATGGGAAGACTGGAGATGATGAGTGAGGCTGACAAGGAAGAAATCCAAGTGGTGGAGTGGGCGGGACGAAGAGGTATTTGTAGGTGGAAGGGGCAGAAGGCAGCAGCTTGGCGTGATCCAAAGTGCACTTGCTGGGCCGGGGTGATGCAACAACAGGCAGTGCACCAGAATAATTGATCGCAAAACTGCGAAAAACAGAGATCAGATCAGGGCTGCCAGAATGATCCTGTTTTCTGGCCGCCTTCTGCGGGTGATTCAGAATTGTCGCCCAATTTGGCTGCTGATCCCGCCCCTTGGCGTACCACCTCAAGATCTTCCGCCTGCTGCACCACGCTTCCCACCCCAGCAATCAACACCTACACCACCTGATAATCAATTATGGCTGGTTTGCAAATGATCGCAGTGAATCATTCTCTATTCTGTCTTCAGGATCAGTGTTTTCACTGCGTGGGGGGTGAGAGATCACTCAGTCTGCGCTGCATCGGTCGGGATCAGTGGTGGACAGGGCCGGCTTCTGATTGGCTGTGATCTGGCTGCCCAGGTTGATCTGGCCGCGCCTGCCGGGGTGCATAAGTCTCGCCCCCGCCCGCCGCGTCCCCAATCAAGGTACTACTCTTCCTATTCCATCCACAACACCAAGCCTGCCCATCTCTCATCCATCTCATACAACCTCCATTACAAGCTTCTCAGCTTCACTCATCAACCTTCATCTATCATCATGACTGGACGCGGCAAAGGTGGCAAGGGCCTCGGCAAGGGTGGTGCCAAGCGTCACCGAAAGATCTTGCGGGACAACATCCAGGGTATCACCAAGCCTGCCATCCGACGTCTCGCTCGTCGTGGTGGTGTCAAGCGTATCTCGGCCATGATCTACGAAGAGACCCGTGGTGTCTTGAAGACCTTCCTGGAGGGTGTCATCCGTGATGCTGTCACATACACAGAACAGTGAGTTCAGCCTTCGCCGATGTATTCTTAGCATGTATACTGACTTATCCTCCCAGCGCCAAGCGAAAGACTGTCACATCTCTTGATGTTGTCTACGCTCTCAAGAGACAGGGCCGTACCCTCTACGGTTCGTACATTCCCTCTATTCTACTCATGACCATTACTAACAGGTACTCTTAGGTTTCGGTGGTTAAATGCATCATCTCACAATCACCCACATTATCACGATGTTGTCTCGTGGCTTGGAGCTTGCTGCCATGACCAACAGCAGTTGTCTTGCCACACCTTTTTTGCTTTGCGGGTTTCGGAGTGGTGTTGGGCGACGCGCAAATGGGTTCTTGCAAATGGGGTCGTCAAAGGGTCATGGTTATGATGGGATGGCAAATTCTCGAGGTGCCTTGATGTATCATACAGGCACATTACTATGAATCAGCCTAGTTGGCGTTGATAGATGAGCTGAGTCGAACGACATAAATCATCAGCATCAACATGAAATCACTTCACAAAGCAAACTCTGTTCCTTGACTTTGATTGTAAACAACTATCTCGACGCGTCTTACGCGTTGCTTGGCGTGGACCTTGGTTTTCTGTGTTTGGCCCAGGCCCTCATTAATCGACCTGTTCTGCGGGCCGTGTCAGGCCAGACAATGGTCTTGTGCTAATTGACTTTCCCTTTCAGTGTGGGCATGGGATACTTGCACAGTGCTGCGCAGGCCTGGGATAGCCCCCATCAAACAAGACTACCAGACTAGTAGTATGCAACAGTCTCCGCATTGACGGATGGAACGCCTCGAAGTCCTCCTTCTAATGACGCACACAGCCAGCAGAGTCGGTAATGTCGAGGCCATGCGTACAGCCTGCCAGGCCTTTGTGTGTCGCAGACTATGTTTCCTCTTCGGCTGTTGTCGATCAGTCGAAGCCTTTGAGGCTGCGACCGCCGGAGACCACCTAGAGCACGAGTCAATCTTCCCTCATGTGGTAGTAGCACGAGTCAATCTTCTCTCATGTGGCAGTAGGTGCAGAGAGAGCTTTGCTCTCAGTCAGCATCCCATACCCAGGCTGACATGACGAGTGCAGCTAGTCCGACAAGTTGAAGTACTTGGGTAGTGCTACCTCTTGCTGGGGAATGGGAATGTAGTGGCGTCAGAACTGAATACTAATCCAGACTTGATTTCATGGATGCTGCTTCTTCCCAGCCGATACATGCCGGCAAGATACTACCTTAGTATGGCATTTCAGAGGACATTGTATAGTAATAGAAAGTCCGGGTCGTAACTTCCTGAAGTTCCAGCATTGCAAGACGCCTAAGGAACTATAGTATCAAGCTGCATGACATTCAGATTATCGTAGTCTTCGAAGTTGTGGCGCCATTATGTGTGAGATGATGCTGGACGCCAGTGCCCTTTCATATGATTCGAGCAACAATTATTAAGGGAATCAAGAGATATGCATGAGCCGGCGTTGTAAAATGTTTCATTGAGATGGTGTGTGGTACTCGTTGAAGGTTGACGCTTGAGGTTCTGAATATATTTATGATTCTTGGCGGAACATCTTCGAGACATTCAAGTTCGTTCATTGAACCTCGCCATGCAACAACAACACAACTAACTCAAACAATATTACTAGCTGGCATGTCTGCCACTGCACTATGATCCATCCGGCGACTCAATCGTAACGTATTACCGCAAGTACATGTCTCAGGTCGCAGCTCCCCGCTGCCCGCATGTGAAGCGAGCTGAGACTCCAAAGCCTAAACCGAGTAATGCAGCTGCTATTTACGAAAGATGGTCCACACTCAGGCTATAAATGTAAGAGGACATTCTAAGCGGAAGCCCTCTGATGGCAGAAGACTTGTTTTGTTCTGCGGGTTGATTCAGGCAGTCCAAACCTCACAGATAACAGCAAAGACGAAGCAAGGAATCTGCAGCGTAGCTTCAGACCTTGTTCGGCCTCATCGGCTCTACAGGCAAACTTTCTATTCTGGGTCGATATCTATATCTAGTACCCAATTGATTGCCTGTCAACAGACCCAGCGTGATGCGAGCAGAAGCAGCTGAATATAGCCCACCAGCGCCACTCGGGTCCATCCATCTGCCGCGACTTAGCTGCCGCAGAGCGAGGATACTGGCTCAAGCAGCAGTCGGTCACCCGAACCATGCAAAGTCATCACGTCGACTGTGCACATCGCAGGCCTGGGAGAAGGAACGTGGTCTGGTCAGATCTTAGATTCCTTCTGCGGAGGGCTGTTCCTAGATCTCAAGACCGGAAGGACCTACCAAAATGGGCGATTCCGACCAGCCGGACGTTGAGTGAAGCCTTGACCTTGACGAACATGTACGCGCAGACTCAGCCTCGTAAGGTCGAACGATAATGCGGCGGCGCCACAATGCAACCGACAAGAACAAGTTGCGCCACAGCGTACGAGTACAGAATTTCAGCTTTGGACTAACGTTTGATCGGCAAAGCAGTGGCAACTGTGTAAAAGTACGGAGTCAGAGTACGTAGGTAAAATGATGGAGCGTCACAGCCAGACGTGGACAGCTGTGGCGGTGCATGGTGGCAGATCGTACTCCGTACTGTTTCTAGGCCACACAGGCCACGCAAGCCACAAATTGCACCCTCAGAGCAATGCAGGAAAACCTTGGTCTGTGGCGGTCGAGGAAGCTGCGTAATTCAAGCCGCCTAATTCAAGCCGCCAGGCTTCGACGGACCTGTTAGTCCTACCCACCATTACGCAGACAAGAGACAGCTGGGAGATTATTGACTCTCTGCCACGGACGCACCGATAAAGCCATGGGGTCACAAATCACACTCGACCACACCAGTGCCATTTGTCAACGCCGGAACATGTATCATGCTCGGCATGATGTTGTCCCAGGCTCCAGCATGCTGGTGCAGCCTGGGCTTGGGCCTTCCTTGTTAGGATAGTGGCGTCTCCCGATCTGAGGAAAGTCCAGACCGCTCCGGGGGGCTCCGAAGGTAGCCGACATCCGGGTTCCGGACCATGACTTCCAAGGTTATTCGTTGCCGATACTTGTATGTGCCCAATTATCAGGGAACGAATGACTGGTCGAACAAGGTTTTCCCGCTCTGCGTCGGCATCTGGATGGTCGTCAGAAGCAAAGGCCTACGATTTCGTTGGGGTGCTCGCCCTGCAGGGGCAGCCTGTATGAGCCTGTAAGAGCCTCTTAAGCGGCCCAGCGGGGGCCTGGGGTTGGATGGTCGGACGTGGTGCAACGGTAGCCTGGAAAGTCCCTGCATCACGACTTCTAGGAACCAGGTGGGCGGAGCTAGCCACTCCGTCTAAGTCGGTTCTTGTTTTGTTGTTGTCTTGTCACCAGCCTCGACTGGACTGGGTTGGAACGACCAGTCCAACAAAGTCTATACGAGGGCGGGTGCGCGAGTCGGCTGGCAACAGCTGGACTTCGGCAGATGTGGAGCTAGTGCCAAAGACTGAGGTCTCGCGACCAAGGTACACAGAAGTACAGAGGGTCTAGTACCACGAGGCTACCTTGATCGACGTGAAGGAGCAAGCCAAATTAAATCCAGCCAAGTTCCACCGTTATTCTGTCGGCTAGGGCTGGCCTTCCGCGTGACGAGTCCGGACAGTGGCTTTTCTGGGCCGATGAGTCAGTGACTGAGGCTTATGTGTCGTGTACCCTCTGCGGCAGAGGCAGCAACATTTCTTATTTCTCATTTCTCGATGGCGGGCCATATGTCAGCTTGCAATAAGAATGAATGGTACACGGGGCTACCGGGACCGCGGAGATGGTGGGCATCTGGCATCTGGCTAACGTAAGTCTCAGCTTGCCACGGTGCCAGCAAGGTTACTCAAGCGAGCCGACCTGACTAAGGTGAGCTGGAGATGGAGATAGGATTTTGAGAGGGGGGAAGAATTATTCTGGAAGCCGATGCGCGATCGACCATGTTACAGTAGTGTTACACCCGACGCCGGGGCTGGGACCGGGACTGGGACGTGCTCGCGTGTTCTCGCTCTTTCCAAAAATTCCCTCGCTCCAGTAACCAGTAACAGGCTGGAAATGACCGCTCGACTCTGTGCAGGGTCTGGCTCGGCGAGAGGGGTGTCGTCATGTCCGACGCATCATTGGAGGGAGCAGCTGCTCAGCCACAGCCAGCTGGGCCGGCGATTGGACGGGCCAGAGTCTGCCAAGCCCGAGCGTGTATTGAACGGTAAGTTGACGGTCAGATGGATGCATTCCTCCTACTAGGAGGGAGGTACATACTGACTAGTACGGTACTGAACAAAACTCTGCCCAAGGGCTGGACTCGCATCGCGCGGTGGTGCCGGCCGAGGGACTGCAGAGACCCTGTGAATGTACGAGTATTAGTCGTAGTCGTAGTCGGGGTCGTAGTCCTTACCCGAGACGTAGCCATTAGACGGTGCAACCTTCAAGCACCCTGGCCCTGACCCTGCAACTTCAAATAGCCCCCCTAGGCTGCAAGGCCTGCCCTCCCTCTTGGGCATGAGGGTCTACAAACACAGCTCATAACTGCCGTGAAAACCCGCACGCACTGACTGCCGATGCATTAATATTGCATCCATCACCGACCTCGACCACACTGCACCGCACCTGGCACTTTGGCACCCTTGAGCCAACACTCGCCCGATCTGGCTAGCGGCTGGGGACCCAGCGCCCATTTATTGTCCACATCCCTGTCACAAGCACCCACATACGTCACCTCACCTGCCCGCATAAACTAGCCGTCTGCGCTCTTTTACGACCGCCGACAATTGTCCACCTGCATCATCTCGCTCAGCAAAACATCCCAGAACACCACCACACCACACACCACGGCCTCTTCCTGGCCACCTCGCACCGCTGTATTAATCAGAAAAGAGAAATTTTCACGCCAGAAAGGATCGGCCACTTTTATACTCCCGTCCGGCTCCTCCGTCCGGTACCTCCGTTCCTGCATCATCTGCCCCATTCCACCCTCTTCCAATCCAGTCTGTGGTCAATCTCCTTACCATCCGACATATACATACATTTGCCACCCTCCTCCTTCTGCATCTTCTCCATACCGAGTTTACATACCGTACCCTCATATCCCAATTATCAATCTTGATCAAATCAACCTATTACAACCTCTCTCCTTCGACGACTATACTACAACCGACATCAACTCCTCCTTCGCCTCTCTCTCTCCTTTCCATCACGCACTCGCGTATGAAAAGAACATCACCAATAATACACTCATCGAGTCCGAGGGTTCGCATCCAGCCGTCGACGCCGACGCCTACAGAACAACCGCCAATGCTGACACAGAGTTCACTGGTCGGTGGATGGAACGACGGGTATAATACCGGCGGGTTCCTGAGCGCCCTTCCCAAGAATTTTCAACAAGAACAAAAATTTCACAAGAGAGGTTCTTCTGGTAGTTCTTCAGTTGCCTCGCTTGGTCCACCCTCGCCCCTCAACCACAACACTATTTACCCTCACATCGCCACTGGCGACTCCTCAAACTTTCCGTCCAGCTACGACTTTGACTTCAACCAGACTCCTCATCCCGCCAAATCAGAGTCCACAATGATGTACCCCACAAACTTCAGTGGCATCGACATGAGAAGAATACAGTCTACGGGCAACGACGAGCGCGTGCCCTATTCTCTATCTGCGCCTCAGTCAGTCTCGACGATGAGTCACAATTCTCCTTCGACGCCACATACAAATTACGAGCCAGAGTACGACGATAAGCACGTTTATGGTGAGACCACTGTTGCCGACGACGACATGATGTTCGAGTACTTACAATTTGACGCAGGCTATCCTTCGGCCGCGTACCAACAATCGTTACAAGATGTCTTCCCAGACCAGTCCTTCGGTATGGTGTATCCTCAGGCGCAGCAGCAAATGCAGCGCATGGGAGTACCACAACACAGATCCAACATGATCGCGGACAGATTACAAGCGGCGCAGCAGGACCACCTGCGCACCGAGTCGCCGACCTCGAACCCCCGAGACAAGTCGCCGTTCACGCAGAACTCACCTTACAACAACATGCCAGCGCCACCACAACGGCCGCCTACTCTCCAGAAACAGCGGACATCGATATCACCCAAGGAGCTCATGTTGGACGATCATGACATCGATGACCATCAAACCCCGCTGTTCCCCGATCAGTCACATTCGATGTTTGCCAACCGCAGAAACCCGTCGAAGCTGTCGGCGTTTTCCACTCACACCTTGGCCCCTACGGAGTCGTCGATGCAAATCCCTGAGCAATATCAATTTCTCGGCCAGCCCGGCCGACAGCAGGATATGACGCCAGACTTTCCGGCCCATCTGCTGTCGATGGAGTCGACCGGGGACGAAGGACATTCGGAGCCTTCTAGTCAACAGTCGACACAACAGCCTCGGTCACAGAACCAGGCTGCACCTCAATCGCAACCTCGGCGGCCTGTTGACACATCGTCTGACTCAGGCACATACTCATGCACGTACCATGGGTGTCATCTACGGTTTGAGTCTCCGGCTCAATTGCAGAAACACAAGAGGGAGGGTCACAAGCAGGCATCGCCGACCTCGTCAGAATCGCCGAGCCTGGCCCAACGAAATACGCAGGCCGGCCCCCACCGATGCGAGCGGATCAACCCTAGCACGGGCAAACCCTGCAACTCGGTGTTTTCTCGGCCCTATGATCTGACACGACACGAAGATACAATTCACAACGCCAGGAAGCAGAAGGTCCGGTGCCATCTGTGTACAGAAGAGAAGACATTCTCACGTAACGATGCCCTCACCCGTCACATGCGGGTGGTCCATCCTGATGTCAATTGGGTGGGCAAGCAGAAGCGCAAGAATGCAAAGTGAGAAGAATCCAGATCATCTGGTGCAGCTCCAAGAGAATTGGGGCCGCTGTTTTTCGAACATCGAGTTTTCCTGTCTTTGATGTGTCCGGGGGCCAAGTGCCGCCGATCACTTGTATGACTACCTTTGCTACTGGGTTTGATTTACGCGCAGGTTTCGCGATGATTTTACTGTGCTGCTTGGCTCTGCAGCGATGACGATATGCGACGAACGCTAAAAGAGTGACGTGGAATTTGCGACTAGTTCTGCGAATCGGCCCAGGATCAGGTCCGGGTTTTGGTGCAAGGCGCGAGGCCGGCATCGGTTCAGTTCATGTACAGTGCGACAGAGAGGCAGGTCATTATTGTCTTACACTGTTTTAATGGGGTGTGTTTTGGGTTCGGGAGAACTGGCCAGACCGACAATAGGAATTGGGCTTCATTGATAGACAGTTTTTAGGCCACGGTCAAAATATTCAGGGCTTGTCTAGATGGCATCCTGGCTGGGCCATGGCGTTGGATTTGAATACTTGGTCTATCATGGCAGGGGAGGGCAGGTATGGCGGCAGGACATTGTAAGGCACGATTGGTGTCATACCACCACTACTGTGTACATGATGACGATGATGAGATTGATATGCATGATTTGAGCGCATGGAAAGAAAGCCGTTGGCCAACGGATGAATCATTCATTAGTACATACCTACTATGTATTAGTACTAACGCACATGTGAATTACTGTTTGGTGAAATAAGGAATAATACTAGTACTATTTGGAGATATGACATTCCCTTCAATGTCTTTCTGTATAAGATTCTCTCAGTTCTCTGGCATGCCATGCAACACATTGAACTTAGCGGTATCTTGTATCTTGTACGGATATACGCATAGAGAGGATCTTGAACTTGGGCTGATTGTCTTACCCGTTCTGTCATTTGTTTCCCTTTTCCTATTTTCCCATCGTCCGTCGCCCATCGTCCATCGCCTGCCCTGGTCTTGTCGGCGTGGTGTGGTGGTGGCCCAATATTGACGTCTAAGACCATTTTGACAGGTGTTGTTGACAGGTGTTGACATCATCGATTGCATCAGATGGAGAACCAAGAACCATCCCCGCATCGGGCGCATCCACGACCCTGCAGGCCAAGAACTGGCTATACTCGTACTGGACTGTTGCCCAATGACTCGATTATTTTGAATCGATCGATCGATCCAGGCCGTGTCTGATCTTGGTCTGTACAGACGCTCTGTCACTAGTACCGTCGCCCTCTGTACCGTCGCCCTCTGTACCAGCCAGTACGAGTACGGGTAGTAATACTACTGTCAGACTTAGTTGGCTGTGAGTATTTCGCACCCATGGGTGCTTTAAGCATTTCGCACCCACGCCAAACTACTACTATATAATTTCGCTCACAGACTAACCCCTATACAACCACCCCTACAATCTAACCACCTCTACAACCACCTCTACAACCACCCCTACAACCACCTCTACAACCACCTCTACAACCACCCCTACAACCACCTCTACAACCACCTCTACAACCACCTCTACAACCACCTCTACAACCACCTCTACAACCACCTCTATAACTAAGCCTATAACTCCGCCTATATATACTATATAATATACTAGTAATAGGTAGGTATGTAGTCTTACATATAACTACTAAAAATCTCCTTATAATTCTAGGTACTATATACTGTATTTTTTTATACCACGCTATAGACTTATAGTTGTTTTTACTAAAAGTAGAGCAGCCTAATAGCGAGTATTAAAACCTAATAGTGATTCTAAATAGGCCGATTTTTTTGATTTTTTCAGATTTTAAAATAATAAAGATTTAGTATACTATAGATATAGGTACTAGGTAGATTTAAGAATTAATTAAGTTATAAATCTAATATAGTATATACTTAATATTACTTTAATCTAAGGTCTAATATAGGTAGGTAGATTTAATCTAGGTTTAATTCTAGGTTTAATCCGAGACTACTAGGTAATCTAGGTTCAATTCGGGTTTGATCCGGGTTCGATCCGGGTTTGATCCGGGTTTGATACGAGTTTGATCCTTGATATAGGTTTAATACGAGTTTGATCCTTGATACGGATTTGATGCTTAATACAAGGTTGGTCCTTGATACGAGTTTGATACAGGTTTGATACCGGGTTGATTCTTAATACGGGTTTGATACGGGTCTGATACGGGTCTGATACGGGTTTGATCCTTGATATAGGTTTGATACAGGTTTGGTTCTGGCTTGATTAGGGGTTGATCAATGTTTAGTCTGATTTTAGATCTAACCGTATATAGTACTTACTAGTTATAGATTAGTATATAGTATACACCTAAGGTAAGATTCAATTCTTACTATACGTCTAGTATAGGTAACCTGTTACTACGCCTAAAGCTTCAACTAATATATAGAAACAGGACAACTGGTCGAGAGAAGGACAACTAGTTGAGAATACGCCTAATAGAGCTGTGTATTTTGGTTAAAGCTTTAGGCGTGCCTAGTAGGTACCTAGAACTACCTATCTATCTTAGTTAAGACCTTAGGTGCCCCTACTACGAGGCCCCCCTAACACTAATAATACTACTAACGTGGTTTATAAGCGAGTTGGCCACCTAAGCGAGTTGGCCACTTCCCACATAGTTGCCGACCCTCTCACTTTACAACAAGATTTCTCCACGACAAATAATGGAAACCTCTTCTAATGAGACTAGGGTATTGTTGGCCATTGAAGCTATCAATCAGAATCCAAAATTCAGTGCTCGACAGGCGGCAACGATCTATAAAGTCAACCGCGCAACCCTCCAGAACAGGATGAAGGGCCGACGCGCTCGACAAGATACCCGTGCCAACTCAACGAATTTGACGGAACTAGAAGAGGAGACTGTTATCCAGCATATTTTGGACCTTGATGCCCGAGGATTCTCCCCCCGGATCGCTGACGTGGGAGATATGGCTAATGTCCTCCTGGCAGAGCGCGGTATACGACGCGTCGGGAAGCTCTAGGCGACCAACTTTATTAAGCGACAACCACAGCTCCGGACGCGTTTTAATCGCGCCTACGACTACCAAAGAGCCCTCTGCGAAGATCCCGACAAGATAAACGCGTGGTTCGCGCTTGTGCGAAACATGAGGGCCAAATATGCGATCCAGGATGCGGATTTGTACAACTTCGACGAAACCGGCTTCATGATGGGTATAATCACCCCATCCCTGGTTGTTTCACGCGCCGAAAGACATGGCAGGGTAAAGGCAGTCCAGCCTGGTAATCGGGAATGGGCTACGGTGATCTAGGGAGTGAATGCGGAAGGTTGGTGTATCCCACCATTCATCGTGCTAAAGGGGGCCTACCACCTCTCTAACTGGTATACCGAGTGCGACCTTCCACACGACTGGGTCCTAAAACCTACCGAGAATGGATGGACCGACAACGAGACAGGTATAGATTAGATACGGCATTTCGATAAATATACTGCCCACCGTTCAACGGGCGTATATCGAATGTTAGTGATCGATGGCCATAAGAGTCACCGATCGGCCGAGTTTAACCAATTCTGCAAGGAAAAGAACATTATCACGATATCTATGCCGGCGCACTCATCACACCTACTTCAGCCACTTAATGTCGGATGTTTCAGTCCACTGAAGCGGGCGTACGGACGCCAGGTTGAGGTGCTCATGAAATCACACGTTAACCACGTGACCAAGCTTGAGTTCCTCATCGCCTTTAAGTCGGCCTTCTATACTGTCTTCACGGAAAACAATATTAAAGCTGGATTTAGAGGGGCCGGTTTAGTGCCTCCAGACCCGGATGTGGTCTTGTCAAAGCTGGACGTGAAGCTACGGACACCGACGCCGACCAGACCTCCTTCGGCCACCTCCGAGCTTTAGGTCTCTCAGACACCACACAACCCGATAGAGGCCGGCTCGCAATCTACTTTAATTAAAGGCCGGATTGCCAGTCATCAGAACAGCTCCCCGACACAAATTTACAATGCTGTCGACCAGTTTACGAAGGGGGCAAAGGCGATGATGCATGAGGTAGCCCTACTGAGGTCTGAGGTCAGGATACTTCGAGAGGCCAACCTAACACTAAGCAGGCGCCGGAGGGCCAAAAAGACGCATGTACGGCAAGGAGGATCTCTTACCGTCGGCGATGGGAAGGACCTACTGGACCAGAAGGACTTGGATGCGCAACTGCAGCAAAATACGCGTGAAAATAGTGGTCGTCGACGGAGGACCGAGCCCGGCGTACGGCACTGTGGCACTTATGGCAAGACCGGACACAACGCGCGGACTTGCGAAGAAGATATAGAAATAGCTGTAGAATCTAGTTCCGTGTAGTATTAATTGATTCTATTTGTTGTAGTAGTGTAATTGAGCTTAATGGTCGTGAAGGTAGTAGGAAGTGGCCAACTCGCTTAGGTGGCCAACTCGCTTATAAACCACGTTACATAGTATGAATATATACATAGGTACTACTACTAAGATATAGACTGCTCGGCTCTAGTATCTATGACCAAGCTCTTCATATCCTCTGCGAGAGTTTCAAACATAATATCCATGCTCCTCCTTAATTGCTCCTGATCAATAGCCAGGACTTTGAAATCTCGCATGACCAAGTGTCCATCAATGATAGAGTGCTGGACGGCCGAACCATTACAGCCGTAGACCAGATGACTTTCAAGCATGGTCTTGCGCCTCTGCGGGTCTTTCAGCAGAGGAATGAACATCAGATCTTTGGTCAGGTCGACCACGATCACGTCGGCCTTTTTTCCCGGCTGGAGGACGCCGGCGTCGAAACCCAGGGCCTTTGCGCCGTTTCGAGTGGCCATGCGCAGAATGTCGTGCGGCTTGGCCAACGAGGCGTCCTGGTGCAAGGCTCGTTGGATGAGCGAACCGAACTTCATGAGCTCAAACATGTCGGGACTGTTCTCACACTCAAAGGCGTCGATGCCCATGCCGACATTGACGCCCGCGGCTCTCAAATCCTGGAGGCGCAGCACGCCATTGCCCAGTTTGGCGTTGGAGCCGGGGTCGTACGAGACCGAGGTGCCCGTCTTTGCCAGCAAGGCTATGTCGTTGTCGGTCAAATGAACGCAGTGGGCGGCGACCACGTCCGGGCCCAGACAGCCCGTCTCGTAGGCGATTTGCACGGGGGTCTTGCCATACCTGGCCAGGGTCTCGTCGACTTCCTCGCGGGACTCGGCCAGATGGATGTGCAGGCCGGTGTCCAACCGTTTCTTCATGGCCCCGACCTGAGCCATCAACCCGACGTCGGAGGTGCAGATCCATTCATGGCCCATCCACACTTTGATGCGTCCGCCGTCTCGGCCGTGGTGGCGATTGTACGAGATTTCGTTGTCTTCGATCAAGTCGAGCTTGTATTGGGGAAGCGCGACCTCGTTGCTGATCACCGCGCGAATCCCAATCCGGCTCGCAGCTTCCGCCAAAGAGTCGGAGAAGCGGTACATATCGTTGACACAGGTCGTTCCGCTTCTCATCGCTGTATGGTACGAGTACAACGCGGCCGTCAACGTCCTCTCCTGGTTCAATGCCCGAACCGCCGGGTACCATACTTGGTCGAGGTATTCTCCTAGCGGAAGTTCATCTCCGAACCCCTGCAGGCCCCTGGTTAGTCTAACAGGTCATTTTGCACGTGGTATAAACTCTGCAGCTTGAAACTGTCCAGTCAAAACGAGCGAGTTGGGTGTATTTGGAGTGTCTGTCACCTTTGCCACGGATGTATGGAAATGGAGGTCGACGAGACCTGGCATGACCAGCTTGTCGGTGCCGTCCAACACGAGGATGGAAGCATCGGACAGCAATTCGGCGTCGGGGTGACCTTTGTAGATCTTGGAGATACAATCTCCTTGGATCTCAATGGTTCCTGGATAGTAGAAGGTGTCTTCATCGTCCAAGGTCAAGATGGATGTGTTGTATATAATGATTCGAGACATGGTGGAGATTAGGTACTGATGTGAAGGAATTTTGATCCTTGAACTCTGGAGCCTTTCGAGATAGTCAAATATTTACCGTAACATGACGCTTCTCCGAGAATGCCAAACTTATATTAAACCGGTCGAGTCCCGACTGGGTAAATCGTAGGGTTGGTTCGTGGTTTCTCTTGATGTGCAACGTGCTTCTGTCGTAGTTCAACGTTACTATGGGTTATGTACTTAGTAAGATACCTAGTACTGTGTCCTATTGACCGTCAGCCGTCGGCCACAACTAGGATGCTGTGGTTGGAGTGCTGCATTATCTTCCCTCTTCTGCTCTAGTCTTATCTTTTCGCCCCACATTGACCGGCCGGCATCTTGTTCGCAGTACCGTCTGTATCTCTTCCCGCCGGGCTGTCTGTGTCTACTAGTATCTCTATCAGGAGCTCCATCAACTTGCGGTACTAGAACCATTCATTATTAGTAGATTATAGCGGCGCTGTTCCAATATACCATCCTGGCACGCCATATGAATATAAGAGCAACCGTGTTGGCGGCGTGGTGGGCGTAGTTCTCGAACCCTCGGGGATATTTAGCAAGGTTGTCCACGTGCTCCTTGCATTCAGTGGCCTGGGAAACGTCGCCGGCACTGTTAGACATACACTCACTTGCAGCCTCATTGCCAGACCTTGCTATACCTTAGGTAGTACCTGACGCGCATTCGAATCTCGAGCTCGGTCATCTACACCATCCTAGGTGGTCACTGCCATTATCAGCCCAATTCCCATCAAGGCGACGTCCTGGTTTTTCACCTCACTGAACAACTTCACGGGCATGATGGGGACTGCCAGTGTCCTGTTTCATTGGTCGCCGTCATTGCACTGCTGTATGTGCCCTTGTAGGCTGGTGGAGATCAAGATTCGAGGTCGTATATAGAAGGTTCAATACCCATAGTTCAACTGGTCATGAGATGGGCAAAGCAAACATAGGGAGTACATAATATCTGGGGTCGCAGATCTGTCTGGCATTGTAGCATCGTCAGTTCCAGATTCGCTTTCGAATCTAGACCCACTGGCAGTCCAGAGTTGACAAGCCGGCCATTGTAATGGTCCGTCCTCTGTGGGTAGTTATATTGGGCCAAGCTCGGCCCACTGTTAAGTATCAAGGCTCCTGAAGCCTTATCTCTCCATGCCTCAACTGTATGTTGGATCTGTATCAGTCATTGTTGTAGACCAACCGCGCATATGCTCGACATGTCCTCACAGGAGTATCTGCACGAGAGATTCCCGCCCCCAGTCAAGACTAGGAGAGCTACAGTAGCTTGCACAAGGTATGCAATGCTGTTGGCCCGACTGTTTCGCCATTCCCAACCTAAAATTTCTAGCTGATGCGAGCCTCCTTTCACTAGATGCCGCCGACATCGTAGTAAATGCAAGCATGATGGTGCCAGCCCTCCATGCGCTGGGTGTCGAGATGCTGGTCCCGCGGTGGCCGAGACATGGTTCGTTCACCTCACCGCTGTGCCTATTCGGAATCGACGACACTGAAGTTGAGATCAAAACAATATAGTCGATTCATCAGTCGCCCTGGAAAGCCAATCGTCAGACAGGTATGTACTTTACAATAAACTCTTGCGTCTCGCGAGTAACAAATTGACCATTGAATGATTTGATTCATCTCAGCCACGACCACGACCGGCGACCACTGGCAGTTCGCCCCCATGCCAAAGCGCTGGTCGCTTGCCGCCGGAAGCTCGCCGAACACCGACAAGGTGAGCTCCTCCCCTGACTAGAGATCTAGGCCAACCAAGGGCTTTCGCTTATACTGACGGTCATCGTCAGCTTGACTCCTTCGGCATCTCCCAACAGCCAGGAAGTCGTAGCCCCGGGCACAGGCACGGGATGCCTCCCTCCCCACGAAGAAATCATCGAAGCCTGCCAGAAATTCACCAATTGCTATTTCCAGGTGGGTTTCTTGCCCAAGCTGCTGTTTATGGAGCGGCTGGAAAAAGATGCCACCTGCATCAACCAATTTCTGTTATTGTGCATCCTGGGCGTGTCGGCCAGATTCACCCCCAGCCTTCTCCGGCGGTACGGGGGGCCGGCCAAGGCTACCAGGTTCTTCGTCGCACAGGCTGAGAAGATGGTTCCGACCGAGATATACAAGCCTACGCTCGACACGCTGCAGGGATTTATTCTGCTAGGATCTGCAGAGTGGGCCTGTGAGGACCGCGATAGAAGTCTGGTGAGTCGAGTCAAGTCGAGCTCGTCCTCGCCCCGCGCCCCATTCATCCTACAGTGGCACTCTGCGTCGTCTAGGAAGTGTGTGCTGAACCTGGTTCCTTGGTCTAGATCCACCTCGGCGTCGCTTCTACCATGGCGGGGATGCTTCGGCTCCATCGCGAAGAAACGTATCGACTTCCAGACGATGCAAAGCCTGAGGATGTCATCAATGCCGAAATGGCTCGACGAACCCTCTGGGTGATGGGCAGTAAGTACAGTAACTGAACTATGAACCCCCTCACTCATGTATATATATACATAACGTGAGTGGCTGCATTGATTGTCTCTCGACACTGACATGGGTAAAGTGCAAAGCAACTTGTTCTCCGGCAACAAATCTCCCGTCCCATTTTCTCTCCAGGACATGACGGCCCTGTTGCCGTGCGAAGAGAACGAGTTTGCCTTTGGTCTGACTCCGGCCGCCCGCGCCGCCCTTCCCGGCTCGCAGGCGGCCATTGATCATCCGGAACTGGTCAACTGCCCGACCCGATCTCTTTTTGCCAGCTTGATCCAGGCACATAGTCTCTGGGGCCGGGTCGCGCGACGGGCCTGCCTCGACGAACCCAAACTCAAGTGCGGTACCATCAGCCTCTGGGACGGCACGAGCGAATATTCTCAGCTCCTGACCGCGCTCAACCAGTGGGAGGCCAATCTTCCCGCGGGACACAAATGGTCTGAGTGGTACCTGCGAATGTATCAAAGGGAAAACCTGGATCTGGCATACGTGTCGATCTTCATGGCCCTGCGCCTCAGCAACATTGTCCTCCGGCGTACCCATCTCGAGAGCATCAAGGCCGCCATGCTCAGTGCCGACGGGACCGGGCCACCTATTTTCTGGGAGAACGTGTCACAGGAACTCTTCACTAATGTCCTCTCACTCTGGGCCGTGATCAAGGCATATCTCTCCAATCGACCGGCCGCTCAAGGGTTTCCCCCCTTGTTGGCCTTCAGCGTCTACCTGTGCGGCTCGTCGGCCACGCATCTGTGGAAGTGTCCTCCGCTGTGTCCCCGACTGGCTCTCGAAGCCGAAAGCGTCGTCCACTGGTCTCTGAGAATCCTGGTCGAGCTCGAGGTGGCCTGGCCCATGGCTACCCGCTGGCACCAAGCACTGCAAAGGACGGCAGCGGGACTGGCCCCTCTTGATATTCCTGGAGAGGTGGCATTACCAAAGGCTCCCAGGAGCGGGTTTCCCGCAGTTGTGGTTAGTTGTTCCCTTTGTCCCCTGCCCTGCTTACTGCCTCTCCCCAACAACTTGGGTGATTCCATTGCTAATGCCGGGTTTGAAAGTTTGACAAACAGAATTGGGAATTTGGGTTGACTTCGAACATCGATGGCTCCGCCTTGGCCCCTGCTGCAGGGTCTGGGTCGGTGGTGAGCAAAACGACACATGCTCATGCTCATGCTCCCGTTCCAATGTCAACAGGAGGAGAAGAGGAGGCCTTGCCTACGATATTTCATCAGTCTCAGTCTCGAGCCCATCGTGACAACAACAACAACAACAACAGCAGCAGCAATCCGTCCGATCTATCTGGAGGTGGAGGCACGTTTTCTCTGATGCAGCCAGACTATGGTGCTCCTGCTCCCTTTGAGGATTTCCAGGCAGAGCTTGCTTCATACTTCCAAGGCGACGTTCAGCGGGGGATCCCGGTGGATTGGAACATTTACAAGAATTGACTCATAATATCAGTCACGTCCAGTCACGTCTAGTCACGTCCAATTGGCTTCCTCCTGCCGCAGGCAAATTTATGCATTGCATTGAACCAAGTACACGGCCGTAGAGTGGCATTGTATCGAACCGCCCTCAAGGCTTCGACCGTGTTTGTTTTGGACAGAGTATGAGTGCGTACTGTACGTAGTACATACTGACATAGGCTATTCCGGCGGTGTCGGTAACAATGTCAGTTCAGTTCACGTGGTACTGGTATGGGAATACCTCCTGACTCCAACTCGAGACCCGGTATCTGACAGATCAGATCAATCAGGATTCAGCCGAGCAAAAGTGGTCAAGATTCAAGACTGTGTCGGACCTCAGGAAGTCTTAGGATCAGAGAAGCCAGGACTCAGGGTGGGCCAGGCCTATCAGAAATTCGAATTTTTCTTTTGGTACAGTTAAGTGCGAGGTGGGCATCCGGCATCCGGCGGGTTTTGGAGTTTGTTCGAACGGTTGGGGATCCAGCCCAGCTCCACATCCACATCCACCACACGGGAAGGTTCGAGGGGATCTGTAGGACCCATTCTTGCTACTCCGGACGACAAACCTTCACGCCCAAAGTCCCCAGCTTGAAGACAACGATGATATGATATCAGCCTGTTGCTCTTGAGCTCGACGTTCCCGGCGTTAAGTGTCACACTACTATGTACTACTGAACGGCAACCAACCCCTAAGGCAAAGGGAATGATGCCTGCATTGTCGAGGCTATCAAATCAGTTTCTTATTCTTATCTCTTGATCAGCAACGGCGCTGTGCTTGAGGGCCACTGCCACTGCCACTGCCACTGCCGTTGCCGTTCATGGACTTCTGTCCTAGGATCGACCGAATCTATATAGACTATCTCTCGGTGGTCTGAGCACAGTCAGCTCTTCCTTATCAATTTCCATCCCCCTTCCCCGGGCAAGTCCAGGATCATCTGAAGTGGTTTCCCAACAAGAGCTCGACAGATCCTAGAGACATCAGATATAAGTTAACGGTGGACCCTCCTGCTTGTGTGGGAGAGGGAGAGAGTTGCGGCAGCACTTTCTTATAAGCGATTCCACACACACCACACACATATATCAGCACCATCTCGAACCCTCACCCTCATCCTCACGACGGCGTCGGACCTACTGCACTGCATCGAATAACCACCACCACCGGCCGCAGCCCCCCAGATTCCAGATTCCAGAATGGACGACACTAGGCAGCATGTGCGCGTCCGTGACGGTGATGGCGACGCTGATGGCGGCGATATTGAAAAGGGCTTGAGCCTCGAAGAGAAAACGAAAACGGCCCAAGTGACCACGCTACCATCTTCGCTCTGTGCCAGTCAGGGCAAGGAGCAAGGACAACTGGACCAAGGGTTGCCGTCGTCCTCGTCCTTCTTCCAACGCCTTGCTTCACATGGCGTCGAAACCCGGGGGATCCATCCCGTGGCCCTCAAAGACCGAAATGACAGGCGACCTATCAACATATTTTCCTTCTGGTGGACCGCCAGTCTCAGTTTACTCCCGTAAGTCCGGTCCTGTCCCGTTGTTACCACTACGGTCTACCGTATACAAATGATTGGCTGTCCTTGTGGCTGTTGTGGCTGTTGTGGTTGTTGCTATTGCGCATTTGGTTCTTCTGTGTCTCTTTTGCTGCACCTAGGTCGTTTGGCGGTGTGTCTGATCCATGCTGAGAAGATGTGTCTTTATTTTCTAGTATCACCACCGGTCTCGTCGGCACCTATTTCGACGGCCTCAGTCTAGAAGCGACGTGTCTGACCATTCTGTTCTTCTCGCTGGCCGGAGCGTTGCCCCCGGCGTGTTTGGGCCTGTTGGGACCGCAGACGGGGCTCCGGCAGATGGTGCAGGCGCGGTACAGTTTCGGGCTGTACTTTGTCGGAGTGGTGGCGCTGCTCAACCTCGCCACCACCACGGGCTGGACCATCGTGAGTGCCATCGTGGCCGGCCAGACCCTGTCGGCCGTCAGCGGCGGCGGGCTGAGCTGGGCGGTGGGCATTGTCATCATCTCGCTCATCGGCCTGACCATCTCGTTCATGGGCTACCGGGTCGTGCATGCCTACGAGCGCTTCGCCTGGATCCCTGCCCTCATCGCCATCGTCATCACCGTCGGCTGCGGCGGCCACCTGCTGAAGATGCAGGCTCCGACTGACCCGGCCAAGGCATCGACCGTCCTGACCTACGGCTGCGTCGTCACTGGCTTTCTCATGTCGTGGGCCACCATGGTGTCGGATTTCTGTGTCTACATTCACCCCAGCACTTCCAAGTGAGTCCTTACCCCTATTGAGGATATACCCCTACCTTTACCCTACCCTTTCCCGTACCACTACCTCTGCCATTATCCTACCCTTGCCCCTAGGGATACATCGTTCCCATTTTGCCTCCTCGAGAATATATAGTTCCTACCATTACCCCTACCCCTACCTCTACCCTACTCCTAGGGATACATGGTTCCCAACTCCCCTCCTCAAGAATATATAGTTCATGCTCAGGACATATTTCTCTGGAACTCTATCTAATGGCATGGCCACCCAGAATTCGCATCTTTTCATACACCTACTTCGGCCTCCTGATCCCCACGGTGCCCCTGATGTGCCTGGGCGCCGCAATCGGGGGCGCCATCCCCAGCATCCCGGCATGGGAGACGGCGTACGGCGACGGGGCGATCGGCGGCGTGGCGTTAGCGATGCTCCATTCCACCGGCGGCTTCGGCAAATTCGTCACCGTGGTGCTCGCCTTCTCGGTGCTCGGCAACATGGCCGGGTCGATGTACTCGATATCAGTGCAGTTCCAGATCCTGCTAGGCCCGGTGTCGGCACGGGTCCCTCGCTTCGTGTATTCGATCGTCATCACCGCCGTGGTCATAGCTGTTTCCATCCCCATCAGCCACGAGTTCGAGGAATCGCTCGAGAGCTTCCTCGGCGTCATCTGCTACTGGGTCGCCATCTTCGTCGCCATCGTCTCCACCGAGCATCTCTACTTCCGTCGCGGAGACGCCAGCTCCTACGACCACGCCATCTGGAATGTTGGTCACAAGCTGCCTCCGGGTCTGGCTGCCATGGCAGCTAGTATCCTGCCGTTCGGCCTCATCATCCCCTGCATGGACGAGTCGTGGTACACCGGTCCGATCGCCAAGACCACGGGCGACATTGGCTTCGAGGTCGGCTTGGTCCTCGGGGTTTTGTTCTATCTCCCTTTTCGGACCTTGGAGCGTCGCATCACTGGAAGATGAGATTTGTATCACTCTGTAGGGAGATGAGGAGCGTTGTATCACTGGAAGCGGGAAGTGCTTTATCACTAGAGATGAGAGAGCGTTAAGTGTTATATCACTGGAGATGAGAAATACGAGACCAGAATAGGCTAGAATAGAACATATATAGTGTCCATATATCTCTTCAGAGGGAGAGGAGAAAGAGAAGGAGAGAGAGTCATCAGATCAGAGATCATCGTCATCGTCCTCGGTGGAAGGAAATGCTTGCGTGCATGTGCATGCCAGTCAGTACGTTCGTATATTTCAATAGGTTGATGTTTCTGTTTTTGTACATCTAAATCTGAATCTGATATCGTAAGTGTGTAATCTAGGGTGTATAGTATATAGTACAAGGTATTAGTATATAGTATATAATTTTTCCCTATCCTTCTTCAAAACTTCAATACGTCATGTCATCTCAGTAACTACTATGTACCTATATACCACAGTACTATAGATAGTATATTACGTGAAACTCGGAGCGTCTACCCTTTGCCTTTGATCCTATACGAACAAGAAGGCATTTTGATCGATCCTATACGTCTCAGAGTGATCTCGAGTGCCCTACCCTGCCCTGCCCTGCCCTGCCCTGCCCTGGGTGTGGTGCACACATTAACTTATAGTACTTTAAATCGCCTTGGCCTTTAGGTTTCAGTTTCGGGTTCAGGTTCAGGGCCAGGTTCAGGGCCAGGTTCAGTTACCCTCGCTCGCCCTTAACATCAGGTCAGATCAGCTAGATTCAGAAATCCAATTCCACTGTCTCATCCACTGCTCCATCCACTCGGGTCCCACCGGCTCGATGTCCCGCAACGTCCGACTCACGGCCGCGGTGGCCTTGGTCTCGAGCATGGGGAGCTGCAGCCCCGCTCGGCCCTGTCGGTCGGCTTGGGTGTAAAAGTCGAGAATCTTGATGGCCGGATTTTGGGCCAAGTCTGAGTTCGTTTCGCTGGCGCGTAGTGCCGCGAGCCACGTGTCCCAGGACACCACGCGGACCGAGGGCCCCAGCAACGAGGTCAGGGTCGGCACTAGGGTAGACCAGGGTCGTGACGAGGGGTTCACTGTGTGGAAGACTTGGAAGGGAGGGGGTGGTGGTGCTTTTGATGGCGGCTGTGGTTGTGCTGGGTGATGACTCTGACTCTGGTCTGGCGTGTCAAGTCCCGCAAGTTCGACTATGATTTGTGATAGACGATTCACCGGCAGCCAGTCCACGCGGTCCAGGGCAGACAAGGTCGAAGGAAGGATTTTGAGATGGCGAGAACTGGCGAGTATCTATACCGAAAAGAATAGTATTAGTATTAGTATTACTGTATTGAGCAAGCAAGCAGCAACAAGAAGGCAACGAGCAACAAGAAAGTAATAAGCAACAAGAAGGTAAGAAAGTAAGTAACCAGCTAGCTAGCCAGCCAGCCATTGATCGGTTGCTAGAGACAACAACAGACAGAGACAACAGACAGAGACAACAGACAGAGACAACAGACAGAGACAACAGCCAGAGACAACAGACAGAGACAACAGCCAGAGACAAATGCCTAGACTTACCAACGGTAACCATTCCTGTTTATTCCACATGCCCAACTCGGTGTCGACAGGCCCGGCAATCTGACCGACACGACAGACGGTACATTTGACGCCGCTGATGCTGCTTGCCTTGGACAAGATCAACTCCGACACCAGCTTGGACCGTCCGTATCCTCCTTCGGCCAATGTGAGGTCTGTGATGAGAGTCTCGGGGACGGGGACCGAAACATTGGTGTTGGTGCTGGTGTTGGGATTAGTGTTGGTATTGATGTTGGTGTTGGTAATGATATTGTTTCCTTGGTTGTTGACCACTCCAATCGATGAGACGAAGAAAATGCCGGCCTTGCGATGATGGGCGCTATGCAGGGCAAAATCCACCAGGTGGCGCACCCCTCGGATATGGGGTTCGAACGACGACAGACTCAGATTGAAGTCGACCTGCCATTGATTGTCTGCTCATGGCCAGCCCAGCCGTCAGCCATCATTCACCACTTACTATAAATAGGACATAGTGGTCATAGGACCGCGGACAGGGGAGGGGGACTTGTAAGGTCTGGTATGTAACGGGGAGGGAGGGGGACAGGGATAGGGACAGGAACTGGAACGGGAAGGAATAGGAATAGGAATAGAACGCTTTCTTGTCTCTTTGACACCTCATGAGGGCATTCAAGATCAAGGTCGAGGACAAGGTCAAGGTCAAGGTCAAGCAGTCTCTGGACCTGGACTTGAATTCAACTTACGGATAATATGAGTCGTTTCGCGCAGCAGTTCATCGTACACGCTGGCATCTAGGCCGAATTGGGGCTTGGAGAGATCGGCCTGGATGAAGCGCACGCGTTCACGTTCATGTGCACGTCCAGACAAGTTGCAGTTGTCATTGCAGTCCAAGTCCTCCTTGAACTTGTCCTGCAACCCTCGGGCCTTGTTGCTCTGGGCCTGCCGGGCCTCTGCATCGGCGCTTCGGTTGAGACAAAATACTCGGGAGACGTGGCTTTGGCGCAGTAACGTGTCGAGGAGGTACGAACCCAGCGACCCTGTGCTACCGGTGAGGATGACAGATGCTGTTGGTGGTGGTGTTGCTTTTGCGTGATTGGCACTGGCACTGGCACTGGCACCGGCACTGGCACTCGCACTGTCATGCACCGATACGGATATTCCCTGGGGTGTTGGCGGCGGAGGACCTCTTTCTCTTTCCGGAAGGGTCGAGGTATATTTACCCAGCAGAGACTGCATCAGCATCAGCTCGGCGGTTTCCGATTCCGATGCCTCATCGACATGGGCGCCCGCAGATTCATCTTGGCTGTTGTCGCGATACTCAGCCTCAGCCCCAGGGTGAGCCAGTCGGTAGAGCGCGTCGGACAGCTTCTGCACGGTCGGGTTTTTGTAGATCAGACTGGGCGTGATGGTGATGGACTTGGACTGGGAGGTTGACTTGGGGGTTGAAGTTGACTCGAAGGTTGACTTGGAGGTTGACTTGGACTTTACATCCGCCTCGACCCCTCCCTCCCCCTCCACGGGTAGGGGTGCCTGGAACGTGGCTCGTAGGCCTCTGAGGATTTTGAAGACAGACAAAGAATCCAGACCGGCGGCGAACATGTCATCCGTCGACCCCAAAGTAGTCACCCCAAGCACTCGGCTGAGCAGGTCATGAAGTCCCTGCTGGATGGAATCCCGACTACTCAGGTCGATGGGCGACACAACATCCGTATCCGACAACTCCCCCTCCCGCTCCCGCTGGGCGTAGAAGTCATTGATTTCCGCCTCGTAGAGCTTGACCGTCATGGCGCGCAGCACGGTTTCTTTGCCGGCCAGAATGAATGGCTTCTCCTCGGCCGCAAACATGATATAGTCCTTGTGCAGCTGGGCGTGTGCTGGGGCTTGCTGGTTGGCGACGGCGATGTTGAGCCAGATGCTGTCCTTCAGAGATTGAATTTCATCGTCCGTGCCAGGCAGCGGGTGGATCAGTTGGATCAGTGCCGTGGTTTGGAATCGACCTTGTCCGACCTGTGACAGTTGTGGTCAGCCCAGTTTAGCTTAGCAATGCCTAACCTAGCCATGTCATGCCCTTATTGAGTGCAGTATGATATTAATGATAGGAAGACCTCTTGTAAATGCAGCAGTGGTACTATCAAGCAAAACGGCGCCGGAGCTGGCGGGTCAGGGTTCAGGTTCAGGATGCATGTGTACGTACCACAAGACATGCTTTGACTGCAGGGTGATTGTTAATGCACGCCTCCATGTCGAGCGGGTTGAGTTTCTCTCCGTTCGACAGCACAATCACATCGTCGGCACGGCCCTTGTACAGATAGCGGCCTGGTTTGGTGGGATGCTCGGCGTAGAGATCTTTGATGGCAATCTCCGTCTCGTCCGGGAAGGTCTGGAAGAAGGCTTGGAACAGATGGAGCTTCGGATTACGGGTCTGAAACTGCTCCCAGAGACCGTCGAATCGTGGCCGGTAAGTATAGCCTCCGGCCGGGTGGAAATGGATATAGTTCCAGTCTTCCCGCTCGGCCTGCACGATGGGGAAGAGAGAGCCTTCGGTGACGCCGACGGTGTTGAACACACGAGTCACCGCGTTGATGCGGTTGCCGCATTCCTGGCTTAGAGGACCTGGGCTTTGGGTCAGACTCAGAGGACTTAGTGGAAGGGGAAGGCCAGTATCGTCCGGGAGAAGGGAGAAAGATTAGTACTCACCGCCGCCGAAGCAGGTGAACTGCGTCTTGGCCATTCTCTCCAGGGACGCGGGGTCTTTGGAGATCTCCTCCAACGTCGAGGGCGCCAGCAATGACCCGTCCACGTTGCCGTGGTCCAGCATGGCATTCACGAGATCGAGATTGACCGGCACCATGGCCGGACCTAGAACGACGCTGAGCTCGTAGAAGAAAGGGAGGACAAAGCACCACACCATTCCAGCCGACTGCAGCAAATAGAAATAAGAAATATCAGTCACGTTGCCACAAAAGACGTCTGTCCTCGCCTGGCAATACCATAGGTGCACAAAGACGTCTGTCCTGGCTACATAAGTAGTAGGCGGGGGAGGGGGCAAGAAAGTGCAAACTCAACTCACATGAAAGTTGGGAAAGGTGGAATAAGCTCGATGAGGCGTGGTGAAATACTGGGCCTGGCTCAACCGGCCTTCGATGGGAGGCAGGAGGTGGTGTGCGTCGACGGTGGCCGGGCTTCCGTTGGGAACAATGATGGGTTTGGGCAGGCCAGTCGATCCAGACGTGTGCAGCACCACAAACGGATCTTGACGCGCCTCGTCAAAGGTCTTGAGATATGGATAGGGCGGAACATCCTTCTCCTCTGCCTCGGCGAGCAGCTCGAGCAGCTCCGGCAGCGCCATGACCTTCATCGGCCGTCGCTCGAGCAGCTGGTCGACATGGCCGACTCGCTGGGCGGGGAGCACCCAGAGATCACAGCCACAACGATCAATGACGGCCAGGTGGCCATCGATACTGTTTCGAGGCGAGAGAAACAACATCTGGGATGAGTTAGTTCTCTTGGTCACCACTGGCACTGGGGATTCAAGTCTTGATTTGCCGGCAGGGGATGGCCAGACAGAATCTTGAATGAGACGGCCAGAAGGAATCCTGAACGAGTTGAAATCACCGGCACCTACCTTGAATCCGACCTTGACCGCCGCCAGCATTAATAGGCCGTATTGGAGATCATCTAGGGTAGTCTTTGGTCAGAAAGGCACCAGAGCAAGACTGGTCGACAGATGGGTGAGAGTGCTATTCGTTGTAAGGGAGAAGGGAGTACAAAGCCTAGGGATTAAGGAGTACATAGTATAGGTAGAAGTACATGGCATAGGTAGAGGAGTAAGGAGTACATAGCATAGGTAGAACAGTATGTAGTACTTACTTGGCCCAATGTACCCAATGGTCGGAAAGGACTTTGGCTCAGGCTTCCCAAAGCACCTTTCGATCCACCACGCTGTCCGATTGACTCCAATGGCGAATCTCCGGTTCGTAATGTCGTGGAAACCCGCAGCAGGATCATCCGTGACAGGAAACGAGTATGCCACACGGTCGGGTCTCTTTCGTGCAGCATCTTCCACCACGGTGGGGAGCAAGCGTCTGCCGTAGTCTTCTTGTACCGTCCCGGACTTGACTGGCTCAGCATAACTGCCCATGATGTGGATGTTCTTCCTCCTAGGAACTTGAAGGGTCAGGATCAAGATCGATCGACCCTGCACGCGAGATCGCTTCCCCTGCGACTGCGACGAAGGTGCAATCAATTCCAGTGATGAAAATATTGGATTGGAATGGGACAGCGCCGTGAGCAGATATCTGAGGGTTGATTTTTGATTTTCCACGATATGAATGCAGAAGCTCGAGTCGTTTGTGGGGCTTATAACATGTTCATACAGGACAGAATTCTCCGAGTCAGACTCACCAGGCTCCTTTGACGTCGACTGATCCAGTACAGTATGTCGTCCTCTCCCCTATCTGATATCAGCAAGGCGGCACTGTACGGTACAGAGTACGGTATGTGAGAACATGCCAGTTGGAGTACAAGTGGTGCTGGACGATCTCCTCACCGTCCGACAGTACGTCTACCCGTCGGGAACGTGGCGGGTACAGCAATCACAGTATGTACCTATCAAAGCCGTACGTTGTGATAGCTGTAGTGCCCACTAGGTACCCAGATCCCGGCGGTCAGACACAGGTGGAGTCTGGGTTATGGACGCTGATAGCCCCTAAACCACTCGGCCTAAGCCCTTAATAAATACAGTACTCCGTATCCGTACAATGCCGCCAACCACTCCGCACCGGCCTTATCGAGAGTTCCAGCCGGTCCGGGACATGTCGGGTGTCGGGAGTCTCAGAAGCTTCCTTAGCCTGACATTGGAATCTGTTGATTGTCGACAGCTAAGCTCACTGTAGCCCCAGGGATCCGCGGGACTCAACTGATTTCAATCAGCCACTCCGGCTATGTACGGATAGTTTACAGTACCCCGTCGACTATACCTATCCGTTTCTATCATTCCATATACGGGTACGGATCCTGTACATACAGTACCACTGTTGCCAGGCGCATAATGTAGTCTGTACTCGGTAGTCTGATACTACGTATGTAGTACGTCAACGTCACCGCCACCGCCACCGCCACCGTCACCGCGATCCTTAGGTACATTACATATTGAAAGGTCGACTTTGACGGTATACAGTATCCGTACATACTATGTAGTATTTTCTCAACCCTTCTCAACATTTCTGTGTCGAGATTTGTGACTGTCAAAGGTTGAAAGGTTCCATGTTCTCTCTCAGAGAAAGATGGGGGGAGCGCAGGCTATATAGTGTATAGTATGCCTAATCCAGCCTTCTGGTCAAAAGGACAAGGCTGGAAATGCCTCAGTTTGACAGTGACAAGCCCTAGGTTTCCCTACTCAACACAGCGCGGTAACGGACTTTCCCACTCTCCAGCGCTGCCAACGCCGTCGTCAGGCCCTCGACGTTCATGGGGAATTCCACAATCCATGGTTTAATACTATGGCGTGCAGCGAACCTCAAGGCCTGCACATGGTTCTCTCGTGTGGCCTCGGTGCTTCCGCTGTGCGGCCATATGATGTATCAGTATCAGTAAGGGAGTGATGCGGATGCTATGATAAGTGCCATGAGAGAAAACCGGTTTGAAAGAGGTAGAGGTGCACTGTGGATGGGTGGGTGACTCACATGATCCGATGGCCGCCCAGCAACAGAAGCATATACCTGAACAAGACGGATGAGCAATAGGTCCCAGAACATATGGTACTAACTAGTACATGTATGCAATCTCTCGAGACTTGGGACTTACGGGATAACAAGAGGCTTCGTCTGAATGACGAGCGGGACAATGGTGGCGCGGCGTGCCAGCAAGGGCATGATTCTAGAAACTCGAGAGGTTTTCATTAGCCAAATCCAAATCCAATGCCGAAGCCACAGTAGCATGCATGCGGTATCGACGGTGGCAGAGACTCGTAAAACGTAGGATGACAACGGTGGCAGAGACTTGGAAGACGAAGGATGACAACGGTGGCAGAGACTTGGAAGACGAAGGATGACACCACATGGGACGATGAGAAGGAGCACGTACATGTCAAAATCGGGTAGGGTGCCACCGCAGAGGAGCATGACATTGACATTCACATTGACGCCCCCAGGCAGGTCTCGGGCTGCACCTGCACCTGCACCTTTGTCTGCGGGTGGCAGAAGGCAGAACTCGGTGGCACCCAGAGCCATGGCGTCCGGTCTCTTGGCCTCAGTGCCGGAAAAGACGACGACGTCGCATCCCATGGCGCGCGCGTACATGACAGCCAAGTGGCCCAGGCCGCCCAGGCCAACTACGCCGACCCGATCTGAAGGTTGGGTATCGGCCACACGGAGGGCTTCGTAGACGGTGATCTAGAGAAGAGAAGAGAATATCAGTCCTCCTCGCGCCAGCCCGTCACTCACATGTCGGGGTCGGGTTGGGTTTGGAAGAACAAACAGGGTACAGAGCCAGTCCACAGGAATCAGGACTCAGGACTCAGGTTTGACTTGACTTACCCCGGCACAGTTCAGCGGGCCAGCATGTTTGGATTCAATGGCGTCGGGGATGGGAAACACAAAGTCCTGATGCTTAACCACGTAGTCGCCGAATGCGCCTTGCTCCCGCTCCCCGTATTTCTGGCCCCGAGACTCTGGACAGCACTGTCGATAGCCGGTGAGGCATTCGCGACATCGACCGCAAGACTGGGGTGATGGAGTGAATTAGTTGGGCTGGACGTAGACGGTATACTATATACTGCATGCTGTATGCTGTATACTGTATGTTGTATTGTATTGTGTTGTGTACACCTATACATACCGAAAACTGCCATCTATACGATCGCAAAGGTGAAGAATAGTCAGACTCAGACTCAGACTCAGACTCAGACTCAGACTCAGACTCAATGCCGCCGTCCGTCTTCAAGAACACGACATAACACGACACGACACAACAACGACATTGGACTCACTCACCCCCAACCAACTCTCTGACCAACCGCCACCGCCGTCACCTCGCTGCCGACCTTGTCGACGATGCCGACGCCTTCGTGGCCCAGTCCACAGCCGGCCGTGCGATCATGCACATCCGTGCCACAGAGTCCCGAGTGAGTGACTCGGATCACGACCTCGACGGCGCGGATTTCCCGTTCCGCGCTTTTCTGGTGGATGGTGCCATCCGGTGCGCCAGCGAGGTAGGTGAGTTTCTGTTTCGGTCGAGCCATGGTAGGGAAGGGGAAAGAGAGGCAGACTCAAACACAAGGACAATGCAATGTGAAGGACTTGAGAGAGAAAAAGAAAACAGGAAAGGGTCAGTAAACTACTATAGAGAAGAGTATGTAGTAAGTACATAGTAGTACTGTGAGGTTAGTGAACGATGTAGATGTAGGTACAGAACCTTGGGCACAGAATTAATTACATGTCTTAGAGTACAGTGTAGTCAGGAACTGTAGAAATCCCGCCGGTTAAAGGTTAGGCTGAGACCTCCAAGCCTCTAAGCCCATAGGAGTCAAAGATTAGGGGTTAGGTTTAAGCTCAAGCCTAAAGTCCAGGCGCAATGTCGCACTCCGCACTTACCACCACAGGCGAGCAGATGCCGATAAGACGGACGTGGATATAGATAGACCGAGCCAGACCTGGGCCTGAGATAACAGAATCCTGTACTCCGTATAGCACCTTATCCTACCCCTGTAAGTGTCCGTGTCCGTATCTGTATCCGTATCCCTACCCCCCGAGTCATCACAGTATGGGAGGATGGAAATGAGGATCCTTCCAAGGTAGTTGATATACTGCCTTTACCTGCCTAAAAGGGGTGGTCTTAAGGTTGCAACATCATATCCTGCTCTGTATTGTGTGTCGAAGATCTGACATAGATGGAGTATGGATATTGTCCCTTCCTCTATCTACCTTACTAGGTATCCTACCACTACCAACTACCAACTACCAATCCCATGGTCCAGCGCAGCATCGTATCGCATTGTTGGCTCGAAGGCGTTGGCGTTGCGACCATTGCACAACACTCTTGTATACTGTAGATACGCAGACTACCTACGCCTGACGAACCATGACCCCGACAAAATATACGGTGCCCACTGAAAAGGCCGGCAGAAGTCTTTTTTCCTCTTCATCTTGCAGATAGTTTTCTGCAAGATGATGGCCAAGTTAATGAACAGTTCCTTGTTGTTGTAGTTGTTATCGTCTTCGTTGTTGTGGTCGTTGTGACTGTTGTTGTCTGACTTGGACCCTGCCACGGCTTTCGCCTCGCTCAGGAGCATGTCATAGATGCGTCCGCTGAAGTCCATGCCCTGCTCGACTTTCACTTTCCACAGCGTCCCGATGACGGAGGAGGCGCCCGCACATAGCAGCGACGTGATGATGCCCAATGGCTCGTCCCCCGGCGTACAAGATTCCGACGCCGAGCCGCAGGCGATGAGCATCACATTGGAAGCCTGGACTTTCGACCGGAAGATGTCTCTCACGGTGAAATGATGTTGATGTTGTTGTTGATTTTGCCCCGCCCTCTCCTGGCTGGTGATTTCCAGCGTCGAAAGAGCTGCAAGTGTAAGTGCATCGACTTCTTCTTGGTGCGGAGGATGAGCTTCTGCATCAGCTTCTGCACCAGCTTCTGCAGCAAGGACCAGTGCTTGGTCCAGAACGTTGTCAAACTGGTCGCGACAATGGCCGAAGAAGTACATCATGTCGAACTCGAACGCATTGCGTAAGACCTGTGGCGTCACATGGTGGCCAAGACTCACTGTTGACTCGGGGAACTTGGATCCAATCTCTCGCGTGTTGCTGTATATTTCGGCCTGGTGGGCTTTCCAGGAGTCATCGACTGGGTTGCTGCCGGCTGTCTCTTCAAAGACGGTCACAAAGCTATGCGAAAGGGATGGTGGTGGTGGTGATGGTGGTGTTTCAACAGTTGGGTTTTCTCCCCCCAACTCGCCACTACCACTGGTCCTCCTACCAGCACCACTACTGATAGTGGCAGAAGTAGGATTCGAATTCAAGTTGCAATGGCCGCCGCGCTGCAATTCTCTAGACACGCAATGACTGAGTGTGGTCATGCTACTGGTGTAAACGATGGGATTGCGCTCGATGATGGACTTCCGCGACGTCGCATCCAAGGTGGCAGCATGGATTGGGATGCCGTGCAAGAATTCTGTCGGACAGAAGACGAGGATATCTCCTTCGTCGCTCAGGCTCAACAACGGCTCGATCAAGGCCGACAGCTCCTGGAGAGGCGTCATGTCAGGGCTGTCGAGGGGATGTGATTGTGACTGTGTCATGTCAGGGCTGTCGAAGGGGTCTGATTGTGACTGTGACTCTGACTGTGACTGTGATTGTCCCAAATCATGCCTGAGATATTTCTCCTTCCAGTTTCGTGCCGCCTCGATGGTGAATCCGGTCGCTATCGCATGGATCGTATCCTCCGTCACGACCAGCAGGCCGTAGATCTCCTCGAATTTGAACCAGTCGACGAAGATCAACCTGTTCTTCTTGGTCACCGTCTCTGGTGTCACTGTGGCTGTGGTACTGCTTTCTTGGTAACGTTTCCCTTGCTGGGCTGCCGGTGGTTGTTGTTGTAGTTGCGATGATGATGGTGGTGGTGGTGGTGCTGGTAGTGCTACTTGTTGGAGACCTCGGAGACTCTGGATCCCCACCGGACAACCTTCACGGAGGTCCAGCATCCTGCCCAGTGGCGGGTGCTCACGCATCTTGGAGCGATGCATTGCCAGCTCCTTGGCCAGGTAGAACTGGTGGTCGGGCGGAGCGGACTCGATTTCGCTCTGCTTTCGTCTCTCTTCTTCCACTAGACGTGATAGAGCCGGATCGGCCTCGATCTCGGCCGTCAGGGCGCCCGGAAGGTTGATGCCCAGGGCCAGGAGATCCGATACGCCGCGAGCCTTGGCCTTTTGCACCCAGGTCCAGAGGGGGGCGTTGTCGTCGACCGTGGCAAATACCCGCACCGCCATGTCGTACAGGTCCTGGCTATCCTTTTGCCTGCGAAGGTCTTGCTTGGCCAAGATGGACCGTTCGTTCTTCAATGCTGATAAGTCATTCCTCTGCACGTTGGTCAGATCTTCCATTTTCTCCAGGTACTGCTCAACCATTTGCAGCGGTGTTGGTGTTGGTACGTGGCTGCGACGACGACGAGGAGGAGGAACGTCAATGTTGATTCGGTGCTGAAACCCTTTGAACCAAAGCCTCAACAAGTTCATGGTCTGCAATCTGACCGTGGTTACGTGGTGCACCTTCGTGGCCAATCCTACGGCCTCCACGTACAGTTGGACAGCCTCGTGGAAATATGTCGAGTCGGGCGAAGCTCCCTGGTGAAGCCACACCGTCTGGAGACAGTTCGCCATCTGGGCTTTGGCCAGCGATGCGCTGATCCATTTGTCGATGTCGAGGTAGAGTTGCAGGGCCTCGTGCTCCAGCTGGCTGGACTCGAGGAGAAACCTGACCTGTCCAGGCTTGGACTCGGTGGGTTGGTTGGCCTCGATAATCTTCAGGGTTGCCTGAACTTGGAGAGCAACGGCGGTGAGATCTTTTCCATCGCGGATGGACAACATGGCAGAGCAGTCGTTGACGAATTGCAAGCACATGTTGACCAGGACCGTGATCTGGTTTAGGCTGCGGAAGCTGTATTGCGCCATATACGTTCGGGCGACGTTGGCGACTCTTCGAACCTCGATGGCTCGATCATCGAGACCTTTGGTAGTCGACACGATGCGTCTTGTGGTATTTAGCTCCTGTTCTAGCTCTCGTCGCTCTCTTTCCGGTTCAGGCAGTGAGGTCTTGGCTTGGAGACGCTGGAAAAACGGCTCGAGATCGAACAGGATCATGAAGCTTCGGGGCAGCAAATGCCGCTGCTGGGAAAGCCACAGGTTTGCCCTCTTCGCATCGCCAATCTTGGTGTAGGCATCGTACAGGAGCATGACGAGGTCCGCCAGCATGATAGGCGCATCCATGTCCTTCATATCGTCATACAATTCTTCCAGCGCCTGTAGGCTCTGGGCAATATTTGCATAAGTGTGACACCATCGGCGGACGATGATCATTCTCTGACTGACCCAGTCAAGGTCGTTGCGGCAGATCCCGCGAACCTTTAGCAGCTCGACGTTCAGGGACGTGCTCAGCGAATCGTCCGGGGTTTCGAGGTTGATTTGATGAAGAGCTTGGAGGGCCTGGCGCACGCCGTGCCAGTTGGCAAGGTTTTCCAATTCCGACTTGATCCTGAAAAGGCTCTCGATCCGCTGCTGGCGCTCTCCGGGCTCCCCACCTTTCCGCAGTCGTTTGATCTGAATGTAGAGAGGTCCATATGCGTGACCGGCACGCACATAGAGGTGCTCAGCAAGTTCCAAATACATGCTGGCATCTTCGGCCTTATCCTGGGCTTCCAAGGCCTCTGCATATTCCAGGAAGATGTCGGCTCGAAGAACATCACTGTCGAGATCGGATTGGATGAGGGTGTCGAGCAGGGTCAGATGGGAGCCCTCGAATGACTCGGGCAAGGCTCCATAACACACTGCAAGCTTGAACGCCACCTTGTGCTGTCCGCCTTCTTGCAAGTGATGGAAAATTTCTCGGAAGCGTTCAGGGGTCAACACTGGCGGTGGATCATCTTTCATGAAACCGACCAGCCCGACCACTCTGCAGAAGCCGTGGTATATGACAGCAAGATATGCCTGGGGATCGCGTCAGTCATCAGATCAGACCAATTGGTCTTGGTATCGGTGTCAAAGGAGGATAGACCGTTTGTTTGTCATAATCTTCCACCGCTCTGTCTCTCAGATGTTCGTTGAAGACGCCGATTGCCTTGGCCAGAGGGTCGGCCAAGCGAACGGTCGAGGATACTTCAACAGAAGCCCATAGTAGGTCAAATAGTGCCAGCTCGAGCGGCTTTTCTTGGCTTCGATCAATCTGACCAGTCCGCGAGTTAAGCCGGTCGACGACCACTCCAATCAGCCCTTGTTCTATGTTGAACCCGGACACCTCGAGAAGGAGATTGAGGGGAGAAATGGGTTGTTCGGCCTCGACCACCGCATAGAGCTCCGCCGCATCCCTGTAGAAGCCCAGATCTCCAAGTCTCCGTGCTTCTAGCAGGTTGGGGGAAGGCTGTGCCTGTGCCTGTGCCTGTGCCATTTTGGAGAGACTTGAAAGAAAGTATGGATGACATTCTGCACAAACAAAACATCGCATGTGCAGGTAGCAACGGCAATATAGGCCTTCAGCTCGGCCTCTCTACCTGTCTCAGACGTACCTGGTGGCTGAGCCCAGATGCCTCCTTCGAGTTGGTGTTGTGAAACGCCAAGTCTTCCCCCCTGCGTGAGCTGAATGTGATATCAGCTTATAAAGACCAATGGACGGCCCGCGCGGCGTGAAGCTCGTATCCCCTGTGTCATTGTCTCAGGCCTAGACCGCTCCTCTCGCTTGCAAGGGGACCGAAAAAGCCTCTCCCAGCCGGAAAGGTCTTCTTGAATTTCTCTTCCTTTGCATCGGAAATCTCGACGTTGGTAGTAAGTAACATGGCGGAAATGGATCTTGCTGATGACGTCAACTTGGCTTCGCAGAACGAGAAGGAAATGGAAATGCAGCCGGCGGCGGACGATGGCCTTGTATTTGCCTCGAGTTCAGTTGAACTAGAGGTCGACAATGAGGCCCTGTATCTGGGAACAAACAAACCACATGATCCCACGCGGGAGGGAAAACAACGCCCCAAGGAACTCACCGCCACCACAGCACGGGCGATATCCAACACCTTTGGCGGTGCCAGAGTCAGCGGCGATGTGACTTATCTGCAACACGGTACCTACGACACCAAGCCGGCGACCTTGTTGGGGTTCAATTTCAGGTTCAAGTTCGAGCCGGGCAGTGCATCTCGATTTACTCGGGCGGAAATCTGGGTGACATTTGATTCACATGGGGAGAATGTGACCGCCGGAACACCACCGAAGCCAGCCGTCAAGCACTATGCACCGGCCCTCATTTGTGGACCAGTAAGCCTGGGACAGGTGGCCAAGTCAGTGGCGGTGTTGCCTTCCATCAGTGCCCCTACCTTGCCAGTGCAGACCGGCATCGGAGTGACCATGACCAAATCCACCACGGCTGCTCGAGAGTTCCAGATGAAGGTGATTGGAGAGCCATCGACAGATGACGATGAAGCCGAGGAGGAAGATACGATAGGTTGGTGGATCACCGAGAATGCCGCCCAGGATGATGGCATCCCCAGAGAGCTCAAGTCTGCTGTGCTGGTACAACATAAAGATAGCGGCGAAGCATTTCAGGCAACTGTGCACGTCAAAGTTCGTACGCGCATGGGTCTGTCGCTGTTCGGCTGGCCATGGTCGAAGCGGACACCGCTCGTCATCTCCAACAAGGAACGGTTTGGGAAAGCCGCAATCACCACCACATTCGATGACCTGGAAGACAAGGACTGGCTTCAACTGACTGAATTTCCAGGATTGGTCCAGGTAAGGAAGGTCCCAGTCCCATGTCAATGTGGCAATCGCAACCAAACTGACCCCAAGCAGAGGATCCGAATCAGCGACAAATCCAAAGAGAAGATCTGCTAGGACAATGCAATGCCTCTGGGGCGTTTTCAGACCACAAACAGGCAATAATGTCTGGCATCTATCACCCGAGGACCATCGCGATCTTTCTGCCGTCGCCGTCACAGCCATGACCCTTCTCTCCCCCCGCGTAACTAGCCTGCAAACAATCGGACATTGGTGGTACTAAGTACTACTAGTATAGCATTTAGTACTGCATGTTTCAGCTGCCCTTCTTATAAATATTTCTTTATAAAAGCATACATGGCTGGGTTTTCATAGTCGTCTCCGTTGTCCAGAAAGTGATCCTTTCCATGAGGACGTTCGTACTCAACAGTCATCCCACAGCCCAACATGGCACCGACCACTTCATCCGCTTGCTCAACACCTACCGCGGTATCTGCGTCTCCGTGTAACACGTAGGCTGGCGGTAAGCGATGCTCCTGGATCCTGCGCGATATCCTGTATGGGGCCGCACTTTCCTCGTCGGGGATATGCCACAACTCGGCCAAGTTCGCCGCCCGCAGCATGTAGACGTACATGTGGGCCCGAGGATCGGGGACTTTGGCGCAGCTGGTGACCGGTTCGCCGGTCGTATCGAGAAACTCCTCCATCTCCTCCTTCGAGGCGGCATAGCGGCCCGGTGGCGCCGGTTGTGGATTGGTGAAGAAGACGCCCAGAGGATCTGTAATCGGGTAGATGGGTATGATGACCTGCGGCTTGGGCTCGACGTAGAGACCGGCGAGGAGAGTAAGAAATCCTCCCGCCGAGCTGCCGGAAACTGCGAGTCGAGATACATCCAAGGCGCCTTCGGGGACGCGTGAGGAAAGCTCGGTCCGGATGAACTTGATGCAGTCTTGGACGTCTTCGAAGACCTCTTGGACGCTGACTTGCGGCGCAAGACGGTAATCGGCCGAGATGCAGGCGTAGCCGTGGGCGTGTACACCGTTGCGCATGTGCGGGGCGAGCAGGTCGCGTCGTCCCAGTCTAAATTGATTTACAGTCAGTCAGCCTGGCTAGCGAGCGGCGCTCCTGGATTGAAAAGATAAAGAGTCGCTTGCTGCAGGTAGAGGAGTATGTAGCTTACAGCAGCCCGCCGCCGTGGAACCACAGCAAGATTGGCGCCTTCTGCACATTTCTGGGCAGGTAGAGATCCAAGGGGATCTCGACCGAGCCAATCTTCTTGTAAATGATAGTCTGGTCGGGTACCGCCATCTTGTGAATCATGATTTCACTTGGGATTGCTTAAAGCAAATGGAGGGGGTCGTTCAGAGGAGGGAAGCCACGACTCCTGTTCAGAGGGTCGAGGGCCTGCCGTCCTTTTGAGCTTCGCTTGAAGCTTGAAATGGCGGCAAGTTTCGCGCACTGTGACGGTGAAAGCCGAAAAGCGGACTTCCTGCCACCACCGGCGGCTGTCTCTCAAGTCGCATCTACTCCATAGATTGCAGAAGATCTGATCAGGTCAATTACATAACGGATCGTTCGTGTTGAAGGGAAAATCACTCAGTCGCTATCACAACGCCAACGAAACATTCAGAATCTGTCATCGAGATCTGAATGGGGCCGCCGGAGTGGGCCCAGGCCCATCTCTTCCGCCGGTGCTGTCGTTCTCCGCCGGCCCCAACCTCCCAGCCTCCCTAGCCCCTTAGCCCCCGAGAACCCCATTGCTCCATCCCTGCCGGTCCCCGTGTATTCGGCTGCCGAGGTAGATCTGTGCAGTACTGGCAATAACCTATAGTTTAAATCTGTATATACACTTCTGAGAGACGTCTCTAAGAATCTTCAATTAGCTTTAATACCGTTTAGATACTGTAACGTTAGCGTGGATGTAGAGTTGATATTGTCTAAGTACGGTACTGAGATAGTGTTGTTACCGTATCAGGTCCTTAAATCGGTGAGAATCTTCAAGTGTTAAAGCAGTATTGAAGCTGTCTCAACACCGTGGCGAAGCTGTCTTGGTACCGTGCCAAAGCCGCGTCAGAACTGCAGGGACACTGCTCGGAGCCGTTCTAAAGCTGTTAAACACTGTCTCTAGTCTGCATAATGTAGTTTAGATACAGCATCAAGTATACATACTGTAGTAATTGTCTGTTTATCTGCTCCTTGTGGTTACTGTCCTCCTGAAGCTCATACAGACGTCTCAAGATTGCCATAGTCGGCTTCAGTGTGTTCGCGGAAATGGTGTTTACTTTTTCTCCAATGCGTTGAGCTACTAACCTGCTTAATGTATAGAACAATTCAAACGCCGTGCCCTATAGTCTACTGCCTCGCGCAGAGGCCAGAGACTCACTGCTCAATTCCACCCACTTGATGACTCCTGTCCTGGGATCGCAATTGACGTATTCGAAACTTGCCTCACCCGCCTTGAGGATAGAAACCTCCTGCCATGTCATGAATCTCCTCGCGTCGCCAAACTTCTTATTGTGTTCCATGGCGCCACTGAAGATTGCCAAATGCGACGGATGTCGAGCGGCCCATTTCTCGAGGTCAGCCCAATTCCGATGAAACCCCATTGCGGAGGTTTCCCTCAACGGGTGCCTGTCCGTACTAGTATCTAGACTTCTGGCGAACCTCAGCCCGATTGTGCCTGTCTCCTCCGGGTTTTCCCACAGGTACTTCATACCTCGCACGAGCTTCTGCTGCAGACCATTCTCGTACGCCTCAGTTTCCTCGGGCCCGCAGAGGCCCCAGTATTGTCCCGAGCGAATGTGACACATATTGTTGTAGTTCTGTCCCACGAGACGCTGTCCGAATCCTCGAGGGCATGTCTGAGGTACTAGTACGCTCGGTGGTGCCGGCAACTCAAAGAGATCATGAGAGAAGGCTGCCAACCGATCTCTGCCGGCTCCCCAGTACTCGGTGTAGTCATGCGCTTGGGTGGTAACATTGGGTAGCCTAGCCAACCCGGGACTGTACTCCTGTCGGGAGTAATTGGTTTGCAGTCTCTCCAGCGGCGTCTCAAACGATTCGCGCCATATGCCGATGAGGTTTCTGCCAGAACCTGATGCTTGCCAGATTTGCTGGAGGTCGAGCTGTTTCAACTTGGCCGAGAAGTCTTGCTCTAAAGTCCAATGGGCCACCCAGACTGTCGATGCTGGCAGGTCGTTCCCCAGAATCACACGAAACACTTCCACGGAGGCTGGCGCATTCACTGGTTGCTTCAACAACTGTTCAATCGATTCTTCTGCTTTGTGGGCTGCTTTCTGGTCACTCCCGTGAGATTGAACTCCCAGATAGAGAGTATAGACATGTTCGACATCTTCCGGAAATATGACCGTCCATCGAAGGTTTGATACTTTGTGATCCGTAGGTCTCCTGAGGGAGTGTTCTCGCCTTTCGCCGGGCGCTAGCCTCATATTTGCCATGCCGAGTCTTCAGGCAGATTGCTCAAGAGGTCGACAATGGAGCAGCAAATTGTCTGGTAGATAGGTGCTGTGGGCTAGAGGAAAATGAAAGAGGAATTCCAAGAGTGAGCATGCAGTTTTATGCCTGTGCACATCATGGGTCGATGGATTCCCGATGGTTCGGCCTTCTCCCCTGCTCCCCACCGCCCTCCTCCTGGACCGATTAGGCTCCAATGGGCGCCGTCATGTCATTGATAGCCTGAAATCGTTACAATTTTGGGTGCAAGATGCGTAGCTACAATCGAGGTGCCGGGCTTCATATTGGGTCGGGCCACCTTTTAGTCGTCCCACCCCTTCATCACTAGCGACGATCTCTAGTAGCTCAGAGGAAAGCAGACAGTTTATTATGGATTTCTCCGGGACATGATTTCCAGATGGGCAAACCATCAAATCTGCTCTCACATATACTAGTATGTACATCCATATATGTGGCCTTGAACCCCGTTTTCAGGCTAGCACGTTATATGGTGTACCGGAAATATGGACTTTTGTCACCAAGTCCTGCCAGTTCATCTGCCGTCATACCCTCCGATGGCTCGCCAGCGGCATCCCTCTTCTCGTTGATCCTGTGAAAGACAAATCCCATGGTCGAGTAAATAGTCCCTGCCCAGACCAAGAGACCCAGTGTAGTCGCAAAGCCCGCGTAGAATCGGGGACCATCTCTGGTTTGGAACAGCTAGTTTTGCATCAGCAGCCACTATCAAAGTTTGGAGGGAAGGAGTACTCACAAATGGCGCAGATATTCCAGCTGCATTGCCCATCGTCATCTGGAGACCGCTCGCAGTGACCTTGGTTCCGTAGCGAGGATAGTTCATGGGTAGCCAGGAGATCGGGATACCAACCACCGAGTAGCGGCCGAGTGCGACCAGGACGCACCCAAAATAGTGTACACCCTCTGCCACGGGACTCAGCAAAAGCGCATATCCGAGAATGGAAGTCAAGCAGGCGCCAACTGCAAAGATGGAGCGTCTCTGCGTCCTGTCGCTCAGGTACGCCACGACCAGGTACGAGATCGACCCGGCAGCATAACATGGAATGGTCAAAGCTTGCACCTGGGCCGGCGTCCATGTACCAAGAGATTTGATGATGGTGGGAAGGAACGAAGAGTAGCCCCACAGCATTGTGTCTCCTCCAAAGTGTGCAAGGGACATTGCCCAGATCTTCCAGTCTTTTAATGCGGCAATGATATCCTTCTGATGCATTTCCAGTCCAGAAGTCGAGAAGCCGGGTTGTCTATTGCGCTTGGCGATGAGGATGCTTCGATCGTGTTCGTTCAGGTAGGAACAGTGTTCCGGATCGTCCGCCATCAAGAACCAACATGCGATACCAGCCAGAACGGATGGAATACCTTCGATGATCATGATCCAACGCCAGCCGCGATAGCCACACAACCCGTCCATGTGTCCGACAGCGTAGGCGAAAAGACCCCCACATCCACCTGCCAGAGCGGCGCTGACAAAGAGGTAGGCCATGCGCAGCGCAAGCTCACTCTTGGTGTAGAAGAGCGTCAAATAGACTACAAGGCCGGGGAAGAGCCCTGCTTCGACTGCGCCCAGGATAAGGCGGCAGGCAACCATACCTCCAAAGTTCTGACAGAAACCCATAAATATCGCCACAAGGCCCCATGCAACAGCCAAAAACGCAATCCACCGGGAGGGCTTCAGCTTTTTGAGGACCATGTTGCTGGGAAGCTCGCAAATGACATAAGTGACAAAAAGGATACTGACGCAGACTTGGTACTGGTTGTTGCTCAGACCAAGGTCGGCTTCAAGTCCGTAGAGTCTGTTAAACGGCAAAAGTTAAGATCATCGTTCACGGGCCTTCCCAGCTCGATTCTAGCCGGTAGGTATGCAACATACCTGGCATTTCCGATATTGACCCTAAGCATATTCAGCACTGTTTGCAGCCGTTTTCTTGACGAAAGCGAGTGGATAGAGCACTTACCGGTCCATGAAGGACAGAAGATACAGTACCATTACCAGCTACCAGACTGTCAGCGAGCATACCCTCTGAACAGTTAGAATTGAAACATACTGGGACCACATGCTTGTCGACCTTCCTGAGAACCCGCTTCTCGGCCTGTGCATCCAAAAGTTGACTCTCAAGAATGCCTTCGGCAACGTCTGGGGCGGTTTGCACATCATTTTTGGTCATTTTTTCTGGAGTCTGCGCGAAGGGCGGCGTGGACATCTTTCAACTCGCCCAAGAGATTCGACGAGATCGACCAAGTTTGCAGAGAATTCTTTCCAAAAAAGGTCAAATTGCGCTTGTCCAGCTCATGAAGTCGGCTCTCTCCTCCGCCTTAAGTACCGTCCATGTAGTAGTGTTTCCCCGCAAAAGCATGGCCCTGGGCAGCTTGCTCGATAAGCGTAAGTCGGTCCTTATCGACATCTCGGATGCCCCAGAGCTGTCGGATATCAGGCAGGATAAGGGAGGGTTCCTACACATGCGTACCGTTGATAGTGACATTATAGTGTGTCAGACAGTACAGTACATCGAGACCCACATCATGCGGCGGACTGATTGATATCAAGATGTGATAGGCCCCGCGGCGCCGGCGGACCCCATCGGAGCCGCCGGACGGAGTATTGGTGGAGAAGTACGGAGTACCATAAGCACTTCAGTATAGTACTCCGCCACGTCAGTCCTTTTCGTGGGGAGCGTTGCAGGTGGCTGTTGGAAACAAACCGCGTTGTCGATTGGGTACATATTCTTTTAAATAAAATCAGACCAGAGCCCGCGAAGAAGTACATAGTCCTACAGTAGTACAGCATCTTGGTTCTTGCATCAAACAATGTCTAAAGCCGTATTCCGGCTCGAACAACAACAAATGCACCTGCTAGACCCGAGTTCGGACAGGAGAGAGACAGGGCACGCCATGCGATCGGTCTTCACCAGAAACGCGGCTCCTCGTGAGTCTCTCTCTTTCTCTTTCCCTTTCACGTTCTCAGAATGGTTCTAACAGAAATCATCATGACCAGCCGCGGGACCATACAGCCAAGCGATCAAAGCTGCTGGCCAGGTTTTCTGTTCAGGTCAACTACCCACAGACCCGGCGGGCGTATTGATCACGGGAACAGTTGCAGAGAAGACAGAGGCATGTATTAGGAATTTGAAGGCAATTCTTGGAGAGGCCGGAAGTGAACTTGGGAAGGTCGTCTAAGTTGTGGTAAGCGTGTAGAACCTTGAAGTAGTCTGTTGACTGACATGATACATGGTGCATAGATCTTCCTCTCTGATATGCAATATTTCCAAGAGATGAACGCCGAATACGAGAAATGGTTCTCGCATAAGCCCGCAAGGAGCTGTGTCGCTGTGAGGACACTACCTAAGAATGCGGATGTTGAGATCGAAGCGATTGCCATACAATGAAGAAACAAACGTAAAGCTATCAGGTACTTACTAGTATACTAGTACATACATAGTATCGGGGCCTGGAAGAGAAGAATAAGCGGTAAGCCGCCTCTTGTAAATGTCACGCGCGAGCAAATCATATATAAACGAGGAGGAGAATCGCTCCTCCTGTGCTGAGGAGGCTGAACCCATAAATTAGCAACCTTAGTAACCGCCAAGCCTCTATGGTAATTAGCACCAGACGGTACCACAACTAGCCGTTTAGAGCATAGCTCAGGTCACAGGATACGCTAATCTCAAATAGGCCAAGTATCTTTACATATGTCATATGGGCACCCGAACTCGAATCTCGAACTTTGGTCTAGACTTCAAAGGTGTTCGCAGACCAGCAATTACGACAATCCTGGTCCCGGCCAATGCATGTTGGATCCAATCAAGGTGTTTCGGCAGTCGATGTTGTCGCTACAATTGTCTGTTGGTCTCGTAGCAGCGGTCCCCATCTTTCCCTGGTGTCTCAATCCCCACCGTCCTCATCGCTCACGAACTCACGAACACCGACATAAGGCATTCTAACCCCCATGCCTGCCCCAGGCTTGACCAAACGCGGGCCTCGATCATGTGACATCTGCCGGAGAAGGAAAACGAGGTGTGTCGCGGAAGAAGGAACTCTTGGTGGAGCTTGCGTGCTTTGCAAGTTCCACAATCAAGAGTGTACATTTGATGGCATTCCCTGTTCACAGAGGAGAGGAATGGACTCTCCATCGCCGGGTCAAGTCTCATCAAGGTTCGTACAATCGTGGCTTCCCGCTGTCGCTGTGTCCGGCCATGTGTCTAAGATGAATAATCGAGATATACAGACCTAACGAGAATATCCTGAGAGCAGCCCCTAGGCCACATGACACACAATGGCGCCTGATCCGGACCAGGCAAGGCCATAGTGTGGAGGAATACGACCAATTGAGCGAGCCAAGTCTCATGACAAAGACACTGGGCATGCTTAACAACCACCACTGTCAACACATCAGTCCGGCGAGCTCGTTCACGCCTGCACTCACTGGTTTCAGGGAAGCCAACGGTCACGGACAACGTATACGCTGGGTTTCACCGAATGATGCCTTTCTCTTGGTGCCTGATATGGGAACTCCCGCTTATTCGGAGCAGCGGGCGGATGTGGAAGCGGTCGAAGCGCTTGTGAGACCGTATATCCGGACATTACACGACATCTACTTCCGAATCGTCTATCCCACGTTCCCAGTTCTGCACCGCCCAGTGTGGATTGAAAAGTATGGCCGATCGCCCTTCGAGTTCGCGCCGGCAAGCTTGGCGGTGGTGTACCTCCTGGCGACACAATATTGGTCATATGAGCCTTCTTTACATGGCAAACCGATGCCGGACGTTGCCAAGCTAGAGGCCCTTGCTAGAAAGTGCCTGCAAGAAGCCATCCGCTATCGGCCTAAACTATCAACCATTCAGGCCGGACTGCAACTCCTCCAGTACTCCCCGACCGATTCAGAGGAACTGACTCTGCAGCTTGTCAATGCGGGACACAGAATTGGCCTCCATCTCGATGCCACCGATTGGGACATTCCAGACTGGGAGAAGACTCTCCGCAAACGTCTAAGCTGGGCTCTATACAGTCAAGATAAATGGCACGCATTTGAGACTGGCAAACCCTTTCTCATCAACAATGCGAACTGGGAAGTCCAAAGGATTACGGAGCAAGATTTCCCCGAGCAAAGTGAGTACGAGCAGGAAGGCAGTTCGGATGTCGAGAAGGGTCGACTCCTCTTCTGTCAGCAGGTTTATCTCTCCGAGATACTGGGTGACATCCTTGAAGACATCCTCTCGATGCGTGCCACCACCGAGGTGGCTTGCGCTGGTGAACACGGCCTCGAACTCTTGCTGCAGAAGACCAAGCCACTGCAGGCACGCCTGCGTCAGTGGTTCACCGACATTTCGGTCCATTTGTCGATGGACCCCACGACGGTCAACAAACTGTCCTCCGTGGGCTCTTTGCGACTTGCCTACGTCGCCACCGAGATGTCGTTGCATCGACAGATCCTTCTAACTCTGCCTAATTGTATAGATGGGCCCCTGACTGAAGTCTGCCGCAAGTCAGCGGGCGAGCGATTCCAATTTGCCATCAATCTCGTCGAATCGTTGAAACCTAACCACCTCGTCAGTTTCTGGTATTCCATGACCGCTCATAATCTGGTGCTGGCAGGTGAATTCGGCTGTTACCTATACCTCACCGAGACTAGATTCGAGCAACGACAACTCTACCTATCTCAACTGCGACAGTATCGCTGGCTTCTCACCATGAACAACAGTGGTTCTGCCTATATTCGACAGGCTCTAAACTCTCTCGAGGTACATTTCAGATATCTCCTGGATTCTCAGAATCGTGGAGACGATGATACATTTCCTGTGGTCAATAGTGATCAGGTGGTATATCCCTCGGGGGATGATACAGTTGCCGTAGGCGAGGATGAGCTTTGTTCTACATGGGATGATTGGATGCATGAATCAACATTCATGGCTCCTGGCGAACCCGAATGGAGTAGTCCTCGTCATGTTTAACGACAGGAATCAAGAATACCTACCTAGTATATACTATGTATAGACCACTACTAGATTAGATCGATTTTAACTCTATATTAATACTAATAGTTTTATAAGTGGTATCTAATCTAAATCCTATATATTAGAACTATATCAAACTTAGATCGATCGATACTAGGTACCCAGATTAGAACCGGATCGAGACCGGATTAAAACCGGATTAAAATTGGATCGAAACCGGATCGAAACTAGATCGAATCTAGAATCGAACCTTAATCGAGCCCTAATCGATTATAGATCGAATTTGAATCCTGATAGTAATGATTCTTGACCCCGGGATCGAATCATATATGATCGATCACTTTATAAGCCCTGGCACCGCCATTCAAGCCGCCCCAAATTCAATTCGAGGGCCACGATAGTGTTTCCCGGCGTGAATGAACCAGTTAATCACACCTAAAGCACACATACATGCACTGACGACACAGGCGTAATCTGTTGTGTGGAGGAAAGATTCAAGTTAGAGTCTCGTTTCAGTTTCAAAACTGTCTCGCTTCAAGTTCAAAGGGCAGGCAACTCGACTTACTCATATTGGAACTCTTCACAGGGAGCGTGACGGGAAAGTGGAAGAAGATGGTCCAGAAGATGGACGAGATGACCACGAGAATATTCGCAGTCCACCCAATCAGTGTAGGGAGGCGGAATGGAGCGGTGGTTGGGAGGAACTTGGTGGATCGGTGGTTGTACAGTAGCAAGGCGGCGGGGAAGGCGAATGACGCCTGTTGTAGGATGATGCCGATTCCAACCAGGGCATTGAAGGCTAAGGAAAAGTCAGTAACGACCGAGAAGCAACGACGAGAAGCAATTGATGTGTAACATCGATGGCAATGACAGAGAAGGCAACGACAGAGAAGGCAACGACAGAGAAGGCAATGACAGAGAAGGCAACGACCGACAAGCAACGACCGAGAAGATGAATATCGTACCTGTTGTTGATGCCATATATATACAGCCACAGCAAAAAATGACGACATAGTTTGCCAGCAGAGCCCACACGGGGACATGTAGGGTCGGATGGATGCGCGAGATGACATGAGAGAAGCTGAAGGCATTGTCCCGGGCGAGGGCCCACGTGAGGCGCGAAGAGGTCTGTTGAATGGCGTTGAGGCAGAAGAACCCTATGCACAAGGACATGATGGCAAACGCCGTGGTCGCTGCCTTGGAGCGAGTGGCTTGGAGAAAGATCTCGACGATTGGCATCCTGTGGTTGTCCGTCAGCCTGTGCACGTGTTTCAAGACGGTGTACCATAGTATGTAGTATGGTAGTGAGAGCAATAGACATGTACCATGTAGTGTGTGGCAGAGAACAAATGTATCGTGCTCTCACTACCATACTACATAGTAGTACAATCTCTTACCCGGTCGCAGTGGCCAGAACGGCATCAAAATCGCTGAGAGAGTAGAGCATGGCCACGGCGAATGAGAAGGCCGTGACAAAGCCAATGACAACGCTCGACATGACCGCCTTGGGAACGGTTCGTTCCGGTCGAGTGCATTCTTCGGCAAGGTGTAGAGCGGCGTCCAAGCCGGCGTACATGAAGGCCGGATTGACCAAGCCGGTCAGAAAACAGATGCCATCTGGCCAGCCAGTGGCATTGATCCAAGTCGTCCAGACAAATTCGTTTGACTGCTTGGGATCGGATCGGGACACACAGGTGACCAATATGACGAAGAAGCTGGTCAAGGTCAAATAGACTGTTTTCTTTGATCAGCCAAAACCAAACGTTTCATTGAAACATAGAAAAGAAGGGCCCCGGGGCGGCTACTACTCACATCCGATATCATGCATCCAAGGTGCCCGTTTGACGACAAAGATGTTGGAGAGAAGCAGGACGAAAGACAGCATCTGGTAGATGAGGAAATAGTGCCAGGTATGAGGAAGGTAGCCTGGATTCCAAATGACGGCAACCGCGATGATCCATTGAGCATTCAAGATGGCGACCGCGGCACTCAATGATACCCAGGAGAAGGCCGCGATCACTCCACAGGCGTAGGAGAGACCTTTGCTGAATCTGGCTGGGGCGAGCAGTGATGTGAAGTGGTACTGTCCACCTGCGGTAGGGTATCTGTTGCCGGACAGCAGGTCAGCAGGATTTCAGACAGCATCATAGGACTTCACTGTCCCATCAGGGGGGATGTAAGTATCATAGGACATATCACTGTCCCATGGGGGCAGGGGGTCGCAAAGAGTTGTGGGGACCTTACACCGCCGAGAGCTCGGCCAGGGTTGCTGCAGTGGCCAGATAGACGATGGTGGTCAGGATGGCCCCATACAGAACCGTGACTGTGCCGCCCTGTGTGATGCCGATGGCCAGGCTGGATGCCATTCCCACCCAACTGTTGCAGATGTTGAACCCCAACGAGAGGATGCTGAAGCCATTGATGTCGTGAGGGACTTGGTCCGACCCCAATCCCAATCCCTCTGCCACGTCAAGGTCGACCGCGGCCATGCTGCCCACTTCACTCTGATTGACCGACTGCGCGTCTCCTTTGTCTCCCGTTGCCGACATGGTGATGCCTAGAGGTCAAGTCAGCCACATTCACATATACATATTGACAATACTGCAGTGTAGGGACAGGTGGACACAGCCGTACCAGAGGGATTTCCCTTCAAGTTCTCCATGACTCTCTCTTCTGGGCCAGGTGAGGTCTCAGTTCAACAGGTTTACAGGATGGACTCGATCTCAGCTGAGGTCCCAATTCAACAGTGACTAGATGGACTCTGGGAGATCTCAACTAGAACCCAGGTAACCAATTCAACCCGGTTGTTTTACTGGAAACTAGAACCCAGGTAACTAGGTTGTCTCCAGTGTCTTATATAACTCTCGACCGACGCATTGAGGCCAACGTCGCTCGGTCCCAGGCGGCTGAGCCCTCCAGTCTGATAACGCTGCGTCCCTGGACTTATTGTTATCTCCTGTACCTTACCGTCTTGTGCATCCTGGGTTTGCACGCAAGTTCGTGGAAAGTTGCCGCGCCTGACGAGTCTAGAGTGGATATACGACCTTTGGCACTAGCCATGTTCGCCATGAGTTTCCACCCAACAAACCCAGCAATCCCATGCCCCAGCTGTGGTTATCAGAAGATATTCGTCAACCATCAATCATAATCGGTTTATGTAAATGAAGACATGGTACTCGCCTCGTCCAGAACTTATCAGCCTTGAACTTTTCGGGCCCTTGGACCGAAACCACTGGCAGCGCAGCGCGCCTTGATCAACGGTGCTCGCCATCACTTTCTTGGGGGCGCAGGCTCCTAAGGATTAGTGGCTACCTGGGACTAAGCCCAATACAGGAATGTGGAGTGTGCAGTATGGAATAGGCACAGACCAACCACGGTCCAGGAAGTGCCACTCGTCGCTTACCAACTTGAATCCACCACAATCCGACAACGGAATCTCTTTCTCTGTGACTTAAAAAGGAGGATCGAGACATTCACGAGGCTGGTCCCAAAGTCAATTTGATGTTGATATTACTTCTATACTAGCACGCAGCTCGCCTTCCAACGTCCAATGCAGAACTATGGCCTGATCAGAGAGGGCGCAGGCAATGCGGTGCTGCGCGCAATTCCTCTCCCCAAGCTCCGGGATGATTACCTCCTGGTCAGAACGGTCGCCGTCGCTCTCAACCCCACAGACTGGACCACGCTCGATGCCGACGGCGACGACGGCACCATTGTGGGCTGCGATTACGCCGGGGTTGTAGAGGAGGTGGGCAAAGCAGTCACGAAGGCGTTCAAGAAGGGGGACCGGGTTGCTGGGTTCTCACACGGAGGTCAGTACTGAATGCCGTTGCCGTTGCCGTTGCGTCTTCTCCCCCAGTTCGAGTAGGGCCCTGTCTATATCTTCTCCCCCAGTGCGAGTAGGGCCCTATATCCACGATCCGGGATGCCCGTTGACCGGAACTGGAACTGGAACTGACCGCGGTTGCACTGTCATCCATCTTCACAGGCAACGATGCACATCCCGAAACTGGCGCATTCGCCCGGTATATCACGGTCAAGGGCGATACTCAGATGCACATCCCAGCCGGCGTGAGCTTTGAAGCTGCTGCTACGGTCGGCGTAGGGATTGGCACCTTGGGATATGCAATGTATAAAGTGCTCAAGCTGCCACTTCCCGACACCGTCTTGGAAGGTGTGGGTGAAAGCCCCGAGCCTGTCCTGATCTATGGGGGGAGCACCGCCACCGGCACCCTCGCCATCCAATTTGCCAGGCTGTGAGTTCTTTCCTTCGATTTCATTCACATCCAGTTCCGTTGGGGGGTTAGGGTTCGGAAAGTCATGCATGTCTCATGAGATACTGGGCTAACTGGTAGCCGTGTGTTTCCGCGAACAGTTCGGGTCGAAAGGTCATCACCACCTGTTCCCCCAGGCACTTTGGACTCGTCAAGGAGCGGGGCGCCGACATCGTTTATGACTATGTAAGCTGCAGGGCATCCTTTTTTTCTCCTGTTGCTGCTGGTGGTTCAAAATCTCGTTCCTTTTCTTACCATCTCTGGTCTGCTATAGCATATTCCCCAAGTCGGCACACAGATCCGTCAAGTGACCGACGGCAAGCTCAAGGCTGTGTTCGACACCGTCTCCCTCGATTCGTCCGCGGCCATCTGTGCCGACGCAATAGGCCCTGCCGGCGGGGTGTACTGCAACCTTCTGGGGGTGGACTGCCCGCGGTCCGACGTCCAGTCCGTCTTCTTCCTCGGATATTCAATCTCGGGTGAAGCGTACATTTTTGAAGGCCAGTCATACGACGCCTCCCCAGAGGATTTCATCTTCGCCCGCCGTTGGTATGAGATCGCAGAGCGGCTCTGGGCTCAGGGGAAGTGGACTCCGCATCCACAGCGCATTGGTCCCGACGGTCTACTCGGTGCGCTGGCGGGGATGCAAGAATTGCGCCAGGGCAAGGTCAGTGGCGAGAAGTTGGTCTATCGTGTCGACGAGACAATGTGGCCCTAGAAAGGCCACTCACTCTAGAGACCCATGTCATCATTAGTATCTAGCTATAGCCAGGTAACATATGCTTTATGCCGAAGTGTCCGTTGGTCTTTCGGCGGATATCGAAGCCCACGCGTCATTGTTGAGATGTAAGAATCACCTCGATTTGTTCGATTGGATCTGCCATCGAGAAGCCTCTATAGGGCCAGCCCAATAGGACGACCTCGTTGATGATATCCTTTTCCACCTCTCCCTCCATGGTGGGAATTGGAATTGGGAGGGCGACTCTCCCTATCGCGACCTTGGAAATCATGGTCAGGACAAGATGATGTCGGCTCCCATCTCAGCCATGACATCGTGCCAAAGAACATTCTGGTCTGCCGGCGCCTCATCCTTCCGCCTCCACACATTGAGGATGACTTCCTTGGCCTCGGTCACGTTTGCAATACCCCACCGTTCTCTCTTGTCAAAGTATTTCATGACCCGAAGGCGGAGGTCGGCCTGCTCAGTCTCACAAGCCGTGATGAAAGCCGGCCACATCAGGCCAGAAACGTTGAGGTCTTGTTCGAGAAGACCGAATGCCTCGATGTGCTCGATCCCTTGCCGGACAAAGGAGGACACGATGTGGTCCTTGGGCGATCGTCTTCGCAAAGTGCAGCCCAGGTAGATATGGCAGGCGCAGTAGAATGCACGAGCGTGGTGCCAGGCCATCTCTCGACAGCGCTCATCCGGGCCCGAAAACCGCGACTTTTCAGGGTTGTTGCGGTATATCCGGAGCTCCAGTTGATCCAGCTCCTGCGCAGGTGGTGATATGCCGTCGAAGAGCCATTGGTTGATCTGGTGGATGATTTCCAGGATCGGCCTGGTAATTCCAAAGACATCACTGAGGTACCAGTCCGTCTCTCCTCCGTCCTCTTCTTCTTCTTGATAGTCCCGCTCCTCATCGAGATATTTTGAACGGTCGCCGCTTTCGGGGCTGGGAAGTTCCGGGTGCCTCAGACTGAACCTCTGGGGCGGCAGGTCCTTGGCTACATTGTATTGGGCTGGGCGTAAGGTTTCCAAGCATACCAGGAACTGGTACAGCGTCGACGTCGTTCGACTGTACTTCCAGGCCGACTTGTCGGTGGTGTGCAGCCACGCGAGCCCTCCACGAAAGTGGACGCGCCAATCCGAACCGTCCCCCGTGAAGGCGGGGATTACGGAGAGTGTGATGATGGTGGCCAATACGGCTTGTTGTTCTTCGAGTTGGGTCGAGGAGGTCAAGCCTTGACTCAAATATTGTAGGCTCTTTTCGACGTGTCGACCGCCAGTCTCACGCCCGAACAGACTTGAGTCGTGCAGTCTTGTGTGGCTCAGCGCGGCAAAGGCGTACAGAGAATGCAGGAACGCCTGGTAGGCAGGTGAATTCCGGTACGTGCTCTTAGCCAGGAAAGCCAATGTGGTGAAGATGTTGTGAAAGATGTTGTCGACGCGCGGTGTCGGCGTCATCAGGCCACTGAGGAACGTGACCCAGTAGTGCATCAACTGCCGTTCTCTGCGCGAGTCGGCGAAAAGAGAGAAGCCGTCCAAGGCTGGCAATATCATTTCGATGGGCCCCGGCCAGGTCGGAGGCGTCGGGTATCTGGGCGAACACCATTGCTGCTCAAAGTCATCCACAGAACAGGCTGCCCTCGGCGAGGAGAGGTAGGCCTGGCTAAGGTCCAGGTGGTTGACTTCAAGGTTAGTTGGTGGCGGGCTCACGCCCGTCGCGTCACTGCTTGTCGATGGAGCATTCCACTGAGGATGGTCCACCGAGGAGGTTGTTGGAAACACGGAGAACAGTTTGACCGTCAGACAGGCGCCATCCGCAGCTGAGTCGATGGTTTCGAGCGCCGAATCCACGTCGCGTTCGCTCAGGAACACACGACTACTCTGGGCCGTGTCGAGAAGCATGCGACGTTGAGTGCCGTTGGAGACTTTCTGACCTGGCCAGACGAGACCGATGCCGTACCCAGCGCAGGTCAGGCCACTGTTTCTGCATCGTCGACACGCCGGTTTCTCCTCGCCACATTTGACCGAGCGCAGTCTGCACGTCCGACAGCCAGTAAACGTCTTTGATCTCTTGGTCTCTCCTCGTGGGCGCATGGGATGAAAGATTCACACTCACATCGGAGTGAGTTGCTCAGGCGGATTGGAGGTGGGCAAGAAGAGGTGGGATACTAGTAATTAGTACTTATTACACCAGCAGGCCACGGCGAACTGCGGGCGGATACTTATCTTCAATTAGGAGATAGATTCATTCCCTTATCTCTCCCTTAGTCTGTGCGCACAGATACCGATGAACAACGCCTCCTCAGCCCCAGGAGCTAGAACCCTGAGCCTTCCTAGCCCTGAGCTTGCCACCCTCCCTCGCCCGCCTCCAGTGAGCGAGCGGTCCCTACGATCCTTACTCCGCTCCTACAACGACTGCATCGGTCCCTCGACTCGCTCTCGATTTCCCAACATTGGCTCCCAGACATTTCAGCGGAAGACAGACCATTCATCGCTCATGAAGATGGGGTTATATAACATCTGCGCGACGTGCAGATGGGGTGCATGCAGTGGCTTTTGGTTGTCCGCAGGAGATTCACAGCAAAATGGCAGCACCAGAGTCGAGCGATTCCACCCCGAACGGACTCAGCAATGGGCATCAACAAGAGCCCAGTTCCAGTTCCTACCAGATCCCCGATGTTACCTATCGAAGTCCTAGTAATCGACGGGTGAAAGTGATTGCAATCGGTGCAGGGGTGTCCGGGATCCAAGTGGCGTATCAGATTCAAAAGCAATGTGAAAAGTAAGCACCCGTCCCCGACCAGATCTCTGTACCTGGGTTTGCTCGATTTGACCGTCCTTGGATTTCAGTGTCGATCTACAGATCTACGAGAAGAACTCAACGGTTGGAGGCACATGGCTGGTGAACAGGTACCCTGGCTGTGCCTGTGATGTTCCCTCGCATGCCTATTCATTCAATTTTGCCCTCAATGTGAGTTCCTATACCCGGCAGAATTGGACCAGCCTACAGTCATTAACCATCCCAGCCTGAATGGCCCCTGTTCTTCTCCCGCGCCGAAGACATTGAGCAATACCTGGAAAAGGTGGTTGACGTCTTCGGTCTGCGAAAATACATGCACTTCAACCATAGGGTGCTTGGAAGCTATTGGAACGAGAAGGAGGGGAAGTGGACCGTCAAGATTGCTCAGACTCGGCCGGATGGCACCGAACACGAGTTTGAAGATACTTGTGATCTCTTGTTACAATGCACCGGCGTCCTCAGTCGTCCCAAACTGCCAAAGATCGAGGGTCTGAATACTTTCAAGGGAAAGGTCGGTAACATATCCTTCTCGTCACAGCCGCGCGTCGAGGTTGCTCACACACCCAAATCAGGTCATCCACACAGGAGCTTGGGACATGAACTACGACAAGGAACAATGGGCAAAGGATCGAGTGGCCGTCATTGGATCCGGTGCTTCGTCAGTCCAGACCGTCCCCAATATGCAGGTCTGTTATCAGCTTCTCACCCGTCAAAGTTTGCCCAGAGCCAGAGTGCTAACTGCCCCCGAAGCCGTTTGTCAAGCACATGGACGTCTTTGTTCGAACCGCCGTCTGGTTCGTCAAGTTGGCCGACAACTACGGCAACAATCACGCCTACACCGACGAGGAGAAGGCCATCTTCCGAGCCGACAAAAAGGCTCTGGCCGCCCACGCAAGCCATATCGAAAACCAAGTCAACGGTGACTGGAGCTTGTTTTTCCCTACAAGCCAGGCACAAAAGAAGGCCCGAGAATTCTTCACGGCGCGCATGGCCGAACATATCAAAGACAAGCGACTGCTCCAAGGCTTTACACCCAAGTGGTCTGTCGGATGCCGACGCGTAACGCCAGGCGATCCGTACATGAAGGCCATTCAAGAGCCGAACGTGACTGTGCACTTCACAGGTGTCTCGCGACTGACACCGGACGGGGTGGTGGGCGAAGATGGCATCGAGAGGAAAGTCGACACGGTCATCTGTGCGACCGGTTACGACGTATCGTACCACCCGCATCATCCAGTCATCGGTCTGCATGGCCAGAGTCTCAAGGAGCACTTTGGAGATGCACCAGAGTGCTATCTCGGCCTCGCCGTGCCCAACTTTCCAAACTACATCCTTTTCGGCGGGCCGACTTGGCCCTCGATGAACGGCTCCGCGCTGGGCCCTCTTCACGCCGTGACCAATTATGCCATCCAGGTGATCAAGAAGATGCAAATCGAGAACATTCGATCGCTCGTTCCTCGACAGGACGTCACCGACGAGTTCAACGCCCACGTGCAGGAGTTCGTCAAGGCTTCGGTGTGGAAAGACGACTGCCGTTCCTGGTACAAGAATCCGGACACTGGCAAGGTGTTCGCCATCTGGCCCGGGAGTAGCTTGCATTACATGCAAACCATTGGAACGCCACGCTATGAAGACTACCACGTCACATATCACGACACAAATCGGTAAGTAAAGGACTTGGTACTAGTAGTACTATGTCGCCCCCCTCGCCCCTTGATCAGACTCTATCCTCAGTGAGATGCACGATGCACAATGCACCGAGACGTAAGAAATCGAGGGTGTCAAAGAACAAGGCTAACAATGCATATTGCCAAATATTAGGTGGGCACATCTGGGCCTGGGCTTTACTATCGAAGATCGTGACCCGAAGTTGAGCACGGCTCCCTACCTAACCCCCGACGCCATTGATGAGGAGTGGATGGTGCAATTTCAAGGAGATGGTCATTCAATTGACGGGTCACAGGCTTGATGAAGACGATCAATTGACGGGCTACAGGCTTGATGAAGACGAAGACGAGGTCGGAACATGAATTTGGCCGGAGAGGGGATACTATGTACTCGTAAGAGATGCCAATACTCACTTATAGGACACTTACTACCTACTACATAGTATACAAGGTAAATTCTTAGTATCCAAGTCGACTTAGATCCTTCAATCGTTACCTAGATACATAATAATTGATACCCCTGCATATACTGTCTACCATGTACATATAGACTAATCCATAAATCCTTGGCCTGGTGAATGAACATGCTCAATATGCATGGTAGGGCGACTTTCCAGCTTGGCCATCCAGTCCGGTACCAGCTGGTTGTTCTCCGACAAGGTGGGCGGGCGGTCGCCCGTGGAGGGAGCAGTGACAAAGGAATCGACATCGGCCAAGGCGTGGGACAATGACCTCGAACTGGATTGGACGAGGTTGACCAGCTTGCCCAGGACCGCAAACTCCATCTTGAGCTTGCAGGAGTAGATGAAGGACTTAAAGGCTCTCTCGAGGGATCTCAGGCCTCGGTACTCCAAAGCCAACAGGGCGATGTCCATGAGGATGATGATGGCGTTGATGATGAACAGTTCATACATGACTCGGCGGGTGCCCTTCTTCGAGATCAACTGCAGAAGTTGGACGGTGGTCCAGAGGTAAATGCCCGAGATGATGAATTCCTGCACGCAGAAGCCGGTCATCTGGATCTTTTCCATGTAGAAGAGGGCCTGTCCGAAGGCGGCTTGTTCGCCGCCGTAGCTCTTGCCGTACTGGATGACGGTGGTGGAGGTGTGGAAGACCACCGCGTCGACGATGATCATCCACTTGATGGCCCGTAGCAGTTTCTCGTGCTGCAGAATCAGACCCAGTCGAGAGTAGAGGACAAACGCTTGGCCGGTGATCAACATGACCCAGCCGGTTGAACTCAGCATCATGGCGGCCCAGAACACCAGGACCGCAAAGTATTCGGTGACGTAGCCGACGCAGTAGGGGATAATGCCGACCGAGGCGACGACGAGCGAGATGAAGTAGAGACCGCGCCATTCTCGGAACGTGGCGAAGATGATCAGAAGGAGTTCGACACAGTTGTAGAGCGAGAGCGTGAGACAGGTGACCACGATGATGGGTTCGGCCGTCCATTTGCCCTGGAACTCTCCGGGGTGGTAGGCTGGAGCCATGTTGTCGAGGAGCGACGGATCATACTCGTTGTCGCTCTATGGCATTGAGGTTCCTGGGTCGAGGATGCTGGAGTCGAACAGATCTGTGAACATTAGTATGAAGAAGGGTGGCAATGAAGGCGACACCGACATGACGCTTTGGAGCGATCATTCAAAAAGCTTGAGTCGATGACCAAGAGCGCCTGGGCCCCGAGTCTGGGATTGCGGGGGAATGGATGCGCGTGTTGCGTGTCTCCTCGCCTTTCTCCATCTTGACATGGATGTGCCTGGCATAAGCGAGTTCAGCCGAAGCAGTATCCCTGCAGGTCTACTCTTCTTCTTTCGCCTCGGGTACGGGCCAAGATGGAGGTAGTCAGTCGGCTATGACTTGAGACATCCTGCGTGCTCGCGGATATGATCTTCAGCTGTGCATCACCCTCGAAGAAAAGCGGTGGACAAAGTACTATAGTTGATGTCCAGGAGACGTGGTACGGATCCCATTGTTGAAAGTCCCCGGCAATTCTATCCGCGTTGGGTGAACCCTTGGAGGTTGCGCAAATTCTTTCCCTTTCCAGTGTTTCGGGAAGTCTTTCACGTGGGACCCTTCAAACGTTATTTCTTGCGAAGGAGGTCGGAGGGGAGTTGATCGCTGCCCTGCACCACACAGTCTGCAGTCTGCCCGCGCTCATAGTCGTGGTGGACGAGCAGAGAGGACGAGATTCTCAGTTTCACTCGATCGGTGAACAAGCGATGATACCTACCAGTCAAATCGAGCTCCTCACGGACCGGACGAGGCGCAAAGATTGTCGACAGTAGACGCTTTGAACCCCGCAGGACTGCTTGATAGCAAGCTCGGCTGACAGTTCCTGAGTCATCGGCGAGGCTTCCACTGCCAAATTGAATTCTTTGGGGGACAGAAGAAGTCGAACGGTTGGTATGATATCAGCAGCCTTGCGAGAAGATCGTGTGTAACCGTGCGATACCGATACCGATGCCGATGCAGCCTATCGGTAAACAAGCCACCGGCACCGGCCATGGCCCGGCACATCGCACCGGCATAGATGACGATGACAATGACGATGGTTCGGGTGTCTCTTCGGGATTTACAGTCGACTGAGGACGGGAAGGCTTGGGTCGCGTCAGGACTCGACTATGCTTCATCATTACCATCACCGGCACCATCACCATCGTACCTGGTCATCACCATCCCAGTCAGCAAAATAGCGCTGCTTTAACATGGGTTCTCGTACAGTTGAACCATTTCATTCGGGCACAGACAGCCTGGCCCCCCTCCCCTATATGTACCCAGATGGATCTCACAGTGCATAGTATACATATCCCTACACATATACTCTGCGCCGTAGGATAAGAGGTCCTCCGGCGCTCTCCCGGATCAAGCAGCCGAGACCAGGTTAGGCTAAGCCTCGTGAGAACAGAGACACCACAAGTCGCCCGAGGCGCCAGGACCCCGTAAGCCCTTGCTTTGCCGACCAACCGACCAGCCGACCAGACAGATGCTGACCATATCCCAGCGTGGAAAATGATGCAGAGGACCGGCCTGAATCCTAGCGACATCGAATCGTGTTGGACAGACCAATGATGCCAGCATGCCTGCCAGCCACACTGGCAGTGTGATTGTTTACATACCTATCAGGTACATAGGATCTACGTGCCTAGGTAGGTAGATCTTACAGAACGCGTCAAAGTACCTACGTGCCTAGGTAGGTAGATCTTGCAGAATACGTCCAAACACAAAACACAAAACACAATGAATGACAGCGCGGGGCTGCCAATCCGCCCGCCAATATTAAATGATGTCGCTTATGTCTGTCATACATGTACACATACCATAGGCCAGTACGGATATTCTGTATATGTATTCGTTATGCGTTATGTGTACTGTGCTGTGTGTACTGTGTACTGTGTTGTGTACTGTGTACGAGTGCCAGCCTTACCACACTGACCACAGGATGAACAAGGCTGATCCAGGCCCGCCTGACAGCCCAACGGCCAACGCCCTTCAACCTTACCAGGTGACTAGTCATGTCATAAACAGTGCGGAGCCGAGTAGCGCCATCAAATCAAAGTATGATAATCATAATCATAATCATAATTGAAATCAGCGGTCCATGTCCGTGTCTATGGCCATGTGATTGATCAATCAGATGACTACTTAGATATGTTTACGCTCCCAAGCTTGCATCATTCGCCATTCGCCAACACGTACACCAACATTGGGACTCGTCTGAGCTACTACACTACTCGTCGAGAGTGTTAGGGTTAGGGTTAGGGTCAGTATGCATATAGACTTCAATGGATCTACGTTTACTCATAATGATTCCGGTTGCGGTTTCAGATGACAGGCTTTGTGACCAACTGAGTTCCAGTTCAACAACTTGAATCGTCCATTGTTGGTCTGTGCCTATAAGTTGGATTCACTACCGCTGTGATGTGCAGCCTGATGGGCAGTGAAGGAACAAGCAGTGAAGGCCAGCAGTAGTGGCTTTGTGCCTTTGTTTGCTTCTCTGGGCATATATGCTCTCTCTCTCTCATTCTGGATCTTACCACCTTAGCATCATCAATCATATCAAGCTTACCAGATTCAACTCTATTCCATACTCCACATTCCACATTCCACATTCTTGGGAATCTATCCCGTGTGGGGGGAAAGTTCTCGTCCGCATTGTACGGTCTTGACCACGACTCGTCCCCATTGTTCTCGTCCGCATTCGTACGAGTACGGTTGTCCCCGTTCGGGACCGACTCGTCCCCTATTGGTTCCAGCCGGTCAAACAAAGTACAAACAGGTGGTCTTGCCTGACTTCATCGCCTACCTTCCAATGTCCTTGTCGACTGCAGAATGAAGACTGGCGCCATTACAGTCTCATTCAAATCGTAGATCATGGCTTCACAAAACCCAGCATCGGCATCGACTCCAGCATCGGCATCGACTCCAGCATCGGCATCGACTCCAGCATCGGCATTTCCTCTTAATGGACGCGATATCCGCAATATCCCTCGTTCCGAAGTGATCCTTGCTGCTGCGACAGCCCCCGTCATTTATGTAGCAGAATACGCACATGTGAAAGTCGTTCGTGTGCATGACAATGCAGTCCTGAAGTTTGGTAAGCAGGTTGATGCCACGGAGGGAAAAAACATGGAGTTCGTTCGCCAACACACGACGATCAAGGTCCCAACCCTGATCGACGCTTGGGAGGTAGAGGACAAGGACAAGAATAAAACCAGCACAACGTACCTGCTCATGGAGTATGTCGACGGCATTGTGGTGGAAGAGATCTGGTCGACTCTCCATGTGCCAGCCAAGCTCTCCATTTGCAACCAAGTCTGTGATGCCATACAGCAGCTTCAAGCCATTCCTTTCGCCCAACCTGGCCTGGTCGGTGGAGGAGGTCTTTGTTTTGGCCCTCTTTTCAACGATTTTGGAGCTGGCCCATTCGCATCGGTCGAAGAAATGGAGGATTGGTTCAACGAACGTCTCCAAGTTTGCAAAGACTTCAAAAAGGTTCGTCCGGACTACCCTTCCTTCTCAGGAACATTCAAATCCTTGGTCATGTGCCATCTTGACCTCTACCCGAGAAATCTGATGCTAGACAAGCATGATAGGGTGTGGATCCTTGACTGGGCCTTTGCAGGTGGCTATCCTCCTTGCTTCGAACGGGCCACGTTGGAGCTTGTTGGAAAGTCCCAATACAAGCCTTGGTCGAACTGATGCCTGGGGATAAATATGTCGACGAGATAGAAAAGTTCAGAGCGATCTGGTGGGCATTAACCATTGGGATATACACAAAACCAAGTAGCTAGCTAGGGTCAACCCTTTCTGTGTCCGGACAGACAGAACCAAAGATGAAATAGAGAACGCAACAGGAAATTAGCAACACCAGTCTCGTATGTCTCAACAAAAAACGACACACGGCATGTGATGAACGAAAGTGATATTGAGGGTGAGTACTTGCCATCATAGGAGTGTTGCAGGGCTAGCCTAGCTTGCACACATGTACCTACCTATCCGGAACCCACAGGTTGTAGTACCGAGGACTATGAACAAGGGTTGTCGGCCGAGGCGCACAGTAAGCCTAATCGGGACGTCACGGGCACGGTAGAGGCGTGGAAGCGTGAAAGTACCCGAAGCCTAATCAGGACGTCACGGGCACGGTAGAGGCGTGGAAGCGTGACAGTACCCGAAGCCTGCTCAAGTCTGCTTCAGCGGCGGGTTGAAGGTGACCCTTGCAGAGGGCTATGCGTCTTGATAAAATGTACCGTGATCGATATCAGATTGAAATTCAAAGGGCAGAAGCGTACCGTCCTCAGACCAAGCATACCTAAGTGTAGCCCTCGCACACCAAGTTTCCTTCGCCATGATCATGTGGTTCTGGAGGAGTAGCAGTAGAACCGAATCGACCCAGTTTCTGCATCCAACTCCGAGTTCGTTGAACTTGTAACGGTCGTAACCTGCACGTTGTATGAGATCCATAATAGTTTGTGCTGAGTAGGTCTGAATAACTGGCATGTCACTTGTCTTGATGGCATTCGTCGAGGTAGAGGATTCAAGTTCACTAACGATGAGACACCCTATGCCCGATGTACCCGAAGGGCTCATATCGAGACGAAGAGATGTGCCTTGAGAGGTACCGAGGTCAAGTACCCAGTGATTTGTTTTGGTAGTGGTGCCTTGGATGGGGACCGGGCCAGATGCGGCAGCTGTGACATGAACAACCTTGAAGTTGTCCAATTTAGCTGAGAGGGAGGGAGGGATGTATGCTACCGTTGCAGGTGGCATGGTCGTGGTTGGTGGTACTGTCTCGAGGGACACAGAAAGTGGAGTTAGTTGAGTTCTTGGAGGAAGGTTGGATAGATTTCGTCGAGGGTTGGTAGAGTGTATCGGATGTTTCTAGCTTGCACTGTATATAAATACCAGGTAATTTAGAAAGGATACAAAGTGAAGTAACCCTTAGGCAGTGCCGAGTACACGTGAAGCAGCTATTAGGCAGTGCCGAGTACACGTGAAGCAGTCAGTAGGCAGTGCCGAAGGCAGACGAGTAACAGTGACTTTGACTATAAGCGTCTCAGGCAGTCGACGAGAAATAGGTGTTCCTTAAAGTGAAAATAATAGAAGCAGTCAAGCAGTCAAGCAGTCAAGCAGTCAAGCAATTAAGTAGTTAAGTAGTTAAGTAGTTAAGTAGTTAAGCAGTTAAGCAGTCAAGCAGT